ACCTCCTTAGCGACTAGTATAGTAGTCTTAACACTAATATTAGCCTTAAATGTAGCTTCGTTTAGTTCAGCTATATATTCCGCTGTAACTGTATCAGTAATATTACTGATATCGTACTCTATATCTAGAGCGACGATGTTCTCTTCTAGGTCCTTAATAAGCTCCCTTAGAGTAGAGGTAAGTTAGCTGACCTTCCTCTCTTTCTCAGGGGAATAGAACGTCGTCTTATTAAACCGGACGTTACATGTGATTACTACACGGCGTAGCTAGGGCACCTAGATCCTATATAAGTTGGAAGTAATATAACTAACTAAGTATCTAACGTGCGCCCTAGGGCTAACTTTGAAGCCTCTATGATTCCTTCTAGCCTCTCTATTAGTTATAACTGGATATGCACGCGCCTTATATATATATACTCTACTCCAGTTAGGTCTCAAGTCAGTTAAGAGCTTCTTCACTATTAGTAGATCGTACTACTAAAAATAGTTCTGAAACTATTCCTGGAGTACTTAATTTAGACTCCTTATCCCTTGGCGTGCGAGAGGACTCATGTTGTAAAGGTAGATTACTATATAATATACCTCTAGGTAAAGCTTCTCTAGCAGGTTTACCTAAACACGTATCTTAATAGATTTAGTAATAATCTCTTGTCCTACGCGCTCCGCGCCGCCTATAGGTTCTTTAGTATATAGCGGGGGATTCTCTACCTCTATTCTTTCTCTTGTAGTCTATTCCTTGTACCTTGATGTGCCTCGAATAGCTATAACTGAGGTGTTGTTATTATGCTGAATAATATAGACTAATAGTCTATATTAACACTTAGTCTAACGCTTAAAGTTCTCTAAGACTAGTATAACGTGGCTAGCTAACTTACTTAGTAATATGTAGCTAAAGAGCTTCCTACTATATTTATCCTTAATAATAAGTAGCTAGCGAGTGCTATTATAACCTACGTTAAAGTCGAATAAGTCCTAGAGGATTTGGTAGAATAGCCTAGCTGCCTTATTCTCTAACTCCTATCTTAACGTGACGTTTCCAGTGTATATAATAGTATAGTCTTTATACTAGATTCTTGATACTCCGTCGAATTATACGCCTCTCTCTGCTTTAAGTAACGCCCGTAGAGCACTCTCTTCCAAATAGCCGGTACGTAGGTGCTATAGTTACAGAGTTACGGAACACTCCTTAAGTAGTTAACTTAACGATTGGAAACCTTACCTATTTAAGCTACGACTCAGAGTCGGGTACATTATAATAAGTATGCGTGTTAAGGTTACTAGGTTATAGGAGCGACGAGAGTATCTGAAAGGCTTATATTCAAAGAAAGTTAGGTTGAACTTTCGAACTAGCTATCTAATAACTACACTCGTCTGAACCTCCCTGTACTATAAAGTGGTATCTTTCCCTGAGTACTATAGCCCGGTGTCTTTTAGTAACGCCTCTGAGATAATATTAACATGGAAATTACAGACTATAGTGACGTTATTAAGTGATAGGTCTTAAGTATTTGGACTGTTTAGCCTAGCTAAGGAGTTCTTAAATACTTGTTTCCCTCTGCCGACTACTGGAATTCGTTACGTTCTAGCTTCCACGTAGTTGTTATTAGTTAATCTCTTAAAGGAACCTAGAACTAGCTTATTCTTATGATTAACTAAGTGCTAGGCGCCGCAGTTATTAACTAAGGTACTCTCTAAGAGTACGTGAGGAATATTAATAAAGTCCGTGGCGTAGATTCCGAGTGTCTCTTTAAGGTCTAAGAGCTTTGAATTAATAGTAGCTACGTTAATATTTCCGGGGTACTTTCCTTTAGCTTACTAAGACGATAGTTCTCGGTCCTTGCTAGGCTTCTTCCTAGTAATCTGAGCTATAGAGATAGTAGTCCAGCCTTCCTTAGAGATCTCTCAGCGTAGTTCTATATACTCAGGTGCCTGGACAGTCTCACGAATCCTCTTAATTTACTTGTTATTTAGACGGAATCTCATGCTATTAGCTTGAAAGCTATTATAAGCGAAACAGAGCTTCTAGCACTTAATTAGAGGGTGCCGGTGTCTGATTCCATAAGGGCAGTTAGTCTTCTTATCTCCTTAATTTAAATAGGAGCGATTCCGAGAGCTTCCGGAATAGTCTTGCGAGCCTCCTATATTAGAACAACTACCTAGTATCAGCGTGGCGTAGAAACTATTAGCTCCCTTACCTCCGTTCCGGTAGTACTCCTTCATATTCGCTATAAACGCTAGACCGTACTCCTCTAGTGTTATACTATACTGACGTCCTAAAGTGTTATCTCTTATAATATCAGTGAGTACTTAAGCGGCCTAAGTCTCTAACTAAACTGATACTACGTTCAGGAAAGCTCGTATATCACGTACTCCTTATATATTAGGAATATTATACGCTCTCGTAAGACGGAAGTTCTTTTACTATAGCTTATACTACGTGCGAGGTTCAATTCGCGACTTCTTATCTTAACGTATCGGCAAGCTAAGTGTATTAGTGTAGTCCGAAATAATAGAGGTTAGTACTACCGCGTCTAAAGGTGCTATATCACGCTTAATAGACCTGACTAGTACTTGTAGTTCTGCGGCGCCCTTAGCCGTGTTATTATTAATTGCGTTAGTTAGAATAGACTAGCTAATAGTACTATTTACCTAGTTAAAGAGGTTCTGAATACAGTTATTAAGCGCTGTCTATTCAGCTAGCTTATTCAAGTACTCCCTTGTTCGAGCTTCCTAGAGTACCTTAATATCTTCAAACTTAGCTTCCAAGGGCTTACTTATAGACGCCGGCGGTTCTATTATACTCTCTCTTTCCTTAGTAGTAGCAGCGTTCTATTTCGCTAGTAAATCTAGGTTAGCTTGTATTAACAACGCTATCTACTTGCTAAGGTGACTATTCGTCTTCTCTCGTATAAAATCGTTAATACTCGGGAGATTCGGTCGTTGCTTAACGATATTTCTAATATCGTTAGTGTCAGGGTTAATAAATCTCTAGATTCTTTTGAGTTCGGTATAGTACCGGAAGGTCGTTCATTACTAGGGCCACTGCTTTCTCTAATCGAGAGTATCGCCCTCGTGTTTAATTAACTCGTTTTAAAAGTACGTCGATATATCAGAGAGGCTTTCTATAGAACTAATAGCGTCGAGAGTATTTCGGGAAGTTCGGGGAGGTATTTAAAGGAGTTCTTTAAGTAGCGGTATAAGTATCTCTCGACACTACTTGCAACTCTACCTATACTACGTAGTATACTCGTATAGTAGCTTAAACGAGCGAATATAGCTCTTAACTATCGTGTACTATAGGGAGGAGCTTCATGTAGTATGAAAGTCTTAATTTATTAAGGTATTCTAGAGCTCCCCTATAAGAGGAAGCTCTAGGAGTTCTAGTTATATAAGTAGCCTCTGGTTGGCTGGAGCGCCTTAGGGAGTGCCTCAGGTGCGTCAGGTGCACGACAGTAACTCTAGTGTTAACTAAAACATATATATATACCTCTTATTATCCAGCTTTAAGACTAGTTTTACTAGCTCTGCTAAAAGTTATAACGTGATTTAAGAGAATACTAACTTTAGTATAAGAGATAGAAACTCTCTTATTCTAGAAGAAAGGTCGTAATATATCAAAAGTCAGTGACTCGTTAAGTATATACTTAAGGATACTTTTAAAACCTTAGGTAATATTAGTATTATTATCCGTCTTCTAGGTCTATAAGTCGCAGGTTAAGATACTCTTTTAGTATCGTCTGTAATCCTAATATAGTAAAAGAGACCTAAGTTACTAGCAGGTTATAGCTATAACTTTATTCGCTTTAGTTATAAACTTTTAATCTTTAGTTTCTTATTCTCAGATTTCAGGACTAGCTTTTAACGTTTCTCTTATTTCTATTCCGCTACTTCTAATAATCCTAACCTATTAATTAGTGTATTAACGCTTATTTGCTTTTTTATTATAGTAAACTAGATATCTTATAGTAAAGCCCCAGGATAAGTACCTGCTTAATTCTTATACTACTAGTAATATACTTCTGGAGTCGGGAGTAGTCTCTTAAGACTCGATTTCCTCCGCGGACTTAAACTTAGCGAGGATTATAGTATCTTTACAATTACTCTTTAATATAGTGTTCTACTTATTATTAGACCTTAATAAGTAGTATCTGGATTCTTTAAGTCTAATCTCTGAAGTAAGGACTCTAGTATATAGGGAATATATATAGCTATTCTAGTAGTTAGTTTATAAAGAAATATACTAACCTAGGATATAGTAATATATTACTGCTAGTATAGAAACCTTAGAACGTAGTAGTAACGAGATCCAGGACCTTGAATCCATTATAGCCAGTGATTCATTAGAGACGCGTTAAATCTGAGGAGAAGCTAGGGGCTGCCACATTGCAAACCTGCTCGGAGCGGAGTTATCATACGAGATCGTTGCACGCTTGGACGTTTACATCGGACAAGCATGCTGACATGTACGCATGATGATTCCAAGTACTATTTCTCCGTTGCTGACACTCACATCTCCATACTTATTTCAACGTCAACAATCGCGTAAAGTGGTACTATCCGAAGCAACAACGACGGAAACAATCGCTTCTGGTTCTTCCAACACATGATATTTCAATTCACGGACAGGATATGGAATAAGTAAGTGGACCCGGACGTCCAGATCGCACATCTCATCATGGCTTCCCTTCGGGCACTGTCGTTGCCGGTGTCCGGCGCGGCCTTGTCGCAAAGAGCTGTCTTATCTTCATCTGATTTGCAAGCACATGCACGAAGCGATATGTTGCGATATTTGAGTTTAATGAGGTGAAATAATATCGGTAACTATTTAGCCTCTCATTCCTTTGTCGCGCGTCCGTTTGGTCTTCCCTCCCTTCTTTCCTTTCTCCCCTCCCTTGTTCACCTCCTCACGTTCTCAAATCCTCGGATATCCCGACTCACGGAAACTCCATAACAACATAAACACAACCTCCTCCCGGACAAAGAACACACTCCTTAACCACAATGTCTACTCACGAGATTCTCATCCTAGGAGGTCACCACTCCGGAATCAATGTCGCACATTACCTTCTCCGCCATGTCATCCCAAAGGTCTCAAACTTGACTCCCTCAACTCCTTACCACGTTACAATCGTCACTCCCAACACCGATTTCTACTGGAACATCGCCGCCCCGCGCCTCATCGTCAGCGAGACTCTCATTCCAGAAGAGAAAGTCTTCCTTCCCATTGCAAAGGAATTTGCATCCTACGATGCCGCGCAATTCACGCTCGTCAAGGGAAAAGCCACGGCTCTTGACGCAGAGAAGAAGACCGTGACAGTGAGCAATGGTGAGAGCATCACGTATTCAAGTCTCGTGATCGCGACCGGCTCGTATTTTGAGTCGCCTGTATGGCAGCTGAATGAGACCGAGGAGAAGTTGAAGTCTGAGATCTCGGCCTTGAGGACGGCTCTCCAAGGTGCAAAGACAGTCTTGATTGCAGGCGGAGGAGCAATCGGCGTCGAAACAGCCGGTGAAATCGGTGCTCAATTCCCCAACCACGACACCACCATCCTCTCCGGCGGTGCTCGATTACTCCCCAGACTCGTCCCAGGTAACAGCTCAGCCGCGGAATCAAGACTCAAATCCCTAGGCGTGAAGACCGTCCACAGCATCAAGGTATCCTCCAGCACGAAAAATGCAGATGGAACCACGACCGTGACTCTGGACGACGGCTCCTCCAGAATCGTAGACGTCTTCATCGACGCCACAGGCCCCAAACCAAACACCACGTTCCTCCCTCCCTCCTGGCTCACTTCCACCGGTCACGTCCTCACAGACGAGAAGACCCTCCGGACCAACCAGCCGGGTATCTACGCGATTGGCGACGTTGCGTCCTACAGCAGCGGTAGCGTGGTGGACGCCAACAACTCTGTCGCTCCGCTGGGCACCAGCATCGGCATTGACCTCGCCAACGCTGCTGGTCCAGGGAACGAGAAGCTGTTTGTGCAGAAAGAGTTCAAGCCGTTCAAGGATACGCAGTTCGTGCCTACAGGGCCGAGTGGTGGCGTTGGGCAGGTTATGGGTTTCAAGGTGCCGAGTTTGGCGGTTTGGTTGGCGAAGTCGAGGACGTATTTTGTATGGATGGCGCAGGGAGCTGTGGAGGGTGGTGGTGTTAAGAAGGCGTGATGGAAAGTTGGTGTTGATCGTTGACGACGGGTTGGAATGGGAGTGAGAGATGAAATTGAGGGTGGTAATGATGCTTTCCTTGGGTTTTTATCGGTCTCCTCAAGCAGGGGCGTTGATCGAGATATCAGGTTGCTTCTAATACTACTTGTTTGCTTTCTTGCTACCTGGAAATGTCTACTCTACTCTATACAAGACGTGACCGTGTACTACCTATTTCACACGCCATGTTAAAGCTCAAAGACAAGAGAAATCTACTTGTCAGAGATCCACTGCGTTATTCGGTAATATCTAAACAGCCCAAAAGTTCAGGAGGATATTAATACAAACAAAAAAGAGTTCCAACACGATGTCAATATCCACTCCCTCGTTTGTCACCAAAATATATCTATGGCAAGACAACTTACTAAAAGAAAAGGAGAATGTCTCACTGCTTGAGACGACTTAATCCCAGGAGAAAGGACGAATTCGCCCTGTGTATATGAAGATCTGGGCTATAGTCACCCAGTGACACAGTGAGTCCTTGCGTAGCCCCCATTTTCAGTCGACTGCTCTTGTTGTTTCTCCATCGGCCGGTAGAAACGCTTGGGCGAAGGTAGTGTTGACTTAGACGACCTCTAACATATAGAGGCATGCCTTTGCTCCTCCAGGTGGATGTTTCCGATGTATATCATCTCGCTGTTTTGTAGATACTATCACATACTCTAGACTCCCTCTTAGCATCTTGTTGTACTCTGCTTCCTGCAAGTAAGTAGAATGGTCCTAGGCATGGAGCCAGTAGAGCTCATGGAGCATGGGCAGTTCTGAGCTTGTCGCCCAAATTGTAGATACAGATATCTCACCCTAGCCAAGCTCTACAACTGAGTTCCTACACAAGGAAGTAGATGTCACAGAATCCGTCAACAGCTTGTGTAGACAGTATCGCATTCAGCTCATTAATCCTTCTAAAAACGCCATACTCCAACCCTGATATTATACCTCTCTCCGCCGCCCTCTACCACCTCAAACCGTCCCACTAATGCTCAAATCCCTAATCTCCTGCAACACCTCCTCAACCCGACTATCCAGATGTCCCTGCGCATACTGCTCCCTCGTATCCGCATCCAAGTACTGCTGAACCTGCGCCATTCTTGAGTACGCCTCCGCACAGAACCGTAGCTGGATCTTGACCAGGGCCTCGAAACTGGGGTCGAGATATGGTACGCGCAGGTCGATGACTTGAGGGAGTTCGGTGGAGAGCTGCTCGTTCAGTTGCTCGTAGGCGGCTTTTGCCATCTCGGTTTCCTTCTCGGCGCGGGGGAGCTTGGTGACGTCCTTGTCGGGTTTCTCGACAAGCTTCTTGACCTTTGCGCGCATCGCGTCGTAGTCTAGGAGTTTGTGGTTCCTTTTCTTGATACCTGTGACTTGTCAGCTTGGCAGTGGGTGGGGGAATAGGTGCTCGTACATTCGTTGATGTCTGGGAAGTAGGCGCAAAATCTAGAGATCGGCTCCAAAACAGTCGTTCTGTGTATTGTTAGGCAAATTCATCTTCTGGATCCTCCGAATATACCGGTATGGGCCATCAAGCGCCTTGATTGTCTCCGCATCCAGATCCTCCACTGCCTGCTTGTAACTCCTACTCACTCCATCCTTTGTACCAGCATCACCGTAGAAAGCATCAATCGTTTCTGCAATACGCATTTGGGAGGCAGTCATGGCTGTTCCCGTCAGTCTCTAGTTCTCTCCTGCTCCTGCAGATCCGTGCTCACCTCGTAAAGAATCCAAATATCCCTTTGCTTCCTTCTGCAATCGCATGGACGCGGCCTCCATTGTCCGGTATCTCCGCTCCTCAACCTCATAATCACGATCATTCGTCTTCTCTACATGTCCCGTCTTCATCATCACCTGGGTCGTGGCCCGGTTAACATTTTTCTTGAATCCTACAATAGCACAACAAGTCAGCGGGGCAGCCAGGAGAGGGTTGAGCGAAGGGGAGAGACGTACCAGCCCAAGACATCGTGTCAGTGTAAAGATGAATCTATGTGCTTACGCAAAGGGATTGAACAAGAGGCTGTATTGTAAGTCTGTTGTTGACAACGCTACGTGGTGTTGTTGTGGGGGGACGTTGGCAATTACAGAAGTGAAGGCAGCCCAGCCTGCGGTGACGAGGTTCCTGTGGCTGTGCCACTTCTGGCTGCGACCCCACCAAACTTTCTCCGCCAAGGATCTTCATTTATTTTCAACTCGACCTTGTACAATCAAACTCACTCCTTCACCACAACACCCCTTCCACGAATACCAAATTCGCCTTTCAAACTCCCAAGATGCCTTCCCGCGGAAACCCCAACGTTCCCAACAAGCAGCGCAAGACCGCTAGCCGCGCGAAAGTCCAAAAGCGCAACGCCGCGAACAAGGTCTCCAAGAACCCTCGAGGAACAGCGAGAAGCGATGTCCTGCACCCAACTAGTGGGCCCCTAGCACCTGTCTCGGGAAAGAAAGCCAGAAAGTTGCAGAAATTGCAGAACAATGCGAGAAGAAGAGCGCTAGAGAAGGCGATGGAGCAAGAAGGAGAGGTTGAGATGACAGGTGAGTTGATTGGAAGACTTGGAGTCGACGAAGGGCAATGCTGACGGATCGAAGATGCACCGAAGACCACAAAATCGAAAACCAAGCCAGAGAAGTCGACGGAGGATCAGATGGAGCTTGACGCGGTGTCGTGAGCTTGAGGATCAAGATGTTAGCGGATGGGATGAAAACAAGTTACTTCTCCTGGCGAGTGGTCACTACAGACCGCTGAGGGGTTGGAGACATTGCATAATTGGCGTTCAGGAGAATGGGAATCGGAAAAGCTGTTTAAGTTGGCTCCAAAAGTCTACGTCGTTGTGACAAGGACGATTGGCTTGAATTGGCGTTGAAGTATGGACGATACCCAACTACAGATCAAATGGAAGGCTCTCTACAAGTTGAAAGCATGTTTGTCTCTCGATACTTTTACTGGATTCCCTTTTGATCGGATCCTCCATTATACTGTCGAGCATTGGCTTGGAGGCATTCCTTATGCTACGTACAGTCCCTATACTCCTTCGCCAGAAGCCCGGCGTCAAGTAAGCTCTCGAAACAAATATCTACTCTCTTGGCTTAGCCACTCTCTTCATACAGTCCTATTTTCGTGTTAAGTCCGTTATCGAGGACTTTAATCATTAATCCATATCCATTGCCCATATCACATTCCTACATCCTCTTCCTTTCTTGGTTCTGTTCTAAACGTCCTGAGGCTCCCATTATCCTCCAAGCTTTTCACACGAGTTACAGATCCGCCAGTCTCCTTCGATTCTTTTGATCTCCCAAGAATACTCTGCTGGCTTCCGGCCATAGCAGTTTGTGACGAACCTGAAGCATCCACATGTAAAACTGCTCCTAGGGGGACGTTGCCGTTAAGATGGTTGGGATCAACAAAGCTGGGCATCGGCATTGAGTCCTGCTGGTCTGACAGAATACCAGCTCGTCGGAGAAATTTCTCTACTCGTGCTTTAAGGCACGGCATACAAGCTGCAATGATACCAACCAACTCTTCAAGCTTCGCCCACATGGAACTATCGACCGTCGTAGAAAGCGGATCGCCCAGGTACACGTTCTTGAAAGTCTTTGTTTTGATTCCTGCGATGATTGTCGCTATAAGTCCCATTGCCATCAGGCATCCGATTAGTATCTTCTCGCGAAGAGGCCGGTTGAGTGTTCGGATGAGTTTCAGTGGCATGGTTGCAAGTATGAAATCCATGAGGATGAATACGCCTACGTCTGTCAGACTTGTTTGGCTTAACACGTAGGGTACTTACAGGCAGTAAACCAGCCATATATGAGTGTGACATCTCGAGGCCAGCACTTAAAGTTCGACACAGGCTCCCAGAATGATCGTAATGGCTTACAATTGAAGAACTGCAGAATAACCCATCCCGTCGAAATCAGTGATTGGATCACTATCAATGCGTACAGTGTGCCCATCCACAGTCTCGAATTACCGAATCGCATAAGTGAACATGCCACCGATATTCGAATCAGCGGGATCGTGAGCACCCATATGAGCTCCAGTGCAAAGATACATTTGTACGCAATTTTCTGATCGGCTGCAGAAATGTAGAACGAGAGATGTCCCCAGCCATGAGAAGCTGCCGCACAAGCAAGGCAGTACCCGGTAAGGGAGAATATCTAGTTCAGTCAGACATAATCGTTGAACATTTGGAGAGGAATGTGTACCTCAGCAACAACAATCAAGTAATCATCCAGCGCCAAGTGGAGCACAGGGCGCGACCGAGTATATATCCTCGTTACGCAAAGACCAAGTGCCACGACCGCCAAAACTCCACATGGAATCAGATAGTTTGGAGCGAACCTGGTGTCTGGCCCAGGACTGATCGAAGCGTTCATACCCGCAATGGTCTGTTCTGCTAAGCTCTGATAAATTAGAGAAGTGACGACGACGAACGAAAGAAAACCAACAAGGAGGTGGAGAAACAGAGATGAGGTGATATATGGAGAAAAGGGTTCAAGACACGAGCCACAATGTAAACCTTCTCAGCGGACCCGTATCGCTCGAATTACCCCATACCAGCCTAATCCAGCTCAGGTTGTCTCGCGACGGGCCTGTCCCGGAAATAGTCTCTCTTGAATCGTCTTGATCTTCCCTCCCCCCTTCAATGGCCCCTGATCTGACAGAGAAGGACGGCACGGCACGGGAAACACTTCCACGCGGGCTAGTGCTGAAGAACTCGGATCACTCTGGGGACGAGGTGGTCATGTTTGGTATGATTTTGCGCCATCGTGATCCGTGCGGCTGCTCGATACGAGCGGACGAGTACGGCTCAGCGGCTGTAACTGTGGGCGACTATCACAGTGGTAGCTTGGCGAAGAAATCGTCGGACTTGCAGCCGTATTTGATTGACCTGTAATCTCATACTGACACCTGAATGACAACCTTTGACGAGGGGTGCTCCTGGAAATTACCCTACAAATTAACGAAGACATATTTGACGGCCATCCAATATGCGTTGTACTGGACTCCCCAATCTGCGCATTAAGTTTGAGAGACAAAATTCATGAGGACATCTAAGACACAGACAGACAAGTTGTCATATGAAGGAGTCGAATACCTTGCAACGTTGTATCTGAGGAATGATACACAGACGGCCCCCCCCTGGCAACCAATAGAGGACCACTATCATACTACTTGGCACATTCACACTTATACTACTTCTGAGTATATTTCCAGAAGTTAGGGTTAGTTAGGGTTAGCAGGTTAGTTAGGGTTAGAGCGTAGGTATAGCACGAGGCCCCCTCTGGGGGTTTACTAACTAAAGCGTGGGAGAATGTGATTAAAATACCTATTGTGCCTTCAACTGTTCGTGGTTTTTGAAGCCTCCAATTCGTCTGACAAGGGGGGGGCGTGTGGGGGGGCCGTCTGTGTATCAATCCTCTTGTATCTCTGGTAAATTGCATCCCTTGCGATCGTTATGGGTTGATTGGGGTTGAAACCTGGTCAGGGGTTGCTTTGTTTACATGGGTTCAGTAAGCGAAAAATCCACCAGGGGCTGCAAGAGCGGATGTCTCCTCATTTCCCAGGAGTCCACATCGAACGGACAATGCCCCGATGACAAATTCTCGGTAGGGCACTTGGATGATTTTCTCGCACCTTTGCTGCTAAGTTCGAGTGGGTTTGCCATGTGACGTGGAACCGGAGGTTTCACTCGTTTTGAAGAGGCGAAGAGATTTAAGCTTTCCGTGGTTTCGCACAATTCCCAGAATGCTTTGCTATTTTTAAACTTGATTTCTACCTAAAAAGTCTCTGCGATCATTGTCTGTCAATCAGCAGTTTTTAACTTGATCCAATCCGTCGAAAGAACGAGATTGACTGGTTCCATAGGCGAACCAAGAGACAATTACACATTGAACGGATGTCAAATGAAGAGAAGCGAGAAATTGACGCGCCAGCATGGATGAGGCTTTGATTTTGTTGATATTCGCCGGCTGATCGACCAGCGAAGCACTATGATTTGTCTCAATGACATTTTCTGCATGTACAAGCATTTGGAGGTATATGGGTATAGCTTGATTGCTCGGGGCTCTGACTCAGTAACCGAACCTTGTCCCTTATCAGGTGATTGTATACGTGCCCAACTCCATTCAAGGCATGGCATGATTCATAAAAATCACTAGTCATCAAGGCTCATGCTGGTACACTTGGAAAAAAAAATCGCATAACCAAGCAGTACCTCACCTTACCTTCTTGGGAAAAGCCCACGACACGTGATGCCAATAAACATAGCCTCTTCTGCAGATGACTACAATCCATCATCACCATTGGGAGTAACGATGTGCCATGGAAAGCGAGACTGGGGTTTCTAAGAACATGTCGATGAAGTGTTCCAATTATAACCCGGGAAGGCTCCATCTGAGCCTCTCTCCATTTGCAATTACGACTATGCCGATTTCCTGGCCTGTATCAGTTTCCACTGTACCAGCTTAAGCACCTTGTACGCTGTGCTCAAAATTGGTGTCACAACTCCTAACTCTTTCGCATGCTTCAGCAGTCCTCCAAGAATTGGCTCAATCTCTAGCGGGTTTCCTTTCTCCAGATCAACCTGCATGCTTGGCTTGAAAGGACTCGAAGGCGGAGTATCGCGAATCGCTCTCTCGACCATGTCTTCGGGAAATATGTAGCCAGCAGCTTTCGTGACTTCATAGATCTCCAACAGTGCAGGTCTAAGAAGTGTTTCCGTCCCACCACCCTTCTGAAGAGATCCCACATCGAGACCAGTTAGAGTACACAGGGTATTGAATGCGCCATTCCAGAAGAGCTTCCGCCACCGGTAGAAGATGACGTCCTCAGCGTAGGTGCATGCCGTTGGGCCACCAGCAGCGTAGATTTCAACATACAGTTTCGTGGTCTCGGCCTGCTTTTCTTTCGGTAGTCCTGAATGGTAATGTGCCCCGATGAATAATTTTTCTCCATCCTCGTGGTAGACAAAGTTGCCCGTTATTCGTGTTCCAGTATGGCTGACACCTGACATGACCGTACACCCCGGAAATGCCTCGATTAGTGGTATTTCGATATCGAGGCCATTCTGTATTAAGACAATGGCACTGACACCGCGTGTAACGACAGGTCTGATGATATCTGGGACCGAGTACACATCTGGCAAAGCTTTTATGGCTACGACAACGTAGTCAAATGGCCCCTCTTTTGCAGCGTCCTCGACACTTCGTACGACTGACCTTGTGAGTGTTTGCCAAACTCATGGAGAAACTTCACTTACTTGAGGATGGCTTCCATCCAGATAATTTCCCATGATCAATAGAATCAATGTCAAAGCCCTTCTCTGCGACGAGATCGTAATTTGAGCGAAGGACGGCTGTAACTCTCGCTCGCTTAGATTTTTCCAGAACCAGGGATGCAATTGTCCCAACTCCACCACTGCCAATTAGGCAAACATTAATCATCTTATATGACACGTTAATGAGAATGAAGCGTAAAGACAACGAGGCTGAGGAGCTAGAATTTGTAGATGCTTTATTATGTACCCACTTTGAGTCATGATGAAACCTGCTTAAGAAACGAACAACTCAGCACACAAACAAAGTGGGATGAAGTGGAAACGAACAAGGTTTGTCAACTGGCAGTAATGAGCTCCGAGCAAGACTCCGAAAGTATCAAACACGGAGTTCCCACTCGCATATGACTTGGAGCCCAGATAGAAAGCGCCTGGTGCTTGACACTATAATTATCCATTCCCGGGTCTCGCTTAATTGGTTATCACCAGACGTAGGGCGTCAACGGCGTTCATAGATGGCAATGTTGAGTGGAGGCAAAGGGTATAGTCGGCACACTCGAGCAATGGGTATGGCAGGTATCTCCTCGACTATACAACCCAGCAATATGAGCAAGCCCTTCAGCGATGCACGACCATCGGAAATGGGCCACTTAATGTCACTGGTCCTGGGTACATAATCAGATCCGCTTTCATCTGATGGTCCTACTGGTCTTCGGTTGGAGGATATGATACTCCCTCATTTGCAGGTAAGCGTATTTTCCAACAGATTCAGGCCAGGAATGTTCGGCCATCTCGTAAGCTTGTGCAAATTCCAGAGCTTCCCATGACCATTGAAAGGAGCAGGGAGCTGTTAGGGTTTAAAAGGATAACAATATTCGAAATTGACGCAGGCTTCTGCGAGGCAAATTCCAAATACGGCTGAACGTCTTCCTGAAGCCATAACCTCCAGCTTTCAATATTACTGCCGCTCTGCCAATACCGCCCCTTATCTCCGCTTCTCACTACTGCTGTGTTCGTCTCGCTGTGGGAATTCGAAAGGAGGTAGTCCACGAGCTCTGTTCTCTATCCAGGGTCCAAGCTTGAACGATCCAGAGTTGTTTTCGATGGATATTAGTCGTTGCAATACCAGCAAAGACTAAGCATAGATCTGCGTCTGCCATGATTGCGCTGCCTGGATGGACCAATAACTTCGACCGTTTCTACCATCACGCCGTCGCGCGCTGCTCCACTATATCGACCCGCATACCTCGACTGGCTTCCTCTATATGCGGGACCACTCCATCGCCAGGTGCCCAGTTACTGCCTATTCGATTGTATACCCAGCCGTCAATACATCTACACATCAACTCGGGTGCCTTTCATGTCTCTTGATTGTCTCAATCGTTTTCGCAATGGGCTCCAGTTTGTCGGCAGAGCTGTTGTAATGGCTACGAGGTAGCAGGCAGCTTTGGCGAATCTTGTATATCCATCCATGCTGGCGGCTGATGTATGGTTGTGTCGCGGCGCGCAGAATCGTACGCTGAGTTGGTGAAGCGCGAAAGCCAGCTGAGGCTCTCCAATGGAAATGGTTCACGTGACACTGACAACACGCCCCACATCCTTTCCATTACTTTACCTACAGCCTACTACCGACAACAAAAGCTTTCAGACGAAATCTTCTGTTCTCCAAGAACATTCCATTGATTTGATCATCTGTCCCACAGGCCTAGATGCTATCTACAGTTGTTGGAGCTTTTGTAAGATACGATCGAGCTTCAAGCTACCACAGCCCACATTTCCACCACTGATATCTTCACAGCGTGCCCGTCTATTACTCAAGAAGTCTTTGGCACGATGCAATTCTCCATGCCACATGTCAACTATTGCAGCTAGGGCCTCTTTCTCATGTTTTTGTATATCGTCACTTGACCCTCGAATATTCAGTTTGAATGCCTTCCGTTGCAATGTCTTTACCACCCTATTCCAGCTTGGTGTACAGATCAATATCAGCTCTCTCAGCTCCTTGGGGGTACGACGAAACTCGGGGAATTCAATATCAGGCTCGTACATATACTCCATCCAGAGTTCTCTCTGCGGAGCACAGACACCTTCGAAGATACACCAGAGAAGTCGAGCCAAGATGTATAGCTCCGAGGCATCCCTTTCAGACTTACTCATACACAGCCACGGCACGCAACCTCGATGCTGGTCTGTTCTCTTCGGCACAAATGGTCTGATATGCGTATCATAAAGGTCTGCATACTCCTTCCTCGCTGCGGGGTGGAGTAATGGCTCGTTCACCAGAACATTGACGTACTGTAGGTAATTGTCCAATGGCGATGCGAAGGCAGGGAGTACACCTCTTTGCTCAAAGTCGATGAGAACAACATCATCTTCGTTTGACAATAGGACATTATCCAGGCGAAGATCACAGTACCATCCTGGACCTTGCGACTTGATGTGCCTCAATGCCATGACAATTTGACAGGCCCATTTGATCTGGTGTTCCCAGGTAAGTGTTCCAAGATGGCGTCGATGGGCTAGCACGTCCCGAAGGGACCCTTGTCGGTGATATTGAATTGTAAATCCTACCACAGCAACTTTTCCTCCGAACTTGCATTGCTTAGTGATGATATGCTCTGGCTTGGAGATGACGTTTGCGTGTTCGGGCAAGGAAAGCAAGGTTCCTAATTCATGATAAAGATATTTTGGTGTATCTGAAAGAGTCTTGAACACTACAGGATGCTTGATATCATCCGAACCCAAGATCCGAACCAAAGAAGCACTGTCTTGGAATTGTCGAACAAGGGTCAGTTGGGAGATATCCAAAGTTCCCGGCAATGTTATTTGTTGATTTAGCTTCAGGTCTGCGAGGGAAAGAAGTTGACGTTCTAGGTCGTGCGTACGTATGATCCGAACACGAATGTCCCGGACATCTTTGGCAATGTTTTCGAACATTATCCTTGATCCAAACGTCAAGTCCCGGTAAACAGTCTCGAAGTCGGCGATCGAAGCAGACCAAAACTCCAGAGCTCGGAGGATGTGTTGCGAAATGCCAAAGTATGCTGTACGCGAGTCTCGAAACAGAAACGCCTTTTCGAAATCCAAGTCTAGCCGCAGCTGTGCAGGCCAATGAGCTGGATCGGGAAGGAAAGTGTCTACTCGCAGAGGAGGCAAGGGAGAGATGGAAATTGGGACGGCAAAGAATTGAGTTCCAAGACTAGTACACCCATCAATTCTCCATTTTGGTGTTCGGACCGGTGTGAGACTGTCGATTCTGTTTTTCGGGTTCAAAGGGGAATGATCCCAAGGCAATTGGGCGTCAATTACATCTCCACCGGAGTACTTTCCGTGGTCCCAGAAAGCTGTCGAAGGGCATATTGCCCGATATGCAAGCTCTGGAGTCAAGGTTATTGTTCGATCCATTTTCCTCGTTTTCCATGCGAAACGAGTCGTAGAGGAGCTTAACTTACCATGTCTTTAAAGACATCGGAGGGGTGGCAGATACATCCTCCCACACTCGATATCCGCTTGGTCCCATTTGCATTTGTTCAAATTTTCTCGTCGTTTCCACCGGAGGACGCCAGGACTCTCCTTGGAAGGTTCCCCCCACCCAGCTTCCTTCCTGTCATTGGCACATTCTCAACATTGTACTCTCAAACGTTATCAAGAAATGTCGGTTCTGTGAATGTTTGCATATCATGTTGCACTTGAGTTGCATACTGGACATGAAACATGTCGTGGAACCCATTCGGTGAGATACTTTTGTATGAAAAGAGGTCTATATAGGTGGGTGGAGCAAGGTAAAGGTTCTCCCCGAGTCCTATGTGCTCTTCCCCGGTTGAGGCTCATCGCGATCGCCAGAATAACGTTTAGTTCCCGTCCCTTATTTTATGGGAACTGTCCAATGAGACGCCGTATTATTGAGACATGTAAGCGGGACCGGTGAGCTGCTGTGCGTGCGTCGTGGCTTGAAGTCCCAGCAAGCGGCCGGGCGACGGCGCCACCCTGTCTAACGTCAGGCATCAAGATCATCCTGACTCCAACCACATCTCACGACAACATCGAAATCTGCCTCGGCCACCATTGTTATTGCAAATAGGAAAACCTAGCGTGTGAGCTATTGAAGCTTTCTCTGAGTATTTAGATTCTTATATGAGATGTCCCAGCTAACTAGGACTATGCAGACATTTGACTGCAATCTGTTTGAATCGTACCGGAAAATGAAACAGTGAGAGAAGCATATCACAACGGCTGCATGGTCCTCTGAATTCGGATTCTTGCAAGGGATCTGTGTCACCCCCCGGGAAGATATCGCAGATGTAGCCCTGGACAACCGATTCATTTAGCCACCTGTATACCGCAACTTCGGGCCCTGCACCCTCCCGTCAGCTATGGTATGATGAATTGAAGTGTTTCTCCTGTTCTGGCATGCTCCTTATTTGCTTCTTGGTCTTTGATTTGTTGCACAAACCTCGGTTATTTTTCTTTATCTGCTTCGAATTCCTCGCTGGACATGTATCTGACGTCTCCTGTTCAGGACAACTCACGCAAACGTCGCTCGTCCAATCCCTCCCTCGCCAATTGCCAACCAACAAAGAGATACAAGGTCGATTCTATTCACAATGCTTTCACAAAAGAGCAACACGCAGTGATTGAGAACACAGCATCATTCTTTCAGATTCATACATCTGACCTTGCAGCGGCCATAGGTTCTTTACGACGATCCTCGGTAGCTCCTTCATACCAACATAGACCAAGCCATCCAGAATATATCCAACAGCCACTTTCATACTTTTCGTCGACTTCCGAAGATTCATTTAGTTCTCAAGCAGCCATGGGTAACGAGTGGGAGTCTAGCAGCAGCTCCTCACGAGATAGGAATTTTGGATTCAATGTGCCGGTTACCACGTGGTCGACCTGTTTCTCAAATATGCTTGCTGACGATGATTCATTTGTGCCATCTACTACTCGTCAAATGACGTACACCGGAACTGAGAGCACACCACAGTCAACAAATAGATTCACACCCGCAATACCTTCACAAGCCCCACTGCTATCCAATCGTGCAAGCACCTCATCTGATCACTCAGCTTATGCCGACACAAGTTATGACCCCGGAAATCAAGAACCAGAAGATAACTCACTAGTAAGGAATCGGAGCTGTGTTCAAAGTCAATGCTGACTGGCACAGTGCTCGTCGATTTTTGCTTGCGATGCTCCTTTCCGCATCTCTTCATCGTGGCAACCTTCCCACAACAATCTCTCTAAGCCACCAGTTCCACAGCCGAGAATGACATACGCTCAGCAGTTGGACCCGAACCTGTCCAACTACGACTTTTCGCCCTCAGAATCGGGACCATTGATACCAGTGGGCCTCACTGATACACAGCAAACTGCTCTTCAGAAGACATCGGTTTCCTACGAAGAATGCCCTCTGATTGACTTTAATATTGATGATGATTCGAGTCGACCCAAACGTGGACCCTTCAAAAACCCCGCAGAGAAGGCGCAAACGGCACAGACCAGGAAAGACAATGCCTGCGTTCGATGCAAGATGCAGCGGACAAGAGTGAGCTACTTGTGTGTTGTGGTAAAACATGATGTTGCTGACAATCCTCATAGTGTATCCCTGACCCTTTCGATCCACGCGGTGTCTGCCTCACCTGCAAGAAAGTTGCGAACACACGAGTAGTCAACCTCCCTTGCCTCCGGTATAAGATCCCAGATGCCGCGCTGTTTAGGGAGGGCTATGTTCCAGGCTTGGAATGGAGTAGGCGATGGGATGCGATGGAAATGAACGATATTTCCACGTGGAGCGATCCCAAAATCAAGCTTATTCAAGTCACCCAAGGCTATTCTCCGAATCCCGTTGTGCTCAGAGTTCGAAAGTTCATTCCCGTCCCTGGAGATAAGCTGTCAAGGAAATGGGTTCATGCAGGCAAACTTGAAGAGGCGGTTGTTCCTCCGTTCGCTATCGAAAATATGAAGGAGGCAGAGAGGACCTACCGAGACTACATCGCCAAGGAGGGGATACACTTTTTCCTGAGTACATTGGATCGGAAAGATGCTTTGATCTTTGATACTTACACCATGGCAATCCAAGCCTCCAAAAGTCACATGGTACATTTCCTAGAGACGATGCGGAGATACACTGCTAACTATTCTTAGAGTGAACAAGAGCGTGTACTCCTGAACATGGTCCTCCGTCTGTGGGTTGTCGCACGCATGACTTGCAGATCGGAAACAATTGTCGGAAGTGAACATCTTGATATGCCTCCTGATCTAATGGGCCCTACAAGTCCACTGTGCGGCCAAACTCCCATTCCTCCAGTTGTACGTACAACTTTCTTGAGTCCCCAAGCTAACTCTCCTTCATCCTTCCTGCTTTGGTCGCACTGGATTTCCGCCGCCCAACAATGCAATGAAAATAAAAGTGATAATACTGACTTGTCCAGATGGGTCGTCAAATAGAGGTCATTTTGATTCAAGGTATCATGAAGCCTCTCAGGACAATGATACTTGAACACTTGCAAAAGCTCATATTGGCACACAAGCCACAAAACTGGTTTTGCATTTACCTCTGCATCTTCATATTGCTCCACAGCGCATCTTTGATCACGAAAACGGACATTGAATACGCTAAAAAGCATGGCCTGACAGTATGTCATCCAGTCTCTTTCGGCCCACTTTTGCACTCTTCTAACATGGTGCAGAGGAAATTCGCGATGCCTGCAATGGTCGAGGAGCTTCATATGGGGGTGAATGTTCTTCTTGCATACTATCACTACGCCTGCCGGGGTCAACGTCCTTTCTCACTGGAGTGGGATGCTAATGATGCAGTTTCCATGGCAATTTTGGACGATGACCAAGTGAAGTTCCTCAAAAGGACGGCTGTTCATGTTCAAGCCAACGGTACGACAAGCCCACCACACCAAATGCAAAGCTAATGGTATCGTAGCATCCAAGCATCGAGAGATACGGCAGCCGTCCTCGTGCGACCATCCACATCACTTCATTTCTCAACTTTATGAGCAGGATTGGGAGCCACGTAGTAGTACACGCGAATGATAGGATCTTATCAGAAGCAATAATGATCCGCCTCAATATATTCTGCAGCAGCTGTGACTGGGGGTTACATTGGATCGGCTAGGGGACGGGAGGCTTGTGATGTTGGTGGCGGCAAGGCTCCGCTGCGGGATCTTCCAGAAAAGGTTGAAACTCTAGGGTACTTGTGGTACTCTCAAAGCGGGTAGGGTCGCTCAGCGGATGGCGTGAGGCAATCATAACATGAGAATATTGCTTTTGCTTCTTGTAATGCTGTCTCCCATGCACATAGTAACGGACTTGGACGCTGGCCCTTGAAATGCGGCCCCTCAAGGCTAAAGAGCACACCCCTCTACTGTCCTCTGACTCTGTACCAGTCCTTCCCTCCTCAGATGCCGCTGGGGATGGATCGTTGAAAAGCGGTCCGCTCCCGGCCAAAAATGACCTGTCGCTCTCTGAAATGATATCTATTTCTTGGAGTTACGCACACATTCCCGGCCAAAGTTAATTCCTGTTATTGGTTCTGATCTGTTAGCCAACAAAACACACCGCCCAATTATACGCGAACGCGAGATGGCAGCGGCTAGCATAAGAAAAACTCCTTCACTCGTTGATCGTAGACTCGAGTCGATCACAACAGCAGGTTACTTTGGCCTCACCAGGACTTCTAACTTCACCGCATCTTCCATTCCTCATGGATTCCCAGCATTCCTCGAAACCGGGCAGGTTTGGACTCCTGCCGAGTTCGCCGATGAAGTCCGCTTTGTTGTTAACCTGACAGCAGAGGATAAGCAAGAGCTTGACGAGGCTCTTGACGCTTTCAAGTGTACAGAATTACGCTCTTGCTGTCATCCTACCTGCCTTTGGCTGACCTGCTTGTAGCTCTTTGCCTCGATGGGAATCTGGTGGATCGTAACAACTTCCCCCTTAATCGACTTGGCCAAACTCTGGATTCCGTCGCGGCAGAGATACACAATGGGCGAGGCTTCTGCGTTCTTCGAGGACTAGAAACGGATCGGTACTGCCTTGAGGATGGCATGATCGTGTTCTTGGGAATACAGAGCTATGTTGCGGAGAAGCGGTTGCGTCAAGATGAGGTTGGCAACATGCTTGGTATAAATCACCTCCTCAAGCTCTGAGAAATGTGCTAAGTGGTTAACTAGTCCATGTGACAGCTGATCCCAGCAATGAAAGACTATCGAAGCATGTGCGATACTCGACAGATACAATTGTAAGCCAGCGGCTCACCCATAAGCTAGCAGTTGCTAATGACTTGAAGCCCTTCCATACAGATCCTGACGCGGATATACTTGGTTTCCAGACAAGAGATGTGGCTGCAGCTGGTGGAAAATGTGTGCTAGCTTCGGGACACAGCATCTATAACGAGCTTGCGCGGACAAGACCTGATATCATAGCAACACTGGCAGCACCAGACTGGCCATTCGCCCTGTACGCGGTCGAAATCAACATCACTGCTTGCATGAAGACTAGCTGACCTCTGCAGACCATACTACTATCAACGGCCGGTTCTCTTCTACCACCACAGCAGAATAATCTTCTGCTTCACTCGCCTCGCCCTCGTTGGCAACGAATTTTACCCCCGTCCTACCTCCATCCCATCGATCACTCCCCAACAAAGAGAAGCACTTGATGTTCTGAACTCCCTAGCCGAGAAAAGCCGTCTTGAGATAGCACTACAACCGGGCGATATATACTTCGTCAATAATCTGGCGTTGCTACATCGGCGAGACGAGTTTGTTGATGATGCGGAACACAAGCGACACTTGGTGAGGATGCATTTGAGGAATGAGAAGCTGGGATGGGATATACCGGACGAGTTGAAGAGGTTCTGGGATAATGCTCTGGATGAGGAAAGGGGGGAGCGTTGGCATATTGAGCCCATGCCAGAGTCGTTCTTTCCGCTAAAGTTAGGCTCTCATTGACAAGATTACATGTTGCTGCTTCCCGTTTTGCATTTCTGTATAACTCTATTTTATTGCAAACCAGTACGGCATAGCCAGAGTCATTGGCCTTCTACTTGGGACAGCGGGACTTGGTATCAAGTCTTGATATTCTGATCTTTCGTCAGTTATGTAGTATTTTTCGTGGTTCTTTGGCTATGCGGGTGCGATTCTGGTTATCTGGGAGTTTCGTGTTGTCTGCATTTGATGTCATCAACCAAATCACTCCTCTTCATCTTATACTTGATTCATTGTATTCATGCCCGTGTTCTCTGCTAGTCGACTGGCTCTTATCCATTATCAGTCACATCGTTCGTATTCAAACAGATAGCTACGACGGGTTTCGAATGAGCCAATGACAGATCGTTCCTTCCAAAGATAGCTAGAACATACGTGCTACTTTCAATTTCGGATCCACTTTTGATGAATGAAAATCGTAAACAAGCACACTCTAAGCCAGAGTCGGAGCCCCATTAGGCTAAGTGCGTGAACGAGCTTCTCACATCCAGACCACGCTTTTTTCAATCTCTTATTGCAGTTTTCGAAACTGATAGAGATCTGATATATTCTAATTATCCATCTGAGGCGGAACAAACTCAGTGGATTCAAAGAGAAATACAGACCCACTTAATCCAAATCTATCCGCCAATAGCTTCCTTAGCCAGCTTGGCTAGCTTCCTTAAGCGAGGATATTCTGCTCCTCTCCTTTCTCTTCAGATGATCAACAATCAGTTACCAGAGATCGGAGTTTAATGCTTAACAAATCCGACAATGGGAGAGGGAGACAAGAAGAAGTCGTCGTCACCTTGTCCGACGTCTTCATAGATATCAAAGCAAGACCGACGACGACAACACGCGGGGTGTAAGCAGTCTGCATGTGCCAAGTCTGCCAATTTTCTCGGGACTTGTTGGTTGTAACTGATCAAAGAATGAAGGGGAAGAAGTGATGCATCCTCAACTTTCCAGGCATGTCTTCTTGAAAGGACCGAAAAGAGATGTATTGATATCCCATTTTGGCCGACGAACCTATCTTTCCCTCACTCGAACCACACTGCTGGCATCACCAAAACTTAAATCACCTTTCTGCACAGCCTCTCTCCTGCTTACCCCAAGCACCCAAAACCCCGTGGTCCGTCCTTGAATAACAAATCATATCCAACTCAAAATTGAAGCTTAAACTCCATGGGCATTTCTTCACTCATTCTTATTGTAACTCCGACAAATGAATCCAACATCTTGAAAGTCTGAAAAGTACGGGCGTCTGTTTTTTGCAAGGCCAAGCCTTGGCTGCAGAAAACACCACCACGAGCAGCGAGCTTCGCCTCCCTGCGTTACGCAACACGTCCAAGAACCGCCCAGCCGAGCGAGTGCTGAGAGGATGGCGGGGTGACCATTCAGAGGGGTTCTAGGAGCCTTGGACGTTGTGTCCGTGACGACATTCCGACATACCCAGTGGTCTGGGTGCTGTGCCGGACTTGGCAATGAGGATTGTCAGCGCCTTCGTATTTAAGCAGCGTTTGATGTGCCTCTTGAATAAATATCTGTGTGTGCCCCGCGTTTAGCTGAGACTGAATGCGCCGGGAGAATAAATTCGGAGATGTGGTTTTTGAGGTTATTTAATTTTGCGGTAATCGCTTCTGTTGTTTTGTATCTGGGTGTTGATGGTTAGTACTCTGCGCAGCGTGCAAGAGCATTACTGATTACTTGTAGGACGATCGGAGGCTCGAGATCGGATTAGCCATGTCTATGCGGTCGAAAATCCAGTAATAAATACGCGGAATCAGCAAGTGAATCACGACTCGTCCTTTGATTTGTTATTCTCGCTGCAGGATGAAGCGCCCCGTGTGAAGCTATCTCTCGAACCGAACCACAACATTCTGGGCGGAGAGGCATATGTTGAATATCTGGATGGCGAGGGAAAGGTACGGCATGCGGAGCCCATCGATAGGTTAGTACACAAGGTGTTCAAGGGGAAAGCATGGATAGAATCAATAACTGGGGAATGGATGGAAGGTGGATGGGCAAGAGTGTATGTGAAAAGGGATGGAACATCGCCTTTGGTGGAGGGGGCATTCAGCATCTTTGGAAATCAACATCATATCCAGCTACAGAGTAGCTACATGCAAACGAAACGCGACATGGATCTCCATTTTAACGAAGGGCCGGAGGAGCGGATGATTGTTTACCGGGACTCGGACATGGCTTCGGAAGAGAAAAGAGATGGCGATGAAGGAAGATGCCAGTCGGACCAACTGGCTTTCAATGTTGGGCCAGAGAATCCACTCTCCGCGAGGGCTGGCATGAGCTGGAACAGTGCAGCGTTGGGATCTCTCGCAAACCGTCAACTTATTCCAGGAGGAAACTCAGGATATGGGGATCTGCGAAACAGCATTGGATCAACTGATGGATGCCCAACATCCGGCCGAGTAGCATTGGTTGGAATCGCAACAGACTGTTCCTATACAGCATCATTCGCAAGTGCGGAAGCTGTGCGAGAAAATATTATCTCCATGGTCAACACCGCCTCGGATGTGTATGAGCGGACCTTCAACATCACGATCGGACTGCAGAACTTGACGATTAGCGATGCGCAGTGCCCTTCGTCGGCTGCTGAATCTGCACCTTGGAACGTGGCGTGTACGACGACTGATGACATCGAAGATAAGCTGGAGCAGTTCTCGGAATGGCGAGGAACTCGGGGTGATAACAACGCTTACTGGACTCTGATGAGTAGTTGCCGGTCTGGAGGGACGGTCGGTATTGCCTGGCTAGGGCAGCTATGCGTCTCAAATCTTCGAGGATCTGGTCAACAGTCTGTGACTGGAGCGAATGTGGTTATCAGAACTACTGGAGAATGGCAGGTTTTCGCGTAAGTCGACTGATACCCTCGACTGGTGTGAACTTTACTGACTTGCATAGCCACGAGAGCGCACATACCTTCGGAGCTGTTCACGACTGTGACGCTAGCTACTGTGCAGCTGGTGCATCCTCTCAGTGTTGTCCCTTCTCCCAGTCTGGATGCGATGCAAACGGGCAGTTCCTGATGAACCCGACATCCTCGAGATCCATGACAGAATTTTCTCAATGCACAATCGGCAACATCTGCTCGATGATGGGTAGTAACACAGTCCGTTCGAGATGCCTGGTTGACAACGTCGACGTCGCAACGATCAATGGTGCTCAATGCGGCAATGGAATCGTGGAAACCGGAGAACAGTGTGACTGTGGCTCTGCTGAAGAGTGTGGCAACAACCCTTGCTGTGATCCAAGCACCTGTCAATTCAGAGGCAACGCCGTATGTGATGATGCAAACGAGGCTTGTTGTTCCAGCTGCCAGTTTGCTGCAGCAAATACAATCTGTCGAGCGAGCAGAGGTCCATGTGATCTCCAGGAAGTCTGTTCGGGATCGTCAGGATCTTGTCCCACTGATGCCTATCAACCGAACGGACAGACATGTGGTGACAACTCTGACCAGTTCTGTGCTCAGGGACAATGTACGAGCCGAGATCTCCAGTGTCAACAGGTGGTTATTCAGGGAACGAGTGGCAATTATACGAACTCCTGCGACGATGATTCTTGCCGACTTCGATGCTCCCAGAGGACAAATACTCAGTTCTGCTCGCAGCTGAACCGGAACCTTTTAGATGGTACGCCATGTAATGGAGGGTTTTGCGACAGTGGTAGATGCTCGAGTGGCTCCTCTTCAACTGGAGACAGCGTCTCATCATGGGTGGATAGAAACAGGAATCTGGTAATCGGGCTGTCGGCTGGTCTTGGAAGTTTGGTCTTGATCATCCTTGCTTGCTGGATATGTTCTTGTTGTCGGAGGAGCAGACGTAGGAAGGCTGCTCCCATTCCACCACAGAGACCGATGATGGGACAGCCGTGGGGTGGTCCGCCACCTCCTGCATACCCCTCCCCCGCGTACACGACGTTTATGAATAGGAATAATCCGCCACTGGTTAGATATGCATGATGGTTGGCGTTTTGGGTGGAGTTTGAAGTTAGAATAACAGTGCGGTAATGCTCCAATTGAAATATTACTTTTCCACAGCCTCAAGAATCAAATTGAATTGATCTGGAACCTAGCACCTATTTCTTGTTCGCATACTGGCTTTCATTGGCCAGATTATGTTGTGGCTGATCCTGCCGCCTAGCCTGTGTGACATGAAATATCTTGATCTCGACGTCAGGCTCTGTCGAAAGCCCCCCCTTCTGACTATCGAAAAGAAGTGCTCAGCCAAAGAATCAAATTACGACTTCAAGTTCTCTGCATTGGCGAAGCAAATAGAATGTCTTCTGGTGATCAGGCCACGAGAACTTTGGAAGGAGTCTTATCTGGAAATCGTCCTATACTTTACCCTCCTTACACTCTTCGTGACGACACCACTTTTCCATTGAGAACTGCGCCTCTGTACATGTGTGAACTCTGTCAGTCCATGGTAGATAATTGGGGTAATGATTGGAGGGTCATTGCACATCACAACACCATGGCCGGATTGGAACAGTCTGCGCTACAAGGGTGTGGACTCTGCCGTCAGTTTCTGACTGCCGCCATGCGGCATTCCTCCTCGCTTGCAGAAAATCGACCAGGAGAGACAGGATTCATTTACAGAACCACTCTAGGATCCGAATCTGAATGGAACCTCAGACTGATCATTAATGAATCTCCTAGTCGCTCCCCCGGAGCGATGAGTGTGATCGACTTAATTCCAACCGATCAGCCAGGTAAGTCCTCCAACCTTACGTGTTTTGATGAACATGTGCACTAAACACTTTGTCTAGCATTTGAATACGACGCAATCATCACCTCCCCAAGCACGTTGGATGGTATGCATCTTTGTAAGAAGTGGCTGCAAACTTGTGTTGAAAGACACAAGATATGTTCCTCCAAGAATAGCGAATATAAACCCCCGTCCAGGCTGCTTGCTATTGGCGGGGCTTCAATTCTTTTGTATGAAACAAAAGGGGAAGCGAAATCGATCCAATACGCAACTCTAAGCCATTGTTGGGGTGGTAAAGAGTTCTTGAAGCTAAAGAGGCGTAACTTGGCAAGTTTCTGTCTCAGTATTCCATTGGATATACTATCAAAAACTTTCCAAGATGCAATTTTCATTGCTCGGTATCTCGGCTTCGACTACATATGGATTGACTCGCTATGTATCATTCAAGATGACGAAGAGGACTGGGAAAGGGAGTCTAGTCTCATGACCGATGTATATGGAGGCTCTGCATTGAACATAGCAGCAGTGAGTGCTGAAGATGGCGGTGTTGGCTGCTTCTTTCAAAGGGAGAGGACTTGGAGAACTCAACTGACTCTGAAAACCCACTCCGGAACAATACTTCATGATGTGAAGTCACCTAACTATCTTGCCATTCGACGAACGCCATTATTCAGGCGTGGCTGGGTGCTCCAAGAACGATATTTACCTCCTCGTACCTTATACTTTCATGAAAGAGAGATATTTTGGGATTGCAAAGAGACTTCCTGTGCTGAATCAGGCTCCATAGACGATGAAAATTTCATTTCCGGGAAGGTTAATCGTAACAAGTGGTGGTCAATGGTCTCGCGATATTCAAGGATGAGTTTAACCAAGCTCAGCGACAAGCTCATCGCAATCGGGGGGCTAGCAAAACTCATTCAAAGCCAGACTGGAGACGAATATGTTGCAGGCTTATGGAAAAAGGATGTGGAGATCCAACTACTGTGGTGGTCGCACAAATCAAAGAGAACAGAGATATATGTAGCACCGACATGGTCTTGGGCCTCGGTTGAAGGCATCGTCTATGCCCCTTTAATAACGATAGATGGGAGTGAGACGGAACCATACATACAAATGTGCAGCCTGGTCGCTGAATAGACTTCATCCGGCCCATTTGGACAAGTCAACGGTGGTACCATCCGACTGAAGTGCAAGTACTTCCAACCATGCAGGTTTGAGCGTCATGTCAAATACGCCGTAGGGCCAAGTATGATTCTAGACGGCAATAATGAGTTCTGGGGAAGTTTTAAATTCGATTGCCCCCATTTAGAAGCTTCGGCGTTCAGGAATGATATCAATGAAGATGAAGAATAGGAAGAAATATCGTTGGAGGGGCAAATGCCTGATAAAGATCAACGACCAGGAGGAGAAAAGGCCGACAGAAAGGAATTCTTTGTTTTACCTATACTGCGAGATAAGGGACTAATACTTGAAGCGATCGAAGGTAGACAAGGCCAGTACCGACGCGCGGGGGAATTTTCTGTCTCTTATTGGGATCAAAAACTAGCAGAATTCCTGGAGGCATCAACACCTGTCGCTAACGACTGTATTGAGGTCTCTGTGGATGAAAATGGAGAAACGATCTATATGATAGAGATCATCTGAGGCTAGTTTACTCATCAAAAAATACCGAGAGTGAGTGAGTCACGTCCCAGTTCAGTGGTTATTGCTGATGTTCAAAGCCGGAGCTCCGAGGGAGATAAAGTGGGCGGACGATGGAGATATTCAGGAAGTTCAATATTGATTCTTTTGAAAATGATATTACTCTATTGGCTTAAAGTTTTCTTTTCTCTGCTTTGGATATTCATTCCCGCGCCTGAATTTCTGGTTTCGCAGTAGCTTCAATTACCGTGCTTCGGTACAATAACCAGCCCCGATGATTACAATTCCAACTAAATTTCACATGCTCCACCGTAGTTTTCTCCCTTCATTACCTTCATTGTGTAATTACAGGATAGTCTCATCGTCCTGTAAGATGGCGGGAAACGGCAAAATCGTCGGGGAAGGAGATATACCACAGTGTCTGACACCTACAACAACGACGTACGCCCAAAGGAAAGAAACGGCAGAGCTATGTGCAAGAGGGGTATTGGCTGGAAGAGCACACCGAGACCGGACTCAAGAAGAGCGAAAGGCTTCCCGGACCACAAAACCCGAAGTTTGGTTTTACACAACAGACAGCCACTTGAGAACAACTAGCTAGGCAGTATTCCGCACTAGGTCACTAGTATTTGCAACATGTAGTGCACCAAGTTAAATTTCAAGGAGACCATTATAACTCTGTATTCGCCCTCTTCGTAAAGTGTTTTGATGTAGGAGATAGCGACTCGCACATCCGTACGTACTCCAGATACAGTGTAAACAGTAGGGGAATATCTTGTTATATGAGCTGACACGTAGGAACGGAACCAAACAAATCAAACACAAGACACCGCACTACATCAGAACAGGCCTGACACTCTACTTTCCTTCACTTCCCTTCACTTCACTTCATTTCCCTCTCCTCCCCTTACCTCCTCCTCCCTCTCTGCCCCTCTCTGCCCTCCACTCCACTCCACTCCACTCCACTCCACTCCACTTCCTTTTCCTCCCTTTCTCTCCCTCTCCTCCCCTCCCCTTCACTCTACTCCGCCTCACTAATTCCCCATCACCACCTTATCTATCCGTCTACCTCTCCATCCTCCTACCAACCTATATTTATGCCTATACCCACACCTACACCCACCTACACTTACTAATCCACTAGCTTGACACCGATGCCGATACGAAAAGGATAGCACATCCCCCCCCCGCTCTCTCCAAAAACCGAGAGCAGAGGAAATAACTAACTCGCTGACTACTCAGCTTCGCATTTTAGCTTCGTATAAGGTACAGCCAGCCTAGGTTCGGCCTCGCTTAAGTTACGGTTCTGGAAGGTAGGTAAACACTGGTGGTGGCTGACTGGACTGGGAAACCTAGCTACGCACAATGTACATATATATATATATATATACAATTTAACAGCACGCTGTACCTATCCACCCAGCTAGTTACGAGTCGATTGAGACATTTCTAGCTACCTACCTCCCTGTTCGTTATATCTATCTACTAGATCTACTAAATCTGCCTGCGATTAATCACAATCATACATTTTTCACTTCCCTCTCTCTACCTTTCACACACACAAACACGCACACAAACACACATAGACAGACAGATAAACACGCAGACACACACACACACACACACACACACACACAAACACACACACACACACATACACTTCAAAGTGGTCGGTGTGCTAGTCCTATCTCTGGTACTGTCTTACGGCGAATTACTTTATAATGATGAAGCAGGAGATAGATAGATAAGATAGATACAGGCGTGAATATCATGGATGTCAAAGACTCAGGTTTGGTAGGAAGAGCAAAAAGAAAGAAAGGAAGAAAGAAAGATACCTACACTACCTACCTACCTACCTACCTACCTACCTACCTACCTACACATAGAATTTCGCTGATCTGATCTGATCCAAATCTCACGAATCTGACTCACTCACTCACTCACTCACTCACGACGAGAAAGGCAGACATACAAGAAGACAAACAGATAAAGACCTTCATACACGCTCAGTCCAGTCCAGTTCTATTCCATTCCATTCTATACGGTAACTCCGTACGGAGGTAATGATATATCCGCTATATTCAATTCTCAATCCAATTGTTCTAGCAATATTCTATATTCTATATCTGCAATCTGCATCTGCATCTGCATCTGCATCTGTAAGCCATAGCTAGCTACTCTATACTCGTAGAGGCCTCCAGAGTGCAGACCAGGAAGCAGGAAACAGGAAGCCAATGAACCAACCACCAGGGTATACCAATGCCAGTGTAAGAGTACTAGATGCAAAATCCAATCCCACCCTCGTCCAGTCCATCCAAAGCCCTTCCCAAGAGAACCCCGGATCTGGATCTGGATCCAAGCCAGGTATATGTACAGAACTGGCGAAGCGCCGTGCCATGCCAGTGTAGCCAATCTATATCTAAATGTACTCCACTCCACTCCACTCCACTCCCGAATCCAAACTTTGCAATGAAAGTCGCCAAATCGGAAAAGTGTACATACAGGTCCTCAACCCAAGCCATTACACAAATCCAGAGCCCCCTCAACAGCAGCCTCCAGACTCCCCACCCTCTCCTTCAACCCCTTATTCTCCGCCCTCATCAGCCCGACCGTATCCCACGCCACACTGGCGTCCTTCCCACGACAATTGCTACACCCCTCCTCACCCATGCCAATACCCTCAAGCGGATCCCTTTCCCTCTCACTCTCACTCTCTACCTCTTCTCCTGCAGTAGCCGCACCGCCCATCCCCGACAAGATCTTCTGGAACGTACTTCTCTGCTGCGTCAATTTGGGTCGTCCTGGATTCTGTCCCGGATTAGGCACCACGCGCGCAAAGCTCGCCTGCATAATCTCAGGAGTGCTATCCATCGTGCCTGCTACACTGACACTACTCATCGTGAAGGTCGGGCTTCGACTTCGCGAGAAGACGGAATCGGCTTCGAACTCTGAACCGCTTTCTCCGTCTGTGCTGAGCGCGGAGGAAGCTCCACTACTTCGGTTTCTCCTGCCTCCGGATGAGATGCCGAGATCTTCGCCAGTGCTATTGATGGAGATGTTGCTGTTTGAGCCACGCTTCATGTCGCGGTCTGCTCTAGCCTTTACGAGCGCGATGGATTGCTCGCGCGCGAGCTTCTCTTCTGCGCGTGCCTGTTTCTCCACTGCGAGTTCAGCAGCAAGATCTGCTATCGCGGTATCCTTCACGGACATCTGATGCGCCATGTCGTCCAGCTGGCTCTTCAAACATTTCGCTCGTGTCTCCGCCTCTTCCAATTCCTCGCTCATGGCGTCCTTTTCGGCGGACAGTTCGTGTAGGGAGAGCGTGCGGAGTTTGTATGCTGTTTGGAGTTTGAGGAGGAGACCTTCGGCATTGATGAGGAGGTTCTTGAATGCGGCGGGGGAGAATGGGTCTTGTGCTGAGGGTTCGCCGGAGGGGAATAGTGCTGTTGTTACGTCGAGGGTGAGGAATTCGTCGTCATTGAGCTCTGCGGGTATTTGAACGGTTTTGGGGGATCTCGATGGTGATTTTGGTGAGAAGAAACCGAACATTCCGCCTGTGTTCGTCCGCGTGGGGGTTGCTGATTCTGTCGGTCTCTTCTGTAGCTTTGCTGCTGGTCGTTGTGGACTTCCGTCCCGAGATGTCGTCGTTTCGGGCTCCATGATGGGAACTCCAACTGTCATCGGTGCTGAGGATCCGGTGAACCACGAACTGAGTCCTCCCCTTCTGTCTGCGATCTTGATGACGCCCTCCTTATCTCCCGTCAATGTAGGCATGAAGTCGCCCTCAATGTCCACCTTGGTAGGACTCTCTGGACCGGCGGTATTCGTTCGAAATGGTAATAATGCTGTCAGCGAGCGCTGGTGTGTCCGTGGCTGTCTCACGGGCTGTGATTCTTCTTCCTCTGAAGGTAATGGAGAAGGCGTCGAAGTGAGTGTTGCTGCTGGAGGTGGTGCAGGTATTCCCGAGTCCTCTTCCCCTGAATTCGATCCGCCAATATCAAATGAGCAATAATCCTCTGCCCATACCTGCCCACTGGAATTGCGACTCGTAGCTGCAGATATGTCTCTCGCAGATATGGTCCTCCTCGCAGTATTGGCGTGATGTTTTGGGTTAGTGATAGTACTTGGAATGCTGTTGGGTGTAAGGGATACAGTCGATGTCTTTGTCTTTGTTGGGGAAGGGTGAAGCATTGTTCAGTTAGAATGCGCAGCGGTCCTTTCGCATGAATCGTCCCTCGTATAGCCTGGTCGCGACTCCCCTTTCCAGCAGTTCCGATATCTATATTTCGAGGGAAGTATAGACTCGCTTCCGGGTTTTGTTCATGCAAAATTGGCCTTGTGCAAGGATACACGGTCGACTGTCGCACGCCGTGTCGCAAATACACAGGGAGTGACGAATCTTGTGGTTTTCGTGGGATCGTGGAACGGAGATCGGATGGGGCCGATTGCGGGTGGAGGCCTTTTTGTTTGTTTCGTAGATCACCGAGGACAGAGGGACTCGTGAAGGAAACGAAGGTGAGGTCGAGCCGAGTCGAGTAGTACAGCGGTGGAAGTTTTGATTCAGCTGAATATTGTGATGGTCTGGAATGCGTGGGAGATCAAGATGAAACCCTGGAGCCGAGGAGGGGCACTACTGTGCTGTAGCTTATCGTGACAGCTGGCTGACAGCTTATCGATAGTGCGAGTTGGTAACTGGAATGGGCTTGGCTTCGCCTGATTATGGCTCGATCAGACGATGGGCTGGAGCGTACAAAAGTATTGATCTTGACAACGCAAAGTGCTGAAGTTGTAAGATTTTGTCTTGGATGTGAAGAGACAACAGATCTTTAGAAATACCAGCCCATGTCGAACCTCCCGACCCTTAAGGACCAGAACCCTGGATTGCTGGAGGAGGCTGGTGATCCGGTGTTTTGGTCAAATTGGGATTCTGGGTGGTGGCTGGTAAAGTGTGCCCCCACTATTTCCTAGCGTGTCGGCGAATGAGCGGCGGCTGATGGCCCTGGCACATGGGACGGGACTGGCCGCCTAAAAACAACTTACAGGGGATGGATCAAGTTTCCTTCACGAACACGTAAACAAGGTACAAGTGCATCCATCACCAGTTGCGCTTTTGCCGTTTTCTTTTATATGTGCGATGATGCTACTCATATGTGGGTTGATGACGCCGAGTCCCCGACATGGAGTTTATTTCCCGGCCTCACTCCGGTCATCATCCTGCTGTGGAATGCACAGCATTCCATCTGCTTGCAGAGGATGTCTAAGATGTGATTTCCGACAGTCAAACTTTCGACTGAGCGGTAATAGTCGGCTTCTCTGTGTGGAGCTACGAGCTCTTAAATCGTTCTGTCAATCTATGCATTGCATAAATGTGATCTATCAAGCTTACCAGATTGCTGCAGAGGGGGCGATAGTGAGTGAAATGGGCATTTAATTCTTCTCAATAGCACCTGGACTGCCAGCTTAGGTTCAGACTTTCATACCAATTAGACGCATTAAAGCTCTTGAGAAAGGTTGAGTCGCTTTCCTCTCTCGAAGTTGCACAGATTAACCATAACCAAAGGTCTTGGCATGGACCACCATCATGGTCACTGACATGAAAAGGAAAAGAAAGTCGCAGTCATGATATAAAGCAGAGTTCGAATATTTTCATTCAAGGAAAACACTAAAGCGAGCGTCCTAATTGGTAGCTAGATCTCCCAACACTTCCATTCCTTCGTACTCTAGTAGAACCCAAGGATTCAGTTCTATAGGTATCAAGTTAGCCATAGAAATCAGTAAAAGCAGCTTAGATAGTTTCATACCGGGTACGCATTATAAATCTTGTTACAGCGATTTCCATTTCCGTCCGTATACAACGCCGTCTTGTCTTCTTTGAAGATGCTAAACGGATGGAACCCATTGCTCCCAGTCCTAAACCAGAAGTAAGTAAGTACAGTACAGACCCCTGATTTCCAATCCAATCATGCATGTTTAACCAAAGAGGTAAAACTACATACCCAACTCTCGCGTAAACACTCGGATCCTGGGCATCAGCCCTAATATTCCAGGTAAACGTCGTCCCAGATCCAGGGAAAGTGCACTTCTGGCTTGAACCCTCCCAGTGTTGGATTCCACTGGAAGGTCGACATTGGTTCTGTGAGCTAGGGGTGAAGCTACAGCTTAGGTAGTTGGCGCAGTACTTGGTAAATGGAGGGTCAGTTCGTGATATGTTTTTTCTTTTGAATAAATTTAAATAGTAGTAATTTGCTCACAACTACGACGGAGTAACTGTTTCCGCAGTTCACTAGATAGAGCCCTTCTGTGCGTTTAGCTAAGTTGGAATTGCCATCTGAAGATGCCACGGGTGTTGCGAGGACAGAGCTGCTAAGAGCTGCGAGTAGGGCGAGCTTGAGGGAGACCATGGCGTTGGATTGAGAATTTGGGAAGAGAGAATTCTGGTTGAATGGAAGTTATTAGAGGTGCTTTGAGTTGTGCTTCGAAAGCGAATGGAAGGCAAGAGAGAAGTATATATACTTGTGAGGCCGAGCAAACATTTGAGTAAGATATGTTTTGGTACCTCCTTGAATCCGCATGTATGCACACAAAGCTGCATACACGGCGTTTACAGGCCGCATAGACGGTGTCGACAGGTTGCATGCAGTCAACCGACACAATGTGATTAATACTTTACAGCCTCAGAAATCATCGTGTTGAGGAGGAAAGTCGCCATTTGTAAATAGAATTTTGTGAACTGCCGTGGGAACCTCACTCCAGAATAACGAAATTGGTCGAAACTCTGAAGGTCAAAGACGACAAGAATATGTCCTTGGCAATATGACATATTCTCACGCCCCTCGCGATAGAATTCCGAGGCATTCGATTATGATTTATCTCAAAGTACTAAAACTTCTAGCGTTCAAGCTGATGTGACGCCGGTAAGCAATACAGATGTTCGAATGCTACAAACAGCTGCGGGGGATTTCCGACCACTACAGCATCACCAAAACGCAAAATTATCCATATTACAACGCCGACACCTCCTTGCCACCCAATCGGCAGTGTACCAGGCAGCACGTTACTCTCAGGTTCTTCAGCGGTGTGCGCCTTTAAGAGCCCCAACTTCTAGAGAGCAAACTTCAATTTAAATGAAGTAGTCTGGTGGTACAATCGGGGGGTTGACAGATTGGTTGGTAAGGTGCCCTTGTAGATTGTTGTTTGAAAGAGTCGATTGATAAGAAAGTGGATTGCATGCATGCATAGCTGGATTCAGGATACTCGCGTCCAGATTGTGGGTGGATGACTGAGCCACATACACGACGATTGCATAGAGCAGAGGCTAATCGAACCGAATTGGAAAGTCGGAGAAGATAGATACTCCGAGGATGATACCCGTAAGAGAAGAATTCTCAGAGTCTTATTCTTAGTTTCAAATGAGTTTCTGCAACCAAGTCCTCATCTCCACAGACGTGGTTCTGCGCATTTGATGACGAAGATGAGAAATGGGCCCCACAACCCACCATCTTCCTCTATGATATAGTGAGAGCAGAAAAGTAATCATTTAGTCGGATATCTATGAAACTAGGTTAAAGCTTTCTGGTCATTTAGATTCAAGGAATTCTACAAAGAATTCCTCTTCTGACATCTTAACTCTTGCCGACTCTCTTTTAATTAGCGCTGAATTTCTTAGGATGATAAGGGATGGTGGTATTGCGCATTATTTACTTATCACTCCCACACAATATGATCTGTTAGGAGAAGCAGATACAATTATTGCTTCGGATTTCAGGTACCACTCTACCGGATACTCATGGTTTTGCACCTAACCATTCAAGTAGGGGACTTATGGTGTCTTTGGACTGGGATTAGCACAAGATCATAATCTGTCCCTCCTCTTACTCAACATCTACACCTTGAGAAGATTCTATTGCTGAAACCACAGCCCGCTCCTCGTAGGCAACTCTCCGACCTGCCCGCCCTGCAGCCCTCTTCCGAACATCCCTCATCACAATGATGCGTGCCTGGACATCCTGTCGATTATCGAACTTCTCGCATCGCCTTTCGTCCGTCAACTCCACTTCAAGAAGCGACTGCCAGATCGCCTTGCACTCGTCGTTGAGCCTGCAAAACTCGTTGACCATGGGCTCAAGAACATGTTTGAGGGTCTTCCAAATCCGTCGATGCTCTCAGGTTGATCAACTCGAGCTGAAAACCTCTTCTGTGAAGTCGATGCAAGTCCTCCGATGACTTAATGCTGTCCCTGAAATCGTGTCCATATACCCTAGCCATCATGGTGATATCTGTTGGAGACATCTGGTCCAGTTTGCACATGAATACGTCGGAGATGAGATAGCCATCGTGGGCGTTTCTGTTTCCCTCCTCGTTGATCCAAAAGTCGCCTCTCCGTCCGTTGAAGAGTCGTCGACGGATTTTGGCGCAGCTTTCAAGCGGGTACCTGGCGAGGGAGACGAATTCTTGTGCATCCACGAGCTGCTCAGTGAAGTCTTCGACCCTAGAGATCTCTGCGTCCAGAAGCGTTGTTGTGTTTGTGTTCCTCCCCTTCAGTACTGTATTTTCATTCTCCAGGCGTCCTGCTAGCAGCTCCATACTGCCCAAATCGATCTGGAGCTTGGCTTTCCTTGTTTCCAGCTCCTTCACCTCCTCTCGAAGGTCCCACACCTCAGTCTCGCGACATCGCTCGCTTCCAGTTAGTTGCTTCTTCATCGTGGCGGCTTGGGCTTTCATGTCCTCCACCTGAGAGATAGTTGACTTATTGAACTGCTTCGCTTCCTTCAACTCGCTCTGCAGAACTTGAATTCTCTCCTGGAGTTTCTTCTTATTTGGTATAGCAGGTTGTTCCAGAGTTTGCTTTTGGCTCTTCAGTATCCTGATCTCTTTCTTAAATTTCTCATTTTCCTCCTTGCGCTCGTGATAAGCTTTCCTCGTCGGAAGCAAGTGGATGGTTTTCATCGCTTCTCCCACCTGCTCGTACAGCTCCATATTCTCTTCTCGCAGACTTTCAATAGTCTTCGCGTGCATACTCATCTTTTCATAGAGCTTTTCGCAAATCTGCTCGTGCAGCCGAATTTTCTCCTTCAGATGAAATAACTTGACATCTGCAATCTCTTTCTCACCTTTAACGATGACAAGCAGTTCTTTGACTTCGTAACTTCGTTAGAGAGCTGGCTTGCCTGTCTTTGGGTGGCTTCTGCTTCAACATCGAGGGCTTCGTATTTCGCATCTTTGGCGGAGCATTCAGGGCATGGAGGTGCTCGGGCTGAGTTGGTTTCGGGAGTAGAGCTCGACATGTTGAATTTGTTTGCTGTGGATGCTGAAACATGGGAATCGAGATTTGTAGTATCTCGGAGTTTCGATGTTTTGTTTGAGGAAAAGTTCGTGGTCGATTCTGAGAAGAGGAGAGAAACTGTGGTGGTCTCAACATCAGCAATGACTTATATGCAAAATGGGATTATAACGACTGGATGACAACAAAACAACACAGCGGACAATTTAAGCGAGAATATCAGTCACGCCGGGACGTGTTCTTGTTACCGAAAGGCATCATCACGATGCGACATTGGAGTTGACAAAGTGAATTCCCGATGGCTCGAGTATCGACTCGACTCATCGCACAAAGTTACTGAAGAAACCGTAATATATCTTCAGTATTTGATAGCTTGATTCGTGGACTGTTGGTTTTCTCACTGATTGGGAACCCTAACTTCGTAAGCGAGGTAGGTTGGGAGCATTCTACTACTGCGACCACACTGCAATGCTTGATGTGTAATGCACACAAGTTCACCTTCTACTCCAACTGGTTTCTTCTCCCAACACTTGCTTGCCTGAACAATGAATATGTTTTCGTGCTTTCTATCTCCCAAGGCTCCCAACGAGACTTTCCTTGAATGCAATTCCAAAGCACAACGCCGGAGGTTATTGGATAGGTTTGGGGAGCATGAGGTGGAGCCGGAAGAGCATTATGATTATGATTATCCTGCGGATAATTGTCGCAAGATTTGGAATGTTTTTGAAATCAAATATTTTTCCGCTTGTGTCGCATTAATCTTCACCACCTACACGAGCTCTGTCAACAGCTGTTGACTGCAACTCATACTTATGTACCCAAGCCTGCAATGTCCCCGACGCCGCTGCACAGCCCTGTATTTCAGCATGAAAATCGCTACAAACTACCCCGCGGTCAGCTGAAATTTACCCCGCACCTACCTGAACGCGCTGTGGCTTGCAGGGGCTAAATCTCTAAGCGACACTTCAAGAGCCGAGTATTCATTCGAAATGATGCATGGTCTGAGAAGCCACATCAACCTGTTCCTCCCGCAAGACACTCACTACGATCCATCCAGCTTCTGGCGTTTCTATTCCATCAAAGCCCCTCGAGAACCAACCAGTAATTCCCGCAATCCCCCATATGCTCCTCCTAGTTCTCAGTGCGTCCAAACTCTTCAGTATCAAAGTGCTCCTTCAAAGCACGCATTTGCTGAACTGTAAGCTCTAAAGCCGGAGCCGTCTTCATCACCCAACATATCGTGATCGGATCATTGAAGAAACTCTCCTTAGGAACCAGATCAGCGTAGCTCTTCTACTCTTCTTCAAACGCAGCAGGGACAGGAAAATAACCTACAGATCGCATTTTCCGAACATGGTTCCAGTGATCCAGCTCTCTTTGCTTCTTCGGCTTCAGCATCTCAGTTTCATGGCGTGTCCACGCTTTCGTCAGGTCGATACCCCGAATAGTATTGCCGACCACAGTGACGCTGGTAGGCGTCGCAGTGTTGCTGTTGGCTAGCTCTCGATCGATAAGCGTCTTGGTTTCCAAGAATTTCTATTGCGAGAATGGTTAGCTAACATTTCGATCGAGAGCCATTAATTGGACACGAGATCATACCTTTTGGAGTTCATCGAGAGCATTATCGATCTTGGTTTTCTTTGCTCGCAGAGCAGTCTCATTGAGGCGGGCAAGTTCCGAATCTGTCATCTCGTGAATGGAAGGGTTGGTGGTAGGGGTACCAGCCATCTTGTTCACGGTAGGGAGTGGCATTTTTTGAAAATGTGGATGATGTTCTCGAGATTTGGAGAGGAGGAAAGTTTCAAGAGTCGAGATTGTCCTGTATCTCTATGATTTGAGTAAGTTCAAGATGAAAAGAAATAGGCTACTTCAGCGGAAACAGTGAATACGTATTATCTTCAACTTTAGAGCTTGCTGGTATTCACTATCTCCACCATCCAAATTCCCTTTACAAGACCGAGTATGTCTCGCTTCAACTAGGGAGCTTCTTCCGCGTCCGAACAGCGCGCGCGTTGCTCTAGCTGAATTCAAATCAAACAGCCGTGCTAATATCTGTTCGGACAGCTTTCTTCTCGTCGCTTACACTTCCCTGGGCCTTCACAGAATCACTTTCTGCCAAAGAACCATCAGATTCTACCTTCGCGGCATTTTTCTTGTCTCTCCAGAGAAGAATTTGGATCAGAGCAGTCCAGAAAACTAGATGTGTATTAGTCTTCTGGATCCAGAAGTGGAAAGAGATGGTTTAACTTACTCAACAGAACATTGAGAACTATAGACCACACATAGCCCCTGCGTGCTGCTGGGAACTCGGTTGTTTTCCAAACGAAATTTGGGGCCTGGAAGAAATCTGTGAGCACATGTCTATTCAAGATGATTTGGATTACTTACTACTGCTTGCACCACATAAGCAAAATCATTGCCTGCTGCTACAAGTAGAGCTCTTTTCTCGGTATCGTCGGAACAAATCTCATTAATCCAACTGAGGATGAGTGGACCAGCCCCATTCTATTTGCAGAGTCAGCGAGCTGCCAATGTTGAATCCAGTGAGTCTGTGCCTACCCCTATCATGCTAAACCAGTACACCAATTTTCGTTGTGTGATGTCCGAATACAGGGGTAGTTGGCGTAACAGAACACCAAATAGGATCTACAATTCCCAATGTAATTAGTACATGACCCACAGGTGCAAGGTCTTTGGAGGGAGTAGTGCAAAAGGAAGGAAATACTAACTCCGAGAACAGCTCCCACATAAATGAAGGGATATCGCCTAGCTCGAAAAGGTCCATCATCAAGCCATGCAACAGCCAAAGCTGCCACAATAAATATTCCGGTAGAGACAAGAGGCACTGTTTATTGCATTAGTGTCAAATGCTATCAGTAGAGCACATAGTGACGACTCACAATTGTTGATTTCTGGAACGGAAAATGTCACGCCTGGAACGGGTGGGTGCGTCTTTGAGTTGAAAGATTTCAGCCAGTAGCCCATAGCCGGCTGTGCATACGCATTGTTCCACAAGACGTAGAGGAATGCTGGAAACTGTCAGTAGGTATTACAACAGAAGTATAAGATGCTTACGAAGTGTCCATGTGTGCCAACTCAGAGCAATCTTCTTCACCTTAGCCATTGTCCAAGGCTGTTTTCCAGCACGCCCCACAGCCTTCAATCGAGAAACAGACAGTTCATGCTCCGCTTGAGTAGTCCACCAGGTCTTCTTTCCACCCTGCGGAAGATTCGGGAAGAAGAGGTATCCCATGGCAGCAAGAGGAATTGTAATAATGCCGTCGATGATGAAGAGCCATCTCCAACCTTCATGGCCATGCACACCATTCAAGTTCTTGTATGCTGCTGCTTGCAGAAAACCACTGAACATATTTCCGATGGATCCGGCTAGCCAAAATATCATTGCGCGTTTACCGATTTCTCGTGGCGTGTACCAAGAACCAAGCATGTAATGGATGCCTGGGTAAAATCCAGATCTGGATTTAAATCAGTGTAACTTCCCCTCCCAAGTCCACGGTACGTACTCGAAGAGTCCAACTAAGAATCGCAGGGCGTAAAGTGCTTGGTAATTGTGAACTCGTGAAGTACAGATTGTAGCGATTCCCCATCCAACTTCCAATGACGGAATGACCCAACGTGGCGAGAGTCGAGTGAGTAGCAGATTGCAAGCTATTCTAAGTTAGAGATCTTCGAGCCAGCAACTAAACCAAGAAAGCTTGTCCACATAGGCACGAAGACGGTGAGACGTACGGATTTGACCAATTACATATCCAACAGTCCAGATCGATGTCGATGTTACAAGTTCATTCCCATACATATTCAAGTCCTCCTTCATACCACTCAGAAACGCATTGTTGACATTGGTTTGGTCGAGGTTCTTCAAAAAATAACCGATCTAGTTTCATCAAGTCAGACGCTTAGTCTCGGCAAAAGCTTATTGAAAGCTAGGAAGTTGAGCATACCGAAGCAAAGGTCAACACAAACCCATCAACCTTAAACAACAGCCACCGTTCCTCTTTCGGCAACTCCCAAGTATCCCAAACAAAGCTTTTCCAACTCCTCGGCTTAGCCACAAGCTGTTCCTCCGAATCATTGCGCGCAGATTTCTCGTCGCTGCCAATCGGGCGAATCTCTTCGTCGGGCCGTCCCATGGTGTCTTGGGCGAAGTTGGCTAAATGTTTGATACCAAAAGCACTTTGAAACCAAGAAAAAGACGTCTGTACTTGTATCACAGAGTTCAGTCTTGACAGGGGTGCCAAGGGATGTTCTCATTGCAAGACGCAATTGCGCGAGTTAAGAGCCGAGGCCGTGAGGCCTAAGTCTAGTAAGAAATCCCGATAGAGTCGCCACTATCGGATCGGGGACATGATTATCTTGTGGAGTTCTTTGTACGTTGTGTTGTGGGAGAATATCTTTCATAGGTTGTTGGGGGATTGCGCAATAGTCGCATGTATTGTGTCTTGACAGTTTACTGGGCTAGGTAAATTCGCAATCCTTGGTCGGATGATAGACATTCAAACTCCGGGGCGCTTATAAACACTCGAGTGTTGGGAGAAGATTGGATTTGAATGACGAGTCACATCGCTATAATGAAATACTCAGCCCTGCAAGATGAAGTGAGTGAACTCTGGTTGCTTACTTTGATATGACAATCCCCTCCAACAGCCAATCAGAGGCTTTGATTTCTCGGCTAAACTTCGCTCCAAGCTATCGACCGTTGAGATGATCTTGAGGGTGTGCATCAATTGCAAGCACTGCTGATTCATCAATGATGTCGGTAAATGCGGAGGAAGCTGAGAAATACGTTTTATTCGTTAACTTGTATACGTTTGCTATATCCCACTCTTCACTTCCAAGTAAACCTCCGAAAGCCTCCCCCCGTTTCGCTTTTGCGAGCTGATATAAAATAATTTTGACATCCTCCAGCAACCTCTACACTTTCTCCACTGAGATAAATGTCTTGTCGAGATTCATCAGCCAATCAATTCGTCATGGCAATGATGCCGAACGACTTATTGCTTAACTGGGGCTAGTTTGACAACCGTCATGACATTTTGCGATGTGCTCAAAAATATCATCCAATGGTTTACGCGGAACCGAGGTTTACGCAACTCGAGAATTCCATTGGTGCGGTAACCAGATTGGATAACTTTAGTTAGAACGTCAAGCCATAGAATTTGGACCAGGAAAATATCGTTCCATCTAGAGAGTGGTCAATCCTGGGGGTTTCAGCTTCGTACACTAACCATGGTACAGAAGACGAAGCAAGTCTCGCTCCTAAAGATTTGAGCTTTATCATTCAGTCAGGAGAAAGTAGAGATATGTGGACAGAGTGAAAGTAGAAAGTATTCCACGATCTTGCTACTCCCCCGTCGTTTGGATCCTATGCCATCGTGCTCAGAGAAAATTACAATTGATCAAGGGTGTCGGTAGCAACGCTCCCTCAAGGCCGGATGCAGCTATTCAATTTAGCTCGTGCCGCATTGCGAGCTAGAACTCGTGCTCGTGGTATCGGAGTCCGGCAACGTTGTATGCAACGGACTTGGTGGAATTCTGCTTCTTGACAAGAGCTCCAAGTTTGACCAGGAAACAGACCAGGTTACGCAGCACATAATACTTGAAGAGCTTGTGTGCTATATTATTGTCATGGTAACCCATTGATTACAGATGAAAATGGTCTTTGACACTGTTGTGGTCATAGACAAAGGGAGTGTGATTGAGTTTGAAGAGCCGAAAGTTCTGGTAGGCTCCGTGGCGAGTCGTTTCAAGGAACTTTGGTCTCTGGGGAATCAAAGTTGAAACATACTGATGCTTTGTACTTGAGGTAAATGTTACTAAGAATAAAATGCGACTGACAGGACTTTTTTGTGCCATGTGTTCTTGATAAAGGAAGGATTATAGGCAGGTCCTTGTTTTCCTTTGTGCTGCCAGGACGGGCATCGAAAGTGCCAGAACTGCTGAGATACCCTCACCGACTACCAACTTGAGATTCATTATCTTCTAATGAAGTCCTGTTTATATCAGGTCTTATTTCTATCTGTCATGATGACCTTGACAGTCGAATATGGCGTACGCACCTGCCTAGTTTCCCAATATCCAAATGTGGGTCTCGCTAAATTTTCGTGGCTAGCGCAATGGAGGTAAATAAACATAGGTAAGGTTTCCACGGTGTCGCCACAAACAAGCAAAGAACGCGACAAAACTTCGATGAGATGGCAGAGGAAGAGCAAAAGCCTCAGAAGATACCCTCCTGGGTTGATATACGTCGCCCACCCAAACCTACCCCTCCAACGCCTGAACAGCGTCTCGTTCCAAGCGCCAACTCGCGAACACCTGCAAGCGCGTCCCTGGAGCTATATCATATGAGAGAGCTTGGGCAGCCAGAACATCAGCATGAAAACGCTCAGACATATTCGTTCATGGAAATGGCTCCTGCTCTGCATCCGCTCAGCTTGATGAACCTGCAGATGTCTGCGATTCTGGCAGCACATCATATGGGAATTGAAGCACCCATAGAGCAGTGGGGCCACTTAAATCCTGACTTCGTTTCCCCCAATGGCAATATAGGCTTGGGATACGGGTTTAATCCGCAAGAAAATCAGGCCACAACGGGTGGTGCTGACCCAGCTGCATCTGTTCCGCTCGTAGATACAGAACAGCTCCAGCAGCCTCACCTGGGGCAGATTCACGATACAATACCAGATGGTCAACAAGCAAGACCTTCTGCACTCGACGCGGATACCGTTGTGGAAACCGAAACTGTAAATGACGATCCATTCACTGGTACATTGATTGAGGGTGTTCAATCTACGGACCCTCCCAATTCCCCCCGCGCTTCTGTTTCTGTGCCCAAGCGCCAGCCAGAAATCAGCGCAGAGGAAATAGATGCTATTGCTGATAGGATCTTTGAGGACCTCTCGGACGAAGTGAAAAGACAGACTTACCTTCCACCTTCTACAGCAACAGCTACTGCTGGAGATCTTTCAGCTGTCACAATCAGCACAAATCTACCCAACACTGGTCCGCCGATCCCGTTGGGTCTGCCAACTCTCCCTCCTACGAGCCAAACACCGGATAATTTCAGACTGGTAACAAATACGCAAGAGCAGAAGAAAACCCTGGATGCTCCATCCGCGCCAAGATTGATGATACAGCGCAACGGAAGGGACATCTCAAAGGCGGGATCGGCATATCTCAGACAGGATTCTATTTCTCTACAAGGGGACAAGAAGGAAGATACAGAGAAGAGACGCCATGTTCTCGAGAAGCCGCTTGCCACACCTTCAAGAAATTTCAATGGAAAGTTCCGCGTCAGGGAGGGGACAAAACGTCACGGAGAAGACCAGAAGGAGGCGTCCTTGGGATCAGAGTCCAGAAGGATATCTGAACATAATACTCAAGATGCCCAAAGACAAAATCAGAAGGATATTAACAGTGAAAATAAGCATACATCAAAGGAGGACGGTAGATTAAAGAGCCTACTGGCATCAACTATTGCTGAGGCGCCATCGTCGCCTTCTTCTGTCGTAAGCCCCTGGGTTCGCCCATCGAGCGATACATTAACACCGACTCACAATCCATTCCTCGAATTCGATCCCTCCAGACTCGATTCATGCGCCGCCGAACCTCGAAAAGGCGGAGAAATCGCCCTTCAAGAACAGCACAAGCAAGAGTTTCGAAGGCTCACAGGATCTGATGGCGACAAGGACGTGGTCACGGAGAGTGGACCAAGTCCTGAGCAATGGCCTGAGAAGAAAGTTGTTTTGCACGAGACTGTGGCTGAGGATAGCTACGAATCTCGGGTCAAGATGGAACAAAAGCACAGTAGAGATGATACCAATAGGGCCAATCATGGCGGGGATACGGTGTTTCGGGAGGCGAGTACAAGCTTACGGGCTGAACCATATGCTGATAACGAGTCAACTGAAGCGTCAGAGGCAGGCCTTCACCGCAAGAAGAACCGACGCGTTCGTCCAAATCAGTACCTCAAACTGATTGGTAGTGAGCTTAGTACACGGCATGCTTTCCAACTGACATGCCTTCCTGGGGGTTCTACTGAGAAGCAAAAGAGAGAACTGCTCAGAAAACAAGAGGATGAGCTGGTGAAGTGGCATGCAGCGCAAGAACTTCTAAGACATGAAGTTGTGGAGAGATCCAGATCGAAGCAAGCAATACAGGATCCACCAAAGAGAAAGGCTACTTGCGGCACGGAGGTTGCAGAGGACGAGGGTCGCAGAAAGCTTGTACGAGCCAACGATTCCACTGCCCGCGAGTCTCGTGTTAGGAAGGCACCGCACGAGGTGTCTCTGATTCTGATTTCAGATGCTACAGTCATCGTAGATGGCGCTGATGAGAACCGTATCATCATCAAGCCAGGTGAGAAGTCTCCCATAGGAACTTCTGATGAGAAATCTGAGCATGTAAGTAGCGGGTATACTGACATGACAGATGTTCCTATGGACGACACCAGGCAGGAGTCTGTCGCGGATTCTAAAGGTATACTCGCCGTCTTCGAAAACTCCATCGCTTTCCCGCAGTCCAGAGATCCAGAAAACTCTAAGTTTAAGGATGAGTACAACGATGGGATGCATTATCCTGCTCCAACGGGAGTGGTGGAGATATCGCGGACTCGTGAGGCTATGGATTCAGCTGAGGCTTTTCAAACATCCGTGACTCCCATTGAAGTTCAAGAAGCTCGCATGACAAGAACTTATGAATCAATCGAGTCCAGGTCTGAGAGTCCACCTATTCCTGGAGGGGAGTGGATCTTGGACAATATGCTGGACTCGCTTCCTGATTCTGATGGACCTCGATTTCCTCCTGCTATGGCATCACCCCAATTAAGCCCTGCTCGTGGGCTCAAAAAACACTCGTGTGTCGTCTCCTGAACGAAAATACTCATAGTCAGGGCTACAGAACCATGTCAAGGTTCTTAGATGAACAGTCTCAAGGCGTTCAGATTGGATATGGCAGGCAGAACTTCGAGCTGGATGGAGAGTTGGGACTCGTGTCATGTTGCCCTTTTTTCTGTTGTGATCTATGACTTGTTGATAATGGTTTTGATAGGCGATGGATGGGTGATAACTCGGAAACGTTGCTGCCGGGCTGCTGGGGGGAGAAATACTGCTTCCACCTTTTGGTATCGAGTCCTCTGGGAGACATATTAGCTTAAGATTAATGTATTAGAATGAATTCCTACATCTTGAACTAGTGAGGGCTATGAGATGGACAAGTAGCTACTTGTTGTGAGGGAGCTCGATTCGGCATCTAAATTTCCAGTGCCGGAACTCACCCCGCCATGAGCCAGATTACCCCGCACTTGCGCGTTTCAGGAGCTCGCTAAGCCCAGCGGTGTCAACAAAGGTAAATCACAGTCTTTCACAGATCCGAAGAATGTGATCGTAATGTGCTTGGTCTCTATGAGTAATTCCAGCTTTTAATCTGTAAACTGTGTACTTTCCAAGTTAAAATGTCTGAGTGTCCATTAATATGATTATTGGTAATCGTGCATTAAATCGATCGCTGAAATTTCTGGTGCTTATGCAGACTCTCAAAGGAAGGTGAAGAAAAAGGGTGAAACCAGCCACATATCCATGCAATCTCGTTATTACTTATTAAAATACATGAAATCCACTGTTATATTAGACTATGATCTACCCATACCAGACCATTGCACGCTGTATCTATCCAGCCTCTGCCGCTACAGTGATTCCACAACTCTGCTTCACCATCTCACAGTCACAGCTTTGCCCTGATCGGTTTTGGTGGTCTCGACAGCTCTTCATAGAACTCGACAGGTGGGTACACCATTGCCCGAGGTTGAAGAAGTATGCACGGTCTCTCCCCATCGCCAACCAGTCGCACAAAGATGGGTGTGTTCTTCAGCTCTTGACCCTCCTCATACTCCCTCAATCTCCTGTAACGCAAACTCATAACCCTCTGATGGAGATTCAAGATAGAGATAGGAGGGATAATCGTGGCATGGTCATAGCTCGATGCCTCCAAGCTCACACAGCGCAGAACCTGAATCAGGGCGTCCGTGAAGGAGTATGGTCCAGGAACGTAAGTAAGGTCTGCAAATCCTGCTGAGGCGAGGAGTTCGGTAGTAGATCCAGTTTTTGTATTGTCGAGGGATGGGGGTGTGAGTAGAGGCTGGGGCGTGGAGAAAGAATGGATGGAGGCTGTGGCGAAGCAGGTGTCGAGGATGTACAGGATATCTGCAGAGGTGCGGGTAAAAATGGGTGGGACTGTTTTCCAGCTCAGACAAAAGTCCTCGTACTCCTCACGGCTGTAATAGAAAGTGTTTTAGTGAACTGCGACTCGTGCGTGTGATAAATTTGGGAGCAAGGTCGCGGTACGAGGGAACTTACTGTGCTCCCCATCCGAGATTACCATCCTCATCATGGAAGCCGTGGCCGCTGTAGTAAAGAATAAACAGGCTGTCTTCATTGTCGTAGCTTTCACGCCAATACTCGAGACGGCCGGTTAACAATTCTGTACATGTTTTTCGGTACGGAATTCTCCAGTGCTCAGAAGTCGAGATTTTGAAAGTGTTGTTGAGCTCTTCCTGGAGCTCTAGTGTCTGGTCCACGAATCTTGGCTCACAGGTATTCCATGTCAGGAATAGAACATGGACGTTCTTCTTCAGATGTCGACTCGACATGATGGGCTCTTGTCTTCGGAGAGGTGCTAAACAATAAATCCTAGCCTTTCCATGTGGGGGTGGTTGTGGTTATAATTTATACTTGTAAACAGATGGATATTTCCAACATTGCTAGCATAGCAGCTTGTACATTCACAGGTGTGAATACTTTGAGGGCTTTGTGAATAATCTTTTGAGCAAATCTATCAGTGCAGATGTTTTTGCCCAGACACGTCATTACAGCGAAATAGGCAGCATACAATAAACTAAGGGACTGAAAAATCCAAGCTTTGGTTAATGAATAATCTCTAGAGCAAATCCACTAGTGCAGATTCTTTGCCCCTTCAGACACTTTATTAACCCCCAAAAAGGCAGTCTACAATAGAATACAAGACTGAAAAATCCAAGCTTTGATTAATAATTTCTATCATCGAGGTGGAATAACTGTTTCCTTCTGGCTCATTGAAAATGAAAATACGAATTTCGCTCTGCTTTCTTGATTTTGTACATTAGCTGCAGCGATACTCCTGACCAAATTAAGTCAAAGCCATGAAATCTCCCACCAGCCTACCATGTTTCAATAAAAACCCTTTCAGGAACCTTAATCCATAAGGCAATAGGAATGATCTCTCCCTGGTCGTCTATCAAGGCACAGAGGCTGGGCGTCATTCTACAACCAGCTCTCTCGCCACTTTCTCCTTTTAACCATCTCTCAACCAAGAATTTCAAACGCTGCATCTCCCTTCTCGAGCCTCTCTAGAAGTGACTTACGCTGCACTCCACATCAGATTTCCAGCCTTGTCTCTGCCACCATGACCACCATAATAAACCACCAGAAGACTTTCCCCATCATCATGATCTCCCATCCATGCTTCCAACAGACCTTTGAGGATTCCGCCTGCATAGTTAGAAGACGAAATCTCGTGGGTCGTCCATAGTAGTGCATTCATATCCCTTTTCGAAAACACCTTTCAGCCTGTCAGCTTCATATCACTTGCCCAGATCGTCGTCTTCCCAGACCAAGAAGAGAGCGTTGCATCTTCTTTGGTTGACGTATGTCTTCTGCCTTGGTGCTGATGCGGTGTAGCGGATCTGGTCTGCGAAGCTCGTGCGTTGGCTTCCGTCGTTGATAGCCCATTCTTGCTGATTTTGGGTCGCTGTCAGAATTCTAGTTGGGTGGGTGTTTAAGGTGAAGAGGAAAGTTGTCAGATCCGAGGTTCTTTAGGAATTAGTAGTTCTTCCAATGCTAGATCAATATATCAGTAATTGTTGTGCTAGATGCTACTCATCTAGTTTGTCTCTCTACTTACGCTATACTATTGATTTATCAGTGGTTCGCTAATCTAAGAAAGGGACGAAGAGAGATAGACGTGTAAAAGTGGGAAATAAGGAAAGATACGAATCTGAAAATTTCAAATTCACTCTGGGACATACTTCATTTCTTTGTACCTGACGATGTGGATGAAGCCTGGCAAAAGTTGGATGGAGCAGAACCTGTCTGGAAGAGAAGGCATGTATGTCTCCGTGTGCAAAATCCCTTGTAAGTATTTGTTACAGACACTAAAAGAGTTACAGTCTAAGAATCATTGCTCACTGGCAGGCCTTTCTCTCACTCAACGATTTGCTTCATGTGTCGATTTCTGGTGTGGTATTTCAACAGATTTCAGCATTTACTCGACAGAGCGAGCCCATGATGTGCAATCATTTTTCCAAGTTTCTCAAATTTCGATACTGAAATGACGCTAGATTACTAGTTTGGGCTTTAAGGATAAGTATGTTGAAAATGCTGCCAGGGAACTTTTTATTAAAGTGAGGTGTCGTGGGAGTTGCCTTGGTCTGAGTGTGATGGAGTGAGGTAAGTTATTGAGTAACGGTGACATGAAACGACCCTCAAAGCCGCAACATCGGACTAACAATTCCTAGTTCAACTTAGAGTGAAGCTCCTCGAGTAGCACCAAATTCCGCTTTGTTGATCCTGTAAAATTATGACTGTCAAATGATGCTTAAGGAACTGACGATCGATCATGAGGGTCAACAGGATCATCGTTTAGCCGAACCGCCTTTATTCTGTCTTTTTTGACACATCTCTCGGCACAAACATGAGCCTGGAATCGGATAATTAAGCTGCCATTCCGATCAGCAGAGTCATCTACAATTCCATCTTTACCTACCCACCACATCTCGGGTGGCTAGGGGTAGGTAGATATTTCCAAAGTGCCCATGCCATCATGTGACATGGATTTAGAGTGTGGCTTGCCTTGGCCGTCGAAGCCGTTTGCCGCCACCCGGAGTGAAAGCGCCGGTCCTCCACCTGCGCAGCAACTCTCCATGGTTGTCACGACCGTCCTTCCTTTCATCCCATCTAGGATACTTTACTCATCCCATCTATGAATCCCATCCACGTCAACCGATGAGGATTAGCCTCATTGCAGGAAGGAAACACAACTGATCGTCTCACCTTCCAGCAAATTGCGTCGTCATACACATATAAAGTTTTGACAATTAAGGGGCTTGACCGACCTTACAGTATCCTGCCAGCTTCCGCGACGTGAACCTTCACCTGCAGGCATCCATCCAATCTCAATCAGCGTTGGGCCAGTCAACCAACGGCGTCCAACATCACGGTAAGTGCGCATGTTTACGTTGTGAATTTCTGCATAATGTATGCAGTCGCTGCATATTTTCTGCATATTTTCTGCATATTTTCTGCATATTTTCTGCATATTTTCTGCATATTTTCTGCATATCTACTCCTCATATTGCCGCCTCAGCCAATCACATCTGGGCGTGTCAGGGGAAATTAATCTCGCTCGTCCGTCCATTTCTCCACACAAACAGGCCTGTCTGGTGGTCCACCAGGTCTGTCTCTTAAGCTTATCTTCTTGGCACTAACGATCAGCCGTCTGTTAACCTTCCCACAGCCGCAATGCTTGTACCCTACAGTGGGACCAGGCCGCTTTGAGAAGGTCCCTTGGCGATGCAGGGCGGGGATGCGACCAAGACCTTCCACTTTGGAGTTGGGACTTGGGAATTGGGAATTGGACATGCAATTCTGCCGTGAATCCAGGGACGTACAGGAAGGTAGGTAAGGGTACCTAGGTAGGTACGTACGTGATAGAATGGCGGCGAGGATAAAGTAGGTAGGCAAGATATAAACCAGCCCTGCCCTTCTCTCTTCTTCCCTCTTCTCCTCCTCTCCTGGGGCTGCCTGCAGCCATTGAACTCCCCTCGTTCGCAGTTTGTGCCCTCCAGTCGCTCACTTACTCACTGCCTGCTCCTCTTCCCACCATGAAGTACGTCCTCAGTACCCTCGTCCTCGCGACATTGGCCGCCGGCGACTGCGCAGCAGACAATTGTCTCCGCGCATTGCGAGCGACTCAAACCCCCGGTCGCCTGTCATCCGCACGAGAGTTCTGTTCCACTTTTACCGCGGGAAGTGTTGCTGCTACTGCCATCCCGTCGTATGCCCTCAATGCCTGCAAACAGAACCAGAATGGTGCTCTTTCGGTGAGATTGTCGAGTGCTTGCAATTGCATCGCGGCGACGAGTGCTTCTTCGGGCCCTTCAATTACGGCTCCGCCATCGAACACTGCTTCTGCCACGTCTGTTTCTACTTCGGCTTCGGCAAGCTTGACTGAAGCATGTGCACTCGTGAGCAGTTCGTCTTCAGTCCAAAGAGCTGCTTCTCCATCTGGTATGTTTTATCACATCCATTTGCACCCCAGAAATTGACTGTTTGCTAGCTACACCAACTGTGGCTGCCCAATTGGCCCACGACTGCCTGAATTCCGTTCCCTTGAACAAGACTGCTGCACTCCAATTAGTGGATAGCATGGTTCCTTACATTGAATGGCAAAGTGGTAAGTAGATTACCAACGAGCGAGCGATTTCGGTTAACTGATGTGGTTTCAGACACGGCATGGAAGAAGAACCCCCCTGCCGACTACTTTTACCCGCCACATGACATCTTTGGATATCTGGCATCTGTGAAGGCGAACCTCCAAGCTAACAAATATGCAAATGAATACGGTATGAGAGCTAATTTTGGTACGCATGGAGCATTGGCTGATTGAGTTACAGAATTCCAAGAAGATCTGTACCAGGTGTTCGCGAGGGGACACGATGGTCACTTTGTCTTTTATCCGGATGCGCTCACCAAGGCGTTTGAGTGGGGCAGAAAGAGATCTTTGGTGTCGATTAGTGAGGATGGAACTTCGCTCCCAGTGATCAAGCTCTATGGTAAGTTTTGCTACCGAAAAGTTTGACACTGGCTAACGAATATGCAGAAGACGTAAAGGCATCTCCATCAACAGCTTCGGTTGTCACACAGATCAATGGAGTCGAAGCATCGAAATATGTGGCCGACTTCATCTACACTGCGTCTTTCAATCAAGATGCGGATGCTGCGTATAACACTATGTTTTACGAGAAGGCTTTCGAAGCAGGTGGCACTGGAACGGGCTATTTCTCAGCCGGTGGACGTATCCGGTAAGCTTCCTTCTTTAATTTTTCAAGCTTTACTAATGGTCCCTAGATACATCTATCCTGGATCAAACACTACCTTCACGTTCGCCAACGGCACTACGCTCGTCACGGAGAATATTGCCAAGGTCAAGGGACTGTTCAGTGCGGTTACAGACGGAGCTTCATTTTACCAAAGATTCTGCACCGGTCCCAAATCTTTCACCGGAGCTGATGCCGCCGAGGTAGCTGAAGAAGAGATCGAGGATGAGCCTGCCGCTGCTGAGGTGGTTAACCCAGGATATCCAGCACCCATCCTCATCACCAGTGACGGAATTGTCTCCGGTTACTACCTCAACGGGACCGGATTCGAGGATGTCGCAGTCATCAGTCTTCTCGCTTTCGAGTCAGAGTCGATTGTTGAATTCCAAACTGTCGCTCAAGACTTCTTTGCTGCTGCAAAGCGTGATGGAAAGACTAAGCTCGTTGTTGATCTCAGCGCCAACGGTGGCGGTTACATTCTCCAAGGCTACGATCTATTCAGACAGTTGTTTCCATCAATTGTCCAAGATGGATACTCTCGATGGAGAGAAAGCGACACTTTCCTTGCAATCGCAGAGATTTACTCGGCCAACTCTGCAAACTTTGATCCTGATACAGCATCTGCGGATATCATTAACCAGTACGAGAGCGTCTTCAACTACCGCTACGATCTCAACTTGACGAACCAGCCATTCTTGACTTTCCAGGATAAGTTCGGGCCGAACGTCATTGATGGTGTGAACTACACCGAGATCATGAGGTGGAACTTGGATGATCCACTCACCACCAGCAACGACACTTTTGGTCTAGGCACAGACGTGACTGGCTATAGAAGCAGAAAGAACTTCACGCAGCCTTTTGAAGCCGAGAACATCATCATGGTATGCCCACCCATGTCCCGTAATCTTGCTTTGTGTACTGACATCTACCAGCTCCTGGACGGCTACTGCGCCTCAACCTGCACCCTCTTCACAGAATTCATGCGCACCCAAGCCGGCGTGAAATCCATCGCTATGGGTGGCCGCCCTCAACCCGGCCCCATCCAGGGCGTCGGCGGTATCAAAGGCGCCCAGATCCTCGCCTGGTCAGACATCTTCCAATACGCCAACTCCGCACTCCGCACTGCGTCCGCCGCCCAAGCCGCCATCCTCAACCGCCTCACCAGCTACCCCATTAACCGCGCCTCCAGCAGCGGCGTCAATGTGAGAGATAACATCCTGCCGGGTAATCTGGATGATGGCTTGCCGGCGCAGTTTGTGAGGGAGGAAGCGGATTGTAGGTTGTTCTATACGCTGGATATGGTGAATGATGTTACGGCTTTGTGGAAGGCTGCTGCGAATGCGGCGTTCAACGGGGGGAAGTGTGTTGCTGGTGGTATCTCGAAGAGATCTGCTGGAAATGAGATTGAGGCCGTGGAGAAGAGACGTACGCAGACGCCGACGATGAAGAAGCCTTTGAAGAAGCGCTCGAGTAAGAGCTTGCCTGCGGAGTGGGTTGAGAGGCATGGAAGGAAGGTCATTCAGTAGATGGGGATGAGGGGGATTCGTGGAGAGGGAAAGCAATCGATTGGTGATTTTGAGAGCTGTGCTGTGATGTGATGTGATGGGAAGAAAGCTCTTTGCTGGGAAAGTTACTTGCTTGTATGAACTTGAGCAAGAAGTAAAATGTGATATGATACACGAAACTAGGAAGAAAGAAAGCAAATGAAAATAAACCACCGACTACTGCTATTTTCCTCCTTCTGCCAGAGTGTTTTTGATTGTTTCATCACGTCGATATGAATATGAGAATGGACATGAAACTAACTGGCCTAACAAATGTACTAATATTGATGAAAGTTGGAAATGCCCCTAACATCCCCTGCACTGCTCTGGAAGTCGGGTGAATTCTAGTGTTAAAGGTACCCACGCACTTACCTGAACCTGCACACCATCTCTCTCGCTACAGGGTGTGTCAGCCTGCTTGTAAGTTGTAACTTCAATGACCAGTACTTACTCTCGAGTAAGCTTTCATTTCCGAGATATGCATCCGCGTAGTAAAATAGAGACATAATTTCCACTGGTTTTCTTCCTCTCTCTAGGGCAGGGTTTTGGAAGAAAGATAGAGTGTCTGAGTGAGTGGAAAGATGACGAGCTCGGAAGGGAGGGTGGGACTTTTGATTTGGGGTGGGGTGGGGAGAGTGGGAGAGTTGAGAGGTTGGGGGGAGGGGGAGTGCTTTGAAGTTGGACTTGGTTGGTTGGATTTGAAGGCTTTGTAGTGTAGTGTAAGTTAGTGATGGTTTGTATGTCAGGACGTGTTGTTTGCTGGTGCTGCTCTTTGCCATATGGCGTTTGGCCTCGATGGCGTAGTTATACTTCTCGTACGACAACTTCTTTCAATGCCAAAAAGGATATGCTTAGAAGAGTTTGAGATGACTCGTGAAATAGGCCTTGCAATGATAGTTTATCATGTATATGCATTTCTATCTATCCATATCTAGCATTCTCAACCTCATCATCAAACCACGTCGGTTCCTGCCCATAATTGATAATCGTACTCTTCACCCTCGAATAACTCTCAAACGCCTCCACGCCATTCTCCTTCCCCATCCCGCTCTCCTTGAACCCACCCCACGGACTCGACGGATCATTCAAATGATGCCCATTGATCCACACGATCCCCGCATCGATCTTCTCCGCCACCCGATGCGCCTGTGCGAAATCGTTAGACCAAACTGACGCACCGAGCGCAAAAGAGGTGGAATTTGCGATCCGAATGATCTCTTCTTCGGAGGAGCAGCGAATGATGGCGATTACGGGACCGAAGACCTCGTTGCAGGAGAGATTGCTTTCAGGAGAGGATTCGATGAGTGTAGGCTGGAAGAAGAACCCTTTCCCATCAACGCGGGTAGGGCCGCCTCCACAGAGGACATTCCCATTCTCAATCACAGCCTGCATAACGAACGAGGCGCAGCGCTCCACACTCGCGCGTGAGATGACGGCTCCAATCTGGGTACGTTCGTCCATGGGGTCGCCTACTCTTAAGGCTTTCGTCCTTTCGACTAGCAGGCTGACGAACTCGTCGTAGATGGCGGAGTGCACGAGGAGTCGGCTGCCTGTTACGCAGGTTTGGCCGCTGGCGATGAAGCTCGCGAAAAGGGCGGCTTGCACGGCTTTGGGGACTGGCACGCTGGGGAAGATACACACTGGTGCTTTGCCGCCGAGCTCAGCTGTGATGGGGATGAGGTTCTTGCTTGCGTTGGGGGCGATAGCTGCGTATGTTGCTAGACCGCCTGTGAGGTCTATCTTCGCTATCAGAGGGGATTCGCAGAGAAATTTCCCGGTTTCTTTCCCATAGCCGCAGATGATTTGCAGAGTTCCGTCGGGGAGGCCAGCTTCCTGGAAGAGTTTCCCCATTTCGAGGACGGAAAGCGGGGCTGATTCGGAGGGTTTGACAATCACCGAGTTGCCTGCTGCGAGGGCGGCGGCGATCTTCTTGATTGCTATCAGGAGGGGGTGGTTCCAGGGCGTGATTTGAACGACTACGCCGAGGGGGAGTCTGGTCAGGGTGTTTACCACGGGGCCTTTGAAGGGCGTAACGCGCCCTTCGTGGGTGCGTGCTAGCGAGGCGAAGTACTCGAGCCATTCTGGGATGCGAGAGAGTTGGGCTTTCATCTCGCGGATGGGGCGGCCGGTCTGTTGGGTTTCGAGGGCGATGAAGTGCGGGAGGCGGGAGCGGAGGAGGAGCGCGGCGGTGGAGAGGACGGTGTACCGCGTTGTGGAGGGGGAGGAGGACCATGTTCCTGAGGTGAAGTTTTGGAGGGAGGAGTGGATGATGGATTGCACTGTTTGGAGGGGGGTGGAGTCGATGGTGAAGAGGGGGAGTTCGGTGGCGGGGTTGATGATGGTTATGCGGTCTTCGGTTGGGGGTTGGTGCGCGCCGTTTACCCAGTTGCTGTGGTGGGGGAGGGTTGACATTTTGACCTTTTCTCTCTGGGTCTGAGTATGAGAGTGAGTTGAGAGAAAGGTTTTGAAAGAAAGATGAGTGAAGATGAAAATTCTGATGTGGTGTTGTTGCTCTGACAGATGTGTAACGTTGAGTCTTACCCGAATAGGAACATGTGAAGAGGATGAATTTTGTGGACAGGGGTGCTTCAGGCGAGGTCCGATAGGTGCTGGGGTTTTCATAGTCCGGAGAATCTTGGCTAGAATCTGGCGGGGTCAGTTTTTTAGGCTTTAGACGCTGAAGAATGGGGTACTCTGAAGTGTGTTTGAAGTTCCTTGGGGCTCAGAGCGCTGTAAATACAGGCTGAAAGTATTAGACTCGCTCAAGGTTGAGCCCAAACAACTTCGATGATCTCTTTCAGCTGTAATCAATTGAGGGTCGATTTATCTTCTTTCGGATTTAGTATGAAGAATCATGCTAAGTTGTTCGTGGTCGCCGGCTGTAGATTTTTCAAATTATCCTCACGCAACTCATTCTGCGTTACTCTCTAACTCTAAAATTGAATCTGGTTTCTACGAAGCTCAACCTACATTAAGCGAGCAGCCCCTTTCTTTGCTTCTTTCATGTGGCCTAGCTCCTCGCTAATCTGCCTTCAGTTTGTTTATTCTCTTTACTTTGAGTTCCCGTGTCCAGGGCAAACAGGAGATGTTCTCTGAAGCCGAAGCCTGGAGCGGACAAGCTGGCATAAGGCTCAGGGATCCTTACAGGGGTTTCTACCCCGCCGCACACGAACTGGATACTGAATTTGGCTAGCTGAAACGATTCTTAAGTCTTGTTCGATTTGAAATGTCCAACAGGAACCCTTTTGTTCATCAGATCTCTGTTCAAACTCCAGCTATCTTGAGCGTCGCTTTTGTCTTCTTCTTTTCTTTCCTTTCACAAGTCAAGAGGAGAGCCGCCGGCTCCCACATTTTGAGTGCGCCACTGGCTTGTTTGCACATCTCACCATGGATCAGGAAGATTCAGATATCGGAGTAGTCTGGGAAGAAGCCCTTGACAAATACTGTAAAGATACCGGAACAAACATCAAATACTTACCACAGATGAAATGGGATATCGCAACCATCAAAGCAGAGCAGGAGCGACAAGTTGATTCGTTCAATAAATATCGCCATAATAAAGGATTGACGGATAGATTTCGGTCGGCGATAAGTAGGAATTCAGATGTGATTCAGTCGATTGCGGAGAATGTTGCGACTGCTGCGAGTACGGTAGGTTGATTGATCGAGTTGGGTGTTTGGTGAGATGGGAGAGTTGTGGGTCTGATTGTTGGGGATGTTTAGGCGTTTCCGCCGAGTGCGACGATTTTGACGGCGTTTACTTATGTTATGAAGGTAATGAGAATTGCTTTTGAATTTTAAATTATATAGAACACTTACACTTGCCAGGCATCGAAAAATGTATCCGAAGATTATGACCAGATTGCAGCATTCTTCGATATCATGAGCTCCATGCTTGAGCGACTGTCCTTGCTGGAATCGAAGCTACCGAGTGCCAAGAATTACAGAACTATCTTGATGCGAGTATTCAGTTCTTTGATGGGACTCTGCGGTACAGCGACGAAATATGTTACCGAGGGGAGATTCAGTGAGTCGAGAAAACATCTCTACTTTTATGACTATTCTCACTAATGCTGCTAGAACACTGGCTCAAAGCCCTCTACAAGGGAGCTGACGGCGACATCAAAGGCGACTACACCACACTAGAAACCAACATCCAACGCCTCGAATCAGCAACCATGTTCGCCACCCTCGCAACCGTAATGGAGACCAAAACAGATGTCAAAGACCTCACCATCATCTCCATGCAGAGTCTCCAAATAGGGACTCGCTCCCTCGAAGTTGGTATCGAGACCCAAAGCATGGTGCAAAACGTTTCAATAGCACAGGGCGAATCCCTTGATATTCTGAAGAAGATGCAACGGATTCTGAGGAAAGAGGAGCTTAAGAAGCAGAATGAGATGGTGCGGGGGGCAAACCTGACGCTGGATCCAGGAGCGAAGAAAACTGCTGCATTGAGTTTGATTAAAACGGCTTTTGCTGTTCCAGGTGAACCGGCAGTAATGTTGCAGGAGGTGCAGAAGACGTTTGTGGAAGGGACTTTTTCGTGGATCCGAGAGGAGACTTCGTACCAGATGTTTCTGGAGGGCGATTCGCCGTTCTTGTGGATTCATGGACCTCCTGGGATTGGCAAGTCGCATGCGGCATATTCGATTATTGGCAATCTACTGGAATTCACAAAAGATGACCCGCGGACCTCAGTGGCGTACTATCTTTTCAAAGAGGATAATGACTTTTATCGAGAGGCGAAGAATATGTTGAGGACGGTGGTGATACAGACTGCGATGAATGATGTGAAATACCGCGACGAGGTGGCGGCGGAGGTGAAGCGGATGGATATGTTTCATTATGAGAACTTGGAAAACTATGAGCTCTGGAGACCTTTCTTCGCGGAAAGATATCCGAAGGATGCAGATCAGAGATTGTTCTTGGTCCTGGACGGGTTGGATGAGATGAGTTCTGAAGACTGCGAGGGTCTCCTTGGACTTTTCACTTCCATTAGAGTCGAAGAGCTGGCGATTCAGATCGTGTTTACGAGTCGGAAAACGACTGCTATCTTGAGTGCTTTGGAGCCGCTGCGACCCAGCGAGATTGAAATTAGGACTTCGAAAATTTGTGAATCAGGTGGGGATTTGTGGAAAGTGATTATCGAGAATTGCAAGAGGTTTCCGAAGTTGGAGCGGTTGCGGAAGCGGATGGTGAAGACGATTGCAACGGAATTACTGATGAAAGCGGACAGTATGTTGCCCAAGAAATTCTCTCGTAGAACAGATTTGCTGATCAGGAGTAGCGTTCCTTTATATTGACCACGTCCTCCCGAGATTGGATCAACTTGGGAGGGAAACCTTGATTGTAAAGGAATTGTCGAGAATCCCCATCGGTTTGATGAACATGTACGACAGCTTGCTCCATGACTGCCAGAGTTATCGTAGCGCTGAGCAATTCACTGCTTTGAAAACGCTGTTTGCATTTGCCTCGTACAGCATGAAACCCCTGACTCTGGGTGAGGCGCTGGCTATGTTGGCGCTCATCCCGGGAGGAACATCCGTAAGCTTGGAAGAAGAAATCGATACGCGGTGTTCTAGGTAAGGATGATGTTGAAATCGGACATTTACTCATTGCTAATAGTTTGCCAGGATTTTAGAAGTTGGGATTTACGATGGGGAACCTAAATGGGACGAACTTGAATTTGATTCCAGTGACGATTCCGCGAGCAGTAGTAGCGAGTCCGACGAGGAGATGTTGTACGAAGAACCGCTGAAATACGACAGCTGGATCATGTCGCCACTGAAATTTCAGGATCGTGTCATGCGAGAGTATTTCCGCAGTGCGGAGGCTGAGGGAATGGATCTGCGAAGCACGCCCTCATCTGCACATTTGAAAATATTTGAGACTGCTGTTCGCTCTCTACTTGTCACTCAGGAAGAGTTTGATGATGCTGCGGCAGGCGTGCATATCTGGAATTTTCAGCATTACTCAGTCAACTTCTGGCTGCAACACTTTTTGGCCATTGATGTCGAGAAGGCATCAGATAGCGACGTGAAAGTCGTCATCGAGTCTCTGCACAGCCTCATGGATTGTAAGAGGAAAGCTTTGAGGGCACTGGAGGTACGGATGTCAGTAATGCCGGATACCAACATTTTTGGAGAACATGGCTTCAATCTCCAGAAGGAATTCTTCGCACGGTTTGCCTTATGGATCAGGAAAGCAGCGGGAAGTCTGCCGAAAGAGTACAGTGACGAGATCATAGAGTGGATGCAACTTTGTAGCGACGAGGACGACTTTTTGATGTGGCTAGTCAAACAGCATATACAGAACTGGTTCGTTGCCAAGGATTACGGTGCAATTCAACAAGGAGCCAACTTTGCCATCAGCTCATTCCGCTTGGTATGTATCAAGATCTTTACAATCTAGGTGTAGATGCTAACAGTATGTAGACAGCAAAAGCGGAAGAAGTGTTCGACGAGGGCACCAGGAGCGGAGAAGAGATCACCATCATCGCCAATCTCTTCCCTGAGTTACAGAAGACAGCAAATGCTTTACTGATGATTGGACGAGCCTATCTCAATGTCGGCGATTACGAGAATGCTCTCGAGAACCTGGAAGAGAGTTTGATAACGGCAGAATCGGACATCGAACGATATGATGCTTTGTATCAGATCGCCAACTCGTACTTCATTCTCCTCAGTCCTTATGCAGATGAGGAGAGTGCAGAAGACAACTTGAGGAAGTGTTACGAGGCAATCGACAACTGTCTTGCGTTGTACCACGGGAAAGAGGAAGTAAAAAAATACAGCGAAAGCATCGACGATGAGTGGCAATATCAATGGTTGGTTACCACTCGTGCACGTTGTGAGGTCAAGATGGGAAATGTGGAAGCAGCTGTCGTAACCATGTTGAAAGTGGAGGCTGCCAACGAGTTCGCAATCTGGACTGAGATCCTGGACGAGATCATCGAACATTTTGAGAAGAAAGGAGAGTGGAAGAGGATCATCGAATTAGTCAGGAAGGTCCATGTGACAGAGCTGCGAGGGTGGCTAGACTACAATGGACTAGATCCCAATCGCAGAATCCAACGAGCTGCTTGGGAATGCAACGACAAAGATTTTCTGATCGGAACATACGACAAGATTCTGTCAGCCCCATACTACAAGCTGTACGGCGAACGGAGGTTCATTCAGAGCAGTCTTGCCCAGGTCCATAGATCTGTCTTTCCAGACTTTGAAGAATCGAAGAGACTGTGGCGCGAAATGTTCGCTGAGTACTTTCGCAAGTACAAGCATAATTGGGATACTGTAACCCTTTATGACTGTCGACTTCAGCTAGCCGATGTTCTGACATTGCAGTTCCGATCGACCAATCAGGGGACTGAGAAGATTGCGCTCTATGGGGAGATGAAGGAATTGGCATTGGAGCACCAGCTTGCTATGATCGAGGATTTCAATCCATATCAATCACAAACCTCCATATCGCTGGCGGTCATGATGCGCGTAATGGCATCATCTCAAGACTTCCAAACCCATATGGAGAAGACGTTCCAAAGCTGCATCGAGGCTCTAACGGATGAGACGACCGAGAATGACAGCATGGGGTTCCGTCAGCTAGCCAAAACGCTGGCACTTGTCCCTGGGTTGACTAGAGAAACTAGAATTGCATATACTCTTCAGTTCTTGGAGGTTTCAGACTACGATGCTCCTTGGAGAGACGAAAATGATGGTGACGCCACGAACGACTCTGGCGGCGAGAAAGAGAACCCAGGGTCTCGTTCGGCTGTGGGGTCCATTGGCTTTAGTAATGTCGACAACCGTTCTATTGGACTCCCTATTCGTTGCGGTGGATGTTCCACAGACTACTACAGCTGGAACGCTGGATCACTTTACTTCTGCATCATGTGCACTGACTGTCATCTCTGCGAGAGCTGTTGGAAACAGAGAACGAGTTGCAAGGATGCTGACTGGAAGAGTTGGAGACTGTTTTGTGGAGAAGATCACAAGTATATTAGAGGCCCGATTGAGAATTGGCTGGGTTTTGAGAAGGGCGTGATGAAATTTGTGGACTGGGATAATGGTAGCGTTAGAGATGGTGGCGAGGTGGAAAGCAAGAAAAGCAGAAAGATCGTGCAAATCACGTTTGAAGATTGGCTGAAAGAAGTCCAGTCGAAATGGGTCAATGCTTGGAAGGAATTTTGGACAACAGATAGCTTTGTGGTGGACGCGTTCTGATGGTGATCAGAACTCTCATCTTTTCATGGAATGTAGGAAAATATGATATGAACAAATTAGGCTCTTGTCTATACTACACAAAACACGACGAAAGGAATTTATTTTCATACGCAGATATTTGAAAGATTTATATCATGGATTCTGCTGACCGTTGTCCGAAGTGGGTAGGTCCTGTTCACCTTTGATTCCTTTAATATGCTGCCTGGACCGCTGTATGGCAAGCGAAATTCTCCAACAACAACGTGAGATGTGGGAAATATTTGTGTGAAGATTGAACAGAAGTGAACAAAAATAATGTATCGATGATCAAAAAATTGTCAATTTTGATTCAGAGGTCTTTTTGAAATGCTGCATCGCTGCTCGCCGTTTAGTTATGATTTCGCGTAGAATTCAAGGTTGGTGGTCCCCACCTCACATCTCCGACACATAGGAAATATTCCTCGAATCTGTGGAAAGACGCATAAAATTAGTTTCAAACCGAGTAATAAGTTTCTTTTCAAACTTGACGAGTTCTGAAAACTTGTTCCAATTAACGGTCCCAGGAATTGTACGTGCTAGCTCCGCGATTTCTCCGCAGCTTGCGCATTTGCTATAGTGAACATTTAGCGTCTCAGTCTCCAGTCAAGATTCTAATGGCGCGGCCGCACGATATACTAATTCTGGTTCTCATGAGGAGTCCTCTTTCGTTTTTCTTCCATTTTACACGATTGTCGCTATTTCTGTCTATGCTTTTGGAGTCTGCTCGACCCCACGGCAAACATATAATATATCATCCCTCGAGTTATACCACAACATCACGAAATATGGCAAGAAAACAGTACAAGCGGAGAGTTGGGCTGTGCGTCCTATGGCAGCAGTACGATCAAAACAGGTGCACTTCCGGCGACCATCAATGTGGTATGTACACGTGTGACATGTTTTACATGTTGACAAAGTGCTACGGGTTTGACGTGGATATTTTCCAAATCCCCTTCAGCTCCCCAGGTGATGCGTTCTTGAGATACATACAAAGTTGGATTCAGTTCTATTCGGACCCAGATACTGTTCTTGTGGTATTCTACGTTGGTCACGGGAGTTACATAGAGGACACAGGATTAATATGGTGTGGACTTGGTGAGGATGACTAGTAAGTTAAATACAGCCCAGCAATATTCCCTGCATCGAATGACCTGTTAATATGGGAATAGCGCGACAATACCAGACCTCAAATCTGTGAATAGCACGGATACATGGTTCTATCCCACCCAGGCTTTGAGAGACCTTGTGTCCGCGTCATCCGATGTTCTAATTCTCTTGAACTGCTGCTGCGCTGTACCCTCGACTATGGAGCAATGCTTATCAATACCTCTTCCCAAGCAAGGCGGTATGACTGAAATTATTGGTGCCTGCTCTATAAACCAATATAGTAGCGGTGGACTCGCTCAGCGCATTTATGACCTCCTGGACACTCATTACCGTTCTGGAAACGAGGTCACAGTCTCTGAAATTGCAAACAACATAAAACAGCAAAGAGCGAAAATGTCTCATTTGGCTCAGGAAAGCACTGAGATATGGTATGGACTTGAACCTCCTGTTGAAGCCTATCTGAAGCTTCACTCAACGGATGGAACGATTATCTTGCTGCCTACGTCGAGAATACATGTGAGGTTGCAGCGAGTTATCAAGGACAAAATCAAAGCAAAGATGTGGAAATTGGGGAATATCATATGTAGCCATATAGTTCGTTCTGGTAGCTGGTAGAAGATCTTGTTCTGGTACCATACAGATCAAGAGCCTTTGTCGATACTTTCAGATACTTTTCTTCGACTCATAGCAAAGGACGTCGGTTCCAAAGAGATTTATATACACATATCCTCTGCTAGCTGCTCTCTCATACTAACATCAAAAATAATAAGCACAACGTTTTCAAGTCGTGAAGAATGCCAAGCAACAGCTGTATCCTCAAAGAAACAGGGCGAATTAGCTAATGCCAACGGTGATCAGCAGGCAATATCTCTAGAAGACCAATATACGCGACGGTCACAATTTCGAGACTTGATGTCACTGGCATCCATGTCAGCGTCCCGTGATTTGCATTTTTAAAGAGCTCATGTATCATTTTGGCTTTGGAGTCTTACGCAAGATCTAAAACAAACATTCTCTGATTTAGTCTTGTCAATGATATCGACTTGTGCTCTTAAGTCTCCATATCCTGTTGTGCTTGGCCTGTCCAGGGTCGGGATTATCCTTCTTAGGCAGACTTCCTCTGCACATCGCACCCCGGACGAATGCGCTGAGACTCCTGGATTACTGGCTACACAGCTGCTGACTTGATTGGGGCTTTTTTGAAGCTTGCTGGGTTCTGCTGTACGACTCTTGGTGTGTGCCAAGCCCGCGAAGGTTTCTCGGAGCAACGTCGTACCTTATTTACAATTTTGTTCGGCCGCGTGTAACACGGATAGGAAATGCCAACGTGTCAATTGGTCAGCTAGTCTCATACTCTTCTCATGACTTTTTTTGAGCGCACTTTCCTCGCAATTTACAGTCTCTTCAATTCATTTGCATCACTACCTTCAAAATTTCAACCTTCTCAAAAGAAAAGAAAACACCAGCATCCCTGCCCTCGCTTAATCCTCCAACCACTCAGACTGCTGACCGCAACTTCCAGTATCAGATAAGATAACGCTGTCTGGGCTGGGCAGGAACCTTCATCTGGAATTTAGACTTTGTCCTTTTAAATTTGGATCTACATCGATACCGTGTCGCCGTCAAGATCCAGATGATACAATAGCATCAACCGCGATGGATTTCACAACCAGTCTTTTCTACCCTGAAGGACGGCGGCGACACGGTTCATGTGATCAATCGAAACCCCCAGCCACGAAGAGCCGCGTCTTCCGGAGAGCGCCATGGCAATTTTGGGCGATTGTCTGTCTGTTGATCATAGGAAGTCTCATATTGACTCTTGCGGTGGGCTCGTTCCTTGGAATGGAATTTGGAGCTGCTCTGTGTCATTTACGTGGGTTGTGGACCGGGTTCAGAGAGGTGAAATCCGGGGTAGCGGGGTGGAGATGGGGAGAGGTGAGTTCGCGATACGTGGTCCCAACATGGTGGCAGCCTCTCACTGGGTGACAGATTCAGCCTTCGAAGGACATAGTATGGTATCCATGCTATAGCAAGTTTGATTGTGCTAGACTAGAAGTGAGTTTTGCGGGCTGACAAGCGATGCGATGTTTCTTGATTATTGACATCCCTTCTTAGGTCCCCCTCGATTGGCTGGATCCATCTGATCCTAGACGAGCAACAATCGCGATTGTCAGACTCAATGCGACTGAGAGAGCAAACTACAAGGGCCCTGTGTTCATCAATCCAGGGGGGCCAGGTGGAAGTGGAGCTTGGTTCGTCAAGCGACTGGGACCATACTACCAGTATGTCGTAGGAAGAAATCATGTTGGTATTCCTTTACACTCCAGACTAATATGATATATTGAGAAGTTCAGGACATAATTAGCTTTGATCCTCGCGGAGTAGGAGCTACAACTCCCCATCTTAGCTGCTGGAACGCCTCAACATCCAGAACCTCATCCCTTCTCTGGGACCTTCAAGAGCCACCAGTCCTTGATGCACATCCTGGCACAATCTATGATAGCTATGCCCACGCCACAGCATTATCTGAACAATGTACAACTCAGCTCGGAGACACAGCTCGGTTCGTCAGCACTCCATCCGCAGCAAGAGACATGCTGCACATAATGGAAAAGCTCGGCGAATCTAAACTCAAGTACTGGGGCTTCAGCTACGGCACATTCCTGGGTACGACGTTCGCAAGTCTCTTTCCTGATAAAGTTGGACGGATGGTAAATGACGGGAATGTTGATGCGAGAGATCTTGTCTCGGGAGCTCCGACGCACTTTCTGCAGGATACGGATAAAGTCATGGATTCGTTCTACCGGTTTTGTCACCTTGCTGGGCCGAAATGGTGCGCTTTCTATGCTTCAAGTCCGGAAGCGATCGAGACTCGATTGGAGTCTCTGCTGGAAAATATCAAAAAACATCCTGTTATCGTCTCAGCATCAGCTTCCTCGAATCTTCGACCTGAGATCGTGACATACTCGAAAGTCAAACGCTTGATCACATCTGCACTTTACCGACCACTGGTGATGTTCCCTTCGCTTGCGGAGTCACTTGCTGCTCTTGAATCCGGAGACGGTCGACCATTCATCAGACTCACATCTCAAGGCGGTGAACAGCTGCCGGTGTGCGAGAGCCATCAAGATAATCCAACCAACCCAAGGAATCCCACCCCAGAAGTCCCAGAAGCTGAGGGCTCAGCTGACGCAAGAAAAGCAATCATTTGCTCTGACGGACTTAGTGTAGCGGATAATGTTGAAGGGTTCGAGACTTACGCGAAAAAGTTGCTGGATGTGAGTAGGAGTGCGGGTTCTTCGATGGCAAGCCTGGTTATGGGGTGTGTGGGATGGAAGATCAAGGCGAAATGGCAGTTCACAGGTACGTTTTTCTCACACACCCGAAGGCGGGGTATCTTCATCTCTTAACATGAGGATAGGTCCCTTTGAAGGCAACACTTCACATCCGATTCTATTCATAGCCAATATAGCGGACAACGTCACGCCACTTCGTAGCGCGATCGCAAATGCAGAGGGATTTCCTGGCTCTGTGGTCATGATTCAAGATTCTTACGGTGTACGCAGCCCTATCCCCCTCTGTTTCTTTCTTCTCTCGTTGACACGAAGCTAACACAACCCAGCACACCACACTGTCCTGTCCCTCCCGCTGCACAGCACGTACCATCCGAGCATACTTTCAGAACGGTACCCTCCCACCAAACGGAACCATCTGTCCTGCAGACATGGTTCCTTTCGAGCCCTGGGAGCTAGACTCAACTTCAGCTGAAGTGTCATTGATCCTGGGAGTGACGACGAGAAGTTCGATTTTGCGCTGAAGGAGCTGATGATGCATTGATGGCTCCCGTGCTTGGGTTTTGAGAGCTGTTCTAAAGCGGGAGAATTAGTCGTTCATTAGAAGTTCTCTTTGGTTAGATCCATGGCTATGGCTAGAGATCGTGATGGGGCGTTTTGGAATATTGGATGAGATGGGTGACTTGATGCTTTGCGACGATGCTCTTCGATTCTCTTCTACTCGGTGTTAGTACTTCCCATCATTTAGGTTCATTGCTTGCAATTAGACCATTAGATTTAATCTGTTGGATTTTTCATAAAATCACGAAGATGAGGTCGAAGTGAATGGTTCTTTGCTCGAGTTGAAGTATTTGCTCTGTCAAGCAGACAATATAGCTGATGCTACATATGCTTCCATCTTTCTGGTCATATCTCTATGAAAATGCAACCAATACAGCAATTCCCACCTTCTGTACTTTATCACTTCCTCCTTTTCTACTGTCCTTGATGCCACCATTTAGCATCAATCCTCAAAATAGCCAAAGCAACTCCACAACACGATCAACATTTCCCACGACCCTCTCCACATTCTCCCCACTATTCACACGCTCGACATAAATCTGCCTGACACCCACTCCATCAACTACACTCGCCTCCACCAACCTCGCACTGCTCTTATCTCCCTTTTCCATCGGCTCTCTCAAAGGCCCCCCATGATGCACAAAATTCCACGCCTCCCCATCCCACGTCTTCTCAATCTCTTCCAATCTTACTCCACCCTCTTTGATACCCTTGGTATACTCCACCACTGAAAAGCCATTACTCAGCACGAAATCATCCTCAAACGCCCATCGCTGAAACACGCATTCGAAACCACAGGCTTTTGACACGTTACTAGCAAGTGGGACATCAACATCGTACCAAGACCTCCAGTGATGAATTGTCAGCATGCGTCTGCCACTTTCGAAATATCCCGATGCATCTCCTTTGATGTCCATTTGGTTAAGCTCGTAATCGAATGTAGGCCGAACGGAGGAGTGAGCGTTCAAACACTCGTTGACAGCTTGATCACCTTGGTCATTCGGGATATTGAGGCAAGCTTCCCAGATCTCTGGGCGCACGAGTGATGCAGCGAGCGGGACGGAGATGAAGATTCCGCCGCCGCCGAAGGGGAGGGGTCCGTGTTCGCGGATCTGGGCGAGGCTGTCGGAGAGGGCGGCGATGAGGATTTCGCTGTCGGCATTGTAATGTGTGGAGAGGTGGTGGACGAGGTAAGGGAGGGAAGGGATGAATGTGTCGTCGTCGATGAGAACGAGCCATTGTGTATAGGGGGTGCGTGCTTCGTAGAGGGTTTTGATGAGATTGAAGTAGGATTTTGCGAATGGGGCGTCGGCGATGTGGAGAGTGAGGTTTATTGCTGCGGTGCGGTAGACAGATTCGATTTCCTGAAAGGTGTGCGAGGATGAGGGTGAAGGTTCTGGTGGGACTGAGACGTGGAGTTGAGCGTTTGAATGGGGAAGCCAGTGCTTAAGTTGCGAAAGTGCGAGTTTGAGGCGGGTGAGCTTGGTTGAGATACCGAAGGAAAGAATGGAGGTATCGACTTCTGGAGAGAGGGCTACGCTTAACGTCAAAGGTGGCATCTTTGAACACTCGATCTGTGTCAAATTGTCTTTGGCGAGGAGTTGAAAATCTGGTAGAAGAGGCTGATCGATGTAGGTCAACGTCGGTCGTTCTTTATCTGCTGATAAATAGTATGTTCTGATCCTTCGTTGAGCGTACTGGAATGTCGGTGTACCGACGTGACGAGCGATATGGGATAGGTCTTGTGTTGACAAGATAGCATCATGGGCTTTGTCATTGCTGAGAAGTGACTTGGCGTAGGGAAGAGCTGTATGCTTAATGGATCTTGTCGTCTGAGATGGAAATATCAATGTACTCCAAATTATGATGAGCAGTGTAAGACTGAGGGAGACTAGGAGACATCTCTGGCGTTGACGGGCGAGGTCGAGACGAGAGGAATTCATAACGAGGGGATGTCGAGAATACTCGACAATACTTAAGAAAAAGAATAAGGGGAAGGCCAGAGCAGAAGACTCGGTGAAATTGATGTTTTCTGGTCTGGATAGGGGCGACGGGTAGCTGCACTTCATTGGTTACAAGCGTGGTGTTGTTTGGACGAAAATGGAAAGGGCGGGTTCGCTTATTTGGTATTACCATTCTTGATCTCCTCCAGTACCTCCATTGCACCGCTCAGCTCCGCATTCGAAACTCGTGGACTCACGTTCGTTCGAAGATTCCAAATCACGCCTTGTTTGGAATACTTTACTCTGGCAAGTTCAGCTCATCTTGGTATTGATTTTGGTGCACGCTACCGGATGTCGGTCAGGTGAGTACGTGCTTAAGATATCTAAGCAATGGCTGGCATTATTTGATTCCTTATTCCATACTACAAGCCACATCTTTCATAAAGTGTTTGTGAAACCCGTTCTCATCTCCCCCTTCAGTTTGATCGGACCTGCACTTCAGATATTTAGGGTACGCAGTCCTTAACTTGCTCTATCAATTGTTGGCCGTGGCCAAGAGCGTCCAGAGTCAAAATCTGCACAGATGTCAGTACAAGATATCGTTCAGATTCTGAGAATACTCTTACGCTTTTCCGGGATTCGAATTATTCTGAATGCTCCTTTCGGTCATTGATTTCTCCTTCGCGAGCGTCTTGGATTTCTTGGCTGTCGTGATATTAGGAACTGTGAAGAAAAGAAGAAATCCGTCATGGCCCATCGTGAGATGTGTTTCATATCAAGTCTGCCAGATATGGTATGGTCACTACCAAGCAGATCTTCCATAAGCTCAAATTTGCCAAGATCTATCATGTTCATGATGGTACCGAACATGTCGGTCCCGAAAGTGAAGGTTTGCAGCTGCGGAAAAAATCCAAGAGAAAATTTCGGATTGCCAGGACCCTGAGACCAATCCAGATCCCATTGCGTGATCGATAGGTGTCTCAACTTCTCGGACAGATTATTCTGGTGTATCGAACTGGTAGTAACGCAGTGACATGGGTAAGAAACATCTCTGTTGGGTAGACGTCCATGGCCGAAAATGACTTCACCAGCAATAGAGTTCCAGAGGTGGAGAACGTCAACAGCAAAGTTGAAGTATGGACTGCGTCTGCCAAGAAACCCTCCAAACGGCTTCTCGTAGTAACGTAATCCCTCCCTGCGTGATTCCTGATTGACTTGGAGCATGGTTGGAACCTTGCCTCCAGCCTGGACGAAGACTTGAATGCAGCCTGGGCATGCATTGATGAAGCGGAATGGAACTATGGGTCTACGTACGCTTGGGTCGTAATGATCAAATTGGATCACCCGAGAAACGTGAGCGCATTCAGCCCAGATCATAAGTCTGACTTCGAGTGGCAGCTTCGTGAAATACTTGAACTTTCGGATCTTGATGCGGTTGCCAGTCGGTTCGACATTAGGGACGGGGGAGGGCTCAGACTCGGAATCTTTGGGATTATGATGGCGATGGCGATGGCGATAGCTATTTGCGAGATCTTGAAGCACCTGGTGGATGGTTTTGTATTTCAGTGGTAGCTTTTGTGAGAAGCGTTCAACCTCCTCAGAGTGGGGATTGGTCTTTTCAGTTCGGGTAGACATTTTAAAAGAGTATGAGGCTGTTTTCGTGGAGGCTAGTTTCTGGACAAGGCAGTACTGACGAGTTGGTGATCTCTGTTTTTGAAGTAAGCAAAGATCTGTAACCGTACATGCCCATACGTACCTCTTCTTGGCAAGGTTGAACAACAGGGGATCTGATGTCTCAGGACTGAAGATAGCAACTTGCAAATTGAATCCGGCTCAAGTAGTCTTCTACTGTCATTTCGCAAAGTCAGGCTTGGTCAGCAACGCACATTCGTCAATGGTCAAGCTCTCTCTCCACTAGCTAGAGTGCACACGAAGGGGCAGGAACATACGCCAAGAATCAACGTCTCAACACGGATGCAAGCTTGCCCGATGTAGATCGAACAATCACGAGCATTTGGGTACGTGAGTTGTTGTTCTGCTCTGCTGCGCGACAGCTTATCGTATTTGATTTCGCGACTAGGTGATCTATGTGCCAGTCTCCAAACCACCGCAAGAATCAGCGTATGAAGACGAATCGGTCGTCGCTGCACGCAGTTGTCGCTGCACGCAGTTGTCGCTGCACGCAGATCGAAGAGCAACAACGCGCGTCTGGGGTTGTGTAGTGATGTTCTGTTGCGTCACAGATTATCCTTGTTGTTTTCAAGAAAAGGTGATATTTGTGCGCTCTCGAGATGGAAAGAAGTCAACAAGGTCGCTTGCCAGGGTTACTCGAACTGGCCTAGCGCTATTTAAGTTCTGCCACTGGACTACCACAAATATCAATCACGCGTTCACTTGATCGCCTGATGACTGATTGAATAAAGCAAAGGTGACAATCATACATCCGCTGTAAAGATGGTGATAACGATGCAAAGACCGGAGGAGTGGGACAGGAAGCTGATGCATGGATCACGTGAAGAATCCTTCAAGCACGTCAAGCATTCTGTGATTTGTTGAACGACTGAATGGAGGAAATATTGTAATATTGACATAAAAAATGAGATGTCTCAATAACAACCTATCAGAAACTACAGGGTATTGAACTTCAAATACAAAAGCCAGTAAAACAGCCAACACCGTCCATGCCCAAGCTTTTGACCAGCTCCCATACTCCGACAGCAAAGAAATTATATGACAATTCAGCAGCGCCATCCAAATCCTACATCAAATTGATTTACGCTTCTTCCCAAAAGAACTCCCATCAACTACCACGGGCGTATGACTTGCCGTATCTTCATCGGCTAATATTCTCCGACACCTCTCCCTCTCACCCTCCAAACTCAGGCCACTCACTTCCGAAGCGTTATTATCACTCGTGAACGACGTCGAGTGCGATGAGTTGGATGAGCTTTCGCCACGATAGTCGATATGAATACTGGAATACTGCGCACAGAGGTACTCATCCACCTCCATGACTTTGGCCTCACCATTGCCAGTGTACCGATACTGCGGCTCAGGCTCCGGCGCCATCGATCGAGGGACCTGCTGCTCATGGGCTCTCCCCCGTGTGTTGATGCGCGGAGCACTGCGGACGCGTGATTCACCCGACTCAGAGCTCTGGGTATGTCTCGAGCCGCGACTTTTCGACTCCACGCCCTCTTTGGCAAAGCGAGCTTGTAGTGTTCTCCCTTGCCAGCTGAGACCGTTCAGGGCGTCGATGGTGCACTTTGCAGTGTAGTAGGATTCGAGGACGGCGAACGCGTGGCCTTTCGGGCTACCATTGGAGTGCCTGGCAATCTCGAGGTGTTGAAGGTGGTAGCGTGTGCCTTCTGGTGAAGTGCGATGGCCGGCCGTGCGGGGACTGCGGCTTCGCGTCGACGAGACGCTGGTGATGAGTTCCTGGAGGTCCTTTTCGCTGCAGCTGAGGGGGAGTTTGGTAATGATGATCTTTCGAGCTTCGGTCTTGATGACCTTTGGGGGTTGGTGGAGTTCAGGTTTTGGCGCGGGGCTGGGAGGTTGGGGGAGAGGAAACATCTGAGGGTGGTGTGGGGAGGGTGCTTGTGGTAGATGTTGCATTTGTGGTTCAACAGGGACCATGTATAGTGGTTGTTGCATCCGAGACATAGGTACAAGGACCATACCAGGCTGCATAGCTTGCATGTATTCATTCTGGGGAGAGAAGTTGTTGAAAGTTTGGGTTTGATAATAATGTGGCGATGGAGGTTGGTAGTACGAACTTTCGGAGAAGGATGGTGACATCGGAGAAGAAACCGCAGGTGATGAAGGCTGAACAGCCCACTATTCACAGTCAGTAGGTGACATTTGAGTCAGAACATTTCGAGGCGATTGGCTTACATTGGGGTAGAATTCCTGTGGGTGAGTTGAGTTTGCGTGCTGTAATACTGGCTGCCATGTATTCTGTTCTGGAAAACACTGACGAGATGGAGAAGGGCTTGGTGAAGTAGTATCCTTAAGCATCACTGGACAAGTCTCGTTACGGCCATCGGCCTGTAGGGTGCGGGCAGCTCGAGGGTGATCCTCCATCGCCGAATGATTCAAATGGTCTACCATCCAGTTAATCATGATAGTGTTCCATTCAATTGAGTGGACTAACTTACCAACTGCAGCTCGGAAATCCGCCAGTCCTTGAACGCTTACCCATCCACTGGTTGAAGTTGATCCAGGATAAACATTGGCCTGAAGGATTGCCAAGCCAGATCCATCAGGTTGTCGGTTTCGAGAGTGGTCTTTGAGCTTCTTCCAAGTTGTATTCCAAGGAAGATTACAGACAGGAATATAGTATACACCAGTTTTGGACCCGGGGGGCATCAAAGGCATGATTGAAATGTTTAAATTGGTGATTTGACAATTAAAAATTGGTAAACGAAGGCAAGGTTCGCGATTCTGGACGCAAGTGGAATAGAAGTAAGAGAGTAAAGAACGATCTGCAACAAGAAGCGAGCGATGTTGTTTGAGACCGATTCAGAAGATCTCGGGTTGTCTCTACTTATAAGCGATTTCGAGTCTTCTCAAGGAGGGGCCAACGTCATTCTAGACCTTTCTCTCTGCTTGTCTGCGTCGTCCCTTACGGAAATGGGGAGAAATGATAGACATTGAATGTGGATAATACAACCCCTATGGCGCTTACAATCTGTCCGAAATGTGGCACCCAGTTATCCTTCAGCGTTGCAGCAACCTCACCTTGTCAAGAGATTTCGGCTACCAAGATTTCTAATTGGTACGCAAGTATTTTCCTGCAAAGGTTCAGTCCATCAGGGATCCGCAGTTAGTGCATCCATTAGGTGCTATTTCTTTTTTTTTTCTCGAGCATGGATGAATCCATCTGGGGTGAGGCTCCAGCTTGACAAGCGGTCGGTCGTGCATGAGCAGCCCTCGACAGAGCAAATTGTAGCTCGGACGATGTTTTGTAGGGCACCCAAGCTCAGTAGGCTCGCCTGTGTGACCGCTGGTGTGGTGTTAAAGACGACTTAATTCTAAATTGGCTCTCCCCCACAGATCCCTTTCAATTCCCCACTTTAACTGTCATAATCCACAAGCCAGTTATATGCAGCCCACGAGACAGCAAACCTGGCTGTCGCGGTTCGGTTAAGTCAGAATATTTCAGCGAGGCCATTCATGAATAATACTGCCCATTTTAGTCCATCTTGAATTTGCTCTCCCTGGTCCCTTCCAAAGGCATCTGCACTGTCGCTGGGGTGTGTGTGGTGCGGATGTGATCCTAGATTCCCCTAGAGACCTCATGGATCTGGTGATTGAGGGGTAGCGGAGTAGTGCAGGTTGTTGTGACACCCATCATGTCGGTGGCCAATGTGGCTGCATGGGTCCATATCGAGGTTGCCCGCAACTATGTGAGGGATATCCACAGAGGAGGTGGGAGCGTTACTGCTTGACTGACTGAATGGTATTTGCATTTTTGTGCTGCCGGGATGCTCTGTGCCGGCAGGCCGTGCCCAAGTCATTGAGACATACTGTATGTGGGCGAGTGGATACAGCCTATACAGCCTTGAAATTTATTTGCTAGCGATTTCAACTGATGATGGTGCAACGGTCCTTCTGTATTGTTTGTGTTGACTGTATGGTTCATGGTTGAAATGTAATATGATATGTCGTTCTGTAATCCTGGGTGTGGTTGAAGTAGGCTTACCGGGTTGCCGCTAATCGAGCCAGGATCGTACACTAGAGCTTAGTGAGCCTCGGCAATCTACGCCGCGCTATGGCGAGCATTGAGCTTCATATTTGGTGAGTGGATAGGACCGGCCAGGGCAGGTCACGGAGTCAGGGCAGGGAGAAGGAGTCAGGAACAGGCATAGTGGCAGGTTAGATTCCAATTTCAAACTCGTCTTTAAAGTTCAGTATCGTTTATGCTCAATGCATAACACTCACCCTAAGCGATGCGATGCGCTGGCCTGGAGCGGATCAGAGTCCAGAACTCCCTCCTCCTTGAAAAGCCGCACACTGCGCCGCTTCCGCGCCGCATAGGCAGGTCTTGATCGAGGGCCAGTGGCTGCTAGATGACGTTCGCGAGCCTTGGAACTGCATCTCTCCACGTTTAAGGGCTTCCTAGTGGCATGTGGTGTCTCGGGTTGTCGGTGAGTGTACGAACGGAGAAAGAGAAGATCTGCTCCTGACTGTATGCGTCTGTTGGGACAGTGAGCTTTTTGCAATCCAGATATGTCGAGCTGCATTAAGTTCTAGCCAAATTCTAAGTTTTGACCAGGCTCGGCCCGTAAACATCCCATAAACGTTGGTGTAAACAACTCGAGACCTTCCACAACGCCGATCCTTGTTGGCAGAGGCCAGAAGCATGTCCCAATTCGTCGATCTGCAGCAGACTTTGAAGCAGCTTGAACAAACAGCGTCAAAAGGCAAACGCTTTAAACTAAGCTAGACATATGCCGGTCCAGAGGGGGGCGGGCCGTGTCTGAATCGCATCCGAAAAGCAAACAACAGCAAAGTGTTATGTGTTATGTGTTACCAAGACGGGCACGCGAACCATCCAATAGCGGTAACCCGACTGCTTTCCCACACTATGCCTATATCGGTCAAACATGCATTCAAGAAGTTTAAGAAGTACATCAGTTTTCAAAAAGGCAGCACTCAATTGGTCCGGACTGTCTTCCCGTCCCGCGCCATACGTTTGCTATTGTCCACTGTCCACTTCCTCCCAAGTGAGCGGTTTTTGATCCTCGACCAAGCCAAAATCCGAAGTCGAGGCCAAGTAACTATGAAACTCCGAAACATGCAAGATTCGATGTAGCTGAAGCCTACTCCGATCGTGTGGCACAAAGGATCGAACCTGGGCAGGTTGTGTGTGGTACGGTACGTCGCCAACCGAAGCCGAACCGTGTACCTGGAGAGCGGTTCCGACAAACCCGGAGATTGTAGCGGAGGGACTCCGAAGCATCAGTTACCAATCACTAAGCAACGCTCAAACTACTTGCTGTCCTGCTTGATTATCCCTGCGGTGAGATGCATCTTCGCTCTATGGAGGTACTCTTGCGCAGTGCAGTTAGTACTGGAAGCAAAATCCCCTCTGGCGAGAAGCCGTCAGAAGCCTCCACACCTTGGCAACAGCTCAACCGACTGAAGCCATTGAAGAATTGGACTTATATCCTTACTTGCTATATAGCAATCCACTCGAAATACAGCTAGAGCTATTCCTCAACGTTCGAGACTGGAATTTAGAAGGGTCCAGACTCCAGGCCAACAACCTAAATATGGAGCATCTCACATGTCGGCAAGTTCCGATTCAAGGAGGAAAGTTTAAAGGACTGACTTTCAGAACCCAGCATATTCTATTCTCGTCTGGCTTATGAACGATATTTTTCGGGTCAAATGGAGCGATCCAGTGAGATCTTCCACCCGCACGACGTTCGTTGACCCACATCAGAATATCTCGAATGTACAGAAGAGGCTGAAAAGCGAAGTGACAACGTCATGCTCTTAATACCAAACCTGCTTCTGCGCTACGAAGCAAAGGCGCTGATATCGGGGTTTGGACGCCTTCACCACGCCAGAACTGGATTTAAATTTCGAAGCACGGGCGCATCTTGACGCTACAGCCACGGTGGACTGATTGGAGTGAATATCCATTACTCCAATATTATGCTCTCGAAATCAAAGCCAGTTGCCATTATCTGAACCGAAAAGACCCGAATTGATTCTCTCTCGCTCAATGATATCAGTCAATGGAAGGAGATTGCAAGATGTCACGCGACACTACCCCTTTATTCGATGGACTGACATGATTTTCTCCACCCCATGGGTCTGATGAACTGCCTGCCGGGGTAAATCTCCTAAACCCTGGTTGTGGATATTCCCGCTGTCAAATGCCATGAACGCAGGGTTACAGTTCCACAGTGCAGTGACCAACCCACGTGGTGGTGTGGTGCTGCTCCGCTATGGTTGCGACCCAAGGAATCCTCCCGAGGACCCCAAAACTCTGAAAACCCCTGAGACCCTTACTGTGCGATAACGTGGGGGGTTGCCATTGATCGCTCATCTTCAGATCCAACCCTGCAGATCATGCTTTGCAGATTTTTCGATATTCGGGCTTTGATGTCTCAGTGACTGAGTAGGACAGGGCAGGTCCGCTTTCGTATTCGATCGTGGATACTATTGGCTGAGAGTTTGTTGGAAATTATCGTCCCCAGAATATCGATGTGAGATTTTCTCGTTTCTTGATATACTCTCCCTGTTTACGTTTCCAGCAATTTATCGCTCAGAGTTTTCCCAGGCTCCTCATCGTTTACCGCCCTGGACCATGGAGGCGAATATTGGACGCCGATGGAACACTGCCATTGAATGAGAGGGCCCCTCTTCCATGACTATCACTTTTCTGCATGTGGAAGGATTGTCAATTCACTTCGCAATATATATTCCGAATGCGAGACTACGGAATTTTATTAGCAGTCTAGGAATTGGGAATAATCTCCAAGATCTACCCTTCAAGTCAGAGAGCCGGTGATCATGGTGCTTGATCTCCACCGCTTTGCCACGGCTCCAGATTAAGAACATCAAGCGATTCTCGGTACGGCCGGCTCACTTCAATACTTCAAGGCAGCTGAGCTTAACGTGCATGAACGATTGCCGAGGCAATGGTTCTGTGGCCGCCACTACATGCCAGAGACTTCAGCCAGATGCCAACATTTCGACTCCTCGTACGACTTCCTTCGTTTGCAAGACATCATGACGGAGTCGGGGGTTGATGTGATAGTCAACAGCTTTGTGTATGGATGACAGATCTCAGGTCAATTTCTGTCACTGCATATCCACGTCCAAGATTATCATGACCAGGATTTCTCATGTCCGAGCGGCCACGACCGGCCACGAGGTGCTTCGATGAGCTTCATCCCTTGTGAATATCATCGAATCATTACAGATCGGATCTTAATGTCCATGAGACACTGGTCTGGGAAATCTCAATTGCCCTTTCTGGAAGTGAGAAATACGCACAGTCTGGGGTGCCATGCAGTATTGAACTTTGTGCAAGTGCATGATTATAGCTTTCTGCCCTTTTCTCGATGTTCCACTACGATCTCCACTCGATGCTACCGTCAATCGTTAGCCTGGCTAGGAGTCTTCTGCCACATGGTTTTTTAACAAGGTAACAAATCGACTGCGCTTGCAGTGGATATACTCATTTCCTGTACTTTGTCTAAAGGAGTAGCAGTTGACGGAAACCGCCGAGAAGTTGTTGATTCGTCTATTTACTCCAAAAAGAGATACGATGAAGGTAGGTTAGATCAAAGACATTCTTCCCGAGCCACTTATGGCAAAGGCGTGTTCCATTCCTGCCCCTAACGTTTACCATCGGAGTCGTCAGATCTTTGCCCCTAGCATTGTTCTCGATCGCGGACATGGCTCCAGACTCTGCTCAAATACGAACTTTGAAGCTAATGAGAGGCCTCTCATCACTTGCATAGCAATACATATGCATGACCAGCGGGCAATATTGGGAGTCCAAGTCCAGGAAGTGCCAGGTTTGCCTTGTGATCTTCTCTCCGGGCGGTTAGAGAAAGGAAAGTATCTTTAGACACGGCTTGCATACGAAATCTTGTTGTTGTTCAGTAATTTGAATCGATGGGTGTTGTCCTTCGTACCATTTTGCATCCCGACAAAGCTGTCAAGTGCTGCTTTTGCGTAGGAGGAAAACCTTCCCGGCTAGGAAGGGGGCAAGCCGCCAGGGCACCATGTATCGAGAGCTCTACAGCATCGCAGGGCGTGGCGAGTAGAGATACTCATAAATTTATCCCTCCAAGTCTGTGGAAATTGCAGTTTCAACCATGCATCTGCCGTCTCTATCGCTGTTCATAGCCCAGCAATCCGGCAATGAAACCGGGTAAACAAAAGCGGCTGCATCCGGGCTTCCGATGGTGCGAGATGCGGAGAACCGAGCATATCTTGTTGAGTCTATCACGACAGTTACAATCTCATCTAAGGCTAATTGCATCCTGATGAGGTTTGTTGCCAAGCAGAGATGCAATTGCCTAATTTCGAGTCCACTATGGAAGCTCTGTATTGCCTGTGTGAATAGGCAGTAAGTCATCAGAGATACTCCTCGAGTTCATACTTTTACACCTGAAATCCAAGATTTGTGTAGTCATGAAATCCCATTCTTCACCTTATGTCACAAGTGAGATAAGACCTCACATTGATCCTGCTGTGAGAGCCACATACCACAACAATGCATCTTGTCTCTTTCTTCCTCCTGGTACCCTCCATCCCTCTCGTTTTCGCAGCTCCTGAAACCCACCTCCAAAAACGAGCTGTAACACTAACCATCGACGTCTCCAAAACCTACCAAACAATCGACGGTTTCGGCTTCTCCGAGGCCTTCCAACGCGCCAACCAAATCGTCAACCTACCACTCCCCAAACAACGCCTCGTCCTCGACGTCCTCTTCAACACCACCACGGGCGCCGGCCTCTCCATCCTACGAAATGGTATCGGCTCCTCCTCCGACTCCCGCTCCGATCTCATGAACTCCATCCTCGTCACAAAGATGTCCAGCCCGTCCGCAACACCAAACTACACGTGGGACGGGAAAGACTCTGGGCAGGTGTTTGTTAGCAAGGAGGCGCAGAAATATGGTGTGAAGACTTTCTATGCCAATGCGTGGAGTGCGCCGCCGTTCATGAAGACGAATGGGAATGAGAATAATGGCGGGTATCTGTGTGGTGTGAGTGGACAGGGGCAGGGCTGTGGGGATTGGAGGCAGGCGTATGCGAATTATTTGGTGCAGTATGTGAGGTTTTATGAGGGGGAGGGGGTGAAGATTACACATCTGGGGTTCTTGAATGAGCCGGATTTTACGTGAGTTCAACTTTGTTTCTCATAATTTTTTTTCGCGAAAATCTAGATCTTCGAATAGGAGGATCAATGATTGGTAATGGACTCGGAAGGAAGTAAAGAGTTGAAACCGATGGCGAAAGTAAACAAACCTCCAAACACACACAAACGCGCTAACACCCTTTCCTTTCCTTTCCACAGCGCAAGTTACGCATCCATGCTCTCATCCGGCACTCAAGCAGCCGATTTTATCAAAGTTCTCTACCCAACTCTCAAAGCAGCCAATATGTCGCACATCGCCATAACATGCTGTGAATCCACCGGCTGGAGCGACACCATCAACAAAGTCTCGCAACTGAAAGCGGCTGGAGTGGAGAATCAGCTGGGTGTTATAACTTCGCATACTTATACGTCTAATTTCAATGGGCCGTTGAAGACGGCGTTGAAGGTTTGGCAGACGGAGTACTCGGATTTGAATGGGCAGTGGACGATGGCCTGGTAGTGAGTGTTTGCTCCCCTTTCTTTGCTGGTTGGAACATTTTCGGTTTTTACGTCCGGTGTTTCTCTTCCGCTGTTTTCGATTCCTTATACATGGATGGACGTCACAGCTTTCCTTTCGTTTCCTCGATGAGCAAAGCTAACGCGGATGGTACACTCAGTCAGAACGGCGGCGCAGGTGATGGAATGGTAAGCAGGAGCCCCTTCCATTTCCTCATAAATGCAATGACATCCTTATAAAATCTTACAAAGTGCTTTATTTATATTCCTGTTTCAACTCTTGGGAAAGCTCTCATACTAACTTCACATCTCCGTACACGCAGACCTGGGCCAGCACCCTCCACAACGCCCTCGTCAACAACAACTGCTCCGGCTACCTCTACTGGGTCGGCACCCAATGGGGCAACACCAACGAGAAGATGATCAAGATAGACGACACCACAAAAGACGTACAGATCAGCAAGCGGGTCTGGGCTTTCGCGCAGTACAGTCGGCATATCCGGCCCGGCGCAGTGAGAGTGTCTGCGACGGGGGCGCCGAGTGGTGTTAGTGCGAGTGCGTTTGTGAATGATGGTGGTAGTGGGAGTTTGGTCGTGCCGGTACTGAATACGGGGACGGGGAGTCAGAGTGTGAGTGTTAAGGTTGGAGGGGGGTTTGTGGTGGGGGGTGTGAGTGCGTGGATTACGGATAATTCGAGGGAGAGTGAGTTTGTTCTTCCTTTTTTGTCTTTCTGACTCGGAGTCTACCTTGCTTGTGGTCTTCTTCTCATGTTTTCATTTCTATATCTGCCAGGAGTTACGCCCCTAGTTTCTTTTTGGCTTTCTTTGTTTTTGGTGGAATCGTCGTGATGTCTCGTTTGATGGTAAAAGCCTAGTCAACTCTGTACTGACTTCGAGTTCCTCTACAGTGGCGAAAACGGATGCGGTGCTTTCGGCTGATGGGTTGGTGACCGGCACGGTGCCTGGGAGGAGCTTTGTGACGTTTGTGCTGACGAAGTGAGGAAGTGAGGTGCTGTGCGAGTGACAATGTGGTTATCAGATCGAATTGAATCAGCAGCGCGCGGCACAAGCTGACCATTGTACAAGTTGACCTGTGTCTTTCTACTTCTTGCTATGCCAGTCTGATTTACTTTGGAGAGAGATAGAGGTGAAGCTTTCCTTACTGATACAAGATCTTGCAGCTCGCTCGCTCGCTCATCCATAACCAGGAAGCTGTCGGCTTGATTCCCAACTGGCTTTCTACACCTTGATGCCTGAACCTCCTCCAGCAGTAAGAATTAAGAGAACATGATTTCATTAAAGGCATCTCTTGGTCTTTGAAGTGTTCAGCTTGTCTATAGCAAAATGGACTTATTGACAGATATATAGTAAAGAAAGCAACGTACTTGCCCGTGAACAGAACCAGAAGAAAGACATAACCGGATTTCTCAGACAAGTCTCTAGCCAAGATGTCAGTTGAGATGTCCATTTCAAGCTTACTCCTATTGGGCCATCCTCATTCTCACGCTCGACACCAAAATGCAGGAGGAGGAGGAGGAGGAGGAGGAGATAAGTGCAATCTCCAAGAGTCAACCGACAACATTCTTAATACGCCGACCACAGTCTTGAGAGCTCCCCAGATAGATGGAGATCGAACCCATGTCGTCTGCTAAGCAACTTATAGTGGAATAGGCATTTGCACTTTACCCACAAGTAGCTGCGCCGTACAAAGCTGCAAATGAGATTGACAGCAGAACGCCTGAAGAACACACTAGTAGATGAAGAATAGACAATCATATGCTGGCTGTATGAGACCCACCGAGACGGAAATCCGAGAACCCAAGGTCAGAGCCGAGTAAGCCATGCGAGGGAAATGACTGCAACTTCCCTCCTGTCTAAACTTTAACTTACACATAAACATGAGCGATGACTGGGGGAACAAAAGCAGTCAGTCACTGTTCAGCTACAGTAGTACTCGTATCTCGATGTGAGATGAAGTCATCCAAACACCCTTGCCCTGCCCTGCACACCTTCTAGAAACGACTTTGGCGAGTCTACTCTGTAGATCAATCAACACCCCCCTGGTCACACTGTAGATCTTTTCCCACCCATCTATACCTATCCCCTGGTAACCATGTAAGTAAATTTGCCATACGAGTAAATTACGCCAGAATATTCCACACAGTAAGTGAGGTTACATCAACCCCACCTCCCACCCTGCCTCAAGCCAAAAAGGTACGCAATCCGTACTCGTACACTGATGGTTTACCAGATAAACCACTCTAAAATACAGTACCGTGCAAGACACAAAACATGCAACATGACGATTTCCATGACGTCCAATCTCACCACCCCACCCCATACAGTATCGACTCTCGACTCTGATCACGCTCTAACTTACTCCTCCTCGCCTCTCCTCTCCTCTCCTCTCCTCTCCTCTCCTCTCCTCTCCTCTCCTCTCCTCTCCTCTCCTCTCCTCTCCTCTCCTCTCCATTCCCTCTACCCCCCCAACCCCGCGATAAGCTTGTACCCGTGTATCCCTGTCCTGTACACTTCATCGTCATTATTCTCCCAAGTCATCCACGCCTCGTGTATGTATCTATTCATCCAGCACTTTCCAAATCTAAACCGCTGCCCGCACCCCTCCTTTCTGTTCCGTCTCTATCTCCACCTCCAGCTACCTACCTACCTTACGAAAGCAGAAACCTACAGTACTAGTAGGTGCATGGGTACATGGGTGGGTGAGTTGCGTAGGTGGTGTGTGCGATATCCTCGTAAATCATCATAACCCATATTATTTACTACTGTATTTACTCTCATTGGCATCCTGTTGTCTTGTCTTGTGTGCAGGTCTGTACAGTACTGTATGTAATCTTACGTAGTTTGGAAGGGCAGATCGCGTCGGGATGCCCGTCCGCTCCCCTTCATCTTTCATGACGAGTCTGCCCTGGTCTGGACCCCTCTTTTTCATCGTCCTGTACCCCTGACGAGAAACCTGTTTTTTTTTCCTCCTTTGGCCTGTCTTTTCTCCTGTCTGTCTGGGGTGGTAAGCGAGGCAGGGCGGGGTGGCGAAACGCAACGGCGGGATGAAAAGAAAACATGAGGAGGGAGAGAGAGGAGGGGCAAATGCCGATGTGAGCCGACTGTGCTGTGCTGCGGATGGGTCGATGGGATGATGTGACGACGCACCACGTAACATAGGTAGCAGACATTGTAGATGGGTTTTATGAAATTGGTAGATTGGTAGATGGGGAGATGGGTGACTGAGGAGGACGATGGGTAACCGAGGACTTGTGAGGAGAAGGATGGGCTGAGGATTTGATGAGGTAGAGTGAGAAGGTAGAGAAGTTAATATATAATTGTCGAGGATGGAAGAAGGGAGAAGAGAGTAACGACATTCAAAGAAAGGAAGCAGTGATTGCTTAAAATGTTTCTTCTTGATATGGTTGGTATTATACAATACTAGTATAAACTCATTTAACCCTGAAAGCATGCCGACTTCTTATCTATCTGTCTTGCATTCCACCCCGCTGTTTTTGTGATCCCATGTTTTCCGTCTCCTCGCTCCCAAGTATACATACGGAGGATATATCCCATCGTTCGTTCAATCATTCAATCATCTAAACGCCGAAGGCGCCATCCCATCCCAATCCTAATCCATCTATCACCACCAGGTATCAAAACAACATACTCAAACACGTCCATCAATCAACCATCCAGTAAGCCCCTACTCCTCACTCGCAGCCCTCACCACCGAGCCCTCCCCAGAACTATCACTCCTACTCGACTCCCTCACCAACCCACTCCCCATCCTCTCCCTCTCCATAGAACTCAACCCCACACACCCATCATCCACACTCCCCATGCGACTACAGCCAGGACTCACCCCGGAGAAACAACTCCTACTCTTCCCACCATCAATACTATCCCTCCCCTCCCCACAGACCTTCCACTCAAACGCCCTCAACACCTCCTGCTCCTTCTTACTCCCCAACTTCCTCCTACGGCCATGCGGCCTCGCCGTCGGCGCATCCCACTCGTTCTGGTCCTCGCGCTCCCAGGATTCAATCCGGCGCCTGTATTTGTCTTCCTTGGAGCGCTTGCCCCATGTGAGGGTCTTGGTGAGTGTGAGCCGGGAGGGGGTTTTCGACAGTGGGAAGGTGGGTGAGGTGGATATGTGGGAGGAGGTGGTGGTGCTGTGGTGGGTTGGGGAGTGGGTGAGGTTGTCGATTGCGGTGGGGGTGGTGATGCCGCTGTTTGGGGCGGTGGATGCGGCGGAGGAGGAGGTCGAGGAGCGTTTTGTGCGGGTGAAGAATCCCATATTTTTTTTTGGAGGGTGGTTGTGTATGTTATTTGAGTGCGGCCGAGTTTATTGCAGGTCAGAGAAGTTGTGAGGACTCGATGTCTTTTGTGAGATGAGAGTGACGGCACTCGGTGCAACCCTTCCGCTGATCAATTGTGGAGGTATCGGCTGGATTCGTATCTCGTTTGTCGTTTATGACCGAGGTGAGGCGCAAGGATGAGGCTGTGTGGTGTTTTGTTTGCCGGGTAGGTGGTACGGAAGTATCTCGAAACTCTTTCAAGGCGAACTCAATTCGAATTGAAGAGAGAAGAGTGGAGGTGTTTTGTAGGCGGAAGCCGCTTCTTCGTATATGACAGAATTCCTTGCTTGCTTGATCGTCTGCAAGTTGTCTTAGAGGTTACAGTTCGGAGCGGAGGAGTACAGCAGGCTTGGCCTTGACGTACGATCGACCAGAACACGAAAAGACAAGAATGGTTGATTTGAGTGGAGAGTTGGAATGTTGGATAACGGTAACTGAATACGTATCTGGGGAATCAATGGGGGATGGGGGGGAAGCTATACTTATGTATGGCAAGGTATGTGTGTATGAGGTAGGTAGGTAGGTAGTAGTGGGTATGGAAAGAGAAAAGCCGCTGATTTCAGCGTGAGGAGGATCCTACACGAAAGGAAGCTGTGCTGCTACTCATCTAGCCCAATTCCACCCGACCCCTCCCCTCCCTCTTCCATCCCGCATCCCCACCATTCGCAATCTCCAACCAGCCATCACCCTCAGATTGCCAGCCCCCTGTCCCTCCTCACACCTGCGCCCTGCCCTCCAAAAAACGCCAGGCAAACTGAGGCAAGTTTCTGATCCCTACCTCCTATCTACATCCTCCCACAGTAGCTCCCCCCTGTCTTTTCATCGTCAGTCTCCCTCACTACTCCCTCCCTCTCCAGCTCCCACAGCCTACCAAATCCGCCACCCAGGTCCAAGTTGCATCGCAGTTGCGCAACCAGGCAACCCCACCAAACGCCGACTCTCTCCAAGCCATCGTCCCATCCAATCACAGCACCCCTCACCACACAGGTTTTTCCGTTGCGGCTACATGGGGAAACCCGGCTAGACTGAGCCCATCGGTCAAGGCCGGGCTCACGGGCGAGACCAGATCGATCTATTTCTTCCTTGCTGCACGTGAGATTTCCCCTACTGTACAGTACACGCGAGACACGCTAGAGATCTGCGCGATTTCTTTTTTTCTCTGGTAGCGGGCTGGTGCGCAGACAGACCTGCGATTTTCAGCGAGGGTTGTGGCGAAATTCCTTGAGCCACCACCACCACCACCACGACCAGGAAGGACATTTACGGTCCGTCCGTCACGGCGGGAATATGGGGAGAAGCGCCGGGTAAGTTTTGTTGGGGAATAATGTTAGTACTGTAGAGGGAGTGTTTAGGCCCGATTTTGTGCGGGTTAGGGGGGCGGCGTTTATCGTTGGTGTTTTGGGACTGGATTTGGGGGAGATTTGATGGAGTTTGCGGGTGCTGCGTGGTGATGGTGCTAGGTATGGAGAACTGGAGTTGTGGAGGATGAGGAGATGAGGAGATGAGGAGATGAGGAGATGAGGAGATGAGGAGATTCATTGCTTGACTGCTACTAAATTAACTACCTTACTATCACAACTACTGGCCCAACTACTACGCTGCGTACTGATACTGGAGATACTGGAGAAGCTGGAGGTATGGAGTGAGTTCACTAGGTAGCTCGGGTGGGTAGGTAGGTAGGTACTGCTGATCGAGATCTGGAGATGCGGGTTTCAAGATGCGGGATACTGCCCGCGATAGCGGCTTTTTAGCCCTTTCGACGTTCTAGAAGCTCTCTTCGACGCCTCTGTTGAGATGAGATTTCCTGTCCCAGTTTCTGACCGCGTGTTTGAGGCCAGTGGCTTTTTCTTTCATTCTTTTCTTGCATTCTTTGCCATCCATCTATTCCTTTCCTCCCGTGGCCTTCCCATCACGCTTCAACTCTTGCTTACCTTATCTTCGTTTAGTGAGGTAAGAACCTAGATGTAGGTAAATCTCGAACTTGCCTACCCACCCACTTGGAAGTAAATCTGCAGAACTTGATACTGTAATGATCATTAAGCGAATGAATAATACAGTAAAAACGATCTAAGACAATACTGTATTATTGGAATGGTATTCGACACCCTGCCATCCCCTTCAAAGTTCTTCCCCTCATTCATGAGACAGACATCCCGTCCTCTCACTCCACCTCTCCCAGCTAGGCGGGAAATACCTTATTCCCGCCTACCTTACCTTACCTTACCTGCCGGCCCAAACAAAAACACACTACAGTACTTGTACTGTAAGATAGTCTTGGCAGAGTACCTATGAAGCCCAACAGCAATCTCCCCCTGCGGGAGCAGCCCCCGGAGGGCCAGCGGAGCGTCACCACACTCCTGAATCAAAATAGTATAGTAATCAGAACCATGAGCAGAAGGACAAGTAGGAAAGCATTTTTCAATTCACGCTCAGCCAACTTGCGTTTTGATATAGATTGAGAGGTAAATGGTACATTTAACGCCGACTACTCTGACCCACGCGTGCGCGACAGAGGGTGTATCTGGAATCAAACCTTGTGGTGTAACTTACCAGGTGGTGGGCGTATGTCGAGACCTTAGGATCATGGCACATCTACGACCTAATGCGGCTGAGAACTTGGGAGTTTTCAATCAAGGGTAGTGTTGTAGTTTATACGTTGGCTGATATGGTATGGTAAGACTATTGGGATGTAGAATCTGTTCCATTATTTGGTGGTGTTTAAGGGGGAGGACAGCAGCTGCAAGTAAGTCTCTTCCCTCTCAATCTCCCCGTCAACCTCCCCATCTCCCTCCTTCATCAGGAACTCTGACCTTGCTTGCCTTTACTCGCCTTTACTCACCTCGTCAATTCAATTCAATTCAATTCAATTCAATTCAATTCAATTCAATTCAATTCAATTCAAATTCAATTCAATTCAAATTCATGCCCTGAACAGACTAAATCCTTTAACCATCTTCCTCATCCCAGATGAACCATCCCAGCTCGCCCAGTCATTGCGCTCGCCCAGTAGTGCGCTCGAGGCTAGCAGACCGCAGACAGCATAGCATGAACGACATGTGTGTCAGGTGGAGACTTGGATCAGACGGGTTCTGAAACGCGATGGGGGTGAGGGGGAGGGGTGGAATATTTAGGCGAGATTTTTTTGATGGATGGATGGATGGATGGAGAATAGGGAAATAGGCGAGGGAAAAAAAAAAGAGGCGAGGAAAAGAGTTGGGATGGTTTGGGGGCGTGGGATGGTGCGTGCGTACGGAAGCGGCTGCGGGAGAGAGACGACTGACGACAGATGACAGATGATAGACAGATGACAGATGACAGACAGATGACGGATGACGGATGACAGACAGATAGATATTTGGTGTTGGGGGAATTATGGAGGTAAGAAGATTCATCGCAGTTCTGATATTTACTGTGCAGTAGGCTAGGAGATGGAGGATGAGAGAAGGAAGATGAAGTTAGGTCGAAAGTACTGTAACTGGTTATAACAGATATTCAACTGAGGAAATCACATATTTGTATAGGAGACTACTGATTTGCCATTCATCAAACGTCTTCTTCATACACTACGTATAGATAGACATAAGACATGAGATAGGTATCCTAACTGTGCGCATAAAGAAGCAGATAAAAACTCCAGCCTCGGTTCTACCGTCGGCGTTTCCCACCCCATCCCGCCCAATCCCATCCTCTACCCGCCAACCCACTCCCAACCCCCCAATCCAATGAACAGGTTACTCAATCAAGAGCACCTGTATTATCTATACATACTTACATACATGGGAAAGAATAAAAGAGGCAGATTATCTACCCTCCCCGAGCCCCGAGCCCCGAGCCCCAAACTCCAAAAATCAGATAGCCTTCCGTTCGGTCTCAGTTGGTCATGACGCGCACGTGAAGCGGAATCATGCGATGACAACGACGTTGAACTGGTTCTGATTCTGGTTTGTGACGAAAAGCTGCTGGCTTGGCTGGATGATCAGCGCAGGATCGATGAATCCCCGCGAGTTACCGAATGTTGGCGCTGCGACACCGAATGGATACAAGTTGATTCCTTGAGCCTGGAGCGAGACGTTTCCACCTGGAGTATACGATCCGAACTTTGGTGCTGCGAAGCTTGCTGAGCTGGCGGCTCCTGATGGTGAGGCGGCTCCCTCAGCGGTAGGTGTGGGAACGTTGAAGTCGCCGATGTTCATCTGGGAGACTTCGGTGATTTGGACGAAGATTTGCTCCGAGGCGGAGGGGTTGCTTTGGATTTGGCGGGTGAAGTAGCGGGTGTTGCGGTTGTTTTGGTCGCGGTTATCATTCACTTGTGTGAGGATGACTGCGACGGTGTTCTGGCTGTGTTAGTCTTGGTTGCCACACAAGCGCGAGAGTTACATACCACGTTCGGGTTCACATTCAGGAAAGTGTTGATGCGGATGTTGTCGATGGCAAACTGCAGTTGCTGTTGAGCAATGAGTTGTTGCTGGATGGCTTGAACCAAAAGAAGCTCTGCTTGTAATTGCAACTCGGCGAGTGCTTGAGCATTCGATAGTTGCAGGATGGTGATCGTCTGCTGCTGGATGATCACTGTGCTATCAAATCCACTGACGAAGTTTGTGACATAGTTGTTGCTTCGTGGAGTGACAGATCTTGGTGTCCATTGAAGTCCCCGCGCAGCAGGGGCCCCCACTTCCTTCTCAAATCTCGAGTGCAGATGAGGAGCTGGAATATGTCAATGAAGCTCACTTCATCAAAGATGGAATACTAACCAGCTGAAGCAATGGCGACAAGGCCGAAGATGGACAAAGTGTTGAAGAGCATGATTATGATTGAAGGATTGACTGAAGATTCAAGATTAAAGAATGTTTTGTAAAGATTGTGGCGGCCGCTGGGGCGCTCGGGAAAGAATGAGAGAGTTCGGTGGGAGGGAAGGTTGAAGATGAATGCAGTGATGGACAGAAAGTCCCTAGATGTAGATATCGTTTAGTTATTATACTCGCCCATTGTCTTGCTCGCCGTCCAACCCTGGATACGATCTTTCCGGAACCATTGTTTTCCGTCTCTTGAACTTACCCCATGAGCATAATCAACCCCCAGTTGGGCTCTTCAGATCAAGGGTTAGCCCCTCTATCTTCCTCACCAGAGCTCAATGCGTTCAATGAAGATTTTCAGCCTACCAAGAGAAGACCCCATCCCCGCTGTGGGTATGATTCACAGAAGAGCTCGACACAAGCATAACTGCCAAGCCGGTACCAAAGGCTATCGACGTATCTGATGTCGGGCCATGCACCGTTGACAACCCCACGAGGTGAAGACGGGATGGCAGGAGAGCGTAGGAATTGAAGCTTAAAAACAGAGTTGACCAATTGAGGGCCTTGAAGAGGATGGTGAAACGTCGAGGCGCAGAGGCTTGGCAGCCCTACACCCTGTCGGTCTCGAGACTGTATCGAAACCCGCTCGGTATCAACGACGACATATCTCGGGTCTTTCGCAACGTCGATCGTGAGAGATGGCCATTTTGGTATGGTTCAACGTTGTATTAACATGCTTAAGTTGATAAGACATAGAACAAAAACTGGGACATGTGGACCACACCCAAGGAGAAAAAAAATCCGATGTCATAGCAACCGGTGGTAAAAGGTGCGACTTCACACCCATAGACCACCAAAATGTTTTATGGTACGACTTTTGGCAGGTCTAAGCCTCGATGTTACCAATGCGACAGCAAAATCAAAAATTCTCGTCTGAGGCAAGCTCTCGTCTGAAGGCTCAGACGGCATATGCCAGAATCAGCTGGACGCGCTTTCCCATCTCCAGCGCACTCATGAGACGCGGCTAGCTGGATTAATGAGGCTCTTCATCTGGATGATGGATGTATAACATGTCGCGCGACACGAGAATGTGTGAGATTTGCAACCAGGAAAGCCGTAACGAAAGATGCTCCGAATATGTGACTCTTCATATGCAATTCAATGAAACAGAGCTGGGGGAATGTGCAGACGAACGATCAACCTCATGATGTGACTGATGTGCCTAAAAACCCGGGCGAATGTAACCAGAAAACGCTACACATCAATGAAGCTCTTCATGTGTGTCACAGACGAGGATCCGCAATGGAAGCGGGAGGCATGACCCAGCTAGAGGCCATCGGAAGGATAGATATATGGTAACGAGATTTCCTGACTCGAGAGGCAGCGGTGATGGTATCGATTCTGTTTGATTCTGGCCATCAAACATCCTCGACATGTTCACGACGAAGATGTTGAGTCGGGTGTTGCCAAGGTACAAAGCTGGAGTCAGGAACTGGTGGAAAGAAGTTCGGGCTTGACGAGGTGAGGCTGAGGTCGCACCAGCCACTCCAGTCCAGTTCCTCCCCAGCCACACCAGACCGTATCGCACCATTCCTATCGCAGACTAGCGCTCGCTTAGTTGATCTAACCAATGGGTGAAGCTTCAGTCGGTGAAAAATAAAATTTCTTGAAGCTTCACCATCAAGGCCCAAATATCTCTACACGCCAATTGTCCCCAACACCACAAATTGAGATGGCATACACACCAAGAGGAGGTCGCGGCGGAGGAGATCGAGGAGGACGAGGAGGATTTGGCGGTGGACGCGGTGGTGATAGAGGCGGACGAGGCGGTTTCTCGAGAGGTGGTGGCAGAGGTCAGTTTCACATCCCCGCGACTTCAAATTGCCCCAACGTCTGGATATTTGGGGTCGCAGGATTCCCCAATGCCTTTGCGCGTTGTTATGAGACCAAGTGTAGCTGACCGGAGGGTAAGGAGGTCGAGGCGACAGCAGAGGCGGTCGTGGTGGTGGACGAGGCGCACCTCGCGGAGGTCGTGGTGCACCGAGAGGACGTGGAGGAGCTGGAGCAAAGGGTGGCGCAAAGACCATCATTGTAAGCTTGATTCCTCGGCTCGCGAGATCGCAAATTCTAATCTACGCAGGAACCCCATCGTCATGCTGGTATCTTCGTCGCTCGTGGCAAGGAAGACATGTTGGTGACCAAGAACCTTTCCCCCGGCGAGTCAGTCTACGGCGAGAAGCGCATCAGCGTCGAGAACTCCGGTCCAGCCAACGCAGACGGAACCCCAAGTGTCACCAAGGTCGAATACCGTGTCTGGAATCCTTTCAGAAGTAAGTTGGCAGCTGGTGTCTTGGGTGGTCTGGATGAGATATTCATCAAGCCTGGAGCAAAGGTCCTTTACCTCGGTGCTGCCTCTGGAACCTCCGTTTCTCACGTCGCTGATATCGTTGGGCCTACCGGAACTGTGTTCGCTGTTGAGTTCTCCCACCGCTCTGGTCGTGATTTGATCAACATGGCCACTCACCGCACAAACGTTATCCCAATTATCGAGGATGCCCGTCACCCGCTCAAGTACAGAATGTTGGTTTCCATGGTCGATGTTATCTTCGCAGATGTTGCCCAACCTGATCAGGCCCGTATTGTTGGATTGAACGCACATTTGTTCTTGAAGGTTGGTGGTGGTATCGTTGTTTCCATCAAGGCAAACTGTATCGACAGTACCGCTGCACCAGAAGCTGTTTTCGCCAGAGAGGTCCAGAAGTTGAGAGAGGAGAGAATCAAGCCCTTGGAGCAGTTGACTTTGGGTAAATGCTGCGATCCTCTTCTCCATATTCATAGAGCTAATCATATTCACAGAACCCTTCGAGAGAGATCATTGTGTTGTTGTCGGTCGCTACGTACGCTCTACTACATAGATACACTGCTTCGTCGCGTCTCTGGGTTTCTCATATTGTCAGGAATAAGGTTCTTTGTTTTCTCCGGTGTAACACTCAGGTCCCTGGCGTCCAGGTTTCATAGGGTTCTACAAAAAGATTGTCAAATACGCTCTGGGATCTCGTTCATTTTGCATGTGCCCCCCCAACGGAGACCGGATGTATGCGCTATCATTCAACGGTAGGATTCCTCTTGGATTAGCTATATCAGCTTTTGTATTGTGTCCTGCCAGCAGGAGCACCGGCAGGAGCAGGTGTGCGACGGAGCTCAAGGTCTGATTGGCACATTCCGAGCACGAAACCAAAAGCAAATGCTTTAAGTCATCCACTCCCATCAAACATATTTGTTCAATTTATTGGTTCATTGGAGTTCCTTGCAGACGAACAATTTGGGTAGATTTAATAACGCTCAAGAGCCACGTTCCAGTTTCTGCAGTTGCCACTAAGTAAGTCAGCTCACTAAATCAACTTTTCCATATCAACTTCAATCTTCTCTATCTTCTCCACCACCTTCATTATCTTCTCAACTCCCATTTCTGATTTCGATACCACTTCTAATCCCACACTATCCCCCATCTCCAAGACCTTCGACTGCGCACTCGGCTCCCTGATGCCATTTATCACACAATCGGGAAGTAATTCTACTGATTACCGCATTCTTCATCTCCAGACTAATCTCCCCACCCTATGCATCAGAATAGCATAGAGAATAGCCACAGTGAACACCTGCTTTGCACTGGTAGTCCCTTGTTCTCGAGTATATGGATCGGAACATATGCAAAAGTATCTCTCAAGCTATTGCCGTATGCCTGTCATGGCAAGTGTATTGAAACAGAGCACCTCGCACACGCGGAAAGGAAATGTATTCTTCTGGGGAAAGAGGAGGTCAATTTGATTTGCGTTATTATTGCTGATACATTGCATGGATCTATCAGGATACGGAGGTCGTTTGAAACGGTCTGCAGTGCTTCGAAGAGAACATCTCAATGGACCTGTGACTACAATGTTGATAACTATGATCGGGACTCGAAGGGTTCTGACGATCTATAGGAACCCTTGAAAGTTATTTCAGCAGCCCATTTAATTTCAAAATTGGAAATCGGTAAATCTCCAGAAAAGCTCATAACTTCATCATCGTTCACCACTTCGGACCCAGAGCATGCCACACGAACAACAGTTTGCCTTCTTGTACGGCACTATCACTCCATGGCCACCATGATACATCATAAAAAGAGACTTTTTTCTTATTCCCTGCTCTATTTTTAGCTGGTTGATCTTGTCCATTAGTTTGTATCGCCGGCTCTTGTATTGGATGGGGTGCGGTAATGTCGACTGTGGAATTGTATTCGCACAGGACAATACCTAGCAGGTAATCTCTTCGCCTCAGGCGCAGTAGATCTGGACTCTGATTCTTTTCACTGGAGTTTTGATAGCTGTGGGAAAAGAGCAATTTTTGTACGTCCCGAATTTCCACCACACTTCATTTCGAACCTGGGTCACAGTGAACGGATAATAAACCGACATCGTCAAAACATACATACTGTGTATTCAATTCGTACTTACTACCAGTCATAGACAGTTGTTCTATGACTCGCTGTGTTTTTCTAAATCGAGCCCTCTCCATATAATTAGACAGGTACATTAGCGCTGGACTTCACGTTTTTGATGGAGTTTGTTACTTTCCAACCCTCTACTATGCTTATAGCGACAGGATCTAGCACTATCATCCCTTACTGTAGCTAGGTAATCCTCACGTGCAAGCTTTGTGGTTCTTATGTTTAGTATAGATTTCTCTTGAATTGTCAATTGCCTAATAGCACTGCAAACAAATGGCTATGCCACCATAAAAGCTCAATGCCTTTTCTGGAATATCGTTTTTTACCGAACTCTAACGATGTTCAATAGAGAATTGGAAGTGCGCGTCACAGAAGCAGAACACGTTCATGAAAAACGAGATCTGTTGATATATTTGCGGAAACTACGAGATAGCGAGATAGAAAGAGAAGGACTTGTGAATGTCGGAGCAGAAGGGTACTCTCACTGCTAATGCAAAGGATGAGTCTACTAATTGGATACTTCTCGATTAAGCGATGCTGGTTTCTAGTATATACCTTTGGTAAACCTGGCAGTATTATGAGATTGTAAGACTTAATACAGGAGAACTTGTGGGTAGTCTCTATCCTCCTTTGACCAGTCACAACTGCTGGTTGTGCAGCTAAGCGAGTATTTTGTTTACCCTTTCGGCAACCAGGGTACTACACAACAGTGGCAGGTGTAGTTCAACTTCGTGCCCAAACACTCATGGGAATCGAAGATTTAATTCCTTCACACGAATTCTCACAAATGGGCAGGTCCTTGCGAATGTCACACAAGCATCCCTACATGGTCGCCCAGAACTCCCAGCTATTTTACACCCTCAACGCTCTCCCCCTCAACCCATGTTCCACTCTTGCCACCTTCTTTCCTGATCACTCTCAATCCCTCGATACGCATCCCTTTGTCGACAGCTTTACACATATCGTAAACTGTGAGAGAAGCTACGCTGGCTCCGGTGAGGGCTTCCATCTCAACGCCTGTCTTGCCGTCGCATTGTACTGTGGCTGTGATGTTGATGCTGCCGAACCTGCTTTCTCTCTCCTTCTTATCATATCCGCTGGTATATGGTTTAGTTTGTGCGTTTGGTTTTGTTTTTATTGTTGAACTGTGGAGGTTATGTTGAGGTGCATCGGGAGAAGGATTGTTGAAGGGATACGCATCGCCTTGTCCCGTTCCTTGCCAGGGCACAGAGACACTCTCTCCCCCTCCCTCTCCCTCTAAGCCCTTTCCACTTTCGATAAATTGCTCCCCGGCCTCTTGGCCAACAACCTCCAACTCAACACTCACATGCGTAATAGCAATGGGATGACACAGCGGCACCAGGTCAGCTGTCCGTTTCGCAGCCATGATCCCCGCTATCCTCGCCACGGATAACACGTCGCCCTTTTTCATGCTGTTGTTGCGGATTAGAGGGAGGGCAGTGGGGTTGGAGAAATACAGTGTGCAGACTGCGGTGGCGAGGCGGGTTGTGGGAGCTTTGTGAGAGATGGATACCATGTGGGCTGTTCCGGAGGGGGTGAGGTGTGTGAGTTTTGGGGTGGGTGGTGGTTCTGATGGTGTGGGTGAAATGGATCGAGTTGAGTAGAGACGGAGACTTGACGCTGGGGAGGATGTGAGGAGGTGGGTTGGGATTTGCTTCCAGAGAGGGTGGGAGCATGAGATTGAAGTGGTTCTCAGACATGGATTTGGCGCATACTTCTTGGTGGACAAATCATCTGATGGGGTTATGTGTCAGTGAAGAGACTTTGGCAAAGCACACACTCATGGTTCATGTGAATACATTATTCTCGTGATATCATGACCTACATACATCATTGCTGGGTATACACCGAAAGCACGCCGCCAATGCAAAAGCCCAATCGTAACTTGGAAGACCCAATATCAAGAAGATGGAAGACCTACCCACCTATCAAGATCATTGGCCTATTCTTCATATTCTCCAGTTCTCCCATCCCAGCATGCTTTTCCTTCTTGCCCTTCACCGCAATGCCAATGATGTTTAACAGTTCTCGCTCGGTCTCTGTACCACCCAATGAACTTCCAGATGCTGGTAAACCTTGTCGTCTGTCCATTTCGATCTGTTTCATGGCTTCGAATACCTCTTCGTCGATTGGATTCCCGTTGTTGGATTTCCGGATCATGTCTCGAAGCGAGACTTCATCATTGCCGAAGAGGCAGACCTTCAAGTTGCCATCGCTCGTGATTCGAAGCCTGTTGCAGCTTCCACAGAAGTTATGTGTCATGCTTGTAATGAACCCTATCCTTCCAGCAAACCCAGGTATTTCGTATGTCTTGCTTGTATCGTTCTTGTGATCCAGGACCTTCCGCAAACCTGGGTACTTTTCTCTGATCATATCCAGCATTTCTTGAAAGCTGAGCATCTTCCCTTGGCTCCATTTGTTACCATCGAACGGCATGTATTCAATGAACCTCACTTCTAGGTCTTGTTCTCGTCCCATCTCCACAAATGGTATTATCTCCCTCTCGTTCATACCCCGCATTACCACGCAATTGATTTTCAGCTTGATGCTCGCCCCTAGTTTGTTCATTTCTAGTATCCGATTTATGCTCTTCATCACCGCTTCGAAGCCTTTCCGCCGCGTCATGATCTGGAACTGCCAAGGGTCGAGAGTATCGAGACTAAGATTCACGCCTGTAAGTCCTGCCTCGACCATGCTATCCAGCCTCCGGTGGAGGGCAATGCCATTGGTGGTCAAACAGAGCTCTTTGAGTCCTTGTGATCGGAGTGAACCGATTTGGTGCATCAGAGGAAGAATGTCTTTTCGTACAGTAGGTTCACCACCAGTCAGTCGTATTTTGGTGACGCCTTGAGAGACGAAGGTAGAGGATAGTAGAAAGATTTCGGGCGTTGTGAGGAGGTTCGGAGGTGGCGATTGAGGGACTCCTTCTTCTGGCATGCAGTAAAGACATCGCAAATTGCATTTCTCTGTTATGGAGATGCGGAGGTAGTCATGTTGACGCTGGAAGGTGTCTGTGAGGAACGCGGAAAAGGGTTTAGCATTCTTGATTGCCTCTCTCCTCGGTTGGACAAGTGGTTCTGGAGGAAGATTATGGCGAGGATATTCTTGAATTGCAGATGTTGCAGAGGCAATTTCTCTCCGTGAAAGCTGTGTAGCTGATCGTAAGTGAGGGGCAAGCTTCGCGGATCTCTTCACAAAGGCAGCCATAATGCTGGTGAATGCTGAGCCGATCAACAGTTGTTTATGTATGGTACCATCCCAGACCGTCCTGATGTGTAAACACTAAGATTTCTTGCAGTAATTGCAAACATGAAGAGAAGTGACGGTCGTTTTGCTCCGGAGAAGGTTGAGATTATTCATGGAAGTGGGGGATTACTCAGGCCGCCTCGCCGCCAGAATCGGCTTACGGCGTTATCAGTGTTATCGCAAGCTTATCGGGCCCGAGGCTTGAAGTGGAAAAGACTGGCCCAAGGCTTGGCATTGGACAAGCATTTGGTGCAGTTGGTGCATCAAAAGTAAACAAACCAGTCTTTTCAATCCCAAACGTCTCAACAATGGAGCCCACAATAAGGTTCTCGCGGTCGCTCAAATGTAAGCAGCTTGCATCCCGCTACTTGTGATCTAGCTAACCATTGCACGAAATGTAGCATCCACTCAATCTCTCCCCAGTCCAGATGGCGCATACATTGCGACGATTCTCACATCTAAGCTCAGTATTCGAGCGACGCGCTCTCTGGAGGTAACACGCGTTATATCACTTCCACCCGAGCTAGCATCGTCCGTATCTTGGTTTCTGTGGTCTGCGTCGTCAAGTCGAATACTTCTAGCTTCTGCGGACAGCATCCGGGTTTACTCGACGACAAATTCTCAATTCTCTGCTACCATCTCTAATCCGACATCAGGCACCACCAAGATTGCGTATGTATTGTTCGGGGCGGATCATGACGAAATATGTATCTTCTCGGACTTTGGACTGAAACTGTCTATCTGCAATCTCCTTACGTCGAAATCGGTAGAGATCAACTCGCCGAAATTCTACAGTCAAGGAGTCGCTGGGAGAGGGCTGGCATATCGACCAGGTGCCGGGAACTTGGCTCTGTTGACAAGAACAGGAGGGAAGGACATTATAAGCATACATTCACGAGATACCCTGGACGTTAAGAGGTCGTGGTGGCCGGATACCGCTGACGCACAAGGAATACAATGGAGCGCTGAAGGTAGGTTCCTGGCTGTGTGGGAATCTGCGTCTCAAGGACACCGATTGCTGGTGTATACTGCGGATGGTCATTTGTTCAAGGCTTGGAATGGTCCCATACCCACATCAGAGGAAGATAGTGATCTCACGCTGGGGGCTGGAATTAAGCTTTTCGACTGGAGCAAGAATGGGCTGCACATGGCTGTTGGAGACTTTACCGACAAAGTGACAGTCTTGTCTGCGCCGTCATTCTCGGAAAGCATGAGCGTTGTTCATACTACAGCTGTTAAACCTACTGAATCCCTCCAGGTAAAATTTACTGCCAGGTCGTACGTTTGCCTGCTGACTTGAAAAGATCTGGCAAGAGCAGATAAGCCCGGCTCCCAATGGCACTTTAATTCGGGAGTTTATACCAGCAAACCAGACAATATGCCCACCAACAGCAGGAGCCCCTATTACGAACAATGCCGATCCTAAGACTGGCACAAACTTCATGTCATTTGACAACTCCGGCACCCTTCTTGCAACCAGGATTGAGAATTTGCCAACAACTATCTGGATCTGGGACATTGGGACTCGCATACTTCGAGCGGTAATGATCATGCATGCGCCTATCGCCAAAGTAACGTGGCACCCCTCAATCAACGAAGTGCTTATGATCAGGTGTGAGGGCGATGAGTCCCGAGGGCTGGTACACATATGGGAGCCTTCATGGGACCGACCAAGGATTGTCGACTTCCAATCCCAAATACCTGGTGGGAAGCTGCTGGGGAGAACGATATGTCGCTGGCTGAATGTCAACTCTCCAAGTCCGGCCATTTTTTTCAGCGATTCTCAGGATTACATTTTGGCCTCTATCCCAAGTTCAGATGACGACGAGGTTCCGTGGCAGGAGGCTGAGTTGCAGGGTTCGGAAGCTTATGGTCAGCGCGAGGAGAGCCCATTAAATCTTATACCAGCCGACGAGAAGAGAGGCCACGTCACTATTGAGGATCTCATGGAGGACGAAGGAATAACGGCAATGAGCGGTGGAAGTGACGAGATGGAAGACACATTTCGGTTCCGAAAGTTCGTGGAGCCTACTGGAAACAGGTGATCTAGAGTTGAACATAAGGTATGCACGGCATCAAATACCGAAGCCGCCTGACTCTGAATCGTCATGTCATCCCGAGGTCTAAACCTCAACCAGCAAAGTGCGGTACCTGACACTTCGTACCTTGCACGGTGTTGCACAAGAACACGCTACAGCCATGCATCTGGTACCCCAGACTCCAGTTTTGTGGTAGTCTGGTTACCCATGACTCAGGGACAGAAATCAGCAAAACCTTCATACCTAGGGTTTTCCGTTACGCTTAAAGCCATTTCGGTGCTTACAAAAGGCAATAGGAGTCCGATCCATGTGGTAATCGTGCACAGCACGCTACAGTGGATAATCTCGTGGAATAATTGAACGAATTACGGTAAAATAGGTAGCGGAAGCCGGTTTTAGAGCCACGAATTTCTTTCGCGCCACAGTGATACTAACAACACGGCACAGAACATCGTGATGTCCAGCAGTACCCACATGGCCGGCCGGCCTCCAGATGCCTTGTCCATTTTCTAGGGAGCAGCTGGTCAGCACTCTATCACTGCTCCACTGTGCCCACAGCTCCCTGGAGATCGATGTTCCCTCAACGTCTGATCCACCTCCCCCAATTGATTCTGCCTTGGCAACTTTACGGTGCAAGGGACTCGGGGAGTCGGGGACAGAGAGGGAACATGCTGTCGTGGCCGCCGATTTCGATATCGTCTTCACCAGCAAATGGGATGTTTCTCATAGGCTGCCATAGCGTCAGGAGGCGGCACTCGTCATTGATTTTGTCCAATATCCAAGAAAGATGTCACCACAAGCCTCGCGGCCTAAACAAATGCATCAGTCAAGGCCGGCCTGGCCAGGCTTTTCTGTCTTGAAGTGCATTCCATGGACCTGTCCCATGCATCCCACAGGCTCAGTGGGCGCTCCTATTCGCTCCCACCACCCACGCGCATCCCCCAATGCAGCTTGGGTGCAGTTAAAGCCACACCTAAGAATTCGCTAACCCCTGAACTTACGGGCTCTTGCATTTAAGGGTCCACCCTAGAATCTTCAGAGCCATAGAATTTACTGTAAAGTCGATGCAAGCGACACCACACCACACGATAGCTCCAGCTTGCTGCCCTGCCCTGCACAAATGGAAACACACGCTGAAGGCGCCGCACACCCGCTGAAAGCAAGCAAGCAAGCAAGCATGTTTTATGTTTTTATCGTTCCCAGGTGCTGATCACACAGCTATCGCCTGCCAGGCCTCCCCTAGCCAGCACTCGTTGAGACAAGGGCCCAGGTAACCGTAAATGCTAGACTGCTGCTGAGGAGGCTGGGTGATGGATCCAGCAGACCAGACCGCTCCCCTACCTACTCGTCCTTGGCCGCACCACTGCACACTCTGCGCTGTGTTGCTCGCTCGTGTTGCTGTCGTGGCTTTTGAGACTTGATTCCCACTTTCCCTTCGAGCCTTCGACCCTTCCATCTTCGCTCCTTCCCTTCTTGATATCGTTTCCCTAGAAGAGAAGTGAGACGTTACCTTTCCTACCTCGCCTATCCCTTCACCCAGCTTCATCTTCTGCATCTCCCATTCAATTGACACCTAATAATCAATTGCTTTGCTCAATTGAAACATTTCAAGGCGTTGGAAGCTTCCTTTTGCTTATCTCCACCACCTTGCTCTTCTTCCAACAACCACAAAATGCAGGAAGTAAATATGGCTTCAATCATCGACTCTACCATGAACGCTTCCTCGCCATTGATGGGCGCCAGCCATCCATTCTATCCTCTGGAGGTCGAAATCGCCGCCTACCTTGCGAACGAGATGACGATGCAGGTACTTCTGTCCATTTTCGTGACCATGATTCTCACCATTGTTGGGGGAACGAAGCTCTGGGTTGATAAGGTCCATCCCAATCTGCCTGGAAAGGAGAAGGCTGCTATCTGGTGGTTTGTGATTTGTATGTTCTTCCCTGTTTTCTGCCAACTTCATATCATTTCATTATCGCGGTAGGACGCATATCTGTTGCCAGAGGCCAGTTTGATAAGGCAAGTGGGGGGTGCAGAATTGGAACTGCAAGTCAATTTGGGGATAAGGTGCTGACGTTAAGGTTAATGTAGCTGGCGCTATCCATCTTTGCTTCGAAGGTTATTTCTCCGTAAACCATACACGAATGGCACCCGCTCAGGATCTATTTGGTCAGCTATGGAAAGAATATGCGCTTTCGGATTCGAGATACCTGACATCTGACCCATTTGTGCTTTGCATGGAGACTGTCACTGCTGTTTGTTCCCCTGGGTGCTTCAAGATCTGCGAAGCCATTACTGACTGATTGCGTAACAGTTCACCTGGGGACCAATGTGCTTCTTCATTGCCTACTTCATTACCTCTTCGAACCCTCTCCGACACCCTCTTCAAATCATCGTCTGCGTTGGACAAATGTATGGATTGGTCCTCTACTATGCCACCGCCATGTTCGACCATTACTACAATGCCGCTGCATACAGTCGCCCAGAATTCCTTTATTTCTGGGTATACTTTTTCGCTGTGAACTTCATTTGGATGGTTATCCCAGGCTGTAAGTTGGGAGCTGGACCCGGGACTTACATGAGCAGACGCTAACAGTGAATACAGTATTGCTCGTCAGCAGTGTCCGAACCATCGCACGAACCTTCGCTGCATTCGACAAGATGACTTTGGCGTTACAAAAGGGAACCAATGGCAAGGCAAAGGGATCCAAGAAGGAGCTATGAGGAGACATACAGACCCCCGCGTCCAACCGAGGCATTCAACATATACCCCGCAAAATAATATGATTTTGTACAGTACGACAGGAGGAAAAACTTGGTCAACCTGGAGATGCATGCATAGATTGGGAGTGGAAGTGACTGGATTGGACCGAATATAGACCAAAGCGAGGAACGAATGAGCGAACGATGATTTTTTTTTTCTATACTGAGTTTGAAGTGGAGCAGAGCAGAGCAGAGCATACCCAGGCTGCGAGAAAGTACATAGAGTGGACATGGCAGGGCATGGCATGGCATAGAATAAAGAATCTGGGCCGATTCCAGAAAAATTGGACGGTGCTTTATGTGCTTAGATGGTGGACGGAGCAATACCTTAGACACGGATGGATATATATTTGTTTCTTGCGGGTGGTTCTCTTTTTTATTTTATTCTCTGCATACTGCATTATATGAACAGTAAACAAGGACCTTTCAATTCCCATCGAACGTACAACATGCATACGAGGAAGTGGAAAGGAAACGAGAGAGGCTTCTAATTAGTATGATATATTGATGTGCTGATACAACGATTGAACACTGGTTGCTGAAATTAGGGGAAATAATCTCTCCAGTGGTTTCATAGGGTAGATATGCAGTTCTTTCCGATGGCAAGGGTGGGCGGACGGGCTTGATATCTGTCGATCTCGGATTTTACTGTAGGCTACAAGTAGATTTGTCGAGATGGAAGACCCTTCTTGCATATTGATTTGAGTGCATGGTGATGGATGGGGGACTCTGGAGATGGAGGGGTAGGTGAGAGGCGATGTTACTTTGTTTTGTTACTAGGCTAGGCTAGGCACTGTACGAAGGGAGGGGAGGTACTCGTAGTGTGTTGGAGAGAGATGGCATACTCCGTCCGTGGTTTATTATTGCGTTACATGAGGTACGATCTACCGCGCACCACGAGGTAGGTAAGGTAAGGTAAGGTAGCCATGCCACTCTGCTGCCGTGTATGGTACCATAGGGGAGGGGAAAGGGACTCGAGGGAGGGGGAGGGGGAGGGGGAGGGGGAGGGGATGGAAATCAAGGAAGATAAGGTAGGTACTGTAGGTAAGGTAGGTAGGGGATTTACCCAGATGTAATGTAAATTACCAAGATATGCTGCTACCTTACAGTAGATCGATTTACCATGGTGGTAGAGCTAGGTAGGTAGAGCTAAGTGGCCTAAAGAGGTATTCTGGCGCGCTAAAGTCTGGTAAATGTGAGCTTGTAGGAGCTTGTGGGAGCTTGAGCTAGCTAATTGAATTACCTAGGTAGGTAGGTACCTATGTATGGTAGGTGAAGCAGCTTGGGAGAGGAGCTTGGGAGGGGACCAAGAATGGAAGTGGAGTAGGGGGAGCTTGGTAAATACCTAGGTACCTACCTATTTTCTTGGAGAGATTTGGGATTGGGATTGGGATTGGTGCGGTAAATGGTTCTTGGAGGGGAGAAGTAAAGAGAAGAGGGAACGCTGCAAATGAAACAATCAACAATACGATTGTGCCTCGCGGGTGGAAACACTGGGAAGTGCATGCGATATTATACCGAAGGCGCTGGAGGATCGAAATCTGGAATTGGGATGTTTCGTTACGGCAGCTCGGATGCAGCTGAGCTGCATGGACGGACGGGGCGGGGTTCAACCTCAAAGCTGCCTCCCCTGAGAGCAGCGAATCAGGGACTGTTGATACCGGGCGTGCTGGATCAGGATCAGGTCCGTCGGTCGGTTTGTCGGGTCGGGTTGGTCGGGTGCAAGAACACCGATGTTGAAGATGCTGCGAGTGAGGTCGTATTATTGCTGTATTTGAAGCCAGCGCTATTGGGTAGGTAGATAAGGCATAAATATAAATATAAATATGAATACAGAGGAGAAGAGAGGATGCGAGTGGAGGGTGAGATGATACTGATATAGATCTGGGGTTTGTGGTATATAAACACATAGTGGATGGATGGGGGTGTATATTGGAAACCTTGATTTTGGACATGGTCGGGGACGGGTGATACCTTAACCATGCGACGCTGTGAGGGTTGGGTGATGGAGCTGAGCTGAAGAAATATACTTTTCTTTTTAGGTTATTGTTGTTACTGGTGATTCTGCATCGATTGATACTTTCTGAGTTGTGTGCAGAACTGACCAACAGGACAATCTATTTCGATGGTACCGCCTCTGTACACGGATTTCCCGTTCTGGGGTGATCGCTGGAACCGGGATTTGGTGGCTTGCTCTGTTTGCTCTTCTTGTTTTGTTGCCGCTTGCGCGTTGCTGCACCAACAACTGGGCGGCGCGGCCGATTTGCGAATCAGAAGCTTGGGAAGACCCGAGGGCAGCAAGCACAATTGCGCGTTTGTGATTGTGTGATGCTTGCCTTGCAGCTTACATTGCTTGCTGGCTGGCTGGTGAGATCTGGATCTGGCACCTTGATTTGGGTTTGGATTTGATCTGCGAGACACCTACATCGTCATTCTTTGGAATTGCATCGCCTGCAGAGAAGGTTCGGATTGAGAGACAGAGAGGAATGAATGATTGTGTTTGGATGGATGGGACGGTGCAGACGAGACGGAACAGAACGCGCGAATCTGAGAGCAATATTTTCCTTTCACATGCTTCGATGTTTGGTTGTTGATGTGGTGGGATTGATGTTGTGAAGCTGGACCTGGATCGGGAGTGAAGCTGTGAGGTATGTTGTTCATTGTTTACTTACTCCACTTGAGCCCTTATCATACATTCTCGAGATATTGTGTCTCGGAAGTGATGGAAATGCGAGCTCCCATCAACACCGGGAATCCACTTTCCCCAGGGAAAGCGCAATTGTAAGGAATGTACACTTACCCATTCTTTTTCTCCATTCTAGAACATGGCCAAACCACCAATTCCATCTCCGTCCTCCTCCGACAACGACAACGACAACGAAAACGAAAACAACACACCCCCTCCCAACACACCTGCGAAACGGAAAGCAAGCAATCCAAACACCCCCAAACGACTCAGCACCCCACGCAAGCCCTCCGGACCACGAACACCACTGCGCAAAACCTCAGCGCAGAATGGCAACGCCCAAAAGACACCAGCTTCTGCGCCAGCCCGCGCGCGCAAAGCAGTCGAGCCCACCCTCCTGGGCGACTTCCTCCTCGGCAGACCGAGTCCCGCGAGGCAGCGGACCGCCAGACGGAAGAGCCTCGATGTCGTGAAGAGGGAGATGCGCGCCGACGTCGTGGCGAGGGTACAAGCCCCCGGCAAGGTCCAGGAGAGGGTCAAGGAGTGGCAGAAGGCCAGCGCGGGTGCGGGGAAGGGAGAAGCTGCTGAGGAGATTGTCGTGGAGTATGAGACGGATAGTGAGCCGGAGGTGGTGGTGCGGCAGGAGAAGGAGAGGATTGTTGTGCCGAAACGGCAGACGCCTGCGAAGAGGAAGGAGAAGGCTAAGGACGATGGGGAGGGAGAGGATGATGGGGGGAGGAGAGGGAGGGATAATGGAGATGCGGATAGAGTGAGGAGTAAGAGTCTTGCGCCGAAGAAGAGGGTGATCAGTGATGACCACTGGAGGAAGAAGAAAAGCCCTCCGAGGAAAGGAGGGAATATACCGAAGAACTTCTTGCAGGCCACGGCAATCAATCCACCAGTCGAGAAGAAGATTGAGGATTGGGTTCGCAGAACAGAAAGTGTTGAGCCGGAAATCGTACTGGAGAGACCGAAGCCCAGGAGTCGTAGTCGGAAAGCTGAGGAGTGGGAGCATCAGGGAGAGTCGCCGAGGAGTGGAAGGCCTTCAAGACAGGGTACTGAAAGTCCGAGAAGCAGGAATGTCTCCAAACAAGAGCCGGTCGATGATGGGATTAGGATCAAACCTTCGAAAGATAGGCCTACGACAGAAGGTCGAAAGCCATCTGTGTCGATGGAAGGAGGCTTGAGGCTATCTGCTTCATACGATGACGGTATCAGAGTGACGCCTTCGAAAACAAGTTCAAATGATGATGGCATCAGGATACGACCGTGTAGAGAGAGCTCGCCTCAATCCGAATTGAGAGTGAAACCTGTTCGGAAAGACGGAAGCAAGAGACGCCCCAAATCTGAGCACGACTCACCTACGCCTACCCCGAGGAAGAAGAGCAACCAAAATCTGAAGCCTCCAACAGAATCTGAGGGCAGATCTAGAGTCACATCTCATGCTACAACTCACGAAGATGAAGACGATAACTACTCCTACGTGACACCAACGAGGCAAGGCTCCAGAGGCAAAGGTCGAAAATCACTTACTCCTCCTGAGTCGATGGATGAGATACCCTTTGGAAACTCGGCGTTAAGTGTTCTTGAGCTTCCAGTTGGTGCTGAAGCTGGGTCAATGAGAAGACCTGGACCGAAGCGAAATCCCAGCTTCGCTGCTGTGCCTAAAGTTCTAAAGAGAGTGTACACAGAAGGCAAGAAGATGATGCATGATTCTGTAGAGCCACCCAGAGGTGGAACAAATCAACCGCCGAGCATCGATTCTTGGTTGAATGGGACAGTCGATCCGTTTGTTGAAGGTCCAGCGCCCGCGGTAGCCAGCTTAGAGGTCCCAGAGGCACCAATTTCGCGGATGCCAAGTTACAAGGAAGAGGATCGGACAGAAAAAGAACTTGAACGCGATCTTGAGCATACGGAGCCTAGGCGGAAACGAAGGAATCGGAAATCACTGGAAAAGGAGGAACAACAGGTGGAGCCTTCGCCTGTTGAGCACAAGAATCGAAATACTCTCCCTAGCATGGAGAACTCCCCACCTGCCTCTCCGTCTGGTCTGAGAAGGAGCCCTGCAACTCGCAATACCTCATCCCCAAAATCTGCACGGAAGCTATCCTTGAAAGAAGCTGTGTTTGATGCTTTCAAAGGGGAATCTTCGATGGGGAAATCTGCCCCAAGTCCGTTTGATTTCATTGGATTGAGAGAGAAAGATATCAACCGAGCCGAAGAATACAGATCAAGAGACTTAGATTCTGTGCCGGAAGATCCTCCACCCAGACACAGTCCACGAGCTCAAGACAAGCCAGCCTTTGAGGAACCGAAAGTATCAAGGGCTCCGCCATCATTCCCTAGGCGATTGGCGCCTACTACTGGAGGCCACAGACTATCCACTATTGCATCTGTTGAAACGTTCAGTACCCTCTCATCGGGATCTTCACTCACAGAAACCTCAACTGGATCAGAGCTTTCTCACACTACGGTCACACAGAGTAGTGTACTCACTGGAACATCCGCATCGAGTCTCTCCCGACATAGCAAAGTATCAACAAGCAACAAGCATGGCCTGAAGAGGCGATTAACCAAGCATTCAGACCTGGTGTCTATGCTGTCTCTTCCCGATGCTGAAGTTCCGGGACGAGGACACAGCATCAAATCAGCTCGCAGTATCCGAACAACCAGAACGAACCTCGATACAGCTACTGTCCACGACCTGATGAAGGAACTGGCTGAAGATGAGACGAAGTATATGCGCGAATTGAACACTCTGGTCGATGGAGTCATTCCTGTACTTCTCACAGCGGTGCTGTCGAAATCAGATTCTGCTGTTGCAGCTGGCCTATTCGATCCTAATGGCACCGACAACTCGTTCACCAAGCCCATTGTTGACATGGGTGTCGCCCTGGAACGATTAAAGAGCCTCCATAAGCGGATTCCTCTTACGAGCCAAGACGATTTTCTCCGTTGGGCCCAATCTGCGTGCAAGACTTATGAAGATTACTTGCGTGCCTGGCGCTCTGGGTTCGAAGATGTGGTCGTCAATCTAGCCCCGGCTTCTCGTACCTCCTCTTTGGCTGAGAACTCAGACCCTGCTAAGATGCGGATCAATGAGAATGGCGATGTTCTTCGTGACACCGGAGAACGAGCAGATGTAGGGTATATGCTGAAGAGGCCCTTGGTTCGTATCAAGGGCCTGGCGAAGGCCGCAAGGGTATGTTATTCCAAATGTGTATCACGACGACAGAACTAACATGAAGTAGGGGTTTGACAAGCTCTTAAATACGGAAACCTCCAAAAGCGTCACTGATGCTTATGAGGAATTAGAGAAATATCGCCGACAGCGTATACGAGCAGAGGTCGCTCGAAAGGAGGATCAGCGAGCAAACAACACCGATGCTTCCCGCGCCCGAGATCCGAAGACAATGGCCCATACCAAAGATGTCACAATCAACCGAGAGCGTCAAGTCTACATGAAGGATCTATTCTCATTTGAGATGATCCATTCCAATGGCCAGCATCTGGAGTGTGAAGTTGAACTGACTCTGCGTGTCAATGAGAACAACAAGAGTGACTCTGGGGATGTCCTGATTTGCCAGACGGATGGCACCAAATACTTCCTCCTCTTCCCGCCTGTCTCTATGGATTTCATCTCAGCTCGAAAGGGAGATAGTGAGACGGAGCTGGTTCTCATGATTAGAGGGCAAGACGTCACACGTTCAGAATGGAGAGAAAGCTTCATGATTGATGCCAAAGAGGTTGAGGTTGCAACAGAATGGCTGGAGAAACTTGGTACTAGTCCCGTTCCACCGCCAATTATACACTATAAATCGAAGCTTGATCCCGAGCTCGAGACGGTCCTCTCCGAAGCTGGTGATGATACGAGAAGTATCATAGGAGCCTTGAAATCAGCTAAGACAGACGATATACCGCTCGGCGAACGGCCCAGGCGAGAAGCCGAGAAATCTGTATCTGGTGGCGTACCGGGGCTTATGCACACTGTCTACAACACCTTCTCGGAAGACAGGATCAGTGAGCTTGGAGAGTATAGTATCCTGGATGTCAAAGATCTGAACGATGCTATGCACAAAGCTGGGAAGAAACCGCTTGTTTTGCAGAAATCCAGACCGACTACCCCGCAACGCCCGAGACCTTCAAGATACCATGGAAAGAACGTCGAGGTTTGTGCTATCCCATGTGTTATGTCTGGAGCTCTGAACGGAGATGACAAGGCCGAGACAGCCGATAGGAAAGGAGATGAGAAGACGGCTGGCACAATGCTTGGTGATATACCGAAGTTGCGGTCACCAAGTACACCAGGGAAGACAAGCACTCCTCTGAAGGAATCAATGAGACCAGAGCCGGAGAGCATGAAGAGATACCACAAGACAACACCGACGAAGACCGAGGACACTCCCCCACCTCCGCCAGTTCACAGAACTCCATCACCTACGCTCAAGATCACCCCTCCACTCGACTCACCGACTCCACGAGGGAGGAACCGCCGTACTTCGTCTCCTCTGAAGCATGAATATCAACCATCTGATGCGTCGGGTACATCATCTTCCTCGGAGCAGTCTGATTCTGATTCGTACACGGAATCGTCGGACGAGTCAGCCGATGAGCTAGATGAGCTGGACGAATTGGAAGCGGAAGACACTGGACCCACAACTGCCGCAACTCTGCCTGCGTCTCGCCCAACCTCAATATACAACCATCCAAATGCTAGCTTAGCTCCCTCCAACTCTGCGTCCCAGCCGCCATTCATAAACAGGCCTACAGCTCCAAGACCAAGTACCGCCACCAAGAAGATTGCGGCTATGGTCTCGCTCTGGTCGGACAAGAGAGGTAAATGGGAGGATATATACCCCGATCCCTGCTCAGTTGTTGTTGGCCCTGGACGTGTAGAATGCTTTGATCTCAGCTCCATCCATTCATCTCCGGCTATGGGCTCGGATATTGAGACGCCAAAGAAGCACAGCCGAGATTCGGATCCATTGGTTGGGCAGGATATCACGCCGCATGTCAACCTTCGTCAGAGTACTCGCATCGATATCGAAATTACTGCACCGCCATCTGCAAGCTCCAGAATGAAAGGCGTCGCCCTCACGCTCAGATATCGAACACTAAACCAACAAGATTGTGATGCGCTCTATGCTGCACTACATAAAGCTCGTATGGAGAACCTGAAATTCAAGATGATGGAACAACAGCGCATGTTCGCTGCTTATGGTCAGAACAGTGCATATGAGAAGGCTGTTGCTGGTAGTCGACACGGTTCCCTACTGAGAAAGCAGAGTTTCAGAAGATCGTCAGCGAATGCTCCTCCACAAAGTTCAACGGGAAGCGAGCAAAGCAGTCTCAGTTCCGCCATCTCAGCAGTCAAGCGCTTCGGCATCGGCGGCATCTTCAACATCTCCAAATCAACCGTCCAAGCCGGCCAAGGCCACATGTCAACAAGCTCGTCCGACTACTCAGGCGCCACCCCACCACACACCACCAGCCCCAGCATCGCCGCCAGCGGAAGCATGTTCAGCAACGGCATCACAGTCCGCGACCTCGGCTGGCAAGACCTCAAGATCCGCCTGTACATCGGCCTCCCAGGCAACAAATGGGATGATCGCGGTGGTGCCCGCCTCACGGTCACGGCTCCTCCGCCTGGCATGCGTCAAGCTTCTGCTCTGGATCACGGGCCCGAAAAGCGCATCACCATCACGCAGCGAGTGCTTGATGTTGGTAACCCGCAGGTCCTCCTCGACTGCGTGCTCGGCGCCAAGTGTTTCAGTAAGCTTGGGCAGCGCGGCGTCGTCGCTTCCATCTGGGAGGATATCGTGGGTGATGATGGCACGGTGGGCATCATGCGTGCTACGGGGGGTGTGTCGGGCAAGATGAGGAAGTGGTGTTTCCAGACGGCTAGGGCGGGAGATTGTGAGTGGATTTATATGCTGTGTAGAAGTGGGATGGCTTGAGTGAGATGGCAAAATAGGAGGCATAGAAGGGGAGGGAGGGGTAGAAGGGGAGGGGCACAAGTATATTGAGATGTCGCTTATGTTGTTACGAGTCTCCTTGATTTGTTGTTGCTATACCATGTTTTGCATGCATGTCTTGCACTGTACTTATAATTCCGCCTTCTGTTATCTCGTTTATTTTATTTGAGTTGAGTTGAGTTGAGTTGCGTTTATCTGCGGTACGTTTTGTTGTAGATACTTGGGGGAGATATATGGGTGCGGCGGGGGGCTTTAATTTGAGTGCATGGCTGGGGCGGCGGCGGCGGCATGTTCTTAGAAAGGGGATATAGGAAATGAAACGAAAGGAAAGGGAAGGGGGATGGGTTATTTTTTTTTTGTTTTGTGTTTAGCTGGGTGTTTGAGGGGGTCTGGGGTCTGGGGTCTGTAGTTTTGTTCTCTCTTTTGTTTTTTTTTCTGGGGGGTTTAGATTGGGGTGGGTGGGTGGGTGGGATGGATGATGAAAGAGAGTCAGAGAGGATGACTACGTAGAGAAGGTGTAGAGAGGGAGTGTGTGTGATTGAATGAATGAATGGAAAAATGATTTTAGATCTTCATGGTTGAACACTAGTGGCGAAGTGTACTATGAGTGTGAGTGAGGTTTGTTTGGGTATTCTGTGCCGTGATGTGTGGACGTGAAGTGTATTTCGAAGGTGTATGGTCGCTAGTAAACTGGAAGGAGCTCGGCTCGGCTCGGCTCGGCTAATTCCAGGGATTGTTTGGATCATTGGGTCAACATCCGTTGTTCACAGAGAGTCTCTGTGACTCTGTCCGGTGCGTCGCAGAGACAGACATGATGGGAAAGATATTTCTTTTAACCACAGTTTGTTGGTGTCTAGTTGACTACCTTGTGGAATCACCTCCGTGCAGCAAACAGATTTGTATGTACCGGAAATACGTGGGTTCTTGTCACTATTCTGTGTAGCGAAGGTGAGGTGTCATCAATGAATGCTTCGTATTTCCGCTGTTGGAAGTCAGTGAGTCAGGTTGATGGTATCATTACACATCGGAATAATATCTGCTCTTTTACGATGATATCCAGAGGCATATATATCTCAACTATAGCATGTTCATCCATCCTTCAATTCTCACACAAACAACTTTTCACATAGGAGTCTCGGGTTCGTTCCACGATGTTGTCTCTATCCATATCTGTTTCTTCCGACTTTACCGGAGAGACGACGGCTGTGCTTGATGCTGTTCAAGGCTCGGACGTGGAGTCTTCAAAGGCTGAGAGTAGTGGTACCACTAGGAGGGAAGTGGCATCACCGACTGGGGAGTCTTCGGCGTCCGGTGGTGGAGAGAGTAATCATGAGTCGGAAGATACAGGTTCGCGAAACTCACATGCGTCGTCGACCGAAACGCCTAAAACACCTACTATTAACAGAGAAAGTACAGCATCAATCGTCACAGAACCTTCTGAAGCCTCGACAGATACACACCATGGATTGTACAGCAACGTTTACGCGCTCTTGATGCGATGGGAGGAAGACGATTTGGAGAGCACAGGTAGCGAGCTTGCTTTGTTGGAAGATACTTTGAGAACACGGTACCGATTCACGACCAAGACTCTTTATATTCCTCTGGAGAATCCATATCCAGCAGTCCAAGGCGCGATCAAGAATATCAAGAATGGAGAGGAGCTCAGTCCTGAGGATCTCTTGATCGTTTATTATATTGGACATGGAGCGCTGCAAGACAATATGAGTTTTCGCATGTCGTGCGTTCCAGAGTAAGATTGCACGATATCTGTTCCAATCATCTCATTATATCAAATTACTGATTATTCTATTCCAATAGTACCTATGATCCCAGCCAACCCCTCCCAGGCTTCGACTGGTCCTCAATCCAAGTCGGCCTCGAATACATGCCCTGCGACGTCCTCATCCTCCTCGATACCTGCTTCGCCGCATCCACTGTCTCTGCCTCCCAAGCAACTGGCTCATCCCACCGCACCGAGATCATCGCTGCAGGAGGATACGCTGACCTCGTCCCCGGCTCAACCATCATGGGCAGTCTGCGTAGCAGGGAAGACCAGTTCTTCTTTACGCGGGCGCTGGTCGAGGAGTTGTATGGTAGGGCGAGATCGGCGACTCCGTTCACGGCTGCGGCGCTGCATAGAGGGATGTTGAGGAGGTTTGTCCTGCGTTATGGGCTGCTTGGGAAGGAGCAGAGCTTGCTAAGAGGGAGTGCTGGTGGTGTGATTGGGGCTGGGGGTGGGGTTTTGGGGATGCAGTGTGTGGCGACGACGCCGGTGCATGTTACGCTCGGTGAGGACTATAGGCTGACGGGGATTCCTTTGATGTCAAGAAAGCGGTGGAATGGGGGAGAGAAGATGGAGGTGGGGTTGAGACCGTTAGGGCAGAAGTGGCTGTCTTTTCGGCTTGGTGCCGTGTGACATCTAGGGGGAATGACCAGGGAGACAATTCTTCTTTGAACTGTGGTGGGTGGGATTAGACCAGTAGCAAGCGTAAATAATGCCTTGATTTGACGCATTTAGTACGGTTGCAGTTCGGGATGGAGCCGCAGGAGAAACTTTTCTCATACCGAGCTTTGTTTATTATCCCTGATTTCAAGCTCGCTTATTTTACACCTCATCCCCATTCATCACTTGAAATTGTGAGAACAAGACCGCCTCTGTACAAGGTTAAAAATTAAAATAGTGTTATACTTAATCGCTTAATATCATATACATACTTATAGAGCCCAGAACGAGAAATTTGAGCAGTTGAGTGGAGTAAGAGAAGTGGGCCCGCCAAGCCAACCAGCCGTTTTCAGAATGATGGTGACTATGATAATATTTTGACGTCGAAGGGTGCCGGTAAATAGCCGCTTTCAGAGTAACAGTGAAAATCTGTGTAAGAATGGATTAAAAAAGTTAGCATAAATATACAACAGCGTGTATTTACTGCTGTCACACAGCCCACTCGGCCAATGCCACTCAGTGGTGTCGCAGAAGGTGAGCTGGTCTCTTCTTTCTTTCACCTTTCATATTTGGTTTCTGAGAATCTGTGACGCAGGCTCACGATTCTCCGACAACCAATACCGCATCACCAGCTCAGAAACACATTTTACTTCCCATGGCCTCTAGAGTTTCATGACACCAAGCGACACTTAATCCGCCTGAGTTCTAGTGCTATGATTTTGCACTGTCCAGCGTCTCTTTGAAAGTCGCCGCCCTCCGTTGATTCACCTGCTGCGTGTTGAGCCTGATCTACTAGCGCGGTGCTTGGTGCAGTGCTCCATTGTACGACCGAAGCATGCGGCCTCAATCTTTGCTGGCCATTCTCCTGTTCGCTGCTATTGTCCGTTTGCCTATCCTCTCAGACAGGCTCAACCATCTACGTCGCCTTGTATTTCGGTTGAAAACGTGTACGTATCATTTTCTTCTTTCATGTGCAACTCCAACTCCCCTCTCTGTACACTTAGATCGTGTCTTGATCGCTTTCTGTTTCCACAGGCAGGTATTCTTCCATCATGGGTGACTCTGGTGACCGCTTTCGTAGACGGCGCCCAGTCTTAGAGGAACTGATGCGGGTTGGGGGTGCTCCTGGATTGTCGGTAGCGGTCATGACCCGAGGAGAACTCGTGTACCAGGACAATTTCGGATATCGTGATGTGGAAGCCGCCCTACCAGTTAACAACGAAACCATTTTTGCTGGAGCTTCGCTCACGAAAGCCGTCACCGCAGCCGCTTTCTCACTTCTCGTCGACGAAGGCAGCGTAACCTGGGATACGCCGGTCAAGGACCTTCTTCCCGAGTTCGACTCCAGAGATGGTGTGATCAAAAACTGTTTGACTGTGACTGACTTGCTCTCTCATCGCCACGGCTTGGAAGGCAATGATGGATATGCAGTCAGCGCCGAGAACAACTGCCTAATTGCGAAAGACGATGTGATGCGGTTTCTGAACACGCGCGAGAGGGTACGGCCATTCCGCGGGCAGTTCGCATACAACAATGCCGGCTACGAACTGGTTGGCAAGGTTATTGAGCGGCTCAGCGGGCTTTCTTTTAGGGACTTTATAACCAAGCGGATTTTCGAACCTCTTGACATGAGCAGCACGTACCTTGTCACTCCACCTGCCTCCGTCAACAACGTTGCGAAATCTTACAGCACCCTCGACGATGGAACTCTGGCACACATAACTGCTCCGAAGATGGGTGACGATTGGTGGGGTGGAGTCTCGGGCGGTATGCGATCTAATATCGTCGACATGTTGAAATTATACCAGTTTTTCTTGCGGTCCTTCAACACACAAAAAGGATCGAGCAAGGAGTTGTCTCTGTCGCAAGGCCCATATCTGATGTCGTCCCGAATTCCGCTGGAATCGATCTCAAGACACGAGGCGTCGTATGCCATGGGTTGGGGTAGAGTGCAGCTGCCTGGTCAAATGGGGCAACTCGGCATCAACTCTGTCCCTGGAGGAATGCCAATCATTGGCAAAGGAGTTCCATCCCAATTAGTCATGTTCCATCAGGGCAGTCTAGCGGGTACGCTCGCCTTCGTTGCTCTGCTCCCGGACCTGGACTCTATCATACTTGTCCTCAGCAATAGCCTGGCTCTCAACGATGTTCCTGACTGGGTAGGACAACTCCTGATAAAAGAGTTGCTGGATGTTTCCCCGGCTGAACGAACAGATTTCATCAGGCCTGCAAAATCTGCTGTGGAGGCTAATCTGGGGTGGCACTCCAGAGTCACGAAGCAGCTTGCAGAACAACAGACCAAGGGCACAAGGCCCCAAACCCCTGGAGGCATACGTAGGAACCTATTGGGGCGAGAATCATATCCTCAAGATTGTCGTGACACTCGAAGATGGACACCTGTACCGGTCTCTGCAAGGTTTGGAGGCAGAGAAAGTTCGATTACACCATTACGAAAATGACACATTCACCTGGCTCACTTCGCGCAACGAACTGAATAGTCGAGCTTTGTTCGTTGGCAATTGCCCGGCGTACTGGAAGCTCGTTTTTGAGGCTGGGAAAAACGGCAAGATTCAAAGTCTTTAATGGAAACACAACTTTCGATCTACCCTATCAGAATTTGATAGACATAACTGACTATCCATGCTGTAAGTCAAGATTGACAGGCACAAGGGAGAAGAGAGGGGCGTTGGAGTGCGGGCAGTATGATTTTTGCGCTAATAGCCACGAGTCGTTGCCACAGTATCAGCTCCCTATTGCTTTTCCTGATGACAAAGACGGTCTCTCTCTGGATCACTTCAAACATCTGTTACATCGAGTTTCTCTGCTCCCTGGCTGATACTCAGCAGAACCAAACTGTCCAAGCGGCAGTTAGAAATGCTCCACGTCTCCTTAAACCTCTTTTCAATCATCCTGTAATGACCTTTCAATAACTGTAGGACCATATTTCTGTAGCTCGAAGTACCAAGGTTGATATTGTGGTAATGTTTATTCGTGCTTGAACTTGTCCTTCAAGTTTGACATATAATCACCCCCTCCATGATCTAACCATGTATCGCATAATATCCAACAGCTACCAAGCCTATTCCTTCATTCATGATTAAAGGAATACGAACTTCTTCGCAATGCTACTCTACTTGAGGCGCGGTTTCGTCTTCGGAAAATCTGAACTGAAGTTTTGGCGACAGAATAGCGTGAGAACCACCTATGGTCAGCAGCATTCACGCATCACACGATCCAAAAGATGAAATCAATGAAAGGTATTCTTCATAGACTGTTGGCGATGAACTGAAGACAAGAAAGAAATGAACCGCGAGCATCACAGGAAAACAAGGGGATCGAAGCGAGCAACATTCCGGCACAGGTGGTACAGGGACCACGAAAACAGACCAAGAAAGACCAACGAATGCATCAGTTAATGTTTCAGGGAGAATTGTTGGACACTCTGTACAAGGGATAAGAAATGCTGCTTCGGCCGAGAGAGACAGGAGGAGTCTTGAAATGCCGAGAGAGATGACCGCGAGGACTTTGTGTTAGGCGTTGAAAGAGACCGTCTGCCAGTGGGCAGGTGCAAGTTCTTCGATATTAATTCTGACGATAGATGGAAAATTAGGGGATCGATGAACCCACTGAAGGAATTTGTGATATGTGTTGAAAGCAGTGGACAAAGGCTATCCCCTCAACTGCCGAAAACACACTTTTCCAGGGCACGGCGCTGAAGCGAGGCGCTAAGGCTGCCTGGACGACAACGAATTTCAGCGTTCTTCGCTTAATTACAGGGTCTCGCTACAGGTGTGCTTGATACGGCAGTTGAGGGGATAATCAAGGACTGTGCCGCTTTGGCATTCCGATTTCGAAAATGGATGAGTGAATCCCACAGCGTCAATAAAGACTGTTGGTAGTTCCATGATTTAGACCGATTGATTAGCGCTTAGCATGAGTAATTGTCGATTCAATCAATATCTTCCATCATTGGAAAAGCTGCCAGCGTCGTGCCTTGTTTATTTTGCTACATAAACCAGCTCATTCGCATCAGTTCAATCCTTTCTCGACTTCTAGCATCATCTTTCAACTTGACTCCGAACACAGCGAGGTACCCTTGACACAGAATCGAACATCGAAACACTTTACTACTGATTCTCTGAAGGAAACCTTGGGTGTCTTTCAACATGCAGCTCTCATCCATCAACATGATCCTGTCCATCGTCTGCCTCATGCTCACCAGCACCTTGGCAACCGCTTCTCCAATCGCTGCAGCCGACTTCTTGGATGCAAATTCATTCAATGCGACTGCTCATAGAATTTCCGTTCTCGAGCAAGAGGCCCTCTCCAGCCTCCGCGCTCGCGATGATCCCGCCGTCTTCACGATCCATCTCGAAGACGACGTCCAGGACTTCATTGGCTGTGTGCCTGAACCGGCAGTAAGTTCACTTCCCCCGACAAAATTAACGGTCGTACTTGGTACTAATATGTATCCCAGGATGTCGGTCGCTGCACAGTCTCCTTCGTCGAACACAGCACCTGGGATGGCATCGCCGGTCTCTACATCTACGACCACTGGTGCAACAAGATTGGCGTCAACACACACGTCAGCCGCGCCACCCTAGGCTCCAAAGTCGGAGAGATTGTTGGTGATGATCGTGGATATTCGATGCCTTCCGAGCTCAAGTACCTCTTGGTCATTTACATCGATCAAAGCTTCAATGAGAACACCAATGGTGGACGTGGGGTTCACACGAAGTATAGCGGATATGACAAGTATCCGTTCTACAAGATGGATTATTATAATGGTTATGTCCATAAGGCTAGTATTGCTTCACATATTAGCATTGGGAATGGGAAGGAGCAGAATTATTTCGTCATGAGATTGCCGTTTAACTGTAGATAGACGGCCTGCACTGTCCACCTTGAACTGTGGCTGGCAATTTCGAAACAGTGCATGGTTGGCGTATGAGGTCTCCAGTACTCTCGAGAGAGGCTGTGCCTTCTGAAAATACAGCAGCGTTGTTTTTTAGAACATGTAATGCAACAACAAACCCCTCTGAAAGTTCCACTGTACAATTGATTGTGCTCGACGCCACGGAGCCCGCATCTAGAAATTCATCCCAGACTGTAAAGAATCAAGTTCCGAGATGCCGCAGTCATAGTAGCGCGTTATCAGGGCCATGTATGAGTGAATCCGTCTGCGCCCGCAGCTTCAATATCATTGATGGGCTTCACTAGACGCTCTCAAGCAAGTAAACGAGCCAAAGAGACTAGTGTAGCGTAGCATACAGTACAGCAAGCAACCGTCAGAAGCGCTCCCGATCGTTGGGATCATGTATTCTTGGAAGCTCAACAACGGATAAGCGCCAAGTCTCATCTTCCCAGATGTATGGTATCTGTAGGCCACGGGTATCAAATTTGTGATTTTTCGGGGTCTCCGCCATTACTCTGTCACTAGAAACACGATCGATGGGACTCGTGCCTCCCTTGCAGACACATCGTTCGATCCTTTGCTTCAGGAAAGAGCTCTGTGGCATTTGGGGGATGTTGGTGAGTGAAGGGCCAACTTTCCATGCCTCATTACGACCATTTGCCAGAATTCCACCGAATCTCATCCGGTCTAGTGATAGGGTGGTACGAAGAAATTCGATCATGTCGAGCCAAGATCCTACTTCTTCGTTTCCCTTTCGATCGTTTGGGTCTTCTGCATCATCATCCAGACGGATGATACTATCGCCTGAGTGAAGCAAGACATGCTTAAGCTCTAGGGATCGCAGTGAATTTCGATGACGTGTCACTAGGTTACGAAGCTCGGCATCAGTGGTTACGAGATGCTCAAGAGAAAGATGTTTTAAGTCTTTCCAACATTGAGTTTCTGATATGAAATCGGAAATCCGAGCATGTCGGTTGTACCTGTACAAAGTAGACACCAAAGATTTGAAGGACACTGCTATATGTTGCAGCAATGGAGCGTTCGAGAATATGTGGCTGAGTGAGGTATCTGATAATCCATTTACGTAGCTGTGTTCGAATTGAAGGTCGATGCCAGTGAGATTCGCGAGAACCATTGATTCCGGATTGGCCTTACGACCTAATAGGTCCCAAGTCATTAAATCCATGCCGGATGCTTTTATCTTTTTGATGTGCTCCGTGCGACACGAAGCATATGCTGCATGGAGAAGTGTCCAGAAAGCTAGTTCCTGGTGCCGATTTTCGTTCTGCCTCTGTCGACGCTTACTGCTGGCAGAAGTATCTCCGTCTGCAGAAGTGCTCACTTCCCAAGCAGTCTTGTCTTCTCCAGAGTAGATGTGCATCTCTCCTGTTGCGAACAAATCATACTGTAAGCATTGAAGCATAGGGAGCTTGCTAAAGATATCGATGAGCATGTTCATTTCTACTGATGGTGTGAGAGCCTCCAGGTCAGCGACACGTGCACACCATGTATCGAAGTATGGTCTCAACTTGTCATCTGGAAATCTAGCTTTTCGCAGGCCTCGTTCCAAGTCGTACATTTTCCACAGTTCAAACATATTGACGTGGCCGGCAGTCTCTTCCGCGACTCTTCCACTTGTATTTTTCATCTTATACTACACGATGGACAAGTCAGCACAGGTAATATTCTATGTGAGAGGTTTCGGAATCTGAAGCGAAGTATACAACTCATGTACAGTGAAAGACTTGATACTCTCTGGGCTGACACTTACTGGATCGTAGCTGATGACGCGGACATAGTTGGAAAGCACAGAGTCATATGCTATATTCTTAAGCCTTCTGAAGCTCTTAATCCCGACTTTCAAGAAAACAATTCTAAAAAGGAATGGAGATGCAGTGGAATTGAGCTTTCTGAAAGTGAGTCGAGCTCTCTGCAGGTCTGGACGAGGAAAAAGTGAGCAAATGGCGGTGAGGATCTCAGGGGGCAGGTCGTCAATGCAATACGAGGACATGTTGATGAAACGATCTGAGACGTCGGAAAGTCGAGTTTATGTTGCTGTTGAACGCTCAATTTTGAGCAACAGCGTTCAAGTGATATTCGTTCGATGCTGTAGTTGAAAGAAAGTCCACACTAGCCTCGCCTCGCCTTGCATAACGGTTACGGTATGATCGTGTTTCTGAGGCTGTAATTCACGTGATGAGGAGCTGGCACTGATTAGGTAACTCTAAACCCTACATCTGCCTACAGTACCACACCAGAGCTTTTACTTTCCCTCCTAAACACCTGTAGTACCTGCTGATGTCAAGCCCGCTATTCTTCAATGCAAGTGAGTTATCGAAGCCACGGTTCTTTCGGATTTTAAGCCGGTCTCCTCCTATTTGCCGTAATGGAGAGTAAAGCCTTCGAGCTGACACCTTCCTCTGACAACATTTCTCGTAAGTCCTTCCCTGAGCCACCTTAAAATTTGATCGACCACACATATTTACAGCGGTCCAGAAAATGACAAGGCATTTTCTGGGTATCAGTGGACTTATTTCTCTTCTCTACAAGAAGGTCCGCTTCGCTCACGGGCCGAGCTGTTTTTAGCATCCGTGAATTGGCCTGCACTCCTAGAATACTCAGCTAAGAAGCGGCATGGAATCAACTGCACACTACTTCCGAATATTGGCCTTGGCTACAACCACATAGTTCGTATTGTTGAATTTGCAGATGAGACTCGATGGGTGGCGCGACTCCGAATGCCTCCTCTGATAAAATCTGGTTCCGATAAAGACGCTCTGAAGAACACAATGAATTGTGAAATCAACGCAATTTCTCTTGTGCGTCAAAAGACTGGAATACCTGTCCCTCAAATCCACGCATTTGAGGTGGAAAGCGGTAACAGCGTGAAAGCACCATTCATGTTAATGGACTGTCTCGAGGGTAATGTAGGAATGGATTTGGGCATGAAGATACCGCCTGAGTACAAGCAAGCCTTTTTGAGCAGTCTAGCAAAGATACATGTAAGTAAAGGGACTTGTGTTCGGAGCACATAGGGATAACTAACTGGGTTGCCCCAGGTCCAGCTATCCGCGGTGCAGCTACCTAAGATCGGGACAATTGTGTCGATAAATCGGGACAGCACTTACCAGCAAGGTCCGATACCAGGGCTGGGGGGCCCTTTTGACACAGCAACTGAATTCTTCAAAGCATGGGCAGCAAAAGTTGAATTTGGTATGTCAGACGAGCAATTACGAGCAGCATCCGGCCCATACGCTGCCGAAATTATTCCCTCGGTCTCCTCCTTCGCAAAAGCCATCAATGAGCTAGCTGGTAGACTGTCTATCCGCGATCGCGGCCCATTTCCTCTCTGCCACGGTGACTTTGGCCACAACAACGTGATCGTCAATGATAGATATCACATACTCGGCGTAATTGACTGGGAATCAGCCTTCGCTGGGCCGTGGGAGGTATTTGCAGATTTCCCTTTGACATTTCAAACAGTTCCACCTGCTATGGATGCACCATGGAATTATGATGAAGAAGGTTCTCCCCAGAGTACCGACTTGATACAAAAGTTTGCCGACCAGAAAGCCTATATGGCGGCTGTGAGACAGGAGGAGAATAGAAATGATGGAATTAGCCTTTGTCTATCGGAAGCGCTAGGGGATTCAAGAAGACGGCAATTGGCAACTGCGATGAGGCTGTATCAGAATGGAAAGGTTGGATGGTACTCCAAACTGATCGACGAGTTTCTCTCAGAGTTAATCTCCTAAAATTTAGTAGATAAGGTCAGCTCATTTCCATTAGATGCCCAATAAATTGTCGGCATAATTCTTATCAGCACCCTTTCATGCCTTGTCATTGTGGCTGTGATGGACGAAATTAGGTGGGGTCAGAGTGTTCAAATGCTCAAAAATGCTATTGGATTTAATGATATTCCTCGATAATCCCTCAGATTGCTTTGCAGATAGAATGACGAAATACATGTGGTAATGACAGACTCTGTCTAAAAAGCTCCCAACGAATGCATGACAACCTTTTCTGGCATTGAATCCCTCCTACGTAGAGCTAATTCTGCATACCGCATTCGCATACTTCTCCGCGCTTGACTTCTTTGTTACAGCCCAGCCTTCAGCAGGTAGTGTAAACACTATCAACGGAATCGACCAGCTCAGGCGTCGGGCCAGCGGCCATATTGTTGAAAATTTGAGTTGACATTGTGTTGTGCATTGTGGTGCTCTTCGATAACTCAGTTCATATGCTCCAAGTGTTTGGGATAATGATTCCTTACCAATTGAATGTACTAAGGTAGAATGATGAATGTAATTTCTTACGGAACTTGAGGAATGGAATTGCAATTGACCTGTCTGAGAGTTAGCTTGTACTAGCAGGAGCTTTGTGAAGATAGAATCTAAAGGTCATGGCCTGAAAATTGGGAATGCTTTAGTGTGACTGAAAACGGACATACTTCTGGCTGAGTTGAAGTCGTTGTGAGATGTTATTCTCAAGAAGTGGGAGAACATTGTGCTTTATCTTTAACTCATGTTAGGCAGAAGCGAGCTCTAAATCTTGCCTGGTCGCCGAAACAGTTTGCAACGAACGCAGCTGCAAGGCTCTGTGAGTCATTTGCTTCTCTCTGGACCAACCATCGATCTTGGACAGAACCAACAAATGGAACGTACAATGCAGCCTGGGCGAAAGTGGACATAGTGGCGTCGGATGTGAGGCTTATCGGCCGGCGCCCGCTGTTGGACGACAAGTGAAGGACACCAATAAAGCACTGCACATTCTACTCGGTGTGGGAGCAGAAGTCTAAAAGAATGCCTGAAGTCCTGCGAAAAGGCAGGGAAAGATAAGAAGAGCTTGCACAAATCTGGACAGCCAATTATGAAAAAGACGAGCGAACCAAAGGAAGCTTACCTGTGCGTTGTGAGTTACAGCTTTCCATGAAAGCACGAAGTAGGCCTTTTAAGTGCTATTTCATCTTTTCACTAAGCATTTCAAGAAGCCAGCCAAATGTTCGCGGAATTGCGAATTCAAAGCGAGATTGCGAATGAACCGTCATTACTATACAAAAGATTAAGACCTGCTGAAGGAAAAACAATATAGACACAAGATGTATTCTGCTTCAACATTAGTCATAATGTTTTACATGAAATTTGGAGGGGCGATTCAGAAGAACGTCTGACATACCCGATCCAGGGACGAATGCTTGCTTAGCCTTGTGCAAAAACCCCTTCATTCCCTTCTCCTTTTTACCATGCTCGCCAGCTTCGAACTCCTTGTTTCCATCTCCGGTATTAACAAACATACCCGCTCCACCACCAGGCTGAGTTTCAGAATCTCCAGAATTATCAAACATGCCCGCATTATTGCCAGGGCGAGTCTCCTTGTCGCCAGAATTATCGAACATGCCAGCTCCACCACTGCCAGCTGTACGATTTGCACCATCTGAGGTATTGCTGAACATCCCAGCACCAGCATCACCTCCACGTGAAGCACCTTCCGAAGTATTGCTGAACATGCCAGCTTCAACACTGTTGCCCGATCGGTTCGCGCCATCTGAGGTGTTGCTGAACATGCCTTCATCGGGTCGACGGCCACTATCACGAGTCTCTGAATCTCCAGAGTTGTCGAACATTCCAGCTCCTACATTTGAGTTCCCTTCCCCAGTACAACGCTCCGAATCTCCTGAGTTGTTGAACGTGCCGCCCTCGCTTGTTTCGGCTGCCGCTCGACGGTTGCCGTCGGAATCGTTGTCAAACATGCCGGACATATTGACTGTCAATTTTCAGTGCTTTTAAGAGATGTATTTGAGTGTAAACTTGCTACGTCATTGAGTTATGCGGAAAAGCAAAATGAAACGTAGAGAGTGAGCTGAGAAGAGACATGTTAAATGCGGGGGAACATCCGTGGAAGCTTGACGTCACCTCACTCGAGCGGACCAACGGGCCTGAACTAAATATTGATTTCGCTACGGAAAGAAAGTCAGATGTCCTTATTTGCTAGATATCATCTACCTTCGTCGTGTTGACGAACAGAAAGTAAGCTTCTGCGGGGGGCGGCTGCCAATGCGGGGTAGATCTAAAGCATGCCGCTAGTACATCATTTACTTGTAACATAGGTTCGGGCCCGAATCTTAAAATTTAGCTTTGTTAGCAAGTGGTAGCGAATTACTTTATAGCAGTGAGCGTATTTCGTAAGTCTGCAGAAAGAAAATAGCGACACTTTAGAGTGTATGTGGCAAGAGCAGAGGTCCTTGTAGCACCCCAAACAATGCTCCCGCAGTCCTTCAGGGACCTAGGGATGAGGAGATGAGGAGGGTTTCTATATAAAGCGATCCCATGGCACTTTAAAAGCCTGTGTAATGAGCGCGACATTCTGTCGCAAGATAGATTTGAAGGATATTTATCGACTGCAAGCTTGGGGGAGAGGGACTAACTACCCTTCTCAATGGCGCTTGCGAATTGGCAAAAAGTATCTGCCAGATGGCCTAGTTCAATGAGGCATAATTCCCAGTCGTAGGTGAACCTGTCTTGCGCTTTGATCAAACGGGACATATCCTGGTCGAGTGAAAACGTTGAGTTTTCCTTTGAAGTTGTTGTTGTGATGTTGTCATTCAGTGGGTTTAGCGAGGTTGCCATGCCTATATTTTCTCATGTTTTCTTTTGGAGAGGTTTCAGTGACCATTGCTCCACAAACTTTCCAGTGGAAAAATCCGCTTAGCGATGTTGCGACTGATAGTATACCGGCCTGGTCAATAGTCAAAGCCATAAAAGTTGATCTCATTCGCATTACTTCACCCTCAGCTACTTTGGAAATCCAAAAGTCCTGTCTGACATGTGATGAATAGTAAATAAACCCATCAAAAGAGTCAGGTAAAACCTGTGCGCAATGTACACTACTTATTGCGAAGCCAGAGCGAAAGTCTCAAAAGACTGACTTGCGCTCGCCGCCCAGAAAAAACGTTTAGAGAGACAGTAAAGCATCTGGGCCATGGAGAGCTGGCTACAGTAGGTGTACGTGAGTGTTTGAAAGAATTGGGCTTGGTGTAAGAGTGAGAGAATCCGCAAGCGGAGTGGCGGTGGTATGTAGAGATGGGGTGAACGCGCAATTAGAAATTATGTTCCTCCTCCTGCATCTCACGTATCTTATTCCACAACTGTCCGACGATTTCCAACAGTCTGGCCGCTTCCTGCTCTAGTTCTGTGACCTGAGTTTCCACGTCGGCCGCCCTCCCCTTGTTCCTTCGCAATCGGGAGCTTGAGCCGCTTTCGGACAATTGCTCCATCAAGTCTCTCATTTGCTCAGCTCGTGTCTGTAGGCCGCGAGCTATTTCCTCTTTCTCGGTTGCATCGTTGATCATCTCTTCTAGTTTTCGTTTGAACTTGTCTCGGGTTTCGTCGTCCATTGTTCGAAGACAGGATCGAAGCTTCCAAATGGGTTACCTAACCATTGTACAAGAGGCGGAAGTGACCAACTTACATGTGTAAGAGCTAGATAGTTGAATTCGTAGAGGAGTTTGTGTCCTGCTAATGGTATCCTGGCAGGGCAGACATGCAACTGATGGGGGAGGCCAGCCGTATATAGCAGCTGACATGGCCAGGCATCACCTCCGCATGAAAGGCCCTACACGCTATTCTGCACAGCGAACCAACTTGAATTTACGCCGCATATTGCTAATTAAGGCAGCCGTGGTCATAGAAGTACGAAGGCCAGAACATTGCCTCGGCATCCTTGACCGCATATGCATGGATTCGTGGCAAATTCGGGTACGTGAGTTGCGTGCATAAAGACCAGCCAAGCTACTTAGTCAATCCACTCCCGAATGGCTACAAGGCCACAAGGTGGCCCAATTGAACCACACCACCCAACTGCGGTCGGTATGAATCTTACAGCTCTACCTGCATCATGTAAAATGTGTGTTATGACACCACGTTCGCGAATAACCTGAACCTTCTGGCTGTTAATGGCAGCCTAAATTACCTAAGCACCAATATCACCAATGCTTCCCAATGTGATCGTGAAACGTCAAGAGGGCAAGGATATCTTTTTTCTACCTAGTTCAAGGAATGGATGCTCATCGCGAAGACACACCACACACTTACCTTGCTCTTACTGGTTGCACAGGTCGTTCCCCCTCCAAGCGCGTTATTTCTCCTTGGGTCTTATCGCTCCACTCACGTAATTCCTGCAACTTGTTTTGTGCCTCTGTAGTCCAGCCCTTGAGTTTTTGCCATTCCGGATCTTCTTCGTCGTCAAAGAGATCGTTGTCCCTGAGATACTGAGTGTACTCTTCGGAGGCACCCAATCGCCGCGTTAATCGTTCTTGCAACTCCTTATTCTCAGGACGTTGGAAGAAACTAGGGACTATTTTGTCGCGAGGATCGTTGTAGAGTCTGGGATAAATGCATCTATAAAACAGCAAGACGAGGTCAGATGGATCTCGGAATATATAAGCCATCGGCAACGTAAAATTGTCTTGAAAATCCCATTCTCTTGCAAGCTGAGAATGACTAGGTGACTTGGATTTTCTCGACGATAGAACGTTCATAAATTCGAATGAGACCTTGGGAGCGACTGATCCAGAATCATGGCCAGTAATCCACGGCGGGGGTAGAAAGAGGGGCTGTGGAACAGTAACCGAGAACTCCCAGTCAACGATGCCGCGGATATGAAGCTCGTCATCCACGATGATATTATTGACGCGAAGATCAGGGTGAGATAGGCAGAACGAGCCTCCTGACGAATCTGCCTTGAATCCAAGAATCCTTTGTGCTTCCTCTAAGCTTAGGGCATTAAGTGCGAACTCCTCGTACTCAGCCTCCTCTTGACCAAGTTCTTGGGAAGGCATTTGCCACATGTATTGAAGCAATTGATACTGATCCCTCAAGAATTCGTTTGCAGTGGCAGCTATGGACCGTACAGCTGTAAAACCATCGACCTGGAGCTCGTTCTTGCGCATGGAAAAGGCACCAACGATTTTCGGTGCGTGTTTGAGACCCATAATCGATTGAGGCGTAAAGGATTCTTCCCGGGAAAACAAGAACGACCATAATCGTACCCCGGTTCCGAACATGGTGTTTGGCATTAATGAGCCTCCCAGAGGGAATTCAAGCCGTCGTAGTTCAGCAAACATGTCAACAATTTCTCCGAAAAACCGACGCCGGCTGTCTTCGGGGCTATCCCGAAGCAGTTTTTTCGTCAAAGGTCGCCCATCAATATAATCCAAGACCATGAATACTTGATAAGTCGAGGTGTCTCGTCTGAGTCGACTCTTGCCGTATGCGTATACCCTAGGGATACGAATGTCTGTGTGGTCGAGCACATATCTATGCACACCATATCAGTCTTGACTGCATTGATCTCGTAGGTAACGCTTACTGCATGGTACAGACCTCACTGCGTACCTTATCCCATACATCATGGACCGCTGGTTCGATGGGAAGCCTGACTAGCCGGGTGGTGCCATCAGAGAAGTCAAGGATGAAACAGACATTAAAGCTGCCTTGGCGCTGAGATCTGATGCTACATGGCAAACCGCCGTTGTAGCTGGAAGCTAAAGCACGAATAGCATCAGTGTCAATTGAGCCAATAAATTCATCGCGCTTCATTTTGCGCTGCTGGTCTGTGAGAGGCCTGAGACTGAAAGGAGAGGGAAGGTCGCGTCTGAAAACGTGGGTGAGGTACGACCTCCAAAGGCGGCGAATGTGGAAAAGACATCGTGTCCACGGAACGAAAAGAAGGCGCTCAATGACTAGACGCATTGGGTTCAGAAAAACTTGCTGTGGGACATGGGCGAGGTGCCTAGCATCGATGGTTGCGTGAGAGGTTGGAAATGGCGAAATGCCCCTGAATATCATGGACGACTCGCTAAGTCACGTGACTACAGTATGTACCTATTCAAAGGGAATAGGGCTGAACCGCTCTCCCCTCTCCAACGTCATCACCTGGGAACCTGGGCATCGAAATGTACTTTACGGCGACTTTGTTGTGCAAGAATAGACCGTCAATTATACCCCCGTGAGCGGATCATATTAGCCAGACTGGCCAAGCGGCGCCCGCTCTTGTGTCCCCTCCCTCTAGATCTTGCATTGCTGGGTTCAACCCCCCGACAAAGTGCCACTGCCCAAACTCATTGATGGGCTTGGAAATGGGAAATTCAAGTAATCCGTCATACAAGTGCGCAATTGATAGATCGTAGCGACAAGATCCTGCTAATTGGTATGGTACGAGATCGTTATCCCTCGTTTCAGCATGCATCCACCTTCTGCAACAGTCTTCTCCTCCTCGATTCGATAAGAACTTGCATGGCAGGGTTTCAAACCTGTTTTCTTTATTCCTTTGTTCACTCCGGAGTCTGTTTGTCCATTCTGGCTTCAATTTCCGTTGTTTAGAATAGTCTGATCTCTATCCTTGGAGACAAACTTATGTGAAGCTTTTTAGAGAAGACTATTTTATTGGTTTGCTCTAGCTTTCTAGTTGATCTATAAACATTTCTCGGTTGTTCTGAGGCATTGTTTGGTAATACATAATCGCCAATCCCATCTCTTAACTTCACTCAACTAGCTGGGACTGGACAAAGGATACTTGAATCCTGTCGCAAATCAAGGCCATGAGTTCCGACCAGCAGACCCCTTTATTCCCCTACGAAGGAATCCGTGCAATCATTGTCTCTTGGTCAGATGATGATTTGGATCTCTATTGCGAACTTGTTGATATCAACAATGCATTCGCTTTCCTCAACTTCACCCACCATCGGATGTATTTCATTCCATCTCAAAACCCCTTCGACTCCCTGCTCGAGAAGATTAACCACGAAAAGCCGAATGCCGCGGCAGAGAACTCATTGTTGGTTGTATATTATGGAGAAGATGGGCAGCTTCTGACTAACAGAAGACTGCACTTCACTGCAACCAGAGAATCCCAGCACCCAAGTATTGATTGGACATCGATGCAGGCCAATCTCGAAAGTGCCAACACTGACGTCCTGCTGCTCTTAGACTGTTGCCACGCAAGTGCTGCAGCTAGTTCGTTTGAGCAGAGTTATGAAGATGACCCTGAGCCAAGAAAACGGCTCGAGATTCTGGCTGGCTGCGGATATGATTCAGTTACTCGTGAGGCTGGAAGATACAGCTTCACCAAAGCTCTGATAGCAAAACTGAATGAAAGAGGTAAGCTCGAGTGTGTGTTCTCTGTCGGACAGCTCTTCCAATCTTTGCATGCAAGAATGCTCCGACAGCATCCATCTAACATACCGGACAGCGATGATGATAAGTACAATAAATGTTTTGTAGCACCTGTGTATATTCCTCGGTGCACTGACCCCATTCACGTCAGTATCCCGCTGAGGAAATTGGATTCACCGAAGAAGGAAGATGCGAGTGATCAACAAGATCATTCTGTGGATAATTGGCGCTACCCCTCACCCACTTCACCTTCGCCCACGGCTCCTAAACATGCTGACTGGTAGGATGTGATCATCTGATCAGTAGTGGATCGAAAGATAATCGCATAAAGCGGAACATCTTTTTCAGAGCTCCATATGTCCCTTCCTGTTCCTGCTTTACAGCAATCATGACACGATCAATGTTGATAACTTATGGGTCAGAAGACACGAGTAGGGCCTATTCAATGTAAAACTGCAATCATAACAACAATTCTTATGAATCATTTGCTTTAGCTAGCTATGTAAGCGATTTTGATGATTGACGTAGCAGCCAATGCAACCAAGTTGAAGTGAAGTTATAAAGCTGGGGCAGAAGGTAACCAAATAAGTGTAAAAGAGTGACAGATATTGCTTATAAAAGCATGCAAACGTCTGAAATGAAAACCCAAAAACTCTGACACTTATATATGTCGGTTTGGTTCAGAGACTCTAACATCCAAATGCCCATCGAAACATATTCCAGGTGATATCGTCCCACCCTGCTCCATACAGATGGCTGTACCCCAGTCTCCCATTATTATAGAACTCCCACGTAGGGTTGGCAGGATCAGTGACCTTTCCATTATAAGTCCAATGAATATCGCGAGTTTTCCAGATATCCTTCCTGTTATAGTGTACGTTTAAGGGCCGTTGTCGGAGTGTGTAGCCCTCTGCATCTTCCAACAGGGCTCGCGGCGCTGCAAGATCCTGGGCAAGCACGTTGCAATTGCTATCGAAGAGCCAGATTTTAGGATCTCGCATATCAGGTGCTTCGGTGTCGAAGATCGTAAATGTGCATTGTGTAGGGACAGGGTTCTTGCGGCAATACACCCAGCCCTGGAACATACCCTCATTGAAACCTGCGCCGATGTCGCCTTCTCTCCAGTCGTCATCACGGGCAGATATGCCCTTTGGTATGTCTTCGAGGCTAGTGAAGTGGGAGTAGTCTTCAGATGTACCGATTGTCGCCCATGCATCCACAGAGCCAGGAGTGGGAGAGCTGGTGGCGAGAGAGATGCACATGGCGAAGAAGACTGTGGCGATATTGAAAATTTTGAACTTGCTGTAGGGCTCCATTTTGAGAGCTATTTTGGTATCAGTTGAGCTCGATTTAGTTGCTGATTCAATTGTGATGAATCAGTTCACTGCGGATGGAGAGAAAAATAGCAGTAATGACAGCATTATGCTTGATATAAATAACTATTTCTCGAACATAGAAATATTTGCAGGAATATGATCCCGTTGTCAAAGTTCAACTGGAGAAAGAAGATCATATACTGATGCTAACGAAATCAATTTGAGGAATGTGACGGGTAGAGCATGGCTCAATATCGACCCACTCACCATGTTTCTATTTTGGTGGTTCCTTTCAACTCATTTTCGTGCTCCTTTCAAACGTCCTAGTCTCATGTCTCGGCAGTCAGTGCCATTGGCTATGCCATGGAGAAGGTGGTTCTTTCACACAAGCTCTTAATCTCCTGCTAGGATCACGTCAACAGAAGCTGTGTTAAAGACTATTGCACTTCCCATCTAACCAAGCAGTCTCGCGCGACGGCATTTAATCTTTTTCAACAGTAAAAGCCGAACAGTATTCATGTTAGAGCAAGGATAATGAGCAAGCCTCCCCATGAAAGCTAAGGAATGGGGAAAAGTTTAACCTACTGATATTTCTTTATGTCATCACGATCACTTGCAACAAAGACTTCAGCTTCAAGTATGTGACACAAAATTTTTGATCCGTGTGCACTAATGAGGGTAATTAAATGCGTATAGCATTTGCATAGCTCTCAGTAAAGATTTTGCCAATTCGAGAAAACATCCCTGCCCAAGCAAACAAATGCAAGAGATCAGAGAAAGAAACCATGCAATATGACCCCCATGCTTTCAGGATTTATGCCTAAACTTTCTCCCCAATGGACGTTTGACCGTATTAGAAGCCATTAAAATGATCTCAATCAAGGGTACTCGTCTCCGCAATTGAAAGGAATTCGGAAGAAGTCGTAAAACACACCCTTCCAGACGCTAGATTGGACTCTGTTCGAAGAGCGCCAGTCTTCTGGCCGATCTCTCCAATAAAATGGAAAGCTGACGTACCAGCTGTAGTAGATCTTCAAATTGTAGTTTCTGGCGGGAGCTCCTTGCCAGTCCTCACCCATCCAGAGGAGAATGTTCCACTTCAACTTGCTGGTAACCAAGTCAGTCCCATGCTTTTCACCATTAACTTCGCGGTGTAATTCATCGATGTTTCTCGTCCATTCACCAAGGCGGTAGCAGTTGTGGTCGTATGCAACAAACTTTACGGCGTTATCGTTGACTCTGCGGGCATAGGCAAGGGTGCACATTTGGTGGACATCTTGGCGTGGCTTGCAGGACTGGAATGAAACCTTCGGTTCTGGCTTGAACCATTCTCCAGTCTCTGGGTTGCCTTGGACTGCTGCGATGTCATTGTCGTCACGACCGCCGAGATAGGGGTTCGGGTAGGTGGGGACAGTGGTGAGGTTTGAGATCTCCTCGGCTGTCAAGTCGAGAATCGCAGAGTCGCCTGCAGGAGCTGCGAGGGTGGTGGTGAGGAGGAGAATGAGGAAGGTGATCAGAATCATGACGTTGAACTTGGAGGAACGCATGACGGAGGAAAGAGGGTTCGATCTATGCTCAATGATGTCTGTTAGCATCTGCGAGATGAAGATAATCAAGTCGAGATGATCAAGACTGACCTTTGGGTGTGTCCGAAGACTATTATGATCTGTGACGTGCGCAGATGTTTGTTTGCAGTTGCTGTGTGATATCCTGAGTAGAGATAAACATCAGCTTCAGTCCTCTTACTCTCAAGAATTGATCAAAGCAATACTTGAAGACTGGGGATAGGGCTGACAGAAGAGCCTACTGTTGGGTCCTTGCCTTCTCACACAAGGCAAGTGTTCTCTGAGGAATCTGTGTTGTTTGGTTTGGCGGAAAGGACAAGAATTCTCATGAGAAAAATTCAAGGCTATTTATCGTCTTGTCGCCTCTAGGTTGCGGCCTTAGCGCGAGAAGCTGATCAAGGAGCCGACAGTCGGAGATTGTATTGATTTCATCGGCTCAATCGGTAATGTGTCTAATTTGCTACATGGGATGCACGCCCAATCGAAGTCAGCGGAATTATTCGCTGGTCTGATTCTTAAAGTGATGATTCTGTTCTTTTGCTACTGTAGAAGGTAAGGTGCGTCTTAGCCTTGGGACGAAGATTCCATTTAAATCCCGTCTTCAATACTCATAGAGTTTTTTCTGTGGTCCGGAAACGCGTCGAAAAACAATAGGATAGACTTAAGATCCTTATACTAGTGAAGTTGACTCGGATCAAAATAAAGCGTACCGCATTAAACCTACAGGGAAAGTCAAGATCACATCTCAAGGAGGTACTCACGAACTCATGGAGCCCAGTCCGAGGTAGGAACAAAAATTTTGCTGAGCCACACGACGGTTCCCGCAGCAACATATATCAAGGCTCATGACTTCGTGGTCAAACTATTGAGAGGTAGCAGACCTGCAGAATTATGGGTTGTTTTCGCTGCCCCTGACAATTCCTCTCCACTGGCACATGAAGCCTCTCTCAAGACTCACAACATATTATCAAGGTAATCACGGTGACTGCTTTTGGCTAAGCACAAGTCCAGAATAGCTGACTAACCAAATGTAGATATGACATGATAACAGAACCGACGCAAACTCCATCGAGGCGAAAATCCAGCACTTAGAGAAGACCAAAGCTCACAAGAAAATCAATTAAATTCCTGTCCCTGATCAACCTCGAGAGTAGTGACTTGGCCGACCTAAGGCACACCAGAAGGGGAAACGTCCAATGGGAAAAAAAACCTCAGACTTACAAGATCATCATGTTCTGGGAAGATGGACTTGTTCAATATCATTTCGCTATTCAAGTTACATGACGTAGGTCACAGAATCGAATAGTACCAGGAAGTAATGCTTGCTTTCAATACCAACCGTGCGATGAAGCTATGGTTACCAGCCCTCTAAAACACTTCTGATGAGAAGAATAAGGTGGCTGTTAAGTGGTAGCAGCAAATTGTTTGTAGTGGTCTGTAGGAACCTAGAGGGTGCAGTAGTTGTTACGTAGGGTGAAGCTCAACTTCGGGCGTAATCTCGGGACCGTCGACCTCTGAATAGATAAAAAAAGACTCGATTTACTATGATTGATCAACAATAAGGAACTTCACCCCTGAACCGGCTCATCTTTCAAAAGGCCGATGATTCACATATCGAATCAATACAATGTGCCATCAGCTGCTCAGAACCTGAACCTAGCCAAGACGCTAAACCCCTAAGCGAAAACAAAACAATCACAGCTTTCCAGTCCCGGAGGTCCAGGCTACTTGAATTTCCTCCTCGAATAACGCACCTACACACTCTTTCTTTCCCCATCAAAGCAACGTCAAACCCCATTCTACCACACCAATCCCACTTCTCAACCACAAACAAAATGCCCCTCACGCTAAAACTCATCTCTCTCCTCGCCATCGTCCTCACCCTCCTCTCCCTCGCTGCAAGCAGTACCGAAACCTCCGCATCTTCAAGCCTCGACAGCGGCTACGCCAACCACACCGCCGAAATTTCTACCATCCTATCTTCTCGCGAAGTCAGTTGGAGACCAGGCCAGAGTATCTCTATTGATCTCGAGCCTGGTATGAGATTCCAGATCTGCGGCGCGAACCCGGATGATGGACATATGTGCTATGTTTCTTTTGTTGAGAAGAGTACTTGTGAGTTCTGTTTTTGCTTCTACGCAGTAGTTTGACTTCTACTTCCACTTACAGAGTTCTGCCTCCAATCGAAAGCTGGGATTAATTTTGCGGAATACCTACTGACTTTCTTTTTTTGTTTTGTTGGTGTAGGGGGAGGATGGGCTATAATGTGGGCATTTGATAATAGCTGCAACCTCCGCGGTTCCAACACCCACGTCGCTCGAAACTGGTAAGTCATCAATTTCTCCCCCCTCTCCACCACTCCCCCTTTCCCCGCTTCTCCTGTCGCCTCTCCTCTCTCCCCTCTCTCCCTCTTCACCCCCACCCACAACCCCACAATTCTAACCACCACTTCTCACCTCTCACCTCTCACCTCTCCCTTCCCTACAGGCTCAACGGTATCTGGTTCTTCAGCACCGACCTCCCTACCTTCCTACAAGTCGAAATCAAGACCTGGTGGAACGAAGACAAGAACGAAGGCGTGAGTATCTACTACAATAAGCATCGTACGCAGCCGTTTGTGGGTAGGGATTATCCCGTCTTTACGTATAAGACGAGATATCCGTCGAAGACGCCGCCCGGGGCGGTTTATGCGGTTTTTAGAGCGGTTTTTAGATGTTGAGAGGGTTTCAGTGGGGGTGATTTAGGTATTTTGAGTTGAAGGGAATGAGGCTAACTTTGCCTGGTCTTGGAGGAGGGAGTGACAGTCAAACCTCACGATAATCGCTTTTAGAGATTTTGTGAGTCCTCGTGTCCATGTGACAGAGAAGACCCAGAATTCAGCCTAGAAACAAAGTTCTTCTTCTTGGCTAGTCTTACATCCCCTAAGTGTCTAACATCGTCTCGTATTTGATTTTTTACCTTATTTTGTCTGTTGCAATGAAAACTCTGAATTTTTTTCTTTTTCGGAATGATTCAAACACACGTTTATTTACTTGCCGATGGGAAGCTCATTATGTAAGCACCCGAGCTTTACATGTCCTCCTTCGCATGGCTCCTTCCCCTCCAACAAAAAAGTAGGTAATGCCAATTTACACCACACCGAAACGGACGAAAAACAATCTCATTCAAGCACCGTATCCTACCTGCCAATCTTCAGCTTTGAGTGAGTATATGCATTCCAACCAACCTATTCTAACCCCCTCCCCCCCCCCTCTCCCTTTCAACCACAACAAACAGAACAGAACATATATATGATATCCTCTTAATTACAAAGGAACAAAGGCGTTATTCTTCTCCCCCAAATCCCAAATCCCAATTCGCCAGGACAGATAGATCTTCCTCTCCTCATCACTCTGTCTCTTTAACTTAGTGTGTGTCTGTGTCCCTTTTTCAAAAGAGTCAAGTAAGTTAGAGAAGAAGAATCGGAGTAGTAACTTAAGATACCTTACCTACCCATAAGAAGCAAGCATAAACGTAACGGCATGCGTCAAAAGAGCCATCCCCTCCCCTCCCTCAAACTGCCAAAAACAGGAATACTCTTAGGCACTGGAAGCGGGTCGGGAGTATCTCGAAAGGTATTCAGAGAGAGATGGGGTGGGATGGAGTGGGATGGGATGGGGTTGAAGGGAAGAAGAAGAAGAAGCTGCAAGGGAGCAAGAAGAAGGGCTCCATTCAGCTCAACTGACATAAACTCAATTCGATTCAGGGTTATTTAATTCAGTTCAATTCATCGATTTCTGATCTCAGATACTCTCTCATCCCATTTCATCTCATCCCATTTCATCTCACTTCTCTACCTCCTTCCATTCTCTCCTATCCGCTCAACACAGGCAGACCGACAGACAGACAGACAGACAGACCAGACCGGTACCGACGTCTCAAAAATATAAGCAAGGTGGCTTTACCCCATATACACATCATCAACGCATGATTTCATGCGTCGGTACTTCATTCCATTCCATTCAATTCCATTCCCACTCGTCCCCATCGCGTCTCCTCTCCTCCTCTCTTCCCCTACGCTCATTGCCTTGTTTGCTTGCTTGCTCGCTCCTCTCCTCTCTTCAAGCATCCATCCATCCATCCATCCATCCATCCACAGAAAGATATCATTCAGTCAACGCCCCCAAAGCCCGTACGAGATATCAATCAGTCAATCAATCAATCCAGAGCAGAGGTCCCTCGCAAATCCAGCCGCAGCTCATCAATCCATCCATTCATCCGAACGCCAATGCGCCTATATGCGAAGCATGCATGCATCCCCTGTGCCTTGCCCTTGCATTCCGGCCTCTATCTGTCTGTACTCCTGCTCCTGCTCTGCTCCTGTTCCTAGGTTGCATTCTGTACAATGTACAACAAAAATAAATCATGCAAGTAAGCAATAATCCTACACTACTCCTGTCTCTCTTTTGCGTCGTCAAGTTCCTTCGTGATTCGTCGGCGGTTTTTTATGGATGTGGGTCGTATCGTCGATGATCTCGTTAGAGCGTGCCTTTCATTTGTATCCATCATATCAGTGGAATCATCACTGACTCATGCCATCTTCACTACCGACTCTTGCTCCACCAACTGGCATAGGTGGACTGGCACTTTTACTCCTCTTCCAGAAATTCATCCTAAACCGGCTGGGCTTCTTTTTTAGTTTCCCGATTTTTTCGGTCACGGTAGATGGTGGGCCTTTGTTCTCCTCACCGTCCCCCTCACTTTTGCTCCCTTGAGTCGTCGAATCCTTGCTTGAGCTTCGATCCCCACAGCTCCGTCCATTTCCAGTTGATGTCCCGGTTGGCGTGAGAATTTGACTTGAGTTCCCTTTCTCGATCGAGTCGGCATCTGACATGATGCTTGTCCCTTGTGTACTGGGGCTCAGTGGCATCTTCCCGGTAGTAGCACTTGTGGCCTGACTAGTCCAATCTCCAGCAGAATTGCTTCCTTCCGTCCCATCACTGCTTCGTTGCTTCTCTGATTCCGGGGCTTTTGGTTCTTGTGGTGTTGGAGGGTCGATTACAACAGGATCGGTGACCAGAGACTGATGGTTCACTGATATGCCGTTTGGCTGCGAATCGATGGTCTGGGTGAGGGAAGAGTCTTGGCTGGGATGATCGAGTAAACCGGGAGCGCTTGCTGTGGCGAAGCTTAGTTGTAGTTGACTTGGTTTGGAGGAGCGCCGAGAGCTAGAATCTGGTAATACTTCACTAGGTGATGGGGTCGCCGAATCTTCCACCAACGGTTCCGAACCAGGCGATATTTCCGGGAGCGTGGTATGATGTCGTCGACCCTCCTCAGCAACACCGTTTGTCGGGAAAGGATTCTTGGAGAGGAGCGCTTTTCTCAAGTCCATATCGGGCGACAAGACGTTACCTACCTTCTGATAACTTGCATCAGAAGGATTGGCAACGCTCATTGTTCGTGGGGAAAACATGCCATCCTTCATGGTAGAATCATCACTACCTTTCCTAACCCTCTCTTGTTCATCGGCAATCGTTTGTTCCCAGGCAGCCTTATTTCGTAAGAGTTCTTCTACACAGTATGCCATTCCTGGCATAACATCTGTGACACCTTGGAAAAGTGGAATGGCGAACATGTTCATGAATCCTATTTGGGATTTTCCAAGCTCTATTGGGGCTCGAGTCGGTGCAGCAAAGAGTGCGGTAGGGATGCCGAGGTCTGTCTCCATTGAGGCTTGGCGAGAAAATTCGTCAGTCAATATTGATGTCCACCGGGCTGCAACTTCGTATTTGCGTGCCTTTGATCGTTAGCAAAAGACAATACGAGATCTCTTATTACTTACTACGTTGCTAATGTCAGCGCATTTGATCAACAACGAACAAGCAAGCGTTCTTTGCTCATCAATGAGTCTCCCGTTCCAGCCATCAGTGCCTCCATTTTCATGTAGCTTTTCCTGCAAAAACCCAAGCTTCTTCATGTAATCGAAATGAAGACCCATATCAGTAGCAAGGATCGAACTAATCATAAGCTGACGCATCTCTTGACCCCGGAAAGCTGCTGGCCAATATCGTCGAAGGATCTGGGAATAAGCCGCGCAATGGAACGATTCGAGGACCGACCGGTCATTGTACAGTTGAGCAAGTGGGGCATTAAGCGTTACCAGGAAAGCATTGTTGACACCAGGATGACCGACGTCATGTCCGATGGCGGTGATTAGAAGAGTAAGAGCGTCGAAAGGTCGAATTAGAGCGGCGATTGGGGAAAGCGGAGGCTCTGGCGAATGACCCGAGATGGGATATGGGGGCAATCGGCCCAGTCGGACAAGAAAGTGGAAACAAGCCTGTAAGACGTCGACGACATGACGGAAATTATGATACGGGACAAAGGCATTGTATGCGGATCGACTCGCTACTAGAAAAGCCGTGAGATGCTCTGTATCGGGTGTCAGCATGGAAGCACAATTATCCGAAACATGTCCACAAAGAAGCTGCCACTTACCTGTCGATATCCGCCACCTCTCCAGTTCCGGCATCGTAAGCGCGTGCTGTAGCATCAGTAAAGCTGCATGGAGAAGCTCGTCGTCGGTGAACTCGTGCGCCGAGAAATGCCAGGACCCGACGGACGCTGCAATCTTCTCTCGACGATTTAACGCAATGGATATCCTTATAGGAGCCATGGGCTCTTCATCTCCTCCAAGCTTGCAGATTCCGTCCATCAATCCCGATACCATAGCTTCCCGTAAATACGCATATGGCTTCTGATCATCCACTCCAACCCATGATCGTTTCCTCCCTCGTTTCATTTCCATAAGCGCTCTATGTTCCTTTGACGCATCTTTGTGTGCTCGGTAGGCGTGAATTGCGAGACTCGGTAATCGTTCTTTGAGCAGCGGACTCGTCAATACGTCTACTGCGCCAACATCCAGATACTTGACTGTTCTCGTTTGATCGAGTGGCGTAACCAGACCCCCACGTTTCTTTGAGAGAAAGGAGGTGTAGCCCAGTTGGCCTTCTGATCGAGAATTGGTCCGCCCCCTTGATGTTACTAATAAAGGGTTCTGCTCTGGAATGGACACTACCGCTACCGGTACCACTAGCCTCGACAGACTCTGATATTGTATCTCACACGCTATCCACTCCAGGAGACTGAGTCCGTATGCCTCCTCCTCTATCAAATCGTCATGTACCCCGTCTATCTGCAGCTGGGTACTGGGCGAAGGTGTCCGCACTTCCCTCGAAGGTCTTTCGGCAAGTTGATCTTCGTATGGTATATCTATTAAGACGAGGGTGGGTATTAATTCGACGATGGAGGACTGATTCAGTTCGGAGAGCTTCGATATACAAGATTTTCCAGATATACAGACGTAAACTGTCATTCAAGTTAGTACGTTGAAGCGATGCTCGCAGATGGATGGGGGGCCTACCTTCACTAAAGATACCAAGTAGAGTTTGTAGATTCTCATCTACCGCGGTAGGAGCGTGGACGGGTGTGTGGTGCTCTGCATAATTAATGACGCCGTCTGGTGAAGCCGTTGATGTCGCATCTTCCCTCTTCACTAGCCTATCTTCACGGGCGTTGCGATCGACGTACACCACATTGCATGCAGCGTAGTCCATGTCTGCTTCGCGCACCGCGACGGCGGAGATCTCTGTACCGCCGAGTCGTCCCCAATGAATTGATCAGTTGCGAAGTCCTGGAGAGGTTGCAGATGGCTGGTCCAGGCCAATATCGCGATCTTTGTATCGGCGGGCCGTGTCGCAGTGATGAAAGAGTGGAGGGCTCGAGCGCAAGCTTCCAGACTCGTCGAGACTTGGGCTCGAAAGACTCGCAAGACCTTCGGTCTTTGTCTTTATGCGGCCGTTGAGATCGTTTTAATTGATCGCAAATATGGGAGGAGGTGATTGAGGGTCTGGTTCTCAAGGAGCAGCGAGGATAGGGTATGTTTCGCGATTGCAGGGAAGGGCGGCTGAAGTCGAGGACAGGACTTGGCTGGTAGACGGTGACTTGCCCTTGTCTTTGAACCACGAACGTTTCTTTGATGGATAATATACGGGCGACCCAGATTATGGAAGAGAGGAGCTGTTATGCGCACTTATATACCGAAGAGAAGCTCCTGCGGATTCGGTGTGGTTCGTTTGGCAGCACATCAATTGAGTCTGGTGTCACGGATGACATGGGACTCGAGTCGCAATCCGCGCGCAGGCAGATAGAATGCAAGCAAGCAATTCCGGGAAGGGAAGCTCGATGCCTAGTTAATGCAATTGAAGTCTGGGTCTGACTGCGCTACAGGCAATGGGGAGAGGAGCGGGCAGTCTTCATTACGGTCGCAGAGGGAAGGTCGGGTCGATCGCTGTGGATGCAGCGCAATAGCAGAGGTCGAGTAATGAGGGGGTTGCAGGATGCAGTACGAGGTCAGGTCAGGTAGTCGACTCGATGTGGTACAGTACAATAGAGGACAGCGCTGGGCTCGATAAACCGGTCGGGGTCGAAGTCGCAACCTGAGGTGCTGAAGTGCAGTGCAGTGCAGTGCGGGCGTGAGGAGTAAAGCGGGATGTGATGTGATGTGATGTGATGTGATGTGATGTGAGAGGGAGTGAGGTTCAGGTTCAGGTTCAGGTTCCAAGCTTGATAGTGGTGTGGTGTGGTGGTGGTGCTCGAAGTCCTGCTCTGCTGGATGGTCGAGGTCGAGGTACGATGGAGGAGGGACGCTTGTCTGGTCTGGGCTCGACTCGGCGTGGTGAGAACCAAGAACCAAGAACCAAGAACCAAGTGAAGAGGGACGGGAAACGGGGGACGGGAGGCAATGAACGAAGTGTCCTATCCTATCGTGCCTAGGTATGGATGAGCAACGGGGGAAGAAGTTAAGGTGGAAACCACTCCTTTTCTCCACCTCTCTCACCTGGGCAGTAGTGGGCAGTGGGCACCACTTGGTGCTGCACTGGGCCGTGGACCTTCTTCGGACAACCCGCCGCAGGCTGGGTCCAGCAGCGAGCAGTTGCTGTGATTGGCCACAAGCGGGAATTTTCGCAGGGTCGGGCTTCCCAGTGACCACGGTAAACCTTCCAGAAGGCCGCTAAAAGCTTCGAATCAGCGTGGGCCATACTGTACTGTATGGATCAGTTCTCCAGGCGAAACATATCACTTTCCTCTACCGCTCTAGTTTATATGATTTGCGACTGATTGTGGCCCGGTTATCGCTTTCTATGACTACCGTTCTGTACTCTGCATCACTCCCAGTATATGAATCTTTATACTCTTTGACTGCTGTGATCTGCTGTTCCTCAGTCTATTGGTATTAAAGCTAAGTTACTGAAAGTCCAATATCTCTCTCAAATCCCGAAGTCATATCGCTTACCCCTTACCTTATCAGTCCATCAGTCACCTATCTGCAACAGTACATTAATATGGGGCTGAAATCATTCCACGGTGCTTCTAGTGCTCGACATCAGCATCTACCGAGATGGATCATCAGTGACTGTCCGGCTGGCGTCAGCAACACGCCTGCTATGAACGCCTGTGATTGATTGGAATTGTCTGACCTTCCTGATCGGCCCTGGATCAACAACTTCGGACTTGGCTCCTAGAACCCACTTCTTGCAACGCTATGAGGGAGACCCTTGCGAAATAAGAATTTGTAGATGCAAAAAGTAAGTGAAGAAGGAAATTTTGCTCATCCCAGATGGGCCAAGAGGCGGTTGTTCAGGATCACCTGGTAGATGTCCTGGGTTGAGAAACATAAGGATGCAAAGTTGCATTTTCCGGTGTAGAGAAGTCTTGGGTGCAGCGGTGCAGTGTTCACCACAGAAACACAACCAACGAGCTCGAAATCAACAATCAAGAGGCGGCAAAAGATGATGCAGATTTGCATCCAAGCCCGGCAGATGAGAAACAATTCACAAAGGATTGTTTGGTAATGCTTGAGTAATACTAACAATCGAGTCTGAATACACCGTACCTCGGAGCCAGATACCTAGGTACCTAGGTAAAGAGAAGCTGAGAAACACACAACACCACACGTGCCCATCCTATCCTCAAAGCCAAAAATGTTTCGTTTCATCTACATTCATCCCGTCGTCTTGCATCCTTCCCCTGAAGATAAAGTCCCCTTCCAAGCCTCCCTCCAGCACAACAATAAGCATCCCACCCAACCACAACCATCCCCCTTCCACCCCTCCCCAGACCAGCCAACAGCAAAGTACTGATCAGCCCTCCCAGGCGCCATGTCGCCACCCTCAGCGGAAAGCTTCAGTGCCATCCGGCCTATCAGTTCCCTATCGAACGTTCTGCCCCTCATTTTAATCAATCTTGGCGCTACGACTACACCTCACAGCACCACTCACTACTGTGCAGTTGCGATTATTGCGTTTGATTGTGTTGCGCATCCTTTTTCACCCCTCGGACCTGAGAACGAGAGGGGGTACAACTCCGAGCCAGATCGCTGGGCACAGCATATCCACAGCGCTTCTGCCGTTTAATCTCCAAGGTAAAGCTTCGGTACTTGACGCATCCGCAAAGGATGATGTGACCGATACAGTACAGTACCGCCGATATCTTAGGACATAATCCGCACGAAAAGATTACACTCGATAGGCAAGTCTCAAAAACAAGTACGCAATGTAAATGACTGCTCCTTCTCGAGTTTCCAAGCAAGAAAATGATGGACGGACACTTGCTGTACTCCTTAAGGGTGCTTGCATGGCATGCTGCCAAATTGCGGCGACCCGCAGAACCTCCCTGATTCACTTATTCGTTTTAGAGGGTCATTATCGTTTGCTTAGCATCTTATTTCCTACTAAAAGCACCTTTCGTTCTTCACATTTCTCTTTTTTAACTAATCCCGCGATGCTGTCTTCGAATGCAAGCATAAGCAAGAAGGCAAGTCGTCTTGCTACCATACGGACTCACCCTGATTTCCTCAACAGTCCTCTTCCATTGACTCTTCAACACTGCCCATTTCCTACCTTATTCCAAGCTCTTGTACCCCTCCATTCGTTTATTTCCATCAGCTTTTGTTTCGCTGCATTCATTCGAGCTTCCTATTTCCCTTCCATTTCCTCCCTCCACCTGCCTTTCTTGTAAAGTATTTCTCCATAAAGCCGCCGAGCAACAGTCATTCCATGAGTCAGAATCCTACTTTAATGGTTGCGTTCTTCGTACTTCATAATCACGCCACTGCAATGCATGCATAAATTGCTCAGTTCTGCATGTCCATTTCCACACTGTTAGGAGGGAGAACCTCTCATTGAGCTTTTGGACACAAGATGTCACGTGTTGAATTGCAGCGTCAAAGCCCGCAAGTGAGTCACTGAAGCGATTTGTTCATCGGCTTGCATATGTTCGTGTACCGTATCAACTTGTTACGTATTTGGGATATAGTAACCAAACTCCCATCTAGGAATGTATATATAAAGGGCCAAGTCTCCTAGGGTCTCAACTCATCAACATCAACATCGGCATTTTATCTCATCTCATCTCATCTAATTTCCTCGCAAAAGAAAAAACCTAGTCTCAACATCAGGCCATCCCATCCACCAGGGCTCATCAAATCATTAACTAATCAACCTATTCATCCCACTCCATCAGAGTCTAACAATATCCCTGCACAAATATCCATACACAATGGCCACCCTCCGACCCAAATCCAGCACCAGCACTGCCGACCTAGCACTGAACTTCATCGAGGACCGGCCGGACCCAACGTCCAGCTCGGCAAGTCTGATGTCGCAACTAGCTCATAGACAGGAGTTGATTGCGTATTGGGATATCCAGCCCGGGTCAAGAGTACTGGAGATAGGATGTGGCCAGGGTGATACGACTGTTGCGTTGGCGGATGCGGTGGGGGAGAGTGGGAGTGTGGTTGCGCTTGATCCGGGGAGTCCTGATTATGGTGAGTTTTGATTATATCTCAGTGTTTACTATTTTATATTGGATTTGGGCTCGAATGTAATTCCTTCTTTCAACTGTTACGTTTTTTCTTGAGTTTTGGTCTGACCTGTGCATTTTCAACGTTACCTACTTGTTCCCGAGCCTGCTCTCCCTGTTTGCCTGCTGGACTTTCATAAGCAATCGACATAAAAGAAGCTCTATAAATCTTCATTGCATAGAAGAAAAATAGTAACAATCTCCCCCTAGGCTCCCCCTCAACACTCGCCCAAGCCCAAGCCCACATCCTCTCCACCCCCTTAGGACCACGCATAACATTCCACTTCATCGACCCCCTCCTCTACCTCTCAACCTACACCGGCCCCGCCTACGACTACATCGTCCTCTCCCATTGCATCTACTACTTCTCCTCTCCCACACACCTCCCCACCCTCCTCGCCTCCCTAGCACCCCACACCAAAACCCTCTGCCTAGCCGAATGGTCCCTCCACGCCTCCTCACTCGCTCAGATCCCCCACGTGCAAACCGCACTCCTGCTCTCCCTTCTAGAAACAAAACGCGAGATCAATTCTAACGGAAACATACGCACCGTTCTATCACCCGCGCAAATCATGTCCGCTGTGCTATCTACCTCTACCAGCACCGCAGCCTCTTCGTCCTTGCCAAACTCCAGCTTCACGCTAGCACGCCAAGCTACACTCCCGTCGCATCCAGGACTGCAAGATGGATACTGGGAAGTCAGTGATCTGCTCCGGAAGCGCGAGGAAGAAATCTCGTCTTTGCGGGTACGGAGTTCCGGTCAGGTTGTGAGCGAGAATGAGATTGTGGCGCTGGAGGCGGCGTATGATGCTATTGCTGCTTCAGCGGAAGGGTTAGATGGTGGTGTGAAGGGGGTGAGGAGTATGGATTATTGGGTGGGTGTTTTTGAGAGGGTATGAGGGGAGGGAAGGGGTGGAGAGGAGATGGAAAGGAGGGTTCCTGGGATAGTGACGTGTTTTTGTAGTAGAGATAGAGGATGGGAAGGTATTGGGGAGGAGTTCTGAGGATATTCCTAGTTAGTGTCCAAAGGTCGTCAGGAGGAATCGTTTCACAGGACTACTAGCCATTTCAAATCGTGTAGTGCGAGGCACGCCCATCACTTTGTGGAATGCTAGCGTACTACCAACACGAGTCAACAGGATTACATGCCCCTCATATCGGCGCTGCAAGCGGCCAAGCTTTAACTGCAAGCTGATGTATTGTTTTCATCTCGCTTACGCGCCTTTTGTCTTCTATCCTTCCCTTAACTGAATCTCCAAGAATAGCTCACCATTCAGACTGACTACGGACAGGGGTGAGTCGAAAAGCATTACCATTCATGCTCTTGCCTGAGACGTTTATTTGACTGCATGCACGGAAACCACTCGATAGATGATTCACGGCTGTAGCGGCAGGCTGAGTATATCTAGGCTCATATTCGGCTGTTGCTTACTCTCTCTTTACTTCTTACGCTGCGCATATATTGTGTTCTACATCCACCAAAAAACTTCAAATGCTCACCTGAATTCATAAGTTACCTCCAGAAAGGTCTGACGCCCATATTTCAAAACCAAATATCAACTCCCTCCTCCTTCTCTTGCTTTCCACTTTACATCTACCTCCAGCCACAGAAAGAGCAGAGAAAATGTGCCACCAAACAACCTACACCCACAGCTGCACCCACAAAATCAAAACCCCCCGCCTCCTCTGCTCTCTCGCCTCCCTCCCCTCCATCTTCCACTCCGTCACAAAAGCAAAAGTCCCTCTTCTATATCCATGTCCAAGCTGTGCCGTGCGTTTGGGCCAGCCCATTACTTATCCCTATCAAGTCCCTCCTGCACCTGCACCAGCAGCACAGATTATCTACCAAGCAGCACCAGTCACAGTCCCCGCTCAGCCTCAACCAGTCCAACAAATCCCCGGCCCAGGATCCTACGGCACACCGCTTCCAAAGCCGAGTAACAGTACCGCGGAGACGAGACTGGAATATAGGAATGGGGCGTGGAGGCCGGTAGTGCATTATAGGTTTCCTTCTGGCTCTGCAGTGCCTCCGCCTGTAGGTGCAAGTATTCCTGTTGCGGTTCCCGCAAGGGCGCAGGTACAAGTTGTGCCTGTGCAAGGAGTGATAGGTCAAGGACCAGGGCAAGCACAGGCGACTGTCAATAGACCAGCGAACATTCCGTCGAATCAAGGATGGAGTCGTGTGCATGGTGTCGATACTGGACCGGGACCGCCGGGCCCGCAGCCAAGTGGTAATGTAACGCTTTCTTGCTCCTAGGTTTTGAGATTTGGTCTCGGGTGTGAAAAAGACAAGTAAAGAGAAAAATGTCTGACTTCCACACCAGGCAGGTGCCTTTAGTATCACCCCAAACGACAACCTGGGATGGGGAGCGCCTGTTTTCCAACTACCTGCTCCTCAGCCTGGCACCCAAACGCAAGCAGCTGCTGCGTCTCCATCGCCATCTTCCTCGACGCCAAACCCTCAGATCCCTCAAGCTTCTCAAGTTCTTGCTCCACAACTACAGACTTCAACGCCAACTTCAACTTCTCTCTCAGCACCGGCAGTCGGTCCACCACCAAACATCCTCGCCGCAGCAGCTATACAAGCTCCGTTGCCTACTCAGACCCTTCAAACTCCTTCCTCTGCTCCACTTCCACCTCCGACTATAACTCAAGTTTCCCAAGCACAGAATCAAACCCAAGCCCCGTCTTCATCTTCTCTATCAACACCAGTGCAAACACCGGGACACCACCCACAAACACCAAACAACGCAGCTCGCAACGCACGAGCAGAGTCCTTGCTAGGAATGAACACTTCTGTGCTTGCGAGATTGACGGCTGCGAATACCGATGCTAATGGAAATGGAAATGGAAGGCCAGCGAGTACTTGAGCTTGTTGCAGTGAGATGGCAAAACTATCTAACAAGGCAAAACACAAGGAAGTGACAGGCGCAAGTAAGGAAAAGGTGTTTTGCCAGTCTCTTGGTTTTATGAAATGCATGGCTTGTCGTCGGACAGAAACAGGAAGGTACAGATGTATGCAAGTGCTGAACGTTGGTATACTGGCATGGGATTCCACTTGGATGGCGTACTTTTTAGAGTTCTTTATATGCGAAGACATGCTTTAGCGTTCCGTGAGGTTCCGATGGAGTTCTGGATTTGTATAGTTGGAGAAGAAGAGACAGGCATGGAACTTACCTGACTTCGAAGTAGAATCAAGACTTCGCAAGAGGATGCAATCCTCGGGATGGATGCCGGTTCCCAGCCTGTTGAAAACATCGCTGCGGTCTATTCTCTAAGTCGACCATAATTTTGTCTATATGCGCGCATCAATCATGAATCATAGACATCTTCTCATCGACCCCAAGATTACCGCCCGGCAGAAAAGGACACCACAGCCCATTTCCCACTCCACGCCCATTTACGTGCCCCACTATCACCACCACCACCCTCCATAGCTCTCAACTCTTCGTCTTGACCTGGCTTAAGACCGACGACGACATCTGCTTTACAGGTTCGAAGGGCAAGGACATTGACGCCAGAGCCAGGACCGAGAGGACCGAGCGCTTGCGTGAATGGTGTGGTTGGATCCCACATTCCCTTTTCAGAGTTAGCAACATAAGTTTGGAGGGTATGGGAAAGAGGATGTACATCGCCAGTAAGCTTCCTGTAGTTCAAATCACCCTTGAAAATCACCAACTCACTCTCCTTCAAATCCTCATGTAATCTTGGAGCCGAAGTAGGTAATCTCCAGAAACTGCCTCCCTCTGTCCAGAAACGGTTGGAACGTAGAAGTAATTGTCCCTCGGCGTGGAAATTACTCCATTCTGAGAAGAGGAATGAGAGTTCATCGATCTCGGTTTGGGTAAGTGGTGTAGGTGTCTTGCCTGCGTTCTTCTCGTCTTCGGAAGGAGTAGAATAGAAGGATTGTGGGTTGGCAAGTGCGTTGAGGAGGGCTGCGAAGTCGCCAGGCAAGACATCAGAGACAAACCAAGGGATCGACTTAGGGTGCAGAATGATATTCGTAGCGAGTCCAGCGGACAGGAGGAAGCCTGCTAGGATAAGATCGACGTATAGTTCGAAGCCAGCATTATCCAGCACGATATCAACCTGACGGTATGACTTTCCCTCTTGCTGAGCCTTCTTCAGAAAATCGTAAGCAGCTTCCAGGTCATTTACAATGATATTCTTCTCCGAGGCCTTCCGTGCTTCTGAGCCTTGCAATTTCTGGATATCTTCGTATGTGAGGGACGTCAGGAGGGACAAATCCGTGGCGTTTCCCCACAGGCAGATCTCGCACATTTCCATGAAGAGGATCTTCTCTGCTTCTGCAATTTCGGTCTCGGATTTGTTGTCTTTTTTCTTCATTTGGTTGATGAGTTCGTGGTAGCGGCTGGCGAGTTCGAGGACTGCTGGACGTGAGGAGCGGAACGTGGACATTTTTTGAACGGCGAATATATCATAGGATTTCCAGTGGGTGGAGAGCGCAAAGGCGGTTGCTATGCGTCTATATACTGTTAATTGGCATTCCAGTCTTGTAGCTACGGGAATTACCTGTAGAGATAGCATTCTGCATAGAGCCAAGGGACATTGAACCATGAAGGGTTGCCCAGATGTTCCAATTCCTTATTATATCCCTCAACATCTGCCTCTCCGTCATCTGCGAGTGGACTGAACAAGTCAGCATAGTCTATGTATATTCAATGGACCCGTACGTCAACTTGCGATCATGTTGTAGCTCATATTTCAGTTTCGCAAGCTCCTCAACGATCTTCTTTCCCTCTATCCGTTTAGCTTCATCTGTCGTATCGGATACCGCCTTGTGTACATCGTCGATAGCCCCAGTCTTTGCAGTTAGCTTCGATCCGATTAACATACGTTTCCCTTACAAGTATCACTGGCCATCTGTCTCGAGCGGAGATATATGCGAAGGAGGTTTTGTCGGACGTTGAGGATAGGGCTATTGTGTGACGTTAGAGAGGGATTGGAGGTGAGAACCCGGGACTTACGGGTCTTGGTATCGTACTCCATGATGAAGATATTATTGTAAAAGGACGGAAGGGCTTTCCGGCCTGAGTACTGTGCCAGACGCGTTCTTGTTTGAGTTCTTGTTTCGCGATGGAGGGGTAGGCGGGGTCAAATTTGATAATCAGAAGCGTTTTCACGTGACCTGTTGCAGATTGGTCCTGTCTCGACTTCTTGACATCTTCACCATATATTTGGAATATCTAATCTCTGTGTATCTTTAGATGGGTACTATTGAAAAACAATTTTCGATTTTTCACCCGGCTGAATGCTGCATTCAATAAGGGCAGCTCTCGTGGCCACTCTCGAATCAAAATCTGACAGATCCAGAAAGTCAATATTGAACTTATCTCTTCAGAGTTTCTTGTCGGATTGAGTAGCCGGTTCGAAAAAATTACTAACATGGCCACATTATGATACTAATCTTGCGTATCATTATTTTGAGTCTCAATCTTCAGACTTACACAATTTTTCCAGCTCTCTCACAATTGTTTCGTGCTCCACTCGTGACATAATCTATGGCTCTCAAACACTTTTGCCAGCGTCGAACGTTTCTATATGTTATTTAGTTGGATTATTGAGAAATTATTTAGAGTTGGAAACTGTTTGCAACCCATAATGGACCACAAATACGACTTCTCTGGGAAAAATTTTAGTGCGGAGGATCGTCTGGTCGTGTATGATAAGAACACGCCAATGTGAGTTCAGAAATTGATTCCCCGTAAGTTCTAGAAAAGCAAGACGAGAATACTGCAAGCTGACAATAATATGATTTCAGTACTTAATGAAACAGTCACATTTACCAGGTATCATTTCAATGGCCTGTTAATGACAAATGTACCAACTCAAAGCGTTCTAGCTGAAAACATTATTCCCAACTTCCCTCATCATGCTCCAGATGCCCTTTGATTCCTCGCCCTCCACCATTCGGTTCTGCCCATATCAGTTACCGGCACATCACCTAACGTCCCTTCTGTCTCCCTCTTTTTCTTTGCATCCTCTAGCATCCTCAAAATTTCCTTCGAGGCTTCTTCATCCTGTAGCCTCAACCCCCTCGCCATCGCTTCTGCGTTCGTCTCATAAGGAATCGTAATGCACGCCAAAGGATGTGCCCCATAGTCTAAGAGTATCTTCACAAGCTCTATATTTCCTTTGTCTATTGCTCCGAGCAGTGGTGTCCCTGACTGTGGCGTATGGTAAATTTCAAGTTCATTGACATTTACTGCTTTGGTTTCTAGCAAGTGTCGTATGATGTGAATTTGCGAAGGGCCAGAATTTGCAGCACCGTGGAGGGCATGCGCGTATTCGAGATTTGCTCCTCGGGACTGCAGAAGCTTGAAGGTTTCGAGATTGCTGAAGCGGGAAGCGTTAAAGAGAAGGCGTCCTTTTGAGCCTTTAGTACGTACCAGGGGATTTGGAGGTGGGATGATTCCAACGGTGGGGTCCATGCCTTGGTCAAGGAGGAAACCAGTGAGTTCTGTTTTTTGCAAGGACGTAGCGTTCACTACGAAATGATTATCAGCTGGCATTCTACGTCTTTTACATGGCAGGGGGAGAATAGGAAAACGGAAGGCGTGATAAGGGGACCTACCTAAGCAATGTCGGGCAGTAGCCTGTGGTATCGGTCATGCTGTTCAAATCCAACCCATTGCGGATCAGGTATCGTAGAAATGGGTAGCATTCGCTAGTCAGTGCCCATAATATTATCGACCTGGACGGAGGCCTTTCTCTAAAGTGACTGGCTTTTGCCAGTGCGAGTATCTGGTCTGATCGAGGAAGGAATTCAACTTCGATAGTCTTCTGTATTTTTTCATGGGGATGGCTGCCGTCAAGACAGAAGTTTCGAATCCACAGTTCTGACTCTTCTGGCGAGCATATGGTAGTTTCTAAGATCGGATCAGGGTAGTTTGCCGCCATGAACTGCTGTAATAGTCCCTCAAGGATAGTGGTGACTATTAGTTGCTTTTTGGGCTCGATGATGAATGGGAAGAAGATGTGAATGTTTGTCTGAGGGAAGGCTGAAAGGCGGGGGCCAATCAAACAATACCAACTTTTGTGTTCTATTAATACTTACACCTGTCAGACTCTCCATATTTGCTCACCCCACGCCTTTTTTGGCATTGTCAACCATGTCGACCATGTCGACACACAGAGCCGTCTCCCTATCTGTAACGTCCAGATATTGGCGATCAAGACGGAAGATATGAGAGAAGGAAAATATAGGAGTGCAGCTACAGCTAGTCTCACTGATCAACGTGGCTGGAAGCAGTCTTTCAATTTATATTTCAAGTAGCTTTTTATATGGTCTCTAAGCTGTGACAAGTTCGTTAGACAACTTCGAATCGCTCACAAATAAGTAATTCTTATGATTCAATAGTAAGTGGTCTCAAGACACCAACAAGCCCCGTTTATATTTGTGTTCTTGCTTTGCCATAATAACATGGATTACCGAGCGCACGAACTCCTTTGTTGCAGATCATTGTTTCCATTAAGAAAGTGTTTGAATTTCCCGCCTCTTCAGTAGCACAGTGACTGTCTTGTTTGGATCCCCATCACAATTTGAGCCTACCTGCACGCCATTCGGGCTGAGCTGCCATGTACTACATAAGACTGGACCTTCTGTTGGGCTTGGATTTACTTCTGTGGTAGTCGCTGTCGTTGTCGCAGGTGAAGCATCTGGCGGTGTTGATGTTGCCAAACCAAGCTGAGAACTCACATCCGTTACTCTCCCGACTGGCCTGTTGATGTCAAAGTAACTTGCTGTATCAGTAGAATCATCCGAAGGTGGCCTAGCAGAACATTCTGCGATTCGCTTGGCTTTCTTGCCTTTCACCATTGACAAATTAGAGGCGTTGGGATCTGTTGGCCAATTCCATTTGATAATGGGTTGGATAATATCTTGGATGTGGATACGAACGGCACGAAAAACTCCACATTCATTGTTGACACTCGAGATATGTTGGGGGACGTATTCAAATGTCAGAAGACCTCTCAGGGCTCCAATTCCAGCTGACCGTCGTTGAAAATAGGGTTATATGCTGCCACGTTGATTTTCTCGTTCATGTTGGCGGCGGGTTTCTTCAGGTCTGCGATAGCTAGGGGTAAATATGATAGCGCCTGAGAATATTGGAATCTCGACAATTTCACCATCTTCTTCTCCAGGTGACGGGCCCGAAAACAAGGAGGGGATCACATCGCTGAGCCCTTCAAATTTTCCTGGGTCACCCTTGCGAATGAATTGAAGCACCTTTCCCTCAAAGTCAAGATCTAGCATTTGTTCCATCTCCCAAAAGTGTGCAATCCATACCCCTCGCTCAGAGAATGCCAACACACTGGTACAACCCGAGGACGGCCCGCTTCCTGTCGTGATGGCATGTTGTCGTAAGTCTGCATAGTCGAATTTCGTTGATGAGGCATCTCCTTCTTGACGATTGTTCCCAATGGCTGAAATCAAATTTCCTGGCCCTTCCACCTGAACCAGTTTCGCGGCGTTTACGTACCACTGATCTTTGGGCGGATATACGTGAGGTCTGGGGTTATTTGGGTATAATGAATTTGGATCGGTAAAGTCGAGTTGCCGGATCGTCGTCGGGTCTTCAGGGTCAAGGACTCTCTTTATGATCTTGTCGATACGTGTGATTCTACTCAACGCTCTTCTTGATACGCCGTCCGACAAATTTGCAAGACTTGGAATCTTATCGCCTGGAGCATTTGTAGCTACAGCTTGAGCTGATTTAGGGGAAGAAATTCCACAAACAGTGCCTGGACATGAGCCTGCTCTACATATGAACTCCGAGATGGAGGCAGTGGTATAAGATGTCGAAGTGATAGTACCTGTCGTTGAAGTACATTGGCCGTCGACAGCCTGGCTCCGACACAATCCAACGTCACCGCAGATTGTCGTAGGAGTAGGGGCATCAGCATTGGAGCTGATAGTACAGGTCTGAGTACAAGCGATCTCTGTGAGAATGCATTCTTGTGTAGATGTCGGTGATGTTGTGGAAGAATTGTGCTCGTCGCTATCATCGCTGTCCTCATTATCATCTCCATTGTTTTTGTCGCTGTTACTGTCCCCTCCTGGTGGAGGGCCTACAGGAGGAGAGTCCCCAGGAGGAGAGCCCACAGGCGGAGAGTCCCCCGGCGGAGAGTCCACAGGCGGAGAGCCTACAGGTGGAGCTTCCCCTGGATTATTTCTGCCAGATGTGTCTGTGATGGGTGCGCCGGGCGTGTTTCCGTCGATGTCGATTCTCACATCGATGGGAAGGGCCCCAGTTAACCCAACGAACCCAATACCGCCAGGACCAACAATAATCGGAGCTAGGATGGTTGAAGTTGCGCCACTGGCATCCACTTTGGCAACACCAATCGTCACCGTCTGTGCTACAGTAAGGGTTGCCAGATCCGGGAAAGTTGTTTGCGAAAATGTCTCGCTAGACCCTGAGACTGACGCAGCAATGGTGATGAAAGATGGCAATTGAGTTGCTGCATTTGTAGCACTGGGGCAACCGTCAGTTGGAAGTACACCCGAAGTCGCCGTAAAAAGTGTGCCTTCGGCAGTCACGACACATAGTGGGATGGAGCCTACGACTCCGCCCTGAACATCTTGTCGAACTTTGAGATGGACTCGACCGAAAGCTGTGCTATGAACAAGGGAGAAGAGGAAGAGCTTCCTCAAGGATAAGAGAGAGGGCATAATGGATCTTCTGTTAGAAAAGAATTGCCGTGGAATGGCTAGAGAAGACAAAATTGGTGTCTATATGACGAAACTAGGATGTGGAAGATGCATCCGAATGAATACAATGAAAGAAGTGATTGATTATCTGGTGCCTGCTTGGGTGGAGGGGAGAACTCAAGGTCTTTATGTAAAGTATTAGCGGAAAATTTGGGCATATTGCAAGACCTAGATCGTCCTCGAATGCGTCCGGATCCATCGTATCCGGGGCCGCAGAGCTTTTCGTTGTGTTGGTATCTCAAGGACGGCCGCAGGTAGCTATTCTCAGAAACATCAATCAAATGGTTTTAGAAATGCATCTTAAGACCTTACCCGCCTCGCAAGGCGTTGTAGAGACTGGCTTGTGGTCGAACAGTCCAACCATGTTCGGGTATTCGTGGACAGCTCGAAGTGAGCGGGCCAGAAGGATGGACGTGAAACACCCAAAAAGAGACCAAATGGCACAATAATTACTTCTGGCCGGTGTCAAAGCAGATTCCAGGCTTCTCGTAGACATTCAGAACAGAAGAGTGCCTAGTGTAGGGTAAAATGGCAGAATAAATATATGCAGAATGGCGCAGAACAAGGGCGGCCTCGCCTGTGCTGACCAGTCCATGGGCCGTGGCGGTTCTCGTGTGTTGGTTCACAAAAGTGGCCAATAGGCGTATGAATATAGTTGCCCATAACGCGAATACCGCTAGGCGAGCGCTTAACAAAAAGTTGGTGGAAAATCGATGTAATGTTGTCCGAAGCAGTTGGAGGATGTGAGGTCGCCAGCTCGGACCACCAATGGTGACATTACAGTAGTGGCTACCAGTGAGAACTTGGCGCAGAAGTCCGTCAAATGCCGTCTCGTTCAACCTATGCTGATTTGGCTTAAGTTGTCAAATAATCATCTTCGCTTCTCGTCTCTTACGGATAAAAAAAAAAGCGAAGAATTGAAAGTATTCCGGCCAGGAAACAAAAGAGTGTATCATGATACACGATCCTGACGTAGAATCTCAGGGCTGAGAGGGCATCGTACATTAGAATACATTGTTGTACATTGGTCTTCTTCGAAATGGTTGGAAATTTTCATGGGTATATGTGCTTCTTACTCGTTGCCGCCGAACGGATGGTTGAACTTCAACAGACCATTTAGTCCTCCCACCCATCCATCATCGTCATCATTTCCACCTTTCGTGCCGCGCATTATGCAGGGGACTCCTCCAATCCATTCTTTTCCTTTGACAATGTCTTCACCGTTGGCGCGTACTTCCATTCCCACGCCAACCCCAATGCTACGTCTTCGCCCGTCGATACTGACCTCTAACTCTCTGCCTCGGTTCTTCTCGCTTAACCGTAGAGTGATCGGCGTGTTGGCTGGTAGGACTAGAGGTCGGAAAGAAAGACTTCTTGGGCAGATGGGCGTCAACATGAGACTGCTGACTAGTGGGTGGATGATGCTGCCACCTGAGCTCAAACTGTAAGCGGTGCTGCCAGTCGGAGTGGATATAATCATTCCGTCCGCGACAGCCTCTGTCAAGAATCGGCCTCCGACGTAGACCTCGATGATTGCCAAATGTGCCTCTTTTCCTCTGTGTATGATAACTTCATTCATTGCGTGAACATCTCCCAATGCGCTTTGGGTGGTATTATCTCCAATCACTCGATTTCCATTTGCATCAAAGACTCCGACCTTCAGTCGATTCCGTAGCAGGATCTTCGAGCTTCTCGACGGACCCATAGATTTCCCTCTGATGCTCGACCAGCCCGTGACAACGTCGCTCAATTCTGGGATAATGTTCTCCAGATGTGGATGCTTTTGGTCCTGGAGAAGGGGTGATCCAGCTCTTGCACCAGACATGTAGACTTCCCTGAACGCTCGTTTGTATTCGGAGAATTTCCATTCCCCAAGAAATCCCAATGTGCCCATGCTGAAAGAGAGGATCGGAGGAACATGTCGTTCTGTACTGAAAAGGGAGGAAGCATGGAGGATTGTCCCATCGCCACCAAGGGTTGTGGTCATATCGACTTTTGTCGCAAGATCACCGGCCGTGCTGGTTGTATATATAGGGAAGGAAAATTGTTTGTGAATTTGTGCAGCAACTGCTGGTTCGAATATGAAGGAGACATTCTCGTAGTTCGAATGGATGTGCCTGGACAATCGGTCAGCACGATGCAAAAGCAAATGGAGGCAACTGACTTTGCGTATTCCAGTAAGGACTCCGTCACTTGCGGTGCTCTTTTTTTCTTTATTATGAGGACGTTTCGTGGAGGGGAGGGCCATATCAGAGAGAGTAAGTCACTTGTCTGCGATTCTATTCAATGTCAGTGAAGCTATGGTTGACATGGGAAAACTTACCTTGATATCTCGGGATAATTCTATCCGGCAGAGCTTCTACATCCAGGATCTCTCTTCTCACAGACGTGCTGCTAAATGCTCTCTTCCATGTCCTGCTCCTTGGCAGCCTCCTCGGTATCATCGTCGCGTGTTGGTGGAGTAGTTGTTGTTGACAGAATGAGGTAAAAGGTCCGTCTTTAGCCGGAACAGGAAGCTGGATGTGGAGGTGCTTGGCGGATCATTATAAGCACTGTCTACCGCACAATAAGTTGGCGGAGGTGCAACTGTTCAACCTCATTCGAATCTAAAGAGTATCGACGCAACCATATTGTCAAATCAAGCTTGTCGTTGCGAAATGCCGTCTGTAAACTTTCGAGCTAGTGAGCTCGGGACGCCTTATCGCGGCGATAAGGAAGCTTACCCGGAACCGCTTCATGCAGTCTTGACGTACTCGCGTGAGAGACTGTCATTCCACTGAAGAATGACAGTCAAAGAATTCTATTCACAACACCTCCTCAAAACAAACAACCTCGTACAAGATATGGACCTTTCGAGTTGACGGAAACACGTGTTTGTATCGGCTTTCCCCATCGTGATATGATCACAGTCAGTTGATCAGGCACGGTCAGCACCAGCGCGGAATCGTCGGGAGCGCACACGACAATCTGCCTTGAAGAGTTGGAGGGTGGGGTGAGACACTGGGCTGAATCTCGATATCTACGAACATAAGAAGCACGAGGGCAGGCACTTCCACAGACGCAGCAAACATGGCGACGGAACTCAGGCAACGGAATACGTCTGCAAAGAAAGCAGCAGTTGACACAGAGGAGAAGGTCCAAGCAGAACACCCAGGAGGGCATATCAAGCATTCGGGAGCAGTGCAGATTCTTCGACTCTTGCTGGTTGTCGTGTACTTCTTCTCGTCATGTTGCACGTAAGTATTGTTTGTACCTACATAGAGCAAGCAAAGCTGATTTGGCTAGTATTGTCGCAACCCAGTTCCTAGGAGTTCCTCTCTACTGGATCAACAGAGATTTATACTATGCCTACATGGCGTTGACGAAACAGTCTTTCGGGATATTTGTTACAACTTTGACAAACTGGTGGGCCCCTACGGTTGTGCGAATAAGTGGTGATGCCTCTGTGGCAGGTCAGTTGAAGAGGAGGGCAGATGGACGAGTGGAATGCCATTTCCCAGATAGAATGGTTCTGATTGCAAACCACCAGGTATGGAGATTGTTTCTGGGAGTCAAGACCATACTGATTTATTACAACAGATATATTCCGACTGGCTATATTTGTGGTGGATAGCATATACAAACCGGCCTCACATGCACGGGCATATTTACATAATATTGAAGGAGTCGCTGAAGCATATACCCGTCGTAGGCTGGGGAATGAGGTTCTACAGCTTCATATTCATGTCTCGGAAGATGTCCACAGATCAACCACGACTAGCACATCGCTTACAAAAGTTGAAGGAAGTTCATTCAGGCCCCATGTCTGGAACTTCTGGGCTCGATCCAATGTGGCTGTTGCTTTTCCCAGAAGGAACAAATGCAAGTGATAATGGCAGGCGGAAGAGTACGGCATGGGCAGAGAAACAGGGCATCAAGGATATGGAGCATGTTCTCCTGCCCAGAAGTACTGGAACATTCTTCTGCTTGAACGAGCTGAAGGGTACCGTGGATTACGTTTATGACTGCACACTGGCATATGAAGGTGTTCCGTAAGTACATTTTCCAATCGCTCCAGAACGTTGCTAATGAAAACCAGACGAGGAGAATTCGGCCAAGACCTCTTCACCCTACGGTCCATGTATCTTCAAGGTCGACCACCACCATCCGTGAACATGTACTGGCGACGCTTCGCCATCAAAGACATGCCACTTGAAGACGCAGGAAAGTTTGAACTCTGGCTCCGAGATCGATGGTACGAGAAAGATGCCTTCATCGAGCATTTCCTCGTCACCGGTCGTTTCCCAGCCTCCAAAGAAGCAACCAATGGCGTCACGGCAGGAAAAGGTAATGATGAGTTTATCGAGACAGAAGTCAAGTTGAACCATATTTGGGAAGTGGGCAATATCTTCGTTGTCCTGGCTGCCTTCGGACTTGTCGCAAATCTGCTTGCGAAGATGTGGAACGCGGCGCTTTATGGAAAACAATACTAGTAATGGAGGGGCCGTTGGAGTATTGATGTGGGGTGAAGGTGGAATAGGGTAGTGAGGTGCATTTTTCGGATTTCAGGCGCGACGATTGGAAGATACCCATTCAAGGACATGATGTTTATGTATGGTTCCCCCTTTCCTTCGATCAGTGGATTTTACATGGTAGGCAAACAGAGGGTCAGACGGACGGACAGGTATGGGTGGTAGTTCGGACGGGGCTTACTTTCATAATTCCTATGAAGAATATAAAAATTGTATGGGACAGGTGGGAGCCACTGAAATTCTGCATTTCTCTCTACTATTCCGAGTCTTTTCTTCTCATGAAGCTTGTATGAAGATCAAACACATGCCAAGCACTGTTTTTGCTTTTCAATTTCCCCTTACATCCTCAGTGCCTTCGCCCAGTCCTGAGCACACTTCACCAAACCCTTCCAAAGTTATCATCGGCCAAGGAACTCACACGTATACTTCCTCCCCAACTAAATTGAAGGTCCTGAGTCTTCACAGAACTGTCGGATGTTCGCTTAGCTTTTGTCATCAACACTCTTCAACTACTTGGCCAAATCCTTCTCGACTTGATCCACAAAGTTCTGCAGTACGCGGAAAGAGGATTTAAGATGTCTCTAAGCCTTTCCATAATTACACTCTACCGTAGTCTTGCCCGCAAACACGAGTGGCGAGCTAATCTCCTTTTGTTTACATAATGCGGGGTGTGAGGTAAATACAGAATCGAGTGTCGCGGCTCACTGTCCTAGTATTTTCGGCGGCAATTCTAAATGTGTTGTTGTCACTTCAATTATTGTTATCAAAAAACAACTCGTACTTCAAGCTAGGGCTCTTCACCTGATGTATTTAGCGAAAGCTGAACGCATTTCCTTACGAAAGCTCTTTCCTGTGAAATGTCTAGATCTTGCAATTACCTTGTGTGAGAATGAGTGTAGGGCTGTCTTGCCGCCCACCATTGTTGTTCCGACACCTACATCCAAGATCGTTTGGAGAGGATTGAGACTGAAGTCCAGGTGGTGTTTATATAGCTATGATGTACTGTGCTCTTGAGCATGAAAGCAAGGAAGGATGACCAGTTTCGGTGATTCACTCGTGATATTTCACCCTGGGGAGAGGAAAGCCAGTATGATTACCCCATGGAGCATCACCAGCTCTTGATTAAACATACGTATTCACTCTTAGACGCATAATTCACCAAAAGATTGGAATCGTGACCGCTACCTATAAGACTACCTCCCAGAGTGGCCTTGATCGTTACTCTCAGCGCACTCCAAGAAGGCGAATTTGACTATTATAACACGGAAGGCGTCTGGAAGGTTGACCACATTATCATGTTATTTTGTAAGATGCGTGTTTGAAGTACATTTTAATCGTGGAATAATAGCCAGATTGCAAGAGTTTCTTTCCACTTCTCTCTTGAGAGCTGCGAGCAAGATGGGCCACTGTCAACATATGAACCGCCGTTAATCCCTAGATGTCGTTACAAACTTTATCTGTTTAGAGCACCAAGTCCTCTACAAAAACCTCTCCTGACGAGTAATACAAGGACTCACCTTGTCTACAGGTCTATCTGCTTCTTCACATAAAGCTTGCGCGAAAGTTAAAAGATCTCGTGGCTTTCTAAAGGGTTTTCATCTTCCACTCAGAATGAATGCTGAGCCGTTGGCATTGTGATGCTTATATATCTCCCACCAGAACACGATCTCAGTAGTTAAAATGAGGAGAACTCTGAAGAACCAGAATGAATCAGCAAACTAGAATGTGAATCTTCAGTACAAGACAAGGTCGCATGTCCTTAACGAAGAACGTAATGTATCTGGGCCCTCGACTCTATCTATATAAAGATATCCATCAGAGACTGAGAAACGTTGCAGCAGACAGCAAATGGACCGAGAGTACTACAATATGCGTTGTGTCAATTGCTGACCTGTGGAGAAACTTCTTCTGGAGTTTCTTCAAGAGTATAAACCGTAAGATGTCCTCCATTCGGGATTGCAGAGAGTTGATCGTTTGAAACTCATCATGCGTGCTTATGGTACCTACGTCCATGGAAGGTCTCTAAAATGTTTTCTGTTGTCAAGAAACACCTTGCTGTCACTCTCGGGAGTATTCTTGTTCCTTGTTCGTGAAAAAGAAAGGATGTACAAGTCCCAATTTCATGAAAGTTAGATACGCGAGCAAGGAAGATAGGCATACACTGTCGCAATAAGTGCTTTCGCGCGACGATACCAAACTCCAAATATGAACTTCCCAGAAACCACGCATTCGCTGAGAGTTGATCCGTCTTGGGTAGCGGTTGAGGCGGGAGAACTGAGACGAGGGACAAGCATATATACCTCGAAATGTTTCATGCCGAGAATGAACACTGTGATCTTTGGCTTGAATGTAATCAATCGGCAGCCTCAAATATTGTACTGTACAGTCTAAATTCACTGATGTGAAGCCTTGGAGCTATTCGCCCTCTCAATGGCCTCTACTGAGCTGAAAATATTATAAAAGAGCGACTTCCTGCGTAAACGCCAGTCCAAGTCGAGCTTGTTTTGTCTGACGAAAGTCTCAGGGGTGGTTCGCGATAGCTTTTCTACGGGGGATAGCTTGTTTTGTCTGACGAAAGTCTCAGGGGTGGTTCGCGATAGCTTTTCTACGGGGGATGTTTGATACTTGGAACCTGCGAAGGTCTGGTTCTGGAATTCTCAAAGGTTGCTATTTAAACAGTTGTACTTAACGGGAATACGAAAGAGTGAAAATGGATTGAATTGAGTTACGAGTTCGTACACTTGGTGTCATATCAGTCTCTGTTGTCAATAACTTTTGACTTTGTCTCACGTTTAGACTGCAGCGGGAGGATGAACTTGATGGCATGGTGCTATAGGTGTGCGATTGTTTGATGCATGAGGCGGAATCTTGCTGTTGTGAAATCTAAATCTGGATGATGTTGACATTTGGCATCATCATCGCTCGAACATGGTCGGAATGGTTGATGCTCTCTGTCTGTGGCTGAGCACGGTTGATGGTTTTGGGACTTTTGGATTATATATAAGATGCAGATCATGTGGTTGCTGGAAGTGAATAGAGACTTCCAATGCCAAATCAGCCAAAACCCGACCCGCCATAAGGGGGTGAAGGGAGAAATGAATACATTTTTCATAGCTTCAAATCACCGATGCAATCAACATCCAGAAACTCCACTCCAATGGAACAAAAATCCACCTCTTCATAACCACTTTCTCAACTTTAGATTCCCTGCTTGATCTTCTGCGTAACAATCCCATCCCTCTCCCACAGCAAAACAGCCAGGGCTCCCACCGGCCCAGCCAAACCACACCACACCCCCACCTTCACCAGCAAGCTCCCCCACGACTGACTCTTCTTGGAATCCACACCCGTCTTGTCTGTCGTCGTGGCATTCCGATACATCAGAATCCCCCAAAGCAGGAACGCAAACGACCCGACATACACATCCCAGATCAGGAAAGTGTGGACGCCTTCTGCTAGCGAAGAGACCTTATGAGATGTGGACGGAAAGTACGGGATATAGATTGCGGAGGGGGTCTGTTGTGACCTTGTTTGCAGGGTCGGGTAGGTGGAGGGGATGAATGTTGGAGGGAGGAGCGAGAGAACTAGGATTGGGAGATGCGTGACAAGGCAGAGGGCGAGAATGAAGCGATAGACGTGGTTGGCGGTGTTAAGGTAGGTTATTCCGGGGGAGCTTTGCGAGCGGGAAGAAGAACCAGTGTTGGTGGTGCTGGTGCTGGTGCTGGGAAAGAGTGTCTGGAAAGTAGTTTTGAGATGGAAGTGGATGAGGACTGTCCAGAGAGGGAAGGGTTGCCAGAGGGCGATGAGGCGCTGATGGGTGAGTGTTGAGACGGTGTGGGGGTACTCAAGACCCATGAGGAAGGTTGGGAGGATGTAACTAAGTGTTATGGAGACGGGGAGGATACCGAGGTCTAAAGAGGAGATGTGAAGCACGCTGGTGGACTGGGTGCCCGGAAACGGTTTGGACACTGGCGAGGTGAGGAGGTGGATGAAGAGCCAGATGGGAACGGTGACTGTGTAACTGATGTTTTGGATGAAGAGGCCAAAGGTGCCGATACTGTTTCACATCAACATGGGAACGCTTTCCGAAATCTGAGATACAAGTGGGGTGGAATTCGAGACGGACGTCGAAAATGGTGCACTTACAAACTCACGACCTTCCACCGATTTCCAGCTCGCATACTCTCCATAACCATTAACGCCCATGCCGCACCAAACTGTCCTGTGCCAAAGATGGAAAACATGGACAGTGCACCTTGATTCATATCCACCACAGGCGCAAAGAACGTAACCAGGATAGTCAATTGTCTATCCAACCATCCAACATTCGTATACCGCATCAACAAATCGTCATTCGTATCGGGAAATTTTGGTTCCTTGGAGTCGATAAGCGATACAATGCCCTTGAAGGTACCATTTGCATCGGCGAGAACCATCGTTCCGTAGAAGCCGGCTAGAGAGAAGAGTGGAAGGAGAACGAGCACGACGGCTCGGAGCGATATGTGGTACCATGGCTGTGGTGGGACTGCGATAGATGACCGGGAGTTGACGGACTATATGATGTTAGTTTTCATTTATAGGCCTTGAGAGCCCATTAGGCGCTATTGTGATAATGGCTGTCTGGGGATGCGCTGTCATACGCAAGTCGACAGACTGCAAAATTCCAAGGCTGACGCAGACACGCAAAGAGAATCTCGGTTATATGTCTCCGAACAGAAAACAAAGTAATCAAGTTCGTTGCAAAAGAGAGTGACACAATTTCGTCGAAGGAACGCGGTTGACTTCAAGGAGGGGTTCACCGATGAAGGCAGGCCATCACGAACAAAAAAGAAGCAACACATGAAAGGACAGGTTTCCAGTAAAAAGGTGACAGAATTCCAAAGTCCTATCTCACCTTTAAGTCTGACCGTGATTCTGTATTGCGAGAAGACATGATTGTTCCTGGGATCGTGAGTGCTAGAAGCTGGTTGAATTGGTGTCGTCAAGTGAAGGATTGAGTAGCCGAGGCAGAGCTAAGCTGTGTAAGGAAGTGCCGTAAAGGTGCGTTTGGGTCAGCAGGAGGACATAGATATATCTTCACTTCAAAGATAATTGGAAGAGAAGTTTCCATGCGTACTTCTACTTCTTTCCAAGATATCTAATTTCCCTGATTTCTTGATGGTTGCCGGTTCCCGCGGTCTCCACGTGCAGTCTTCGGGATACCTACCGAGGCGAGGTGCAGGGCGGGGTCACCCCGTTGGACGAATCAACGGGACAAGCACCAAAGTTTAGGTACCAAACTTGAACATCAAAATGTATGCATGCGAAGTGATTGACGATTCAGATTCAATTGTACTTCGTGTAGCTTCTAGTTTAACCAATTCGATTTAAGTTCGTTGCATTATTGGAAATAAAGACGTCTCGGGTTCAACCTAAAGTCTAGGTATTGAGAGTTGAGTTGAATTCAGGGTAATCAAATCTAACTCAAATCAACCCAACTCATTTCTCACGTAACAAGTCACAAATATTTCGTCCGAATATTCGGGACACTGGACCTGCCATGAACTTGCCGATTGACTTTTGAGAAATGCATATTTACATAACTTCATCCCCCCATATTTACATACCATCGCTCATCATTTCTCCTCATCCCCCAGCTTTACATTCACCCAACTCTCAATTTCCAGGGGGTGACTCCTCTCTGCAACCACCTACAAGCCGAACCAAGCGAGATCAACAGATTCATGGATTGGAACTGTGTGCCCGACACCCTGACCAGAGTAACCAACCAGTCTCGTTCCATCGCCATACACAAGCTGGGTGTATCCCGATTGCGGAGAATTGGTGACATTCTTGGTGAATGGGATGTTCATCACGTTGGACCATTGCTTCATGGTCTCAGCGAGATTGGGGTAGGCGAGTGTGGTATCTGATGTTCCATGCCAGCTGTGTACTTTGTCAGCAAAAATTCTCGATCGAATGAGGATTGAATAAAGACCAAAAACGGATAATTGGCGGAATAGAGTTTTAGGGCAAGGTGTTAAATACTCACATCAACATCTTGGGATACGAGCCATTGTATCCAGGGTAATAACTCCTCGTGAGATCACCCCACGCCTGAGCAGTCTTCACAGACCGTCCATTCGCGCAGTCATTATTCCACCCTGGCGTAGCTTGACCAGCTTGCGCACCTGAGACGAAAAAACATCCATCGGGGACGCCAGAATAGACTGATCCCGCCTTGAAGATGTTCGGGTAGGCACCAGCGAGGACATTGGTCATCATAGCTCCTGAGGAGGAACCAGTTGCGAAGACTCTATCTGGGTCACCTCCGTAGTTCTTGACTGCATAAGCAACCATGTTGACGATAGTCTTGCTGTCGCCTCCTTTGTCGTGGGTAAGCGATGTTGTGGATGCGACGTCCCAGCAGCCTCCGGATGAGGGAGATGATGGGTAGATGACGATGAACCCTTTTTGATCGGCCAAGTCGGCATATTTGGAATTTGAGAAATATCCTGGTCCCGTGCCCGTGCAATAATGGATTGCCACAATGATGGGAGCCAGAGCTAGCTTGTTGCTCGGCAAGTAGATGTACATTTTTGCATTTGTTGGGCCATCTTTGAAAGCAGTTTCTTGCTTCAATTGATTCTTTGCTCCAGCAGCGAGGCTCACAAGTGCGACGACCGCGGTTGAGATGGACAGGAAATGCATACTGGTGTCTGGATGTCGAAGTTGCTGAACGTGTTCGTCAGGGCGTCTGTTGAGGAGAGGAGGACGATATTTAGGTTGGACATCCTGATATATGAGAGATCTATCGATAGCCGACAATGCCAGCCTGAAAGCAGAATATCAAATGCGTCGAGGTTACCCATCTGTCCGGACACAATAAGGTTCCATTTTGGATATTGGCTGTACACATAGGGACGGAAAAACTATTCCAAGAGATTGGTAAAGAAGGCCCAGTGGGTCGTCATGGACCCGTGTGATCTATAATAATAGACGTGGGGAACAGCCTCGAGAAGTTTTGCCGGATGAAAATGATTAGATTGGTGTGGAGACGACAATCGTTGTCGCCTTGTGGAAGTGATATATATGAAAAACGAGTCAGATTGCGGGGTTGCAGGGGATATGTATGAGAGCGATACTCGCTTGGAGTTTTGGCAAATATGAGATAAAGGGGACAAAAGCTTACAGTATTCGGGGGAAAGTGACGGATTTCGGTTGTTCCAGAGTGCCGATATTAGCCCCACGGCACTTCGATGTATGTGCAAAGAGAGGTGAGGAACACATGGTTTCCTAGGCTACATTCACACCCAAGGACTTCCAACAACGTGTCCAAGAGAATACCGAGTCAATAAGCAGTGATCTGCAAGCCATACATGACTCGGGTCGCAAACTAAGGAGCGAGAACGTTTGAAACAAAAATCGGGGCAAGGCAATTTAGAGGATGCACTGGACTTCCTCTGCCTAGCAGACATGTCCTTGTCTACATGAACAACTGTGGAGCGGCTGTTTTGCTAAGAGTCATCCGAACGTTCCATCAAACCTTCACTATGGACCAAGTTCCGGACCGAAAACGTTACCGTTCGTCTGATATACGTGGCAACTAAAGGAAGATCTCCCGTCTGGGAAGAGTAGACTCCGCTTTCTCGGAGTGGCGCAAGTAAGAGATAGGTGGTGTAGTGTGCGATACAGGTGGGAGGACAGAGTGACGGAAGCGATGGTGGGAGAGTAGATGACGAGTAGAGAGAGACTTGACCACAATGAAATAGTTGATGGTGGTGAGATATTCAAGTGCAAATGCAAGCAAGCGAGGATGAGGGTCCACGTATCCACAGCGTTAAAGAGCCTCGAGCCTGAGGACGAAGCACCTTACCCTCGAACATTTCACCCACGCAACGTGATAACGTCCTTTTGCTCTTCCTGTCGTTCTATTCTCTCATTCCCAAGCACCAAATAACACAACGTAAAAGTCTAGCCCTTGCCATTACTTGTTCCCAAACTGCGAATGCAGGCCACCTTAGATCAAATCACCGACATTTTCAGTGGCATTACTGGGCGACAAAGCCCAAAAGTTAAGAGATATCTCGATGGACTTACTTATAGTAAGTCGAGTCTGCCGTGCCAGAATTGAAATGTAACAAGCCTTAGCTTCAGTATACGAAAGCCTTGACAAGCTGCTCTCGTGGCAGCGACGAGGGGGCCTAGACATGAGTGCAGTTTTCGATACACATTGCTTTACCAGCCCAAATCAGCGACCTTGTAAATTGAAAGCGCATCCGTGTCCAGTAATTCACTAAATGTTTAGGCTGGAATGAAGAATCGTTCAGAAAGCACGTCCGATGTTCTTTTCCCGAGTCCGTAATCCCAGACTTCACAGTCCGGCTCCTCTGGCGCAGCTTCGCCTACTACGCCTACCACCCCTTCCCAGGCCTCGAACAAGACGTTGACTTCGCAGCTTTTACACGGGCTATATTTTTCCTCGTCTATCAATGTGATGAGTTGTTCGGAACGCAAGAATTCGCTACCTCTGACATGTTTTTTCTGCATACGCCATGGCGATCTGAGGGAGGGGCAGATTGGCGGCGGATTCGCATAGAACGACTTCTGAGAAGCATCGACACGCCATGCAGCAACGATATAGAATTAAATAGGAATAAGACAGAGCCGATTTTGCTTGACGCGATGGACGTCCTGTGCGTTGTTAGTCCTGAGTTTATTCATTTTGGTCTTACGCCGGAACAGCTTGAAATTGTGGCGAGACGGTTGCTCAATGGAGCAATGGTGCAGACGGAACTTACGAAGGGTAATTTGGAGACTCTAAAGAGACTTTTGGAGAGGGTTGTGGTGAGAGAGGAAACGTGGGGGTTGTTTGGGAAGAAGTATTGTTACGGTGATATTGCGGCATGTGGCTCAAAAGACTCGAGCCATCAGCGAGCGGACGAGTACTTATTTCAAAGCGATATCAAAGAGCCGATTTCAATCGAAAACGCTATTACGGGTCTGAACATGGTAAGTGATCTTCGTTATCTAAGAATCCGAGGAACTGATTCCGTAACTCTTGAAGCCGGACCTTGACTCGCGATACTATCAACTTTGGGCTATTTTATTCCAGCCTCCTATGTTCGCCTCAGGAAATGAATCTACTCAAACGATGGGAAATACAATAATTGAGGCAGACGACAAGAATAGAATGGAAACGGAGAAGCATCGAGGATCCGTAGGTCTGAACCCTGAGGATGGCGCTAGAGTCCTGAGCAATGATTTGAAAAAGCGAATCCAGGGATTTGGCTCTTTTTAGAATACAAGAGAATGATTGTCTCTGTATGACTGATTCGTTCGGGAAAAGTAGCACAAATCTGGGATGTGTACTTCACTGCATGAATTGGAACAGATTAATGCCTGTTCATGGGCTGGCGGATACGTTGTTTAGACCACAATGCGCTCGAGAGGCGCTGAAGCAGTGGTCGACTGTCTTGGGTGTTACTTTGACGAGGAGTTCTACGGGTGTGCCTTCTTTGGCGTATACTCGGGAGATCTATGGAGATGGGACGAAGCTTCAGGGGTTCCTTGGGACGGGTGTGGGACACGCTGCTCCTGGTATTGAGGAGTTGATGCTCAAGTCCTTTGGCCTCATAGTATAGACTGAGGTAGTCGATTGTGGCAGAAGTTGGACCAGGACCCGAAATTGTTTGTGTTCTTCTAGCTGAGTCCATTGGGAATTGTACATATGTATGGTAGAAAGGGGCAAGCTATTTTCGGAAGATGGAGCTGAGAGCATTGTGAGAATGGAACAATTCTCTTCTTCGTTTTATATCTATATTTGAAAAAGTAAGATACGCTGGGGCGAGTATTCATGCCAACTGATTCGAGCCAAAAAAAATAGTGGATGGAAGCCCGCATTTTTTGGCTTCCAGCCCTGAAATTAAGCGAGCTACCCCTGAAAACAATCACTGACCCTGGGTTTCACTCTCATCACAGCGCAGCAACAGTCCACGGACCGTGATTTACAATTAGCCAAAAATCTGTACAGTCTTCGCTCTCTCAAAAGCCCTCTCAGTCGCCTCATCCAGATCTTCAACTTCCAACCCCAGCGCCTCATTCGCCAAGCCCTTCCCCTCCACGTTGCCAACTCCGTCATCGTAGAACACTCTAGTGTACATCATCTTCGCAAAGCCGACTCTGTTACCCTCCTTCATCTCTTTGATCCCACTTTCGTATCTCTCTTTGGCGCTCTCTTTCGTCACAGCCCAATCCGAGAGCGGAGTGCCAGTGACTCGGACAGCAGAATCAAGCATGTCTTTTTGGGAGACATTGAAGGAGTTCACGTAGATGAGTCTGTTGGCGAAATCGTTAAGACATGGCTCCGGATTCGACTCCGAGGAATTAATCGGAAGACTGAGCAAAGCGGTGACTGCTTTTCCAACCTCCTCGGTTGTAAGTTACCATTTCAATCCCTACTTCAGCGGCGGAAATCACATACCTGCGGCCAAGTGCTAACACTAATTTTCGTCTCCCCCTCATCGAATAGCGTTGCAGTCTTCTTAACAAGATCAATTCCAAAAGCCGGCGCAATCGCCAAACTCCACTCATACCAGAACCCCGTCGAGACAGACACGAACCGGCTCTTTCCCAACTCCGTGATCGCCTTCCGCGTCGCGACTTTGGAGCCAAAAATAAACACATCTCTGACCAAGTCTTCATTTGCTGTATCTGGCGACCATTCATTGGGGAAGATCCACGGAACGCCAGCTTCGGCTGCGGCTGCGACGATGGTCTTTTCTGTTTCGTGGAGGTTGGGAGTGTGTCCGCTGAGGGTGATGATCAGGGCATCTTGGCCTTTGAGTGCGGTGACGAGAGAGGAGGGGTTGGTGTAGTCGACTTTGGAGACTGAAATGCCTGGAGGGAAGGTTGCGCTGCTGTCGTGGCGGGTGATGGCTGTGAGGGTGTGCTTTTTACCGGTAAGGAGGGCAGAGGTCATGTATTTTCCGCTGTTGCCACTTGCCTATGAATGTTAGAGACATGTAGCACAATCGGGTTGAGACTTACTCCGATGATGGCTACTTTGACGATGTGGTTTATGCCTGCCATTGTGACTTGACCAGCGAAGGGAAGCGAGAACTGTTTGGAAGACAGGAGTGGGGAAAGCCAGAAAGTGAAGAAAGATAGTTATTCTAAGCTGCTGCTGTTAGATCTGGATTTACTGAAACTATTTGTCGGAAATCAAGACATCTTTATACAAATTAACGACTCTCAATTCTCATTACCACCTACGTAGAATGTAAACATCTCAAGCGACTCCACCGGTTTTAAGCTCGGTGTTAAATTGCGGCTCAGCCTGAGAAGCAAGCCATCGCACTCGTTTTGAGCCACCGTGCTTCATACACATTATCTAAGCCAATGAAGGGATTTGATTGCATCCCGAGCCGGGTCAGCACCTTGCGTCGACCCGTCATTGACTTTATTTCAACTAAAGAATTGGGAGTTGTGGTACCCGAGGACTCGGCTCCCACCACGCGTCTTCTGATTGTTTCCGGCCTTCGCACACTACTAATGTCCGGAAAAGAGAAAATCTTGGATCTTTGTTCTTTGTTCTTTCAATTGTCCTTAGAAGGGATGTCGTTAAGTCTCTATTAGGTTTGCTCGACTCTTGCTTGAACGATGATGGAATGGCTAGAGAATTGTATGTCAGTGTTTCTCTTGCCGCACTGACCAAAACTTCTATCGAACTGCGACGCCAGACTTCATGAAAACAAAACAATCAGCGCAACCAGCCAGTCATTGGACGATGGTCAAGGCTCGTCCGTGGTTCAGTTTTTATTGGTCTACATTAGGCTGTGTATATATGCATACCGACCCCAATATCACACCTCGGGATATATTGCTTAGGCAAAGCGATCTTGCCGAAGTATGGAATGAGTAGCTTGATGCAACTTTGTCAACATAGCAGAGATGTTCTCGGATTCAATTAGATACAGCCTGAATGGTACGTCGATATCAAATTAAGGCTCGTCGCGAAGTCTCATAAGACGCGAGATGGTCATGGCCTTCACCATCACCTCCCTGCTCCTCGCTGCCCTACCCTCACTTTCGGACAAAGCACTCAAATCTAGCTCGAACCCGGCTGCTTCCTTGCAACAAGCAACGACACCATCGCCGGCATCACATTCTGCATTCAACTTTGCGACCTCGAAAGCGATCTGTTCGGATACTGATAATCGGGGTAGATGGGTTGATATCGACTGATTGTGCGTTATTGGAACTGGACAGAGAAGCTGTCCAGACCAAAGGACAGTAAAACGATTGCAGAGAAATTCCGTTCAATCAGCGTCCACAGAACTCTCTAGTCCTTACGAAACACACCCACACCCACGAAATCAAAAGCAGTGTGAATCAAAGAAAAGCCATCAAATCGTATTCATTTCAAAGAAAGTCATCGCACTATAGAGCGATCTCCGCCAGCTCAGAACGTGCCTCCCGTCGTCATTCCCAAAGGACATTCCATCCAACCAATCATACAAACAATCAATCACCCAGAGGATGTTTAGATGATACAGCAATTGCAAGGCAGCGGGCACGGGATAATGAAGCAGAATCGTCCAGGACACATCTCTCCACCTCTCATTCTGACTTCTTCACGCTCAGCCTCCTGCTCGCGATCCTTGGCGGTGGTATTGGGAGATGGGAGGGTGGGTTCTACATTTGTCGGTCAGATGAGCTTATATCGTTTCGGAATTGATGGTTGATGAGTATCGTGAGTGGAAGAGAGAGGGATTGAGAAGGACAGAGAGAGTGAGATGGAGAAGTGACAAAGACATACGCATCGATTGCTTGTTATTCGGCTGAGCCATTTCCAAGTTTACGTTGGCAGCTTGGCCTGCGGTGGGGCCGGCTTGGGATGTTGATGGTGCCATTGTGAAGTGGGGTCGTTGGTACTTGAGTGGTTTGCAAGGGCTGATGTATTTGAGCGTGGTGGATTCAAGATATCTGGGGAGAGGATGATGAGGATATAGATGGAGATGTTGCAGATGAGAGATGAGATGGATGAGAATCACGAGAATATGATATGAGCTGAAACGACGACTGGCCAAGGAAGTGTGGATGACGTGCAAGTGCATACAGCCAATAGTAGACTGCTGATATTGATGAGGTAATGAAGGGTAGTTTAAGCGAGCTGTGGCGGTGCAGCGCAGCTTACGAGTTACCTCGCCTCATACGTACGTTTTCGGGGCGCAAGATCAAAATAAACATATCAATAACTTCATTATCGTCCAATTTATGTCCATCTTCCATACTCTTGAAATCCCCAACTCAATTGATTGCCCCATGATATTGCAATTCATGCAGTAGATGTAGGTGTAGGTGTAGTAGTAGATGTAGGTAATGGTGAAGTAGTGGATGTAGGGTACGGCAAGCACGAGCAAGCCGAGGAGACTCTCGAGATGACATTTCCATCGCAAGCGGACGCTGCGTACGGCTTGACGAGCGAAACCTCCTTGACCAAGAACATCGTGAAGTCATGACAGAACGCCTGCGATTCTTCCAAGCGGCCTGGCACGCTCGAGGAGCGGAGAGCACGGAGACAGTTGTCTGCGAAGCAGGGACGGGGATCGCGGTAGTAGTACCACATGTCGAACATGCGCTTTGTCTGTAGGGTGGTGAACTCCTCGTAGCAGGAACTGAGGGGTAGTTAGTTGTGTGTTTGGTGGTACATATATTTGGATGGGTGAAGACGGGGAGGCCTTACTCATCGGTGAATTCCATGTGGTTGTGAATCGGGTCTGGTCCTTCGTCATCGATGTAGGAATCCTGGCCGATGGGGCAGCCGTACTAAGAAATGTTCTGGGCAGGAGTATCTGCTACGTAGTCTCCTGGGCCATCACAGCTGTCGTCGCCGACCCATCCACTTCGTATTCGTCAGCAGGAAGAATTTGTAAACTGAAGAGGACACCCACGTGACCGACTTCGTGAGTGGCAGTCTTCCCCAGATTGTAGTACTCTCGAGTCCCACCTGGAACGGTGGTGTAAAGAAGGGTGGGCCCAGAAATCTTGTAGAAATGTCAACCGAGAACATTCCGAGACTCTGAGACTAGCTTACGTTGAAATCAACACTTCCCACATCTGTAGTGGTTGGATAGCGCGCAAACTACGAATTTGTCAGATATATGAAGTGCTGCGGCTGCAAAATACCTACACCAATAATATTGCTCCATAAAGACTGCTGAAAGTAAATGTTCAAGGTCTTGTAATCTCCCTTTCGGAGTGCGGATTTCATCTGCAGCTCGGTGTCATCATTAACACCTGTCGCCCAATGAGGGTTGACAGTGCGCGTAATGCCCTCGAGAACGAATTGGATATGATTTGGAGCTTTGGAGGTCAGTAATGCCCGCCCAACTACTAAGTCTCAAAAAATCAGCCCAGCATACCGTAATTCTCATTCAACACATCCATCTGCGCCGCGAGCTGATCATCGGGGATCCATCCTCCATCCAATGTCTCATTGACAGCAACAACATGTATCCAAGTCTTAACAGTGATATCGCCTAACAACCAAGGCTCGAGAGAATAGGTGGGCAGAGACCTTGCTCTAAAACGCTTAGTCGATACGGACGAGAAGTTCGAGACGTTCGAGAAGCTCCCGCTGCTTGGGCCGGCTACCGCAGCGATGGCAGCTAGGTCTTCAGCGGTTGTGACGGTTCCGCACCGTCCGCGGCCTCCTCCGCGCCCCCAGACGGAGCCTTGAGGATAAGCGATCACGAAAGGGAGGAGAAAAGCGAGAGCTGCTGGAAGGGGAGTGAGGCGGATCATGATGGGCGGATTTGACTGAACTGGACTCAGTGAGTACATTAGACAAGGAGATCCCTATCGCTTATATAATTGTCTCCAAAATCTTAGTAACAACCCATACTATCCTAAAATCTCATCATATCTTTCGATCCCTGGGTCTAGGCATACTAGGGAGGTGAGTGGCATGAAATGGACATGATACACTTGGAACCGATAATCGAACGAATCAAGCCCGCTCGTGTGCATGGGATGAACGATAGCTATAGGTTCAAAGGGCTATTATTCTAAGATAACTTTGACCTGTGGATTTGGGCAGGCTTGTGCCTGGTAGTGCCACCGGTCCGCCGGACACAGCACATTTCTCGAAGTGGAAGCTGAGAGCTTGATCAGCCAGCTTCTGGACACCTACGTCCAAATAGGCTTTGTTAATCTAATGTAGGTTTTCGGGAGCTTTCTAGAAGCTTTCTCATGATAGCTCAATGCAGTAAAAACCAAGCAGATCGCAGATTCAAACGGCATCGACAAGATGGCAAAGATGTTCAAATAATTCTCAACGTTATCTTCTGATGAACAGCTGGAGTCCAAACACCTAGATAGTGCAGCCAGAATACAACGTTCAAGGCACAGGAGTGCGGCGAGAAGAATGAGGGGTCAATTCGTTGTTCAACTCTGTTCAGGAAAGGTTGTTCAGGAAAGTCCAAAGCAAAAACAAGCAATAACAAGCAAATACGAAGACTAACGCTCTTTGCGACGTTCCCAAAGCGCGCATGCTACCTATGACCGGATCGCATGTCAAGATGCAAGTTGCAGCTGTAGCGGCTTGGGGAGATAGGCTTATCGGTTGATTGGGATTTGCTGGGTTGCAATGTAGGAGGTTCGTCGTGTGTAAGAACGTTCGTCCAATATTTGAGAGTGAGCGTATAATGCAGGGGTGGGCAACGCAAGCTTACGGAGGAGGTGATACAAGATAAACAACTTGAAAGTTGTACCTACCTATCTTGGTGAGCAGGATACGGTCGCAGTGGTGCAGAGAAGTCTAATAGAAAGCTTTACCTCCGTAGATTGGAAAGAGGCCATCTAGAATCATTGATGCTCCTAGAAGTGTTGATCCCATTAACATAGAGTTTGCGACCCCGGGGTAGTGAGGGCGGGGTATAATTGAACTGTTATTCCGAAACCTTGCTGATATGAGTTCCTGCCAGCGCGCATTGATTTCGGCCTTCTCGGACTTCCATTTACCCTTTTGTTATGGCAAGTCATCCATTGATGCAGCTTGCCTTTGCAACAGCCAGAATTGTGAAATGAGGTTATTCCCAAGTCCTTATGCCGCTCTTTTTTTTCATCATTTGTAATATTCAGCTGCGGTTTCACAGCATATCTGATGTTATCGATCTCAGACTCCGCAATCCTAATTGTTGAACCCCTGTCCATTCAGAATTCGTGCTCATAACCTCAACTGTAAGGTGCTTGACCGCGGGGAAATACTGCCCGAGATGAGCAATATATGACAAGCTTCTTTGGTCCCAAGGACCATCAACCCCCCGCATATCCTGTATATAATTGCCTACCGAACGCAGCTCTATGCGATCCATGTCGGCCAGAGATACGTTCAGATTTTTATGAAGAGGGCAACAACGTAGCAAGCCATGATACTCGCAACTATCCCAAGGCACGTTGGAAAAGGCCGCTCTGTCAAAATCCTGACCACGGATAGGTGCTAAATGAGGCGCATCGCGCGGGCTTGAGGTCGTTCGATATGTTTCTCTATTTCTGTCCCGAACAAACATTGAATTGTTCAGCAATGGGAATCTTCGCTGCTGCTCTCCAAGGCTGAATTGCCATATCATCAGTCGAAGCTCTGGGGGTAGCTTCCTGAACTTCGGAAATCCCGTGGCTGGCATTGTCAGTTGCTGAAAGCTTCCTGTCGCGTTGTGCAGAGAAGGGAAGAAAATGGTGAAAGAGATCGCAAGAGAGAATTTAAAAGAAAGAAAAATTAGGGACTTCGTTTCCCGTTGTGGGAGGACCATGAACGGCTACTAGTTTGGTGGTGATGCCAATTCCGAACTAATGGAAACTGCCCTGACCTCACGACATGAGGGAGGTTTCAGTGACAAGGTACCAAACTTTTCGACCTATCCTCTTCCATCAAGGAAGTTAGGTAAGCTCTCCAGTAACATGGTTTTGGTAGAGTATCGCGACCCTTTGTATGCCACAGCAATGTGCTTGACGTTGGCCTTGGTACTGTGGCCAGAATGGATACGTCCGACCCTGAATCAGAATCCTGGCAATTCCCAACCAGTGCCAGACTCAGTGTAGTGCCGGCATGGCCAAAGCTGTTCATGTCCCATGCATCACCCAAACCCGACCAAGTTCTCTCGCTCCATCCCTCTAACATAGATGTGATATTGGGCTGGGTATTCATTACCGGCATACAACCAAGCAGTTGGTTCTTGTGACTGCCACGTTATCGGGATGCTCTCGCACTAATAACAACATTGTTCGAATGTGTCCCTGATCTGCTGAATTCTGGAGGCCATTATTAACACCCCAAGAGATGTCTGTGTCGTACCAGCTTCGCAGCCAGCAGAGATATCCCGGCGCAACGAGCAATGGAGAAAATATCCTCGACTAAAACTTTTGCGGCGACACTTGTTCAAAACTTGCTTCGAGTGGTGTTGTTTGTGTAGAATCAGAAATGGGAGTAGACGTCGTAGAGGTCGTCATAGGAGGGAGGGCCACTGGTTGGTGCAGCGAGAGCCTTTATGACAGAATCGAATCTCTGCAGATGTGCTTAGCTCGAGGGCCAAATGGGTTTCACAGTTCCCCTTGAACTACAGAAGGAGACAAAAGCTGCCGACGTGCATGATGGTGGGTAGTCGCGGGTAGATTGGTATGAGTTGTTGTGTTGGAAGGCTGGAAGACGCGACGAAGTAGACGCGTTCTCGGTACCTCCGTACTGAAGTCTACGCCTGACCTTGAAGCTTGGTGCGTATCACTGAGAACGTTTGACTCCTTCCCATGCTTACTTCGTGATGTCTCGTCCAAGCCTTTTCCCCATTCGACTTCGTCCTTATTATACTGTACCAGAAGCATGTTGTAACTTTCATAAACGAAATTTCTCGAGGGAACACTAATGGCAACAGCATGGTGTGCCATGTCCACTGCCTCCACAATCTTCAAATCCCCCTCGTCACAATCTAGCTAGGCTTCCCTTTGGTAAGATCCATTGTCTGGACATGATTGACAGACAATACATAGCTTGCCTGCACAGCTTTTTCATACTTCAAATGGGGCCTCGTCTATCCGAGGCATCCATATTGGCCCTTACTCAACAACTTCCAACTTTTGCTGCCTCAATGTCCAAAGGCACTTTATCTAGACATGAGGTCTCTTTAAGCAAGAGCTGTTGTTTTCGAAGGTGAGGCTGGTTCTTGCCTTCAAGGTCGGGGGTGAGGTTGCTTCAATGATGATTCCGCAAACATGTCCATTTTCACATCGCTACGGCAAGCTTGAGGGGAAGAAATGGCGTCGAGCACGGGTTATGTGCTTGCAATCAATATATATCCACAGGTGGCCGGTGCTGGAATGGTGCCGAAGCCTCCTGGTACTCCTGGTGTACTCCAACAGGTCATCAAAACATCGGTGTGGCTATGAAGGAATGGGATTCGGAGGGGAAGAGTATTCACGGACACATGGACATAGTCCGGTTGGTATAATATTGAAAAGGTAAGCCTGCCACTTCGATGATTCTGGTTTGATTACATGGCGGGGGGATGAGAAAGGCAAGTTTCTGTGCAGACTACGTACGTATCAATGTGACGTGTTTTATTTGGCATATCAGACAGTAGCGAGATCAACACGAGAAGCAAGCCTCTAGCGATTGAAGCAAGTGAAATCTAAAGTACTGCCCATATCTAGTCTACGTGCGGGGCATTCTTTGACGCATCCCCCGTCACGTTGTGATGACCTTCCATCCACATGAGCAGACGTCTCCGCGACAATGGAACCGACCGAGCATCCTTTGCGATTTTGGATTCGCGTCACCACAAGCCAACTTCCTGTTTCCAGTGGTGGTTGACCGGAATGCCTCGCATGAGGATAGAAAATTATCCAGAGAATTTTCAGGCCACAGCACAAAGTCCATGATATCTCCAACGGCTCTTCTTGCGGTCGTCAGTCATCGTTTTCGTTGTTATCGTTGTCGGCATTCTCGTGATCATCTGGCCAAGGATCTTTCCAATCCGGGACCATTCTCAGACCCGCAGCAAAATGTTCGCTGACGTGGGTACATCTTTCATCCCAAGTTGTGAAAACCGCACCACAAAAACCACACTGCCGTTTCCAATCAGAGTGGATGTCCACATACCATGTATCGACATTAGCTCTGCACCCGTGTGCTTCTAAAACATGATGGATCAGCTTGTCTTTACGATGAAACTCATGCCCCATCCTTAGAACGTTGCCTATACAGAGGGCATGGGAGTTGGAGTGTTGCCCAGCTAAATCGACCGTTCCATTACAGACATGGCAAGTAACACTTTCATTTGTCCCCTGGAGAAGGCATTCCCAGCGCCTCTGAGGCCAGTGCGTTTCCTCATGGCGTTTCCCTGTTAAATGAGAAATATCAGCTCCAGGTTCTGCTTGAGATCGTATACAAATACTTGATAGAAGCCACTGAAACAACACGTTTACAGTATGGTCCGGATGTGGATACTTACAATCGGCCCAGTACGTGTTTTCTTTCAGGCAATATGTACCGTCTGATTTAATGTGAGTACACTGGTATGGTCTTTCTCTACGGACGTCCTTCGATGCTCGTTTACGCTTCTTTCCTGCGGTCGAGTTGGAAGTGCTAATGCTTGACTGATATTCTGAACCCGTAGGGAGCATCGATGATTCAAAACCAAATGGAGTGGATCCAGGAGAAAGTATGATGCTTCTCGTGCTTTCGTGGTTCATAGATGTATGCACAGGTGTCGACAATCCCACTGCACCAGCTTGTATCATTTGGTGTAGACACCCCAGTAGACTTACGTAGATTGTGATGACTGCTATTGGGTTAGACGACGTTCTGAGTTCCGTTAATACTTGTATTAAGCTCCTGAAGAACGGCTCCGCCGAATTTTCTCCCGTCCCAAAACCACTTGCAGCAATACATTCCAGCGCGCCATGACAGTCAGGATTACTGACCATAGAAGCACAGCAGCTGAATATGAGGAGAACATCGGATTTCGCCTCCTCTAGAACCGACTGGATTCCAGACCATTTCACTGTTTGGATTGTCTCATCGCTAGCTTTCGCTGGGCTGGTTAAGTCAGCACATTTAATTTTGGATTAAAAGCTAGGCAATCACCTTGTCCATTCCAGCCGACGTTGTGTGGTCAACCTCCCGTCCCCTGCGTAGCATACCACGAGAAGCGGGTATTTCTCGCTTTGCTGCGCGAATTCCAACACCTTCATATGTACTCGAAACTGTGATTTTTCCATGGGGATTTTCCAGATTTCTGTATCAAGCATGAACTTGCGCTGAAACCCGGCTGCAAGCTGCTGAAGCAAGGACAAATTACTGCTCCTGTCGTTTTCCCAAAGAATCAGAAGTACAGAACCACGGAACAATGAACTGCGGCGTTCTTCTGCAACGGGGTCCGATAAATAGATCCCAGCCTCATTTCTTTGGAGTTCCGTATACACAGGTTCATCCATGCGAACTTCTTTTCTATAGAGGGGTGGATAGGCAAGTGTAGTTGCAATAGGAGCTGGGCCGTGACGCCACCTGTCAGCCGAGGGCTATTCATTGTCAGCTGTTACAGACTCAAATTTTGGCTCTTTACTTACCGACATATTTCCAGAATCAAGCAGTAGGCCTGAGCTTCGTGGAGAGCGAGGTGATGACTCTTCTGGAGTGTGAACGTCTACATCTGACGGCGTTACAGCTCGCTCTACTCGAGTTAGTCTGCCACGTACTGCTGCTCATCCAGACACCAATGAAATTAGTTCCATGGACTTGAAGATCCTACACACCTGGTGAATTTGGAGGTATCGAGGGGTTATCATGCATGTAACGTGCAAGCTTCGCGCTACTGATTGGGATCCCATGGACCTGTATTGACGAAGCTTTTCCAGCAGCTGCACGATCCCGAGACTTGCGAACGACAGCGTTCCATGCTTCTTTGGAGATGTTTTTCGATATTCCCCACTTTTTGAACCTATCTTTGTACTGTTTGTCTCTGATATTATCAGTGCTGGGCGGTCAAATGAGGAACAGCTGGCTGCTTACGAGGCTTGAAGAAGGTAAATTTCTTCCATAAACATCCGAACACTTCTTACTGCAAGATTCTGGTCGATATATAGCCTCATAATTTCTGCCTTGTGGGCGTCCCAATCTTTCTGCGTGAACTTTCGTGGCAGCTCTCGTACTGGACTGGGCGCGTCTGACCCCAGAGGATCATGTCTAGACGACTCCGCGACTGAAGCGGGCTCACAGGACTGTGGCTGGGCGTGCCCCAACTGCATTTCAGCCGTGGCCATGTGACGTACTTTGGTTCGGACAGCGCGATGATATTCTTTTCATTGCGCACGAAGCCCAAGAGGGATATGCGGCATGTGCGAGTCTCCTCACAGCCAGGTACAAGTTCCAAAGAAGTCGATATGTTGTCGAGGACGACGTCGCGGAGGGCACAAGGCAGTCAGGACCACGACCAACCCTTTGAGGCACATAACGATACGGCACTACGAAAGTACCAGCGCTACAAAAGTACGTTCTTTCGACATGTGGCCATCTGACAGAAAGTACCGTGCTCCGGAGGAACGTATTGGGACGCAGGCGATGGCGGCCCAACACGCTGATGCGCTCATCATGCTACAGTTGGGGGCGCGTGCCCCAAGGCGCTTTTCTGCCGCCCCTCGGGGGGCAGTGCTGCCTCACACTCTTTCCATTGGTTGTCAGGACTGCCACGTATGCCCTCGAAACAGGTTTCTGGCAAAGGAGGGACGCAGCCCCTGTGCATGGTGGCCCAGTGGCATCGCGAGATGAGGGTGGCATTCAGCTGCCAAGTGGTACTTCCTGAAGCGAGCCAACTGGACCCGTCCTCGCCCTCCTGTATCATTAGGGGCTGCATGTTCATAGACGTTCGGATTAAACGATCACACTTACAACACCAACAATGGTTGGGCCATTCCGCATCCCGCACTGGGAGGAGGGTAGAACGGTAAGGTAGGATATCAGCAGATGTCACTGTGCATCCATGGGAGCGAGCCCTCCTATTTCGTTTTGATTCCCCTCGCAGCCATAATGCTGAGGCCAGCCGCGCACCCATCTCAACAAGCTCGCCTCCCCTTGATTTCTATGCGTCCCCTCTAGCATTCTTCAAAGACTTCGACTCCTTCCTCTCTCTTCACCCCATATCAGTTGCTTCTGTTTCAGCAAGCAAGCAGCTGGAGATCCCACGAACTCGTTTGCAATCTCCTTTTAGTTTACCAAAGGTCCTTCATTACGACCCGCTCAGCACTATGGAGTCCCAGAATGGCTCCGTGCCCGCCAGCGGCGATTCCCTACCTTCTCCTCTCGGCACTGCAACTACAACTAAGCAGCTGCCGTATCCTCTTTTTGTCCTCATCGGCGTCGTGTTTCTCCTTATTCTGATCGTCAATGCTCTTCAGGGTGAATTATTTCTTTATACCTGACCAGTCTATGTGGAAGACAGATGCTCTATGCGGAAACTGATTGTACTAGGAATGCGCATGTTGTTTTCTCGCACAATACCTCTGGATCCCCCCACCGAGCTTCAAAGCGTTGTCACATCACCCAACAATGAGTTTCACTCACACTCATTCTCTTCTACCAATGTACGTGAACGAAGCAGTCGCTTTGCAACACGCACTGCTGTTGCAAGCTCTCCAAGTTACCTCCCGACCATTGCCTCCAATCATCAAACCACTCCCCAAACGCGCCCCAGCACTGCACCTGCTACATGCAATAATACCAGTAACACGGGTTTGCAACATATTGCATCTCCAATCGAGTCTCAAGTAGCACCAGTCTCGCCAACGACACGGAACACCACCGAGCCTGGGACCTCACGAGCTCGGACGGAAGACGGAAACGCTGCAGCCAGTTGTCTCAAAACACGGCCGCTATTTTGCAAGATATGATAGAAGGCAGTGGAGATGGATTGATGAGTCAGTGTATACTTCAGTAACTTTCACGGAGACGGCCTGGAAGAGTTACGATGGATAAGACAGGCTTAAATTTTCTGTCGTCATTACGACATTTGCCTTGAATGCAATCCTAGGTGGTACACAACATGATTAGACGTTAGTTTTTGCATTCCATTCACCTTGTCACTGATTTTCGTCTGTACCGTGGGCTTTTCACATTCGGACTTAAATAGCCATCGAGGTGCTCGCAGCAGTGTTCCTCTTGTGACTGCACATTGACTTTACGACTGACACCTTGTTCTTTGTATATGGTCTTACATATTGAGTGTTGTTATTGAAATGACCCAAATCAGCTTTTCTCATTTGTCTCCGATGGATTTGTGTGGTACAAATAGCTCCTCGCCATGGTTCAATCCAGATCAGCGGCAATGGCTTCGCTTATTTCCAAGCTACAGCCACTGAAGCCTACCAGGTATCCTATTTGGTATCCAAATGTTGCTTGCTTGTTGAGGATCCAGGAGCAACAGCTTGTCGCACTTGTCGTCACTTCGAAGTGCGAAGTCAGTCTGGCAGCAGTGAAGGAATAGTGCAATAGCCATACAGTATACTTTCAGCTCCCCAGTCAAAAATATGCTACCCTGAGAGCATCATCAGCAACTGCCGAAAACACACTTTTCCAGGGGCCCGCGCTGAAGGAAGGCACTAAAGTTGCCTATCCTGCCAGGCACGAGCGTATTTCAGGCGCTCTTCGCTTAGCTACAGGGCATTCCTTCAGGTTATTCAAACTAAGTAGAACGTGTGTTTTGTTTGGTAGTTGGGGGATAACCACCACATGAACCACATGAGTCTCATACATTTGATCTGATGTCAGCTTTCAAGAACAATTGAAATCGATGAAATCCGATCCCTCTCCACTGCCATGGATTTGGCAAGTGCTTGATGAAATCTTAATATGACGTCTGTTCCCGTTTTCCACTCGGACATTTCTTTCCGCTGGTCTTCATTGGGCACGTCACCACGATGGCTGGAGGTCAAGCGTCAACCACCTACCTGTCAACCCCGCACTGCTCTAACGAAAGGCAGGCGATCAAACTAGTGTCAGCTCGCAGTGACGGCACTTGGTCGATCAAGCCTGGGCCAACATCATCATGGCATTTTGAACTCCCATCTAATATTTTCTTGATAAAGATAAGTGCATTTCTCTCATTTGATGTCCCTGGAATTATCTCTTCAACTCGTAAGGACAAGAAAAATATCAAGATGTCAGTCTCAACTTCACTACCTTCTGACGAGTACATCAAGCCCACCATCACGGAGGTCGAGAAAGGTAATGCGCATTCTCCATCTCCTGATGAAGGCGCACATCTCGATCCCGTCATATCTGCTCGCGTAACAAGGAAATTTGACAAGCACATCATACCATGGCTGTTCGGCCTCTGGCTTCTGGCTTTCATTGATAGAAGCAATATCGGAAATGCTAAGATTGATGGATTGGCAGAGGGTCTGAATATTTTGAAGGGCAACAAGTTCAACATTGCTCTTGCAATATTCTATGTTCCATATATCATCGTTGATAGTATGTACGGTTCTTGATTCTCAGAAATTGTCAGACTAATCCCTCTAGTTCCTTCAAACTGGCTGGTCAAAAGAATTGGGGCTGGGTATTACTTGCCAGGTCTCGTCTTCGGTTGGGGAATCGTGAGCATGTGCCTTGGATTTGTGAAGACGTATGAAGGACTGTTGGCAGGAAGGTTCTTCCTAGGGCTGATGGAAGGAGGACTGCTTGGCGGAGTGATCATATACCTAGCAATGTTCTACGAGCGGAAACAAATCATGATTCGGATTGGGCTGTTCTACTGCGCTGCTCCTTTAAGTGGTGCCTTCGGAGGGCTTCTGGCTACGGGCCTTTCGCAGATCAGAACACCAGGATATGATGGCTGGTAAGTGATGGACTGGTCTGCGTCTTCGTGGCAAAAGAAACTAATTCGTTTTCACAGGCCATTCATCTTCTTCATTGAAGGCGTCATAACAATCCTCTTCGGACTACTGGCTGGATTCTTCCTACCTCACACACCTTCACACTCCAAGTTTCTCACCCAAGAGGAGAAAGAATTCGCAGTCCGCCGCATGCATATTGACGCACAAGGCGCTGTCTCTTCTTCGTCCGTCGATACTGAGAAGTTCTCTTGGCATTGGGTGAAGATTGCTATTCTCAATTGGAACACTGCTTTGTTAAGTCTGAACTTCTTTGCCATCATCACACCCATTTACAGTTTCTCACTCTTCTTGCCAACAATCATCAGCACGTTGGGATATAAGAGCGTCAAAGGTATTTTTTCTCCGTCACCATGAGTGTGTGACTAACTTTTCCAAGCAAATCTTCTCACCGTGCCACCGAACATGGCTGCATTCTTCGCCGTGCTCCTCGTCACTTACTTCTCAGACCGTATCAAACAACGAGGGATCTTCATGCTCGGCGGTGCTACAGTTGGTATCATTGGCTACATTATGTTGATCGCCTCTCCCAAGCCCCTCGTACAATATGGCGGCACGTTCTTTGTGGCAGTGGGCATCTTTCCCTGTTCACCCATGGTCATGGGATGGATGGCCAATAACGTTGCACCACACTATGTGAGGGCCACAGCGACCGGTTTCCAGATCTGCATTGCGAACTGTGCAGCTTTCATCGCTACTTTCACTTACGTCACGAGTGATGCTCCGAGGTTTGTTGACTTCTAGCCTACAAGAAGCGAGATGTGCTAACGAGTGATAATAGGTATAAGACCGGACACGCAATCAATTTGGGCATGCTTGCTTTGTGCCTTGTTGTCACAGCCGTGACAATATTGTATTGCAAGTGGGAGAATGCCAAGCGAGAGAAGGGCGAGCGGGACGATAGGCTCGACGAAGACCAGACGCTACTGGGGCACCGGCATCCCAAGTTCAGATATGCCATCTAACTGCGATTCATGGTATCGTTGATTATCTGTACGATCATTGTCTACCCCTATACCCACTATCATTTCAGCAATGGTCGCGGTGCAGGGCAAGGGGATCGTAAATATACCGCCGGCAACCTTGGCGGCACAATTTGTGCTCCTGCCCAGATAGCCCATTGGTAGCTGAGTGGACAGTGACGGAACCTCCTCAACCCTGGACACGAATTGGCATAAAAATCGCTTGGAGATGGGTCGGATCTTCCCAGAAATTCATGACATTGCCAATGCCGCGTGGAAATTTCGATTGTGTGTTGCTGACTTCGATGAAAGAATACATCAATGCGAGTGACGCGGGGTAGACTCAGCAGAGAGAGGCATCAAAGAAGATCCAGTGGTAAACGTCCTTGGTGAAGGAGTAATTGAAAGTTATGATACGATGAAGTCTATCGTACAGCGAACAATACATGGAAAAATAACCAGAATGAAAACGATACCACCAAAATCAGTTTCCTAATACTGAGTCAAAACAATAACCTCAAAGACCACTACAAATATCAATACCCCACATCATCAAAGATTATCATCTCTCCCCGAATCTCATCCCGATGTATCTTTCAGAGTCCATCACAAGTCGACGTCTCATCAACCCACAAATTACACATGTAACTCCTAACTCCCAGCGCATAGAATCCCTGAAAGTCTTGAACACTCTCACCAACCGGCGTCCAATGTCTTCCCTCCTTGACACAATCAACATCCGTAAAGACACAGCAGATGACCGAAGGATCGAGGTTGCTCTTCATGGATTGTGTCTTCTTGTCCCAGGTGTCGGGGAGATTCTGGCAGGTCTGGTAGTTGCCGTAGGCTTGGTATTCGATGCCGCTGTAGTTGGCTTCGGTGTAGAATCGTGCGAGGTCGCTGGGGAAAGTTAGTTGAAGCTAATAGGTGGTGAGGGTTGGTAGGGATAAGGGTTCTTACGGGAGATGATTGGGGTTTGTGGAGCAGGTGCAGGTGAACAGGCCGGTGTTGACGTCCAGTTTGAGCTGGCAGCCTTTTCCGAAAGACGTGCACATGAAGGGGTCGAGTTCACCTTTGTCTGTGCTCGGAACAGCTCGAGCCATTACGATCTGGATCGTGGCGAAGATTGCTTGGAGAGCGAGTAGAGGACGCATTATGGAATTGTGGCCAACCGTAATTTGTTCTGGTGGTTTGGAATTTGTCGAGCAATGAAAAGGAACAGAAGAATCGTGAGCTCCGGCTTCAAGAAGAGATAGATCTAAAAAGTCTCTCGCTCTTTCCTATTGTATGTAGTATATCCGTGTGGTTGGGTAGCCAATACTACTCCTTCCGTATTTGGACACCCCGGGGCAACTTCAATAATTCAATTCATAAATACCTATCGCTTCAATAAAAGGTCTAGCTCTAATCGGTATTAATATTAATACGAGAGACATAGTTACACGGTACCTCGAGGGTAAACTCCACGTTGCTGATTTGGACTTCAATGACACGAGGCAGCCGCTTTGGATTATTTGCGACTTCACATACGCCGAGACATTCAAAAACTGTTCTGCTACAACGCCACTTGGTTTGGTACAACAGTAGAAACAGTGACAGCTGAGTCAAAATTTTCGTCGAGGCCGATGTGTACCTGGGTGATATATACAATGAATCCGATTCAAATCCGGTAATTTCAAGCCTCCACCATCTAAGAGAACTACATTTTTACAACATCCTACCACCCCATCTCGGCCTTCAAAGCGTCTTCAAGAAGTTTAGCTCCAATTGCGTGTGTAGCAGCGTTGGGATGGTAATCACAGCCCACATCTGACCCTTGCCCGGGCCAATCCACGATGCGAGTCTTCACTTTCCGAAGTTGAGCAGCAGCGTCTTTGTACACTTTCAATTGGGTGGACTTTTGAGCATCGGCTGCTGTAGGGTAGGTATCGCTCAGAAGTGGAGAAGATACCAGGAAGATCTTTGCTCTCGGATACTTCTTGTTGACCTTCGTCATCAAGGCAACGAGAGCAGCCGTGAGGGTTGCAGGGTTGGCCGGATCACGGACACCCAGGTAGCTGAAGTCGTTCGTGCCGAGATTGATTACGACGGCATCTGGGACCCATGAACTTGGGAACGTGAAGCTGTTGTCTGCATCATTGGCGCCGTATCTTGTATACAGGATGGGCATCGTTACTGCATCATCTGGAGGTGTTGACGCATAATTTCTGTACAGTCCCTTCCCACTCCAGGCGACAACGCTGTAATCGGCACCAACAGCATTTGCTGCCAGAGCACCGTACGTTTGCGGATTGTCTTCCAGAAAAGCTGTATTTGTGCAAGGATTGACGCCGTCGAGACCATAGCCGACTGAGATCGAGTCACCGATGATTTCGATCTTTCGGTTCGGCACCTTGCCCGCGCTCAGAGCTCCATTTGCTGTGACGTCCGTGATGCGAAATGTGCCGAAATACGTTTCTGAGCGTTTACGTAGCTCAACCGTATGTTTCCCACGTACGAGCTGAGGCGTGGAGATGGAAGTGCCGTTGACATTGGGGATGACGATAGGCTCCTTCCCGTCAATGTACAGATCAACACTTGAGTTGCCGCTCACACTGTTGATGTTGATCGAAGCTGCGGTACCCGTGAAAGTGAATGCAACACCGGTACTCGGCCATGTGAGCTCTTTTGTTTTTGGATTGACCCGTCCGACAAATCTGTAGGAGGTTGCCTCCACTATCCCCCCGGCCGCACACAGCAGAAGCAAAGATGGGGTGGCCCTCATAATATCTGCTTCAAGTCTTCCACGGGGAAAATTCAAAGGAGGGCACAGGTCTATCTGTACCTTGAGGCTGAGACTCTAGTTTCTGGGGCATGGCTGGCGGGTACTTATATTTCCAAGCCATCGTGCCTGATCGGACGAACGGGGTGCTCGGGGAGGATGTCCTTTAAATCAAACTGGTACTAGCGACGGAAGTCCAGAGGCAAACAGTTCCCACCTGTCATGAGCTCTGATTTTCCTGATTGAATTTATTAGTTTATGAGGTTTGCGCTTCGTCGGAATTTCGGTGCACTTTACCCGTTACAAGGCGGAGGGACAGCTTCCACCCCATCAACAAGGGATCCTGGAACATCGAACTTCAACACAACTTCTGGATAAGAATTACGCAAGAGCTCTTTTGAACGCTACGGCGGTAAAGCATTTTGAAACAGGTCTATCCGTATAGAAGGACAGAAGATACAGAACAACGCTCGCGAATTTTGTCGTGTAAGATCCGCTTCTGAGAAATGGATGTGGGGTGCTTGAGTGCGGGGTCGCCGTACATTTATCCAGACGAGAGAAAATCTTGACACGGAAGCTGTTCCTACGATGCGAAAATTTCGTCATCGAAAGTTGATTCTCCAAGGAATCATCCTCATTCAATTCTGAGTCTGATCATAGTGATTGATTTGCTCCCGGACAGGTTTTGTTGGTACTGTCAACATCAGCTCGCTTAACAGGGCAAAAAGTCTCTTCTGTTCAGGGGCTCGCTTTCGCTAAATTATGCTTCAAGGTATTTTTGCTTAGTGATCTCTCCCCATCAATGAAAAAACGTCCAATTACCTGAACAGAAGGTTTAGGGCATTTTTCTAGTAGGTGGATGAAATAAGACTTTGTTGTCTTCACAGTTCAAGGCGATATGGACTGTCGCTGAGCCATTCTCCGCCTCGATCGATTCTGTAGTTGACCCTGATTGACCCTACGATGAAACAACGCGACTTGCTGCCACAGGCATCGTTCACATACCTTCCCAATAGGTCCTTTCGTAGTGCGAGATTCAAAACTACGTGAATTGTGAACGATCGTCTTCAAAGTGGGACAGCACATCTTGACCAATCCTTTACTTCGGTGGAACTCTTTAGCAAAGCCTGGGAGAAAACCCCTCATTACCCCGCCATGTGCCTTCCCTTCCTCAAAAATATCTAAACTTTCTGCATTCTGTATCCAACTACCTAGATATTTCCTCACGGAAATGCTCGTCAACCACTTAAGATGTATTCGCCTTTTATCGCTTGACCATTCCCAATGTCGTGGCCATACTCAGTCAGGTGTGCTTCAAAACAGCACCAGAAAGTTTCCTGGCAGAGTCATGAACCTTTCAATCGTCAACAGTAGGAGCTTTCTTCAATTTATACAAATACTCAGAGAATCGTCCAGATCATCAGGTTGAACGGAGAAAGGGCATCTGTGGCATTTGCTTCCCTCCTGGCCCCTGGCCATTTTCCATTGAATCCGGCATACTGGTAACTTCTCGGAGGGTCAGGGATCTGAGCACCATCAAAATCTTTGCCACTTTTAATGGCAGCCACTAGATGGCGGCATTTGTTCTTTCTTGGTTGATTCTGAAACGAAGTGGCTCAATACTTGTGTGCTCAAGTCTGGCATTTCTTTTCTGTTAGCTGGCTTGGTTGCCCCTTTCTCAAGATGTCAAAGGTCTGAATTTGTGATCCGATTCGCTGTTTCCGGAGAGTGGCATTCGGAGATAATAATCAAGCGAACAACCATCTCGGTCCGTGCCAACGCCTTCGGTAATCCGCCCCTCACTACTCAGTCAGGGGGATCGACACATCATCTTTGACCTGACCAATCTTCACTCCAGGCTATCTTCCGGGCGTTACTCGGTCCTTTCTTCTGAAGGCTCTTCATGAGACCTAGATCGCAATGCAGGTGATGGCGCATCGTGATCCCTGGATGCTGGAAATGATCTAGAGCAGCCCTGTGATTGCCGAACTGGTCCTTTGGGCTTATGCAGGCAATTGAAACTACGTCCCTAGTTCATCTTATGATCAGTACCTGCCAATGTGCCCTCGAGACCACACAGTTGGATGTCTCCGTTTGCCTAGGAATACGGCTTGCAGTAGCATTACCGTCTAGGACCCAATGACCCGAGCGCCGCTTCACTTCACTACACCTTTCTCGCATGTGCATTGGTAGATGTCAAGTAGTCTTCATCTCTTCATAGCTCTCTTCTTCTTTTGGTTATTTAATGTACCACATTTCGACGTGGGATTTTGCTGCTTATGGAGCTAGCTCCGAGCTCCTGCCCAAGTCTAGAACTTCCATCTGTACTGCTTTGTCGATATTTGGCATGAAGCCATGGCTTCTGTCAAGGACCCTGACTAGGTATTGGAACTACGTTCCTCAGTTCAGGGACCATCTGCGTCGCAATGGCAGCTGTCTCTTTCAGCCCCTAGCAGAGTTGCTTCTCGGCGCCGACGACTTAGACCTATTGTCAGGCGGGACGACGGCATGCCTGAAGTCTCTTTTTCCATGACTAAAATTACCTCTAATCACTCCATAGACTCTATGAGAGTATATAGAGATCGATGTGCCCAAATATGAAGGTGATAGCTCATTCTTGGCCTAGCCACAGTCACTCCTTTCAGATTTTGCTTGCAGCGCTTTTTTGAGTATATCTTTATTGAACATAATTTCTACTTCCATCTTCTACTATTATATCTGACTTTAAACTTGGCACGTCACAATGTACATTTCCAACGCTCTCAGTCTCAGTATTCTCGGCTTCGTCGGGACATCAACAGCCCTATGGACCAACTCGACTGGAACTTATCATCGATTTGCAGCGGCCAGTTACAACCTGGTCGACACATACAACAGTAACAACTTCTTCAACAGCTTCAACTTTTTCACGGGTGGTGACCCCACGCACGGATTTGTAAATTATCAATCCCAAGGCGCTGCTGCGAGCCAGGGTCTCATCAACAGCAACAATGGGCAGATCTACATGGGAGTTGACCACACAACATACAACCCTCCTTACCCAGGTCGTGCTTCTGTGCGGGTTGAGAGCAAGAAATCCTACAACCACGGTCTTTTCATTGCTGATATTGCTCACATGTAAGTCGGCTCCATTCCAGATATATGATGGCCGAAAATGACTCTGCCCAGGCCTGGGAGTATCTGTGGTGTCTGGCCCGCTTTCTGGCTTTTTGGTCCCAATGTAAGAAGACCGCTTCACCCTGACTCGGCTCGGATACTGACTACTATTATAAAGTGGCCAAGCAGTGGAGAAATCGACATCATCGAAGGCGTGAATCTCGCCGGCTCAAACACTATCACTCTCCACACCTCTGCAGGATGTAACATCAACACCGCGGGCTCGCAGTACGGGACAAACCTGCAACACTCCAACTGCAACCAAGATAACGGCAACACTGGCTGTGGTGTTACAACTACCACTGCGAATGCATACGGAAACTCGTTCAACAGCATTGGGGGAGGTGTGTATGCTATGCAATGGGAGAGTTCCGGCATCTATGTCTGGTTCTTCCCGCGAGGAAACATCCCGGCTGATATATCGAATGGACGACCCGTCACTGGAAATTGGGGAACACCAATCGTGGCATTCAACGGGGGCGGTGGATGCAATATTGACTCGTTTTTCCGGAATCAGAACATCATTTTCGATACGACGTTCTGTGGTGATGTAAGTTCCCTTTCCGTTGGAACCCTTTTCCCACGAAGAGTCGAAGCTAATTTTATATGACAGTGGGCTGGATCCGTCTGGGGAAGCAGCAGCTGCGCAGGCTTGGGATCTTGTCAGAGCTATGTTGGAGCAAACCCAGGTGCATTTGCACCTGCGTATTGGACCATCAACTCTGTGAAAGTATACCAGCAGTGAACGAATCATTGGGGGTGGTCGCAGTGTTCGATTCTTGTTTATATTTTGCTCATATAAAATTTACTTAACTTTTATTTTCATCAACGAGACACAAAAGATCACGAGTCTCTGATATTGATGCATGGTAGAGGTTCAAAAGAATGTGGCGATACCGTAGGCTTCTTCGGTATGCATGTGGCACAATGAGATTCCCGCTTCTTATTTAGGATTAGCCAGCCACTGCATGACTCAATCATCCACTTGCTCCAACAACACTCTCACTTAAATGTATGCTTCTTGGCCCTTTCCCTGTCTTGACACGTCAACGCGACCCCTTTAAAGTGCAACATCAAGACTCGCCAAACATGCCGCCCGCAAACATCACGCTCCAACTCGCAAGCCAGGACGATGCACCTGCCCTCGCATCGGTGATGACAGCTGCGTTCTCTGCAACCGATGCAGCATATCCTTTGATCTGGGGTTCAGCACCAGATGAGACGCATGACATGATGGCCGTGATGGGATTGTTTAGTCCCGTGCAAAAGCCAGATCGCGTGACGTACAAAGCTGTTGACGAGGAAGCGGAGAAGGTTGTTGGGTTCGCGACTTGGGGATTGCCGAAGGGCAAAGAAGGGAAATCGAAGAACGATGAGGGTGGGCTTCCGCCCATACCGGGTGTCAACGTGGAGTTGTGGATGGATAAGGTGAGGAGTACGAGGATTTATTCAGCTAGAGATGTGGATGTTGAGAAGGATATGGGTAGGTTGACTTCCACGTATCTCTTCAACTGTCTTTGGCACCAGTACTTAACTTGCTATTTAAATTTCAACCCGATCTCAAGATTGAACTGAAGTACTGCAACCATTGACAGTGATGTCGCAGATTTGAGCTTCTGTTTCGTGTCTCCCGAATACCAGCGGCAAGGCATTGCATCGTCGCTGCTGAGCTTAGGTTTACAAGAAGCAGATGCAAGAAAAGCTAGGTTCTGGTGTACGAGTACCCCGCAGGCTGTTCCTGTCTATGAGAAGAATGGATGGAAAGTCGTAGAGACGCATGATGTTGACTTGGGAAAGTATGGGGGCGCTGGTGTTTACACTCGGTCTTGGATGGTGAGAGAGCCAAAGAGCACGCCAAAGAGCACTGACTAGCTTCTTGTTGATGAAAACTATAATTTACGAAGTATTGTGAGAGATCTGTCTTAGAATATACACTTTTGCCGTAGAATAGTCGATCATGGCGGCTCAAGTTCCATTTGTGCTACAGAAGAAGCGTACAAATTGGGGAAATCAACTTGCATGCCTTCATGTGTGGGAAAATGCTTACCCCAGCCTTTAAGCAAGAATTGGTGGAACTTTGTTTTTTATAGAATTTTACTTGTCGCTGGATTCCTGTGCTTCATCCTGCATTGCAATTTCATTGTTATTATTGATAGGTCGATGGGGCATGGAATATTGAAACTTTCCTCTCTTTCTTTGAATGGAGGGGTACCTGCTTGACTCATTTGCCAAGCTACCAAGCCCAGCGTCCTGACCTATATCATGTGTTGATATGGTACGTTTCAACTGATCTGGTGATTACCCTGGGTAAATCATCCCCCTTTATCCGGAAGCGAAATAGGTCGTTGAAGTAAGCTCACGGGCCGTCCACCCCGCAACCTTCTTGAAGCTTTTTGTCCTTTGACTTTCTTCCTTAATTCGACTTTAACTCAATATCTGTAGTCTATATTAACTCTATGCGTCCCTCCCATTGTTCTGAAGCCATACAGTGGTGAATGAGAGATGCGTCAGCTTGGTGAAGCAGCATTTGGTAGTTTAGAGGCGTTGGAAGTTCTCAATCGCAGATAGGATCTCTTGGAACCTGGAACCATTATCTTTCCTTCGGACCTACACGCCTAAATTCTCATAATACAACCCAATTATCCGTATCGTCACCTATCAGGTCCGGCAGTCGGCACTCGCCTCTCCTCCTCCGCAAACCCCACATTCCCAATCTGGGGCGCGGCGTACGTGGAGGCGCTGCATATATATTGCGGAGATACAATCCTGGGCCCATGTGTAAGGTCACATAGTTTGATTCAAGGAGTCAGTAGACCATCTAGTCGGGAATGCGAGGGCATTCGCACCAATGGAAGACGAAATTTGCGTTGTCCAGGGAAGTAAGATGGATTTGCGAGGGCATGGTGAGATGGGATGAAAGGGGATAAATGAAAAACCTTGATAAAGTGGTACTGGGACAATAAACTGGTTCGGAGATGAGGAAGTAATATCTGGCTGGCTGAGGTCTGGGTGATGGATTTCCGGCCATGTGGTGGCTATATGAAGGATGCGGCGCCCTGAAGTGCATCAAAATATCAATCGTGCTCTCTTTATCCAAATTGTTCTGTTGTGTAAGATCAGATAAGATTATCTACTTCTTCCAGCATGAAATCATTCGCATCTGTTCTTGCCTGCTTTTCGGCATTAGCTAGCCAAGGCTCTGCCCATTGTAAGCTTTCGGTCCTCATGACGCTCTCGGGAAGCAGAACTGATAACAAGAAGATATCTTCGATCAACTTACCTATGGCGGAACCAAATATGCGGTGTACCAGTACATCAGACAGAACACGAATATGAACTCGCCTGTCATAGATTTGGATTCAACTGATCTGAGGTACACAAAATAACTGGCCTGAAGAACGACACGTAGTTGACAGACGCAGATGTAACCAGGGAGGCGTGACTGGCGGAAATACGCAGACGATTACAGTCACAGCTGGATCTTCTTTCACTTTCACCACAGATACCGCAGTCTATCACAATGGTCCTCTCTCTATGTAAGTTATGCAAGACTTGGTTGGCAAACACTTCTGATACTGGGTAGGTATATGGCCAAGGCGCCTGGCTCTGCAGCAGCCTTTGATGGATCCGGACAAGTGTGGTTCAAGATCCTCGATCTTGGTCCTACGTTCGACGCAAGTGGGACTGCAACATGGCCCTTGGCTCGTGAGTCCCTTGGATAGGCCATCTCGCCACTTCGCTTGCTGACGAAATCAACAGAGACATATACATACAACATCCCAAAGGCATTACCCAATGGCGACTATTTACTCCGCGTCCAACAACTCGGAATCCACAACCCTTATCCTGCCGGCATTCCCCAGTTCTACATCTCTTGTGCACAAGTCACCGTCACTGGTGGAGGAAGCGGTACGCCTGGGCCACTTGTCTCAATTCCAGGTTTCATCAAAGGCGATGAGCCTGGCTATACGGTCAACATCTACTCCAACTTCAAGAACTATACTGTACCCGGACCAGCTGTGTGGAGTGGCCAGAATGCTAGTGGTGGGGGTGGAGGAAGCCCAGTGACAACAACTGCTACTAAACCAACCACGACAACCTCAAAGCCTGTGGTAAGTCTCCTCACAATGAGGCTCTTGAGGGGTAGAAAGCTGATGTATCTTCTCTGTAGTCTGCGACTTCTACCACGAGCACGACGAAACCAGCTACTACCACAGCAAATGGTGGAGTCGCTCAAAGATGGGCTCAGTGCGGCGGCTCTGGATGGACAGGGCCTACGGTGTGCATTAGCCCATATGTTTGTACCTATTCAAACCCATCATACTCTCAATGCTTGTAAGTGGGCTACTCTTCGTGGTTGAGACCTAGATCAATCTGAGTATCCAACTGTTGTATGTAGTGCCTCGGGGTCAGGAGATGTACATAGTTAGACATATTCTTCTCTTCTGCACAAACTCTGGAATAATTCTTCTTTTCTAAGAGAGTACGAAACAGATAAATCCGTCAGGCATTTTTTGCTGAGTGTTGAAAGCCAATAGTTCATCAACAGGCGGCTACAAGACCAAGGATCTTATGTGAATAAATGCCAATCCAACCAGAATCCGAGCTTGCGACAGACAGATAAAACTCCCTTCTGTCCTGTCACTGTTTTCTTTTGTCATGCCGGTACAGAGTCCCCATGTAGATAACCTTTATCCCGTACAAAGCGACCCGCTCTCCTGTACAGTACGACACGCTCTGTAGCCCCCTTTAGCTCTTCGTGGAGCACCCCTAAATCCTTTGCCAGCCATTTTATGGAACCTTCCATTGCAGCGATTGGTCACCGAATCCAGTATCATTTCTTTCCCATGGACTACCTCCTTAGGGCCCAGCCCGACCTGGAGAGTGGGGTGAGAGAAGGAAGATCTGAGCTTGCTATGCCACTTCAGAATTCCAAAATTTCTTGAACACATTATTTCGGAGCCTTAATGCCAAGTACCACGTAAGTGCCAGGGCTGGGTGTATTTGCGCCGAATCGTGCGCCCAGAAGTCCAAGGGTCCGGTGCTTTGACAACAAGAATCAAACTCTCAAGTGTGTTGACAGCTATCCTACTAACCTTGAGAGGAGCTGTTCTCCAGTCCTGGCACAACTCTCGTTGAAAAATAGAAGATAGCCGTGCGAAGTCTAGGACTTCGCTCGGTAAGTAATCCTTGGTGGGATCGTTATCCCATACGAGGTCAAGACTCAATGTGCGTAAGTTGGAAGCTGACTGCACCATGTATCGCAAGGACTTCTCATACAAGCTGCTAGAGACTAAGGATAGCTTTTGAGGTGTTGGTGTATCGATATTAGGCCACATTGTGTCGTCTTGGGAGCCAGGACAGACCGATATCTCAATGGACTGGATCATTGGTAGGCCGAATAGAGAGGTGATTGCACATGAGTTCCATCGTACACGATGATTTGGGTTTAAAATTCGTACATGCTTCAGTCTTGACATGCCCGAGAAGTTCAAGGCCAGGGGGATCCTGGATGGCAATGATGGAACAACTAACATCTGCCTGCAATCCACAGGGCTAAAGAGCTCTCGGAGGTCCAGGCAGAAAGACAAGATCAACCTGTTAAGTATCTCCAGATTACCAGCAGCAAGTGATCGCCAAAGCGCAACACCCTCAAGATCGATGGACAGGGAACGAGCTCTTTGTTGAAGAAGTGCCAGCTCCTTGGCGTTAAAGCCTATAATTCCTGCTCTCGTGATCTCAAATATGAGCCGACTTTGACGCTGACTAAGCTCAAAAGATGGAATTTCCGGTGTGCCAAAGTGTCTGATATGTTGGCCTAGATCTGGTCTAGTCAAAAGCGTTCTCAAGAGGAGGAAAAGAGGGGGGCAGAATGACCAGGTTCGTCGTCCAAAGCTTTTGTCGGAAATCGATCTGTACATCAGCGGCTCCAGGGAGGTGCGTAGACCACGGCATGTCTTCAGGAGTCCAATGAATTCTGTTTGATGCATATTCCCGATGATCTGTTCTGAAAGCTCTAGAGGGAGCAATATTTGTTGCGACATGTCGTCAATATTAGCGCTAATAGACTGTTTTTGTCTTCCAGCGCTCCAAGATAAAACGAGAAACAGGCTGGGGTTTCGATTGGGACATGAGACACTTATAACACACAGGCTAGCTGCTGTGGAACTGTAGAAAAGAGCCTAGACTGGATCTGTTTGCGGCAAATCTGGTAATTCGGGCAGTGTTTGTTGGTTTAATCTAATGAACCAACTCCCCAACCTCGTATAGGTTGTCGCGTACACGACAGAAGACGCTATCAGCGTGACTGGAAACTAGACGGGATCAATCAATAAGAATGTAAAGCACGGAAGTGATCTGCTTCATGTTCACGGGAATTGTATCTAAAGGCGATGAATAAGGATGAAGTATTTGGAAGAAGTTCGTCTTTCCTTTTCATCAGGTACCCCGCCTAACGCCCCTGCCTATTAATTACCCCGCTAAAACATGAGTTACCAGTACAAGATTCAGAACTCTGGACCCCCGCTCCGAATCCCCTTCCTATCCCCTCCAACGGCCTGTTCGCATCGCATTCGACACTGTTTGGCTCGCACTCCCTTCTTGATTCGGTCTTCCGCAGGTCTTGTAATCGCGCCTTTACTCCTGCTTCAAGACAAAGATGGGCTTCCCTTGCACTCATGGGCTACGGACTGCTTCTTCTGCGCCAACGTACCCCATGCGGCTGTCCCAAGAACAAAAACTTGCAGTGGGATGATCATGACAGTGAGATACAGTGCCGTCTTGCTCTCCTTGCACAACATGTTCCAGTGTGGTTGGACATCCATGTCAACGGAAGACCACTGGCAGGACCAGCTTTGTAGGGAGGAGTTGGTCTGCGAGGCATTGACTCCGTAGAAGAAGGATGTTGCGATGAGGGCGGCAATGAGAGAGATGGTTGGAGATAGATAGGAGATGCCGGTGGAGACGAGGCTGATTCTCTTGATCTATTGGTATGATATTAGAAGCTGCAAGACTGAACGATAGGAAATACATACAGCAGGGACTTTCGTCGCAATCAAGAATGCTATGCTAGAGAGCATAATGATTGTTCCGCAGGTGACAAGCGCAACAGTAGGTCTCAGATCGAACTCGCGAGGCCATAATGCAAGAGGGAATTCTGATCCGAGAGTTGTCTTGTTGTACACGCCAAGGGTATCGCCAGCTGTTCCTATGATGGTGATGGAGGAGAGGAGAGCAAGGACTGTCAGACCCAGACCGACAGAATCGACGACGCGAGATGCACCACTCTTCTGCGGTCTCGCAGCAGGAGTATCAAACTCCTGGAACTCGGATTGCATCTCAGGCTTGCTGGACGTAACGGACATTGTGAATTGAGTAGGGTGTTTTGACGAGCTAAGGAACGATACAGGTTTGTGAAAAGCGAAATGGAAAGGTACTGGATCAACCGTTGAAGAATACTATTGCAAGAGAGGGAGGAAACGAAACGTAGAAGTACTTATCAAAAGCCCTAGTTAGACGCTGGTCGTGGGCCATAAATAGGAAAGACAGCGCCTGTACTTCACTTTCGAGATAAGATGCTGGGCTAGTTTCTGAGGAGGCTGCAGGAGGGCCTCGTTGCCGCCTCCTGTCAGATTCTATTTCCCCCCTCCCGCTCTTGGACCCGCGAGATGCGGGTTGTCGTCCAGTGAAATATCCAGGAGAAGCTGGGAGGTGACGGGTAATTGTGTGGGAGCGCCCGATTGGGGATCCGCGGTGGTTGGGGTTTCTCGCTTGTGATTGCGACGGCGATGTGATTGGCGAAGGTTATTTTGGGCGGCGCTTCGTTGCATTGGATCCTGGGGGGCTATCAAACTCTGAATAGAAAGAATGGTGGATATGGACGACTTCATCTGCATGTTGTCTGCAGGTAAGCCGGGTGTGTTACAGCAAAGTCTTTGGGAAGGTGTTGGCAATGTTGGAAATACTCGAGAAGTTGGGTATCATGTCTGTGTTGTAGGGGGAAGCGAGAGGATAATCTATCTTATGTTATGCGTTTTGTGGATCCGATTTTAAAAAATACTGTCACGTGCAAGATCCTGATTGGACATGTCGGATTAGCGCGAGCCTGCGAGCGATGATTCGACTTGATTGGCTAGACCGTGGCGAAGCGAGGTCCCCTGGCCCCGGAGCTTGCGGAGGGCCGCCAGGGAGAAGACCTCGTGTTTCAAGACTCAAAGAAAAGAAAGAGAAGCCCGTTGGAAAGGAGGCCAACGGCGAACCTCGGATGGCATTTTCAGACGTGTAAAACATGTCGTGTTTGATAGAAGTGGAAGAGGCATGTTGGTCGTGTTTCGCTCGCAAGTCGACCGAGTGTTTACATTCAGCCGATACCAAAGATCGCCAAAGAGAAGCGGGATTCGATAAGTATTATTTACGGAGGTACATCCACTTGTCACCCCATACACTAAATTACCTTTTGAAACTTGCACCTGGCTGGAACGACTGAATTCGCAGCTCCTGGAGACCTCCGAGGTTGGTAGTCATGGTCACGTGTTGTACAGCCACTCCTGTCGACACTTCCAGGCTGGCATGGATATAAAGCTGATTTCGTAGAATTGAGCCGGCCAAAGCTATAAGACCGAATTAAAGGTAAAGATCCAGTCCCAAAATATTGCGTTGAAAGCTTGAGTCACGTGTCGCATAGTGTTACCCCCTGTTTATCGCGAAGCTCTAGTCTTCTTTCGCAGTTCTTGCAAAACAGTGTCAGGCAACGCTATATACTGTCCATCACAACATTATTTTCTACAGTGAGAAGGCCAATAAACACCAATCTTGTGCTTAATTTTGTTCTTCGTCGTTGCTCCACTCAAATTGAGAGCGATGGCATTGGTGCAGCCGAGGTCGGGTAGAGATGCGTGCCAGATCTCCCATCTCGACTTGGAACCAGGACCCTGGGGTCTCCAATCTCGTAAGATAGGTGCTGAGATGAACGGCACAGACGAGAAGCTTGACACACAAAGCAGCCCAGCAATTGCCTCGTCGACCCCACCATTGGCAATTGCAACAACGATTCGAGCACGGCACGTAGACCAGCGAGGCTCATGCCAAGTGGCATAGTTCTCTGCGAACGCTAACCCAGAACCAGAGCATATTGCAGCAGTCGAACTGTCTCGAAAAAATCCCGGGCCAGGTTCTCCTTGGACTTGTCATCATGTACAAGCCAGAATTTAGGATACAAGTATGATATCGGCTTCGGGCTGATGGACAATCCTGTCCATGTTCGCTATGTAAGGAGCTTCGAGCAAATTTGAAGTTGGAAATTCGATGTCTTCGCCTGAAGATGTGACTGCGTTTGCGAAAGTGGAATCCGTTTGGCTCAGCATTCATCAACTTTGGACAAGCCAGAAAAGTCCATGACAAGATCGAATGATCTATCATCCTCTGGATACTTCCACCCATCTGGCACGAACCCAATAACGAATCGACAATTGGACCGCTGTAAGTAACATCTGAAACAATTAGCGGGCTGGCTGTCTGTTCTTTTCTTATCGTTTCAGGAAATTCGGAACGCCTCGCCATCTTGTGAAGGTAGGAGAAGCGATCACATGAGTATTTTTTGGCTTGAGCCACCTTGCTCTCCTCACCTTGTCGCACCGTTCCATTCCTTCATCTGAGTGCTATGTTTCAGAACTCCTTTAGAACCATTTTTCACTTTTAGTTTGAAATGGGCCTAAATTTGAGTTTCGGGAAATAGGAAGCAACCGAGCTAATCCACCCAAAATTGCCACGAGTAGTTGTGACGTCCACAGGACTCGGGAGATAAACCCATCGGCCACCCCATAACGAACACGAAGACGGGGGCTCAAGAACTGTGCTCGTCCCACTGGAGATCGATGCTATGCATGTGACATAGAGTTCTATGGATGCTGGTACTGGTTTCTTTACATTGGATGTAAACTCCCAGTTCCGATCGTTTGCATCGGTTGTGAGAGGTCAAAAATCCAAATTTCTCATTACAATAGAAGCAAGATCGCCAGATACTCACATTCACCAGGTATCTCTCAAGATCATCTCCCTATTACTTATTTCTGCATTTGTTGTTCCTCTGTTTCTGGTCCCACTAGCTTCACTTTGACCTTGCGGTATGCGAACTCACGCACAGGCACTAAGTTCGGCTGCCAGCGCCATGGTTCTTACTAGAGAGGCCTACTTGCGGAAGCTTTCTGACTATCCAATACTATCATCCAGATCGCCTCTCTAAAGGACCATATGGGAACAGCCTCGTGGACCCTTCTTTTCTGGCTGGATTCGTTCAAAGCATATCATTCTGTATTCAGCTTCCTGTCGATGCCATTACAGAGCGGGTGTCTTTTCCAGACACTCTTGCACCAGCATGGCCAAATTGCTCCAGAAAGATTCTTAGAAGTTGCTGGTCGGACTTTGTCTGATCTTCAACCATCTGTCTGTCATCGTCTGTGTGTACTTTAAGTTTGTCAACAGGACTTTTACCTGCAGCTGCCCAAACTCTGGACGAGAACCAGACCGATCCTCTCTACCACATGAACTCAAACCTCTCACTCTGACCAGGGTATATCTGCCCATCATCCTCCACCATGTCTTATCGTTTGCTTGCTGTCAGTTGGAGTGCGATAGATCGAGTACAGTGCAAAATGCAGATACGGCGAGCCATTTTCTTGTCGTGCTTGATTACGTTCTGTGTGAACGTTTCGAGTGTCAATCTGACTGAGGTGCTTCAACAAATTCCGCCTTGTGCTGTGAGTTCTTCTGTCTCCATATTCGAATATATCATTTTGATACTGACACTTGTCTAGCTTCCATGTATCAGCAGAGACGTCGTCAACCTTCCCCCAAGTTTGACGGAACCAAGCTCTGTCTGCCGCAATGGTACCCTCGAGGCCAATGCTGCTTCATGTGTCTTGACACGATGTCCATACACTGAGCAGATGGGTGCGTTCTACATTCTCGTAAGCTCGTGGCGGTCCTACTGATGCGTGAATAGAGGTTGCCGCCATCAAAACGGAGTTCTGCGAGGGTGTCCCTATCGCAAGCCGAGCATGGGATATCGCCATTGTCGGACTCGTTTGCGGGCCAATTGCTCTCATTGCAGTTGCATTACGATGCTATTCTCGGTATTCTAAGCTTCGCACTCTTGGATCCGATGATTGGCTTTCAATTGCCGCGGGGTCGATTTTGATTCCGTAACATTATCGTCAACATATACAGTGAGTCTTCTATGCGCGCAGTTGATTAGGGTATGTACTGAAAGATGCAGACGGTATGATTAATGGGTACGGACGACACTACTGGGACCTTGATCCTTCTAAGATTAAGAATTTATTGAAGGTAAGCAGAGCTGCATGTCCATTTATGATATGTTGACCAACGTTCCAGTTGTTTTATGTCTCAGAGGTGCTTTATATAGTGGCCCTCACACTTGTAAAGGCGTCTATGCTTGTATTCTATGTGAGACAGACACTTCCCTGCTCTTTCATCCGCTCATGAGAGACAGCTACGTGTTTTCGCACCGCGATGGTTTTTCGTGGTCGACATAGTGACTTTGTGCATCGTCGTGTTTGCTGGCTTGTCTATTATGTTTGCTCTCATTTTTCAATGCACACCCATCAGTGAGTTCTATTTGGGCCAAATCTGGCGATCAATTGTTGGCTGACGTCCTCCAAAGGTGGAGTCTGGGAGCGAGCGTATGACTCTCAATGCCTCAATATCAACACTCTTTCATATTCAAGTGCGGCAATCTCCGTCGGACTGGATGTTATTATTTAGATCCTACCGATCCCGGTACTTATTCGGCTAAAGATGAACTTGAGGAAGAAGTTAAGTTTGATCTTGATGTTCAGTCTTGGGAGCTTGTAAGTATATGTCTTCCGCTACATATCGATGGCTGCTGATATCTCACCAGAGCTTGCATTACAAGCGGGATTCGACTGAAGTACCTGGTAGCTTTCGCCACCAGTAAAGACCCAACATATCTTCCACTAACAGGAGATAATTCTTTGCCCGCTATTTGGAGTTTTGTTGAACTATGCGTGGCATTAATATGTGCTTGTCTTCCAGCAATGCGAGCTCTCCTCTCTCGCTGGTTACCAGCCATCTTCGACCTGGCATCACAATCCACACTCGACCTCAAAGAACTACCACCATCAAGAACGCCTGATGCAGCCGCATCATATCACCTCCCACCACCCCCCATATCCAAATTCAACACATCCTTCGTCGAGAAAGTCGGTCCATCATACAACAAACGCGCCGTATCCCGTATATCTTGCGCTCACTCCAACGTTCCAACACTGGCCTCAACCCGATCATCGGATATCTTCCCGCAAGGACTACCTTACCAATTCCCAGGACAATATCCAGCACTCTACCGCGAATGTGCCAGTCGTAACGTCTCCGGTATGTATATGCCAAAGCCAATGTCCATCGCACAAAGCCTTTCCGCACAAATCGAATCGCATTCTCCCGCCAACTCCGAGATCAAGATCTGGATCAACCCACGTTTCGACGCCGACGGCAATCTAATCGAATACTAAGGGACGCCGCCACCACCAGACTCCGAACGTGCCGAAAATCATTACAGCATCCCGACTAGCGAGTCGAGTTTGTGGGCTTTGGAGGGCCCGAGGATTAGTGATGATTGGCATGCTCAGATGGCGGAGGAGAGGAGAGTGTTGGAGGAGAAGTATGCGGAGATTATAAGGAAGGAGAAGAGGGAGGAGGAGAGGAGGGTTAGTCAGGCGTTGTATATGGCGGAGGGGGAGGCCGCCATGAAGCCTGTGGGGTTGGCGTTGCCGATGAGGAAATCGAGGAATGGGAGGATGCAGAAGGGGGAATTTCAGAGGGTTTTGACGCCGATTCCGCCGGAGATGGGGACGGACATGTTTTGAGAGGAGGAAATATGTATTTTTAATGGACCTACTGTGATTATTTGACGGTTTTTGCAATTTGCGGGGGGTGGTGGGCGGTATTTGGTTATGATTGAAATGATATAGTTCGATAGTCCATCAACAACACAAGCAAGCACAAAAAGCAGATATAAAATGTGTACGCACATCAGCTTTTGGAAATCCTACTCACTTTCGTATCAGGAGACGTGTATATGAGGGATAAGCCTTATCCCCATAAAGCTATCGACATTTCGAGCGTGACTTCCGTGTATCCTCATGAGCACAATTTCTCGCTTAAATAAACAAGAGCAAAAACAAAGTATGCCACACGGATGATGAGCAAAATCTCACATCCATGAATTTCCTCCTTAACTCTTTACTTCTTCCTACATTTACTCGATTCCAGAGAGTAAATTCCCATCCCATTTCAAAGAACCCACAGCCACTGAGTTGGGGCTGTGGCTGGAGTTGTGGTACAGTGACGATAGGTTGGGATGGGTAATGTATATGGGAGGAAAGGAGGGGGAAAGGAAGCTGGTGTGCTGTATTGAGAAAAATAGAATAGAAAATGGAATGGAAGTTAGAAGGTAGGATATGGAAAGTAGCGCTCGCAGGACGAAGAGTGCACACAACTTGCCGTGGATTCAATAGAGTCAGGTCACTTTCAGTAGCAGAAGTGCTTTCAGTACTGAAATGAGCGTAGAAGGATTGGTCCGCCCAGGCCATCCATGCATTTCATTGTCAATGCTCATCATATCGTTACGAAATATACACTTTCTTCAACCCTTCCACCCTAACCATCTCTCCCGTCCTCAAATCCTTCACGCAGCCCTTCTCTACGCCTGCCTTCCGACTATACTCCTCCAGCCTATGCAGCCCATACACACAACCATTCGGTAATAACACCAGATCGCTCTCAACATGTGAGGTTGTGTGATGGGCGTATGGCACATTCCGAGCTAGGTCGTTGAGTTCGGTAGAGCAGATGGGACAGACGGAGGTGGTTAGCGAGGATGAGGAGGTGGGTGAGATGGAGGAGAGTGTTGAGTGCGGGTGTGTGGAGTGGCAGGAGGGGGTTTTCAGGGCGGAGAGGCCGGCGGAGAGGGCGATGTGGAGGAGGGGGACGGAGGGAAGGGAGAGGAGGGTGTTGTGGGTTTGGGTGAAGAGGTCGGAGAGGGAGTGCCAGCGGGCGGGGCTGTAGAGTTCCTGGAGGGGATAGTCAGTATGTCTGTCTAGCAATAAAAGGACTCGGGGTAGAGAGGGGTTGTAAGTAGAGGACAGGTTGGACGTACCGCATATGCTTCAGCTCTTGTGCCGGGTGGAAAAGCCAGTAGTCCACATGCTTGCTGCACTTCTTTTGGATAGCTCTCTCGAAATGGTAGAAGGTACTTTTTGGCGTGGGCTATGGATTCGAGGAGTTTGGCTTGGTCTTGTGTTCGAACGAGCTCGATGTACTGTTGGAAACGGAGCATGAATTCCAAATTACTCTGGGAGGAGAAATGTCAGCATTTCGTTCCTTGGAAAAGATCTTGAAGGGTGTATGGTAGGAAATATAACATACCTCCATCCTCCTTAACTCTTTTTTATTCTCATTACACCACGCCAGCGCCTCCGTCACCCTCCCATTCAATAGACTCTCCCTCGCCCTCCCCATCTGCACAAAAGTCTCCACATCCACCAAATCCTCAATCCCCTTCTCTCGCGCCAGAGCCCCTGCACTCTCTTTATACCCGTTCCTCAGCAGATAGTCCACCAGCAGCCTATCCAGCCGTGTCCGACTCCATTCCTCATACTTCACATCGTCCAGACTCTGCATTCCATACAGCTCTCCCAGATGCCGTATCCGACTCGCGCTCTGCTGATGTAGCCGCGCTTCTTCTTCTGCGCAGGAGGCGAGTTTGCGTTTCAGACCACGCATCCGCGCGAGCATGGAATCGACATTCTTGAGGATGTCGGCGGGGGAGGAGGCGGTGGGTGATTGGGAGGCGATGCCGGTTTCGCGGAGGAGGGTCTTGACGGATGTGGATTCTTTTTCGACGTTGAAGTGGGCGACTTTGAAGTTCTTGCGGAGGAGCTCGAAGGGGAGGCGGAGGAGGGGTTGATCCTGTGGTGGTTAGCTATGAGGGAGGGAGAGGGTAGAGTTGGGATGGTCGTACGAGGATTAGATGGGTGTCAGGGTTGAGTTTGGAAGTTATGTGGTCTGCCATGGTTGGAGCATGCGATTTCTGGTATCACGGTGGAGAGAATTGACAGTTTATTAGACTGGGAACTTCGGAGAAGGGTTCGTTTCTTTCCTAAAAGTCGTGGTGGAGTGGTGAATTGTGGCAATATGATTTGGGACATTCAACAGCTCAAGCTCGAGTTGTCTTGAAGCATGCCGAGCATGCCAATCCGGCTTCGGTTATGATAACCGATTACATGATAAGGGGGTGGACCTAGCACATTCAACGAGGAAGCAGCTTCAATGTGAACTGGAGAACAGTGATTTCAAAATGTATGGAATATACCTAATTGAATTATTTTGAACATTGACAAATTTTCTAGAGGCCCGGAATCACACGTCACATAAAATCAAGGTGGACTCGTCTGGCTTCGAAAAGAGACATGGCATCAAACAGAGTAGAGTAGAACTATAGTTACGGCATCTCCAAAATCTGGAATGCTGGCAAGGCAATATATGAATTACAGACAAATCCAATCATGATCACGAAGACATTGTAGGAGATCTGTTCGATTTCTCATCCTTTTACTATCAGCATATCCGAGTCTCCAACTACCAGCATATGGGGCAGTATCTCAACTGCCTCATGCTTCGTTCAGAGTCAATGACTCGTCATACAGTCTCTCAGAATACTTATATCTTCTACGCTGTTTTTGATTCTGTGATCGAATGGATTTGGGATACCGCAGAGAGATTGTATGATAGGAACAATCACCAACAAGGCTGGTCTTACTGTTCCCAGCCACCCCTCTTTTTCTAGCCACACCTGGGTTCGGCTATGTTGAATGCTCGAGCAGAGCACCACGCTCTGGAGGCGGGATCGAGATGCAGAAACCCAGCTGTCTCTTCTCAGTGATTAGCTAGGTAGCCAAACAGTATGAAAAATCAATGAGTAGGTGTCCACAATACTGGAACCTCGTGATAATGAATACCACATATCTGAGTCTTGCCCCTCCATATTGAGTTGAGCGCGATTGCCCTCCCCTCCTTTGACCTTTCCATTGGCTTTGCCGAGCCAGTCTGACTAGTCCCACTACAGCTAGCGCTATTTGAGAGCCACACCAAAAAGACCTGGATCTTCCAACAGACACCTGATCTCTCCCACGTGAAAGATTCTCCTCCGCTTTTCAACATATCGAGCAACTTCCAGCCCATCCATCTTGACTTCAGTCTTTCGAGAGGGTGTGCGACCTGCCTTATCTTTCTCCATTATCGATCAATCACCTTCGTCTTCATACCTCTTTTCCCTCTTGTCGTTGGGCTAAAGTGTGCCTTCCCCATAAGCTCGTGATCTCAGGTCACGACGTCGTGGTCTGCTGATCAATTCTTGCTTCGACCATCCCCGCGACCTCAACCCAGAAGAATATCGACTTAATTGTCCTTTTTCGCTCGGATCAGAGTCTTCATTGATCTCTTGCACTTTTCTGATCGTCGCAGAAGCAATACTCGGCGGTGGTGCATCGAATATCAGTCGCGTCGCATACAAACGACGGCAGGACTCGGATCCACGAGTTCGATAGATAACTAGGTAAGCACGCGCATTCCTCTGGGTCTCCTCCAATTCCTACAGATCTCTTTGCGTCTTGCTTTGCCGGCTCTACTTTGCCTCAGTCGAACGTCGTCGGCCACCTGTACGACATGGCTTTGGTCAAAGTTGCAGCAGTGGTCCATTCCCACGCGACCCTTTAGGTCACGATCCCTCTCGTTAGGTGCTCCAATGCCCGGACATCACCGCGTCGCCCGTTGGCCCAAATCAACGCGCTTCCGGCTCTGTCACCGGATCGCAACACCCCAACCTGCTTCCTCCCTTCAAATGTCACATCACGCTATGAGGACATTGACTCTGTACCGCGCAGCCAGTCAAACAATGTCTCTGTTTGCACAAATTCACAACAACAGCAGCAGAAGCAGCCACTGGCACTTCACTCCAGGGCGTATGGGCAAGGCTCCCACTGTACCCCGCCAGCGCGTTGTTACTCTGCCCCAGGAATGACCTGTCGACAGCTCTCCACGGACAGTGGACAGCCATCTCATCACTTCTTTCGTCAGCGCATGTATAGAGCGCAAAACACTGTGGTACATCATCTGCAATGACACGTGCTGACTTTGTAGGTACAACTGCGTAGGGTACAAAAACGTTCGTCGCGACAGAGCAATTCAACGAACTACTGCAGTGGAGCGCTTCGAGAATCCCTCATCGGTGCGAATCAACAAGACTTCTCACGAATTAAGGACCGCAGTACTTCGACTCGTTGTACTTGTGCAAAGCTAGGTAGAACACGTCATCTGTCGCTCCGACAGAACAACTTCAGCCTTAAAATCTTCCTGCCAACCCCTCGAGGTCATCTGCGCCTCTCGGATCCCATACCCCTCCTCTCTACGAATCACATCGTAAGGCTCGTCACGACTTAGGCAGATCGGCAAAGATGTCTGACATGGATCTTGAACACTCAGGCTTGCAAGAGGTCGCGAATGCTATGCGCGGCGACGATGGCTCTCAGAAGCGAAAGCGCGATTCGGAATCAGCTGATGACACGCGACGAGGTGGTAACAAGCGCATCTCACCCAACAACAAGGATCAGCAGGACGTTGAGGCCCTCCAAGATTATAACCTTCACCAAGGAGGACATCTTGATCACAACGGCGAGCATGCATCTACTGCTGCCGCTGCTCTTGCCGGTATCTACCCTACTATGACAGTTCCCCAACCAACCGACGTCTCATTCGCTACTCAAGGTTCCGACGGCGATCGCAACGATTCCTTCATGGACAACAGTCAACAAGACTCGATGGTGTATGGGGAGAGCAATGTCCACTCTGGCAGAGTGAGCAAGCCTGCAGTTGGCTCTGACGAGTGGCACAAGGTCCGCAAGGATAACCACAAAGAGGGTAAGCTAGGTTCACATCTTGAGATTGGGCATGGCACTGATAGGACATTTAGTTGAACGTCGTCGCAGAGAGACCATCAATGAGGGCATCAACGAATTGGCCAAGATCGTCCCGGGCTGTGAGAAGAACAAAGGATCAATCCTCCAGCGTGCTGTCCAATTCATTACACAATTGAAGGAGAACGAAACCCAGAACATTGAAAAGTGGACTCTGGAGAAGCTCCTTACCGAACAAGCTATTGCTGAGCTCAGCGCCAGCAATGATAAATTGAAGGCAGAGTGCGAGCGAGCATGGCGCGAGGTTGAAACCTGGAAGAAGACTTGCCAGAGTGCTGGTTTGGCTCCTAAGAAAGAAGACGGTATGGGTGGAGACAACTAGAAAAGTTGCATCTTGATCGTCGGAAAGCCCTTCTCAGAGCGAGCGGGTTTTATTATGACCTCGATAGGATGATACCCTGCATACGATTTGACGATTTTCGACTCGCCTGTCGCTGCCTCTTCATGTATGGACATTCGGCATTTTCTTTTTCGTTTTTCGCACGATACATCTGGCGAGGATTCCATTCTCGCATTGCCAGCCGGGTTTGGGATACGCATCAACTGAAATGCCACCTAGAAAAATGTCGCCTGGAATGGAGAGTGGCCGGGATGTCTATCTGTGTCGTCCTCTGTCTACCTATGTCTTTCTTCTTCATCGCATAAGAAAGGAGGGAGGGATATTTCATGACTACCCATTGGCAAAGATTCTAGAGGGGCGAAAACACCGGGGATACGATGCGATGCGTTGCTTGTGCCTTTCAATTTCATTTTCGGCTTTTGAAGCATCTATTTACTTACATTGCTCTAGGAGGGATGGATGAATGGCGCCCTTGCGAAGATTGTCCAGTGTCTGATAGGTTGACCATGAATGAAGAAAAATTGCATTGAGAATGAAATGCGCTGATATGAATAAAATGGTGTAACATCTACTTGATTCCACTTCGAATTTCATAGCCTCGTTAACAAGGCTGGGAAGAATAACAGATCACACCGGGCTGAGCTCAAGAAAGCTTGACAATGACGTCTACCAATCATACCCTAGCAATACCCAATCTTCCACATCCTTGCCCCTCCAGCTCTTGCATTGTTTGCATTGCTTCCCCAGCCAGGGGCTTGGAGTTGTGTTCCGCAGATCGGAAGGACAAATACCAGAATTCATCTGAAGGTTGGAATTTGTAGATTGCTGTCACACAAATGGGTGCACAATGAATGATTAAATGGCGGATCAGGTACCGCGGTACTTCACCGTGTAGGTAGTGTGAATTGTGAAGGCAGGACAGGAAGGGAAGAAGGCATAAATGTCTACGAATCTTACTCGCCACTTTTTCTGTCGGACTCGAGTCAGGTCTTCTTTCTACGAGGGCAAGAAATCAGCTTGACCGCTAGAAAAGAGTAGCAGTACATACCAAAGCAGCGCGGCATACTCTGAAGCTCGAAAGCGGGCTGCATTACCTGCTTTGTCAGACGGAATACATGTAGTGCAGCTAGTTGCATCACTGTCGGAGCAAGCTAGTCTTAATCCCGACATGAGCTACCTATTCGCCGATCCAGAACTTTACCTTTGCTCGCCTTACCTAACGGCCGAGTTGAGCCTCTGACGACAGGATTGCATTGCAGCCATTGCATTGTTTTGCATTCTTTTTGTTTGGACGGCTACTTTGGCCACGACGACAGAGAAGGTTATAAATAAGTGAGCTTGTATTTTGTACTGCGATTTCTTCGCGACTCTGCGACTTTGCGACTGTGCGACTTCTGCGATAGTTGGGCGGGTTGACGACCGACAGGCCGGCAGGCAGCAAGAAGTCAATATTAGCTTTCCACCCACCAAGGACGATACAGCACTCTACGACTGAATCAATAAGGAGGGCAAAACAGAGAAACACTGCATTTTATTCGAGCGGACCATTTCGAAGAAGGAAGGCCATTGCAGCTGGAAAGTCATTCCACTCAGGTCTCGAATTGAACCAGAATACCTACATTCCCACATACACGCAAAGGGCAAAACACCTGCCTGTACCCGGCACCGAGCTCTCACTCTGGCACACCGGCAGCCAGCACCCAAATGCCATAATGTCGACCCAACGAATCCTCTCCACCGGCTCCATAACCGGATTCCATACTCGACCCAACGCCTCCTCACTCTTCCCCTCCTCTGAGAACGTCCTCGACTATGGCAGCCACTACCTCTCCTCCTCCCCCTCTACAGCCAACCACCAGCCCTTTTGCGGCAACAGCGAAGGCTGGGGTCCGCTGAGCCCGCACAGATATGATTTCACGCCGTGCTTTATGGACGTGTGGGTTTCGAGCGTGGCGGTTTATGGGATTCTGTTTGGGTTGGTGGCCGTGTGGTGGTTGGTGAGGAGGAAGACGAGGGCGCAGGTGCTGAAGGATTGGCATTTTTGGGTTAAGCAGGTATGTTTTTGGGGGTAGTTTTCTTTTCTCCTGGGTGTAGGTAGTGGGGTTTGGTGGGGTTTTGGGGAGAGTAGGGAAGGGAAGGCCACAAGAGAAAGGGAACATAGCGGAGGGAACGGAATTGGGGATTTGTTGCCAGAGGAGAACAAGGGCGGGATTGGAGCAGGGGAGTGGCCGTTTACTGACTCTAACAGGTCCTTATAATTGCAATTGGCATCTGCGTATCCCTCCAGCTACTTTTCCAAGTCCTCAATTATCCGGATGTATGGGCAGGAGACTTCCGGTTCTGGACAAGCATATTGACAATTTTATCTCTGGGCGTTATATTCACAATTCAATGGCTCGAGCACGATAGGTTACGGAATCCTAATGGCGTTGTACTATTCTACTGGCTCTTCCTCCTGATCGCCTGGTCCGTCAAGCTACGGTCCCTCGTCTCCCAACAAGTCTACCACCATCACCTACCATATTTCGTCGCATACTGTGTCGGTTTCGGACTGTCCTGGGTCGAATTCGCGCTGGAATGGTTGGTTGAGAAGAAGACGAGCGACTACCATGCCATTGGAGATGACGAGGAGTGTCCTGTTGAATACGCCACTGTTTTCTCCATCTTGACTTTCAGCTGGATGACGCCTATGATGCGCTACGGTTACAAGAAATTCCTTACTGAAGACGATCTCTGGAATCTGGCAAAACGAGACACCACGAAAGCAACTGGTACGGTATTCCAGGAAGCATGGGACTATGAGCTCGAGCATAAGAAGAACCCCAGTCTCTGGATCGCCCTCTTCCATTCCTTCTCCGGCCCGTACTTCAGAGGTTCGCTGTTCAAAACTGTCTCTGATACCCTGGCTTTTATCCAACCGCAATTGCTGAGATTGTTGATCAAATTCGTTGCCTCGTACAAGAAGAGCAATCCAAATCCACCGGAACCGCCCATCAGAGGTGTAGCCATCGCGCTCGCCATGTTTGCCGTCTCAGTTGGTCAAACTATGGCTTTACACCAGTATTTCCAACGAGCTTTCGAGACAGGAATGCGTATCAAGACCGCTCTGACAGCAGCCATCTATGGCAAATCATTGAAACTGTCCAATGAAGGTCGAGCCTCGAAATCTACTGGTGATATCGTCAATTATATGGCGGTTGATACGCAGAGATTGCAGGATTTGACGCAGTATGGCCAACAGCTTTGGAGTGCGCCGTATCAGATTATTCTGTGTATGGCTAGTTTGTATCAACTTGTGGGATTGAGCATGCTGGCTGGTGTGGGCGCGATGATTCTTATGATTCCGATTAATGGGCTGATTGCGAGGTTGATGAAGACTTTGCAGAAGGAGCAGATGAAGAATAAGGTATGTTGATTTTGGGATTTTAGCGAAGCGTGATATTGTCTACGAGTGTTGTTGAAGACTTGAGTTCCTTTTATGGAAGGAAAATGTTTGACTGACAATTCAATCAACAGGATCAAAGAACAAGACTCATTGCCGAGATCATCAACAACATGAAGAGTATCAAACTGTATGCTTGGGGCAGTGCTTTCATGCAGAAACTCAACTATGTACGAAACGACCTGGAGCTCAAGACCCTCAGAAAGATTGGTGCTGCTCAATCTGTGGCCAATTTCACTTGGTCCACCACTCCTTTCCTGGTCTCTTGCTCGACTTTTACCGTCTTCGTCTTGACTCAAGATACACCATTGACCACCGACATTGTGTTCCCAGCTTTGACGCTTTTCAACCTTCTTACTTTCCCTCTGGCAATCTTACCTATGGTCATCACATCCATCATCGAAGCTTCCGTTGCAATTGGACGATTGACTGCTTTCTTCACTGCCGAGGAACTTCAACCTGACGCCGTTATCCTCAAAGGTCCCGTTGACGAGAATGGCGAAGAGTCACTGAAGATTCGCGATGGGACGTTCTCTTGGGACAGACATTCCGGGAAGAATGCTTTGGAAGATATCAACTTCACTGCTTCCAAAGGCGAGCTTACCTGCATCGTTGGAAGAGTTGGAGCTGGAAAGTCTTCCTTCTTACAGGCTCTCCTTGGAGATTTGTGGAAGGTTCAAGGTACCGTCACTGTCCACGGACAGACCGCGTATGTGGCTCAGCAAGCTTGGGTCATGAATGCCAGTGTCAAGGAGAACATCTGCTTTGGCCACAAGTTCGATCCTGTCTTCTACGATAAGTGTATCAAGGCTTGTGCATTGACTGAGGATTTTGCGCAGCTGCCTGATGGTGACGAGACTGAAGTTGGGGAACGCGGAATCTCACTTTCTGGAGGTCAGAAGGCTCGATTGACTCTCGCGCGAGCTGTGTATGCCAGAGCTGATATCTATCTACTTGACGACTGTCTATCAGCTGTTGATCAACACGTTGGAAGACATCTGATTGAGAATGTTTTGGGACCGAACGGATTGCTCAGTGGAAAGACGAGAGTCTTAGCCACCAACTCCATTCCCGTTTTGATGGAGGCCGATTTTATTTGCCTCATCAGAGAGGGAAGAATCACTGAGCGTGGAACTTACAATCAAGTCATGGCCATGAAGGGAGATATCGCAAACCTGATCAAGACAAATAGCAACAATCAAGATACTGAGTCAGAGACAACTTCCAGCACTTCTTCGACAATCATTGATGTGGAACAAACAGACAAGGATGAGAAGGAAGATGAGATCGAAGAGGCTCAAGAACGTTTGACTCAGCTTCAACCTATCCGACCAGGAGGAGGCTCTGGAGTTAAGAAGAGGAAAGGAAGTGCGGGAACTCTGAGACGGGCAAGCACAGCAAGTTTCAAGGGTGCTCGGGGCAAAGTTCGAGATGAAGAAGAGGGGCATAAAGGCAAGAACAAGGAGTTCTTTGAGCAGGGGAGGGTCAAATGGGACGGTATGTTTCCCGGTTCCCGGTGCGCATCCTTGACTGACTTGCATACTAGTTTACGCCGAATATGCAAAGACGAGCAATTTGTTTGCGGTAGCTATCTATGGTCTGATGCTGGTAGGCGGACAAACAGCACAAGTCGGTAAGTCACATTTACCTTGGCTCAAGCATGCTTAAGCGTTCTCTTGTTCATGCACGATTCTCCCAGAACGGCCACTCTTGCGACATCTCTCTGTATGAAGATTACTGACTCTTGCAGCTGGAAATGTTTGGCTGAAGAAATGGGCCGACATGAATAGTGCCACAGGCAAGAATCCAGACGTCGGCAAGTATATCGGGGTGTACTTTGCCTTCGGCATTGGTGGTGCTCTACTTGTCGTTATCCAAACCTTGATCCTTTGGATCTTCTGTTCTATCGAGGTAAGTTGCTCTGATGTCGGGATTCTGCATGCATGTAGATGCAGCCACGAACGGAAACTAAAATGGTTCCCGCTAGGCATCACGGAAACTTCACGAGAGGATGGCTTTTGCCATTTTCAGGTCGCCGATGAGCTTCTTCGAGACGTGAGTTTGAGTGACCCTTGTAGCTGACGAGGCTTCGTACGACAGTGACTAATCGTAGAGTAGAACCCCGGCTGGGCGTATTCTCAACAGATTCTCAAGGTTCGTTTGCTTCGCTATCCTTGCACTCCTTCGTTCCAAAGTCCTGGGATGGACAATAACCATGGTTATTGACCGCCATGGGCGGTTCCTCCTTCCTTCTCAATCGTCTTTTCCTCCGGGGGTGACGGAGCTTGCATAAAGCTTGAATCGAGAATTCTCGATTCAATCGCTTTTGTGGTGCCACCAAGTGGTTTGGACACTCCGCAGCTATGCATCGAGCATGGTGCATATGCACTCTCTGTCACCATAGCTCATTCGTCGACTTGTATGCTGTGCTCCCCAAAGCTGTTCCGATTTTGCATCGCTGTTTTAACTGACTCCAATCGCCATGTAGCGATATTTACCGGGTAGACGAAGTGAGTTTATCTGTACTACCAACCTGCTGGCTCCGGTTATTGACAGCGATTAGGTCCTTGCACGCACGTTTAATATGTTATTCGTGAACAGTGCCCGCGCAATATTCACATTGGCCGTTATCTCCACGACTACCCCTGCGTTCATTGCCCTCATTATTCCCTTGGCGGCAGTGTATTACTGGGTTCAAAGATACTACCTGAGAACCTCTCGGGAACTCAAGCGTCTTGACAGTGTCAGCCGAAGCCCTATCTATGCACATTTCCAAGAGTCACTCGGTGGTATCACGACCATTCGGGCCTACAGACAACAACAACGTTTCGCCCAGGAGAACGAATGGAGGGTGGACGCCAATCTTCGTGCATACTTCCCCTCAATCAACGCGAACAGGTATGTTTTTCTAAACTCGGTGTTTCTGATCCGTTGCTTACATGACTCGCCCTGGGTAGATGGCTCGCTGTACGACTGGAATTTCTTGGTTCCATCATTATCCTCAGTGCAGCTGGCTTCGCCATTATCTCGGTGACCACAGGCGTTGAGATCGAGGACGGTATGGTCGGTCTTGCCATGTCTTATGCCCTGCAAATTACACAATCCCTGAACTGGATTGTCCGTCAAACCGTCGAGGTAGAGACGAACATCGTGTCGGTAGAACGTGTCCTCGAGTACGCACGCCTGCCAAGCGAAGCTCCCGAAGTCCTTCACCGACATCGTCCTCCAATCAGCTGGCCCGCGTCCGGCGCCGTGAACGTCAACAACTATAGCACCAGATACCGCGAGGGATTGGACCTTGTACTCAAGAACATCAACCTCGATATCAAGCCACATGAAAAGATAGGCGTTGTAGGTCGCACCGGGGCGGGGAAGTCCTCACTCACCCTGGCACTTTTCCGGATCATTGAGCCGAGTGAAGGCAATATCAGCATCGATGCATTGAACACGTCAACCATAGGGCTACTCGACTTGAGGCGCCGCTTAGCCATCATCCCACAGGATGCGGCTCTGTTCGAAGGCACGATCAGGGATAATCTGGACCCTGGCCATGTCCACGACGATACGGAACTGTGGAGCGTACTCGGTAAGTGTGCCCGCTTCCCCTTTCTATTCATTCTCGGCTTTCAATTTTCGATCCCTGGAACTCCACGGACAGGTGGAACGTGCGGTCTGGGATTTGGTCGTGGTTGTGGCTGTGGTACCTGAGTGCTCAGATCCTGCAAGCGGCGAGTCGTGCAGAAGATATATGCTAACGAATGGTTCGCGAACAACAGAACATGCCCGCCTTAAGGATCACGTCTCGAGCATGAGTGGTGGATTGGAAGCCAAGATCCAGGAAGGGTGAGTCAATGCTTTCTCTTGAGTAGTTCTGGTTGATCGATGCATTTTTCCTTACCTGCCTGTCCTTCCCCCGATCCCTCCCTCCGTCCCTGCTATGTCGTATTCGTGAGAGGGAGGGCAGAAGGGCAGCCTGTCTTCCGTTGCAGTACACTACACTCTCACCACATTTCTTCGTGCCCGAGCCAAAGCGTTGCGTAATGCGACGAGAGATTGGCCGACTTCGAGTCCGATGGAGACGACCATGTCGTGTCGGAACAGCCTGCTCCTGTTTATCGACTATCACATGCTTCTCATGTTTCACTCTTTCCCCGCTGGGTGGAATGGACGTCTTCTCTTGTGTTGTATTGCAGGCCAAAATCTCACCTAGTGTTTTCGGACATTGGTTGGGTATTTGGATTACATTACATTGGATTACACGACGTCCCCCTCAACCCCAGCTTTTCCCCTCCTCGATTTCTTTCAGCCCTGCCCTTCTCCACAAACCGCCTCTCAGCTCCAGCTACCATTCTACTCATCAAACCCAATCCTACCTTCCTCCTCCTCCTCCTCCCCCTCCTCTTAAGTGTCACAAAGCTAACTCCTTCCCCTCCCCAGCGGATCCAACCTCTCCCAAGGCCAACGCCAACTCGTATCCCTCGCTCGAGCCCTCCTCACCCCATCCAACATCCTCGTCCTCGACGAAGCCACCGCCGCCGTCGACGTCGAGACCGACGCCCTGCTGCAAACCACTCTCCGCTCCCCCTTGTTCAGCAAGCGCACTATCATCACGATCGCGCACCGCATTAATACGATCCTGGATAGCGATCGGATTGTTGTGCTTGAGGCCGGGAGGGTCAAGGAGTTTGATACGCCAGAGAGGCTGTTGGAGCAGAGGGGGGCGTTTTGGAGGTTGGTGAGGGAGGCGGGGTTGTTGGAGGGGAATGGTGGGGGGAATGGTGGTGGGAGATGAAGTGGTAGGGGGTAGGAGTTGAAGTGAAATGAATTGGGGAGATGGATGTAGATTGCATGATGGGGTGGGTGTGAGGATGTGGATGGATGCTTGGTAGGATAGATAGATGGTTAAAGAAGGGGTTTTTTGTATGTAGATTCCTAAACTTTCGCAGATGCACAAAAAATTGAGAAAATTGAAATAGTTCCTGTATGTGGGTGGTATTTCTTTTTGACACTCAATCTCAACTGTTTGGCGTCCGTTCTAAAGTCCTGTAGCTTTGTCCCATGGTATCTACCTGCCAACCTAGGGTGGCAGGTATGGATGTAAGAAAATTGATACTTTCTTCATCTGTACTTATACAGTATGTACGTATCTCATTCATTCTCGCATCCATCAATGTAAAGCTAAGAAAGCGACTGATACAAGAACGAGAAGTGCCTATCAAAATACAGTTGAGTTACTGACTGAGTGGAAGCCAAGCCAAGCCAAGCGAAGCCAAGCCAAGCGAAGCCAAGCGAAGCCAAGCGAAGCCAAGCGAAGCCAAGCGAAGCGATAAAAGCTGTGAACAGAAACGAGCCAGACTCTGGGGTACAGGTACAGGCGCAGTATGGCGGCAGTTATGGTCTTTGATGTGAGATCTTTTTTTTTTTCTTCGCGCCCCTTTTCATGTGAACTGAGTAAGAGTTATACATTGAAAGGCATATTGTGACACTTGGTGTTTGGTGTATCTTCTCTCCGTGGAGCTGTAAGCCTGTAATGGTTTGATTTGTGGGAGGTTGGGATTTGGTAGTGAATGCTGGGAAGGCTGGGGCTGGGCGCTTAGAGATAGGGAGAGAGGTTGTTGCTGTTGCTGTTGGGGTTGGTGTTGCTGTGGGTGTTGCTGCTGGTGTGGTTATGCTCCTGTTGGTGTTGGTGATACTTCTGTTTTCTGTTTTCTGTTGGTGGATGGACTCGGCTAATTCTGTTGTGTGGTGTTGTGGTGTTGATGGATTGGATGGGATGCTGTGATGTGGGATGTTGGTGGAAGTGATGTTCGTGAGTGTGTGCTAGGGTGTGTATGTGGTCCCTGCCTTCCGCCTGCAGGAGGTCTGGATGCTTGCATGAGATGTGGTATCTGCCGACTTTATTCTTATGAAGAGGATTTGGGGGGAGGGGAAGGGGAAGGGGGATTAAGATGTGGAGGTGGAGGTGGGGATGGGATGAGGCTTGCATTGGGAGGGGATGTTGGAGTGGGAGTTGGAGTGAGAATAGGGGATTCGATTGGGAGAGGGACTATTGGAGCAGAGTAGTGAGTGGGAGATGTAAAGATGAAGACGAAGAGGAAGAGAAGAGAGATGTGAGGAAGTGGATATATTAGATGAAGTTTTGGGGATGCATATTTTGTGTTCAAAGGGAAGATGTTCATTTCTTTGGATTGGAAGGGAATGTACATATTAGAGTTAGGAAACTGTCCTCCATTCAACCTCTTGTGTGGGAAGGAAGCATTCCCGAACCATTCAGCATTTCCACGAGAAACAGATCTAGAGACTATGGCAAAAAAAAAGAATGGCACTTACTCTATCATGCTAATGCATTCATTCAGCTGAGCTAGGATAAGCTCACTTCAGCTCAGCGTAGATCAGATCAGTAATCAAGTGCCCTTGTCGGAGTAACTACAGCACAAAACAAGCTCGCGTTCAAACTATTGGATAATCCCTTCACCACCCCTGGGCCTCTCCATCCGGTGAGTTGAGTTGCATTACCTACCACCTGAAAATGGCACTCTGTGACGACAAAGGGGATGTTCAATAATGCAATGCATATCAGTTAGTATATCTCAAAAGGGCAGGGAAAGCTGGATCATCGAACAGAATGTGGGGGCGGGTGGGCGTATCGAGAACTTATATGGGATTTTGATGACTTGAGATGGGGTTACACAGACATGCAGGGACCGAGTCCCCGAAAATGACTGACTTGCTTGTGAGGATTTATGGCTTTGTGACATGTGAAGACCGTGTTTGCACAATAGACAGAGACCGAGTCCATGATATGTGACGACCTAGGTTCCTTTCATAGATCATGATGAAGGGATACTGGGAATTGGGTCTATATTAGTTATCTATACAGCAAAAATGCAGAAGAAATAACGAGCATAAATCAGAAGCAAGCAAAAGCTAGGTAAGTATGCACAAAATGTCGGGGCGGGCATATCGAGAATTTATATGGCATTTTGACAGCTCAAGATCAAGTTTCACAGCATGCGGGGACTGGGTCCCCGAAACCATGTAAATAGCTCATAGCATTCGTGGTATGGGATTTTGGAAACTGGACGTAGATAGTAGAAGCGAAATTGGAGGGGAAGTGAGGTGCGGCGCCTCAAATGACAGGTAAGTGACTTACACCATTCCTTACTACGTGATGTATGTATGTAGGCTCTTGGGGAAAAATGAATTTCTTTCATGGAGGTACAGTATTAGAAATAAGAACTAGGTAGGGTGGAAGATAAGGGAATTCGTCTTGCGGAGCCCTATCTGTCTTCCTCTCTCTCTTATCTATTGAGACGGAAACTTGTATGTGGTTGTGAAAAGGTAGCTTGAGATCGATCATATTCTATACTCCACACACACACACACACACACCCCCTACCTTATGCAGGGACCGACTCCCCGATCCCGACGGAGGCTGTCTCCGTGGGCTGAGTTTGGTGGCGGACTTAGGATAGATTTAGCTCGGACGACTATAGGACAGAGAAAGGAATGGAGTTTGCTCATAAGTTCAAAGATAAGCACGGAAGCAGAAAACAGGAGCCTATCGAGCTATCTCTCTCTCGCTCTCTTTCTCTTATCTATCGAGAACTTATATGGCGTTTTGATAGCTTGAGATTGATCAGGTCATACAGCGTTGATATGCACGGACCGACTCCCCGGCGGAGGAGGGCTCCGTGGGGAAGGCATGGGGGAGGAGAGGGGGAATGTGGCGGGGAGAAGGGTTAGATGGGTTACAGTAGTAGTGAATGCTGATTGATTGACTGATTCACTGATTGATGGGATTTTGAAGTAGGAGGGGGCAGGGGGAGAGAAGAAGGAGGGGGAGCTGCATGGCTTATTGATGGCTGATGGATGAGCGGAGCTGACTGACTGGTTCACAAGGGAAGAGAAGGAGGAGAAGTATCGGAGGGAGGGGATGGGATGGGATGACACGGTAGGTTGACGGCCTGGGATCGTGGGATTGGAGTTGAGATTGAGATTGAGCCGAGTAAGTTAGGTGATTGGCAGGTATCAGAGTAGAGCTGAAATGGTTCTCTTAAATGGGTATTCAGGTCTCGCCTTCCCTTCCTTAGGGCGACCTTCATTCGAACCCCTCGTCCTCGTCCTCCTCACTATCACCAGCAGGAAATGTCCAAAATAGGAGAAGTAGGACAAAAGGAAATTCCTGCCGACATAGAAAGAGATAACCCCTTCGAGAGCTGAGAGTTGATTAAGTTAGTAACCTACCAACCAACCCACCGTAACATCCCCATTTCCATCCCAGTCCTCCTCCTGACCTCCTCCTCCCTCCCTCACCCTTCAAATAAGATAGGATAAAATAGGATGGAGTTAACATCAAGCTACGCTTTGGTGCGGTGCGTTATGTTTCATTGCGTTGTATTGCGTTGTATTCCGTACTTCCGGTGTACTTGGTTGGTGTCTTGTGTGTGTGTGTGTGTGTGTGTGTGTGTGTGTGTGTGTATGTGTGTAACTTATAGTTGTACAATGTATACAGGCAGACTGACAGACAGACAGACGGATAGATAGATAGGTATGTAGCTATTATTGAGCTGGTTATTCATGTATACATACATACATACATACATACATGCATTCATTCAAACCCATACACATGCACATACACATGGGAGCATGGAGCATGGAGCCTGTGTATGACTAGGAGGTTGAGGTTGACTCGGAACCCCAGACCCAAATCCGAATCCAGATCCCAATCTAGGGTTTTTGTAAGCTTAGAATCGGAAAGAGGGAGAGAGCGATAGAGAGCTATTGAGGGTGGAAAGTAGGGGCAAGGAGTAAGGGGCAAGGGGCCAAGGTAAGACTGAATTGAACGTAAATCATATATTGTGAGTAGAAATAGAGAGATAGAGAGATCCGTAAAAATGCCTCGCTCGCTGCTGGAGGGGAGAGGATAGGAAGGAGGGAAGAAAGGAGGAAGAAAAGAGGAGAGAGAGAGAGAGAGAGCGCCGACAAGGGTTGACTTTGGATTGGGTTGGTTCTGTGATAATTCGTGATTGTGGTAAGGTGGTGTTCTTTGTGTATATTTATAGATATGTAAATATATATCAGATTTTGATTTCCATATAGTTTTGATATCAAGACAGCGAGGTGTCGTGCGTGTGTGCGTGTGCGTGTGTGCGTGCGTGTGTGCATGCTGGGTAAGGGGAAAAGGCAAGGAAAGGAAAGGCAACTACGGAATGGAAGGATTCCTCTTTCCGATACGACGTAGGTAGGTAACGAGGTGTGATTTACAATGTAGGTAGATGTGGATTGTGTGGTACTCTACTGTATTGTACAGCATTGCAGTGCCGGTACAGTGCACTGCCGATGCAATTGACTGTAACCCCATGTAATGCAATGTAACTTCATGCAAATGCAGATGCATCCTGCCAGGGGCGTGCGTGGTCGGGGATAGGACGGGCTGGGACAGGACAGGACAGGACAGGACAGGGTAGGGCAGGACAGGACTGGACTGGATAGGGGAATGGGTTGCTTTGAGATAAATGAATAGATAGATGCATGCATGTGAAAGTAGAAAGTAGAAGGGAAGGAGGGAAGGAGGGAAAAGGGAGGGAGGGGGAAAGGGAGGGAAGTGCGGGGGTTGACATGGAGAGATGGAGAATGGAAGTGCGGGGTGAGATGGGGGATGGAGAATAGGGAATAGGGAATCGGGGAAATAGTGAAGGAGTGCGGGGTGAGATGTAGATAAGATGAGATTTAGATTTGAAGATGGGAAATAGTAATGGTAATGGTAATGGTAGATTGAGGAACTGGAGAAGTCAGAGTTTGGAACTGACACTTGTAGTGACGTACAAGATGAGAGTTTAGTGTGGGTTTGTGGAAAGATGGAAGGTCTGGAAGGTTTGGAAGGTTTGGAGGTAGGTAGGTACTTGAGTGACTTGAGGGACTTGAGTTGATGTAGTGTAATGGACTGGACTGGACTGGAGTGGACTGGACTGGACTGGCTTACGGGCTTACGTGCATACATGTTATAGTAGTAGTGTAGTATAGTGTAGTGTAGTGTAGTATAGCGTAGTATGGTGTAGTGTGGAGTTTAGAGTGGCATATGCCGAAAGTATAAAAGTGGTTTTTCAGGACGACTACTCTCGGCTGTTTGTTACTTACTTATTTACTTACTAGGAAAGAGAGAGGCAGAGGGGATAACCAACTAACCAACCAACTATCTTATCCTTCCTCAACTTACCTATTCAAAGCAGTGGATTTGTACTTTATGATAAGCTGATGATTCCCCGTTTCAGGCCTTGTTTACCTACTAAAGGTCTTTGATAAATACCCGCAGTTGCGTTACAGTCTTCAGAAGATGTAGGAGGAGGAGTACGTAGTATGTTCCATCCCATCCCATCCCATCCCACTTTCCCATTATTCTCGACCTTTCCCATTCTCGACCTCTCACTCAACCACTCAACCAACCAACCAACACTAGTTCGGAACTTGCCGAACTTCCCGCCGCCGTACAGTAAGCACCCTCACCCTCACCCTCAAGTCCGTGTGTGTATAGCATAGCGTACGAGACAGTCTTAAGTCTTGAGTCTTCAGTCTTGAGTCTTGATTGACTACTACAGTACTGACGTTCTACATACAGTACAGTACAGTAAGGTTACAGTAGAACCGACCGCTCTTACCCTCGCGAAATACTTACATGTAACTAACTTACAGTAGCACAGGTTCACACAGGTTCACACAGGTTCATACAGATGGGGAGGGGGGGGATCTAGACTGTTGGACTGTTAGGTAGACAAGACGAGACAAGCAGATAAGCAGACAAGCTAAGAAGATATGGACTGAGCCTCCTCCATCTCGCCGGTGCGGTGCACACACACGCACGCATGCTCGGCATGTATGTAATGTCGCTGGACTAAACTGAACGGCGCGGGACGATGCACGATCGATATCAGCGGTTTTCGTAGGAATAAACGAGGGAAGGGGACTTTTTCTCCTTGATACTTAATTTTTCTTTTTCTTTTATTTTTCTTTTCCTTTTTTTTTTTCTTTGACCCACAACGACGACGAGAATAGTATGCACATGTATGTAGCCAGATTTCAGATTTCAGATTTCAGATTCAGATTTCAGATGCAGATGCAGCGGGAGGGTAGGTACTAGGTAGCGAGGGTAGGTGGGTAGGTAGGTAGGTGGAGGAGGAAGTGGAGCAAGCAAGTACTGGCCTAATAGGTAGGTGTCAAAGCTGTGTGTGTGTGGCGTATGGCGTATAGCTAGCGTATGGCGTACATAACACTACATAACATTACACGTGCACACACACACACTTTCTCGATCTCCTTCTCCTCCTTCCCCCAGATAGATACCTACCTAGGTAGTCTTGAGTAGGTACGTACTGGCTCAATCGATCGATCGCCCATCGCTCATCGCCTAGAAATGCAAAGCGGTGCGGCGGCGGCGGCAAGGTCGGGAATACTGGGCGGCAGAAAGATTTGGTTGGGTGAGATGGGCGAGATGGGGTTCTTTTGGTGGATGATTTGGTGGTGATGACGAAAACAGGGGAAGGGGGAGGGAAAGAGGGGGAGGGGAGGGAAGGAGGGGATTGCCAGGTAAGGTACGGAACAGAGGTATCTCCTTCAGCCGGACGGTGTTCCGCGAGACATACATACATGTCAAGAAGAAAAAGAAAGGAAGAAGAAAAAGCAAGCAATACTGCATGAATCTTTTTGTGGTAGTAGTGAGAAAGCCTTCCGTCAAGGGAGACGAGAGGAGAGGAGGGGGAGAAGGGGGCTTGGGGCTTGGGGCTTGGTGCTTGGGGCTTGGTGGTGGGTGGGTGCGGACCGTGTAGACAGACTAAGATAGTCGAGTCGAGGTTGGGTTTTCCCCACAGTATTGCCTGCAGTCCCTGTGTGTGGCATAAATGGGGGGAAGGGAGGGGTGTGGTACAGTACACACCTAGCCAGATGGATGGATGAGTACCTACCTACCTTAGTGAGCCAGCGCTTGGAGAAGAAAGTACTAGTGTCTCAGGAGAGAGAGAGAGAGAGACAGAGCAGATGGTGAAAAATTGGCGCGGTAAGCCCCCCTTCCCCTTCTATGCACGACACTCGTTCTGGACTACAGGTGTCCAAAGTAGGCCTTCCGGGCTCTTTGTCTTCTTTTCTTTTTTTTTTCCCTTCCTCTTTTTGGTGATTTTTCAGGGTTCTTTTCCATGGGATTCTTTTTTTTTTTCGTGTGCCAGTACAGTATCTGGGATGCGAGACAGGGGGGCCGTTACGGAGGTGGCGTCGATGGGGGCGTCCGTCCGTAGATCGTGAGGAGGGGAGGAAGGGGAAAGGAGGGTCCAGATTTCGCCAGACTGACTGACTGACGAGTTGGTCGTTGATGTTTCGCATCGCTCCAATATGCCGTTTGATCTTTGTTTTTTATTTTTGGTTCTTAGCTGCTGGCTGGCTGGCTGGCTGGCGCCATTTTCTTTTGTGTGTGTATGAACCGAACCATCCTTTGTAGTCGGATGGAGCAGTTGTTTGCCTCGGGAGAGGGAGGGGGAAGGGCTGGGACCTACGGCAGTACTTTACGGGACATTTCAACCGCGCTTCTTTGTCGCCAGGATTCTCCTCTCTCCTCTCTGCACAGGTCTCACCTCTCACTCACAGCAAGCAACTGAGCAACAACGCTTTAGACTTTCAATAGAATAGAAAAATCTTCCTGGATGCCTGCTTGCCTGGTAAGACAATTGACAACTGTCTCTACTTACAACCCTGACTCGAAGCGATGCTACTCTGCTTTCCAAAACGTAAAGCCTGGTTCGTGTTTGATTGTCCACACCCATATACCGCGTATGCTATAGCCATATCCCCCGACCATTATATGGTCCGTACCTGAGGTATGGCCACCTGGAAATATAACAAGCATACCTAGGTACTATTACTATTACTATTACAGGTACTTTTACCAAACAGTGGGAAGTTTCCCTCGCGCCCCCCACGTGTGGAAACAGGTAGGTAGGTACATGCGCTCGATCTGTAATTACGACAGAACTCAATGCGTGCGTGGACCACAGTCCCATATAAACGCACACATACCTAAACTGCACAAACCCCTTTGCTACCCCCACGTGTTGGAACTTTCCATGCTGCTTCCCCGCGATGCTGTACAACAAGCTGAGACCCGACAGGCACTTGCCCGTCGCATGATCTGTGAGTTACAGTATTTCGAGATTGACAATATCAAGTTGACGATGCGTTCGTGCGAAATATTGATGCTCGTGCAAAGCTTGCTGCTATACCGACGACGATATCGATAATACCCCGCCCGTCCGCCCACGCTCTTCTCTAGTGAAGGCTTGAGCGCCAAATGAACGGAAGAGAACTCCGTCCCTCTCTCACCACTCTCGCCCGTCGTCAATAAAAACATCAAGGCCAGCCGCTGTCTCTGCTATCAACTGACGACGACACCCCCTCCTTGCATCTCAATCCCATGTTCAACAAAATACCACCTCCAAGACCGACCTTGGGTTGTACAACACTGACTGCAGCCCATCCATCCCGTCCGTCAAACCGCGGGACTCCTCCTCCCCTTCCGCGATCCAATGATCGCTCCCTGACGGGCAAGACACCTCGAAGCCACATCGCTGCAGCAAGCTCCACACTTGTTCCCAAAATTCTCTCTCTCTCTCTCTCTCTCTCTCTCTCTCAGGTTGTTTTTCCCTGCCGCCGCCAAAGTTGCGAGGGAGGGGAAGTAAACTTGTCACATTTGGCGAACACGACAAAAAAACGGGTACCAGATCTGATCTGATCTGTGTGAGATCGCCACTACCCGTTGACAGGGCTGAGAATTTATGTCAAAAAGCGGAAATATAAAAATTGGGAAAAGGTACGGCCCCTTAGCGCGAAAATAAAAAATAAGGAGCCCTTGTTTTTCTTTTCTTTTCGTTCGGTGCGAACTATTTTATTTTCCTTTTTTTTTCTTAGCTACTCTACCTAGCGAGCGAGCGTTCCGACTTTAGGGGGGATTGGCAACGGCAAAACCCTAAGGTTAAGTCGAAACAACATCCGACGGCCGAGGGGCAAAGGGCAAAAAGCAAACAAAGTCTCGACTCACTCACTCCGAGCTCTCACTCACGCTGTCCCCCTCAACTCGATTCTCGCTGACTGCTATTTCAACAAACAGAGAGAAAGCGGATGTACGAGCCTGACCACTGAGAATTGTACCTGACCACGCACAGCAGTGGATCAATGCTCCCGGGCTTAACGTCCCTGCCACCCGTCGTCCAATAGCGCGTCTGCTGGATCACCCCCCCATTCTTCCTATCATCCATCATCCATCTTCCTCGGCCTCTGCCTCTGCCCAGGTTGTTGTTGATTTCGCTTCGCTTCTCGCCGTGTTTTGCCCAATGTAGGTGATTCTATGGTTTGCGGTATGCAGTAGCTTCTCTGCGAGTATTTCTTTCTTGCCTTGCCTTGCCTTGCCTTGCCTTGCCTTGCCTTGTCTTGCTTCACTGCTGCAATGCATGTCTCTCAGTAGTCAGCATCCACCAATACGATCGACGTCAGGGCAGCTTGGCAGGTGTGCTCGCTGCTGTCAGATGCAAATCTTAGTTTCAGGCTTGGGCTTGGGGTTAGCTTAGAGTGAGGATTTAGGGATTTAGTCGGTCGGCCTCGGGACGGCTGACGGGTAGCTAACAGGGCAGGGTGCTCAGTGCAGTCCAGCCTGTGCGCCTAGTAGTAGTCTGGTGTGAAGTATTTCCTTCCTAGTGTGCCAGCACTGAGCACTGGCCACTCGCCCACTGCCCACCACTACACTAAGTTAGCTGCCGCACCGGCCGCATCAAGCTTACCGCACTACGAGTACGCTGCCAACCCTGGACGACATCACTGCACTGCACTGCACTGCACTGCACTGCACTGCTCTGAACTGAACCGACCTTCACTCCACCACTCCACCACTCCACCACACTCGCTCACTCACTCACTCCACTGCGCCCAAATCCACTCGCTTCTTTGCTCCTTTCCTACTGTATGGGCAAGGTCAACCCCTCACTTTTCTCGCTGGCAAGAACGAACCCCTGGTCTGCGTCTGCGCAAACAAAGAAAACAGAACTCAACAGATGCTGTGGCCACCGCCCAACCCTGTGGACCAATGTTGTATCCAGGAAATTGTACACGATTCATGCGCTCGACAATTAGGGCAGGTACTCTTCCTGCCAATAATGAACTCTGCGATGCAGGCAGGTCTTGGGTGGGGAGGCAGGATGGATGTGCCTGCCAGTAAGCCGCCGAGTGAGCTGGTGCAAAGCAGAAGCAGAAGCAGGAGCAGAAGCGGACGTGTTGTGTTGTGCCTTTCGTGCTGTATGTGTGCTCTGCAGCAGCTCATCCAGGAACCCGCCCTGCCCCCAACATGCCCCTCCGTCCACTCCTCACGAATAGACTTACTCCCGTCACCCGCCCGTGGCAGAGGATCCCCCTCTCCCTTGCCGCCAACCGATACACGTTACTCACTCAGTCACTCTGCTATGATCCACAGGAGTATTTCACCCTTCCGAGTGGCCAGTGGCCAGTGGCCAAGTACAATTCGGCTGTGCCTGTCGCTGATTGGCGGGCAGACCAGTAGTTGACCCAAACTGCTGGAAGGTGCAGCAGGGCAGGCAGGACAGGCAGGACAGGCAGGGCAGACAGGACAGGCAGGACAGGCAGGGTAGGCTTGGTAAATTGGACTCTGCTGTGTTTTGCATGTCCCTCGTCCCTCGCCCCTCGTCCCTCGCCCCTCGTCCCTCGCTGCTTCAACAGTGTTTGTCTGCTGGCTGGCTGTTCTACTGTACGAGTACGCTGGCTGGGCGCTCGTCTGCGCTCTTCTGTGCTCTCCAGTTGTCGTACTGCATCCCTACACTGCCTCTTATGTTCGCCAAACTCTTCATTATTATGCAATCATAATCATTGATAGGATAGACATCACACAACAGTGAACACTGCAGTAACAGCACAGCAGAGCAGAGCAAAGGCGACGCAATTTTTGAATCGGTGCTGCGAGAGCAGAAGCCAGTAGTCACAGTGCTTAGCTATCTGTGTCTGTCCCATGGTGGTTTGTGTACGGGTCTATCGGCCCCTCCCCTGAGTCTTTCTGTTCGAGCCTTGCATGTTGCTGCTTTCGTACCTTGTCGGCTGGTTCCTTGGAATCACAGGCCGGCTCGGCACCCCATCATCCACCATACAAACCACGAGGGATTTGCGTTCAGGATGTTCTTTCTCACGCGGCCTTGTGCGGAACTCTATATTTTCGTGCATTCGCGCCGCAGCACACTCCTGCTGCTTTTCATCTGAAAAACCATGGCCAGATCTGTCATTTCTCCCACCACTCCGAAAGATCGATCGGAGGATAATTAGAACTGACGGCCCACTTCATCTCTCACTTTCCTTCTTACCAGAACCGCAGTAATTTACCTCGGACCACAATCTGAGTTTGAGGTCGCTGGTCTTACTTCGTGTCCTGTTTAGGGACATTTCGGGTTGTTCCAGGGTCTCGACGCAGTTCGAGTGTCGTCGCCTCAACTGTTGCCCGGCATCAACGAGGACACAGGTCCACACACAGATTACTACTACTTACTCTCTTTGTACGTACGGGGGTTTGGCTTGGAGTATTGCAGCCTTGGAGTACGTACCTGCTGCCTCATCCAAACAAGACAGGCATTCGAGGCTCGTCGACTACTGCTGGCTTCCGCTACAGTAAGGGCGGCGGATGTCTCACACGCCCGTTCGGGAGCGTGTGATTATAGAGGGGTAGGGCAATCAAACACAGCAGCTGGCGCAAGTCCAAGTCGAAGTCCAAGCCATAGCCTTCATCGCATTCCACAGCCCAGACCAAGCAAATAAGCCAAAGGGATGCGAAGTGTTCCTCCCTTGCGACTGTCTTCCTATCTTTTCGCATATCGCATGCTCAGCCATCGCCGTCATCGTTCCAGCTCTGAGTTCAAAATCTCCAGCAGCTGTTCTCAACATCAGCTCACCAGTTTCACCAGGAGGACACATCCGGCCCAATCGGTCTAGACGGGTGCTGTCTCGGGAAGGAAAACATAGTCTCGGTCGGGATCTGCCTTACTTTGCCCTAGCTAGCTGACAGCCACGCCACAAGCCTTCTGCTGTATCGATATCCCATGGTTGCATTATCATAATCAACCCAGGTCCCAGCTTCTCCACACGAGCCTACTTTTGGTTTCTCGTTTGTGCAACATTTGGGCCAACACCCATTACAAACGCCACTGTCCACCCCAGCACAAAAGAGCAGCAGATCAATCCAACCCACCACTCAGCTGCTAGCTCGACATATATTCTCCGAGAGGATAACCTTCCCTGATCAACAGTTCGTCAGCTTGCTTTTTCTTCTTCCATGTCATGTCTAGAACACAATAATCAATCCCCTCCTCTGTCTCAGTGCATCGTCTCGAGCTACAGCCACCATCCAAATCCCCTGCACATCACTAGCATCTGTCTGCATGCATGTTGTGAATTAAACTAATATCTTGTCCCGCCGGTCTAGCGCCCTGAATCCACACTGCAGGCATCACATCCGCTCCACTCTGCCGGGCCCTGATACATCTATCTAGATCTCTCTCCCTCTCTGTCTGAATCTACATCCTCGTTTTATGATCTCCAATACGACAACTCGACTTGAACATCACACCGCCGTTCAGTCACATACAGCCTGACATTCTTCATTACCGGTGTCTGGTATATATCATCAAAATGGTTCAACAACATCCTGGCGGACCTCCCTTACAACAGGGGGCTTTCTATCCTCAAAGGGAGAGTGATTGGTCTCGAAATGACCGAAACACATTCCTGGATACAACTCAGGAACCTCGACTCCCAAATATCCCTATCGTACAGCGTCGCCATGAACCAGCAATTCCAGCGGTTAGTCCTTCCACTCATCAATGACGATGTCATCGGGCTGACAGATTCAAGACAATCGATTCGGCATTGAAGGACCACTGTGGTATTTCAGGTCTCAAAAGATGGGCTTTGATTGTTCAGACAGACTTGCCTGAACCCCGGATTTTCACTTCCCAATCTCTGAGGCCATATCGGGATCAGTTCTTTACGGAGCAATTTAGAGATTCGTTTATGAGCAGTGCATTGAAAGCAGAAGCACGAGAAGGATATCAAGGCTCCCGTATGACCTTACGCCAATTGGAGATTATAGTTGCTAATGGACTCTCTAGTGTATCATCAAGATGGGGGCATGTACAGCGAGTTTGAGTTGGAGGGCAAATATGATACTCGGAAACAGAGCAGTGGATCGGAGATCAGTCAACGACACTACCGGAAGGCCAGGTCGGAAGATTCAGAGGGTTCTGTCGGTGTGAAGAGGAAACGCAAGGGGTACGGGAGTCAATACAGAGAGAAGTCCAGCGAGGAGATCCCCGTCGCCCAATCGACGACGAGGCATGATATGGAGATTGGCGACGATGCAAAAGTGGATGCGTACTACAGACAGCGCTTCAAGGATATGCAACAGACGGCGTGCAAAATCATAGGGAAGGTGTTTGTCAAGCTGCTGGAACCTAAGAAGCAGACGCACCATCCATACACCAAAGGAGACGAGAATGCCCCTCCATGGTGGCCAAGCACTACTGGCAAAGATGCTTGTCGGCACAAGGAACCTGACCATCTTCTGAAACATGGTAAGTACCTCTCGATTGTGGATCACTTCCATTATGCTAACCTCAAATCAGAACGGATCCAGCTTCTGGCTCACATCATCCAGATGATTGTTAAACCAACAGACAAGCAGCACCCATGTATTCAAAAGTTGGATCTCAATGTCAAGAAACTTGAAAGTGCTACCATGGAAATGATGTCGCCGTGGTTTTCCGACAAGGAGAATCCAGGACATGAGTTGAGGAGGCCGTTTTTGAAGGAGATTTTCAAGGTGGCCAAAATTCAGGAACGATACAAGCGGGGTGAAATAGGTTTGTCTCCCATAACCGTCACTGACGTCTCAAGACTAATCAGAACCAGATGGCACAACCATCGTTCCTGTTCGATATGGTGAAAGCATTGCTCTTGAAGATGACTCAGAAGGAGATGGTGAAAACTATCAACCTGAGCAAGAAGATGGTACCGTCAACAATTCGACGCAGGTGCCAACACCAGAGAGTCTCGTTTCGCCATCGATGAGTCAGCACCAACAATTCCAACAAGCCGACGACCACAGCATGCGGTCGATGCGTGCCGGCCTCCCAATGCGCTACAACGCCCCAATGGATCAAATGGGGTACGAGGACCAAACTTTCCGCGGTATGAACCAATACCAACCACACAGCCCAACCACCATCGACCCGAGTCGTCGGAGTTACATCCCCCCACCCGTCTTCCCCAGTCCCCAGCAAAGCATGTTCTCAACCGGATGGACCAACCCAGTCTCTTCAGCACCAGCAACCCAATACTACACCACATCACCGCAATCATCAATCGGGCCATTCCTACCTCTGCCCCAGCCTCAGACTACTCACATGAGCCAGCCGGTCCATTCGTTCGGCGACGGCTTGACGAGATATGATACTAGTCCTGCGATGGGCAGTCAAGTCCGGACAGGTAGTCTAGGCCATCCGCACCATCAGATGCCGAACCCGGCTGCGTTTCAGGATTACTTGAATTCGGATAATGGTCAGTTTGGGCAGCATCCTGATCTGAAGGATGATCATCAGCAGCATCAGCATCAGCATCATCTCCACCAGCAGAATTGAGCAAGGGAATTTCTCCACTTCGGGTTTTGCTGGTTCTGGAGGGTTCTCACGATCAAAAAATACGGAGGCAGCATCTTTAGCGTATACCCCATCCCTCATCCATCATTCTCTCACTTGCTCTCGTCATCCAGGGGGGTCCGATCCGGGTCTGGTTGTGCATGCAAGCATTGTTGTTCGTCATCTATCGGGATGGAGGCATGCCATATCATCTGGTCGTTCTATCTCCTACCTTCCATCTTCTATTCTTCTTTCATTCGGCCCACCTCAGCCAAAACACAGAGGCTTTTTTTAAGACATTTTAATTTTATCACCATTTTACCCACCTACCACCATTCAATCAGTCAGTACTTATCTATCTACCTACCACTACAACGCAACACAACACACACGTCCTGTTGGATGGACACCCGAACCCAACCAACGCTACGACCGTTCAGATTATTTACATACATATACATTACATACATCGTCAGCGTATCAGCGTTTCAGCCTCCAGCGTTTCAGCGTCTTCCACACACATTTATATTTTAATCACGCTTTTTTCATTCATTCGTTTACATTCATCAATACAACAACCTTACGCCAACCAGCTAACGAGCTAGCGAGCGAGCGAAGCGAAGCGAGCATTTTCCAGTCTGTTTTGTTCCGGTTTTTTTTTTTGGTTTTTTTTTCACGGATTTTTTTTTTTTTTTTTTGGTTTTTTTTGGTTTTTTTATGTTCTATGATTCTTTTAAATTCTCATTTTCTTTTTGCTTCTTCCCCTGAGAGTCCGGACATACCTGGGATAGGATGGGATGCGATGGGTTCGGGATGGGCGTGCAAAGTAAAGCATGGGAAAGAAAGCATGGGATATGATAGTTGGGAAAGCATGGGATTAAACCAACCTAGGAATGCAGCAATGGGATAAGATACGATACGATGAGATAAGATAGCGAGGGGGCCCTGGTCTGGGTTTGGTTACATGGTATGTTTTTTGTTTAGCTTGTTTAGCTTTGTTTAGTTTTGAGTGGTTTGGTTTGGTTTGGTTTAGCTAGCTAGCTAGGTAGGTAGTTCTAGTTCTAGTTTGAAGATTGAAGATGAAGTTGAAGATTGAAGATTTGAAGTTGAAGTTTGAAGTTTGAAGATTGAAGTTTGTGATTGAAGATGAAGATGAAGTTGAGATTGAAGATTGTGATCAAGGTTTTTTTTTGATGCTGGCGGTGAAGTTGATCAATGAGGTATGATATAAAATATGGAAAAATATGCAAAAATAATACTACATTGCTTTGTTCTTGTTGTTGGTGTTGGTGTTGCTGTTCTCGGTGTTATCGTTGGTGAGAAGTGGGAACGTGTGCGAGGTAAGAGACAGAGAGAGAGAGAGAGAGAGAGAGAGCTAGGACATCGTTCTTGCAATTCCAATTCAATTCAATTCAAGTTAATTCAAATCAAGTTAATTCAATGCAGTACAGTAGGTAGGGCGTAGTATAGCATAGCATAGCATGGCATGGCAATACATGTATGTACAGCAGCGAAGGGCATTCATTCATTCATTCATTCATTCTTCTTGGCTGAGCGAGTGAGTGGATCGGGTTGAATTGGGTTGGGTTGGATTGGGTTGGATTGGATTGGATTAGATTGGATTGGATTTATTATTGAGACGCTTTCAATGTGTGCTTGAAAAGGAGAGGAAATAATAACGAGTTGGATGTGGTCTGCCTCTGGTGTCTGTCTGCCTCTGGTGTCTACCTCTGGTGTATGGATGAATGGTCCGGCGGAGGGTGTACTTGCTGTACCTTTCCTGGGCTTCAGCATTCAGTTTACTTTACTGTATTTACTGTATCGGTTGTATTGTGTTTGGATTTGAAGGCTGAAATCTAGAATCTGGATCTGAATGCAGGATTATGCAGGCAGGTAGGTATGTTGTCTGGTTGCCCTTGACGTTTGTTCGTCCTCCCGTCATGAGGCCCAGTCAGTTAGTACCTAGGTACCGTCAAACAATTCCGCTTCCCCTCTTTTCCGTCCTTCCTATCTATCTTGTTGCTGCCCTTCTTCAATTTCTCCTCCTTCAGTATTTCATGATAGACTGAAATGACTTCTTCCACTCCCATCCCATATATTTTCTTTCTCTCCACGATTTATGGTCTGTGTTTGTCCCTCCCTCATCCCTGATCTCTCAACTGTATAGCCTAACTTCTTCGCTTGAATATGCCATCTGCCATCTGTCAAGGATTTCAGTAGAATCCCGCTGTTCTGCTCTCTTCTCTAAAATTTTGGTTTTGGGTATGTGTGTGGATGTATTTATGTACGTATATTCGTCACATCCTATCCTGTCCTATCTTCTCTGCAGCAGTATCATGAGCTCTCCCCCTACTTTTCACAACCGACAAAATTCTGAAGCGTTCTTGTATCCTTACTGAAGCTTGACGGAGTATAGTTCCTCCCTCTTCGTGCCTTTGTTTATGCGTTTGTCTGCCTGACTGGAACCTGCGAGGGTTTTGGTATGGGTATATATATTCGCGGGTTTGAGGGGTCATTTTGTCGTTGGTTGGATAGATTCGTTGGAGTTTGGAGGGGTTAGTGTTTCGGTGGGTAGGTAAGAACCAAAGGGGTCTGAAGAAAGCTCCTCGTAGTGGTTATATGTCGGAGTGCTTGAAGGTATAGATCGGGCTTAGATATCTCGTTAAGGAAGGGATCTGGTGTGGTGTGCCGAACGAGTACTTGGAGGAAGGTAACATGGAGAATCGAGGCTCGGAAGGGTAAGATACCGTGATGGAAGAGAAGGAGGGTGCTCAGGGAGGTGACTGAGAAATGGTCGTAGGTAAACTTGCTTCATAAATTATGTCAGTGGTTCGAGTCAGCTCGAGGGCGTGCTGGGGAGATCGACGTTGCTTTCAGCTACTTCCAGCTCTGTAGCCTGGGAATCGTGTCTGGAGATGGATGATGAAGATAAGGTCTAATCTTGATCTTGATTCTGGTTTTGCAGCAAACTCGCAAGTAGCTCGTATCGATGAGAAGTGTGTGGTAGTGTTGAAGCCAGTGATATGAGTCCTTCAGGAATCAAGTTTGCAGTTCTGCGGACGAAGTAAAGGAGTTTGAAGTCTAGTACTTTGCTGCGGATTGAAAATCTAAGACTTCTGCAAGCTGAAGATTCGAATGTGGGCTCACAAGTAGAGAGACGGCTCGTGCTGGTAAGATCTTACCAGCTGAGATGTGACTTGTCGGATTCCACGGAAGTGCTGAAGAAACTTTTTTCCCCAAGACATTTTTCTTCTTACGGAACATTCTACTACGCTACAGCAATGCATGGAACTAAATATCTGTAGCCACTCCAGGATTTTGCTTTGTTCAAGTTACCTAGCTGATAGCGACTATTTCAACGGAAATGTTTCACGCCCTACTTGAAAATGTGGTCATTGGAAGGTGCGAAGATACCGAGCAGGATCGCTATAAATTTCACATTCTGGACATAGGATATTGTATGCAAATTGGAAAAATCGAGGCCGAAGATCGTCTAAGACTCGAAAAAGAAGCAATTGGGAAAGATATACCAATAAATTCAGGATTCACACAAGAAAGATCAGCTTTTTTCTCGTTTCCCAAGGTCCTAGGGAAGAGGGCTGTGTTGCCGCCAAAAAGCCTGAAGCAACCTGGAACTAATGAATAACTTCCTCATCCGCTGAATTCATCAAAGTCGGAATTCAGAAAGTCTGACGTCTTCCACATCCAAGTTGGCCTCCTCTTTAGCATATCATATGGTACTCTTCTTGAAAGGGCTTTCCTTTCAGTAAACACATGTCCCAGCACCTAGCCACCCATTTGCTTACTGTTGCCCACCCAATGACATTGACTTGCCATTTTCTGACACTGCACCAAATCAACCTTTCACTAATCAGTTTCCATTAATCCATCAAAACCATCAGTTCAGAACCCATGCTGTGCCCAGCATGAAGATCAATACGCACGGTTTGTATATCTGTCGTATTAAGGCTCAATGCAACAGCATACCCCACTCTGAACCCATCCCACGCTCCGACCATGGTAACATCGCCATAAACGATGAGCATAACGCTCAGTGCCGTTACCGTACCATCAAAGAGCCTGTTGGTTGCGCACGGTTTATGAAGCAGGGAGTAAAATGGATTATGCGGCCCGAGAGAAGGAAGAGCCTGAATGAAGTTGAATGATATCAACAGAGATAGAACCGGCTTACGTGTTAAGAGTTAGCGGTAAAACTTGTATCTTTCATAGTCATTGAATGTTAATCATGATTTGATCCGTTTCGTTACTGTACTTGTGAACAATATTGCCAAACTCATCATGAGTTGTGGAGAAACGGTCAAGGCACAGGGTGCATTGGCACGCCGGTATGTTTTGTATGCCCCGAGATCCACGAGTGCCGCTTTAATATCTTGAACCTTCCTTGAGAAGACATGCAATCAATCGGTCGATTCACACTTTTTGATAGAGTGTGCGGCCGCAGCCGGTAAACAAACCCGTAAGTGTTTCAAATGGCCTGATCTACTAAGCGAGCTAGCGAAATTGGTGAGAAAGGGGTTCATGGCATTTTCTGGTCTACGGGCCGAGGCATGGACCGCGTGGCCGCCCAAGCTAAGAGAGGTACAGAATGAATTGCATGTGTCTTCTGGTCCCTAGAAGGATGGGACGCTAGAAAGACCTTTTCTGATACTCATCGGTTTCTTGAGAAAATTCCACAGTTCGATCTTCTTACGCAGCGAAAATTCCAATGCATTTATTTACCACAATGATTCCACAACTAGTCACTCACTCTCACTATCGTCACTCTCTTCAGCCTTTTCTCTAGCCCTCATCTCCTCTCGAACTTCCCTCTTCGTCCGCTCGATCGCTGCCATTACTTGCTCATCGAAAGCGAAACGATCGCGCTCTTTGATAGCAAGCTCCATCAATCTCCTTTGAATCTCCGTTGGGACATACAGTCTACAGATCATGCAGACAGTGATTCTTTTTCCAAGGAGATATTCGTGGTAGGTTTTGGGACATGGGCCGCGCTCGAGAGGGTTTGGTCGTGGACGTGCTTTCTCGACGGAGCTACCCATGTCGACTACACGTTTTGTGGTGCGTCCGTTGAATCGCAGGTAGAAATCGGCGCGGAGAAAGGGGGATGACATGATGACTGTTGGAAGCTGTCTGTGGTAGAAATGATCTTCAAACTGTGAAGTGCTTTCTGGATGGTGAGGGTACAAAGGGTATCTGGGGGACTGGGAATTTATACCATGGATCATGTCTATCTCATGAGAATTGAAGGCAGTCAATATCATGTCATCAGAGTAGACATTCTGGGTTGTCTTTTCGTCCTCCTGGGATCGGTGGGTGATAAGGAGCTCATGCTTGCCACATATCGCTCTTAATGTCCACAGTAAGACAGGAACATCAAGATAAGGCACAGAGGTTTCCAGTTTCGCCATTACTCGAAGGTCTTATGACTGATGGTTGGATACTTTATCTCGACTTTGATGACTCATGCTAAGTATTTGAGGTAATGTTTTACAATCCACTCACGACCTTGATGCAACTTGAACAACCCACATGCATCGAGGAGAATCACAAACTGTCAAAAGTGACAGCTTTGCCACACCATGTCCATTTCAAGCAAATTCTCATCTCTTGACTCCTCTTTCACTGTACTGAAAAATACTTCTAACAGCCAGAAGTCCCATTTACAGTCTTCCTTTCAATTACCGACCCCGCATACAAATACAAAGCACGCAGTCACAGTTTGTCAGAATGATAGTCCGCTGGATTGCAATAACATATACTTCTAGGATTCCACTCCAGTGTTTCGATTAACTCATTAGCCTGGAGGAAAATGAGGGAACAAGCGAGAATATAGGAAAGTGCCATGTTGATTTCCGCAACCGAGACAGGTATTAAGCGAGCAGCCTGCAGTTCATCTGGACTTCACATACTTGGGCTTGAGAATGGAATTCCCAGCAAATTCATTGCCTCGAAGCTACACATGGACTCGTGTGAACATATATTCTAGCCGAAGACGCATCGATCAAGTCAATAGGGTGATGACACATCCAAGTTGTGACTTTCGTATGTAGGCTCGTCGACAAGCACATAGCACCTCAGGACTTCTGCACGAGAATCCTTGCAGGACTCAATGGAAGCATGCATATTGCTTTGACTTGGATTGTGACTCTCACATCTGAAGAAAGCTCCACCGAGATTGACCTTGCGTGGGTGAAATGCTACGTGCTTCCAAATTTGATATCTGAGCTCGAGCGGGAGTTGTAAGAACACCATAAAGGTGCCACAGGCTAGGGGGGCAGTATGGTGACCATTATAGTTGGAAATCTGGCCAGAAGTGTTTTGAAGTTCCTCGATGGGCGATCGGGGGTTGTCAGGATCTGACTGATGCTGTCCATGGTAGAATGTGATGGCAGGAATGTCTCTTTGAATGAAGAATTGTTAGTCGGAGGACGTCAGTAAGGGTTTCGGAGAGGTATGCCTCACGTGTGATAACGAGGTTCTAGAGATATCTCGATGGGAGAGAAATCCGGAGCAAAAGTGCCGCCGAAGACTATTTTGAAATAGGATCGTCAGATTCCTCTTCGGTAAATTAGTCAGATTCACGCGCACTTATACTGAGGCTTACAGGTCCAATATTGGAACTTCCTTATTCATTAAGTAATAGTCGTAAAATCGTACACGAGGTCACCTCCTCCTATAGCAGAGCAGGTAAACCTCTCGCCCTCCTATCATCCTCCACTTTCTTTGCCTCCACTCTAGCCAAAAACTCTTGCCTTGCCTTATAGGCGCCCTTACTCTTCCCAGCAGCATCCAACTCATCCGCAATGCCCTCCTTGTCCACAAAGCCTGCCCAGTCCATCGCACTCTTCTCCACGGTATTAAACTTCTTGACTTTTGCCTGTGCACCCACCAGTGTAAGGTCACTCTGCTTCCGGGTGCCGAAGTATAGATCTGTCCTCGGCGGTAGCTCAATCACAGGTTCAAATATTGACCTCCGAGCTTTCTTCAAAGGCCGTTTCGGTTTTGTGAAGAGCGAGTCTTCTGCTTCTGGTGCAGCTGATGCTGGCGCGGCGCCAGGCGGTGGATTGGTTGCCAAATAGAGTTTTGCTTCTGCAGAGTTACGAGGAACAAGCCTTTGTTCTGTGTGGACTTTCCCTGCGAAGTTGTAGGTTCGTTTGATCATGATCATGGAATCGGGGCCATCGCTCAATGTGCTCGGCGACCGAGATGCCTCTATCGTACCATTAGGTATTGATACGGTCGTTCGTCTGGTTTCGGGACTCGCAGAACCGTTCGGAGAAAGGAGGGAGGTTGGCTCGATGGTGGGTTTGGGCTCTGGCGCGGCTGGTTTCCCAGATATCATCGCTTCCCAAACGGAATCGACATCGATTGTTGCTGCAGCTGTGCTAACAAGAGGTTTCTTTTCAACTTTTCTGATAGAGTTTAGTCAGTAATGAGTCTTCAGATCCATTAGATAGCACCTACTCCTGCGCCCTCATACTCCTTGTCTTCACCAATCCTCCTTCACCCCCCTCGTCTTCCAGATCCTCCTTGCTCTTCTTTCCTTTCTTCCGCCGCGCCTTAGAGCCCTCCTTCATGATCGCCTCATCTCCTGAGTTCTCGAACCCCAGATCTTCTGCCTCCTCATCGTCTCCTCTTTTCCTTTTCTTCGGTTGTGTCGGTTTTGCTACCGCCGCTGATTCTTCTGCATCTGATTCATCGTCTGAGGATTCTGCGTCCGGCGCGGGTACTGCATCGGGGGCGAAGTCGGAGTCTTCCTCTGAGGCATACTCATCATCATCGGGAATCAATTCTGGCGGCATTCTTGCAGATTGTAAGGAGCGAGCAGTTAGTGATCTTGAGAGTTGCAGTTCGCGACAAGGCTGACAAGACTACACTTTTGCCGAGGTTTAACCGACGCGATGTGGCGCGTCTCCTCAGTGTCCTCACCGACCGGGTCCAGCAAGACATTAAGACCAACTTCTGGGCCCATTGCACTCGAATGATTAAGAAACAGTGGACCTAGAGGAATTGGACTCTACAGCACAAGCGAGTTACAGGTCACTGAATAGTCGATCCTTAATTCATGTTTATTATAAGAAAGAATTCATGTGTTAGCCAGTACAGTTCAACGTTGTGGAGTCGAAGACTTTCACAACTTATATTGTAATGCTAAATTGTCTAGATACTCAGATATCAGCTGCTTCAGGTTGGAATCGAGCATGGATTAGGGAACATGGTTTACGGAGTTTATCTCCAGTTGTTCTTGATTTGGAGTCGGTCGCGTTATTGCCTTTCATGCTTCTAAAATCGCCATCACTAATGGGTCATACAGAAATGCTCAGGGTATCAAATTATGGAAAATTTATAGGCAGCCACTCCAAATATGACTAACCTGGTGTTGACAAATGCAAATAGTCACGCGGACTATTTTGGGAAAGCATCTGAGACCCTGCATCCCAAAGTGCCGCTCTTCACTGGATCAACTAGCCCCTTATTGAATGTGGCTGACATTCATTCTTCTCTAGCTTCACCTGAAGAATCCTAGATCTGTCCTTAATCACATGTGTTGACCATAACTCTTTTAGAACTTTCAAACTTTTCAAGTGATGATGGCACAAGAGCGATATTAAGCGAACGATAGGAGAACGAGGCGATCACCAGCCCCAAAATCACACACCCCAATGTTTCTGCATCGAGGAAACTACACATGTAACTGATCATTTTCAACAAGAGGAGACACCATTTACATTACGAGATAGTTGCTTTAAAGAAAGGACAGGACTCTACTAAACCGTGCACACATTGGCAAGTAGGAAAGCACTTCACCACTCTTCACTCATCAACCTTTTCGACTTTCCCTGCTCATTGCTCACAAGCTCTCTAAGAAGATCTCTACACAATCTGCTCCAAGTCCTCAAGGGCCTTATCCAACTCCTCGCCCGTAGCATTCAGAGTCTCCACAACCTTCGCCTCGTCGAGCCCTAAGAGACTGACCTGCTCCCGTCTTCCAAAACAAGCTGATCAGGCAGAGTGCACTTCTCCTCTCCTTGAGCTCCCTCGGTACCTCTGAATGTCTTTCTGGAAAGGAATCCGTAGCCGGCACCGGTGTAGGGTCCATTGCCAAGACATTTGAAGTTGGTGAAGGAGGCTGTCTCAATGCTCTTATCGCGAGCGCACCACCCGCCTTCGTGGCCACAGACTTGGAGGAACCAGTTGACAGGAATTCCTCGGAAACCAAGGGATGGGACGGAGCCGGTTGGAAGACCGCAGAAGCTCTGATGAGATGGATTTTCAGCCATGACTTACTCATTTCAACCTACCGGTGTAGAGTTCCGCAAACGCAAAGGGCAAGAGGGAAACTTACATCGGGACTTCAGTTTGTGCACACAGCAGCTGGACCTTGACAGCCAGATTTCTGTTTGTGAAAATAGATATCAATTGCAGAGACCGCAACAGCGAAGCTGAGGAGAGTGACGAAGAACTTCATAATGAAGAATAGGAAGGGGTCTTTAATTAGCGAGATTGTGGAGATGTCTGTTGTGTGCTGAGCTGGAAAGAGATGATTGGGAAGATCGATGGCATGAAGAACAGCTTCTTTCGAGGGGATTTGCTCTCCTTTTATGTTCTTCTCTTGACAGTATAAGACCCTCGTAGCATTACTTCGACGTGGTGTTCTCTCAAGTTCTCAGCTTGTAAGGGACAAGATAGTTTCTACTGCATTTCCTACATCCGATGCTAAGTACCAATGTCTATTGTGCTCCTCCGATGCTGCAAATCATATCGTATTTCCGACTTGAGGGCTAATTTAAAATCAAAGGGAACGTTCCGGCCCCTCAGTACCTGCCGACATCTCATGAACTCCAGCAATCTATAGGTTCCCTCGTCTGATCTCGTACTGATCGAGGGACTCAGGTTCGATTAAGGGGAGTTGTAACTCTCGTTTATTGGCAGTAAACCGGGAGGTGGATGTAGGAGGAGAGGGTGCTAGTGACACAAAACATGCTGTGTTCTAGTATTTGGTGTGAATCTATGCACAACAAAGCCACCTACTCACTGCTTGACCACATATGACCTTGTCTGAGATATTCAAATGGGAGAGTACAATTCAGCACGAGCCACTCAGAATGACTGGTTTCAACATTACTTTAACCATAGAGAGAAATTCTAGCTAACGAAACACAGATCTCTCATATGACAGTCGATATGCACAACGCTGGCCTATCCCAGATTGCTTCCAGGAACCAAAACAAAACAACAGAGCATAATTAAGGGCCATGTAGAAACAAGACATCTCGGTTGATGTCAAAAATATGAAATACGACTCTGGCATCACAAAAACTAGTGTATTCATTCTGAAACTATCTTTGCAGTTGTCTCAAGAAGTTTAACCAGCTCGCTATGTCATTCCCTATAGGTCAGGTCGTATTGTGGCACAGTCTGATACTTTGATGCTAAGAACAAATTCAGTGTGGCGAGGTTTTCTTATTTCTTTCGCTTCACCTTTGACGAATCATTTTTGCTTCGCTTCCAGATCTGAAATCCAGTACATTGTGGGGTCATGCAAGGGGTGGCTACAGGACATCAGCAGAAGCCTCGTTTAATTGTCGGTGGTGGAGGAGCATGCATCCGCGGAGTAAAAAGTAAGACCTAGGAAGCTTGTTGCTTACTGATTGATGAATCCTGATTGTTTAAGTAGTCTAGAAAAAGTCCATCGATGCTATTCTTTGGACTAGGCTGTGGATGAGACTTTTGTGAAAGAAGAGGCTACTGTTTTTCGAATCCTGACATCTGACATTGATTACATTCAATCGAAAGAACAGTGACAAAGCGTAGGTCATTTCCAAGCCACTGAGATGCAGTATTACTGATATTTCTCTTTTGGAAGACACAAGCACCAAGCAATGGTGTAGATGACTTGCAGCAGCGAGGAGGCACACGATCAATGGTGTAAAGAGACACGCGCTGTAAATGTATATATGTACATGGAACCAATACATTCTGTACGTAAATATGGCAGTCACAAAGTTTGCTCCTCACTTCATAGCTGCTAGAAACTCTGACCGGAAATGGACCACGAAGGCGGGGAGAGTTTCTGTATATCCGAAAGGCGCATGCACCTGCGTGGCACCGCAGCTTTCTGATTTTCATTGGAGGTCTCACACAAAAATTTATATTTTACTGCGAGTCCCTAGATCTCCGAAAGTCTAAATTACACCAATTTCCCGTTCAAGACTTCCAGAGCCCCGGAGTATTGTCCGAAGAGTAGTGATAGGCCCATTCGGATATGCTGCTGCCAGGTTGGAGTGCCTCGTGGAGTCCTTGCCAGTACCCCAGAACCACATTTAAGAAGCAAAATTCTCGGCCTTGATTCCGGTCTAGGCATATTCTGAGAATTCCAATGTCAGTGAGAAGAGTCATTGAGATGCGGAAATAAATGTGGTGTGCAATCGCGACGAGGATAGACGACGACCCTCCAGAAAGCAGATGAACACTGCAACCCGAAACAATATCTACAGCTTACAATGTGATTAAGTCAATAGCACTATTGAATCACTTGGCCTATAAGAATTTCCTTACGCTGACCTGGAGAGAAGAGCCACTGGGTAACAGCAGGGCGGGTTGATCTAGCATTGGAGAAGGAAAAATAATGCGTAGAACAAGTCAGAGAACTTCTAAAAAAGATTCAAGAAGAAGCTCAAGAAGTTTTTGTAAGACGTATACAACTGGTTTTGACTGACGAATAGGATCGTATGGAGGAGTACTGCAGAAGAGGAAGTGGCGGCCTGGAGCGTCCTCGGCTAATTAGTGTATTGGCGTTGGAATGTAAACAAATGAATGAAGCTGACTCACTTCATTTAAAGTTAGAGCCCAGAATTCGCTTGACGCACAATTGATGAGAAAGTTCCGAGTGCTTTCATATACTATTTTTACAAGCTCTTGTCATCTGCAGGGTTGGCCGTGCAACCCTTCCCAACTAAGCATCAAACACAACCTTATCCTCAAAATTTCTCACCACCAGAACCTAAATTCGTTCTATTGACCCCCATTCGTGCGAATGTGATTTTTTCTTGGCAACCGGGTCAACTAACATCTCGCATCTCTGGGATCTTCTCAAAGTAACTCTGGACGGCTTTCGTCCATAAAGGTAACAATGCAGTGGTCATGTGTCAACTTACCCCGCGTCTGGCAGAAATCCGGGGATGGCGGGGGGACGTTCTCGGCTCTTCTGCAGGGCACACATCCCGGACTTCGGGCTATTTGGGCAACTGGATAACTCGCGAGAAATTCCGTCTATCAGACATGTTCCCCATGATCTCTTTGTTCGAGTCCAAGACCACAAAGTTTCGCACTTTAGACTCCATGCAAGAGGTGCGAACCAAGTGCCGCCAGCAGTTCACCCGAATGAGTGGATGATTTTTAGTTTGACATTGCCGTCCCAATGAGGAGATTGTAATTGAGTTCTCATGACTACTAGGTTTCTAAGTTTTGAACTTATTTGTCTTGCGAGTTGAATTATCGGCAGATGCCTCAACCGCGATACCCCCGGTATTCATATATAGTACAAAATGTTTCTCACCATCCCTTGCGGGATTTTCTTTTTCTCTCGGCTACAGTATCTCTACTCGCCTTCAGAATGAAGTTCTCATATCTTCTCCCAGCTCTCTTGGCACTTTCTTCGCACGCCCTCCCATCACCACCAGCAGAGAATGTTGAGCTACAAACTCGCGCTGATGCAAGCTTAGTTGGATATCTGGGAGTATTTTTTCTTGGTAGCGCACCAAACGTGTATTTCTATCTCAGCAACGGGAACAATGCTTTCTCCTATAAGGCTTTGAAAGGTGGGAGTCCAATCCTGGATCCGAGCCTTGGGACCGGAGGCGTGAGGGATCCGTCGATTGTGAGTGGTGGGGGTTCGGAGGCGGGAAAGAAGTGGTATATTATTGGGACGGACCTGGATATCGGGAAGGTACGTTCATATGGTCTTGAGAGTTTAAATATTATGCTTCAATTTTATGACGGAAGAGAACCTGGAGAATATGAAAGCTGATCCGAAACCCTCGCTTGTGGCAGACAACATGGGATGCGGCACAACGGAAAGGCTCTCTCAGTATCTACATCTGGGAGAGTACTGATCTTATTAACTGGGGAACCGAGAGGCTCGTCAAAGTCGAGAACAACGATGCCGGCATGGTATGGGCTCCCGACGCGATTTGGGATTCAAGCAGAGGTAATTGATCCTTCCTCATGTACCAAGAGATCCAACCAACCAAATCAAAAGGTCAATACCTCGTCCACTGGGCTTCCAAATTCTACTCCTCCTCAGACTCCTCACACACCGGCACCCCAGGCCCAGACATAATCCGCTACGCTTACACATCCGACTTTCGCACTTTCAGCAGTCCCCAAACACTCATCAGCGCCGGCAAAACATCGATCATCGATCTCGCCTACGTCCAACTTGGCTCGAACTCCTATGCCCGCTTCTTGAAGAATGAGAGCGCGACGAATGTGTATATGGAGAGGTCTGATACGGGATTATTTGGGACGTGGACCAGGCCAGGAGGTGGAACGACGTTTATTCATAGCCAGGTGGAGGGCCCGTATGCCTGGAAGGATAATGCTATTGAGGGGAGGGTTAATCTTTTGCTCGATTGTAAGTTGATTCATATTTGTCCGGCATGTTTGGGCTTTGGGTCTGAGGAAGAATTTTCTGTGGACGGGAGAGCAAAGGCTGACAGTATGCAGACTTTGGAAGCGATGGGTACAGACCATTCACAAGCACAAATATGAATGCGAATGCATGGGTGGATGCTGATCGGAGTGCATTTCCAAAGAATCTGAGGCATGGAAGTGTGATTGGTATCACCAAAAACAGATATGATGCTCTGAACGCGAAATGGGGATAACCCGTCAATGTGGGGATTGTCAAATCTAGCTGGCCCAAATCTAGCTGGCCCAAATCTAGCTGGCCCAAATCTAGCTGGCCCAGGTCAGGAACATATATCATGTTGATCATGGTGCATATCAGACTCGGAGTATTATTTACGACTTGCATCAAAAAGCCACAAATGTCATAAGAGAGCAATAAATGTCTTAAACAGATCGAAGAAACATGGGAAGTGGGACAGAACGGAAATTGCGGTTGTGATATGCTTGGGCCAGCTGGTGGCGCTGGTCACCTCAACGGCGCTGAGTGGCTTGGTAAAGGAACGCTATCTAGCTTCATTTATCTGGAAATTTAAACCAAATTGCAAGACATCTCAGGATAAGTGTAGTTCTGAGATAGAGCAGCATGAAGTCCAGATCGCTAAGGGAGGTAGATAGACAAAAGTAAACAGTCTGCGGAGCGACAAACTCAGGGGCTCGCTAAAGCATGCTGCAGCTGCCCAGGAATCGGCTCCAAGGGATCAGAAGCGCGAGAAGAGAAAATGCAGCGTATTCTAGGAGTATTGACTGATATGTGTTTTTGGAAAACAAAACTTATGATTGAAAACATGTAGCTGAGGAGTCCCGACTGTAACGTCCAAGGAGCCAGAATTTAGGAAGATAAAATTGAAGCCCGTGACTGCCTTAGGCTGAAGAGCTTTTGTTGTGTTGGAATGAGATGAAAATATGTTCAAACAAGCGTGAAAAGCGTTGCTTTGCACTTGTACTTGTGCTCGAAAAGATATTCTAGATGAGAGAAAACCGAGAACAAAGTGTTCCGAAGACAGATGCCAAAACGTACCAGACCTTCTCTACAAGATGGAGAGACACTCCACGCCAGGAGCTTGTTGAAGCCTTTGCTATTGTAGAAAACGAGACATTCTTGCGCACAAGATACGTTGAACTCCCAGAGTCTGCAAAATGGAAACAAAGTGAAATGCTTGGAAAATAAATGAAGTGATTGCATTATAAACCCTTGATCGCGTGTGGTTGCCAATATCTCCGCCTCTCCGCCCTATCCATCATTATTGAGTTCAATACAATAAAACGCACCAACAATTATCTAAAAATCTCCAAAAAAAAAAACATCACTTCACTGAAAGCATACGCCCGCCCTACCGAAAGATGAAATGTAAATATCACATCAATCCCCCTCCTTTCAAGCCAGAAGAAAAGTAAACAAGCAACCAGACAAGCAGCCGGATCCCCGGGAAGAATCACCAAGCGAAGTGTGACATATCATATCATATCATCTCATCGCATCTTCTCGTCCGATGTCTCACGCTTACGGAACTCACATCTTTCTTCTAAATTATCTTCTATTCCTGGCTACGCCAGTGCATCCACATTTGGGTGGGGGCTCCAAATCCGATATCGTATGCTTATGCCCCGCTTGATTTATGGAGGCCCTTCAAGGCCCTTCAAGGGACGAGTACGAGTACGGTGCAACAAGATAGATAAGGAGGGACTGGGCCGGGACCCTGAACACAGCACAGTGTAATCCACCTGCTTGAGAGAGCAATGATGCGATGCCGGGCGGCGTGGGATGGATTTGCAGAGAAGTGGATGTGGAAGGGATATAGAAAGTGGTTTTTATTTTATTTTCTAGGACGATATCATTCGAAGGGAAAACAGACAACTTATGTCGGGCGGCGGCACCTGAATACAGAATACCTTATCTTAAGATGCTCGGATTCGTCACCTGCTCCAGCCGCGCTGCCGAGCTTACTGTACTGCTTTCCTGAAAAGCCGACGCCGATACTCGTACATCAATTGCTACTGTAGGTATCCATCCGTACTGCGTAGCTTCCCAAGCATCACATCAAGCTTCTGACACTTACGTACCCTGATTTAACAATTTCACTCCTTCCTGTACCTAAGCTCTTCGGTCCTGAATCCGAGCTTACTGTGAAATCATAAGGTAGGTAGCTTCTTCTCGGCGCGACGTGGAAGCCCTCTTTCAGGACTGAGGAGGATCCCGTGAACCCTTACCCATCAGTACTGTAGGAAGCGACCGAGCGGGCGGTGATCAACAGACTCCACGATCAGCACTAAAAGGCGTCATTGCGGAGCCGCGCTTTGAATTAAGCGCTGCACATCTGCATATCTTCTTGTTCTAGTTTGGAAGTGGGAAGATGTGAGTGGTGGGGGAGAGATGGAACCAAGATGCTGGAAAGGGAAAGTGGTTTAGTTTAGGGGTCCTGGGATTTTCATGCAGATGAAGTCAGTATCGATTGAAAGGGCGTTGCAGTTTTGAGACTGCTGTTGGTGTGGTTGACACAGTATGCGGAGAGTTTTCCAGCGCCGGCTGGTAAGTTCAAGAGGCCGGTCGGTACGGTTTGCGTGGATAGTAGGAATAGGAATAGCTCCAATCCGGGGAGATGATTTATGATTCATGGGGTTTCAAATTCACGTTCAACTTCAAATTCAAATTCACTTTTCTTTTTTTCTTCTTGTTTGTTGACTTCCCATTGTTTTGCTTTTTTGTTGGAGAATGAGGCGGAGGAGTGCGGGGTAGCTAGCCCCAGGGATCCCGACTGGATGGAATTTGGTTAGGGATAGGGATAGGGATTGGGATAGGGATAGGGATTGGGATAGGGGACCGTCTCTCCTTCCTATTTGCGGTGAACCGAAATTCGATTTGGATTATTGAGCAACTGGGAAATGGAGGGACCTGGACCTGGGGGTACATAAAAGTTTTGTCATCTCCGTGTGTGGTTGCATCATTTTTGTACGGCGGCGGCGTAAACAAATCTGGATATTTTCATTCAATTATTTTGCTCTGCTACTTTCTCGTGATCCGATATCTTAATCGCCGACACAGCAAAAGCCATCCAGTCTTCAACAAACCTGCAACAACAACCAAAAAAAAATCCCAATTGCCGGAACACTTAGAGTTCACACAATCCACTAATACACTAACACACTAACAATCCGCACGAAGGATTCTCCAGAAAATGAAAGTGGTGGCGTGGCGTCCACCCGGCCCGTCTACCACCCGTCCGATCGCTCTCTAGTTGGCTTCGCAAAGAACACCAGCCTGGAGCCTGGCTCGACACTACAGTATTACTGGCCAGGACGATGCGAAGCTACTGCGTGTGATGGGTAGCGCGATCTGTGATTTGAGATCGCCAAGGATTTTCTTAGATGCAGATGCAGTAGTTTGGCAGTTTGGGTTTTGCCAGTGGTGGAGATGGGGATGGGGATGGGGATGGGGATGGGGTTGGATTGGAGATGGGGATGTATGGGGATGGAAGTCTGTGGGGAGTTAATGGTGTAAAATACTCCCCAGATCTTTGTAAGTGGTTTATTGTGTGTATGTGCATGCTGGGAGTTTGGTCCGCTACTTATTGGAGAAGGAATGCATGGGATGAGAGGAATGGAATGTGGAGCTAGATAGGATGAACAGAGGGAACCCACTTCAAGTTTTTGGTTGAGGCGAGAGGTTAGGATGACATGCTGTAGTTCGTTCGAGATTCATTGTACCTTCGTAAGCAATCCGAGATTTCTTGAACTCCAGAACTGTGCATCTGATTTAGGCAAATACAGTAAGTAACATAGCTGGAAGGAGATGTTCGTCACGGATAGGAAGTGGAAGTTTAATTGATGAGGCTTCTTGTACTCCCTACCTTATCAGAACGTAATCTAGTCCGGCGTTTAAATCACTGGATGGCAATCACAGCTGCAGACCATCGCATCGCCCGTCTCACGATCTGATGAGACGAACTATCTATTTTATTTTATTTTGAGTTGGTTGTGAGATTGCCGAGCTTGAGCTTGAGCTCTTGCAGTAGGTCTGTCTGATCTTTGCCCCTGGGCTTGAGCTTGAGCTTGAGCTGGGCCTGAGCTTCGGAGGAATCAGCGGTACAACAGAGTTACAGTACATTACATAAGAGAGAGGCTTACACGAACGAGCCCGAGCTACGAGAAGCTTGAACTTTGAGCAAATCCAGATCTGTTTACGGTATTTGGTACCTTAGGTCGGGAATCGGGATTGAAGGAGGGTTACTGTAGGGTGGTGGTGACGGTGGTCGGATTGGATTTGGACTTACTGACGTGGATGCGTCGTGCGTGCAGATTGTGAGGCGAGGCTGAGGGGATGGCTTGGAAGTTTGCCTAGGTACCTAGATTGAGTGTTCGGGTGACAATGGCGGAGAGGAGGGGGATGACGGAAGGGTGGGAGGTCAGGATATACTTACTTTACTTACGGATGGAGGAGGTAGGTAGGTAGGTGGGTAGGTGGGTTTACTTGTAAGAGAGGGTGTGAAGGTGTTTTTAAACTCTGTGAGTATTCTCATTCTGTACTTACCCAAGTTGTCTCCTACCTAATAGGCGAGGCGAGGCGAAAAAGCTATCATCTGGAGAAGCAAACCTTCAGATCTCGAAAATAACTCAATGAAGTAAACAAACCAAGCAAGTCGTCTTGAATCCGTCAGATCTCTAAGCTGCATCCCCACCCCCATCCTCATCCCAACTTCAACTCAACTTAACTCAACCCAAAATCTCATCTCATCTCCTCTCTCCGCATACTATCCGAATAATCGGGAAAGATCAACTCTTACTCGTAGTTCACGTTTCAGTTTTCATCATCTCAGAGATCTGCTTTCATCCATGATCCATGATTCCATCGTATCCCATCGTATCTCATCCCATCCCATCCCGATTCTTCCCTGACTCCCTGAATTCCTGACAAGTGAGTTGAGGAGTGAGTATGGTGAGTTGTGTTAGCGAGGATAGGTGAGGTGAGGATGGCTGCCTGGCTTGATCCTTGGACAGTGAGTGCAGCATGGAGAAGAAAGAAAGGGTTGTGGATGGAGGGTGGAAGAGTCAGAGGGTGGAAGAGTCAGAGGGTGGAAGAGTCAGAGGGTGGAAGAGTCAGAGGGTGGAAGATGGAAGAGTGTGGTGGCGGGTTGAGGAGGGGATGGGTGGTGATGATGAGGAAAGAGGAGGAGGGAGGGAAGAGGGGAGGGGAGGGGAGGGGAGGGGAGGAATTGGGAGTGGCCGTAGGTTCAATGAGTAGGTAGTTAGTGGCGAGTATGAAGTGAGAAATGTTGCTATACTGTATGAACGAGGATTGAGCACTGAAGTGAAGCTCAACTCATTTCACAGATCACGTGTTGCCAGTCGCCTGTGGTCGTGCTGGTTGTGGTCGTGGTGGTGCAATCGGCATGGTACGGTATTTGCGGCTCGTTCACCGTCTGTCTATCCTCGTTCGCAATTTACAGCGGCTATCCTGGCGCCCTTGGCCCCTGGACTTCCATTTGAGGGTGTGGGTGTGGGACTATGGGTGTGTGTGTGTGGGGAGGTGAGGGTCAAGGGTCTTTGCTTGCATGGTGCAAGGTGGAGCGATACGAGATTGTGAGTTTGTAAAGCGAGGTGATGATGAGGTAACGAGGGCTTCACGACATGATATTGACCGATGCAGGACATAAAGGGAAGGCGCGTGTGGTTGATAAGAGGTGCAGGTAGCTCTGTGAGTGTACCGTATTTTCTTGTCTTGTTTTGTTGGTTGTTGAAGAATGGGATGCCGAGGAGCTTGCTTGAAAGGCGTGGGATGGGATGGGATTTGTGTGACGACCCCACTGTGTCCAGGGAACGCCGAGATTCGGGGTTGCTTGTGTATTTGTTGGAAGATGCCCAGAAGATAGGATGGTTAGGATGTGGTTGAAAGCGATTGCTGTCCAGATCGTTTCAAATACAAGAATTGCTGCGATCTACGGAATTATTTCTCACCCCTCTCGTCTCTCCTGAATCTGGAAGGAAGCCGGCTCGGGATATATCTATCCTTCAGATATTAAAATGGAGCCAGAGCGCGAGGGAACAGGCCACTTGGTTGTCCGTGGACGGTGTTTCCTTCATGCACGAAAGACTGGCGTGATAGGCTGGCTGGGATGAGGGTGCGAGTGAGAGAAGGAAAGAAGGAAAAGCGTGTCTTGGGTTTGGTGTGTGTCCTGGGCAAGTTGCTGGGTGTTGGTTGTTGCATCACTCTGCCACAACAGCAAGTTTATGCAGCTTTTGAAGATTTTTCAGTCGGAAAACCTCGGTAGAGGGTAATAACACATGAGATATAGTGAAGATCCGTGGCTCTTGGATAGGAAGGTTTAAGAGGGAGGAAAGAAGTAAATCCAGATTCTCAACTGTTGAACGATTTGCACATGAAGATCTCGAGACTATCCCGCGTTCTCCATCGGGGACCTGTCAAGTGGTGAGGAGGAGCTTGGATTTTGTGGAGTCGTGAGCCGTCTGGAGGGATTCCTAGGTAAGCTGAATGCTGATTTGATGCTTACACGCGTCGGACAAGCTCAATCGTTTCAGAAGCAGACAGCCTTGGAGGAGGCGGCCATACATATGCTACAGTATGAAATTTAAAGTGCTTTCTGCTGGATTCTGTGGTCTGGGCCGGGGATCAGATCGACTGGCGTTGCGGCTGGCTGCACTCGTTTAGGATAAATGCAGTATGCGGAAGAAGAATGCACCACAACCCTAACTTTTGTCTCTGTTTTTCCCCCCTGTGTCCTCAGGCTATGACGAAAGTTTGAGGGGTTGAAATTATTTCAGAATTCTTGATTCGTTAGCTGTGTTTTGATGACGGTGAAATTCTCATTGGTTGATTGGTAATCTGGTTCCTGAGGATGATGATGCTGATGTCCAAGATGGTTGGCGATGATTCGATGTCAAAGTTGGGCGCTGATACCCCTCTATGCAGGACATCTGCAGGACATCTATCCAGCAGTGAGTGAGTGCGTTTCCAACCCATCATCTCAGGCCACCGCGCTGCAGCACTGCAGCTTCAACTGGCCTATGGCAAGTTGCCAATTCTACACCAGCAAAAACAGAGGCTGCGTTCTCGAAACTGTGATCCCAAGAAACTTCGAGGCTACTGTATGGTGGCAGTATAATTGAAAGTTAAAGACAGCTTTCGGCTGCTGATTTGAGAGGAGGTGTTTCCGGGTGGTGGACTCTTTGACTGCAGTAGTGTATTATTGTCGACCGTCGGACTGAGATCCGAGGATGTGAGTATGTAATCGGGGGTTAAGTGTCCCCTGAAATGGACTTGATCGGACAAGCGGCCATGCCAATGCTTTCGAAGTGAGGGGAGGGATGGCTCGTAATTGGCAGGCCGAGTCCGTGAAGATAGACTTGGACTAGAGGAGAGCAAGCCACACACACGTTGGGAACACGCAGGTATGGGAATATGAGACAAATAAGATGAACGTGTTGACGAGAGGGGATTGCTGCAGAATTGCGAATGAGTAGTGGACTTCAAGTATTGCATGAATAGACGACGAGGCAGACAGGAGCATCCGCGAGTCACCTCCTCTCTTCACAGGATAACCGTTGTTGTGTCCATTGTGCTGTTCATCTCGTGCTGCCTTGCTTGACTGCTTCACAAATTTATACATGCTCACCCATCACGGTACAGCCTTTGAACCTTGCTGTGGAGGCATCTTTACAGGCATGCTGTCCCACTGGAGTGGAGCCTGCATGCCCCTATCCAGCAAGCCCTCGTCCGCTAACCCCCATTAGTCGCCCCTGTCCTCGGGCTCTCACACGCTGTGCGGTGCGGTGCGGTACAGCACAGCACAGTACGCGGCGGCGGTGGTGGTGCTGGGCCACGGTCAACTTCAACTCCAGACTTTCTCTCCGTCTTTCTACACTTCCTCTTTCCAACCCAGGCTCTGTCTCAATATCTCCCGATTGTTGACGACACCCATCACCCCGTCCGCCTGCCTTCGTTTTCCTTCAACAAGGCGGTCTTCTTTCTTCTCATTGTCTATTGTTGTCCCTCTTTTCCCCCTAGCACAGCCCAATCCCCATTCATCCCATCAGCCCCGTATCCGTGTCCACCACCTCCTCGAAAAAACATTCCTCTCCTCATTCCACCTCCCTCGCTTCCGACGGCCACGACGACGACAGCAGACCCATTTCCATCAATTCACGAGAGAGCTGTGAGGTTCGCAGACTCTAATCCAGTGCTTTGCCCGTCGATTCGTTGCTCATTGGTGTTGTCGTGACAGATCCCTCACCTTTTGGCCGGACAGAGCTCTCACGGGAGAAGTGTGGTTCTGTGACGCGAACGAGTTCAGACTCAACTCCTTCCTGGCCGCCGGCGTCCCTTTTCGATTCGACCTTTCTTCAACCGTTAACTCGCGTTGATTTCCAACCTACACTCTTCGTAATACTTGCACCTTCTCTGGCACATTTTCTCATTGAAGGTTCGTGATACGATCCCCCTCATCCGATCCTTTAACGCGCTTGTGGAGCCTGTCAGAGCAACATCACCCCGATGAAATCACCTCACCCACTTGACTTTTTCGATGAGGAGACTAACATTGATTTTTATTGCAGATATACCATTTCGTTCTTGTCACCTTTACGACCGATCCTTCGTAACGAATGAAGTGTTGAGAATACACCAAAGCTTTTAGCTTTCCATCATCCCAGCCAGGCTCGTTACCACAGCATGGCTGCTTTGGTTCAATCATACCCCCAACAGTCCAGTACAATTACGATGCTCCAAACTCGACCTTCCTCTGCATCTGGAATCCTCCAGAACGCTTCGCAGGCCCAGTCTCACCACAAGTACCCTGTGAATCCACAACAGATGCAGCGTAACAGTGTCCACGGGATGAGCAATGGCATGGGAATAACAAATTATCGGGGACATACCACAGTGGCACCAATTGCTCCTTACGCATTCACTAGTACCCCTAGTCTTGCTACACCGGGGCAGAGGCAAGGACCGCATCTTCGAGCGGATCAGAGAACCACTTCAGCACCAAGCGGGATGGGTCAACATTCTGAATCAGGACAAAACAGATCAAGATATCCTGCACCGCTTTCGGTCTCTACTACCTCGTCCTCTTCCTCCTCCGATCTCTCTTCAGTGAGCCACAGATCAGGATCAAAGGATGACTCTGTCATCACCGGGACTGCTCGTGTTGTTTCAGGGGGTGTAAGACCTCATTCCGTAGTCATGAACTCCAACAACGGAAATCTTGCTCCCCCAAGCCTCGCGTCCCCATCCAAGCCGTCACCCGAACGTTACCGCCGACCAAACAATCGTCGAGCTGAGTCTGTCTCCAGCCAACAGCCTTCCACACCAACTGGCTCCTCCATGCCAAATGTCATGCAATTCTATGGCAACTCAACACAACAGCCCACTCTGCCTACAATCTCACCTCAAAGCTTCAGTTTACAGATGCCCCAGTTCTCCAAACCTACAACTGGCTTTACCTCGGGTGCCACCAGTGCCGATGATATGGCATTGAATCGAAACACCAGCCAAGAGGCTATCAAAAGATATCGTCGACGCAGCATTCACACCATTGACGCAGCTGATTATAGTGGGATGTCGGGAGGATTTTTGCAGCAGGGATCACGCCAAGTTAGCAGTGCGAATGGCAGAATTGATCAGCAACACCCTCTCCGGAGCTCTCCCGTTGGGGTTATTCGTCCGGGCTCGTCTCATGGACGCAATGGAAGTTCAGACAGCGTGAATTCTACTCGCAGCGCTGCTCGCGGACATATTTCCAGACCCAACTCGGTATGTATTATCTCGTAAACTTCTCACCGCCGCGGTATTCCCGCATCTTCCAACATTTTCAATTTATCCCACACCAATTAAAGTGTTTTGGGGTTCATTTCGCTAATCCGCTAATGATCCAGGCGAACAAGCGAGAGGCAAGCGCATCCATGGCACCTTCAAACCCCGCCCCATCTTCCTCGCAACCTCCAGCGGCAAACAACTTTGCAGACCAATCCTCAGCCAAACACGATGTGCCTAGACTTGTGAATATTCCTCCACGAGCTTCGTCTACAGATGCCGCCAAACGAATTGCCAATCCTTCTCCTCTGTCGAAGCCGATGACGATGAGTCCCGAGACTTCGGTTTCCAAGGACTCCTTCGCATCGAACGTTCAAGCCGCCCTACAACAACAACAGCCAGCGAAGCCCACTTATGCGCAGGCCGCAAGTGGCCCTGCGAGCCCTGCTGCTCAACAATTGGCGGCGTTGAACGATAAGGAGGGAAAGAAGAGCAAGACCTCACGACTGCGGAGGGCCTTCTTCTTTGGTAGTGCGGCAGAACTTCGACGAGCCTCGGCTGAGAACAGTGCAGCCAACAATGCAGCAGGTCGTTCTCAGCAACGCAAGGACAAATACCAGGAGGAGCAAGATGCTGAACAAGCCCGGATTGCACAGCAGCAGGAGGCTGGAGGGATTGGATCGGGCATTTACTCTGGCCAAGGAAACATCTTCACCGGCTCTACTGATAATCTTTCAATCTCGTCAACTGCTTCTTCCGCCTCTATCATGATCCGGAAGATGGGCAAAGGCATGAAGAAATCCACCAGATCTCTTGTGGGGCTCTTCAGACCAAAGTCTGTTATTGGTGTTCCTGCTGCAGATGGTCCCCTTCCTCAGGCAAGCCAGGCTCAGGTTTCTATGGTTACTGTTGAGGCAGAGAGAGAAAAGGTGAATGTCAATGCAGACCCGCATGATCAGGCTGGAGGCGGTACAGGTTTCCCAAGATTAGAGCGGAATTCCCTCGATGCTGCCAATGCCACCGCTACCATCACAGAGCGATTGGGAAGTGCTAGCACTGAGAATTCTGCTGCCAGACGAAGCATTGTTGGAGGTGAGAAGGAGCGCGCAGAGGTTCTGGCAGCTGTGAAGAAGGGTATCCTTAAGCGTAAGTCGACCTCCTATTTTTGGATCCATTGTACTGACAAATCAGGCACTGGTACAGACTCAGGAAACTCTTCACCTGTTATTCGACCAGTCGACACCAAAGCCGCCAACTTCCAACTACCACAAATACCCAACGTCAATGATTCCCCCAATTCGTCTGCTCCGAGCACACCAAATGATGAGCAACAGGCACACCGCAAGAATGGTTCAGTGACATTGGGGGGCGAAGACTACTTCATGTCTGCCCTGCGTTTCCGAGGAGATTCGAAGAGCATGCCAGGAACACCTCAGGGGACTGCCACCAAGCGTAATGCCACATTCAGTCCTCGTATTCAGTTTCATGATACCTGGCCGAGTGGAGAATACGATCGTAGGGGCGAGATTGCCACATGTAATCGTCTTACGCCAATGCTTGCCCAACAGATCAAGGAGGAGATCAACAACTTCAAAATGGTATGTATTCTGTGGGTGAAATTTGGAATTCAGCTAACCTTGCGCAGGAAATGGTGGTGCACGAAAACTCCAAAATCTACACACACTTCTTCTAATGAAACCACGATTATGGTTGCTTCCAGCAGCCCACGAGAAACAAAACTCACATATCCTCTCTTCGCATAGCGGGGCAGGCACAAAAAGGTTTGTTGTCATGCACACGCACATCAGATCCGACTTCACAGGCGTCTACCAGGGTTTTTGCGCATTCTATGGTGTACAGGAGTCAATTTAACATCTGAGCGATTTGGTCAACAAACTCTATATTCTTTTTTCCACATCGTTCATTGTCTTGACTGTCTTTTTTCACTTGCTTGCTACTAGACAGATATGGGCGTCGGCTGTCTTGTTGTCTATTTTCCTTCTCTCTCGCAGTCTTTCTTCTTTTCTAAGAGCATACTGGGCGGGTGACTGGGCAGAGGGAAGGGCTGTATGGATGGATAGCTAGGTCGACGGATGTACTGGGGATGAAATGGAAATGGGGTTGTGATCTGTGATTTATGGTTGGGTGGAGGGATTGACGAGTGGCATAGTATGAAAGACAGAGACAACGCGAGACAGCATGCAAGCAAGCAAATTCCTGAATGAAGAACGTTTTTGACTTTTAAGAGAGGCTTTGAGATTCATGCATTGAGATTTGCTTTGCTGCGAAAGTTGCTTTTTTGCATCGAGATATTTCCCAATTAGTGCTTGCTAGGGAGGACTCGGCGACGGGTATCGAAGTAGTAGCTGGACGTGGGTCATTGATTCTGTTAATGAGGTCACAAGTCTATTTGTACGATGTATCATTTCTCTCATCACTGAATATTCGAGAGCAGAAACAGCATTGAAATGGTGACGGGAAAGCTGGTAGAGTTGAATGTGAGGATCTCGGAAGGCCTTAGATTGGAAAGTTCTATAACACGCGTCACTGTATAACACTAAATTATGTATACTTACTTCCACATTTGTTGTAAGGATGTGAACTCGTGAAAAGAAATGGAATGCATCTATGATTGAGCTGCATCAGGCTGAGGTTTGGTCGCCTGAAGTCTGGTATGGTAAGGGCTACTCAACTATTGCCTCCTATGAATCAGGGAGATCAAGTGTCGCTGATGATCCAGAATCCCGAGCCCAGACTATAGCGTGTCTAATCTTCTTTTGTATATGCTTATTTATACATGATTGGTGCTGTTCCATGTTCTCGAGTTTTCATGCCAATGTGAGTTGGGAGACTTTCCAAAGTGATACCTACTGCAGCCTCGGCTTGGCACTACACAGCCTTGTGACCGAGGCGCTAAAATATTTTACCTCGAGGCTCTCGTTTGGCAAACTTCAAGAGACATTGCGACACTTACTCACTCCTACATTCTCTAGCTCCACACAATTCAAACGACAACGAGATACCACTGGAAAGATCTACCTGCTAGTCCAGCTGCGCGATTGTGGCGGCTGCTCTGCTGCGACGAGTGCTGTGGGCTGGAACCCGGCGACTGGAAATACCTTCTCTGGGGCGAAGGTACATCATGACGGCTAATGATGCTGTGCTGGGAGGGGGAGTGAAGGATGCAGGGGGGATTATAAGCAATGGTATTGGAGAAACTGTTGAGGAACAGAGGAGGGGAAAGTTGTATGGAAGGGCGTTTTATGAGAGTATTGGGAGTCCGAAGTTTGTGCTGGCACCGATGGTTGATCAGTCGGAATTCGTATGTGCTTTCTTGATCTTTGTTCGACTTCACTATGGATAGTGGACAGAAAGACTGACAGTTAATAGGCCTGGCGTATGCTCTCCCGCTCATTCATCCCTCCCTCCTCCCAACGAGACCTCGTAGCATACACACCAATGCTCCACGCACGCATGTTCAGCGAAACCCCCAAATTCCGCGACGGCCACTTCCAACCCTTCCGCGGCTCTCTTGCCTCGCCCACCCCTCCATCACCTCTCCCTCCACTCTTCCTCGACGGCAATCCTTCCTTCGACCGCCCCCTCTTCGTCCAATTCTGCGCCAATAATCCCTCCGAACTCCTCTCCGCCGCAAAATACGTTGCGCCGTTCTGCGATGCCGTGGATCTGAATCTAGGCTGTCCGCAGGGCATTGCTAGAAAAGGGAAATATGGAGCGTTTTTACAAGAGGATCAGGAGTTGATATATCAGTTGATTAACACGCTGCATAAAGACCTGGTAGTTCCTGTCACAGCTAAGATCAGGATCTTAGACTCGAGAGAGAAGACGTTGGAGTATGCGAAGAAGGTATTGAGTGCTGGTGCTAGTATTTTGACTGTGCATGGGCGGACGAGAGAGATGAAGGGGCATAAGACGGGGTTGGCGGATTGGGCTGTCATTCGGTATTTGAGGGAGCAATTGCCGAGAGAGACGGTGCTGTTTGCGAATGGGAATATTCTCAAGAAGGAGGATATTGATAGATGTCTTGAGGCTACGGGCGCGGATGGCGTGATGAGCGCAGAGGGAAATCTATATGACCCTGCGATATTCTCTGAGGCGCCGCCGGTGGGTGAAGAGGGAAGGGAATATTGGAGAGGTGTTGATGGACGGGGTGGTTGGAGGATGGATGCCGTGTGTAGGAGGTATATGGATATCATATATCGTTACGTATTGGAAGTCGAACCGCCAAAACGACAGCCTCTTTATTTACCATCCGACCCGGAGCCTGAACCAGCACCTTCAGCAGCGGTGGAAGACTCAACACCTCAGCAGACAAACGGGGACTCGTCCGCAAAACGCAAAGCATCTACAGAACAAACCTCAAACTCAACGTCAGCATCCAAACGCCAAAAGACCAATGGCCCAAAGAAAGAAAAATCCTCCTCTCCCAACATGCTAGCCATGCAACCCCATCTCTTCAAGCTTCTACGCCCCCTAGTAGCCAAACACCACAACGTGCGTGACGCCCTCGCCCGAAGCCGCGCAGGTGACATCGAAGCATTCGAGAACGTTCTCCAGCTCGTCGAGAAAGCTTGCAAGGAAGGATTAAAAGAGTACGCTTCAAGCAACGGCGAGAGCTGGGAAATCGAGATGAAGAACGATGCGCGTCTGAACGCTGCTAAAATCTCACAAAATGCTATTGAGAATGGAGGGAATGGTAAAAAGGATAAAGAGGGAGATGGCAAGGGCGAAGTAACTGGTGAAATGGACGAGAGTTCTATCGAGACGGTCCGCGCTTGTAAGAGGCCTTGGTGGGTCGTGCAGCCGTATGTGAGGCCGCTTCCTAAGGAGGCGTTGGCGAAGGGGAGTTTGACCCTCAGCAAGAAGGAGAAGGAGGCGTTGAGGAGGACGGGGGATCCGTTTGGGGATTTGGAGAAGGTTGACAGGGAGGGAAAGGAGAATGGCGTGGTGGTTGGGGAGGGGGAGGGGGGGTATGTGGAGGTTGAGAGGGTTGGTGAGGATGTGGGGAAGGGTAAGGGCGAGGGAAAAGGAGAGCAGGTGGAGATTCCGAAGGAGGGGCTGGTTTGTGGTTGATATAGGCGAAGGTCTTGTTTTGATACTCAGAGGGAGTGGGAAGGATGTATGAGGTGTGGTCAAGAGCTGATCCACGCTTCTAGAAAGACGGAATATCTCATTCAGATTTAAGATGATAGTCAATAGATAGAAATTGGGAATAGTGGCCCGCTGCGTTCATGAATCAACTACTTGGTTCGTTTCCTCCATGGGGCTTTCTGTTGGTGAAGTCAAGTTCGCTGTGTGCATAGAAAAATCTGTCCAGTACACAGGAATCGTCTGTGTTGTCTTCGTCAGCATGATAGATGTTCGAAATTACTAGGTTACTCGTGGCATATCTCTTCAGATTTGGGATATTGCTGGTTGTGAACATAACGAGCCTCTGGAGGGTGAGAATTCTGAGGATACTCCAGGATGTTACAGCATCTGGCTTATAAACATAGGAGGGACGCTGGTGTGCTGAAGTGTTGAACTGGGTATGTATGGGGCATTGAGGGGTTTAAGAGATTTGGAACTACAGTAACGTTCTCGACCACCAGGATGAACACCCCTTGCAACAACCTTCCGCATCTTCGGGCGAAGACAGAGTATATATCAGCAACACTCAGATTCTACAGTTGAGATTGTGTTATGTCCAAGACACCTCGTTTGATCTCCTAGTCGCTTCAGCCCCTGGTTATCCGCGGTATTTCGACATTGTAGACTGCGCAGTGGAGTTCGACGCAGGGAACACAAAGAGTTGATTTCTTATCTTTAAGAGCAACGTGAAACTCATGAGACTCTCATTGAGCCCTTGAGAATTATTGAGCCAGCTGGAGGTGGTCGATGAGACTACCAGGTTGTTTTTCTGTTTACCATTGGCTTGCTGGCACATGGTGGCGTTGAGGCGCCTGTTTGACGCCCGGTTTGGTGGTGGCATAGCCATTCAAAATCCGCATTGCATTTCGTGGAATTTGGTGAAAGTGTCCGATTTTCTCTCATAACCACTATTTCCAATTCCGATTTTACAGTTCCGATCCAAATCATTTACCTTCATCATGAACACCGTCTACATGTGACAGGACAGAAGCCGTCCAGCTCAATGGATCGAAGAGACTCTGCATCAGCACCAAATTCCATTCAAATGGCAGCCTTACCACGTCCAGCTCGGACTCTCCCCCGACCTTCTCCAGCATTAAACCTTTCCGGCAACCCTATCTTGCCTTCATTCAAGGATCCCGAGGTCTGTCTCACTAATTTTCAGGATCAAAGCCATACAAGAACAGGACGTCGACGATTGATCTGCTTCCCCAAGCTCAATCTACTCAATAGAAAGCTAGCACGACTCACTTTCCAGGCTATGGTCGCATTTGGCGTCCTTACAATTGTATATCAAGGCATCAGTCTTATACCAGCCTTCCAGAGTTCCAGAACCGCGCTGAGGGCCTTGGGTATCCAATGGGAATCGGCTCGTGACGGCCGTCAAACTCTGGTTTTTGGATTCTTGCAGGAGTGCGCGAGTCGTAAGGTAAGATATTATTGATTTCCGACGGTGAGCTCCATTATCTTGTTAACTGGTGAGATGCAGGCACAGGGCTTGCCGCTGGGTAATGACTGTGAGAAGTATTTGGCACGAACGCCGAAGGCTCCACCTGATATTGAAGAGTGGTTGGAAGCTACTCCGTTGGGAAATGTTGTACGAGTGCTCAGGAAGATTCGGGATCTTGTGTACACTGGTTCGGATGGAAGTGGCACGCTTCATCCAGATACGCCATCTTGGGTTTCTGGCGGGGAACGCCAACAGGAGTGGTCCAAAGTTCGGCTGTACCTCGTCATGGCCCTCATTGTTTTCGTGTTACTTTGTGTGGCAAAATCTAGACGATTTCGAAGTGATGTCGGTAGAATCAGGTCAACTGCCCATATTCTCTATGGCCCGTTCGCAATGATTGCGAGTTCCTCACTAGCGACTTGGATAATTTATTCGGTCGTATTTGGGGGCACTATATCGTTGGGCATTTGGATTTATTTTGATTATGGGATTCCTTCAAAGATACAGAGATGGGACGCTGTGTTCGAATTCCTCGAGGAATGCAATTTTCGTGAAGTACGTTTACAGGACCCGAAACATGCGCTGGACATTGATTTGGTGCCCAAACGCAGAGTCAGCTAACGATTGAATATCTAGAATCACGACATCCCACTTGGAGACGATTGTATCATTTACGCATCGAGGAGAATCGTACCGCGACCATCGACCGGAATCGCCTATCATGCCGTCACTCTCTTATGCCTTACTATTTCAGTTACAGCCTGTGTGTTGTCCATCACTAGCCTTGTAATGCAGTGGAGCACAACAAGGGCAATGCGAAGCAGCTTTTCCTTTGATAGTAGTTCTTCGGATCACTGGGATCGCATGCGTTTGATGTTTGAGAGCACGCCCTTCAGATCCAGTGGGAATGTCCGCGTCTCCGATCCGCTCGAACTGCACTTGTGGACAAGACTCAGTTCGCCAGATTCGGACGTCTTGCTGCTTCCGGATGAGACAATTTTTAGTGAAGACGAACGAACTTCTCGCTCTGAAAGGTCGGAGCGTGCGAGACGTATGCTAGGATATGAAGACTTGGTAGCTAGAAATTGAGGATGGATGTGATGAACTACGAGCAAGTATTTGCTTTCAAGGTTATGGATCTGGTCATGGATGGTAGTTTTGGTACGGGGATGTGGATGTGGAATAGTTCTGGTGCTCGCATACTTGGAAAGGCAGTGGTTCATAGGACGGCATCTGGCTTTCCATCTAAGTTTGATTGTCCAATCTGGCGATGTGATCGGTGGGCTGTGTGGCTGGTTGACCAGGATTATTCTTTCAATCTGTTGGTAATCACTACGATTTCCTTGATAGCTGCTACCTAGACGATATGCGTGTATAAGACGTGGAGCTTTGGAGCATGGTGCGGTTCAGCAGTGCCTGGAGATCTATTGAGTATGCCTCACACCCTCAAGAGACCCAACATCAACATTCGCTTGTGTAGCCCCTGTACAGTAAGCGAGACAACAGCACAACAGCAGCCTCAGTGGTGACTTTTGATGGGCCCACCATGAGCAAGAAATGCGCTGCATGCTAATGATAGTTCTAGACCCGTGCCATGTTACATTTCGGTTTATGGACTAACTGATGGACCCATGCCATCCTAGAGGCAAATCGCGCACCCCCACCCCTGGACAGGAGCCGCAAAGGCAGCGCGATATTAGCTATCTTCAGAACCAAGCCAAGATCCTTCCATTTTCTTCAAGAGGAAGCTTCTAGCACGGAGATCCGCACTCATGCATCAACTAAGCCTGTATGCTGCGAAGCATCGAATGTTCGTCACGTGTAAGGTCCCAAGCCCTGGCGCCCCTCATACAAAAGTCTTGGTACCTGCCGATTCAGGCACAGGTTGCAATCATTCCTTCTTGGCACCTTCCAATGCGAGATCACAGGGCCCGGATATTGTGATGATCGTATCTTGACCGCTCTGCAAGGGCAATGGCGTCTTGGTCACGATATGGCGAGATAGTGATATAAATGAAGGCACCGGCACGAGTTCGGATGAGTGGTTCGACCACCTGAGTTGCCTTCAATCCACCAGCTTCTGGGTTTCAAATCACTTTGAGATTAACCTCAAGATTGATTGAACTTTCGAAAGTCGATCATGAAGACCGTTGCATCAGTTGCCGTGGCGCTTTTCGCCTGGCAGTCTTTTGCCACCGAGCCTTTGACTCCAGAAAAGATCGAGGCGGGTGTCAAGCAAGTTGAGTGAGTTGACCCTAGTGATAGAGTCATGGAATAATGCTGACAGAATCAAGCCTGGAGCGCAATCTCTGGAACTTGAATCAAATCGCCAAGAAGAACGGTGGAAACAGAGCTTTTGGTCTTCCAGGATACAAAGCATCTTCGGATTATGTGCTCGAAAGAGTACAAACCAGATTTGGGAACACTTTCGACACGACTCTTCAATACTTCAACCACACTTTCGAGCAGACTCGTGATATTTCAGTCACTGGTCCAGATGGAGAGGACGTCCCAGTGATCACATTGCTTTACAACAATGCTACCCCACTACCTGGTGGAGTTACTGCTCCTCTTATCGACACCCCAGTCAATGATGTGACAGGTATGTAAAACCAATCACCGCTCAAAATAAGTGTTTTAGCTAACAATTGTCCAGGCTCAGGATGTGAGGCAGCTGATTGGGAGGGTATTGATCCTACTGGAAAGATTGTCCTCATCAAGCGTGGTGTTTGCGCCATCTCCATCAAGCTGAAGTTTGCAAAGGACCTCGGTGCTCTTGGTGCCATCCTCTGGCATCAAGTTTATGGCGTCCCTAACAGCGCCACTCTCGCTGCCGAGAATATTGGCCTCATTAGTCCTGTGGCTGTCGTCGCCAAGCCAATTGGAGAGGCATGGAAGGCACGTCTCGCAGCTGGCGAAGAATTGATCGTCAATCTCCTCGTCGACTCTGTTTTTGAGGAACGTGAGAGTTGGAACATCTTCTCTGAGACCAAGGAAGGCGACCCAAACAGCGTTGTCATGCTCGGTGCTCATTTGGACTCTGTCCAGGCTGGCCCAGGTATTAATGATGATGGATCAGGAACCTCCGGCATCTTGGAAGTTCTGACTGCTTTCCGTCACTACAAGGGATACAAGAACAAGGTCCGCTTTGCTTGGTGGGGTGCTGAAGAGAGTGGCCTCGTCGGATCTCTCTACTATACTTCCCATTTGAGTGAGGAAGAGGCAGACAAGATCAAGTTCTACTTCAACTACGACATGATAGGCTCTCCAAACCCAATCTGGGCTGTCTACAGAGGCGACAACCCAGGTGATGCCCCAGGAGCTAAGATCCTCTACGACTACCTCGTTGCCAAGGGCAAGCCAGCATACTACGGCGGCTTCGGAACAGGCTCAGATTATGTTGGATTCCTCCAGCTAGGCATTCCATCTTCTGGTCTGTTTACCGGAACCACCAATGATCCATGTTACCATCTGGTATGTGACACTACCAGCAACATCGATACCGAAGCCCTGGTCATCAACTCCAAGGCCGCTGGTGTGGCTGCTGCAAAATTCGCACTCTCTTTGGAGGGTGTTCCACCCCGTACCAAGACCACCGTCAACCGCAGAAACAAGATGCAGATTCGTGCCGAGTTTACCAAGTGGGCTCATGCTGCTCAGGAGGCTGCTGGGGCACACAGCTGCTCGCACAAGAGCAACAATGTTGTATAGAACGGTGACATTTGGATCTTGGGAGGAGGGCGAGAGACATGCAAATACAGAAAATTGTGCGCATATTTTCGCCTCTCTAAGATTTTAAAAGTTTGGATATAATGCAAAAATTTAATGTACACTGCATACTATTCTCTTTGAGTCGGTCATGGTGTTTATGTGATGTCCACTTAGTATGTATCCTAAGCGAGGACACCTGATCCATCATGAATCAACAGTCAACGTCGCAATATGGTTACTAGCTTCAAATGAGAAATTTGGTTTGGAGATAGTGTCTCCATTGACCTCGGTCACTCCTCTAGAACTTGTGCTTCATGGTTTTAGTCCGACAAAACTCAAGTGACAGGTCACGGGACCAGAATAAATGGCATCACAGCTAAAGTGGAAGGAGACGATGCGATTTTCCCCGGTTGAGGACACGGAATACTTTGTGTTCCTGATGATTAGGAAACTTGTAGTCGTGCAACCCCACAAACTGCACAGTACTCTTCTACTTCGAATGGAAACTGACTTGAGGACGTTGCTGCAGGATGTCTTCGTCAGAGAGGCACAAGCGAACACTTCAACGCTATCAACTGGAGACTCGCTGCCATAATTTAAGAACAATTCCGTGGTATTATGAACTAAAATTTGCGTATGATATTATGCTTAATGTAATGGGGACGCTCCGCTCTACTCCAGCCCAACTGGTGTCCCACTTGGTGGAGCTCTATCCTGAAAAGAGTAAACATATCCCAAGACTCCAGAAAAGCAACGATGAATGAGGAAGTCTCATTGTCGCACTATTGATTCCAGCTTGTACCCAACATGTTGGTTGTCCCTGAGCACCAGCTGAAGTTTGGTACAAGCAGCCACTCGGCCCTCCCGAATATGTCGAATTGCCAACCATGCTACCACCATATGGGCCAATCTGGCTTGTCACGGTTGGAGAAGGGGCTGTATCGACTGATGTTGTTCTGAAGTTTCCGCCCGATATCGTAGAAGATGCTGTTGATAGAAATGCTGAACTCGCCGCAGTCGAGGACGAGGTAGTTTGGGCTCGAGAGCTTGACGAGGTACTTGTGCTGGGTATCGCAGGCGGGCATGCTAGCGATATCAAGTCAACCACTGGTTCAAGGAACTGTGACGAACAGGCTCTTTGGACACAGAAAGAAGCTGTCGGGGAGAAAGAGTTGCATGCACAAGCACCTGGTAGGTCGTCAGCTTCCACCAACTCAAATCATTAGGTTATTCTTACAGTCGAAGTCAAGTATTGGACACGAACATATCGAGAATGAAGATGCTATACACGCTTGCTGTGTGTATGTAAGCCATGGTTTTCCGAAAATCTCAAGGGGGGTCTCTCACTGCGCAGATTGGGAGTGTAGCGACTTCCGCTGTCAGGTTGGCACTGGCTGCGAACACTAACTGAATGCCAAAAGTGATTGGAGTGAGCAGAACTGCTCTAGAGAATACAGAAAATTCCATGAGATTTCTCAATTCAAATTGAAGATCCCACAGAAAGCTCCAGGGCAGGACTTCAAAGGTTGTTCTTTTTCACCACCATCAGTCACTCCGAGAGGGGCTGCAGCCAAGTCAAATCGTCGTACACCTCCAGCACAGCCAATATTGGCTTGAAGCCACGGGTAGTGTCTATTATCCCAAGAGAGTCAGGCTGCAGATTTTAGGGGCGCAGCAACATATCTCAGTGCAGTTACAGTTCATGTAATTAGCGCGCCACGAGTCATTCAGCGCTTCACCGACACAAAACTCAACATTGATCTGCCTTGCCTTCACAGTCACAATTTTTAATTCAATTTTTCAAACTAGCCTGGGCTCTGACGATAAGAGGAGCCTCAGGAGTTGCTCGTTCAGCAAGCTGCCATGAAACCTTATTTTTGCCGAAGTCAACAAGGCTCGGTTGTGGCGTCCAGATCCGAAGACTTGCATCAGGCTGGCGGCCTTACGCAGGATTTACTAAACCATCGATAGTCAGGCTCTCTTCTCCCAGGCCAATGAATTATAGAGAAATTATGTTATGGTTTTACATTGGTGATTACACAGTTGATAACAGCCTCACAAGCCTCCCCATGCTTCCAGCCCCTCTATCAGCACACCACTTCACCAATACAAACCAATGAAAACCTAACAACATTGCACAGCTCATATATGTCTCACAATAGTCTTCGAAGAGGCAGAGTAGCAAGATATCATGCCATGTCTATCACGCGTCCCGGCAAGATGCTCGCCTCGAGCGGCTCAGAAGGGAGGAGCCTCAGCCTTCCCTTCCTGCAGATGCGTAGGAGAGTAGCGAGCGCTGGGAGGTTACTGTCGTGATTCTTGGGAAAGACTTTATTCGATAAGTCCGTATCTATGATTTCGTCGAGCAACCAAAGAATCTCAGAACAACAAGATGGCTCCAGAATTTGAACGATTTTCAAGGACGTTCTTGGGGGTAGGCTTACTCGTGCTGGAAGCTTCGGCACAATCTTTGAATTCCACTTGCGGTGATCTGATTACCTACAATCAATATCCGGATATCATTGGAGATGCACCAACATGTTTCAAGACTGGGTGTGGGTCGTCCCCTCTCACATCAATATCATCGTAAGTTCGACTCAGATTTTCTTGACATTCAGAGCATTTATAGATGTTTTTGGGCATAACTGGCACATCGAAGGCCGGACGAACAAGACAGACATCTTATACTTTGAATATATCCTTGTCTTAGAAAGTGCAATCTGACTTCACCAGGGACTGTGATCCAAATTCAGCATGCTTCCCCATCTGGACCATTCTGAACCAGAAATGGCAAAAAGAGAACGACTGGTGCTCGAAATGCCCAAAAGACAGAGCATGCAGGATCTCAGGATGGCCAATCTTCAACGCAACAGCTGCTTGCGACTTCTCCCCGAACACGTGGCTCTTCGGAAACGGAGGATGCTGTATCAACGAGAACGAGCCCGCAAGCCTAGCGAAGTGGATCGAGACAACATGCAACGAGAGTTGGAGATCAAAGTACACCAAATTCGATGGACAGGCAAAGCGAGACTGGGTTGAGTACCTCTTCGCCTGGAACTGGACTGTGAGAGCGGAAAACATTTCCGAAAGAAATGTCCGACCGACGTGTTCTGCGAAGCCTTGGTACCTTGGCCTGTTTGTGATTGAGAATGTCATTTTCCTGCTGTTTACTGTGTTCTATGCTGCAGCGACAGTCTGGATCGTGAGAGAGAAGCAAAGGACGCAGCGTCTTCTGATCGTGCGAATTATTTTGGGTATCTTGCTACCGATCAAGCTATTAAAGAAGGGAGGAAGCGATTTCTTCAGATTTGTCTTCCGTCGGAAGTCTGAAAATGGAGGGGGTACAGGTACAGTTGTTGGCCACATTCTTGTTGCCATATTGTTTGCCGGCATTCAACTGTGAGTAAGAATTCTAAGGTCGGATGAAGGAAACAAGACTGATCTTTTCTAGGGCCTCCAACTTTGCTACAGCGTATATCATCAAGAACACACCAGGTTACGAGCATATCCCAGCGCCTTTGCTTGCTCTCCTCTTCTGCTGTCGACCCCGCCTGGGTTGGTTCGCCTGCTTGCTATCCCTTTTCCCGGATAGCTGGTTGACCAAATACTTCCACCTGCAACCTGGCACAGGCCCATTCGTGGACGGAGGTTTGATCATCAATAGAGTAGGTGTCAGCGCCTCGGTGGGTGAAATCATAATGCAGGGTCTTGGATCTTACTTTCTTGGCAAGACAGCTCATGTTGGGGTTGAGAAAGGCTTCTATCTCAACCATCACTTGACGCCGTTCTACAGGGGAATGCAAGCGAGGAATATGTATGTTGGAGCTATGTTCTGGCTCGTCGCTGCTTTCGGCGTGGTCACTGCTTGGAGCGTGTTCCTGGTCTGGCATGCTGCACTCATGCATTTCTACGCTACCACTAAGAGCTGGCTCAAACACGTAGCAGCAACAGCTATTCCGGAGAAGGTTCAGCCAAAAAGAATGAAAAGCTGGCGGAGGAGTCGTGCTCCGTCAAGACGTAGTTCAGGTCGGACATCTCACCCTCCTGCCGGGGATGATTATGTGTGCATTCTTCGGAGAGAACCTGACCAGCCCGAAGACGAGAGGTACAACATCCGAGGAGGCGGGGCTTCCGACATAAACTCTGAAGGGGTAGCTTCTGGATTCCAGAATTTCAGAAGGGAAGGTGGCAGCTCAGGAATAACATCTGGCGGAACCAGTTCATCAGAATACGATATACTTCCAGTACGGCCTCAGGACTTCCCACAAGCTTCGACCCCCGTCTCTTCTGCAAGCAGAGGAACTCCAGTAGGGTCTCGAGGAAACGGATATGAAGCAGTGCCGTTCAATCCCGAGATGACGCAGATGCGGCCATCAGACTTCCCTCAGCCACTTAGTCCAAGCTATAATGGCCGAGAAACTTACCGCGAAGACAATATCCTGATCCAAAGTCAGCACAGTTCGGCAGACGGCGAACATGATCCTATCTATATCCAGCGTGTGAACAGACAGCCGAACTCGTTTCCAGATACACAATACCAACCTGCCAACACCGGCGAGCCAGACGAGGGAGGTAATGTTGAAACGCAGGCTTCACCCTATGTCATTCGGGAGCACTTTCCCACGACTTTCAAGGAGTTCCAGCCATACATCGTAGGACTGGCCTTCTTTCTCGGCATAATATCCTATGTTGCGCAGTGGCTATTTTGGGCGGGCTTTGTGTATGCTGCTGGTGACCGATTCTGTCCACCCAAGCTTGGATTTACTGGAACTGTTTGGTCTATTGCTGCTATCCTAGGTAAGTTATCATTCGAATGGACTTTGATCGAAGGTATAACGCTGACGTCGAATGAGGTATATCAACGAATTTCTTGGCTTGACATGGTCAGTATAGGTCCATAATCTTGAGCCAGCGTCTGAGAGGCCCATAGAGGCAGGTACGTGAATGGAAGATCTAGTTTGAGAGACGGTGTAGTAGCTTCATAGATTTTCTTTAATGCAATCGATTTTCCATAACGTCTAGTTCACACGGCGCTGGAGACTCTGCGTAATTGCCCCGCCTGTCCTCCCAGTTTTCGGTCGTTGAGAACGTGCCGAGAAATCCTGAGGCATTACCCTTGACTTTACCAGTATCCATTTATTGTCGTAGTTATCTCCACCTTGCGTTCCAGCTCTGACTAAAGCAGGGGATATTATGATCCCCACAGGCTCGCGAGCAGACATTTTCAAGTCGATCTTTGCTGCTTCCATGAACGTACCGTCGAAGGGGAAACCATGCCGAGACTCGAAACCTACGGGTGTAGAAGCGGTGTACATCGAAGACCACTGCTCGTTCATATGTGAGTCGAAATCAATCGCAGACTGGATGATCGATTCGAGGTCTTGGAGACAAGTACGTTCGTCTGCCGTCATCCAGGGCCTGAGAACGTCTAGAACCTTGCTTGATAGGTACGTGAGTGTTGATGGATTGATAGGAATTTTCTTTTGATCATTTGGATGTCGTAGTCGACCGATGATAAGCTTTACAGTGCTAGCTTTCCACTTGTAGAAGATTCGACGATCTGTATCCGACCAATCTCGACCTGAAGAAATTAAAAGTCAGCATACAACAACATTGATGATGGCAGTCATGCTGACCTGGGCGGAGGAACTTCTCCAGTCGGCAGAGTTCAGTTCGCATGTTATGCGCCCAGTACATCCCTTTAGAGAAAGAAGTAGACCTCCCATCGAATATCATCTCTTCAATGAATTTCCACAAATATGCCTCACAAACCAGAGATCTTCCCTTCCCAGTGTCTGCGCCCATCAGAAGGTCCTTGACATCATCGAATAGTACCAAAACATCTGTCATGACCCTGGCCTGTTCATGGGGATAGTGCAGTTTGAACATTTTCTTTTCGGGGCCCCAGAAGTAACGGTCTGCCCACCGTTTGATCTCTCCTTGAAGATCGCGAAAGTTTCGTATGAAGAAACTATCATCCAGAGTAGAGTGACTGTCCATCTTCATTCTCTTTAGTTCGTCACTGGCTGACGAGTACGTGATTTTCAAATCCTCGTATTGTTGTTTGACACCAGTAAGCTCCGTCCTACATTCGCCAAGACAGTCAGATGTGTCTTTGTAGACGGCTTGCAGCTCCTTGTAGCTGGTTTCGAAGGACCTGAGCTTGTCTCTATCAGCTTTGACAAGCTGGACCAGAGTCTTTTGCTTGTTTAACTGGTCCTCGAGTTCTGCCACAACGTGTTTGGACTGGGTCCACTTGGTCCTTTCCTCGTCAAAATTTGTCTGTTCTTGCCTCGCTGCTTTCGTATTCTCCTCAAGCTCCACCTGCAAGTTCCGACATTCGTCTTTCATACGTTCAGCCTCCGCCGTTGCAGTATCTCTATCGCTTTGAAGGTTGGTGGCGATGCCCTGCAAACGGATGTTTTCGGCTTTCAGCTTCGCCTCCACTTGCTGCAGCTGTTCGATATTGGTATTCAGGTTATCGAAGAAAGGTTGTAGACTCGCAATTTTCTCACGAAGGTCATTCCGCTCGCCGCGATATCGGTGAGCAAGTTTGCTGAGCAACAAAATATTATCAACCAATTTTTCCGGTTCAATCTTGCTCAGCGAATCTGCTGTGAGACTTAGTAGCGCCGTATCCCCATCTTCCGTCTCAGAGCTTGGAAGACGAGTAGCTGAGTCTGATGGATTCGTGGTATCTTTCGGTGGCACCTCAGGAGGTTGAATGATCTATTAATTATCGATCAGTGATGGTTTCAATGATCCACGAGTGGTAAACCAACAACTTTACGAGAACCATTTGCTCTGAAAGACTTCATCAGAACAGTAGAACCAAACTTGCCGTGCTCTGAAGTTTGCACAACATGCTTTGCGATATCAGCAAGTCTTCGCAAGTTTCCCCCTTTCAGTGGTCGCCCATCAGACTTTGACGATACACTTGCTCGATCGTGGCCAAGGGAAGCAATGTGACCAGACTCGTGAGTTACCATCTTTTTCAAGTGGAGATGAACTGTAAATGGTGTCTTTTCGTAATCACTGACAGATGCCTTCGAATTTGGAACTATTCAGCAACAATCGTTTTTAGATTGCAATCATCTAAGCCTTACCAAGCCCAGGATCTGCTATGGTTGAATGTCTTCGTTACTTCAAGCGTCTTTGGGAGACGGGGAGATGGCTAGCAGCCTGATGTAATGAGTCGGAATAAGAGTTGAAGCTCTAAGCCACCACCGAGCAGGTTGAGTTCGCCGTATAATGACTTTTACCGTAATTCGAGCTCAGGTTTACAGATGAGGCTGAGAATTATAAACACGAATACAGATATTCACAACAGAGTTTGACCAAGACACGGGAAGTTTGCATGCAGCCTTATCCACAAACGCCTCATTTCTGGCTGAGCCAGCTCTGAGCACACACATGATGCAGCCGACATGAGAGACGGCAAATGATATTGAAGTCCACGAGAAACATGGCTGTTCTCAGAATGTTTGCACTTTGTACTACGTGACGAAATCAGCCCACGCAGCCTGATGGCCATCGGATACGGAAGTTGTGACAACTCGGCGAACCTGTGGAAAGCTGAGGGGAGCCTTGAAGGCATTGAGTTTCGAGAAGGCTGTGTCGCACTCTTCCATGGTGAATTTTTCGGCAATGGCTGTGAATTTAATCACGCTCCTTTTGAATAAACCGACTCTACAGCATCCGGACTTGAACACACTTGTGGAAATTTGCGCCTGCTCTATGACATGATCATCGTCATTTGTCTTCACTTGTGTCAATAGCTGGAGATCTTTCCAAACAATAGTTTGCGACATACCTGAATAATGGCAACTCAATCACGGGGTTATTTGCTTGTGGGAATTGATTTCGGCACAACGTTTGTAATCCCTTCCAGGAATGCGCAACATTGAAACTGATCTCGCAGTTACTCGGGCATTGCCTGGGGCTGGTCAGAAAGGCCAGAAGTTCTGAACGTGGTGATGGACTGGGATGGCATAGAAGGGCAGAAAACCAATGTTAAAGTCCCTACAAAAATCCTTTATAAAGGCAACCAAATCAAATGGGGTTTCGACATACCGCCAGACGAAAAGCCGCTGCAATGGTTTAAGCTACTTCTTCTCAGAGAGGAAGACATGGTGCCACCATATATGGATGCGGAGGTTCGCAACTCGGCTTACCTCAAGGAAGCGAGAGAGATGTTATTGAAGTTGAACAAATCGGCTGAGGCCGTAGTTGCTGACTATCTTGGGCTATTGTGGAAGCACTTGCTGAAATCTATTCGAACAACGAATGGGCAGGCTTCGATTGATGGTCAACCTTTTCGAGTTGTAATTACGTTCCCTGCAATTTGGCCTCTGTATGCGCAGAGTAGAATGAGGAAGGCCGCGTACGCTGCCGGTATCATGGATCCGAGGCATGGTGGAGAAACAGAGTTGACCCTATGTCCAGAGCCAGAGGCGGCAGCAATAGCTGTGATGGATGACTTCGATGGACATCCAGTAGAGGTCTGTACATTGACTAGTTCAAAGTCTCGAGGCTAATGGTTCTTAGAGTGGAGATATTTTTGTGATATGTGACGCTGGAGGTGGAACAGCGGTATGTCCTGCATCATCCCATGGGTAGAGATGATCTGATGTAAAACCTAAGGATCTCATCACATATCGACTAGAGGATATAACAATGTGGGAAATGTCCGAATGTGTAGGCGGTGCAGGTAAGCTGTGTGGTGCCATGTTGGTCGACGAGGCTTTTGACAAGAAGATGGGAACTTGGATTGGGGAGAGCAAGTGGGCCAAGCTTGCAGACTCCACAAAGAGAGAATGGATGGGACGGTACTGGGAGGATGAGTTGAAACGAAGCTTCAACGGCACAGACCGTGATTACAGGATAACATTGCCTGTCCAAGTGCTTGTGAAGCAAAGCCTGAAAATTAATATGTGGCCAAGGAAAAAGACTACGTCGAAACCAGAGCGGAAGGGGCTTGAGCTGCGTCTCCAGAGGTATGAAGGCCATGCATTGTGCTTAATTAACTGGCCTAACATGATATTAGGGCTGATATTGAGGGTGTGTTTGATGGTACAATCAACCAGATCGTTCAACTCGTACTCGAACAAATCCATAAGACTCGGCAGCGCGAGAATAAGCCGCCGAAGGCAGTATTTCTCGTGGGCGGTTTCGGGCAAAGCCCATATCTCTACAGTCGCCTTCAACAAGAAGTCCGTCAAATCAGCTCGGCGACCGAAGTTCGAAGACCATCACAGGATAGAGCTTGGGGGGCAATCGTTCGAGGGGCACTGCTGAAAGCATCTATTTTGAATCGACATGATGGAGATTATCTGATGAGAGCCGATATAATCTCAAGGAAGGTGAGGACATCATATGGCATTGCGATAATCGAGCCATTCGACCCAGATATCCATAGTCAAGATGATAGACAGTATGTCGCTGCTCTGGGCAAAGAGTGTGCAGTCAATCAGATGCATTGGTACATTCAGATGAATGAAAATGTCACGGCCCATCAATTCATTCGACTGGACTGGAGCCGCAAAATTCGAAGCCCTCTTCCACGTCAACGATTCACAGTTACACTCTTGAAGTGTGACAGGGAGAATCCACCCCGACGGAGAAATGACGATGTTAGAGTCGAAGGCGAGATAGTTTGCCATATTAATACGCCTTTCGACCACTTACCCCAATATACCAATCCGAATGGTGAGGTATGGAGGAGTCTGGATTTCCAAGTCGAGATGAAGCCGTGTGGTACCATGGTAGAGTTTGCAGCATACTACAATGGACAGAGGCAACGGGCCCTCCAGGTGAATCCACCATTTGCAACATCTGAAGGGGATAGCGCTCTGAGATCATCAATGTACGCCCCTTCTCCGGCTATTCCGCTTCCTGATCAACCGGATTTATATTCCTTAGAAGAGGCGCAGATCAGTAGGAGAAACGGGACACCACCTAGACTGATGAACGGCCATTCTGTCTGATCGGATGCAGAGTTGACAGCTGATCTATTTGCGTGGCGGAGTAGAAAAGATGTTTTAATGATGTCCTTCTGGACTCTGAGGTGTAGCTTCATATGGAACGCGTCCGTTTGAGTTGAAGAGATTCGAACCATTGCGACCGAAGAAGAGACGAGTTGAAGAGCGAGGATCTAGGTGACTTCCAATTGGAAGGTCAGCGAAAGCCAATGCGCGAGGAATATGGTGTTAGTTAAGAGAGGTTTGGCCCGGAACGCATTTTTGCCTCACTAAACCTCTAAAATCAGCCGCACACCACCTACTAGCGCTTACTAAGGCAAATTATCTTATATCCACACGGGCGTAAGGCTATTTTAATATTGTAAATTAATATTCATATATTATTCTATTGTTTCCGAAGGTTTAAAGTCTTTCTATATTATTATTCTTACGTAGTATTCAACTAAAGCTAGATCACTTAATAACTTACCTAGCGTACTTTTAGTAGTATCCTTTATTATATCTAAAGTATATGCTTACCTCTTATATAAACTTAAGAGGATAAGTCCTTATATACTTACTTTATACTCTATTTAGTTTTAATTTATTCCCTAAAGTGTTAATATAATAATAAAGCTAAATCATATAACTTCACTTTATATTTAGCCTAGGAAAATTACTACTACCTTAACTCCTTACTCCTTATATTATTATACTAATAAAGTATAGTTATATCCTCTATTAGTTTTATACTATCTTATATACTCCTAGGATTCTTTACGTATTAAGTTCTTATTCTTTCTTAGATATCACGTAGATCTAGCCCTAGTTTCCTCTTCCTTAGTATCCTCTCCCTCTCTAAAGTACCTATCTCTAGCTCTACAACTGTACCTCTAATACTAATTCTGACTTAACAGATAGATCCGCTGTGTTTTAATTGCTATTTTCATATTCTATAAAGGTTACAGGAGTATTAAAAGGTAGTGTAGTAAAGGGGCACTGCGCCAGGTGGGTTTAGTGAGGCAAAAATGCGTTCCGGGCCAAACCTCTCTTAACTAACACCATAGAGGAAGTCAGGTGACCACATGATGGCCCCTTTTCCAGGGGCCTTCTTCAGTCTCCCACAATAATTTGTTCATGCTTTCAGCCGAATTGAGGAAAGGACTCTTCTACAATCTGTATTATTTGGTGTATATGCTTTCTGGACTCTTGAAAATTCAGCTTTGTCTCCTATGCCTCTGCTGTTTGACGTCAGATCCGTGATCTCTGTTTCAAGACTTCCCCTTCTCAGCCTATCGCCAACACTCCACTGCAGCCTCCATCAATGCCCTCCATCAGCTTCTCCCATTTTAAAATCTGCAACTGAGACCCAATTGAGGCTCCCGACAGATTCCCGGCATTTAGCACGCGCCAAGCAGATCAGCCTTTACGAGCTACGGCAGATGATTTGGCGAGGGGGCGGAAGTGCCATCTCCGAGTGGTGACAGTGACACCAAGTACTTCCCCAGCAGGCAATCAGGTTGCGTTCTATACGCTGTGTTCAAACTAAGCTATTGCGGCATGTGGTGGTTAGCCTTGAAGCAGCATAAGAGGGGCTGGGCTGGGATTTTCCCAGGCGGGGTTGTGTTTCCTCTCTTCTGGTTTCAAGCCGACCCCACAGCTTGGCTTTCCTTGTTCCTGCATATTTTCAAATATTCTTCACATTTTTTCTATCCCTCAGATTGAAGGCTGAGGGTGGAGTACTCTGACTTTCATAATTGGGATTATTATTAAGATATCCCTGGAGGCTGCAAGGACGAAATGTTTGAAATTGTCTCTGTCACCGTTTGGTTGGTAGTGGCATATGGGATTGGGAAGTACTCGTACTGCTTCTGGACCAACCTCCAATACGCGAAGAGGACGGGATTGCCGTATCTCGTTGGCCGTGAGTATCGCTTAGATTTTCAAAGCTTTGGATTTGCTCTAGCGAACGAGTTCTTTGGCTGACCCTAAGTGACAGCTTTCTACCCAATTGGATATGGTTGGGTGTTTCTCGCAGAGATTTTAGGACCGATCCTGCGTCGCATCCCCGTAATTCAAAATTGGGGCTGGCTCTGGTCTGTCACCCTCTCTTGACTGCGATTATGAGTGCTCACATTTTCTAAGGCTCATCGATCGCCAAGTTTCCTGGTCGAGACCGCGAATTGCAGAGGCTCAATATGGAGATACGTACATCGTCGTTACGCCTTTTATTCTGTACCTCAAGACGTCAAATGCGGAACTGGGTACCCAGATAACCACCCGAAAGACAGATTTCCTCAAGCCAGTTCATCGGTATAAGATTGTTGATCTATTCGGGAAGTCGATCCTGACTCAAGAGGGACAGGAGTGGAAGAGACATAGGAAAATTGTAGGGCCGAGTTTCTCAGAGAAGAGTAACAGATTGGTGTTTGAGGAGAGTGTGAGACAAGCTGAGGGCATGATAAGTGTCTGGGCTGAGAAGAGGGGTAATTCGAGGAACTCGATGGTTGTTGATAATGCGGCTACTGATGCGGCAACCCTCAGTTTGCATGTTATTTGCGCAGCTGGATTTGGAGTTCCCACGCTTTGGCCGAATGAAGGAGAGGAGAAGCTTGGAGGAAGAGGTATTCCTGGCTTTAGTGACAAAAAGCTCACGAGCGGACATGAGCTATCGTTTCAAGCAGGCCTGACGCAGCTGCTGAAGCAGCTGATTTGGTTTGTTCTATTCCCACCTTGGCTCTTGAGTAAGTATCCTCCAACTATATTCTAACTGAGTCTAAAAACTACACAGAAATCTCCCCTTTGAAGGTCCACAAGACGGCATACCAAGCTTTTCACGAATGTGTGATATATTTTGGCGAGCTTTTGGACATCAAAAAGTATCAGATGAAGCTAGGAGAATCCGAAGAAGGTACCATGGACCTCTTAGGTAGGTGATTTTCCCATCACTTGTATGGCAAACCTCATATCATTCAGGACCCATGATAAAGGCCAATTATGCCGAAGTAATCCCTGACTCCAAGACAACAAATCAAACATCAGCAACTCTGACTCGAGAGGAAATCCTGGGCAACTCATTCATTTTCCTGTTCGCCGGTCACGAAACAACAGCAAATAATATCCACTTCAGCATCCTCCTGCTCGCCATGAATATCTCCACTCAACGCCGCATGCAAGCTGATATCGACTGCATCCTCGGCTCCAAGCCTGCTTCCGAATTCTCATATCTGAACGATATGCCGCGCCTCTGGAACTCCATGGTCGGGGCTGTCCTTCTCGAGGAACTACGACTCGTACCTGCTATCCTCAACATTCCCAAACAAAGCAACGGTGAACAGACAGTGACGGTTGATGGAAAGCAGATTATGTTCCCAGATAAGATGTTCCTGCATCTCAATGTCGTTGGCACGAATCGTAATCCGAGGTACTGGCCAGAGTCTCCGAATGAATTTGTGCCGGAACGCTGGCTACCACATGGATCGTCCGTAAAGGATACTTCACAAGTTTTCGAGAAGATTGATCGTGGCAAAGAAACAGTCGACGGGCTTGAGACTGCCTCCTTCGAAACGTCCGGTGGAACATCTCTTTTCAAACCTACCAAAGGATCCTTCATCTCATTCTCAGAAGGACAACGAGCATGTCCTGGTCGAAGATTCGCACAGGTGGAAAGTACTGCGGTATTGTCTACAATATTTCAAAATTATAGTGTAGAACTTGATGTGTCGAGCTGGGCGAGTGATGAGGAGGTCGAGAGGATGGGGAGCGAGAACAGGAGGGAGTTGTATGGAAAGGCTTTGAAGAGAGCCAAAGAGATTATCAGAAGGAGTGAGCAGACTATCACGTTGCAGATGTTGCCTGGGGATGAGGTGCCTGTTAGATTTGTGGAGAGGGGGAAGGAAAGGTTTTGGGGGTGTTATTGAGCTGTTTTACAAGATCAGTGCTCTTTGTGAGTCATCCAGTGTTTGTGGGAGAGTGTTGCTTCAGCTCCACAAAAAGCATTCGCAGCTGTTCTTCTTACTGGCTACCATTCTATGGATCACGTTGTTTCGCTTGTTCATTTCTGTTTTGCAAAACGGCCTGTTGATACACCAACGGATCTTTGGTCTCAATGATGTCAATCAGATGTAATGCACGGTCCTGCTTCTAATTCATGCAAAGGAGGATTTCGATCTCACGTATTATTTCGTGACGCCAGAACCGATTGCTGAGATACACATAGTGTTTAAATCATTGCCTTCACTTTAGTGTTCCCTTGTCTGCTGTCGTTCATTCATGATCACATGGTTCTTGACCTCTTACTTACCGAGTTGGGACTCGCTCAATTCAAGCACCGACCATGTTGACATGCACTCCCTCCTACTTCGACAGTTTAACCTGCTCCCTAGATTCTCAAGGCGCGATCCTCGGCAAAGCCGCAACAACTCGAATCAAGTTTGATTCCTGCAATCCAGGACTTGATCTTCAGCGTATCTCTCATCAGCCTGCAGAGCCCAACCATGGACTCTTCCACCACCTCAAAGCGCGCCGAGGCTTGCAAATACACAGTCCTCGAACCCTTCGATGAACTTCCGGTGTATGACTCGCAGTCAACACACAGCGGAAGCAAACATGAGTTCTGGTCTTGATATCCCAACCGCCAATACCTCTTTTCTCAACACCGACGCTATTCACCGTCCAACCAACACGGACAGTGTACTACCCACGCATCACATGACAAACAATCTTTTGCGAGGAATCGTTCTACACCGTGTCGTTAGTTGCTATCACCAAGATATGCCATCAAGGTTTCTACTTTTCTGTTGGAGTCCTCTGCTTCGAATTTGCCCACAAGCTGTAGGCGTCTTCGTTCCAGTCTTTGGCAAGGCCCACAACGACTTGCTTGCGAGCTTGTTTGGTCGAGTAATTTCGACGTATGCAATGCGTTGACCCACACTAAATGAACTAGAGACATAATTTCGTTCCATTTCTCCGTTTTTCCTACATGGTCCTCTCATTTGTGATGTTATCAAAAGTGTTACTTCGTCCATTCAGATCAGGTGCTTCTCAGGCATGTATCCATTCTGCAATGATGATTTGCTACTACCTAATAGTATTGCAGGCATGGTACCAGGCTTGTGAAAACGATCGCGATGCTTATAATGGATTGATAGGGAGGTTATGGGCTTTGGTTTTGGTATTGCATTAGCATTGGCGTTTTCTGGACTAAGCATTGGGAATGAGCGCGTTGGAGTTGATGCATAAAAGTGGCGTATTTGGAGTACACTTTTGGGTGGGAACCGCGAATACCCTGCAACCGTGCTGCATTGAGGATTGACAATTACAGTACGTTGCTTTTGTTCCATATAGTCTGATATCATGCCTCCCCTCATTACACTTGTGATGCAATTGATGATTCTGGAAATGCCTACATGCCGGTCAACAAGATACAAATTAATGGCCAGTTTTGCCGATTGTTGACTTTTAGCCCGCTCCCGGCACCACCGCCATCCACCTACAGGGAGATGTAATAACGATAGAGTAATTCTTCCATCTTGATCGTGGTCGAATTATTCTTCGATCCTTCAGAAGCAGCTGTGAAAGCGAATTGTTCGAACAGAGGAATGTAAATATGAGATTCGAACCCACATGTTAATCCCTGCTGCGGATCGCATCGCATCTCCCTGCACGTCATCAGCCAAGCGTCCCCACGGGTTCCGCCTCATATTACACCTGCATCTGATCCCAGCAGCTTCTTCTCATCTTCTTACCTTTCTGTCAACATCACCACGATGCCAGAGGACATCACTACCCCGGGCAAATCCCCCTCCCCAGTCGGGACCACCCCTCGACGCGTTCTAACCACCGACGAATCCTCACAATTCCGGCACCGGCCCCCAACAAACCGCTTCTCAACATCACAAGACTCGCCCTCGCCAGTGCAGGGGATCCGCAGGCGGAGCTCGACCTTTTCAGACTACTCGTTGCGAGAAGCTAGGAAATCATTTCAGAGCTCGACCGATGATCTGCTGCTGCCGAAACCGAGTGCGACGGGCCATGATGTTGCAACCCATGATTCCTCCGCGTGGGATTCCGCGCCGTTGGCGTTCGCGTTGTTGCCTGCCTTGGGAGGAATGCTATTCACGAATGGGAGTTCGGTGATTACAGATGTGATGCTCCTGGGATTGGCAGCGATATTCTTGAATTGGTCGGTGAGGTTGCCGTGGTAAGTAGCTTGAAGATTGTCTACTGCTACTAGGAGCTGGCTGATTTGGAATCTAGGGACTGGTACCACTCCGCTCAATCGATGCGAACGATAGAGGAATACAATGGTGATACTATAATTGCCGAGGAGAGCGATGATGAGAATCCATTGAGCTTCTCGCAGGCCACATTGGAGGAAGTCCCAGAAGAGAACGAAGACCCATCAACGGCTCCGAACCCTACGCGACGACTCCCTGCACACGAAGCTGCTACAAATGAACTATATACCCACGAACTTCTTGCCCTTCTGTCATGTTTTCTATTTCCTGGTCTTGGAGCTTACTTACTTCACACTATACGCGGGCAGCTGACCAGGCCGTCGGAAGGATTGGTTTCGAACTACAATCTGACGATCTTCCTTCTTGCGTCAGAAATTCGTCCAATGGCACATCTGGTCAAGTTGATACAGGCTCGAACGTTACATTTGCAACGGGTCGTAAATGCAAACCCGTACGATACTACAAAAGGCAGCGTGGGAGAGGTGCAAGAACTTACTCGACGACTCGAGGATTTGGAAGCACGCAACTCAATTGCAGAATCGAATGACGCGGCGGCAGAGCCTACATTGAGTGGAAAACAATCTACAGTCCTTACCACCGAAGTCAGGAGATCTCTTCAACCAGATCTCGATGCACTGAATCGCGCAGTAAGACGATATGAGAAGCGCGCCACGCTACAAGCTTTCCAAACGGAGTCCAGACTTCATGATCTTGAGTCCCGATTGAACGACGCCATTTCTCTTGCTGCAGCTGCCGCGAACAATACACAAAATCGAGGATTCGCAGGCATCATCGTCGAGTGGGCAGCTAGCGCTATTGTCCTGCCACTGCAGGCACTCGGCGCTTTAGTCGGTCTCCCGCTGAAAATGTCAGCTTCCCTGATGAATTGGGGAAAGTATAAGGTTGTCGGCCAGAAGCCAGTGGGCAACAGGGAGAGAAAGCTGGCGAATGGGAGGATGCCGACGAATGTGAGGATTGACCGACTGCAGGGCAGAGCGCTTAAGAAGTAGGCGGCGAAGTCTGCAACTGAATGAACTAATGCTTAATGTGTACAAGGATAAGTATGTATACCCCCTGGGTTTTGGAGCGAGAGTTGGTGTTTTGGTTGGTTGGTTGATATCCAAGGAATGGGTTTGGAGAAAATTCGTGCTGGAAAACATTATTTAATGGTTTATAGGTTTCTGTTCGTCTTAGTCCCTGTTCCTTCTGCTATTATGACATGACTGAGGCTATTTTCTATTGACTCACTCTGTTTCGTTTACTTTTATTCTTGTTAGACCTTCTCGAAGTCTTAATAAGGGAGAGCTGCGTTTACGAAGTTACCGAGGATCGGTGGTTCATGTCCCGATTCTCCGTTCCAACCCTTCATAACCCCACACGGGGAAACTACCCCGCCATACTTGCTGTCGGATCGATCCCGACCTCATGGGCACGGATTTCTTTTGTCGGTTCAAGTGCCGATACTTAAGAATCCAAGCCCCCATCTTTCATCTCCTCCTTCAAATATCTCCTACATAGTTTGTCTCCCCTTGAAATCGCAGTCATGCCTCTCACCTCAGATATCACCATCAATGCCGCCAAATTTGACCCCGCGTCAAATTCGGAACAGTCAAGACAGTTGAACGATGTGATAGAATCTAAATTCGATGCTGTGGGAGCTTGGTATGAGGTACGTATACAATCTGTCATTCCAGTATCACCCAAGTCAGATACTGACAAGTTTCATTCCAGGTTGGGGCCGAGAAATACCGCCAGATGCGATGGGCCGGCGAGACCGCTCTCCCACCACCAGTCATGCTTCCCCAGGCTCTTGACTTCACCATCCCTTCAAGAGAGAAAGGCAGGGCTATTCCCTGCCGACTTATGTATCCTCAGGCCAGGAAGACAGAGGAGGAGAGGAAGGGCGTTAAGGGTGTTTTTATGCACATCCATGGTGGTGGATGGGTCCTCGGGGATGAGAAGAGCCATGATGGGTTACTGCAGTTTTATGCTGATGTGGGGGACTTGGCGGTTGTTTCTGTGGGGTATAGAGTCGCTCCTGAAAACCCGTTCCCAAAAGGCCCGGAGGATTGTATTGATGCTGGTAAATATGCTATATCACAGACCTGAAAAGAGAAATACGGGAACCTGTCCAGCTGCTGACGATTTGAAGGGGAGTATCTTGCCAAGAACGCCGAGAGTCTGTATGGAGCACCTTTGAAATTTATGGGTGGAGAGGTATGTTCCGAGATTTGTTTTGTTGCAATTACAGTACATTTGTGGTCTTTCATGATGATCTTTCAAGTTAAGGGATTTTTCCAAGGACAATTGTCCAGTGAGGAAATTCAAGTTAACATTTCTGAACCACTCATGCTTTCAAACAACTTTTTTTTTTCCAGCGGTTCCAATATCTTCCGAACTGACATCATTATTTTCCTCACATAGTCTGCCGGCGCACACCTCTCCGTCATTGTAACATTCCACCTCCTCAAGACGCAACCTGAATTCAAGCTTCCGGGTGGCCTTCTCCTTCACTTTGGCGGCTACGACTTAAGCAAGCTCCCCTCGTCTGTGCACTGGAAGCGAAATATTGTTCTCAACGGCCCAATCATAGATCGCTTTATGAACGCCTTCCTTCCCAATCATAACCTCGACGAGCGACGGGTTGGTGCCATCTCACCGTACTACGAAGATTTCTCGCCATTTAGAGGCAGACTCCCCAGTGCTCTTTTCACAATTGGTACAGAGGATCCATTGGTTGACGATACCGTTGTTATGAGCGTCAAATGGATGATGTTTGGTGGCGAGGCCATCGTTAAAGTATATCCAGGCGCATGTCATGGATTCATTGGCTTTGCGCCGTCTCTATTGAAAGAGGCGGGCGAGGCACTCGATGACACGAAGACGTATATTCAAGATAGGGTCGGGAAGTAACGACGCCTCTATTAGCGGCTTTTGATAAGAAGGTAGGCAAACCTCGTCTGCGAAACATAGCGACCGCTTTATAGAGCTCAGTATTGTTGTTAGAACGCCCAGAATACCCTGGCCATCGCATGTTTTCTTCACATCTTATGTAGAGCACGTGATCATCACCTTGAAGTGTCGAGTTCAGCATTCCGTCCACATCTAGCCTGGTCACAATCGAACTAGAGCTCGTACACATAGCTTATCCCTGCCTTCACTGCATGCAAGCTCCCTAGTTAGCACTCTACCCCTCCCGTACCACGCACAAAACTCGATATTAGCAAGTCGCGAGTCTTCCTTGAAGCCACACCCACGGGATCCTCAGTGGTCCTCCTTATTGGCCTGCAGTTCTTGGGCAGTTTACGAAGGTACCCTGCTTCAATCTTGGTGCTACCCGCTTTCTTCATTCCCGGCGATCGGGTTGGTGTCGGGTAATCGAGAGACCGCCGAGGAAAGATTGGCCCTTGTAAACAAACCTCTCGGCTGGGGAACTTCACTCAAATTTCTGTTACAGAGTTAAGCAATGCTGTTTTTGGAAGTGTTTCTGATTTCTAAGGCAATATAGCTTTTTATTTCGCAGATCGATTGCATCTCTGGCTATTTTACTTTCTCTTTCGCGACTTTGAGGGCGAGGCCAAGGTTCCTATTGAGGCGCTCGCTTGACTCCTATTGAGAACCAAAAAGGGTTCTGAATAGACTCGCTTAGCGACGCCACCAACGGTCGGAAGCTCTACCTCAATAGCAAGCCTCATCAATAGCAAGCTCCACTCTCAATAAGATAATCGCGTCTCTCTAGCAGCTTCACTTCTTACTATTGAAACAGGGACGATGGATCGATTCTACGTCCGTGAGATGGATATCTACAGGAGGGCAAAGAGCTTTCCGCCTTGACTATCTTCATCCCTTTCGACATCATACGTCTACGCACACGCTCGGTCTAAGATCTTCAGCAGTCTTCTGCAAGCCTGCAACAGTACTTAAGACATTCGTTCTTTGTCTGAACATACACTCGAGCTTCGTTTCCTGATTCCGCACTTACGCCCCGGTCTCACGCTCGATCAGGACTGTTGCAGACTCATTTCGTCGAGGCCTACAAAGTCTCTCGGGGTCTTCGACTCTCGACGGGTCTGGCAATCCATCTTTACATTTTTCTACCTCTCTGTTTCAACTCAGCGTTCCAATATCGTCAAAATGCAGAACACAGACGTCGCACCCAGCGTCACTATCGAAGTGACGGACTTCGTCATGCCGGATGAAGTCGCCAATCCAGTCAACGCCGTCGCCCTACCACTCTTCGCTGCTCTCGCCCTCCTCATCACCTACCTACCTCTCCGATCCTTCTACCGCGTCAAGAACATCGCCGCTTGCAGCATGATGGCCGTCATCGTAATCATCAACCTCATGGCATTCATCAACGGAATCCTCTGGCCCTCAGATGACTGGACAAAATGGTGGGAGGGGTACGGCCTCTGTGACGTCGAGGCGATTCTCCGTTTCCCTATCACCATGGCTCTCGCTACTTCGCTCTGTTGTCTGACGAAAGGCCTGGCTGATGCGTTGGATACCGAGTGTGCAGTGTTCAATCCGAGCAAGTCCCAGAGACGTAGGAAGGTTATTGGGGATGTGCTATTCTGCTGGCTTCTGCCTGTGATGATGATGGCGTTACATTATACGATACAGGCTGGAAGATATATGATTATTCCTGTTTGGGGATGTGCCGATCAGTTGGACAACTCGTGGCCGATGTTGGTGATCATCATCATGTGGTGTCCGATCTTCACTTTGCTGAATGTGTACTATGCCGGCAAGTTTCCCTTCTCTAGTTTCCAATTACCTTTACTTTCCCTTGCATTATTCATCCCTGATGAGTATCACCTTTGGACCAATGAAAGAATTTTGACTAACACATCCTTACAGCAATCATGTTCTACCGCCTCTACCGCCACCGCAAAACCATCTCCGCCACCCTCACAAGTACCGGCTCCGGTCTCGCCCCCCGCAAATTCATCAAACTGGTCCTGATCTCAGTCCTCCTCATTGTCATCTACCTTCCCATCCAAGCGCTCTTCACTTTCTACGCCATCCCCACAAAGTTCGTCCCTTACTCCTGGTCACGGATCCACAACCCAGTGACCTGGTCACCCATCCTCTTCATTCACACTGGCATGCAGCCCAGTCTGCAGTGGGCAGGCTGGGCAGGCGTTGTAGCGAGTGTATTCATGTTTGCGTTCTTCGGCTTCAATGATGACGCTGTTGATACATACAGGGCTGCATTGGTGAACTGTGGCGCCGGGAGAATCTGGCCAAGTTTGAAGCTCAGTAGGGATGAGAGAAGGGCGAGTGAGACGCTGGTCAATACCACGGGGTCGAAGAGTAGCTTTAAGAGCCAGCTTGATCTTGTGGGTAAGGCGATGAAGTACTTTGATACGGAAAGTAGGACGGATAGTCATGCTACAGGGTCGACATTGACTGATAGGTATGTTTGTGTCTTCTTCACTTCAGCTCCCCCACAAGTGATTACTACTCTGGAGCTCATGCTAATCATTGTTTATTGGCAGAACTACCACCACTATATCACGCAAAGGCTCTCAGGGAACATTCTCCAACGCTACAGACAACCTCTCACACATCCCCACCAGCACATCAACAAATGCTTCTCTTCTCCATAAGTCAGCTGCAAGTCACGACTCAGATCATCAGATGTACTCTAATATCTTCTCGCAAAATGGCCAGGTCGATGATATCACACCCGCTCCATCTCAGTTCCGATATGAGGACTCCAGTATCTCACCAACCTGCTTCAACTCTTTACAGACACCGGCACAGACGCCAAGTTCGACTACACCCCTTCAAAGCAGTCTACACAGAGGTGTATTCTCAATGTTCAGAACACATATGAATCTACCTTTCAGTGCATTCGCTTCATCCAAGCCCGCCTCCAAAGTAAAGCCAACCTCAAAGTCAAGAGAGCAAGCCGAGATGAGCATCATCACCTCCCGCCACGACCAAGCCACCACCAACAAAGAAGCAGACCTCGAAGCCCAGGGCCCTACTGCAAAGTCTTTCCCGATAGCCTGGCCACGACGCACCTCTGCTACTCCCAGCCACACAACCGTGAGCACAAATATCTGGTCTCCCGGCTCTACTTCTGGAACACCTTCATCATCGAGTCAACAGCCCAAGACCTCCACTGTCTCACACACCCTCGCCCACAGTCCCAAACTGTTCATCGCTACTATCGACAACGACGAAGGTTTCTTCGACCCTCACTCTCCGAAGATGGGCACGCGCGCCTACCGGGAGCGAGAACGTCGTGAATTCGCGGCTTCAGTCTCTACTGCTTCTAAGATTACCTTACCTGTCTCTACAAGTCCAAGGAAGGAATTGCAGACGCGGATTTATGCCGATAATGTGCATCAAGAACTAGGTATGCAGATCCTTGCTCCCACTGAGACTATCGAGGGTGGTAGGAAGGAAGGTAAGAAGAGCGATCAGGGAATGAGAGGTGTCATCGTGACGAAGAGTCTGGATATCAAGGAGGAGAGGACTGGCTGATAGGTCAACTTCTCCGGCCTGGGACGCCACATTTCTGAATTTCCGAGCATGTTTACATTCCCTTTCCTGATTTGACAGTCACTATCACATTGAGCTGGATGGATGGATGGAGATTGCATTTGATATTTGAATTTGGCGATGCATAGCCTGCCTGACTGCATGGAAGAGACTGGGAGTCGAGAAGTATCGAGGTTCATTCGTTTCGTTTTGGTACTTTTCTTTTGTGTTTGCTTTCTGCGTTTACACGCTTGGCATGAAGATAGGAGAGGAGCTAGGTGCTTTGCTTCGAATTTGACGTGTGTTTGGTGCCGCATTTTAGAATAGCCGGAGCGATCGAAATTGTTTCCTTTCGTTGTTTGTTGAAGGACGACTGATAACTGGACTGATTGGCGCGTGCATAATAATTTGAGGAGGGAAGATACGGGTGCTCGCTTAAGCTTGCGGCGAGAGTGTATTTAGAAAATGATAATGGAAAAGCAGTGGCGCCATGAGAATTTTCTGGCGAAGGATGTTGAAAAGTTGTGACATGGTGGAGGATTTCAGTGCCCCGATGCAATTGGTTTTTCCGTGTGAACAAGTTTGAAAAGCATGACATTCCAGTTGACTAAGCAAGCTCTTTCGCCTTAGAAATAAACATTACCTCATCCTACGAACTATAAATACTCAACACATCTGTACTATTCCCATACTCCACCCCACACATCTCCCCAAACGCACCCACAACCTCCGCCCTTCCAGCCAACCACGTCTCCATCTCCCCCTCCTCACAGCTCTCCCCAGGCCCATCCGAACACCCATCCAAACTCTGCGGACTATCATTCACCAAAACCCTATAATAAGTCCCCTTCTCAAAAGCAAAACTGTCACACTCCATCTTCTCCACCGCGACATTCGTCAAAAACGGCAAGATATGACTTGATTTCCATGCCCGATGATGGTTGATCTTGTCGCTGGGCATAGTCCCATTGATGTTGTTCGCGCCCGAGAAAGCGCTGTTGTTGAAAAGTCCGAGGGCGACGAGCACTGTGGGAGGAAGTTCTCGGTGTGTGAAAGATATGTATAGGTCTTGATCGGTGGTCGCATTTGAGATGTTATTTTGCTCTGACATCAAAGTGTGGAAGGTGGCGTTTGCCCAGGGGAAGCCAACGGCGCCGGAGACGGGGGAGCCGTATCCGGTGTTGTAGTGGTACATTATATCGTTTGTATATTCAAAGCCGAGCCATTCGTTGGGGGTGAGCAGGTCGAGGGAGCAGAAGGGAGAAGAGCCGCGGATGACGGTCTCGTAGCCGCAGAGGAGGGACATGGCGTAGATGTCTTTGGAGGTGAAGTTGAAGGATGGGGCGGCGGCGTTGAAGCGTGCTGCTGGGGGTGCGGCGTACTTGTTGAGGAATTCCTAGAATTACAAGTCAGAATATGTTTCTGGTTGTGAGGATTGGGACACGAACAGAAGACTGATCACTCCCTGCTGATGAACTGTATGCTGGACAACTCTCATATGGAGTCAACGAATTCGCACCATCTTCTTCGCCCTCATAGATCTCCACAACGCTCACATCCTTCTCATCATCTGCCAACCCTACCGCCAACGCCTTCGCGCTCTTCACCGTCCTCTCAGCTGTCGAACTCCATATCTTCTTTGGTGTCCGCAACGACTGATATCTCTGCGCAATGTCCACACCCAATCTTGTAGCTTCCAATTTACCACTTCGTGTCAACATCTCCTGCTCCGAGTCGGTGAATGGGATTTTCCATGTTGAAAGAAATGAGAGAGTGGGAATTTTGCTCCAGTCGACGGTTGTGTTGGAGAGCTTGGAAACGAACGGGGAGATGTAGGATTCGTAGTCGAAGTCGTTTGCGTAGATTGCAGCGTGCCGAATTAAATATGCTGCTCGAGTTACGTTGCAGCCCTGTGGAGGAGTGGGATCGAGAGGAGGATCGAGGGGGTCGAAGGGTGGTGTTACGCCAGCAAGGTGCTCGAGGGGATTGAAATAGTAGGCATTTGGAGAGTGACTCTGTGCTATCGTCGTGAAGATGGCCAAAGAAACGAACGTGGGGATTGAAGAGTACATCGTAAGGAACAATTTGATGAAGCTGAAGCTGGAATATACTTCTAGGCCAGGAAAGAAAACAAACAGACTTACAAGTTCTTCCCTTGCCGTTCATATATAAATACTGAACAGGATTAATACGTACAACTTGGTCAAAGCACATAGCTCCCGCAATTCAAAGACCCATAATCATCATCATCAATTTTCGGTTCCTGCCAAGGTTAGAGTTGCATTTGTATTCTTCCAGTTAAGATGATCCTCGCTTGTCCAATATTTTGACGCCGTTAAGGCGCGTTGCGTCAGCCAAGACTTTTGATTTGTGGGAATTGGAGTGGACGACATGGAAAAGTGGCATTGCTTGGACCTGCTTAAGCTTTGAATTTATCCCGTCTTGAAGATCACCCGCGCCTCGCCGCAAGTAGGGTTAATTGATTGTTCAAAAGCAGGGCAGGGGAAATGGCAATTCGAGATGCTTGAAGGAGAAGGATGAAGCGGGATGAGTGGGGTGGCTCGAGCGGTCATCGGGCTCGGGATTGGTCTCGGTAAAGTCGGCAGCATGTCAACAATCGTACCCCGGGCTTCACGCTTTACATTTGAGACTGACACACATTCTACCTGACCTGTCTTTCTCGAATTACCAGAGCGGCTGTCTGGTAAGCTGCCATAGCATTGCCCAGATTAATACTCAGTTTGTGGCCCCAACAGCCTGAAATTCATCAGTAAGCAGAAAGAAACCCACAATGGTACAAGGTACCCTTACTGACAACACAAATCCTTCCACCTGGATCAAGAAGAATATCTTGAAGATCCAGTCGTCCATTGAAGATTCTGGCTTCTTTAAATAATTACAGGTATGGTGTGGAATCCGATATTGCCCATCATGAGATTGCTACGGTATCAGCTTCTCATCTCCTCATGGGTCCCGTGCAATTCTTTCTGAAAAGTCCCGTGTTCAGCTCCAAAATCCGTTTCAGTATCTCAACCGTCGCACGCAGAACCATCAAAGAGAAGACTAGGGGTGCGGCTTGTTGAATTGTATCTCATCATCTCATTTGCTAATGTTATGATAGTGGGGCAGAAATTCTCTCAATTGCGCGCAACATAGTGTTAAATCAGGACTTGCCAAGCTGTTGACACGAGTACCGTGAGACAATTTTAGAGCTACATTACGAATCTAGCGATAAATCACGAGATTTCACAAGGAAGGAGGGGGTGATGGCTGACGTGCTGGAAGCTAAAGCTACATCTGCATATTTCCTCTCCTTCCTCGCCTCTCCCCTCTCTGACTTCAACACGATTGCAACCTCTAAGTTTCAACTCTCCGACAAAATTGTTGCACTTATCTCATCATGGCGTTCACTCTCCCACCTCTCCCGTATGCATACGATGTAAGATTACAAGAAGCCTCTCAATAAGTCTTTGAAGTAAACAAGACTGACATTGTTGAAGGCACTCGAACCCCATATCAGCGCTCAAATCATGACCCTCCACCACACCAAGCACCACCAAACCTACATCAACATCCTCAACGCAACCCTCGCCTCCCAAGTAACAGCCTCCTCCAAATCCGACATTGTGACGCAGCTCCACCTTCAAACCAACCTCAACTTTAGCGCCGGCGGCCACATCAACCACACTCTCTTCTGGGAGAATCTCATTCCATCCTCCTCGCCCTCTTCCCAGCCCAGCTCAGCACCAAAACTCACCGCAGCACTCACCACTCGCTTCGGATCCGTTGAAAAATTCCAAGAGAAATTCAACGACGTGCTTCTCGGTCTCAAGGGTTCAGGCTGGGGCTGGCTAGTCCAAGATGTTGAGACTGGGGGATTGGAAATCATCACGAGTAAAGACCAGGATATTGTCCCGGCGGGGAAGAAGCCGCTTTTGGGGATTGATATGTGGGAACATGCTTATTATTTGCAGTATTTGAATGATAAGGGGAGCTATGCGAAGGGGGTTTGGAAGGTGGTTAATTGGAAGAAGGTGGAGGAGAGGTTTGAGGGGAGTTTTGATGCGGTGTTTGGGCAGTTGGCGGGGTTGAGGAGTAGTATCTAGGTGCATGGGAGATTCTGAGATGCGGTACCTTGATGGTTGGAATTTGGCGGAGTGGGGAATTGATGATGCAAGGGAAGGAGTTTGAATACCTAGAAGAGGCCCATAGATGAATTGATGATTGGATGCGGATCGAGTTGGTGAAACTGTCAGAGCCAACAAGGTGCGCAAAATATCGCAAACTCCCTCAAGTACACGTGATGTGGATCGAAATGTGGAATACCCCGAGAAACCCGCGAGATGTTATACGGCTTTGCCTAAACAGTAGTTCACAAGTTTCTAAGATAGCTGTCAAAGTCGATGAATCAGTGAAATTCTCAGAGTAGTTCTCATGGCTCTGAATATTCCGGTAGCTCCAAGCAAATCTCAGGGCGTCACGCTGGAGACAGTCAATAGGAAGAGTATTAGAACGAGGTATTGGTATGATATAGGACAGACTAACCACTGTCGATACATTTTGGAGGCTGGATCCATTCGTACAGGCGGAAATAAGGTAGCTAACCGATTCGCTTCGAGCTCATACATGCACGTGATGCCCCTATTCTTCTACTGTCTAACCGAGAAGCTGGAATTGCTTCACACGTTTCATACACTCTCGAAATCATCAAGAATAACCCCAAAGAGCGACGATACTCGCCACGAAGCAAGCTCTCTCAGTGTCTTCGCCGCTTTTCTCACATGTTCAACACACTCTTCATGAGGTCCAGCTCGATGAAACTTAGAGTACGCCCAGCACACAAGTCCACCCGTAAACAAGCTCATAATAATTTCAAACGAGCTATGCATCGCACCAGACTGCAAAGCTGTCAGAGTAACTTCGAAGCCTTGATGTACATGGGACATCGTAGAGTCCGCACTCTCACCGTTCGCCCATAGACGAAGAGACTGTTCCGCCACGGCTCCCTCTGAGCGGTTTCCTGTCCTGCCAGCAGCGAGATGCAGATCTGATAGACTAACTTCTAGGGACACGAAGCCGAGATGGTAGAGTATTGCAGCGGCTGGCTCAACACTTGGACTATAGTGGTAGGTATGCCAGTTCTTCAGGTTTGCAAGCAGCCACTCTTTGCGTTCTTTTAAACCAGGGCCGATGCTGAGGCTGAAACTCCCGTATGCGTTGGCAGGTCCATTCGGCACGAGCATGGAAATTGCTTGTCGCCACTCGAAGATGTGGGTATGTATAGCATAGAGAAGGACCACTTTACCAAATTCATCGAGGTCGTGGACGGACACGACGCCTGGCGGAAGGAGACAGGTGTTTAGTGCGTGGATGTAGAATGTTGAGGGAGGCATGTTCGCCGGGCCAATCAACATCTTCCAGGAAACACTTGTCTTGGCTTCCCAGTACACGCACGAGCAAGGAAAGATGCTGTTCGCTGTCTCGGCTTTACTAATGTAAGGCTGATTGTTGAATAAGCCCGGATATTGGCAGTCGTAGAGCTGCCGTTGTTAGATCACTCGAACAATGCATTGATGGAGACGTACATATATTGCCATGCCAAGCCTCTTCCGCCTCTCAGCTTCGATCCATGAATGCCAGATCTGGTCAAGAACACTGTGTCCTTCTCGAGTTTCGTTTTCCAGCGTGATGGGCCGACCATCGAGGAGACGACATCGTCGACTTGTGGTAACTAGAATCCCACGAAACCCTTCGGCAAATTCATAGGCTTCTCTTCCGCCGCTCCATGTGCCAGCGAGACATACTAGCAGAAGCGCGAATATATTGTCCACAGAGCGCAGCTACACTGCTTAGAATATGTATTAATGTGGTGCAAGATTTGAACACTTACGAATCGGCTATCAGCCTCAATTTTACGCAGCACAGCGACCCGGACATGGTCGTAGAAGACTCTTGTAAAGCAGCCATCGTTGGCCTTTGAGTGGCTAGATCCAGCGAGAAGTAATGCTATTAGCAGAAACGGAGAGATCTTGGAGAGTTGTAATGTTGGTAGATGGATGACCGGAAAGCGTTCATGAATATGCCTGAAGTACAAGAGGAGGAAATATTCAAGAACTTCCGATGGAGGGAATGTCTCCAAGTCTCTATCGTCGGAATACGGCGATGTTGGTAAACTCAAGAACTCCAGCACTCCATTCCTCGTCTCCGGTTCAATACTACTCAGTGCAACGTCACTTATCCGACGTCTCGGCATCTCTAGTTGAGCTTCTGCAATCGTGGCATGCCAATTCCTGGGAGCATGATGTGCCTTCTCGGATTTCCGTCTCCTGGGACTTGACGGTCGACTCATTCGATCTGGCCACTCGCCGGCTTCATCAGCTGCAACATTTGAGGATTCGAAGTCTCCAGCTTCGACATTGTCGGTACTGGAAGGAGTGAGACAGTCCGCGGCGAATGAGTCCATGAATGGGTGCGAATAGGCAAAGTCCAAAGTCCATGCGATATCTCCATCAAAAGCTCCTAGATTGAGGCCGGAAATATCTTCACTGGTCATGAAACTATCGAAGGGCATGTCAATAGGTTCCTGTTGCTGGCTGCCGTTATGGGTTCCATCATGGATCACATTTGGGACCCGGAAGTCGGGGTCCACAAATCTTGGCGAATCGAAAGTATCAGGTAGGACTTGTGATCTTGGATTTGAGGATCGGGCACGAGGGCTCCTGTCGTGGTTCTTCCTGTGCCGTTTCAACAGATCGCTTCGAGTGAAGTGTTTGTCGCAAACAACGCAACGATATTTCCCCACAGAATCGTGGGTCGCCAAATGTCTCCTGAGATTCTCGCTACGACTGAACCTTTTCGGACAGCGACTGCAGCAGAAATCTTTGCCGAATAGGCCTAAGTTCTGACTCGGCTCTGGCAAGTTGGGCATGGACGTGCGCGTTGATCTTGGTGTGGAGGTAAGCATGCTTGCATGGAGTCGAAGGATGTTGGACTTGGATAGAAATGTGGAGGTTTGGAGTGTGGACTCATGGAGAGTTATGTTAGGAAAAACTTCTAGACAATCCCATCCCGTGCATTTCGAGCTACCAAACCCCAGGTTCGATCCACCATAACGTTCGGATTCAATCAATGTGGATCGAAGGGGGTCGGATAGATTTCTGGGGGCGCGGTGTTGGAAGGTGGACGGAAGACGTGGACGTGGACGGCGGTGTGGAAGACCAGATCGCAACTTGAAAGTCCTCGCAAGTGGACGTGAACAGACGTTAATATCGGGAAGACGATCCCAGATGGAGAGCGGTCGTATATCAAGTAACTGCCGTTCGTGCAACTTTCGACCAGGAAGAATCCACGAACAAGTTGCGACTCGCTTGGGAGACATACGGCCAGTTCTGCCACCGAGAGCACTTTCCCTCCCATTGCCCAAAATGAGCCACGTCGTGACCACCACCGTTGCATTACCACTCTCCTTGGACGACAAAAATTCTAAGAATAATGCTCGAGAAACGGTGATAGACGTAGACGACTTACCGTCTCCTTCATTTGACCGATCGGTACATGATCTGACTCTGGAAGAAAAATTGGACATTCTCTCTGGAGTCAACTTCACACATACCAGCGGTGTACCCCGCCTCGGTATACCGCCATTAAAGGTACTGAATCCTCACAAGTCGAAATATTTCATAGCTCTATACTAACCCATCTTTAGGCCGTCGATACCATCACAGGTGTCAAAGGCTCCGAACACTTCCAAACACCAACACTTTGTTTCCCCAGTGCGACATGTATGGGAGCAACATGGAACGTCGACCTGCTCAGCCAAGTCGGGTCCAAACTTGCATTTCAAGCCAAATCAAAATCAGCACAAGTTCTCCTCGGTCCTGTTTTGAATCTTCATCGCGATCCTCGTGGTGGTAGAAACTTTGAAAGCTTCAGCGAGGATCCACTGCTTGCAGGCGAGCTTGCAGCATCTTTGGTAAATGCCATTCAAGCTGGAGGAGTAGCCACTTGTCCGAAGCACTTTGTTGGAAATGAGAGTGAGACGAAAAGAAGATTCCACAATGTGGCTGAGAATCTGGATGGGAGAACGATGCGGGAAATCTATCTTGCTGCGTGGCAAGTCATGCTCCGGAAATCTAATCCAGCGGCTATTATGACTGCGTGAGTACAATCGAGGACCCGAAAGCCCCTTCTAATTTATAACAGATATAATAAAGTAGGCGGAATATTCTGCAGTGAGAACTCAAAGCTCATCAAAGATTTGCTCCGCGGTGAGTGGGCTTATGATGGAACACTCATGTCCGATTGGTATGGTACACGTTCTGGCGTACCTGCCCTCCAGGCTGGTCTAGACCTTGAGATGCCAGGCCCGACTATTCACAGAACCTCCATCATTCTTGAGAAGATCAAAAATGGCGAGCTTGATATTTCAGTCTTAAATGAACGAGCTGCAAAAGTCATGAATTTGATCAAGAAAACCAAAGATTGTTACTCAGAAAAAGAAGAGAGATCACTTGTTGATGAAGAGGCCAACCAGTTGGCAAGACGTGTTGCAACGGAGGGAATTGTTCTGCTACAAAACCGAAAGTCTGTTCTACCACTCCGAAAGTCTCAACGGCTAGCAGTTGTTGGCTCTCAGGCTACAGTCCCATCAATTTCGGGAGGAGGAAGCGCAGCTGCCCCACCACAGTACACACAACGTCCCCTGGACAGCATTCGAGAACTTTCGACAAACCCTGAAAATATCCACGCAGCCAATGGTGTCAAAATACACAATGTCATTCCCACCATTTCACTCGATCAGATCTTCGCACTCGATGGAAGTAATGGCATCAACGTTCGATATTTCAATAAAGGATCGAACGATCCTGTCATTGATGAGATTCATGCATCACCAGCAGCAGTGATGTTTGGCCGATTGCGAGATGGACTGAAACCTGAAGCTTTCCATTACGAGATATCCACGACGGTCATCCCAAAAAGCACTGGCCTTCATACTATTGGGGCACGAACGACAGGAACGTGCGTAGTGAAAGTCAATGGCAAAGAGGTATATTGAGCATCACGTTCCGATGATCTAGGCTAACAATATACCAGGTTGCACAGAAAACTATGGTTGGCATCGAGGTTGAAGATTTTCTCTTCCGACCACAGAATTTACAGGTGTTGGCCAAAGTCCAGATGACAGCTGGCGTTCCATACTTCGTCGACTTGATCGTGCAACCGCACAAGCCATCCTTTGCCACTGGCGAGCCAATAATTCATTCAGCCATGCTCTGCTACATGGAAGAATTCTCCGACGACGACGCCATAGCTGAAGCAGTCAATATCGCTAAAGACGCGCACGTGACACTTATCTTCGCCGGTCGAACACCTGAGCATGAGTCTGAAGGTTTTGATGCTACGGATATGTCACTTCCGGCGAGCCAGGTCAAGATGATCAAAGCAGTTGTAGCTGCCAGTCGTCGGAGTGTTCTCATCCTTAGCTGTGGCAATCCTATCGACGTTCAAGACTTCGTCGAGGATGTCGACGCAGTCGTGAACGCCCATTTCCTGGGCCAAGAGGGTGGTTCTGCTTTGGCGGAGATTCTGTATGGTGAAGCATCTCCGAGCGGCAAACTCGCTGTCTCCTGGCCAAAGACACTCAAAGACTCTCCGTCGTATCCCTACTACCCAGCTACGGAGAATGCTCGAGGAAGTTGGGAGATGACCTGTGGAGAAGGACTTGGTTTAGGCTACAGACATGAGTGGACACCGAGAACTCTCCAATGGCCATTTGGCTTCGGGTTGAGTTACACGAACTTCGAGATTTCGTCTCTCCAAGTCAGTCGCTCCAACGCCACAGATGCACCGGACGAGGGTGAGCTCAAGATTGAGGTTGTTCTTTCGAATACTGGAGTGGTGGACGGGTCAGAAGTCGTCCAAGTTTACGTCGAAGATGTTGAAAGTTCTGTCTCACGGCCGCGGAAAGAATTGAAAGGGTTCACAAAGGTTCATATTGCTACTGGAAAATCGGAGAGAGTCAGCATCACGCTCAAAGACAAGTATGCTTTCGGGTTCTGGGACGAGTCAACGAAGATGTGGAAGTGCGAAGCTGGGGTGTTTAGGCTTCACGTGGGGGAATGTGTTGAGAGTGTGATTCTAGAGCAGGATCTTTTCTGGTCCGGATTGTGATTATCAAATGGAAGGATGTTTGGTAATCCAAAGGCTGTGTGTAATAGTCTGTGATACTGTTTCGATGAGGCTGCTGCACGGTGCCCCGCAGGTGGGGGATAAAGGATGTTCAATGGGAACGGAGGGCCAAGATCACCCGCCCCATGCAGCAGTAATTTGTACATAGATTCATAGATTCATACAGACTCGAATGAATGATACTCCGAACTTGATCTCGACTATCCGTTCCATCAACTTTCTTTTGTCGGTCAAGCCGGTGATGAGATCACACGCCGCTCGAGAACTGGCCGACTACGCTCAGGTCTTTTTCTACTACATTCAAGTCAGCGCTCCAAAAATCCCAAAACGTGGACTTCAATATCTTTAACGATCTACACCCAGACTTCATCAAACTCCAACCGACAGAAAAAAGATGGTCCAACAAACTGGGAATCTGCACCCATACTTACCCAAAAGTGGACTTATTGATAGTGGACGGGACGGCAGAGAATACCCGACCTACAACCCTCCACCTTTACTTGGTGGACTGCAGTGGACAAATCCACAGCCAGCGATAAGCGAGCAAATGTTTGGCCAGAGCCCCATTTGAAAAATGAACTCCACTAAGAGTCCACTGAACGATAGCCGTAAGCTGAGGGGAAAGGCTTGCAAAGTGGACGGCACTATCCGATCCATAGGGTCGCTCTTTGTGAATGTACCCCATGACAACGCGGGGTAGGGATTCACATTGGGGCTTTGATGGGATTTCAGCTCAAGCAACCATTTCGGTCTATCACAGAGCGAGAATTCCCCTCAGAATTACCTCTCCGCTCACGTCCCACCCCACCTTCCGCCCACACCATTCCGGCCACCTCGCTTATATTACAGCATTTCCTATTCAAGACTTAATAACTCTCTACATCCTAGGAACACGTCTAGCTCTCACAGCAAACCCTATCATCACAACCATGGGGATTTCGCAAGATCTCATACAGGCTCCCATGAATCCCATTATCCCCGGGTTCCATCCCGATCCATCTTGCGTTTGTGTTGATGGGATATTCTACCTCGTCAATTCAACATTCCAATGGTTTCCTCACATCACCATCCACGTTTCTCAAGATTTGATCAATTGGATCCCCTGCAGTATGTCTTCGCATGAACATAGTGAGATATTTGACTAATTGAAGAAATAGAGGGCGCAATCAATGAGCCAGGTTACATCTCCGTCAACGAGGCCATCACTCGAGGTAATCAGACTGAAGGTATCCTCGCGCCAACAATACGATATCACAAGGTCTGTTTTCAATTTCTCTAGACATCCAAGAAATACCACTCACAATTCTCGATAGGGTACATTCTACGTAATATGCACCAACATCCCCCTCACCGGCAAAGCTGAAACATTCATTGTCACTTCCAGCGATCCCATCCAAGGCAAATGGAGCAAGCCTATCCAGATCGACTTCCACGGCATCGACCCAAGTCTATTTTTCGACCCGAACAACGACAAAGTCTACTTCCAAGGCACCATGTTTCCCGAGAGACCTGCCGATGGCGAACTACCTGAAGGCGTCCTACCACAAATCGTGCAAATGGAAATCGATGTCAAAACCGGCGAGTCCCTATCTGGAAAGCCTAAACCCTTGGTCAAAGCACATGGAGGAGGATGGGCTGAAGGTCCACATGTGTATTTCAAAGATGGATGGTATTACGGACTGCTTGCTGAAGATGGGACGGAGATCAATCATTGCGTGACGATGTTTCGAAGTCGCAGTGTCTGGGGACCTTTCGAGAGCCATCCTCAGAATCCAATTATGACAGCGAGAGGTACGGACGAGTATGTTCAAGGTGCCGGACACGCGGATCTGTTCCAGGACGAGGCTGGGAATTGGTGGGCTGTGATGCTTGCGGTACGATTAAAGGACGGGAGATTCCCCCTTGGACGAGAGACTTTCCTCTGTCCTGTAGCTTGGCCAGAGAGAGAGTGGCCTATCTTCAATAACTCGAAGAAATTGGGGATGCAGATTGAGCTTTGCCAACCATTACCGCGTCCGAAAAAGGTGTCTGAGCTCTTCTCCAAACCTATCGAGGAGACACTTACGTCTACAAATCCTCGTTTGGTCTATCTCCGTGATCCAGACTTTTCGAGCTACAATTGGCACGATGGAAGCGTCTCGATTGTAGGTAAGTCGGCGAACTTACACACATCAAAAGGGACTTCATCCCTGGTTGGCTTTCGCCAGAGATCTCTCAGTGCACAGGTTTCGATCGACGTCAATTTCCAGCCCTCAAGCGATAATGAGGAAGCGGGATTGTCGGTTTACGTCGACCAATTGCGGCATTTAGATATCTCAGTTCGTGGAAAGACCATCGTATTCTCTGTCTCTAGTCTGCAGCAACCCACAAAGTCCACTGAAGTGCCGCGGTCGGGGAAGAGTTCGCGGTTGAGTTTTCGGGTCAAATGTACAGAATCATTGTATTCTTTTGATGTCAAAGAGGATGGTGGTGGTGAGGATTGGAGAGAGCTGGGCACTGCGGATTCAATGCTGATTAGTGAGTGGGGTTTCACGGGACCGGTCTTTGCTTTGTTTGCAACGAGCAATGGGGAAGGCGAGAGTAAGCCTGTGGTGTTTGAAAACTTGCTTATTGTGTAAGTAGTTTACATTTAGAGAAGGCTAAAAATATTCTGGAAGCTCGGAGTCGTGAGACTGAGTCTGATGAAGGTGAGCAAACTTCACTGATCAGGAGCTTGCTAGGTTAGTTTGGGCAAGATCACCCCGTCCAAGACTTTGGACTTGACTTTTTTTTGAAGGAAATGAGTTCAACCTGGCGATACAATTGCTTCAAGATTGGACTTCAGCCATTGACGGGATTTCGGACATGGGATGGTCTGCTGCCAAATTTTAGGCAAGTCAACAAGGAGGTAAAACTTTCGCAAGTTCTGCCTACGAGTAATGTTTGATCATCTACATAACATTTTATTCAAATATTCCTATCTGGTAAAAGACAGATTCATTGGATTCTAGCCCGAGTATATTTTATGTACAATATAAAGTGATAGACAATCACACATCCTCCTTCGTCTGAACCTCTGCCGCAATAGCCTCGCTAGCCTCCGCCTTTCTCTTCTGAAAGTCCTTCACAGCAACCTTCTTCACGAACATCCAATCCATCTCCTGCATGCTAAGACCGAAAGTCTCAGGCACAATGAACCACGAGGCAACAAAGTAGACCGCAGCTGCGGCACCCCAGATGAATCCAGTCCTAGCACCAAGATTTCCAGCATCGGTATTATACATGTACGGAGTGACGAAAGTGAACAGGCAAGATGCCAGCAGTTGAGTTCCGAATCCAATGGATTGCGTCTGTCCTCTGAGGCGATACGATGAAAGTTCAGATGCAATGACCCAAGAGATCGATCCCACGGAGAAGTATTGCCAAGAAGTGAGGACATTAAGAAGGATGGCGATGGCCCAGACTGCGCCTTGTCCAGGGACATAATGAAGACATCCGATGACGATCAAGACAACGGCAGTCAACGAGGAGCCTGAGAGTAAGATCTTGCGACGACCGAATTTCTCGATCCAGAACCAACTGCCAATGATGAAAAGACTGGCTAGTGCGAAGCCGCCAATTGAAATGTTGAAGACGTTTGTTGGGGTCAGGCCGGCCAGAAACAGGAAGTAGATCGCTTGAGAGAGGAAGGAAACACCGCAGGCATTCTGGCCGAATAGGACAAAGATGACTGTCAAGGTACGGCGCCTGTCAACACCTTTGAAGCAGTCTGCATATCCGGTCTTGGTTGCATCATCAGAAGGTCCTTCATGTTCGATTGTGCTTCGAAGGTACGCTAGACGAGCGTCGATATTTTGATCTGCTCCGTAAAGCTTTACCATTGCTCGCCGAGCCTTTTCGGGTTTGTCCTTCTTAATCAGGTATACTGGAGATCTGCAGGAAGTCAGCGGGGGTTCAAGATCTGGTGGCTTACTACCAGACTTACTCTGGAAGAAATGGGTACATCGCGAGAACGACTCCAGACCAAACCCATTGTAGAGCAAAAACTTTCCTGAAGGCATGTTCTGACATGTCTGGGAGGAAGGTGCTGATTATTCCCAAGCCAGTCATGAGCATGAGAGCTTGAAACAAGACAAGAGCAGACTGCATAGGTCCTCGAAGCCTGACAGGCGCAATCTGACACAGGAAGTGTCAGAATTTTTCTGGGGTTTGGAGTATATGACATGCTTACCTCAGAAATATATGTCGATCCAGTTGACATCATCCCACCCAAAGCAAGACAGTTGACCATCTTGCCCGCAAGAAGAGATCCTCGAGTAGTAGCAGTATATTGAATAGCAATGCCAGCCATAGACAGAGAAGCTGATCCGATCGCAGAAGGCTTTCTGCCGAAGCGTTCGTAGATGAAGCCGATGAAGAAACCACCCAGGGCTTGGCACAATCCTGACATAGACGAGAAGAGAGCGGTCCAGATACTTGGAACGAAAAGCGAGTGGGTGACTGGGCTGACTTCGCCAAAGTACATCAGGAATGCTGGCATGGACATTGTTGCAGAATTGACAACATTGTCGTAGCCAAAGGAAGCGCCGCCGAAGAATGCCGCGATTGCTTGGTTACTGTTAATTGGTGAATCTGGCAGCAGAGAAGAGTTGGATACTTACACATGAAGATGATTCTCTTGTGCTTCCAGGCAGATTCCATCAGACCTAGGCTACGTTCCTCATCATTGAGGAGTAGACCGAGTGAAAGGTCGGTTTCTTCGATAGTCTTGTCGCCCTTCACCGGCGTATTCTCAATGTGGGTTGCCATTACAGTGGGTTCTTTGGAATCCATGATGAACAAAGGTCTGACTGTAAATAAGAGTAGTAGAAGTGTAAGAAGAATAGTCGTAGCAACAGGCGGATGGTTGCGATTGATGGGCTGTCAGAATCCGGGGATATGGTGAGGAACCTGGGCTATGTATACTAGTTACAGGGACGGCCCACAGCTTCGGGCGTAGGGAAAATCTGGAGATGGTGGCATGCTGCATTGACTTGGAGTCCAACAGAAAACCATAGAGGGAGTAATTGAGCCATCCACTTCCACATTGCTTCTCGTCGGGTTGTGGAAAGAAACCACGCTAAAGCTCTCATTTGTCTCGAATTGCGTTGCGCGTCAGTCCACATCAGAACCTCATCCTTGCCTCCACTCTCCACAACTCCACACAGTCCACATCCTCCCCGCATCTTTGCGGAGTGAAAGTCCAAGATGGAGATGCACTAATGTACTATCTTGGAAGTTTCAATTAATGTCAGTACTGTTACTTTTGCCGTTGCGACTGCCTTCAAGATTCAATGCCCATTTGGCTGGGGTCAACAAGCTGAACAGATCGCTCGCTTAAAGATCTTACAGTCACGAGTCATGCAAAGAAGCGTTGCGTCCACTCTTGAATCTCGTACTCAACGACAATGATACTACGAATTACGGTTCAGCACCAAGTCACCTACTGAGAAAAGTCATTCTGTCCTAGTTCCAAGGTTTGACTGATTGGCCGAGAGATGAAGTCTCAGCCAGTCTTCTCAAAGTTTCGACGTTGATACTTTTCGAAATTGTTTACCAGTGTACGCACACAGCAATAGACGATCAATAAATATCTCGAGTCATCTTGAGCACCACGTTTATCATTGACATTTACTAGCGAGCAGCGGACCTGGAACCAAGTCGCCGATGAACTTTCTCATGGGTAGCCCAAACTTTATAGGCAACATCATCAATCGAATTTGGAAGAGGCGCGCAGACGAAAATATTACAAGGCAAAGTCATTGAACCGGTATGAGTTTACTTGATGTGGAATTGGCATATCATTATTTTTAATTTCCAGATTCACAACTCAGTTGCTCGATCATCCGCAGTCCCAGCACTACCAAGCATCCCCAGCACCAACAATCCAATCCACTCCAACCCCTCCCATCAAATCAAATCAACCCAAACCCCCCCTTATCCTCACTCCCCCTCATCCACCCCAACCTCCCACCTCAACCCAATCCCCCCCTCCAAACACACCCTACTAACCTCCCAGCCTTTCATCCCCATAGCCAACATCTCCCTCTTCACCCCCTCAAACTGCAACCTCCTCAACTTCCTCAACATCTCGTTCGGCTGCGGCTCCAGCGTGCGTTTACAGAACCAGTACCATTCGCTTCTCTCGCGACAGAGATGCAGATCTAGGATTCGGGAGCGCTCGATCTCGTCTTGGATGCGGTGGGCGAGGTGTCGCGCTTTGGTGATGTTGGTGGATGTGAATCTGGCGTGGGCTTTGAGGGATGGGAGGTGGGATCTGGGTTTGGGTTTGGATTTGGATTTGGAGTTGTGGTGGTGGTGGCGTTTGGTGATGCGGAAGGGTGAGGGGGTTGACTTTGTTGTGGGAGGTTTGGAAGGTGAGGGTGAGCCTTGGGCTGTTCTTTGAATGTTTTGAAGGCTGGAGGTGTGAGTTGGCGATGACGTCGATGCGTGACTTGGTAAGAAGGTTGCATCTGCGTCCTTTGATTCTGATCTTGAAGACCAGGGCTCCAATTTCAGTTCTGAGACCGTTGGAAGTGAAGGTGAGAGTCGATATATGTAGCAGTCTAGTCTCTCGATCTCTTCATTCTCTGGAGAGGACGCCCGCATCATGAGACCCATTATGATTGGAACGATTGACGTAGGGATAAGAAACCTAGTAATGTGAGAGTCTGATTGAAATGGAGACTCTGTTAACTCCTCTCGATGAGCTATGCAAGGCTTTGTGATGTCTGAGAGAGAATTGATGGCGTTGCAGCTAGCGGCTAGTAAGGAGAAGGTCTAGTCCATTTTTCGTTCCTGGGGAAGATGAGCGAGTGATTTTACTCGTCGATATATCCTTCCTATTGTTAATACTCAAAGCCACAGCCTGGTAGTGAAATCACTAATGTGGGGCAGCGAGAAGTGAATGAGCAAATCAGCCGTTGAGAAATACGAATACCTCTTGCTGAACCCAGAGCTCTTAAGTACTGCCTAATCATACTTTCAATTTTACAAACATAGAACTATAAGTTCTTCGAGATTCTGGAGATCCATAGAAAAGTGTCTTGCTCTCATTGTGTACATTAGCCAATCGGTGCCAAGGTGATGATCACACGGTTCGCACTGGAACTTTATGAGAGAGAAGGTCAGGAAGGGATATCTCATTAGAAAACAAGTCGTAAATGTTCTTTGCATAGCAAACTTCTTCCTCGGATGAATCTAGAATCCTAGGTCATTGTTGCCAGTCGATTGTGTGGTGCCGACTCAACATCGGAGGCTTTGTTTTGATTTGCTTTCGGTCCCACTTTAAAAGCTAAGCGAGAACCCCCTATTGTTGTCATAATCGCCCCATATTGGGGGTTGAGGTCCAAGAAGCAGGTATTGGGTTGTGCAAATTGGCTCAAGATTATTCATGAAGCTGAGATATGGAAGCGAACAGAATGTAAAGACAGAAAGTAGAAGCCATAATCGACCCCATCGCTGGCAAAAAAGACAACCCCGTGAAAAATGAGGACATCAGACTAACTAAGTGGTAAAGAACAAAATCAAACCCCATGTTCCCTCCAGCAAAAGCAACGAAACCAAGCCAAACCCTCCATATATCTCCGAGCACAAGATCTGTAGAGCAGCGATTGAACCCACTCACAAACCCATCATCCACTCAGAAACAACATCCGTCTTCCCCTCCCCATCAATCAACCCTCCATTAACCACAATCTGACCACCACCATACCCATGTCCATATCCCGCCCTCTCCCTCTTCAAAGTAGCAACCCTCTTCGCAACCTCGTTCGCCTCAAACAGACTCACGAGTCTTCTCTTCCTCATCCCATTCTCACCACTCTCTCCATCGATATTCTTATCAACAGCCTCGCAGATCTCCCACGTACGCTTCTTACTGTCCTCTGGTTCGGCATCTTTGTCCTTTTTCACGAAGAAGGATGGACTCTTGTTGACGATGGAATCGTAGTCTGTTTGGCCGTGGTAGTAATACATGCTGCGGGTACTGGAGGAGACCTGAGGCGGGTTCTCGACTTGCGAGGCGATGAGGATATCAAGGGACATCTCGAGAGGTGTGCGGCCTGTGGCGTTCTCACGGTACAGGAGCGAGGGGTTGAGAGAGAGGAGGAAGGATGTAAGTTGGCTCATGCCTTGCTTGATTGCCTGCGATTTGTCAGTACTTGGTTATGGTGGTCAGTACTTGGTTATGGTGGTTGCAAGGAAGAACGTACGACATGAAGCGGCAAGTCACCCTCGCCATTGATCATAGCAAGATCTTCACCATTAGAGTACTTGGAAAGAATGGAAACGATATCGGACTTTCGGTACGATCCAGCATTCTTAGCCATGTAATAAGCGAGTGGAGTCAACGCTCCAGGCTTTTCGGTGCAACGCTCAAGAAGCATTTCCTCAACAGCAGACTTATCGAACAGGCTGATCAATTGCTGGAGTTTCTCGGCATTCGTGTTTGCTCGTGCCATATTCTTGGGAGCAAGCATATGGTGGACGATGTTTCGACCCGCTTTGTCGCGATGGCGTTGGTTCGCTCCCTCGGACAGGAGGAATGAGATGACTTCAGGTTGATGAGCGAGAACAGCAACGTGCAGAGGTGTCATTCGTTCTGAAGACTTCTGTTCGATGGAATCTGGTACAACGGAGACGAGATGCTTGATGAGAGCAAGATACTGGGTTTTGTCCTGATCCTTGGAGGGATTGAACAGAATGGCGCAGTGTAGAACCAGTTCACCTTGGTAATCATCAGCATTCTGCCTAGAAGTCTCAGTATCATGAACTTACTCTTCGCATCAAGCCATCCACCAATAGTCTTCTCAAATCCCTTGCCAGTCTCCATCAAAGTCTTGATCCGCTTATCGTGCTTGTTGCTCTCCGCAAACTCTTTGTATCGTCTCAGAGGCGCATCGCTCATAAACCATTCGACCGACTCGATACTCGCAACATAAGCAGCTTGAAGAAGAGGGGGAATTCTCTCTTCGACGACATGAACATCGCCGCCAGGTGCTTGTGCCCAGTCAGCTCGCTTCTTGCCGCCAACACTGAGACCTTGGTAGTATCTTGGTTTGGTCTTGATTTCAATTCCACTCTTCTTGATGAGAGCGTTGAGTGGAATGCCAACACCAGTTGCCTGAAATAAGTCAGTAATGATACTCAAATATATTTGTACCAGGAGCCAACTCACCTTGATCATTTCAGCAAGCATATCTGTCCGACCCTTTTGAATCGCAGTGAGGAAGACAGATTGGCCTATGGTGTAACAAGTTTGATCATCCTCCTCTTCGGCAGCAAGTGCCTGTTGCTCAGCGCCGAGCTCCAACATGAATTTCAGCAATTGCATATTGTTCGACAGGACGGCGTGTTCCAAAAGGGAGCTACGACTTGGTTGATCTTGTTCTGCAGATTCGAGGAATCGCTGGGGCATGCAATTCCATTCGATCATCTGCAGGGGCAACACATTGCTCTTGACAATGTTTGAAACCTCGCCGAGATTGTCCACGGTGAACTTATCACTCACTAGCTCGGCGTAGATTGGGAGATGTTCTATTTGATATCAGCACCAGAAACGAACATTTGAATATACGTAGCTTACCATGATCATCTTCATAGCTATCGTCCGAATCGTACTCATCGTCACTGTCGTCGTTTCTCATCGTCCACCTCTTTCGAGAGCTGATACCATCATCCTTGTGATATTGAGCCATGGATATCTCGACAATCTTTCTCGCGAGGTCATAATGTCCGCGGAGAACGGCAATAGAGAAGGGACTGAAGCCGTTTCCGTCGGAGATAGCGATCTTTAATGGGCCTTCCAGTGGGGAACCCTCGACCCACGTCCATGGAGCCAGAGTCATAGCCTTGAGAGTATCCAAATCATTGTCCCAAGCAGCATCAAACAAGCGGAGATAACCATCCTTCTTCGCTGGATTGAGTTCAGGAACGTTGAAAGTCAAGCTCGTTTCGTAAGCACCCGGTTCAGGTGATTGATAATTGTGTCCAAATCGGTTGTGGTTTTGGGGTGTCGGCGTATTCGGATACATTTCTGCAAATGTCTTGCCTCCTGCCTTGAGTAACGATTTCTCGGCTTGCTCAAGCTCCGCAATGAGCTTCTTGATGGCCGCTTGCTTTTCTTCGATCCCGTCTTCCTTCTTTTCCCCCTTATTCCAAGTTTCCCAGGCCTCTTTATTCTCTCGCAGCTTTTGTTTGTAGTTCTGAACCGCATTGAAATATGCGTAGCCTTTGAGACCACGAGTGTAGTGGTCTTCGTCACGGAGGGTTTCTGGCTTCTTCAAGGTGGTCTCCGAAGGCTTCCATCTATTTAATGTTAGCTTCGTCCAGACCAAGCCGAGAATTTTCCATCCTTCAGGACAAAACAGGTGATCGTGCAAGGGATGAGACACATACTCTCGCAAGGCCTTCAACTTTCTCTGAATGATATCCAGTAGAGACTCCGCAACTTGGTAAGTGCCATTCTGAGGATTCGCAACAACACCCCAGGCAGCCTTGTCCAGCGTCTTAGGGTCTGCACCATGAGAAAGTAGATCCTGGACAGATTTCCCTAGATCGTGGGTTGCAGCCGCAATAATCGGCTGAGTGACAGAATTGTGGTACTGTGTCTTTGTTTGTTCCGGGGTGTGGTTTCTGGCATAGGTATTCTGCGCAAGGTATGTCTTGACCCAGGTATCGAATTCGATGGTCGAAGATGCGCCCAATTCAAGAAGCTTTGCGACTAATTCCTGATTTCCGCGGTCAATTGCGGATGTCAGAGGCGAGTAGCCCTGCTGGTAGTGAGAGCCACCACCATAGTTGTTGAGAACACTCATTGCGACTGGATTATCCTCAGAAAGGAGAAGATCCAGGATATCAGTTCGTTCTTGGCTGACCACATAATGGAAAACACTGTAGTGATTCATATCTGCTTGAGCAGACGTAGCACCTAGCTTGAGCAGCAATTTGACAACTGCTTTAGCCTTTTCTGCTGGAAGCGACAAAGCAAGCAGAATCGACAAGATGGCTCCACGCGCGTTGCTGGTTCCTGGTTGGACGAGCCTATGGGGTTCTGTATTAGATCTGGCTTCAGGGGAAGAAGGTTGCGGCAAGACTTACTTGACTGGAAGGAGGACATCAGCACCATACTCCGAAACAAGAAGCTCAATGACTTCAATGTGACCATTCAGGATAGCCAAGTGAAGAGGGGATAGGCCATAATCCCAAGCAATGACATCGATCTCGTAAACATCCGGATCTTCAGAGTCGTCCTCTGGGATGTCCTCTCCCACCTTGGGTTTGTCCTCGGCAACTTTGACAAACGAGCCCATCGTCATCGAGTCGGAACCATCTTCGCTGTCCAACCCAATCTCAGAAGCTTCAGACTCAGCATCACTGATGTCTTCCTCGTCCTTCTCTTCTCCGTCCTTGGAAGTAGAGCCAGTAGCAGCCTGCGCAGCTTTTCTCGCCGCGCGACGAGCTTCGACTTTCTCATCCTCTTCCTCCTCATTGGCCTCGCTCTTCTGCATCAGAGCATTGACCATCTCCACATTACCACGCGCAGCTGCAATGTGCAAGGCAGTGCGACCATCCACAAGTCTAGCAATGAGTCTGGCCCCGTTATCGATCAAACATTGGACGATTTCGACAGTTGATGCCATGGTTGCAAGGTGGAGAGGTGTTCGGCCTGTGTAGTCGCGACGATTGACATCGACACCTTCTTGAGCGCACCAATCCTGGACGTGCTCGAGGTCTCCATCCACAATAGCTTGACAAAGTCTGGCAGTGTCTCCGACGTACGCCATGGTAGTCCACTCGTCGTCTGTGATGGGATTGAAGCTTCCGATTTCTTGTCGTCCAGGATCATCCATAAGGAACTTGAGTGGACCCGAGATGTAAGTCTTGCTTTCTTCCTCGGCGACTTCGATCTCTTCATCATTCGTGGGAACAGGGCAATAGCCGCAGCAGTCCTGTAGAACCTCCTCAGCAGTACCAAAGAAGCAAGGGTGTCGATGAAGATAGACTTCACGCTCCTTGGGCTGGTTCCACTCTGCATTCAGGAGAAGATCCTTGGCGTAAAGCAAACGATTGATTCTGGAGGCTTGGTACTTGGGTCCGTAGGGAACTGTCATGGTGTGATAGGAAGCGACTTCCTCTTGATCGACCCATTCAGCCACCTCGTCTTCCTCTGCATCCTTGATATTGCCGCCCATACGATACTGATTGCGGTAGCCTCGGTGGAGTGCTGGCCTGCCACGTTCAGCACGGCGCTGATCCATGTATGCCTCTCGGTCGACTGTCTTGGGAAGCTTCTCCAGAATCAACAACCGAGCAAGTCCCTGGGTACGGCCGAAAGAGCGTTCGAATATTGTTGGATCGATCCTAGTACGGTCCATCAGAGGCCAGTGAACTTCAAATCCTCTGTGACTGTACTTTGAAAGGCGATTCTCGTAGGATGGCGAACGACGGGTGAGATCAATAGTGTTGCACTGCGTAACGAAAGCGGCGACAGCTCGAGGGGCAGCATAAACCTGTTTTCCATCATAAGCGGCACAAGCACAATCAACATCGAAGCCGGTGATGATTTGAGAGACGGAATCATAAAGACGAAGGACGATCTGAACATGACGAGTTGGGTACTGGGATGCAATCGTGATGGCGTTCTTGGTACGGATCGTAGTAGTCTCATGGAGGATGCTATCCTTGATATTCTTCTCGATCTGCTTGATTTTTTCCAAGCCCTCTTCTTCATTGAGACCGTAGAGGAATAGATCAACATCACTGGCAGGTGCCAGATGCTCGTGATAGTACTCTCTCAGACTTCGTTTGCTGCCGGCCCACTTCTCGGGTACGGGCAGAAGAGCGGTGGTGACTGCGGAACCGGCTGCGACGACATTATTCCAATCAAGGTCTGCGAGAGATGATTCGGAGAAGAGATTGAAGTTCTTTTGGAAATCCTTGAAAGATGAGACGACGGCAGGTGAACCATTGGGCTTGCGGTCAGCGTCGCTCAATGGCATAACATATCTAAATAGTGTGAGCACTGACAAAATCTCCAAGAGTACAGTTGCGGGGAGGAACGGGACTTAGTCTTACTTGGCCTTCTCATCATCCGACTCCTCACTCAAATCCCTCGCACGGATCTTCAGCTCCTTCTCATGACCCTCAAAGATCGGAACCAAGTTGACGTTGCCATCCTTGACCAACTCATGGTCTGGTTGCTGAGCATACACCTTTCTGAGCTCACCCTCAAACTTCTTGAAAGGCTCAAGAAGTGTTCCGATCGGTGTATCGGAATTGCTGGCAAGATACGGGATGAAGTCCTTTACAGACTCCGTAGGCAGAGTAGGGATCTCAATCGGATCCTTAGATTCTGCGAGTGTCGGCATATTGAGAGGTGCAGTAGAGATGCGTTATGTGATGCTTGAAGACGACGCTTGACGACTAACTAATATGGCGGATTTGTGACAAAGGAATGAAAGGAAACGCGATATGACAATGATGAAACGAGGATGAGAGTTGGTTCTACGTTTGTAGAAAACCAGATTAAATTCGCAGAACACGCTGGAGAGTTGAGGAAGATGATGGATGGTGATGAGAAACAGAAGAAAGACAGACGCACGGGAGAAGGAGGCTTTTGTTCTCATCAAAGCCAGCCCACCCGGCTACGGATCCTCAGTTCAGCTCAGGGCCAAGAAGGGAGACACGGGAACTTGCCTCCACAACGCGGAGGATCAATTACTCACGCGCGTGTTCCCGTGAGGAAAAGCGTGAGTGAAAGCAGGCAGAACTGCTATTTTGGGGGCTGGTGCCTGGCGCTAGGACGGATGTGGTTGGGACTGCCTAGAGCACGTGAGTTGTGCAAAATTGAGTGGTCCCAGGATAAACTGGAAAGTAATAAAGATCGTGAGCTGCCTGATTGAGTGTTGGGCTTGGGATATTGGAAGGCTTGTATTTATCCACTCAGACAGACGTCACTGATCAATGTGGCTGGACAGGATAATGGGATCTGATGTGGAAGTCAAACTTGTCTACGGGTCACATGACATGGATTCCAGGGAGAAGCATGAGAATGGGAGTCGGTTCTGAAGAATTTGTGAAAAGTCGAACTCTAGGAATTTGTATAGTATTGATGATAAAAGAATGTTCGATGTGTTTAACGTATAGGTAAGATTAAACTTGACTTAAGCATATTCTTCGCGTCGCCCAGCTAAGCGAACAGTGAAAGGACATACCTTAGGTAGGTACTACCTAGGTACTTCCTGGGGAAGGTGCTTACCTAGGTCCTAGGTGCACTACGATGAATTACCTACACAGGCGGAGAGATATTGTACGTTTACAAGATGAGATCAATAGACGACGAATCTCACATGCAATTATAGTTTGGTAATGCAGAGTTGACGAAGTTACAAACTTCTCATCATTATTATGTGATGTGTTCATGTTTTCCTTTACCCGTCCATCCATACATACAAATCCGCAGACCAGCCTACCCGACCACACTTAGAATGAAGATTTTACACCTCATCCATCCATCCATCCATCCCGCAAACAAACAACACACCACCACATCATTACATTTTCCTCATCCCCATCAGTCCAGCCATCACTCACTCACTCACTCCTTCCTCCCTCCCTTACAAAGCAGCCAAAACCGCCATACCAGCAGCGAAGAAGCTCCCCGCACCAACAACGACCTGTCCAGCGGCATTAGTGACCTGGATAGGCGCCGAGGAGGTAGTAGCAGTAGCGTTGGAAGATGGGTATGGGGTAGGCAAGATGGTGACGCTGGGCTCAGCTTGGGTGGTTACGGCGTAGGTCGACGCAGCGCTGGACACTGAGGCGATGACGCTCGATGCGGATGACGCGACGCTTGAGGCTGCGGAGGAGACAGAGGCAGCCGTGGAAGAAGCTCCTCCAGCGGCAGAGGAGGCAGATACTGCTGCGCAAGCGGCTTGGGCGGCGGTTAGGACAGCTAAGAGAGGGTTGTTAGTTTATGTTTTTCAACTTTGTTTTGGTACATCTCGAAAGTTTGGATATATGGGATGGGAAGCTTACCGATAGCTTGGTCTCCGCAGGCTGCGAGGACACAGGATGTAGCAGCGGCAGTGATGGCGGATTGGTTGGCAGTCTCGCACTGGCATGCAATATCGGTAGCTCCGCAGGTCGTGGCAGAGGCCACGGCATCAGAGATACATGTTGTGGCACAAGCTGGGATTTGGGCATTGGCCAAGCCAACGAAGGCGATGAGAGCAACGGCGGAGAATGAGTATTGCATCTTGAATGTCTTTTTGTTTTTGGATATCGATTTGGACTGGTATTGCCGTAAACGAGTGTTGGCAAAATTATACAATTGCACGGGTATTGATACAGCGAGTGTTGGATTGCTTGAGGTAAGGAAGGAAAGAAAAAAGGAGAGGAAGAAGGTGCTGGGAATTATGGTTATATACAGGATCGAGATGAGCTGTTGTCAAGGTCCCCCCTCATGGTGGCCGGAACACCAACCACCAGGGGCCCCTAGTTTCCGTGGCGGCCAGTACACTTGCATCTGCACGACGCCGGACCTGAGCCGTGTCCAAGGAAACAGATTCGATGGCTTACGAATTCGAGCTCGTCCTCCGCGACATGCACCAATGACAATCCAGAATCGGCGACCAGACCTGACCTGGTAGACGCTCATCTGGGGGGTTGGATTTGCGTTGTGCGGAGAAAGCTGTTGCTCTCTCTCTTTCTCGCTCTTATGCTTAGCTTCTAGCTCAGCATACGTTGCTAAAGCACAGTCTAGTCTCAAAGCAGCACATTCAGACACCTTTTCGTCCAGCATATTCCTGCTTTCAGTTTAGATGACAAGCAGTGACAAGCGGACGGACCTGTTTGCTAAAAGTAACGATGTCATGGGAGAATCGATATAGTTGGGACTGGGCAAAGTTTCGGAGGCGGCGGGACTAGAGATCGAATGGAAGGCGGAGAAAGTCTTGGAGGCTGGAGAGTTTGGGGACTAGTGAAGCGAGCTCTTCGGTTGGAAGAAACGGATTTCTGTTAATGTGCCACTGACGATCCGTTCCTCAGGTAGAATCAAATTTGCGTGCCTGAACTCGAATCTCGGCTCTGATTCGAGTCCTACTTTGTACGGAAGACGAATCCTCGTTTCAAAATTGATAATTCATCGCACCAAAAGTTGAGAGCTGTCCAGCAAAACAACAGATGGCCAGGAAACGGGAGGCATTGGATGTCATGACATGTCATGCCTGAATGCAGGAACGGGCGAAATGCTGGACAGCCACCAGCAAGAAACAGGGCTTTCCTGAATTCGGTGACATCGCCCGATCCTGCCACTCTGCCTCGTTCAATTCGGCCGGTGGCGTAGAAGAGCAGAAAAAACCTCTGTATCCTATCGCTTGAAAGCAAGCGGTTGCCCATGGCAAGTCATCGTATGCAATGTTGCATCCTTTCGGTCCGGGGCATGGTCTGCAAGTGGTTAGTGTTCCTGAATGCTGTGTGAAAATTGTCTGGGGTAGCGCAGGGAAGGGCTAAAGATGCCCGTAATTGTGATTATGGGGTAAATTGAGCAGGTGGGCGTCAGCGCCAATCGACGTTCTCGAGCGGCTTTTATCACCTGGGCGACGCCACAACCAGCGGGGCCGAGGTGCTTATTTCCTTGACATCTGATTTTGTCTCTCATCCTTCATCGTCCTGCGTGTCTGCCATATTGTTTGCATTCTTTGGGCCGTCTGAGATTTGGAAGGATGGCTTTTCACATGTTTATTGTTTACAGGATGTGAAGGGTGTGTTTGGCCAGCGCCAGAAGACGGGAAGTTAAAAATTCCTACGGAGTAGTTTAGTTCAGGGACGAGGATCCAGGAACAAGGTGCTAAAAATGGTAGGTGTGCGCATTCTGGTTCCAATTGGAGGTCGTGCTCATCGTCACACAGCAACGAGAAGAAGTCAGGGCCAGTCGTCCTACTTCTCCCAGGAAACACTCCGTATCCAATCACACAACACAAAAGGCCCTTTTATTTCTCCATGAAATCTCATGGGATGGGGTTAAAGTTCTCATGACTGATGATCATAAATTACCACTTATGTTTTATCTGTCTCATCTCCGCATGAATTGATGGGAGTAGGTGTGTGGATTTTCCTCATTTCCAAGCCCAAATGATCACCACCAAGCAAAGCAACAAAGTGGGCAGCCAACTCCGCAAAACCCCATGATTATTATTTCTGGTTCCTTGTCCTTCTTTTCGTTGGGGCCGAGGCGCCCCGCTATTATTCATGCGTCGTATCTCGTTTTGAGGCCAAGCTCCGGGGTAATTTTGTCTGGGCAATGAATCCTAGCCGGACCGAGAAGGCAGGTAGAATCTTCTCGGTGCTGAGTGCATCGTGGCTTGCAGGCAATACCGGGTCTCGGGATAGTGGTTTCTTCAGGAAAGGAATGAAGACAAAGAGGAAAGATGGGATCCGCCGGTGAGATTAATGCGATGCAATGCAGGCGCGGTGATCCCGCTGCGAAAAGAGTGTGTGTGCCTGTGACGATGGTGGCGAGGGCAACGAGTGGGACAAGAAGTCAGGGGAAGGTAACTTTTTCAAGATTTGTTTGAAGTCTACGAGTTGTGCCAGATGTGGAAGGGATTTTCATAAACCTCAGTCATTCCTTCTCATCTGTCTGGTTATCTGGCGCTTTATGAATGATGCAAGCCGTTTTCCTTCCTCCTTCCGCTCGTGCTGAGTAACAAGGACGAAGTAAACCGTTCATGCGCTTCAGTATTTGAGATTTAAGGTAGGCTGAGTGTGACAGCTCATTTTCCTTATCTCTACTTCAGTCCCTTATTCTCCACCAGTTCAGAAATTTTACTTTCCGTAAAGTATCTCCAAACCTTCTCCTGGTTTCTTCCTCTTACCCAAAAACATCCATTCCGTCTTTTTCCGCACAAGAAAGTTCACATAGAGAGAGGACGGTTGAGCTTAATCTTATTATCACAATTCCACAGAAGTTACAGAACACACCGACACCGAGTACCGATCTCCCTGACCTTGCCATGCCATACCTTCTCAGCCTCTTCTCTCCATACTGGTACCTCGGACCGAAACAGAAAGGATAATTACCGAGGAGGATCCAGCTGTTTCGTTACAGGTGTGGAAGATCTTGTTCCACAAGTTCGTACGAGCTGGGTTGCTGGAGTATCTTCTAGGTGCCTTTCATGGTGTGTGGTCCTGATCGAACTGTATCTCATACCATGCTTACGGAGGTAGATATACGTTTTACGAAGGCAAAAGCTTCCTCAGAGGCTCTTACCTCGTGCGTTACAGCTTTACAGGCAGTCCTCGTCAACTTACTTTTGTCTCATCCACACAGAGACACACTTATACCTACGCAATGAACTCTCTTCCAAACCCCATTCATTCTACCTTCCCTTCAGCGGATCGAAATCAGATCCTCCCAGCGGCGACAAACTTACCGTCCTCTCCATCTACCTTCTGCGAAGCCTGCATCCTCACCTGAGTTGCAAGATCCCACGGGTTCCTGGAGCGAAGTTTTGGTCGAAGCGCGTATGGATGCTTCGACATCCTTCCCCTTGCGAGGCCCAGCTGCTTGATATTTCTTTACGGCGTTCATATTCAGACTTGTTGCTTTGAGAAAAAAAATCTGCAGGTGGACCTTGATGGGGCCATCTTATAGACTCACTGCTCCTCCTGCTGCCGAGCAGCTGAGCTTGTGCAAGTTTCTGTTCCTGAATTCTCTCGTGGCATATGTTCGAGCTTGCCTTCGAGACTCCGCATCGTTGTGCGTTAGCCATTCGAAGCCTTGAGCCTCAAATTGCTGTGCCGGCAGCTTCTCGATTGAGGCTTTTTGAGGTACATAAGCTGCAAGGTCAAATTCAGATCCTGTTCGTTCAATGCTCCTCTTCGACATACCACGGGCAGATTTCTGCTCCTTATGTGCCAGGTGAGAGCGCTCCACTATTGCACATTTCCTCGTTGGCGGTCGTATGTTCCATCAGGGCAAAACATGTCAGACCTGACATCTACCATCCTACGAGAATAGCGATAAAGATTCGAGAATCACTCAAATAAAAATATCCTCCCTATCCAGACCAGCATCCATTAGTGGCGGTCAGAATTCGACGGCAGCAGTCCTATCACACGTATGGTAGTGTTGCTGCACACCTGCTTACAAATTACACGCATTTCCATCTCACTTACCCATTTAGAGTCTTGATATCGTAGCAGCTCGTGGGCCGTCAGCACTAGCTTAAAGCGGTGAATTTGGCGGGAAATGGCACTTCGGCATCAAGACTCACCTGCATGGATACTTTTGCGATGTTGCCTCATCTTCTCAGGAACTCCTATGGTGTTCTCTCACCATTCGTGAAGTGGTCAGAGCGCAGCACTCAAGCATGACATAAGCTCGAACGTTGCGTAATATGTCATTCGTTCCTGCGTCACTGCAACTGTATTCCGGCTTTGGGCTCTCGTGAGCCTAGAAAGGCAACGAATAAATCGTCGTGGTTTACGAGGATGTATTGGATTTGAGTTGATTAGATTAGCATCGTGCTGATTGCCCTTAGGTGAGTCGCGCTCTGAAAGCTAAGTAGACTAGCGAGTGGCTGCGATAGACTATGCGGTGTGTATGAGTGAGGTACTTTTGTTTTTGCTTCTCGTTGAGCTAGAGGATATATATATGGTAGGCTGTGTTTTGCCACATGTTGGATGTATTTGTCAACCAGAGTCTGTTTCCCTTGAGTCTCGATTCTTGTCAGGTCATTTATCAAGCAATCCGCATCCTCTTGTCTTGTGCATACTTTTCTAGTAGTCGCTACAGGTTCAAGACATCCTATTACTTTCCCAAAACCACTTTCACAAAATCAGCACACGATGACCCACCCTTCCATCTTCATCCCTTCACAAACAATGGACTCCATACCTTTCGAATGGAACGTCTTCGAGGTAATTTCTCTCCTGTTCAACCGCTCTGCGGCCACCCCTCTGCAAGACATCAAATGCTAAACCATCAAACACCAGCAACAATTCTTCACCTGGCACCAACACCTGGACACCACTCTCTCATCCACCAACCTGTCCACCCCATCCAGTATCCCCTCAACAACTGAACCTCCCGCCTCATACGCGCACTCCTCCTCATCCTCCAGCAGGGGAGCAAATTCACCTACCACGGGAGAACAGGCCTTGGATCTCGATCTCGATCTCCCCATAAAGAATGACCCGAAATCAAAGAAAGCACCTACTGTACGTCTCCCTCTACTTCCCCCAGGCAAACCACCCCCCCTCAAAATCTCAAGACTAATCCATCCCCTCCCCTCACAGCGTCGCCGCATCCAAAACCGGCAAGCACAGCGTGCGTTCCGGCTTCGGCAGAAAATGCATGTTGAATCACTTCAAGAGAGATTGAAGTATCTGGTGGGTGCGTATGAGGAGTTGAGGAGGAGGTATGTATTTTTGAGTGGGGAGTATGAGAGGATGGTAAGTGTTGGAGTGGGGGTTGGAGTTGGGGTTGAGAGGATTGGTGGGCTGGAGGGCGGGAGAAATGGGAGTGTAGTTGGGAGTGACAGTGTGGGTGGAAAGTTCAAGGGTTGGTGGGGTACAGGGGAGCAGGTTGATGGTGGAGATGAAGGTCTGGAGGACTGTGACGGTGAAGAGGTTGAACTGGAAGGAAGTGTCGATGTAGAGATTGATTTCCAGACGGAGCCTGGGCGCAAATCAGGCCTTGATGTAGACAAGGCGATCCCGCCACCAATGGTCGTTGATGGGTATCAGCAGCAGCACGATTCTGTTGTGGAGTTGAAGAGTGTATGTCTGCATGGTATGCTGGCTTCTGATTTATGGGTTGGGTAAAGCGCGGGGTAAGAGAAGACGGGAGTCTGGATTTGAAGTAGGCGTTTACATAGACTTCGTTTCTTCGCTTCCTAGGTAGACATAGATCGTTGTTTACATTACACACACCATTTTCGCTTCGCTATGAAGCACTTTACTAATCAGAATTAGAAAGAAGCCAGTTGATATTCAGTGTTCCAAGCGTGAAACAACGAGTTGTCTTCTTATCTTTTATCTCCAGTCTGCCGGTAGTGGTAGGAAGTATCGGGATAAGTTGTGTCATGTACAAAAACCTGTGGTCAGCAGTTGGAAGCGAAAGGTTCTGTTGTACGTCGGGCTGTGAACATTTGATGATGTAACTCTGCTCCTCCTTCTCTTTTAGCACTGTGTCATGGCTGGTATCAAGGACAACGACCAAGTCAATTCTGTTCCACCACTGTTCCATAGCAATAAACGGCTAGAACAAGACCACACGAAGTCAATGAAGCATATCATATTCATCTAGAAGTTATATACTCGAAGTCATAAAACAAACAAAGAGCAAATCAGTGCAAAAAAACAGTTGGGTATCAATATTTACTTCCTCGCCTTGCCCTTCTTCCTCTTGTTGCCCTTACTCTCATACTCATCCACGATGTCCGGAACATCAACCTTCAACCTATCACATGGTTCCCACGTCCTTGACTCAATATCCTCATATCCCTTCCACTTAACAAGGTAATGAGGCTCGCCCTTCCATTTCCTCTTTCCCAGAATCTTCTCAACTTCATCCTCAAGCACCGCTTCCATCTCATCCATCTCTTCATTCCTCTTCGTCCTCCAAGACTGCACTAGCTTCGGTACACTCTGCTTCAACTCACTCTCCTCCTCCCACGTCCAGTCTTTCTCATCGGGATAATTCTTCCATTGAATCAATAGTTCGACGTCATCCTCAACCTGTCGCTCAGCTCTAATCCTTAAGGGGACACCACTGTTCTCAGGCACGTCCGATTCTGGAGTCATAGGTCCCTGAGTATTTGTATTCGAACTTTCAGCCTGATCATTCTTTGCAGCCTCTGCTTGCAATTGCAACTGCAAGAGTCGCTCTTCCTCCTCCTCATCGACCTCATCTCTATCTCTAATTCTCGACTTTATAGCTTCTTTACTGCGCGCCATATCTTCAGATTCAGATTCCTTCAAGGCCCACGACTCTGTCTCATCCTCCAGCACGCCCCAGATATTTCTAGGATCGATATATACAGGCTGCTCCGGAGAGGGAGGTACGTCGATGAATTGCTCGATGTGGGGAGTAGTGAAGTCCTCAGGTGGACTGGATGGCTGGAGTAGTGGTTCCCAATCTAGTTCTGTCCACTCGTGGAAGGGATCGTGCTGTGGACGGACGGGCGTTGCTGGTCCGAGTGAGGGGAGGTCGAGCGATTCTGGCGACTGTTCTGGTTCAGGGCTTGGTGAGACTGCGCTGTCTTCAAAAGAGCTGTAGTTGAAATGCTCGGGAAATCTCGTCCAGAGATGCGATGAATTTTCTTGTTTTGGACTTCGTTTGTCGCGGATTGGGGAGGATGTTGGCGGGGTAATGAGCTGGCAATGCCCGCGCGTGGCAGACGCGTTTGTTGCTGTGTTTGCGTCTGAATCGTGTCTTCTCGGTTGGGATGAGTGTGAAGTTTTCGAGGATTTCCTTGAGCTCGCGTCCGATGTCTGGGGTGTGTCCAATCGGTATCTCTTGCGCTTTGTTGATGTTTGTCGAGATGATGATGGTGAGCGGGGATATCCGCCAAGAACCATCTGATCAGCGCTAGCTTCTTTAAGCTCTGCCAGCTCCACATCCAGTTCCTCCTGCTCAGACAGACGAGATCTACCAACCAGTCGAGAAGATTGATAGGGAGTATTGAGTCCCCTCGGATACTTGTAGTGGTACCATCCATTAATCTTCCTGCATTCCTCTCTCGAACTCTTAATCGGCGCAGAGTAGACCTGCGGTACCACATATGGAAGCTCCTTCTTCCTCAACCTTTTCTTCGCCAGCCTCTCAATCCCATGTTGAATTCTCCCGGCCTTGAATTCAGTGTGTCCTTTACCAGTCTTCCCTTCAAACAGGTTCAAGTTCTTCAAACCACCGCATTGTCTTGCGCACTTCGCAATATTCATGAAAGTGATATATCCATCCATCTCTACCGCCATATTCCTCAGTATTTGTCTTTCGATTTCTCCGAACATTCCTGGGCGACATATCCTGCTGTTCAACAACAGTGTGTCGGATTCCATATTAATATATACACTTTGCAATTTCGAGAGTCGCTCAACACTTTTCTTCTTGGCCAGTGTCTCCCAAGGCTGATGGGCGAGTGTTCCGGTGAATTGGGGGAGCCATGGTTTGTATAATCTTTGAACAACGTTTCGGGATATTTGGCAGACTTGTAGTAATGCAGGAGGCCGTTGTTTCGAGTGCAATTGGCCTTCTTTGTAAAATACTTCTACGAGGCGTGGGGTGTATTCGGCGTTTGCAGCCAGCTGGAAAATCTCCAGTTGGATTTCGAGGGGCAGTTTCTCGAATGCAGCGAACATTTTGCGGCTGATCAAATAGGTCATAGACCTTCGGAGGGGCAATTGGAGCGTAAGTGGAGAGAAGTTGGGAATTGGCAATCAAATTCCAACGCGTCACGTCCAAGCACAAGCACTCAACGCGAGGTTGACGCGCTACTGTAGATTGACGATCCTCCTGCGTTTAGCGAGCCCCTATTCTACCAATACCGAAAGTCAAACTTGAAAGCTCAAGAGACTTCATTTATCTAAGACAGCTCATCTTTTGATTCAACGTATTTTCACGTTATCGATCACGAAAGGCTTCATCCATTCAATACAGATGGACTTATCCAGAAAGCACAACGCAAAATTGCCTCCAGCAGCCAAATGGGATTTTCAACTTCTCTCCTCTCCCCTCCCTTCTTCTATCACCTATTCATCATAGCTTCTTCAAGGGGCTCTTGTTGAGCATGACCTTAACAGCACCTACCAAGACAGCAGCACCCAAAGCCATCGATCCAGCATAGAATATTGCTGGATGGTATGCTTTCAAAGTGCTGTGCTCACCACCATAGGCCGCCAAAAGATACCCAGCAATTGGAGCTCCCTACTTTATATTAGCGAACTTTCGAGCCTTATATTGACGAAACTCACCATCAGATAACCACCAGCCCAGCCAGTCACAATCATTCCCATCGCAACACCCACCCTCCGACTTCCAAAGACACTCCCCACAACAGTGGGCATGGTGCTAAAGAATCCTCCATTGGCGGCACCATTGATGATCACAAAAAGTATCAAAGGACCAAGCGAGTTTGATACCGGCCAGATGACTAGCATACTCAACGCACTCAGAATCAACGAAATGAAAAGCGTGTTGACAGGACCGATATAATCTGAGAGGAATCCACAGACAAGACGTCCAATTGCTGATGAAAAGTTGAAGCCTGCTACCAGACCTGCTCCAGCTGACGATGAGAGTCCCAAGGAAGAGCTGTACAGAGGGAGGAAGAATGGAGGGACGAAGAGCGGGAATGTTGCGATTGCTCCAGCGATGAAGAGGGTTGTAAAACGAATGTTTCTGAAAAGACTCCTAGACACATGATCAGTAATTCATTTTATCGGGATGCTCTGTGACATACCATTCCACGAAATTCGTAGTTTTAACAGGTGCTCTTTCTTGGATCATCCAAGCTGCTGGTAGACCAGTGGTAAGAATCAGGATCCCATTGATCTGGAATGTCCATTCGACACCGAGCTTGCGGATGAGTGCGTCCATGGCGAAAGAGATGACTGTTCCTCCTAACCCGCCACCCGCATATACGACGCCATTTGCAATGCCTCGCTTCTTGTTGAAGTATTGCGCTGGGATAGTAGATACTACCTGTGAGAAATCAGACCCAACCCCTGTTCTAGCCACGTTTCAACTCCTCGCAACTTACAATGAAGCACAAACTATCTCATATCAGCACGCTTCATCAACATTACCAGGAAGTCAAGCAACTCACCTACACCCCACCCCCATAACCACCCCCGCAGTGAAGAACAACCCCCCTACACTCCCTGTCGAGAATCCACTTAACACACCACCCAAACCCAACGCAAGCACACCCACAACAGCCGTCCATCTCGCCCCAATCCATCTCACAATCCTCGCATTAACCAGCGCAAAGAACGAAATACACGCCGCCGTCAAACTCCCCACAAAGCTCAAACTCGCCGGGTTACTAAGATTCTTCTCGACGAGTGCTGCTTGGATGACGCCCCAGGAATAACTCGTGCCTACGAACCAGAATGTGAGGATTGAGCAGGCGAGGATCACGATCCAACCATAGCCGCCGTCAGGGACGAGGGCGTCGGCCAGACGGGACTCGGCGATTATGGCGTCGGCGGCGGGGTCGAAGTTGGAGGAACCGGGCTGGGGTTGGGAAGAGAGGTTTTGGGTTGATTCTGAGGCTGGTTGGGAAGGTGTTAAGGGCTCGAGGGATATGGTTTGAGATGAGGCTGATGCCATGGTGGGGGACTTGAGGGACTGCTGAACCCCACTTTCGACTTATCAGGCTTGAGATCGTAGAGCGCAGGACTTAAGTGATCCTAATAAAGATAGGTTTCTTTATGAATTGAATAATTAGAATTAAAAAGAGGTCTTTGAAGTCAATTTTGCATGAAGCATGCTTGCCGTAGCTCCGGTGAGATGACTCTTTACCCCTCCAAGCCGCTAGTTCCTGACTAGCAAAAAGTTTGTCTAAACAGTTTTTCTAGAAGCTCCACATGACCAATCACCAAACTTATAATAATTTCATATCTCATTACATGGAGTTCTATGTCAGGGCGTGGAAATGGACTTTGAATCCATAAGTATTGGTTACTGTGATGAGTTTTGGAAAACGCTACACGCGGGCTATCGTCACTACAGCAACCTCTTTGGATCTTTCTTATGTTGATTGTTGGAATCTTTCAATTCATCGACTGAAGGCAAAAAGTGCCAGATTATTGTTCGACACGAACCTAAGCTTGTCATCAAATGCTTGCTTTCGTGTCTTGACTGGGACAATTACCTAGCCAGGAACTTAAGCGAAGCCGGTCGGGGAAATGTCAATAAAGAACGATCCTGGAATCCCGATTTGACGGTTTGTAACCAGAGATTCCCTCAGTCATGAACTAGTATCAATTCCATTGTTCAGGTCTTCCTTTTGAAAATCTGGCCAGTAATATCCCAGAATCCAGTTCAGTTGTGTAACCTACCGTCACGTGTGGAACCCCACCAGTGGCTTGGGTTGAGCTGCAGGGCAAACTGGGAGGCATTTTTCAGCCCAAATGACCTTTACCACCTAAGCCGGGCGCAGCTGCTTCTTGATAACACCCTCGTCTCCCCGCTGCCTGTCTCAACGAAAGAAAAGACCATCTTCATCCGCTCTTTCTCCTCGTATATGACAGCACGCCCACGAACTCACCGACGACTTGAGAAGCTGTGTTACACGTCTTTGTGATCACACCTGATTAAATCCTCGCAATGGCGGACCCTCTCAGTATTGTTGGCACCACAGCAGGCCTACTGTCACTCGGTATTCAGGTGTATGGCGGCATCAAAGAATACCTGGGTGCCATCCAAACTCGAGACGAAGACCTGGAAGGTGTCCGAAGGCATGCGAGCTTACTCAAAGATAGTCTCGCGGCTATTGAGAAGGGCATTCAGAGCACAGCTATACACGAACAGCCTTCTATTCCATCGGTAGTTTTTTGCTTGCAATCCTGCAAGACTGAACTCAATTCTTTGAGGATTTTCCTCTTCGAACTTGGATATCCCCCTGCTACACCATCCACATCACTCAGAGCCACGATCAGCGAAGGAAAGAAGAAGCTGGTATATCCATTCAAGCGGGGGACTATCACTAAGCTAGAGGATAGATTGCGAAATGTCAACGGAATACTCCACACGGCATTGCAATCCTTGGGAATGTATGTATACTCGTTCTGTCATCAAGCGTTGCTCTAATAGTACCACAGGAATGTCTTATCTGAATTGCATGAAATGGTCGCTGACCACAAGGGAAAATCGGATGTCCTTATGGGGAACATTGTGACCCTCCAGTCTGAGACTTCTATGATCAGTACATCGGTCTGCTCGATTCAACAGACTGTTCCATCGATTATGAAAGGTGTCCAACATCTAGGCCCACTAATGGAAACCCAGGTCTCATCGCTATCGAGCCGAATGGATCAGACGTACGAAGCAGTGCAAAGTAACTTTTCAGGTCTCGGAGACCGTATTGAAGCTTCTTCACAATCTCAGAGGTTCCAACTCGATCGTATTGAAGCACGTATGGCACAGAAAGAGCAGGAAGATGCCAGGTTACGTCGTGTCGAAGAGATCTTGGCCAATCTGCAGCTGACAGATCCTTGTACACGTCAGGTCAGAGTTCTAATTCAGCCCTGAACGTTGTCTATTCTGATGATGTGCAGCAAAACTACACGTCAAATATTGCTGTTGGACGTCTGGTTGCAAAGCCAAATCATCTCAAGCTTTTATGCGACGACTTCGACTCCGAACGAGATTGCTTTCCTTCAATCACTCAGTCACAGCACTCAGTCACTCGAACTCTGAAAAGAAGGGCAGGCAATTGCCAGTGCAGCGCATACCGGCATCGAAAACGAAGCTACATTAAATGGGGGCCTCTAGCCCTTTTCCATTATAGGGACACTATGGCTACCTCGTGCCAATGCTCTGAGTATGCCCTCCAGGAAAGTCACAGAAGAGTCGGAGGAACGTACCTGGGATCAGGTACTCTGCTCAAGCGCGCAATCCAGATCACATTCCTAATGAAGCGCGGAGCTGGCGGCGCCAGCATGAACGCTAATCTGTCATTCTGCAACGTCGTAGATGAACAGAAATCTCCAGTGTTTCGTTTGCTCCGTCTAGTGATACACGCGTTGATATCCAAACCCAAATTAACCCGCTGGAAGTCCGGTGATGTTGAGAGACTTTTCAAAGAATGTCGCTTGAACATTGGGCATCTCTATCGTTTCCGGAAAAGCAGGGCCAAGAGATATAACATCACAAGGAGAATCTATTTTACATCGTGCCGCTTTTTGGGTAAAGCTCCTTGGACTCGATCTGCGCGCTACTAGATGAGTGATGACTGACCTCGCAGGTTCATGTGGTTCCTTACCTTTGTGGTGAAAATAGATACACGCCTTTGAAATTTGTGAAAGACTTCATTGTCGAAATGTTGAAATACGGCGTTCCAGCCGATATATGTGATAACGATGGACGGTCAGTAGCTTTCTTGGCTGTCGCTTGATAAAACTTTGAAGTGGCCCACGATGTTCTTGGCTTGACAGTGATTGTGGACTAAACTTCAGATAGAACTCCTCTCCTATCAGGTCTTGCACTGATAGGAAATGCCATGGGGGCAATAGAATGTGGGAATATTAATAATATTCTGTTCTCTAGCGTTTCAGATGATCTGGTTCACGACTTCAACAAAGCCGATCAGATGAAGAGATATGACAGTCATGGAGTGAAGGTTAAGCTAATGAGGTCCTCGCAACAGATGGCTGAAGGTGCGTTCAATTGCTACGTTTGTATTCAGTGAAGAAGCTAAATTATATAGCTATGGGTTGTAACAGATTAGCTATAGCTATATTACAGCAAAATGGAAAGGAGCTCCAGAGGCTTCTCCATGTGGAACCATCATTGGCTGACGAGGAGAACGCATTCAACGACTCCCCTGCGCATTTGGCTATCCCTTGGCCTGAAGGACTGGAATATCTGCTTGGTTCTTGCGGTCTGCCACCCGTCATTCCAGGACAGCTGAACACCCTGCAGCATGCCGTATCTTACAGCTCTGGTGTCTGCACCAATAATGCGGAGCTCAAGTTTTGCTCAAACTGCTCTTGCTTTAGACCTACAGAGATTGTTTTGCAACACAGCCCTAGAATGGACCGTCACTACGATTTCATGACCCTGTTAATTTTTGCATCTCATCGAACTAGGCTTCTTTTACTCAAACATTTAAAAGCTTCGCGGGAGCGCTTGCGGAGCTATGCACTGGACCACTTCCAAACTGATGACTCCAGGAGACTAGGACTCTTTTCAACTCGGATTCTTGACGCCAAAACGAAAGATGTCATTGAAATCTTGCAGCAAATGTCTATAAGAATTTCGCCCGGCCTTTTCAGTGGGATTCTAGATCCTACTTGTGCTGCTACTTCCGGTGTATCAAGCTGGGAATCTGTCTATACCTATATCGATTGCGCAGCAATAGCAGATATGGCCTTTGGATTAGGATTCGGTGACGTGGATGTTCCAGGTAGTGATGGAAACACACTTATTTCTAAGGCACGATCTCTTGGCTACATTCTCTGGCTTTTGGATCATGGTGCAGACCTCTCAACACCTTCTGAGCATATTATAGGCTCGAAGCTCAACCAAGTTGCGGCTCACGGGGTAGCTGGTTGGTTCGGTGGTCATCTTCTATCTCGCTGCAGTAGCCGGAGTATGTCAAAGGAAGATTGGCCCAAATCCACTGATGGATCATCTGAAAAGCGCTTGATGTCCTATTTGTTGAATGTTCACGCCAATGACGCCTGCGATTGTGCTTGCTCGATTCGAGGCTGTACGGTCTTTCTCAGCATCCTCAAAGGTTACTTCTGCGATGGTCGCCTCGGGAATTACTCTGAAACGGGTATACCTCGGGAGGAGGAAATCTTTTGCTCCTATGAGCTGTAGGAGATCTTGCAGCTTAAAACCTTGGAGACTATCCATGTAGAGGAAATTCTGAGGTACATGACCTTTTTGACTCTCGGAATCAGGCATACATGCTGCGAAGGCTTTTGCCTCCTCCGAAGTCCATCATATGAGATAGGTTTCGGCAGAACCTACGACGACGAAGACTTCCAGGAGTTCAGAACAGAAGATGAGCATCTCACTCAAATATTGGAGGATCTAATGGTAGAGTTTCAAGCATCTTTCGACGCTTGGGGTTGTGCCTTGCCTGAGTTTTTGATACATTCTTGGAAACCACGTATGTACGAAGTACTAAGTGAGCTGGATGGAAGCTTTGTTTCTGAGGAACAGAGAACAGAGTTGCAGAACATTGGGATAGTCTTAACAGAAGAATCCGAGCGAATTCCAGAGGTAGTGCTCCCTGAGATTGAGGTGGCCGACGACTACAAGATGGAGAACGACTTGGAATACTGGCTTCGGCATATGGACAAGATCATGGAGGAATGAATTGCTGCCGTCGGCTCTTGAAAGTTCCCTGTTTACATTCAGAGATGGGATTGAGCACTGCCAGGTCTTAAATCTGGCACGCTATGAGGATTTCAATTTCACACAATCTTCCTAATTCTTCATGTGCAGCATTTGAAATTAAAATTAGAAAACAAATCAGTCCAAAAATGTTCAGTCCGTTCACCGAGAAGATGAAAAATTTCTTTCAGAGCCCAAATAACGGTAAAATTGCACACATTAAGATCAAGAGTACCACGTAGTCTCCATTATGTTACTGATTGCATCTAAAACAACGTGACTTCCAGATCTCTGTCAACGTTCCTTTGTTTACCTCGCTTAAAATATGTATTTCAAGCGGGGTAAACTTTACCCTACCAGGCCCGATATTACTTTGAACGCTTGACTTATATTTAATTCAGAGCAGTCCAGTCCAAACTTTAGGAATAAAGATTCCGATCTGGAGTGAGAACATGATTGGTGCTTACGCAATATCATAAGCTGCACTCAACATGACAGTGGACAAGTTTCTGACAACAGCATCTCACGTCGTCGTTACATACAGCATCGCGCGAAACCAAATAGATTAGACATTACTGGAGAGCAATTACAGCTTCAAACAGTTCTCATGGGAAAAGAAACCCTGATTTCAACGGACTTTGTCACTCTCAAAGAGTAACGGGATGCAGCCAGGAACACAGCTATGAATTCTTACTTGGCCTCCTAAATTTGGCAAAACGCACACCGTCCAGTCAATCGATCTAATAAAAAGTGCTCATTGCTGATAATATGGATCTGATCATCTTATCAAGGACAGGAGTGCGTAATTCAGGTTCATATAATTCAAAGTAGGCCATGCTAAACGAAGCCTTTCGAAGAGTCTGGCAAGCAAAGAGTGTAGCAATGGAAATTTGACTGGATATCAGAGTGTTCTGGAGACTAAACACGTTCCTTGCTTGTTTATTTTTAACCTGTTCTCCATATAACCAAGTCATAAAAATTCCAACTCTCATGCAAAACATACGTGGTAGAAACTTCAGACAGTTAGTTCTCTGCGTGTCAACAAGTATCGAGACCCAGAAAACCTCCAAGAATCAATCCAACCCGAGAACCAAAGCAAATAGAAGAAGAAAAGAAATAAGTGCATGAAAAACAACTTTGTCAAGTATGGACGATTCCAATCTGAATCTTGAGGGCTAGACCACTCAACCAATCATGTACTACTCCTCTCCAAGTGCTGCCAAGTCTACTCTTCCAGAACCGACCTGATTATACATCCCTCCTGTAACTCTCAATTTCTCAACTTATTTTCTCCACTAGGGATACCTTGCATCAAGTCTCGACGTATATAATAGACCCACACCACAACAAGCATACATAAACTCCGCTTCACCCCTTCATCCCTCCTCCCCTCGCTGCGTTCCAACACCCATCTTGCCTCTTGTCGATAAACAGTCAACTCAATCACCTGCCACGTGTCCCTTGTCACTTGGTTCTTATGGATTGGATAGAACACAGAAACGACGCCACCTACATACTCATATAAAAGCTCTTTCCCGGAGAGAGATGATAGAGAGACGTGAAGCTCGTAGAAAAAATAAGACGGGTGGATAAAGGAAGTGGAAAGTGTAATGGAGTTTTGAGCGCTTTACCATCTCATAACCCGTTCGTTCCTGGCTTTTGAGAAAACTTCAGGCAGTGAGGGAGACAACCCTCGACCGTATTCAATAATAAATAAACTTTGTTTGACTCGACTTGAGTTCACTGCTATCTCCTCCCTTCCTTCTTTCCGTCCTTCATTCCTCCCTTCTTTCCGTCCTTCCTTCCTGGCTAAGTACATGCATCGTATTTCATCTCATTTCATCTCGCCCCTCAATCTATCTATCTATCTACCTATTCCGCATTACCTTACGTACATTCGGAGACGAAAAAGGATGGGGATAGATGCAGGATGAAAGCTACCTTAGGACTCCGACTACGACTACGATCGAATGACAGGCAGCGCAGGTAGAGTGAAGAGAAGGAAATTATACTACGAGATGATATAACACAGTACAGCATAGCACAGCATAGTACAGCACAGCACAGCATAGCATAACACTAACCCTCCTCTCCCTTCCATTCCCTTCCCTTCCCATGTCTCATCTACCTACCTACCGCGTTCTGGAGACTTACTTACTTGACAGTTAACTTATCACCTATTCAACACTCAATCACACTCAACATTCAATATTCAACATTCAATTATTATTACCACACAGCACCTACACCCTCCTCCTCCTCCTCTTCCCATCCACCTCATCAACCCCAACCCAACCTCAACTACACTCCATCAACCCAACCCAACCCCACACCACACCTCCACCCTCTAACCCAACCTCAACCTAATCCACCCTCAACCTCAAAACTCCACTTACCTAGCTACCTACGCCTCACCTCCTCCCATGCACCTATCCATCCATCCACCCGCCCATTCATCCACCACCTGAACCTCAAAAGCTCCACTCAATCACCACCATCCATCCATCCACACCTACACCACCACCTCAACCCAACCTCAACCTCAAATCACCATCCATCCATCCATCCACCTATCCACCCACCTATCCATCCACTAAAATCCCACAAGCAAGCAAGCAATACATACAATCTCCCTCATCAGACCAAAAAACTTCACGTCACGGTCGCGAATAAGAGAGAGAGTTCAATCTTCAAATTTTCAAGAATGCCCCAGTGGTGGGTAAATAGGTAGGTGGGTAGGTAGGTAGGTAGTAGGTAGCTAGGTAGGTTAGGAAGGTAGGTTGGAGGTAGGTGGGGAGGTTGAGAGGTAGGTGGGTAGGTAGGTAAGCAAGTATGTAACGTGTAAGAGTGAGATGTACAAAAACCTACTCGTAGGCGTGTGTGTGTATGGGTTTTGGATAGAGATAGATAGATGGATGGATGGATGGATGGATGGATGGATGGATGGATGGATGGATGGATGGATGGATAGATAGGAGTAACATGTCTGTGACATGATGGGAATGATATATATCTATGATGTTATAGGAACGATTGGGACATGTAGGCAAACGATTAATACTCAAGAAAATCAGGATATCAAGTAAGAAAACTCTCCCATTTATGATCTGATCTGATATGATGACATGATATTTATACACAAAGCTTTCTTTCGCTTTAACTTTCTTCCATCCATCCCATCCCTATATTTCTTCTTCTTTTCCTTCTTCTCATCTTTTCTGTCTGTCTCTTCTATCTCCTTCCCTCAGCCAAGCAGCCAGCCATGCTCGACCCACCCCCTTCCTTCATTCAAAGGGGCAGAGAGCACGTCTGTCGCGTCTGAGCAAACAACAACAACACCACCAACAACAACCAAGGAAAAATATGCATGCATGTATATATATGCCTCCACTTCCACTTCCACCTCACGACGACACACACAAAACAAAAAAGAACGAACTTTCAATCGCCACATCATATCTATCAATCATTCCATTCCATCCCCTCATATCCAAAAACCACCCACCCAACCACCGACCCCGAACCAATCCATCCCTACAGAAGAAACGCACAAACAGAATCAACGAAAACCCCGATCCAAAACCCCAAATCCGGTAAGCCACGCACGCTTTCCAGAACATCATAAACGTCGTCATGAAAAGAAGAAGTCCCACCACCAATTCCCACCAATCCAACCCAAGTACCGTCCATCCATCCCTATTCTTCCTACATGCCATGCAAGCCAAGCCAAGAAAAGAAATGGCTGCGACCCAAACACGATGATATCCCAAGACCTTGGAAGATCTCGAACCTCGAATCGACGAGCATAAAGACAAGCGCAAGGCTATGCAATAAACGAAGAAAGAAGTTTCCATATAAGAAGAAAAAAACCTTGTACGGAAACCCCCCTGAAAAGAGAACAAGACAATGATCTAATTTTCCTGCCTCCCAAAAAAAACCGTTGCACCAAAACGAAGCGAAGCTAAAACACAAGAAGAGACACCGTGTTATATCGGTTGCTGCATCATCTGGTGAGAGATGAGTTGACTAGGAGCAGCCATGCCGGAATTGGTCATTGGCATCGACATTCCCATCTGTGCGTGCATGCTACCGAAGCCTTGGCTCATGCTCGTTGGGAGGTATCCGTTCTCAGAGTTGGGGGAGGCTTCCTCGAGGGAACCGAGGTGGTCTTCGCCTTCATATTCTTCTTCTTCGCCAGAGTAGCTGCCGTAGGGGCCTTCAGAGCCATCGCTGCGGTCGTGGGTACGACGATGTCTGAGAGCGGATGTTAGTAAGCTATGGTTAAAGGAGTTGGGAATATGGTATGCATCTGTGCTGTGCTATGATGTGTAATGTGAAGGACGTACTGTGCTAGGTTGTCTGATCGGGAGAATGCCTTATTACAGTGGGGGCAGATGTAGGGTCTTTCTTGGGTATGTGTTCTCACGTGTCTGGAGGGGAGTATGTCAGCGGCGTGATGTGACAGCCGGTCCGTAAATAATGAAAAATGTAAACCATACCTTTTGAGATGCTCTAAACGCTTGAAGAGGCGACCGCATGTGGGAATAGGGCATGAGTGTGACTTTTGAGGGTAGGGGCCAAGTTCCATCATGGTGGCGCTCCGAGCTCTTCGGACGACACCATTTGGTCCTTGCATATGTCTTCTTTGGGGAGAATTGTGGATTGAACCTTCACCTGAAAGCTCTTCATTGGACAGATGACCGTAGTCGTTGTGTTGGAGAGCCATCGGGTTCATGGCAGGACTATCTTCAACAGTGGAGAGGGGGGTTCCGTGTCTTGACATGTCGATGAGATCTTTGTGTTGTTGAGCGAGTTGGTGCATGCCATTGCTGTAGCTGAGTCCCGGTGGAGAGTTGTTTCCAGACTCATCACCCTCAGCAACAGGTCCGACAGATGTAGAAACGGATCGTCTCAGATCTGATGGTCGATGGGCGGTATGTGGTTGTTGTTGTTGGCCGGCCGAAGCGGCAACCATTGCAGCAACTCCCGGAGGAATTGATGAACGGCGCCTCCTCTGCTTGTAGGTTGGGGATCCTTCAATGACGGAGTAGACATTGTTGGCACCATATCCACGAGTGGCATGGGAGAATTGTGGGCCAGAGAGGTTTGAAGGTGGCAGCTGCATGATTCCGTGCATACCGTTGACGCCACCCATGTGGTCTGGAATAGCAGTGTAAAGGCCAGTCTCCTCGTTTGCGATGTAGGCAGGCTCAGCTCCCATTCCCATAGCTTGCTGAGGCGGTGTGATTGGCTCAAAGGAGATTCCGCGGTTGCTGTAGTCCTCGTAGTGCGAGGAGACAAACGAAGGAGCGGGAGAGTACTCAAGGCCGTATGCAGGCATAGAAGCGTGGCGTTGGTGTGTTTGAGAAATTGGGACACCGTTCTGGTTGTATTGAACTCTTCCGAAATCTGCCTCTCTCTTGACCATCTGCTGTGGTACGTGTTGTTGACCCATTGCCATTTGTTGGTACGCAGCCATTGGGTTCATCTCCTCTTGCATAGCCATGGCTTGGGGAATCATTTGTGGAGGTGGCATGGAATCGATCGCTCGCATGACTGGGGAGGTCGATTGTGATTGTGATTGAGAGTATGATGGTTGTTGTGCGGAGAAGGAGGACGAGTTGGCTTGTTGAGCTTTGGTGAGTTGCTCAAAGAGCGATTGAGAAGAATCGAATTCAAAAGAGAGAGCTGGTTCATTGACAGCAACAGTTGTGGCCTCCTGTCCCATCTTCTCCCGCTTGAGATCGCGTTCGAGTGCATCGAGGAAGAGTCTGTCGTGTGGTACGCTGTACCAGTAGAAAACCTTCTGCTTCTTCTGTGTGCGGATGCAATTGTTCTTGTAGAGGAAATCAAGGAAGCCACTCTTTGGCTCTTCGAGGGAGGCATCGGTGCCAGACTTGAGGTTGCGCAAATCGGAAAAGATACCCTCCTCAAACTTCTTCGAGTTCTTTACTGGTCGTCCAAAGGCTTGAAATCTGAAGGAAAGGCAGCGAACAATGTCGGTACCGGAAATGTGAAAGAGATTGTTCCTGCACCGGTTAGTCTTTATCCCAGCCCATCCGTCGAGCAACATACCATAACACGCAGGAAACGTATTCGCCAGTAGGTAAAAGAAATCGGCGTATGTACTGATCCGGTGTCCAGTCAACGGGAGCAGATATTAAAAAGTATTTTACTATTTGCTGTTAGCGATTGTTTCCTCCACAGTCGGCGACGGTACGTACAGTTGTCGACTTGTTGCAGTGCGACCTGGGCGTCTTGTGGGAGAGATTGCTGGGCTTCACTGCTCAACATGAAAGTTTCCGGCTTCTGTGGTGGTGCCATCGTTGCATGATGCTGCGAATACATCATATGCGCCATTCGAGAGAGTCGAAACGAAGATGGCCCTTCAGTGTTGATAAGATGACAATCGCGTCAAGATGGACGGATTGAAACGACGCCAATGTCGTGATGCGGAGGGCCCGATTGTTGGGATGCTCTTATCAGAGACGTCGATGAAGCAGTAGTGGCTGGAGATCCGCTGTGTGGGATGGATGAGGGACGAGACGACACGTTACGATGAAGCGAGTGATGGGAAGACAGGAAGGGCCAGTATGATATTCTGGATTGTTTGGAAGGAGCCTGCTCCGATGGGGAAATGCAGCAGATGGGGCAGACAGATGGAACGGTTGATGTTCGAGGAGTTTCGAGGCCAGCAAGAACTCGACTCGGAGGGGCAGAAAAAACCGGCTCGACGGTTGATAATTAATAGAGAGAAGAGAAGGACCCGAAGTTTGTCGCGAACACGGCAATACCTGACAGAATAGACTCGGCGTCGAAGAGGCTGAAGTCTAGAGAGGAATGCGTGCGTTTGATAACCGTGATCGGTGTCGGGGATAGGATGGCTTCGAGCTGGGTGAAGGTGAAGCTGAAGCTGAAAAGGGAGCTTTCGAGGTACGGACCTGCGACAAGAAAGAGAGCGTAAATTCCAAGTGTGAGAAGTGTTTGGGAAAGCGGAACCAGGAGATTATGAGGACAGGATCGAGCGCGCGCGGGTCGCTGATATGGCCGGAGGAGCAGGGAAGGGCGGGCCAGGGGGCAGCAGGGGTGGTGAGAGGGCGTTACAAGGAAGTGGTGGGTTTGGTTAGGGTAGCGGAAGACGAGCGAGAGGAAGAGAGGAAGAGAGGGAGAGGGAGAGGGAGAGGGAGAGGGAGAGGGAGAGAGAGGACTCGAGGACCGGCAAGGAGGGAAGAGATGGACGGCGCGGGCTGGATGGATTCATGGATGGATGTTGACTGTGGTGGTGGTCGTGTCGCTGGTGCCGGTGCTTGGTGGTGCTTGGAGCTGGCGGGCAAGGAACACGACAGGGTGGGAGCGTGGAAGCGTGGAAGCGTGGAAGAGCGAGCGAGCGAGCGAGCCAAAAGGGCAGGGCAGAGGGCGCTGGCCCACAGCGCAGGGAAGATTGCGCAGGGTGGAAAATTATCGCGCCTGGGGGAGACCTGGGAGACCTGGGAGACCTGCGAGCCGTGGGACGTCCTGGCCCCAGGTGGTCCGAGAAAATCCTGAAGCTAGGCGCCTTTAGGGGAGAAGCCCGTGGGACCTGAGCAGCGGGGAGGGATGCCACGGACGACGACGACGATTTGTGCACAAATCTCGCGAGTCGAGATTCGAGAAGCACTGAGCTTGGAGCACCTGAGCCGGGCAGAAAGGCACAGGGTGCGGGCGGGAGTGGGATGGGATAGGATAGCCGTATGGGTAGATGTGGATGTGGATATCTGTTGATGTCGATAAAAGGGGAGTTTGCAAGGGAGCGAGAGGGAGGAAGCAGAGAGAGATGTGCAGAAGAAGGAAGGAGAGCCGACGACAAGAGATTGTTGCGGAGATATCAACAGTGAACGTGCGCAGGCACAGAGGAGAGGAGACGCAAGGCATGTAAAAAAGTGTTTGGTTTGGTTTAGTTTGGTCAGCCAGGACGCCAGAACCCCGAGCGAAGAAGGACGTCCCCGCCAGAAGAAGAGGATCCCTCTTCGGAGATAATCAATTAAAGATACCTTCAGATCCGGACAGAAAGACAAGTCAAGCAAGACAGTCCAATGCAAGACAGTCATGCACCAGATGGGGTTGAATAGATTGATTATCTAGAGACGCAGGTCTTACTTGCTGGAAGTGAGCAATCTGTACATTCAAAGAGTTCAAATGTACCTACTTCGGTACCAAGAACATCATTACAGTACGACCGGGAATCGACCGGTAAGACAGTGACAGCGACAGCGTGCGCATGCGCATGCAACGCGCGGACTGGCTTCCATTATTTCGTCGACAAAGCGAGGGGAGTCCCTCCGGCGCAGGAACAAGCAGACAGACAGACCGACAGACCGATCGATCTGAGCATCTGAGCGAGACAGGCGGGCTTCAATGTTTGTGCTTGAACCGGTAGTAAAAAAGCACCGCCAAGCCCCAATCCATCTCTTCCCTCCCAATCGACCTTATTCCTAATGCATAACTCCGCCAAATAATCCAGATATATCCTCAACTCACCACTCTACTCGCCCTGATCTCGACCCCTCCCATCCACTCACTCTTTCCCAATTCTCAACCTTCTCCATCTCAGCGTCTGCATCTGCAGCATCCAACCTCCTCTCTCTCTACCTCTCTCTCTGCCTCCCAAAAAAGAACAACACCAAAATAAAGCCGGCGTGTCCTCTCTTCCACCACCTCCCCAAGTCCAATCATCCCACCCAGCCCAGCGAGCCAGCCCCATCTCATCGGCTAGAACGACAACGACAACGACAACGACAGACAAACGACATTTTGGGCGCGTGTTTCGGACCTGCTCTAACTTTAGTCACTCCCTCCCCTATTGGTGGACGCTTCGTGTCTCAGGTCCACCCTGCCACCAGAGACAAGGGTGAGACCTAGCTCAGGTCCAAGGGCCCCCCTGGACTAGGTGGGGCCAAGAGGATTCTCAAACATGAGGTGCGAGGTAGAGGTGCCCACCCGCTAGGAGAGGAGTGACAGCTGGCTGGCTGGAGCTGGACTACTTTGCCCCTGAAGTATGCACTGCACTGCATTATTGCATATCGTTCTGGTGAAGGGCAAGCCAAGCAAGAAAGAAATGACTTTGATAGACTGGTCTGGATTCCGATCAACAATAAGTAATGTTCGATCTCTTAATCTGGCAGTTGGGCGGCGGTGGTGATGATCATGATGGGGGAAAATATATTAAAAATTCAATTTACGGCATGGCACCATAGAAAAGGGCTGACTTTAAGTTGTGACTTAGGTATGGGGATCTCATCTCTCTGCCTTTTCATGCGTTGACAGTTGTCCACGCGTAAGCTCGCTCAACCAACCCAAAATTATTGGAGAATTATGCCAGACACTTTTTCATTAATCAACACCTGCAACCAGATAGTTTATGAAAATTCCACTCGTGAGATTATTGGAAGATTGGTACGAGGGCGAGGGTCCACTCCGAGCGAGCATGCCGATGGATCGTGACTGAGGATGGACGGATGGATAGAGTCAATTCTCAATACAGAAGTGCAAAATAGTAGAGATGTGTACGGAGTGGGAGGACAGCAGCAGTCACTGAGAAGATGTCGATATCGATTGTCCTTTGGTGGGGTTTTCGGTCCAACGTAGACAGCAGAGATGATTCATTCTCTTTCCGGAAGTCTCGCGGAAAATTCCAAGGCCCCGATACCATCCCTTCTGGTTTTATTCTGATCACAAATATATCTGTACCTCTCGATATATCTATCTATCTACGTCTGTACCTGTACCGCCTTAAGAATTGTACCACGAACCCCTCCAGCTATCGAAACCATTGATACCTCTGGCCGCCATCCTTCCTTGTAAACCAGCCTCTCTACCAGCGTTGTATTAATCCTTCTCTCATGAATGCACAAAGCAGGAAGCATCTCCGATGTACTCACTAGTCAAGTCAAAGCAAGCCAGCACCTGTCTGTAAGATTGACTCGTACATCGCCGTGCCTCGCATTGCATTGATCGTGGCGTGAGTGTTGACACCGTGCTCAGGCACAAGCACAGGTACAGGCACATAAATACGCCACCTGCGCACAGCATATCACGGTCCCATTTTCTCGCCTATTTGGGCCATTTTCATTTCTTGATCACAACAGTGAAGCAGTCCAATCGACTACAATAAAATATCCCTCTCACAAGCTCAACATATACTTCCTCGAGTCCAGCCCAACCAAAGGATAGTGGCAAGTCCATATGATCTACACCTAAGTCAAGGACCCCTCTCACATCCATAACCACCTTCATGCTCCTTCCTTGACTCTTTCTCAGCGCCTCCCGTCAGATGCCGCCGCCGAATAGCGGGGGAGGACGCGGCGGGCGATCTGGCTGGACATCAACCGACCGACCATAAATCCACGACGTCGTCTTAAGCACGAGGATCATGCTTTAATATAGACTAGGTTGAGCCAATGGTGATTTGCCGATTTGCTGATTCGAGAGGATCAAAATACATGTTATACCGGCTCTGATATAGGATCTATCTGAGCTGAGGATCTCCAGCCTTCAAAGCACAGCTGAGATTCAAACCTCTCAGGATACAGAAGTCCTTCTTACAAGTACAGATCTAATACCCAGCCACAGTAATAACAAAATCATAGACTACCTGTAGATACCACCATCGCACCACATCACAGCACACAGTAATTCGTTCCCCAGGTCCCTAAGTAAGCAGTGCATGGTCCCCCTCGACCGTCCCATTATTCTGCCGCAGCGATGTCATCCCGTCACCACTCCCAAAAGCCATCAACCTGAAACCTCGCCTCCAGAACACCATCTCTCTCGGCTCGCCTCAGATTTCTTCCCCTCCTCTTGCCTTCCTCTCCTTCTTCCGCCATTACCGTACTATTAACCACCACATCCATCCATCCCCATCCCCAGCACAAGCCAGCAAAGCAAGCAAAGCAAGTAGTCCAGCCACAGTGCAGGAACCAGTTCGCATTGCATGCTTAACATGCAGCCAAGATGAAATTGGCTCTCCAATAGGAAATAAGGCTACAGGTACAACTTTCAGAAGTGATGCGAGAAGGGAGGCAGACAGGTAAATTACACCAAAATCTGCCGTGAAGGCAAGCCGACCAGACCAGCCAGCTCGCAGTGAGTATCTCGATCAAGCGTTAAAGTAAACAACTACCTACATGTTCTCAAGCCCCATCACATCACAATTCATGCAAACACCATACCGTCCAACCATTCGCTTCGATTCGATTCCGACTCAACCGCCATCCCCAGCATTATCCTAACAGCAGCCAGTCGCAAGGGAAACCCCAGAGAACTGACTGATGGATGGGCTGGGTTTGAATCGCGTAGGTACAGTAAGTAAGTCTTCGATTCATACATACCTACCGTACCTACTCTACAGTACGTAAACCAAACCAAACCAACCCAGACTAAAAGTACGGGTTCCTGGAAACACTTGACATGTTCTCTATTTAAATCCTATCCTATTTCCATGCGCTGCGCGCTTGAGAACGCGGAGAGGGGAAATGGCGATTCAGATGATTCTGAATCAGGTACGGTGTGATGTGTGATGTGTGAAGAACTTCCAGGTACCAGTCAGACAGTCTTCTCTTCTGGCCGTTCCTGGATACCTATCCTTCCGGAAGAAGAAGAAGAAGAGGAGGAAAGTGATATTTGAGTTTGTTTAGTCATAGATGACAATACAGCTGACCTGCATTCGCAATCTCTATTTTCCCCCTTCTATTTTAGCTTTTGCAGTCTCGCTGCAATTTTTCCCTTTTTGGCAGTCAAAAGCCACTTATCATGACCTCACTATGCTAAAACTTTCAGGCTGGACCTCTTCTCCATCAGATCACAGCACGGCACATTACCATCACGGATAACCAAATCGCAGAAACCACAGACCTTTAAACCTACCTACCCAATTAACCATCACCCGCATCTACCTTGACCATAAAAAAAAGCAAACCGCGTGATCCTCACTCGCTCGCGCATTCGCTTCTCAGGCACACCCCACCCCGTAAAGTAAGCACAGCACAGCACAGCACATCCACACAGATCCACAGCACAGGGCACCCGTCCGTACCTGTTTGATCAGCGACCTGAAACCGGCAGCATGCAGTGGGCACAGGAACAGGGAAGGTCAATTAGTGCTGGAAGTTGCAATGGAGAAAAACCCCCCCCCCCCCGAAGATGTGCCAGCCCATGGAATTTCTTCTCCGTGTGCGCAAGGTTACGCACACAAAGGTACCAAACCAAATACTGTACAAGCATTATTCCTGGAATCCCTTTTGGTGGTGATGAGGACATGGGTTTCTGGGGATGTAGGTGAGGTTGAATGGACGGATGGTCCAACGTGAGGTTTCTGTGTGATCGTCCCGTCGCTGAGAAGAGGAGAGCGGATTGAGGGTTAGATGTGGCTTTTGGGTTTGTTTCTTTAGGGTTCGCTTGCTAATGTATCTGTGCCTGAGGGCGACGTACAGTAATATATTGGCTTTCAGATAGATCTTGAGATGATAATGATGATGATGAAAGACTGCGATGTGAGAGAGTTTGATTGATAATGAGATCATAATCACGTAGAGTACGGAATAAACTTCTTGAGCATGCATGTGTTTGCCTTGGAGGGAAATAAATCGCGAAAAGGGCAGGTTCGTTGATTCCCCTGCTTTGTACTACAAGCACAACATCTATCCTTCAGAATACGCTGTACATCATAAATGCGGCAAAAATCCACCAACGAAATCGAAAATACCCAGAACCGCCCGACAAGAAGGTACAGCATGAACAGTACCTGGAATTCTCCGACCCAAAGATCATCCTATTCCTGGTCTTTCTCACGGGAGATGCTCGAGTATGGGTCACGACAATTCCTGCGAGATACATGGTCTAGACAAGCAGTGGGGGATGAAATTCATCCGGGAGGCATGATCATCTCTTCCGAGCGTGACGCTTTCACTGCCAAAGTCAGCAAGCTCTTCCTCCTGCACACTTCTCTACTTCATATCCACCATCAAATCAACACCACCAATCCTCATCATCAAAGCCCAAGAAACATCCACTTCCAGCCACCTGCAAAATCCAAACCGCATCCCCAGCCCAGCTTAAAGAAAAAGGTATTTCCATACCACCAGCAACGATAGGCTCACATCAACGCATCAGAATTTCGCTCCCGCACCCCAACCAGCCTCCACAGCTGAAACAACGCCCTTCCACACCTCTCATTCGTCCGCGCCAGAAGCTGCATGTCAACCGCTCGAGCAACCAGCTCCTAAAATAGCTTCAAACACCCGCTGGATATGCAGCGCATCTGGCATACGGTTAGATTTAAATCTAGGAACCGTCCAGGCTACTGTAGGTCGTGGATAAGGCGACCTCCGAACAGACCAGAAGGGTATGCGACCAAGCTTAATTTGATGCAGTGAGAGGGCTTGATAGGTGTAGAATTCACGGGATGTGGATGAGAAGGATGAATTGGGGAGGGAAGAATCGTGACCCATATGGGCGTACCGCTGGACTCTAATTCGAGATCCGATCGGATCCTTCGAGGTCCCCCACTTACCCGCTTGAAGAATTGCTGTCTGATTGACATTTTGACATGCGGTTAAAGAAAAGACATGTAGACAGCATGAAAGGAAATTGTTTAAACGCTAGGATCGTCGTATCCGCTGGCTTTCTCTATGTTTCTTCTGCAGGTACAGAATCTCAAACAAATGGTCTATTTCCAGCACGTTTTCCACCACTGCGGGAGAACATCTCTGGTCTGACAGAGGCTGACTTGGCGCCGTGGTCCATTCTCATCGCATCCCGTGAGCATCTGACTTCGAAAGACCTCACTCACACCGCCGTTCCCAATGTCAACAACGGTACCGATGTCAAGAGTTCGTTCAAAGAAGCTCAAGCATCAACCCCTCCATGCGTCGCCAGGACCCACGGCGAGCCCATCACCCGCCCACAGACCCACACCGCACAGGCTGAAACATGACACTTGGAATTTCAGTCCGTCTCCTTCTCAGGCACCATATCGCGCGTTTTTACATCATCACACCGATCAGGACGACGCTTTACCATCAGTGCACGCACTCGCCACCGTCAAAGCACACAGTCTAAACATCCCATTCCAGACTGGCAGTCCCTGTCCAGCATACCAAGCTCCTCCATCGGGGCAGCGGCAGCGGCATATCCTCACAAAACGGAAAGGATAGATCGACAAGTCCCGTTTCTACGTTTCTAGAGCATGAATCAGAACAGGAACTAAGAAGCCCTTGAACCGCCTTCACACCTGCCTGTCTACTTTGCCACTTGCTCGGCTCTCTCGACAAGGATATCGAAGCCCTGACAGACAACTAAGGGTAAGTAAGCAAGCAAGAAGCGAGGATGGATCCAAGCCCAGAGCGAGATGCCCTACGGTATGTTCTGCATACTTTGAAACCACACCACTATGTTCTAGCTTTCCAGAATCCCAGTTTCACTTTTACTTGACTTTTGCACTTCTATGCCAGATTTCCCTACTAGCGCCTCTGCCCTATCTGCCGACCGTACCGTACCTGTACCTGACATATCTGAGTTCAGTGCATTTCTCCGGCCCATTAACTTACAACCCACCTCTGCCTTATCCTTATCCAATTAGGAAAATCTAGAACGTGGCAATAGCAGGGTCCTCATCAGTACATTCTACATCAGTAGGTAAATTAAGTTCACGTTCAACAAAACCAACGTGTACTTACTGTACTGTAGGTTCGAATCCGATAAACCTCAAACAATCGATCACCGTTTCACATTCTTCGATCTCTGGGTCCCTCCGCCCTTCCATCCCCACGAGCCCCAGCGATCTTTCTATTTCCATATCCCGCCCTACCTCTCTCCGTCCCTCTCTCTTCTTGAAATAATGCGTTTCTCGCATCATCCCTGGACATCACACTTCTGTAGTCTAGGTGTGCTCCCAGGCCGCCACTCTCTCTCGCTCAGTTCCCAGTTCCCAGTGCATATATCTCCATTCAGGATATTCCATGTCTTGCGAGCTGGCGATCAGCAGGCACATTCAAGGAACACACATGCGTGATGTCCTCATCCTCATGGGTTCACCCTTTCTTGTCTTCCAATTCCCACCAGCTGTTCCTGCCTTTCACTTCCTCAATCCTTCTCCCGTTGTTGGTGAGCGTGTCTATCATGTTATGTTATGCCTTGGTTTAGCCATCCCTTGACTCTGCTCGCTCTGCTTTGGTCCCCTGATAATGCTGCAAGTTGGTGCAAAGCAAAGCATGAGCACAGAGCACAGAGCACAGAATCCGTGGCGTTCATGGCTGGCTGGCTGGCTGGCTGGTCTGGAAATGTACCTGGCTACCTGGGTTCATGGCTGCTGCACGTCCGGATCCTCGGTGTCTCTGGTCGGGCTCGGGCTTTTGTCTTTACAGTATAGTTTGCATACGTGCCGTTTTTTCGGCCCTTTGTACCTTTCCGTCCTTGATCCTGACCTCGACTGAACTGATCGAAAAAGTCTAAAGTCAAGGGTCCAAATGTGAAACTGGATATCTTACTTAGCACAGCAAAGCACAGCATCAGGGCAGCTCGGGCAGGTAGATTACGAGGAGTTAGCTCTAGAGTACCTACGCCTCATCGTTCAAAGCCAAAGCCACGGTATCAGCCCTACTTTCCATTTCCATTTCCATTTCCATTCATTTCCCCCCCTCGCATTATGCAGATCGCCTAATGTGATCTTCTCCATTTTCCTATCCAGGCATAGCATAAGTGTCAACTCACAATATTTTAATTGATGCTAAACATTTTAACTTACCCTTCACCCGTAACCCACATCTCACTAACCTCCCCCCATAACATAACATAGGTAGATCAACATCTGAAACCAGCTTTCAATTAGCTAACTAACTAACTAACTGTCAGCCATTGCTTTACTTTGCTTTGCTTTACTTTGCTTTGCTTTGTTCTTTCCTCCGCGTTTTGGTCTTTGCTACCTTATCCACTCTGGTAAGGTGAGGTGAGGTAAGTGGGCTCGCTGGATGGTCGGATGGCTTTGTTTGGGAAGTTCTGAAGCGAAGCGAGGCGAGGCGAGAGTTGGGGCACTGCTTGTGGAGCGTGTAGGTGGATCAAGAGAGAGGGGGGAGAAGGAGGAATGCAAAAAGAGCGATCTTGTTGCATGTCGTAGGTGATGCATCGGGATTGCATGGTTCTGGAGGGGGTTAGGAAGTTGGATAGAGGGTGAAAGGGAATGTATTTGTGGAATTATGCATGGTTGGTTGATACCTACAACAGGTATGGCGTATAAGTTGCGAGGAGCACATGATGTGAAGTTTTAAAATTTCTGAGTGAGGTACCTATGTCATTGCTTGTGGTGTACGATTTGGGTGTAAGTCCGTCTGGATATTTCCTTAAATTTAGTTTACAGTCTACAAGTATATTTTGATCTCAAGAACGCTCCTCAGATTTCTTGAAGTTGAAAACGTCACGTGCTTACCAATTCTGTGTCGTTCTCATCACTTCAAACTGGCACACCATTCCTCTGCCAATGAGGTTAATTCACCAGTGACATTCAATTGTATTTAAAGTAAATATTACTTACAAAGAGATGTATATATACTGCTCTTTCTCGCTTCTCTCAAACTTACCCCCGGAGACTGGTGAGGAAGAGGAGGGGGAGGCGGACGGATGAGGGGTTTTTTGTTTTGTGGTATTTCTTCATGTGGCTGCAGCTGGAGCTGGAATTAGAGAGGGGAGGGAATTGAGGTCTGAGGTGTGAGGTGTGAGGTGGCGGTCACATTCAGAAGGGTTGGTAATGGAAGATGCCAGAGGGGGAGTCGGCATGAGAGCTGTTCTTTTCTATGAGAGGACATCCTTGGTTTCTGAGTACAAGAAGACGTGTTACTGGCGTGGTTGAATTTTTCTGTAAGGTTGCTCGCATGAAATGATGGCCTCATTCACATGGTCTGTCCGGTTTGTTTGTTTGTTTGTTTGGGATACAGTCAGAGGGTAGTAGTGGCTCTCCGGAGTACGGTGTCCTAAGGTTTGGCTGGCTAAATGACTGGAACGGAGATGGGATGTTGAGAGTCTCTCTTCTGTACGGATAGAGTATTAAGGTTCGTGTTGTTTATAGGATGTTGTCATTACAATTATCGCTGTCATTTCCCTTTCTATTTTCATTGTGGTTAACTTCTCGCTTATCGTCACTCCCTCCTCCCTTGGACGAATTCATTGAAAAGCTTCTCTTAATTGTTTTTACTAATCAGTCATTAGAATGCTAATCGAATAACATATTGACTTAATGCAGGAGAATTAATTGAGGCCACCGTGATCGAAACATGGCAAAGGGTTGCGACAGTGCTGGAATTGCCATGATGTTATGGGTGAGCAGAGACCGGAGTGCATTGATGGAGTTTAAATAACATTCCTTGGGCGTTTGGAGATGAGGAGGTGAAAGCTTTTTGTGGTGAGTATGTGCTGTTTTGCGTTTATTTGCGATGGATATGGATTCACTCATCAGGTGGGAGGTCTCGTCTGTGGAGTTTTGGAGGGAAAGTGTGGGACTTGAGGGAGTGATTGAGAGACAGCTATGTAATTAAGGTTGGGGATGGCGTTTGTAGTGTGAAAGCTGTAGCATGAAGTTTATAAATGAGTGAGTGGTCGGTAATGGTCTCCTCTTTACCCCTGGCTCATCCATCGACTGCCACCTGTACATGGACCTGAGTAGGATCTGTGGATTTTGGGATGGGAGGGTAAGTGCCGTGCTCCTGGATGCCTACCACTGCTTCACACATTTGATCTTGTCTTCTTACTTTGTGGAGTGGGTCTTTCAGGTATTTGAAGTATGTTGATGGATATTGTTGCTGTCATTCACATTGGATGCCGCCAATTCAAAACCTAGTGTCATTCATTCTCGCCTTGTCTGACTATTTCGAAATTCTGCAACTCCACGCGCACTGCTCTTCTATGTTCCTCAAGAGACGCATTCAACGAGATACGTGTAGAAATATCAATACTTTTAAAACAAAGCTACATTTGTGACAACTTTCGAAATTACAGGGAGCCTCCAAGTTTCCAGTGGGTTGTCTCCTGAGGGCCTGTCAGAGTCGTTGTCCTTGGTGGTAAACGAAGCTATTGTCTATATATTTTCATAACAGATTAAGGTTTTCAAGGAAGAGCTGTCTCTAGGTGGTGAATTCATATTTGGCAATTGGAATGGTGTTGGAAATAGTCAGGTGAAAGAAAGCTAAGTGGATGGCTTTGAGAATTGCTGATTGGTCTTGATTTCTGGAATATCTCAGAAACACTCAGTACCGGCTTTAAGAGTTTTGGGTATAAATTTTGTCTCCCCAGGTTGACTCTACTCTGTAAATCGCATCAGAACCAGCAAAGTCTTGCGCATGGTCGTGAGGGACTGAGATTGTACCAGGTTTTATGACAGGGATTTTAAGTTGAACTGTGAACTTTTCCAACAGATGTAATGATAATGCTCTGCCTCTCAAGCCTAGCACGAAGTGGAAGGCAGTTCTTGTAAGAATGGCAACGTGAGCTGTTGTCATGTAATTTGCTGCTGGCGAAATTCAGAAGTGTGGTAAGTAGACATTTTCAGACGGGACTTGATTTCCGGCTTGTAAAATGGTAGCGCTGTGACTGCGAGAAGTGCAAGAAGCTCCAACAGCATACTAAACATGAGTATTGGGCGTTGTTGAAAATCTATAGCCTCTTCGCAGATGAACAGTGCGAGCCTTTTCAGTGGTCCACCGTGATCAGTAGCCCAGTCCATATTCAGCGTCGCCAATATCATTTGATCTTACGGAAGGGGGAAACGGAAGATGATCCAATCGGTGGCCTTTGGGCACGACCACGGAAGAATCCGAGACTCCATGAAGAACATATCTCACAGAATATATGGGCACCCAGGAGCTCATTTCTCAGAGCGAACAGCATCAAGGAGCCGTCAGCTAGCAGCGGCGCCCAACTAGGAAAAAGAAAAGAGGAGCGTGTTGAGTCAAGGAGCTGCTGCCTCCTCGGAGCCGTCTCCTGCAAGCTACTAGTTCCTTGTAATATGGGTTGGGGGCCATTTTCTTCTTGGAACTAGGTCCTGCATTCCTTTGGTGGGAAATCACGAACCCCATAAAATCCCTATGCACTGAAATATGCATATGACAACATAGGTAAGCATAGGCTTGGCAATACATCAAAAGTCCATGCACTTGGCATTTGCAGAGGCAGCAAGTGCTCTCTGTTGCTCTCTGTTCAGAATCTCACGCATCCGCTATACAAAATGCCACAACAGTCTGCACCATATCAATTGCAGATATGATGCTCGCTGGCGCTGGCATCGTTGGGCAAATGATAGACACCATCTTTGTATAAATGGTGTGACCTCCCACTTTCTTCAAGTTGTTTGCATGTATTCGAGGCGAGGAACCTCGTTGAGCTGCCATGATTATTGAACCCATATTCAGTAAAATGATGCAATAAATGGGGCCTTCAAGCGTTGCGCGTTGACATAGAAAGTTGGACCTTCCGAGCTTGGACGGAGTGGATCCGAGCCGAGACGAGGTGCATCCGAGCCTGTACAAAATATATCCGAGCTTGTTAAAGAGGTACATTTAAATCTAGACGAGGTGCATGTAAGTCTGTAAAAGCATATTTGAGACTAGGAAAAGTGTATCCGAGCCTGGACAAGGTGCGTCCGAGCTTGTATAAACTATATCTAAGCTTGTTGAAAAATGTATCCGACCCTGGACAGTATGTATCCGAGCCTGTATAGAATGCATCCTGCAAATTTTATATTAATATTACTACATAAACTTCTTTCTTTGCATACACTATTGGCTGTCAGGCAGAACGTGATAACTCTTGTGATTCGTATACTAAACAGATAATACTGTAGCATAGCGGAAGTTGCGAGTTTTGATCACTACGTTAGTGATCAAGAATCTTCAATATATATAGGGCAACTAGACCCCCTCTTAATCCATACTTCATTCCTCATCATATCTTGTGTTTACTCCATCTCAATCATCAAGCAATATGCTGTTTAACACTGCCACCATCACTGCTGTCGCAGCCCTCCTCACCCAAACCGTTACGGCGGACTTCCATATGTACAAGGTTAATATTGCTGGTAGAGTAGGATGGTCAGTCTACGATCCATCTGCAGGTGCTGCCGATTGTTCTCATGCTAGCCGCGAGGTTTGTCCAGAGAAGGGTGATGATGTTAGTGGATCCGGCGTTCGATGTAAAGGGGCTTGTAAAGACTATGAACCTGGAAATCAGATGACCCAGATCGAGATGAACACTGGTTCTTTGTACGGAGAGCATTTCACGTAAGATTCTGTTTTTTTTTTGTTAAAGAAGATACTAACTTGAAGTATCTAGCTTCTACCAAGACCGCAACAATGGTCTCTATGACACCAACAACAATCGAATCGGCGATTGCGCCCCTGGAGATAACGCCCGGTTTGACTGCGGACGTACCGTCATTGGAAGTAGGAAGTTGACCTGCTACTCCTATCTCACTGCGGACAGAATCAACTCAGCATACAGAGGGTAGATATAGGATCAGATGAAGGTAGCAGAAGGATGGTTGCATTCTTGGACAGGCGGTGGCTGGTCGAGTCGCCAAGACTCTATCGAAAACTTCTGCAACTATTGGTAAAACAATCTGAATCATCTATTACAATCGCTATAATGCTTTCTGTTTCGAATTTTGGGTTATATTCTACTCCAAAGCAGCATTCTTCGAATTTGCTTCTATTAGTCCACTATCTATTCACTTTCATCATTCTACTTCTAATCAGTCTACCTTGGTCGATTTACTTTTATTTATTACCCTCTATTTTTCTGTTTCTATTCTCCTGCCTTCATCCCTCTACCTTCATTCTTCTACATTTAGCAATCTACTTCCATCATTCTAGCTCCATTACTCTACATTAATCATATCTTACTAGAACTGTCAAATCTATAGTTCAATTGATTCGTTGATTCTAATATTTTTTTGGTATTACGCAAGTTCAGGAGTTCCTCTAAGCTAAGGGGTATTCACTGCTGCAAGCCTCTTGACTTTCAAGAGAAGAGAAAAATCCTTGTAGCAAGTCAAGAGATATTCACTCAAGAGTACGGAGATTCGCATCAAAAGTCTCAGGATTACAGGGCACTACAGCCCTTGAGGGCTTTACAGCGTTGTTCTACAGTAAGTGAGTGCCCTTAAGAGCACTGAAAACCGAGACTACTTACAGTATCAGCCCCTGTAGACCCTACCAGCTGGTATAGCATCTACAGCGATCACTCTAGGGTCTTAGAGAGTTCGATAGGCTTCTTGAGCGACTGATACCCTGTACCCCTAGGGTCTAGAGCCCTGTACACCTAGCCTCTGTAATCCCGGGACTTTTGATGCGAATCTCCGTATCCTGGACAACTTAAGTCTTGCGCCATCTCTTCATTATGTCGCATTCTCGTCGTGACTGTTTAATCTGTTTATCTTCACTCTCGCTTAGCTAGCGCACTCGCTTTTTATGTCCAGCCAGAAGAGAAGCACGACTTGGGAGTTTCCCGACTGACTTCAGACTTCGACTAAAATACCTTTCCTTCTTTGAAAAATTTCACCTTTATCGAAGATTCCGAAACCCCAAAAAAGCCAGTCCGCTAATGGCATCACCGCAACAACCTTCGATGTCTGACAATCCTTTACATGCTACACAGCCAAAGCCCAGGCTTGTGCCTGATGTTTGGTATCTCGTCCTGAAGGAGGTGAGATCTCACATTGGATTCATCTTTCGAAATTGTGCGCTGACTCCTGCGTCGAGGTTTCCAACTCTGAAAGCGCAGAAATCTGTGGAGAATCACCAAATACGACCAGACGTCGACAATGGCTTCGATCTCTACGACTTGTCTCCTATCAATTCAACATCATAGTCAAACCCTACGCGTTTCAACACATTCGAATATCAAACGCCACATGAACACCCTCATCTCTGGAAATGATCACCAAGAGACGTTGTTTCGAGAGGCATTCAAGAAACATGCAGAGGTTGTCACATGGAGAGATTGTTTGAGCAAGGATCTCCTGAATGAGATGACACATTTAATCGAGAGCTGCGAGAATTTAGCTACAATTCGGTACGTACTTGGCTGAAGGGTAATAGTAGTGAAGAGTCAAGGCTCGAAATCAACCTCTGCCTGTTCCAGAAATCTCTGTTTACGGTGTTGCGACTTCCCTGTGTATTATCAGCTCCCCAGACGACAAGAAGGATGGGAATTTCCAATCTTTGACTTCAGAGTCGTTCGTAATTTTGCTAGCAAGTTGGCAGATGGGACGCTATCCATGAGTCTACGTACACAGATAACTACAAGTCGGCTCAGATATCAGCCGTATTCGGTGCTTATGTCCGGAGCCAAAAAAGCCTAGCACATTGTGGATTGGAGGAGGATACGAATGGTGTGACCATGGTTCGTTACAACTCACCCACCAAGCTTCTTCACCCACAAATCTATCGAGCAACAGAGAAGCAGCCGACCAACAGCCAGAGGTAGTGTCTAGTGGGAAATCGTCCGATATCACTTGCGGGTCACTGCCAGCCACGCCTCAATGTAGCACTCTGGCCGCTATAACCCTTCGTCCATTAAAAAATAAGTGGTCCAGTCTTATACCACATGGGAAATTACTGCCACCCGAACGGAAAATCGAGCTCGTTAACTGTTACTGGCCGGACAGCCACGATGGCCGTGCATGGCCCTTTGTTGCACGGCCTTCGGTCAATCCATCAATCCTCTGGGATTACTCCAAACTTCGTTGTCTCAGTCTGAAATTGCCGGATTTGAGAGATACCGTCTTATCAATACCTACCGGGAAGCTAACCGGACTTCAAGCCTTCAAGTTACGATACTTGCCATCCTTTAAAACATCAGTGCCGCACCAAGACTGGCTTCGTGTTCAACATTGCGATCCTAGTGATTGTAGATGTTTCTTGGCTACTATCCTACAAGACTGCCAGAATCTTGAAAGCTTCAAGATTGAGCTCAGTTACTGGAGTTCTATGATTAGTATGAGCAGTATTGCGCAGCTTGGTGATCGGCTTCGGAAGTTGACATTGATTGAAGGGGTTCACAATCTGAGGGTCGATACCGAGGAATTGAGAAAACTTCTCACCGCATGTCCCAATATTGTGAGCCTTTCACTGGGTATACCGCTGGCTGAGCAGTCAAAGGACGAAGTAAGCCATCCTTCTTCACTTTCCACATGTTATCGTCCGCCAATCTTTATTTGTTCAAAGATACATCTCCCGCCCTCTCAGACTCCATCAAAAAGTCCTTGCTGACTGTTCGATAGGTGAACGCATTTATTTTGGTGCTCGGAAGAGCTCGCAACTAACAGATTTGATTGTCTACACAGAAACGATCTACGAGATCTATGGTGCTTACCCAACCAGCATTGATCGAACATACGACAATGCTCACTCGATGATGGAGCAATTACACAGTCAGAAGCTTGGACAACGATTCAATCAGATCGAGATCCATTTCGGTAATTGGGTCGCGGACATTGCAGAAAATAGCAGTTATCTCTTCCACCACACAAGGCAGTTCTTTTCTCGAATCAACTATAAGAGCGAGTATGAGCAATGGGGCAGTGCGAGATGTGAGGACAGCGTACAGGAGCAAGGAGAGCCAGTCGTTTAGGTCGACATCGTAGTGCTTCGGTAAAGTTGAGGGTGAAGATGGGAGGGCCTGTGCGAACGACGAAGCCCAACTCATGGAGGACGAAGACAGAGAGTCATTGATGAACTCGTCATTAGGGATATTGAATCCTGATTTATATGGTTTGGTTTCGCGCGAGTATACTTATGCAGTACAAGGCTTGCATTTCATCTGACCCGTTGTTCGTGGCTCATGGGTCAGTTTGAACTGCAGCCTTCAACTATCAAATTCAGAGTGTAACATGAACCAACCAAAAAAGTCTATTTGTGAACCATTTAGTGACTCCTTTTGCACTGTAAATGTAGGATTGGTCTTGGAATCTTCCTCACCTACGGTAATATCTCTCCTTCGCTAACTCCGCTTCGCTATCCATGTAATTAATCTGTTCAAGTCAAGAAAAACGGGGCAGGTGAAAAGTCCATGTCAGGATTCCGCATTGAAGTCATCTAAAAAAAGAAGCACACGTTTTGAGCTTCTTTCTATTGAAGAAGACGTCAAAAAAAGAAGAAAAAAAGAATCTTGCGTTCGCCGGGAATCGAACCCGGGGCCCATCGAGTACTGAATCGGAATTTCTTATGATATATGGCAACGATGGATTTTACCACTAAACCACAAACGCCTTGAACAGCTGACTTGCTGCTGACTTGACGGGAATGTTCTTATTTGACTAAGTGAATGGCAAAGGAATATGAAAATTTTCATAGGGTGTTTGTGTGCAGAGTGGATACTTGGACAGGGATGTGATCGGGAAAGATAAGCGAGTGGGTAGTCCCGGTTCTGGAAGGGACGAGAAAGTGGATACAGGGATATGCAGAATTGTAACGTAGGGAATATCTGTGAGAATAGGATAAATTGAAATCGCAGTGGAGGATCAGTTTGACGTGAGTCTAAAGAAGATGCGATTGGATGAGATAATCGGATACAACTTGAACAGCAACACCTCGTAGCCGGCACGAGAAGGGGCAAGCACTTTGACAATTTCCCATTCTTGGTCCATGGACAAGCCATAACTACACCTTCTCGACTTAATGATTTGGTTCCCTCGACGGTGAGATATATTATCCGATGGGTAAATCCAAACAGCAGAAGGGTTCCCAAGGGTTACACAACATGAAATTATTGAATGAAGGATCAACTTGCATATCTAACGTTCCTTGTGGCAGAGTTTATGAACAGATCCCACCTGCTCATTCCCTGTAGAAGGACATTTGGATCTAGAATTAGAACATTGGGTTTCAGAGAACATTGCTGGACAAAATATTCCGTGCCAAGGCAATCGCGGGGTAACATTTACCCCGCATTGCAGCTTAATTACAGAACGTTCAGGGGTTTAACTCCCCTGAAGCGAGCTGAAAGTTGACTCGCAGCGTGCATTGGCTGTATTTCAACAGTTCTAAGGGTGTGACCCGGCCATCTCAGGGGTTCGTGAAGCAGACGACAAAAATAGAAGTGCCTTCCGAAACTGGAAGAACAACATGGAGGCAAGCTTACTTTTGAAAGTGAAGATGTTTACGCCCTTCGATACCTGGTATGGTGGGAACATTTAGGAAGCAGAAGGTAAGATATAAGAAGAACGAAGGACCTGAGATCGGGATAAAGCTTCTCATCTTCTGTACCTGCTTCAAACAAGTATGCTCACTCTCAAGATCACCGCTCTGTTCCTCTTGACAGCTAGCTTGGTATCAAGCACATCATCTCTGCTTCAACCTCGTGCAACCAGCTGCCAATATCAGGTATCTCGTCTTCCCTTTCTGAGCATCACGTACTAACCGCAACCAAGCAGAGCGGCAATGGGACTTGCATCTCAACCTCATCCTGCGCAGGAACAAACGTAGCCGGTTTCTGCCCAGGAGGAAACGACATCCAATGTTGCGTCCGCACCTGTTACGCAGCAGGATCGCCCGGTTTCTGCCAAAGCACTTCCAACACCTGTACCGGCGGTGCTTATTCAGCAGAAGGCAACTGCCCAGGATCTGACGACATCCAATGCTGCGTAGCGACATGCTCTACCAAAAGCGGCGAGGGTGTCTGTCAGTGGACGGGAAGCACTTGTGAAGGGAAGTACGTCTCGGGTGCTTGTCCTGGACTGAGTGATGTCCGATGTTGTGTGAGTGGAGGGACAACCGGGCCTCCTGGCCCAGGAACGGGTGTCCCTGGAATTGATATCTCGGATTTGGCGCCTGCTGCTTTTTGGAGTTGTGCGGCTTCGAAGTGGCAGGTTGTTGTTATTTAAGGTTATATCCAGGGATGCTCTATTGTAAGACTCGATAGACTCACAGAATATGATGTTGATCGTTGACACAGGGCAGGGTGGACTTGTCAACCGTAACTTTGTCGCGAACTACAATGCTGCCAAGGCGGCAGGGATTCCAAGAATCGATACATATCTGTTTCCATGTACTGGAACTCAGGATACAGGCGTTGCGTGCAAGCCCCCGGAAACTCAGATAGCGGAGCTGCTTGCAGTGGTAGATAGCAATGGGATGAACATTAGTCGATACTGGTTTGATCTCGAGCCTACACCAGGTGGCGAGTGTAATGCGTGGAATCTTGGGAAAACTGCGAACGAAGCGTTGGCAAAACAATGGGTTGCTGCTTTGGAGAAGAGTGGACGACCTTGGGGGATATATGCGAATGGGTGAGTATCTTTCATTCGTGTAATGGGCTTAGAGGAGTGAACCTGACGACGCATAGATATCAATGGGATGGGATGTTCCCATCCAGATCGACGGACGTTGGGTCTCAGCTCCCTCTCTGGGCTGTTCAGCAAGACTATATTCCGGGAGTAGACACTGTGACAACTTTCATGGGAGGATGGACTTCGGCAGCTGCGAAGCAGTACAATCTTGGTAAGTCAACTTACGAGTATTTGTTGCACCTGACTGATGTCCTTTCAGATACCACTGACTGCGGATGGACTGGAGGCGTGGATTTTGACTCTTTTCTGTAGTGCGCAGCAGCCCGTCGTGCCGAATTCAGCCAGTGTTTCAAAGCCAAACCTCAAATACCTGAGTACCTTGTCCAACTCAAGAAAGAGCCATGGCCATCTTGGAAGCGACAAGAGGTACACCTATTGCCGATTAGCTCACAGCCCAGAACCAAAGAAGCAATTTCCTCATTCAATTCGTATTTGTCTTGCGTCGTCAATCATCCTATGTACGTAAATGCTCGCCTCGTTATCCATAGAGTGCTATATATCGTTCCAATAATCATATCCCATTAATTCCTTTGCCCCTGTGTGCTTTCTCCTCGCTCAACTTTACCAGTAGCTCCCCAATCTTCCCAAAGGAGATCGGCTTTGTGAGAAAGTCATCAAGTCCACTATTATCAGCTTCATCCCTATCCCTCCGACTTGCCAGCCCCGTCAACGCAACGATATAAGCGTTATGCCTTCTGGGCTCTCTCGTGACCTCATCAACATCCACAAGTACCTCTACACTGAGACTTGTATTTCTCTTGGCAACCAGCTCATCTTCTTCACCATGAGAGATCTCCACTTGACTGACGAGCTCTGCAGTCAACACAGGGTCCTGACTTCGTTCGTAAGCTCTAATGAGTCGAGTGGCTTCGAACCCGTTCATCTGAGGCATGGAGATGTCCATAAAGATCACGTCGAATCTGTTCTCGGGCCCGGCTTTGTGGACGGCTTCTACTGCTTCGACACCATTACGTGCAGTGACGATGGTATCTGATTTGCGCTTGTGAAGATAGCGCTGGATCAGCTGTAGATTGAGCTCGTTATCGTCAACAGCTAGAATGTGTAGGGAGGTTGGTGGTGTCAGCTCGGGCTTTGGGTGGATAGGGATCTCGAGAGATGTAGAAGTCGTAGACAATACAGATCTCGATTGTCGCAAATTGCGCGCAGGGGGGACTGTCAATGTCATCTTGGACGCGGATTCGGGTTCGACATATTGCCAGGTAGGACGATCTGGACCTGATTGTTTGTGACCAAAAGACTCGATCCCGTTAGGCTCTGTTGAGTTGTTTATGTGTGACGTGGCCGGAGCTTCTTGGGGCTGCTCGAAGCCATAATCGCTTGCAATAATACCATTCAATATGGTTCTCTCCTCTGGAGATCCTAGTGGTGTTTGAGTCGAGTTATCAGATCGTCCAGTCTCCTCTTTACCCTCTCTATCCAATGAATATGTGTCCATCAGGGTCAGTAACGATCGGGCGAGTCTAAATGGTCCGATGGGCTGGCAGATGGTCTCAACTGCGTAGATCCTCTTTGTCCCGCTGTGCTTGGTTGGGCATAGCATCTGATCATGGATGACGAGAATGAGATCGTCGTCTATTACATCCAGATCTTCGACCGTATCGGTTATCAATATTGAGGCCCCAGTAGTCTTGATTTCAAAGCCAAACCACTCTGAACAGTATTTCTCAATACAGTCCCAAATAAGGTCTTGTTGCGTGGCTGCTGAGGATTTTTTCCTAGCAAAGGAGACAGATTTACCAGCTGATCGGTTCCTAATTGTCGTGATGCACTGTTCTGCTTCCTGCACAACTTTCAGAAGATCGCTGTGCCTCGAGTGGCTAACATTCTGATCGGCTTTCTCAACTGGTAATGTGATTTCAACATCAGTTCCCTTGCCTAGCTCGCTTCGTATTGAAATCTTGCCACCAAGTTGAGTTATTATGCTCCAGCTACTCCTCATTAGTTTGCTGCACCGTTTCGCAAGATGGTGGACTTACACGATGGAAAGACCTAGTCCAACTCCTGGCGCGAATGTATCTTCTTGGGCGAATGGATGGTAAAGCTTTCGCTCCATGTACTCTGAGGACATTCCGCGACCGGAATCTCGAATGCGCAAAGATGCTGTCTCGGTGTTTGATTGTGGATCTTTGAGCATTCGAAGCTGCACTAATATGAACCCCGAATCCGTATACTTTTGGGCATTGCCAAATATATTCATTACCACTCTTCGCAGTGCCCCTGAACTGTTAGCTAGCTCAGATCCTGTGAAAGTCATCCTGAAAAATACCTGGCTGCACATTGTATTCCCAATCCCTATGTTCTATATCAAGAATAATCTCCAGTTGCTTTTGAGGACCAGCAGCTACTGACCGCCCGAATTGGGAAGTGGTACCATTGGAGCCTGGCAGTGAAGCGTCGCCAGTCCCGCGGTATTCCTTTGCGGCAATCATGCCGTTGACGATATCCTCACACAAAAGTGCTAAGTTGGTCATCTGATAAAGTTCATTTGATATAGTCCCTAGAGGACGTTAGCACCCTACAGCTGTCACTTGGCGGGATTATCATTACCTTGCTGGCTCTTAGACTTCTCAAAAGAGTTGATCTTGCTGTAATCCAAAACATGATTGATTGTATCCAACAATGTCCCGCCACAATTCTGTATGGTCGAAATGAACTCAAGTTGTGTGCCGTTCGGTTCTGACTCTCGAAGAAACTCGGCGCTCGCCAAAATACCATGTAGGGGACTTCGAAACTCATCTGCTCTGGTCAGTAGAATCCTTCCTTTCCGCCTTTCCCACTTACGAGATATGCTACTGATGAAGTCAGACTTCATTTTGTTCGAGGTAATCGCGTCTAAACGGCTGATTTCGGCCATTAACGAGTTCGTGAATGCCGAAAGATAGGCAAGCTCAGACTCTACTGTGAATACAGGGACAGCTGTCTGGCTCCAAACGAAGCAGCCCGAATACCACCGATCTGTTCCCTGTCAGTTCTGAGAGCTTCAAGCTTGTTGAGAGTGCTTACTGCCAGCAGCATCCCATAAAGGTAGGAATATAATTTGTCGAGCCTTTCTGAAGACACGTGACAACATGTTTGCCTCAGCACGTTGCTTCGTGATATCAATCGATTGTCGTCTCCCCGAAGGACTGATAGATGGTGTCGGCTCTAGTTTGCTGATTTGTTCCAGAGACGAGAAATAACCCTCTTCGTCTATGTACCAGATGTTCCCTTTCGGATATGAAGTTATCAATGACTGAAGAGTTTGGGTAGCCAGAATTTGAGAGTTCGGATCCCAGAGGTCGCTACCAGATGCTGAAATTGCAAGAACCTTCGACTTTTGATGTCTTTCGCTCGATCTTCGACTTGTCCGCTTCGATAGCGAGGCGAGCTTATCGTTCTCCTGTGATAGCGTAATATGGCCATTTGTTTGAACGTGCTCTTTATACTCAATAACTTCTTGGAACGTTACACCTGTTTCTGTGATTTCGTTTGCGCATGGATCTGTTTTGTCAACATCAGTAAATGCAAAGGCGGTATCGAGAAACACGACGCCTCCAGCGGTCAACTCCAAGGATTCCCTCAATATGTCAGCCGCCCGATCGAGCGTGGCTCGAATCTTGTCGAGGGTAGATGACTCTGGTTCATTGTCTGATTTCCCAGAATCGGAATTCAATTCCCCGTTTGTTACTGTTGCAACTTGTGTTTCCGGGCTTTGATTTGAGCTGTCCGATGGTTGATCTGCCGGATTGGGGATAGACGAAGTAACTGAAACAACTGGATCGTGCGAATCTCTTTCCAGGAATCTGGCGATTCCCTGGCTCATCAAAGCCACCCTGCGAAGTTCCGCAGCTTCTCTTTTAGTCTCCAGATGTCTCATCACATTAGCTGCTTGCTGGTGCATAACTGGCGCTAGTCAGCGGCTACTCTTGTTGAGCTCAAGCAGTATCTACGCACATTTTTTCTCATGAATTAATAGTCCATGTGGCCGAATTTTGTCATCAAATAGGAAGAACGACCCGATGTTCACTCCATGGTTGGTAGTGATCGGGGTTCCTGCATAGAATCGATATGATGATATCGTGCCATCCACCACTGGCAATTGAGCGAATCTTTCGTCTTCCGAAAGGTCATTGACGACAAAACACGGGTACTGCTCTTTCTTCAAATCAAGACCGAGAGTATTCTAGACTCGATTAAATAAGCTACAGGAGCGAGCAGCTGTAACATACCTCGCAGAGACCCCCTGGTATTGGAACCATCGAGCACCCTGTAATATCTGTGAGCACATCATCACCTAGAGACTCTGCACAACGAAGCATTGCAGATTAGTAGTGAAATTTCATGCTTAGTTCTGAAGTTGAAATCTCGCCAGACTGAGGCATGATTGTTAAAGAGAAATGTTTACTTACCGAACCATTCCTCAACATTCATGACCCTATTGTCGCCTCCAGATGCTCGTATGCACCCCGCGAGGAAATATTGCGTGCCTTGTAGGTATTAGTGCTTGTCTCGAATTGAAACCGTGTAATATGAGACATGCCTCGATCTATCAAGCTGTTTTCTCTTAGTGAGCCTGACGGATCGGGAATGGGATAAGTAGAACATACCTGACCATAGAGTGAACGCCGTTCAGTCGCCACACAACAGTTTCAGCATAAGCATCCAAAGCGCCATCATTATTCAAGCTGTCGTTGAAGTCACGTTCTCTAGAAGGTTTACTAAAGGCATTGGGTGCAAAGAACCTTTCGTGTGACCATTAGCAGGATACTCGGACACGCGTGGTCAAGGTAATTGTTATACTTCGATGTCATTCACAGGAACCTTACTTTCTGAGTTCTAGAGCGCGCTGGCTCTCTCTCATATCGCGATTGATGCGCTCGCGCTCGCCCTCAAGAGGGACGGGCATCCGTACCACCATGATCTCAACGACCTTGCACGCCTGGGTGAGCTGAAGGGGCGATAAGTCACTGACAGCCTCACGAAGAAGGTGGGCTCCGCCCGTATATGAAGCAAAGTTGCGAGCAAGAATGCAGTGAAGATCAGGTCCGAACGAGCATGAGCTGATCGAAGGTTGAATGTTGCGATGCGCGACGAGATGGTTCCAGAGGGAAACATGCTGAAGAAGGGTCCCGGTGGTCTAGACTCACGCCTCAGTCTTAGCATCATTCAGTTATGCTAGCCGAGGCGGGCTTCCAATTGCCAACTCGGGTGTGGGCCACCTGATGCGCTAACGGCCAAGTCTCCAACAATTCTCCAACACTTGCTTCATTTAGCTTTGCTTCTCAGTAGATTGACTTCCTCGTCGGGACATCTAACTTGACAGGGCGTCACTAGGGAGAAAGGGATCAAATCGACCCGGTTGCGAGGGATGGAAGAACATCGTCCCGGAATTGGCGCCGGAGCCGAACTCGTGTGGCTGAGAAGCGCCAGGTACGCCTCCTTGAGGCACAACTTGTGGGACAAGCGCTTTCATTGAATTTACCTCCCACATTTGGTTTGTTGCTGTTCAAGGATCATCCAAGCACGGAGACTCTTCGGTGGCAGCTCTCCTATGGCTGGGCTGTATATGAACAACCCCGGCAACAGTGAGCGCTCTAGACGGGTTCTGCATGATTGAGGAGAGTCAGTTGAACCCAAGGTTAAATGGCTCGTTCATTCGCAAACGAACAGAGAAGTCGAAAGAGGGAGAGGATTTGCAAAGGAGCGAGGAGAGAACTTCCGAGGGCCCATGGAAGAGAACACGAGGATATCTGGCCAACGAATACGCAATGCAGAGTAGTACATATGACATGTCAACCACCAATTGGAGACCTTATTATATGCCAGTGTTTCTTTCCCCTGCAGCGTCTGTACCATCTCGCTAGCGTAACTGCTTGGATTGTCGAAAAGTCGGTAGGTTCCGTGAAACAGGTCACTGAAGTGTTGCTTTTGCTGAGTAGCTGGAAGAACGAGGACAACCGGCTCCTCTGCTGGCCCTGCCCGCATTATTAGTGCCTGTTATTTTGCCCTTCATGGAATCAACACATGTTTACACGCGAATGCAGCGTGACCATTGAGACATACCAACCGAGGGTAAGTGGTGACAAAAGAGTTCGGAAACGCCGGCTTAGAAGACAGCATAACTTTGACGTTGCTATCTGTATCCTAGCACTGAACACTGGAAGAACAAAGACATAGCCGCTTGGCCGTTGAGACTGACGGCCAGCCATGAGTCCGTGATGTCCATTTCTGGAATATAATCAGGGCGGCATCAGCACTCGACTTTCTGGCATGCTGTATCAAATTGTCCGGTGGTAAGTATTCGGTAGCCATATGTTGCAGTGGAATCCAGACGATTTCACATCGAACCTTCAAAGCTCCAATGTTGGTCATGTCACAGAAGTCGGTGATGAATTGTTGCATCCTCTTCTTATCGTTTCATATGTACAGCGATGCCCCTCCTTGAACCCCCTCTAGTGGTGTTCCTCTCCGTGTCCCTCTCCATGTCCGTGGTCTTCCTTCAAGAAGAGGTATTCGTATCCGCAGTATGCCGCAAATGCCACTGTTGCAATGCCCAAGCCTGGGAAGCTGCCCTTGAATCGGTTCCATCGTGAGAAGGGTCCTGTGTATCGCCACGCCTCACTGTCGAGCCCAATCAGTTCTTTTCCGCACGTGAAAAGATTATATTGAAGATTCTACTCACGCTCGTGCCCAGGGATCGTTTGCAGGTGTACCAGCCGCTGCCGCGAATGCTTTTGGATCGAAGCCTGTGAGGTTTGCTCGAGGAGCTCTCCGTACACTGTACAAGCAATTGTCAGCAATAGTCAGCCGAGGCCAATCTTCCCACTATACCCATCCATTCAATCCAGACTGACTTACCTGGTGAGACGCATTGTGAAGGTTGTAGGGAACAAGGCTGTGATCTGGAGAGCAGTAAGGAGGTCGTCTCGCGACTGCAGTCGAGGTCGAAGTTAGGCTTGGCATTTTAAGCTTAAGCGAGGCCAACTGCCGCCGACGGCCGATATGGAGCCCTGTGTGGTCTGTGTCGTCCATCAACAACCTCAAAAGCAACGCAACAGAGCTGGACAATCTGCCAGAATCACGACTACCCTCCCTCTCTAAACTTCTTCGTCGTGATCTCCAGATCTCAATACACCTACTGCAGCTCCTACATACCTCCCACCGATTTGCGCGTTACGCTGCGCCCATGAAAACCGTACACCACCCTCGACTCTTCTGGATTAGCATACATAGCACAAGGAATCAAGATGCCTCCTCCGATGCAGCGCTTCGGCGGCGCACCCAATAATCTGGCCTCTCACTACCAACAGTACCCTTCGCACTCGCAGGCACACAGCGCTGGGCTGCCACCGCCCTCCCTCGCGTCTAACCCGGGAGGGTTCATGAACGCGAATTCCATGAGCAACCCTTTCTCAATGAATGGCAATGCCCTCAGTCTCTCTGGAGGCTTTGGAGGTGCTGGGCTAGGGATGCCTGGGGGGACTGGTCTGGCTAGTCAAGCTGCGCAGATGGGTTTTGCGAATGCGAATAATCAAAGTCATAATGGGATGGATCATCCAGCGAGAGCCGCTGGAAATAAGAACAGGATACGAGATGTGTGGGCGGGAAACCTGAAAGAGGAGATGGCTGTCTTGCGGTGCCTTGTGGATAAGTTCCCTTACATTGCAATGGTAAGATTGGAAACATGGAGAGAGATGCTGAATGATCTGACGTGAAGTCAGGATACTGAATTTCCTGGACTCGTTGCACGACCAATGGGGGCCTTTAATGGCAAGAGTGATTATCATTATCAATGTCTGCGATGCAATGTCGATCTACTCAAAATACTCCAGCTCGGGATAACAATCTTCACGGAAGATGGCGAGTCCCCACCAACTACGATGTCTGCGGCGGACTTGGGCCTTGATACAACACAAGATGAGACAAGGAAGTTTGCCAATGCTATTGTGCCGATTCCTACAACTTGGCAATTCAATTTCAAGTTTTCACTGGAAGAAGACATGTACTCTGAAGTGTCAATCGAAGCATTGAGAATAGCGGGGGTGGACTTCCCAAGACTAAATACCGAGGGAATCGAACCAGATGATTTCGGATCCCTTCTTATGAGCTCTGGTCTTGTGTGCGAGGAAGATGTACATTGGATATCATTCCACGGTGGCTACGATTTCGGATATCTCACTAAGCTCCTCCTCATCGAACCCCTCCCCGACGATGAGTTCGAATTCGATAGGTTCATGAAGAAGTTCTTTCCTAGCATTTATGACATCAAATTTCTCATGAAATCTGCCATCAGACAACACACCCTGGGCCACGTTACTCCACTTGATGGTCAGAGTGCTGAAGTACTGCAAAAATTTGAACAGAAGTCGGGACTGGAAAATCTGGCCGACACCCTGAAGGTCAAGAGGCAAGGTGTTGCACATCAAGCTGGCTCCGATTCGCTGTTGACAGGCAAGGTCTTTTTCAAGATGAGGGAGCGCATCTTCAATGGCGAGCTCAGTGATGAACACCTTGGAAAGGTGTGGGGCCTTGGTTTCCCAGAGTACACGGCTCCAAACGCACATATTCACTCAGCGCCATCATACCATCACCAGCAAGAGAATATCACTCCTGGACAGAACGGCAACGGCTACACCAATGGAGGACCAAGCACACCAAATACAGGCAACGCCGGACTCGCAAGCACACCAGGACACAACAGCAACGGCGGCATTATGGGACCGCAAACACCAGGGGCTACTGGTGCGTTCGGAGCTTTCCAGTACAGCAGTAGATAGTCGTCGCTTGCGTTGATTTGAGTATGTTTTTTGGCAGGTTCTAGGGTGCGGAACGGTATTCTCAAGGACAAAGAAAAAATGACTGGGGTTGTAGGTGAGGCATTGGAGGTCTCACACTGATCGATCGGAGTTTATCTGGCGTGGCGTACACAGTCGAGTTCATTGATTTGGAGGAGTTCGATGGGTTTGGCTGGTTGCCTTTGTGTGTTAGTGTACATTATGGAATAGATACAGTGCATCGCCCTGAAGTTGACCTTTTTGTACAAACCCCAATCACAAATCGAGAGCATCAGCCACAATGTTGCTTTCTGCGCCACATGCTATGTGGATGCGGGGTACAATGCGGGAGCTTGACCCAAACCTCTCATTGAGAATTGATAACCAAAGAATGAGTAAACAATCCTTCGTACTATTCATGTCGCCGAAGAGACCGAATTCTGGACCCACAGATCAAAAGTACCACCAGGGTTCTCACTTTTGCAAGCTTTGTTAACAAAGTTTTCTTATAATTGGACCGCCAAGTGCTATGATGCAATGTGCATGGTGGGGTCAAGTTCAGAATCGTCATCCTGGCTCGTACAACCTACATATTCCATCACTGCTGCCGCTTAATCACTAGTAAAGAACTTCTTCAGTATACTGTTTCACAGGTCTCAGAACAATTGTTGTAGCTTCTGTCATAATTTCTCACTCAATCTCAGTTTAAGGAAATCCAAACACCATTCCATATCCTCTCAAAATGACCAACCCACGCATCCTCCTCCTCGGCGGCCACGGCAAAGTCTCCCTACTGATGACACCCAAACTTGTCTCTCGATCCTGGGACGTCATATCCGTCATTCGTAACCCAGAGCAGAAGAACACTATCTTGGAAGCAGGCAAGAACGGACCAGGCAAGATTGAGGTGTTGGTGGAGAGCTTGGAGGATGTCAAGAGCGAGGGAGATGCGAAGAAGATACTTGAGAAAGCGAAGCCAGATTGGGTTATTTGGAGTGCTGGTATGTTCAGTTACTTTCTTAATAATCTGTCATTCATCTTGCTTGCTGCTGTGTGGCAAGCATCGGTACATCTGGCAGTTCATACAATGTGGAATGAAGATATACATACTGACTCTCCCTCGTACAGGCGCCGGAGGTAAAGGAGGCTCGACACGAACCTACGCCATTGACCGCGATGCCTGCACATTCTTCATCCGCTCCTCCCTCTCCACCCCATCTATCACCAAGTTCTTGCTTGTCTCTGCGCTCTCCAGCCGGCGAACCCGCGCCGCATGGTGGGATGAAAAATCCTGGTCTACAGTCCGCAAAGTCAACGAGGAGATGATGCCCGATTACTACAAGGCAAAGCTCGCTGCTGATGAAGCGTTGACTGTGCTTGCGGAGGAGAAGAAGGACTTTGGGTATATTGTGCTAAGACCGGGGAACTTGAGTGATGAGCCGGAGAGTGGGAAGGTTGTGCTGGGGAAGACACCTGCGAGGGGACAGGTTACGAGAGCGGATGTTGCGGAAGTGGCGGCGAGGTTGTTGGAGAAGAATAGTGCGAGAGGTTGGTTTGATTTGCTTGGTGGTGAGGCGGATTTGGCAAGTGAGGTGGAGAGGGTTGTGAAGGAGGGTGTGGATAGTAGGGAGGGAGAGAGCTTGGATATTATGAAGAAGGATCTCAAGCTGTGAGTAAGAAGCCAATATCGCCTTGTCAATGTTTGAGGGATATCCGTGAGGTGCTGTGTACAATTAGGTCAAATGCACGAGCCTCCACAACACTGGGACCCCTTCGCCTCGCTTAAGACTCCTGCTCGTCCCAGTTGTGTGTCAACAAACCTTTCCACTTCCCGTCCTTTCTAGCCCTTAGTACTGCCATAAAAAATCATCGTATTTCTCAGAGCCTTTGGGCGGTTGTTCGGCTATTTCATGTCGTAGTGTATTTTGGATTCTCGACAGACTCCAGGTTCAGCTCACAAGACCGTGAAGTGGAAACTCTACTTGGTGGGCCTTCAGAAACCCTGCTGTAGTCAATTGGTACATGACGTACGAAAGACAGAACTTAGCAGAGTCTACTCCGAGGAAGGAGAGCGCCTCAGGATAATTTCTGACACTCGCATGTCGGATGGCATGGTGCCTAACTCAGTGCCTCGGCTCTTAACCTATGGTTTACTGATCTGACTTCAACGTTTACAATCGAGGTACCATACACCCATCACGCACAGTATATGAACTTATCAGCAATGGTTTACTCCTCAACTGATTTCCTGGATATTCAGGGAACTGTATCGTACCACTTTTGACCTCTCAGATGCAATAATAACGGAGTTTACGACTTCGAAGATCCAGCAAGTAGCGCTTGTCGTGGGAGCTTCGCGTGGCATCGGCAGGCAAATGGCAATTGATCTGGCCAAAAACGGGTATACTGGCAAGTTTTGCAAACAATTGAGATAGACCTAAAACAACTGATTACAGCGTGCAGTCGTCGTAGCAGCAAAATCCACCAGTGATGCTTTAACCGCGGAGCCCTTCCCTCCAGACCCCAATTCGCAACAATCAATCATCAGCACTGTTGAGCGAAAAATCAGAGAAGCTGAGGGGAAAGCAACAGCCATTTCAGTCGACGTACGGGACTATGCCAGTGTGCAGAAGCTTGTGGACGAGACTGTGAAGGTAGCAACATCCTTTGCGAAACTTCAGGTCATGGAATTGACGTGAGGCAGATCTATGGGCATCTCGACGTCGTGGTATACAACTCTGGAGCGATATGGTGGGCTCCTATCGAGAATACTCCCATGAAACGCTTCCAGCTTATGCAGCGAGTGAATCCCGAAGGACTGTATGGAACGATTCAAGCTACTCTTCCACATTTCAAAAACAATGGGTGGAAGGGACGGGTCATTGTCGTCAGTCCACCGATATACTCGCCCTTCTTCAGAGATTAGACGGCATATGCTATGGGTAAGGTTGGAATGTCTGACTTGACGAAGGAACTGGCTATAGATTGGGTCAGGGAAGGGAAGAAAGATATGGCGATCACGAGTATCTGGCCTGTACCTGTTCGTGCCACCTCTTATTCTACCATCGCAAACCAAACAACTGATTGTTTATAGTCAATCCAATCTGGTGCTACAGGCCAGATCACATCAGTCGATCCTAATGTAATCAATGACCCGAGAAGAGCGACGATATATTCGGATGCTATTCTCGCCATGCTGAAAGCGCCTGCTGACCAGGTAAACGGACTCCTAGAGTTGGATGAGGATTATCTGAGGAGGTACTGCGGGGTACAAGATTTCTCTAAGTATTCTGTCGTCAACGGTGCTGTTCGTAGAAGAGTTATACCTGCCAAATTTCCTGTACTGGAAATTGCTGAGCAGGACGATGAAGGCAGAAGGACGGATAGTCTGAAGTTGAGAGGTTTCGAGCTCTGAGCCTGGCATGTGTTAAGTGACCTTCCAACGGATTTGCATGCTCAAGTTCATTACATCTCCGATACCAAATTACCCAGATCACGGCCAGCATAGCTGCATAGTTTGTTATGCAATGATGCTTCGGCGTTTTCAGTCGCTTACATACATCAGCGTGGTCGATAGTTTTCTTGTTCTTGGCAAAACGGGAACGGACGGCCGTTCGTTTACGCTAACCCTAAACGGACTAGCGTTCGTTTTAGCGACCTAGAACAGCTGTTAGTTAGTTAGATCTCTAACGGAACAGGGTCGTTTAACCCCGTTTTAGTATAGTTCCCGCTGAGCCTTATGTAAGTAGACTATGCTACTTCTTCTAATAACCTTCAGGGGAAAGTTAGATATCTAAGTATTAAACTCTACTAATCTTTAATATAAATATATAAAAATAATATTAAATTCAAGCTATAGTATAGATCTTTTATTTAATGTATTATTTGTTATTTTCCACTGAGTAGTTATTAAGAAAAAAGGGGTTAAAGTTAAGTTGCTCTTAACGCGATTTTTATAAGGAAACCTTATCTTTAAAACTATTAAAATACCTTCCTTAACTTAACGTCGACTTATAAATAATACTAATAACTACTCTAGAGGCTCTTTAACTCCTAGGAGACGTGGAAATCGTTAAGTATATCTTAATTTTACTCCGCTACTTGTAAAAGATAATATCATACCTTTAATTCCTATTAATTTAGACCTAATAACTTATAGAGTACCTTTAGAGCCTCTTAGCCCTCTAGAGCCTTTAGTATATAAAAATAAATATTAGGTATAGATATTTTAGTATATACTAAGTAAGAATATTAATAAGAGATACTACGATAAGGCTACTAGTAAAAAGATATAGCGCTATAGCTATTATTTAAAGGTTTACTATATAAATAGTGGTACACAGTTTACGAAGGAGTATTTAGCTACCTATAGATTAAAGAAAGGTAATCCCCGGGGAACTACTATTACTTATAGTAGTTCTACGCGTTAATAACCTCTCTCTATTAGTTTTAAACTTTAGATTGAAATAGCAGACGAGTCTTGATTTAAGCGTCGGAATATAGGAGTAAGTGATAGTAACTCTATTAACCTAGATAAGCTGAAGCTTCTCTATACTAGGTAATATAAGTATTCTCACTTATTTTTAATACTAACTTTCTATAGATTTATCTTAGTATACTCTTAACTTTTATAACTAGTCGAAAGACTTGAATTCCGCGAACTCCTTAAATACCTTAACTCTGATATTACGTGTTAGTTACTACGCTCTTACTCTATAATTAGTATATAGGTAGAACGATAATTTAAAGCTTATAAGAGTAAGGTTAAAGATAATATTAAAAACGCCCTTTTAAAGATATACGTCTCTTATAATATATAGACTTTAATAAATAACCTCCTTATACTTGTAATTATCTTCTATTACGTTAGAGCTAACGGAATAGTAAGGAGAACTATAGGAGGAATAAGAGAGGTCTCTAGGAATAAAATAAGAAAGAATCTAGCCTTTATAGTAATAGAAGTAATAAAGGATTAGGAGGTTCAAGGGAAATTAAGGTATTTTATAATAGATAACACGGTAGATAATAACGTAATAATAAGGTTTCTTACTCTTAGTAAGTCTACTACTTTCCTTATAGCTTTTACTAATAATTTAAGTAAGATCTTTATAAGTCCTTTAGTATTTAATACGACCCTGCTACTTACTGATTACGCTATACTAGCTATATTATTAACCTTACTATAAAAGCCTTCCTTTTTATTACTAATAACGAATCAATTGAATCTACGGAGAATAAAATAATAATAAACTGATAGCTATAATAAATAATAGAAAAAATAAGGGAATAGCGTTAAAAGAGACCTCTTAGGAAGCTTTATAATTTCGTTGTTTTTATATAATATAGTACCTTATAGCTCTAAAGGTTCCTTACTTTATCTAGGAATTGTTACTTCTATAGAGATAACTCTACGCGATAGAACTCTTAGTTTTTAATACTTGAGGTTACTCTATTATTATAAGAGGTAATTAAGGAATATTTTACAACTTATAGAGACGTGGAAATCGAACTAGATCACCTAGATACTGAAGATTAGAGGATTTTAGGTGAGATTAAGAGCTTTTTAGGAGTCCTGAAATTATCTACTAAGTCTCTTAAAAGTTATAGAGCCTCTCTTAACTAAGTTCTCCCTTTAATAGATTTTATACTTACTTACTTTAAGAAAGCTAAAGAGAGGTATTAAGATAATATTAAGATATCTGCGATAGTTAATTCAGGATAGTAGAAAATAGATAAATATTATAGTAAAAGTAACGAATCTCTAGCCTACGCTGTAGCCCTCTTATTAAATCCTGTACGTAAATAGTTATATATTAAGAAGTTCTAGAGGCTCTCTTAGTAGGAGAAAGTAAAGGTAGTTATTTAGAATCTCTAGGACGACGAATATAAGCTAAAATCGACTATTCCGACTTCTCTGATGCTTTATACCTTTTTTACTAATAAGTTCGAGCTCTAGCTACGTTAGATCGATACGCCGACCCTTGTTATAGACGAATATAACTAATATTATAAGACGAAGTGTGTTTACAGCTATAATAACGCTATTAAGTAGTAGCTTAAGCCTACGTAATAAAAGGCCTTTCTAAACCTCTCTAGAATAGCTCTTGATATACTCTTACTTCTAGCGATATCTAGCGATCTAGAACACGCGTTTTCTACGGTAAAAATCACTTTTTCGGATCGTCGGAATAAGATAAGTATATATATAATTAAATATCTGGAGTGTTTAAAGTTATAGACCGGTCTAATTAAGTAGGAAATTAAAGCTAAAGATATAGAGGTTCGACGGAATACTCTTTTAAAAGGGCTAGGAGTAGAGGAAGTAACTAGAGATGTAGTAGAAGTAGATTTATAGGTAAGTTTATCTGTTCGTTCTTAGTAACGACCTTGTTCTGTTAGTTTATATACTTATAAAACGAACAGCGGTTCGTTATTAGGTATAGAAACGTCAGTTCGTTTAAAAGCCTTAAAACGATGTCGTTAAACGGCTGTTCAACTATCGATTACACTGACATACATTGCCTTCTTGGCACCAGGGGTGGCATGCAGCCAACACACACAATTGATCAGTAATCTGAAGAAAGTGATTGATAAATGATACAACTACAGATGATTCATCTGGTTTTCATTTGACAAGGGCATTTGATTCGCAGATCGGACCTGATAAAGTGCTGGTGGCCGGGTACTTGTCGGTAGTTTTAGCAGGACAATGCAGCTCATGATCGCGATGGATACTTCAAGTTGCTGAGGACTTCTTTGTCATGTCAGGTTGCGGCATGATTTGAAAGGTCCACTTAATAAGCTGACCTAGATGGGTGAATTCGATTCAAGATATTTAGAGGCACTTCCCCTAGCATGAAACACTGCAATACGATCAATCATCACAATTCGAGCATCCCTTTATTTGCACTGCCGAGTCTTTCTTGTAATCACTCATCCATTTCAACATGGAAGCCACTTCAACAACAATATGGGATGGAATGCTAGGGGCATGGCAAAGCCATCCAGATCATGGGCGAACGAACCAATTCGAAACGACAGATGAAGAATGGCTGAGAGTGGGGATACCCCAATTCGCCAATCAAGCCAGCGAGACTCAAATGTTTGCTCCGGCATCGTACTCACAGCACATGCATACGCATTCAAATGCCACGCCGACAACATTGACATATGAAGATCTTCCTCCCTATCTCATAGAAGCAAGTCACACTAGCGGTATGAAAGAGGGAGAAGGAGGAACACATCATATACAGACCAAGTCAAGGCGCGGTAAGGGTGGCACCGACTCTGCAAGTGATGTAAGTTCTATGTCCATTTTAATACATACCAGCTGATCAGATGAAGCGTCGACGAGCCCAAGTGAGACTCGCACAACAAGCGTATCGCCAGCGACAGGAAGCAGCTGTTACCTCGCTAGAACGGCAAGTCAGCGATCTACGGGCTCGTCTCAAGGAGGTTCAAGCGACTTTTGACCGCTTTCACGACCTTGCTGATAGCCGTGATGGTTTGAGGAATGATCCTGAGCTTTCCAAACACCTTGAACACACAGCTGAGCAGATCAAGTTAGTGATTGCAATGCCGTCGCAATCCAGGGAGGGCGAGATTTCAGCGAGGGTATCTGGTAGGTTCCCTCTGCCGTAAGCTGGATCATATTTGACAGAAATAGAGGATGTAAGAACGTCTGCACATCGTGAGTCACTGTCGGGATCCGAGCCGAATGCGCTTTCAATGCCGGGGAGTTCGGGTGGAGCAAGCTCACCAGATACCACCTCTCCGAAACCAAACCTGTGGGCTAGTCCCCGAACTCTGAACGTTTCAGATGAAAGTTTAAGTATAGAGCTTCCGTTCTCGACACAGCTTCGTAACGCAGCTTTGCTGAATGGCTATCACCTAATTTCAAACAAGTCGACGCCGTACCCTATTCTCTGCAAAGGCTTTCGCTTCTGCATTTTTCACAGTACTAGAGATGACATAGCACGGCATATTCAAGAACTCCTTGAAGAGTCGAATACAAGTATCACGGAAGGGATCACTGAGGAATCTGTGAGAAAGTCTGCGAGTCATGTGTTGAGGAAACGTACTTTGTCACGATCAACAAAAATAAGCGAGGATGCCGAACCGTGCACGACAGGAGGAGCCGGCGAGCCCCAAACAAATCTGCAAGATGACAGCGCGGAGTATGTAGATTCAGAAGCTGTACAGCGGTATCTGGTGAGGAAAGGTATCGACATTCAACCTGGTGTAGGTGCGGTTACGCTTCAGATGCCTTCAAAACTTGAAAGTGATGATGGGAAGACATTGTTCAGGGAGCTTTTTGGAGACAATTCTGTGACTCTCAGCACGAGTAAACATTTATACGGTAAGTAGCACCATCAGCAGGTGAATACGGTAACACAAAAAAGGCTGAAGGCTTGCAGAATTAGTTCACAGAGCAGTTTGCTTGAGTTTCGGGCCGGGAATTCGACCGAAAGACATTGACGAAGCTGTTCGATCAACCATGTTGGCTGCTGTCTGATAGACGATCTACTTTTCAAAAGAGAGTTCAATAAATCAGCATCAAAACAGTTATAGCTCGTTTGGATTTCTGGTAATTATTAAAATTCTTCTTTGACGCTTAAGTTCTCTACTCTATTTCCATTGTTGACCAAAAAGAAACATGAATGAAGTGAGAAAAACACTTGAATACAATATCAGATCGTAATATGGTGATATATTCTAATCTGGCATAACTTTTCAATCATCCCAGAAGCTCAAGGTACTGTCCGACTACGCTCTTCACTTGCTCATCAAACCTCTGGAACTTGAATCCCATCGCCTTCTCTGAAGCAGAACCGTCAAGTCTGGTGCTCAGACTTGGTTGGACTCCGTCAACCTTCAATAAGCCTTTCATAACTGCATCAGGAAATGCCTCAGCAACGATCCGAGCCGCATTCTGCCACAAAGTACCCGAATACCCCTCCGAGTTGGTCACGTACGTCCCTGCAGGCACAACGGGATCGAAAGCCTTGATATGCATGAAGGCCACATCATCGACATGGACAGTGCTACTGACGAGCGAGATATCTGACGTGTTTCCGAGGACAAGTCCCATGACTGGACCGTTGCTTCCCGAGGCCAGATCAGAAGCTTTGGTAACCAGCTCATTCTTGCCAAGCACAAACGAGGGCAAGATGGTCAGGATATCGAACTTGGTCTTTGGATCTGCAGCATATTCATCTGCAGCAGCTAGAGCCGCGATCTTGCCAGCATCGTAGGCGTGGAAAGGAGATGGAAATGGTCCTGTCGGAATCGGTGTTCGGGATTTCTCATTCCAGACTGTTCCAAGTGGGGTATCTTTTTCGAAGAGATACTTTGCGTCGAAAAGTGCAGCGGCGGATGAGGTAATGACCACTTTCTTGATTCCGGGCTCCAGGGTTGCGGCTTTGAGGATGTTGACTGTACCTGCAACAGCAGGCTTGATCAACGTTTCTTCGTAGTCAGAAGGCTCGTCAGAGGCAGGCGGCATGGGAGATGCCAGGTGCAAGATGTAAGTTACACCTCGAATGACATCTGTGTAGGCTCCATCTACGGTGAGATCGGGGACGATGACGAAGTTGAGGTTGGAACTGGGTTTCAGAGCTTGAATAGACTTTGTTTGAAGGATCTCATTGGCTTTGGCTTGCGAGCGAAGGGCGGCGCGGACTTTATGGCCGGCTTCCAGAAGGAGAATGAGGGTTCTGAAACCGATATGCCCAGTAGATCCAGTGATGAGGACTATTTCTTTGGACATTTTGTGCGTGTTCGTACGTGTAATTGGTGTAGCTGAGGAGTTGTCAGAGTCTGCTGAGTGTGAAGATTTGCTATATGGATCTGAGTTTCGAATTGAAGGGCTTCTACCACTTCATATATGTGCTGGCCGCGACAACGAATTTGGTGATATCGTCATATGTGGCATCATTTCATTGTCCATTCGATAGCTGACTTCTGCAGATTTTGTGATCTAAATTTCGCTTCATGATCAGTGATTAGCCTCGTGATTCTACGAACAGATGAATGATATGATTGGGAGCATACAATCATCTCGCTAAGCCTCAGTCCTCGCCCAAGATGTTGAGGAGGCGGAGGACAAGTTTGTAATCACTTCCAAGCATTCTTGAGATTCTCAAACCGACTAGACGTGCTCTTATCATTATTGTCTGAATCTGATGCAGTGTACACATTCTATTTTTCTGACAGTGGTGGTTGGCTTCTCAGGGTGGAAGTGCTTGTACTGGGCGTTCTCGTTACTTCCAACTCTGTACGAAGCAACTATCCCCTTACTCGTCGTTGATTGAACAACCAAATATTTAATTGTTCTTCGGCTTCTTCTTCTGCAACTCTCCAAAAGAGTAAGGCTTGGACTGTAATATTATCCCTATGCAACTTGTTGGCAATGTCGCTGCTCATACTCCGGATTTCCGTCTTCCTTTTTTTTGGCTGCTATTTCGGCCTTTCGCTACTAATGAACCTGATTCACTTGACCAACTTTAAAACAAGTCTAATCAGGTGATGTTGTACCACCTCAGTTGGATTCTTTGAGTGGCTGAAATCACTGCCTGGAACAAACGGGATAGTGACATGACATCCCTCTCAATAAAGTCCCACTTCCCTTTCAAACGAACAATTGAGCTACTTCAAAACACATCTTTCGACTCTCCTTCCACGCTCTACTATATTTCCAACTTCGAAAGCTTGCAAGCCCTATTCTCCGCCACCGAGCCATTCTTTCGTCCCTCGAAGCTACAGCCCAGAACAACATGGAGATACAAGCAGATGCACGCAAGTCATCCAAGCTAGCCGCTGAGAGTATCGCAAGTCTTCTCGACGCTTTGGCAGATTCAACTGCAAGCCCCGAGATGTCTGCCATAGGAATTCCGGTTTCTGGAAACATATCTGTCAACAAAACCGTCATCGCGAACCACAAGTTTCCCGCTATACAACAAAGTCTCGAGCATCTCGAAGTCAACATCCTTACAGAATCAAAGATGATGACTCATGGGCCCTCAATTTCCCCTTCAGTTAGGGTGGAGCAGAACAGCAACGTTCCCAGTAATGGTCATTCCCTCAGCAGTATCCCATTCGAGCTGCGTGACAAGATCTTCGAACACTGTATTGAGATCATCGACGGGAAAACCCCAACTCTAATGATTGCCTTGCGATGCAATAAAACGATGTACTCGCAGGCACTGGGATTGTACTGCAAGTACAACTACTTCATTCTCAACCGCATTACCATAAAGACCATGAAAAATGTCTCACGCAAAGCCATTGCCAAGATTAGAAACCTATGCATCGAGTAAGTGAGCCATAAGCCCATGCACTTGTTCCGATACTAAAAAATAAAAAAAAGCAACCGAAGTGGGGTTTTTTCCACTATGGGCAACAATTTTCCAGGACGCGTTTGCAGTGGTTGGCACAACCTAAGAACTGTTGCTGTGCTGTCAGGTGGTCGGCATGATTTTTTAGATCCCCTGTGGGCGCGTCTCTGCGTTTGGACATACAAGAGTATCACCAAGGTATTTTATGCTAGAGGTAGTCAAGATGAAGCCTACAGACAGCGGAGACCGATAGAGTTCCTGGACAAAGGTTTGGGACTCCCTCATATAGCAGCCAAGGTGAGAATCGCTGAGAAGGACTTTGATGGGGTTATGTGGGATACAAGGTCGCTGAAGCCACTGACATGGACCGAGGAGGATCTATTTCCGTCTGATTATCTTTGGTGAGGATATTTAGGGATCTCAAGCATTTTCTCTGTACTTGTTGCTGGTGGGACCCCTGCAATGACCAGATTCACCATGTTGTAGGAAGCAGCGTAGCTTGGATGAACAAGTTAGATCTTGAGGCTTCCGCGAGAATCTTTGAGCAACAACTAATTGTCACTCCCAAGGACCTGCTTTGCATACCAATCAAGATGATGATTAAAAGTTAAAGTTCTATTCTGCTCACGGACCAACCAATAATGTTTAATAGAGTCAGAGTGGAAAATGCGCAAATAAAAATGTTGTGATTCTTCTTCGAATGCCTGCCATTGACTCGGGTCATGGCAGCCACTTAACAGCCGTAAGCAGAAAAGACACGCATCAGATTGATGGTTGCGATTTTCCTGCGGTGAATGACACCGCGTATGGGTATTCATATCTACATCACTTACATACATTACGCTCATATCCGATTATAGCCTTTTACGGGCGCCATTTCAACGCCATGATATCCGTAATATATCCGTAATGTCCTAAACTGTTCGCGCAAAGCGCCGAGATCTATTACCTTCTCACTTTTTTTTTATCCGGCCCCTCTTCCTCTTCCTCGTCACTCAAATCAGCATACTGAGTAACGGGTTGCGTATCCTTCCAAGCATTCGTAAACAATGGATCCTTCTTTGCCAACTCCGCATATTTTAATAACGCCTCTCTAGGATCCTCATCTCTCATACTGCTGAGAGAAATGCTGTCGTTGATATGCTTCTCATCTGGTTGACTCTTCATGAATGGAGTCACCATGGGTATTTGCGGCCTGCGAGGATCTCTTGATCGACCGGAAGCTGTGAGGCCGACGGTCGGATGGCGGGCTGCGAACGAAGTTGCTCCAGCACTTGTAACAACTCCTCCAGCACTGACGATACTATCTCCTGGGAGACCTGTCGACTGATCAGTGGTGAAGTTAGGGTCGTCGTCCACGTGGCGTTTCTTGGGAGCTCGAGACACTACGTCGACTGCACCGCGGACAGAGGTATTGGGATTGTAGAGAACGTGGACTTCCGAATTGGCAGAACCTGTGATGATCTGGTTGAGCTTGGGGTGCCACTCCACTGTGATCAGAGGTGAACCGGGAGTTACTGGTGTCACCAGCTCAGGCTTTAGATTTCCGGGATTGAGAATATGTAGATGACCGGATGCCGAGCCAGTGATAATACTTGAAGATGTTGGCGAATACTTGATGTTTGTTACAGCGTACACATCCGAGGTTGAAGGGTGCGAGACTGTAACAACCGGAGTCTTGAACTTCCGAAGATCCCAAAGCTTGATCAAATCATCACCACCCCTCGTAACAACCATCCGACCATCGTTGCTGATATCAACCCCTCCGGTCCACGTATCTGGCTTATGAGCTTGCCGAATTTCTGCTGTAGGTCGAGAAAATGGCCCGTCTCCGCTCCACATCACTAAGCTTCCATCCAGAGCCGCAGCGACAAGAATATTACTCCCCCCTTGCATAGGACTTCCCCAGACGACTGCAGTCATTCGCGTTCTTCCAGCGGACCCAGCAGCTCTTGATTTGTGTACAATGACCTCTTTCTGGCTTCGCTTGTGGTTGACATCCCATATCCGTAGGGTGCTGTCTGTTCCAGCGGTTACGCATAAGTTTTTATCGACAGGATTCCAGGTACCAGTGGTGACTTCTGATATATGTCCTTTCGTGTTGTTCATGTCCCTCAGATACATATCTCCCTTCTGAAATTCCGCTAGAACCTCCCCATCTCTGCTCATTATCTTGGCCTGTGGGTGTGCCGAGACGCATAGGAATGTTCCTCCTGACAATGGGTTGAATTCAACATGGTTTATGGGGTGGGTTTCGGAGTTGGTAGAGGTCTTTGAGGCACTTGGGTCCACACTCTTGAACGCCCGAAGAGTTGTCGGCGTCATAGACGCAAAGTCATGTAGCTTCAGCGTACAGTCCGTGGATCCTGTAACCATTCTTCCGCCAGATGGATCGACAGCAGTTGTCGTAACTGCGCGATCGTGAGTCTTGAGCACCAGCTCATGCGAAACTGGATATTCGTCGTCATCGGACTGGTCTGAATCGTCGTCCGAGTCATCATCGTCGTCGGATCCATAATCCTTCGAGGCTGGCTCCTGTGCGATTTTCCGCTGTCCTTCTCCATTACCATCAGAGCTCTTTGCTGCAATTGGAGCCTTGTCAACAGCTCTCTTCGTCCTCCCAGTTTGCGCCGCGACGTCTGCCTCTTTCGACTTCTTTCCGAAAGCTTGTGGTAGGAACGCTCTCATAGGATCTTCCTCGGCCAGTTCAGGTCCTTCCACTTCGTAATCTTCATCGTCGCTCATTTTGTTACCTAGGTAGTTGCTGAATGTTGTGGAATGTTTTGAGATCGCAGGTCCTGCGATAACGCCAAATAATTCGGTGACGTTACGAGGGTTTAGATCCCTACATAAATTGGTAAAAGTTCAAATTTAGACGTGATTTCCCGCCTGGACCCCTGGTTTACAGGGCAACTTACCGCCCCTCTCCTATCGCAATCCCTGCACGTGTAAAACAACGTGGGGACCAAGATTCTTGAAATGACGACTGCTGCTCCGGTGAAATCATCACTGCTCAACTTGCTGCTCTCTTACAATCAGGCGATAACAACGAACAGATATTCGAACGATCCACATACATCTCCATGTCATTGAAATTGACGTCAACCGTAGCTCCGTGAAGAGTTCGCCTGCCAGAGGGCACGATTGGGATGATACGCGGCATTCCAAGTTCTCGCTGATATGTTTCTATCCACGCCAGCCCTCGATTATGTACCGACGACAGCATTCCCTGCAGTGACACTGTCTCAGGTTACTTCTCTACCAAGTCCCTACAATAGTATCTCAATTCTGGGAGGTGATTCGCAATTACAACGATGGAGCTCGCTCATTGGAATCGTCACATCGATCATCGGCAACATTTTGATATCCTTCGCACTCAACATCCAACGATATGCGCATATCAGGCTCCACGAAGAGCGGATGGCCCGAAAAGAGAGACTGAAGAAAATCGCTAAATCGAGCGGGGGATATGGGAGTACGAATACAAATGCAAATGGGCATACTGCTGAAGTGGATGGGGAGAATAGTGGCGAGGAGGACAACCTTCTCTCGGCGTCTTTCAACTCAGACTCATCAGACTGCTCGCATGAGAACCACTCGAATTATCTGAAGTCGCCGTATTGGTGGGGAGGAATCCTCTTGATGACAGTGGGAGAGGCAGGGAACTTTTTGGCATATGGATTCGCGCCAGCATCCATTGTGTCCCCGTTGGGTGTGGTGGCTCTGATTTCAAATTGCGTGATTGCCCCCATCATGCTGAAGGAACGTTTTCGGTACCGGGATTTCTGGGGAGTCGTGGTCGCTGTCGGTGGAGCGGTTACAGTTGTTCTGAGTGCGAAGACAGAGGAGAAGAAACTTGGCCCTCACGAGATATGGGGTGCCATTACGACTACGGCCTTTGAAATATACCTTGGTGTGACCATTGGCCTCATCGCAGTGCTCGTGTGGGCAAGTCCAAGGTATGGAAATAAGACCATCTTGATCGACTTGGGGCTTGTAGGGCTTTTTGGTGAGTGGCCTGGAACCTCCACTCGTGCAATGTCTAACGTGAATAGGTGGATACACTGCTTTGTCCACCAAAGGTGTTGCATCAATGCTCTCATCAACACTATGGCGGGCTCTGACGACTCCCGTAACCTATGCTCTTCTCGCTGTTCTTGTTTCAACAGCCGTAATGCAAGTGAGATATGTTAACAAGGCACTTCAACGGTTTGATTCAACTCAAGTCATTCCTGTCCAGTTCGTTATGTTTACTTTGTCGGTCATCATTGGCAGTGCGATCTTATACCGAGACTTTGAGAAGGCGACGACTGAGAACATTTCAAAATTTATTGGCGGCTGTCTCCTGACTTTCTTTGGAGTCTTTCTCATCACAAGTGGGAGATCTAGGAATGATGAAGATGAAGAGGAGGAGTCAGACGATGAAGGAGAGGAAAGAATTGTTCTTGCTGATCATGAGCATGCCGGCGAAGATATAACAACGCCAGAAACATCTCAAAGACGGGATTCACTCCGAAAAGGAAGCGTATTCCAAAACGGTGATGGGGCCAGCGATGATCAGGGGATATCGTCACGGAGAGATTCGCATGTCTCCTTTGTGGAGCCACCAGGACGACCCCGAACACCACGGATGTATTCCAACTCATCATACAAACATTCTCTCAGGGTCGCGCCATCGGCTCCACGCGAAGAAACACCACTGCTCAGCAACCCATGGAAACCTTCCGCCGACAATCTTCTGCAACCTTCGAGCCACCCTGGACTACAAGCCACACTGTCCTCACCAATACTGCCATCAGAAGCACAACTCTCGGCAGAGACTGCGAATACATTAACGAGGACGACATCGCAAGGTGATCCACATACCCATCCGAACGAGCAGCAATCCCCTGCTCCACCACAACCAGATCGGCCAATGACGCCTGCGAGGCATTCAATATCAAGGATGTTACCAGGGCCACTACTATCGCCTCTGTCAGGTGGTTTGAGTGTGGTTGTCGCAGACTCATTACGGCGTGGCATGGATCCCCGAAACAGAAGTTTTAGACGGCCACGGCTTGGGCTGAGAAGGACCAAGTCTGGGTCGCAAAGACTCAGCAATCCAAACCTGACGGATGACGAATACCAGCTTGGAACCTCGCCACTCAAATATAGTGACCAGCAGGAAAATATCAGTGCGTCTCCTGCATCAGGAGGATCAAATCGGATGACGCGAGCGAGGAGTCTGAGCAATACTTTAGGGGATCTGTTCCGAGGGAAACGACAAAAGGTGGATAGGCCAAACACGTCCGGCGATGAAGAAGCTGGTCCGAGCGACTCATGATGTACAATTTGGATTAGCAGGCGTTTGGTAAATGGGTCTGGTTGGATGTGGGTCATGCTGTATCACATAGACGAGGTATGATTGTACAGCTTTTAATGGGTACGGTTGGGGCATGATCGTCTGTCGATGCCATATTTCAAGAAGACTCGTTACTTTGAGTACACAGACTCTGCTTGTCTATACTCTAGATATCTTTCGTCGAATCTCCATATTCTCCCCTGTAAGCGCTACCTATCAGGTCCTCAGCCCGCGCCAGATAATCTCACACTCCCTACATCTCTCTCTGCTGCAGAGACTACAGAGTCCATACTGCTCAGCCGACTTAGGCATATCACTTGAAAACCTGCACTTCAAGGAAGGTCAGGATACTCATTTTTACATGTCCGTTTTCCGGATTTCACACTTACGTAGCAGCATTTCCAATACCAGTATACCGTGTTCGGAAACTTTGGAGGCTTTTCAACATAACCAAGAGGGGTGACAGCCGACATCGCCGAGCTTGAAGATTCTTCTGCTCCACGGCCGAGCTAGTTTTTCCTTCGACTTCTTTTTCAGGCAGTTTGAATGTTCTGTGAGCTGAATGCACATAACAGTGAAGTTGCTCGGAGGTACCAATTTTATGTTGGATCGACTGTTGACTCACGTCTAGCAAATACCGGGAATATCCTAATGATCATGATTCACGCATCGAAGCGGGGGGGGGGGGGGGGGGGGGGGGGGGGGGGAGCACTCTCGGGAACATTCAAATCTGCCAGTTGTTGACATACCATTTGACATGCCCATTTCAGGCTTGGTCTATTGCTCATGAGGTGGATTAAATGCCAGCTTTAAGCCACCGCTATGGATCAACGCTTCGAAAAATCTGGGGCCATGTCTACGCTTTCACGAACTGTAATGGTCGGTACTGCTTATCCGTTGCCCAAGCAGCGCCAATGTTCTCCCTCGCTCTTCAAATGACCCATCTCTCGACCATAATTCCAACATTACTGACCTCATTATTCACACTCTCCTCGCTCTCTCCACTCTCCCTGCTTTTCAACCCACTGCCACCTTCACCAACTTCTAGACCTCCAGCACCAGAACGTCTCAGAAGCCTAGCATTCTCAGCCTCTTCCTCCTCGACCAATCTTTCAGCCAAGATCCACATCTCAGCCTCTTCCCAATTTAGCCTTGCAGTTTTCCCCCATATAGTCTCCAATCCATGCTTCGCAGCCTCGTCTTCGTCCTCTTGCTTGAATCTGTAATAGGTCTGAAGGGTGTACTTTCCATCAGCGAAGGCCATGGTGCGATTGTTCCAGCGGATACTACACGATCTGCAACGCTGGGAGAAGTCAGAACTCCATTCAAGCTGGAAACCAACTGTCTCGACATCAATGGCTGCGGCTGCGAAAACTCACCTCATGTTGGCAGGATCGACAGATTGAGTACTTTTCAGACTCCTTGGGACGCTGATTGGCGCGGGAGCACTGCTTCTCGTGTCAGTTCATCTATCTATCAACGGCAATCAAATCAGGGACGGGAAGGGTACACGTACACTGCAGCAGAACCAAGTCCATGAGCTGGTATTTGGTAGCTTCGGGGCTGGTATTCCAACCATGCCTTCCATCCGACCGATTTTTGCAGGTGTAATGTAAGACATGCTGGTTAGCTATTAATTTCAGAAAGATATTCCTGCTTTGACGCTTACGCTGAGTTGGTCTTGCTCGTCTAAACCAAAACCTCTCACTTGAGTGAGGTTGCGGTTGCCGGACGCGCCTGCCGAATTGAGAAAACTCGTTTGTTATGTTCATAAAACCCGATAGAGTCTATAAACAAAATATCAGATAGATACCACGTTTTTGGGGTTTTCACGTATCAATTGGGTTTTGCGAACTTAGGAGCACTTGGAATGAGCACAATGAGGATGATGCGACCCAGATTTGGTTCCGCAGCAAGAACGACTTGCAGAGCTATAAAACCAAGTCTCTGTAAATATCTATGGCTTGAGCGACCCAAAACTAGAGGTTAACACATATAAACATTGTGAGGACTTCTTCATAGTTCATTAGCATCGTGAAAGTTGGGTCATCCTGAGCTTGCAAGAGATCCGAACTGCACATCCACTCTCCAGGCATGATCGAAGGAATTATTCCTGTCTTTGAGCTTTACCTCCATATTAATACGTTTGAGCTTCTATGATATCTGTGTTTAGTATATTGAGGAGTTGTACCTAAAGATGTTCAATTTCAAGAAGACACTTAGGGATCAAATCGTACAAGTTCTCTATTTCAAAGCCGGTGATTAGCCGTTTGCCGAATGTCAACAGCCATTTTTCTTTCATCAGCTGTTCGCAATTTGCTACTCGAGTGCCCGTGGGTTCATACAAGCCTTCGCAGATATAATCATGTATATATACAGCTTATCGTTGACTCACGGACGTCTTAGTATACGCCTCGCTCAGCTTTAATTATTGATTCACGCTGTCATCCCACCTCAACTCCTGATATTCCTGTCACAAAATTCCGCGAATATATCCAAGTTCTATTCTCCACGCCTCTGATAAATCCAAGTGTAGAGAGCGCTCCTCCTTTAATCCGGTTTCTCCCGAACAAGAAACGCTTCTGCGCCGAGCCACGATCCAAGATGAAATACCAAGGGCCTACCAAGTTCGAGCTCCTTGTACTTATCACGAAGTACAACCTGGCACACCCCACGGATAAGATAAAACCTCAAGTCACTGACACCATCAAAGAACGTGATTCTAAGATGGTGAACGAGTTCTTAGCACAAGAAGCAACCAGTCGAGCTCAGTATCCTTACAACAGCTTTCAACGTCAAGCTCAAAGGCTCCAACCATTACTTGAGAAGGTTTTGGCACTTACGAACTTCGACTCTTATAATGAGCTGGATTGGATGGAGCTATTGATTGCTGTGAACGATATGTTGAAGCTGGTGAGGTCGAAGATGCAGGAAACCCAAAAGCTGAATAGCGAGCGAATACAGAAAGACTTGGAGAGGAGAAAAGCTGAGTATGCTATCGAAAAGCTACAAAGAGCGGAAGAAGAGCAGAAGAAGGTTGAGAAAGCAAAGCCGGATAAAGAGCTAGCGGAAAAGGCTAAGCAGGCTGTTGCAGCTGAGCAATCCCAAGCGTGTCCTCCACCAAAAGTACGTCGACCAAATAAGCTACAAAAGAAACCAAATCCCTTAATATGTCCGAATGAAGTCCTGAAGACCAAGGAACAAAAGATCGAGATTCCAGACGTAACTGCAGCACTGTCTACCAGTCCGAAGGCTCCGGATGATCAGAATGCAGGTTCTACCACTGAAGTTCCCGTCGATATCCCTCCACCATTACCGCCAAGATGTCCATATCCGACTGGAAATGCGATCACAACCAATTCTGAAGCTTCCGTTCCTCCGAAGCCGACGGATACTCCGGAGGCCAAGTTCTATCAAGTTCCAGGCTGTTTCCCAGATTCACCACCACCTCTACCCCCACGCAAAGATACTCCTAGAGACCCAGCTAGGGCTATCACTCCACCTACCCGTCCCGTTCTCCACACACGATCTCGAAGCAAAGAAGATCCAAAAAAGAAAGTGTCATTTAACGGAACTGAAGTTGATCGTACAACAGTTGAAGATACCGTCATGACTGGCATGGATATGCCGGGGAACAATCCAGAGGCTCAAAAGGACGAATCACTAGAGATCTTGTCTGTTATCCAGCCCGAGGAAGTTTGCCCAGAAGAGAAAGTTCCCAAGAGAAAGAAGGGAACGGAGCCAGAACATCACCAAAGGAAAATGGATAAAGCCCATTATGATGCTTTGAGGGTTGCCTCTGAAATCAGGAAGTTCTCTTGGCCTGGAGTGGGAGGGAAGTAACTGCTGGCTGCTTACAGGGCGTTTGAGGGGTCGATAGGATGTATCTAGTCCTTTGTCAATCAGATGAAACCTGAAACATGGCTTTCAAAAGGAAGCGACATCTAAATAAACCTTCGTATTCAGGTTGATCTACAACCATATACCAGTGGGTACACCGATAACCTTGTATCGGCCGCTAAACAAGTGAATGACGTGACGTGAAGTGAGTGAGTTGAGAGCCCTTGCGATGATTCCGTCAGCGTCTGTTATCTCTCCATTGACTCGTGAATGTACAGTGAGTCATTCTGAGAATGATATTAGCTGACTGCCTGATCCTGCAGTTTCCTGTAGAACGACAAAGTACAGATACAAACATAATCAGACACTGCACAGAAGTCTAAAAAATGTCAGTATCCTCAACTTCCTCCAGCCTGAGCTCGGCGACCCGCCAACTCCCTTTCTACAACTTGCCACCTAAACTGCAAAACCTGCTCGCCAAGCGAGTCAGCGAGTGCCGCGGCCCATCAACATTTGGCCTCATTGGTCATGAGTACGAAACATCACAATGGCTCACCAATTCCAGAAATAGAGAGTATGTAGACGACATGTGTACTTGGGTTGTTCATCTCTATGGGTGTGGTGAGAAGCTGTGTCCACGGGCTTTCGAGACGAAAAGGATCAGTAACCGAACACTGGGAGAGCAGACATGTGGATGCAAGGGCCCGAGTACGACGAAATATGAGAAAATCCATGATGTGGGTGGAGTGCATTCGAAGGATGGAGTTGCTAGGTTAGAGTTTCATCCGGAGGACCACGCTTTCGGCGAGGTGTTGGATGAAGAGGAACTTTTGGTGGCTGCTGCTAGGAAAGTTAGGGAGCATTGGGGAAGTGATGGGTCAAGATCGATTCGTTCATGTTCCAGTTCGGGAAATGAACACAACTATCGGAGGGGAGAGACAACGCCTGATCGGATAATTGTCGATGTCCGCAAGTCTGGATGTTATTTGGGATGCGAGTCCAAGGATGACACGGAGCATCCAGTAGTGACGGTTGAAGTGAGATTTTGGGAATAAGACTGTACAGTCGCTCTTGTTGGAGGGGAAGAAACTTATGCGCAAGGAATAGAAATATTGATTTAATACTGATTTGCTGTGTATGGTGCCTAGACTATCCTCTCCACTGCCGTTCCCAACACACATTCTTACCAGGCTCATACTTACGAAGTTAGTGGACATTTCCTGTAGTACAGGGCAGCCACCAGAATCTTACCGCGGCGCGTCGGCGCTGTTCCCCATGATAGTGTGCTTAAGGCATTCACGATCTGAACCTTCCACGTCAGGCTGCAGCCTTCTCTACATAAACGAGGACAGTCGTAAGTTCAGGGTTTTCAGACTTCTTCATGAAATATTCAGTGTCACACTTTCTATTCCAAAAAGGCACCATGTATGCGACTAAGTCACAGAACCCATTCACAATTTCCGGTGCTTGCAACTCAGCTCGTTGAGCGGTGTATAAAACAGCTAACCTCCCCAAACTTCCACATCACAGAAGAACATACCAGAACTCAGAAGCAATATATTCCACTCCATTCAACTCTCCTCAATCATTCAGAAGTCAATCTCCTCCACAATGACGAAACATTTCAACCCCTCCCTCACACGCACCACATCCTACTCCTCATCCACATCCAGCTCGTCATCTACAACCTCTCTCCCAAAGCACGAGGCCTTCTCTCCATCAGTGCATGAAACAGCACCCTGGTGGCTTGGCGAAGAAGGATACGAGAAGTGGACTTCTCGGTGGCTTGAGGACAATGATGCGAAGAACTGTCTGCTTCCTGTTGGAGTGAAGACCTTCGGGCAGTTACGTGGGTTCATGGCAAGTTTAAGAACGCAGATTCAAGGTGGTGGGTAGTGAGATGTTGATAAGAAAAGGCAGTAGAGAAGCATGATGTCGATTCTTCGAAGCCGGGGCCGGGGATGGATTGAAAGTAGAGGGGTTGGTTGACATGCGTTCGAATATGCTGTGGATCTTGATGCATTATCATGACAGGACCGAATAACTTCCACCTTGCAATCCAAAAGCCTGGAATTCAATCATGTTCAAAGATGCGTCGTTTGGAATTGACAGAAATTTAAATTCTCCCTCATTGTCTGAATAGAAGATGTAATGGACTGAGAAATGAAGATTTGGGAGTACAGTCCTGGTGATTATATGCAGCAGTTCACTTGAGCGAAGAAGCTAGTCTCCGGACCAGTGAAGATTGTAACCTGACAAACAAGTTCAGCGTTCACTTACCTCGTCCTTGGTGTGCTTTGTGAGAAGTATTTTATCATCTGAGTTGAATAAACTTCATGGGCTATACCAGCCAGTCTAAAACTCCTCGACATCTTCATCCTTTCAATGCGAAGAATTCCAAACACTCATAAAACGCTATTTGAATAAGGCTCCTCGTGAGGACAGGGTATCTTCAATGCTATTCCAATCGCAATCTTCGTGTCTTTTTCCATAATCCGTCAAGTCGTTATTCCCACTCTCAGTCTCAGACCTCCCACGATCATCTTCCCCGCTTCAATCAATATCATCTTCCGAATTCTCATTCTCTTCCGAGGACACACTTTCGTCAGAAGAATCACTATCCTCTTCGGAAGAGTCTTCATCCTCATCCGAAATGGTCTCAGAACTATCTCCAGCCTTGTCATTCTCATCATTTTCCACCCGAACTCCTGTGTCCTGTTTTCCAGGCTTGGATATAATTTCTTCGTCTTCGCTCTCGATGTATTCCTACATAAAGGTTAGATTTGACACAAAATAAGTCGTAAGAGTACATACAAAAGCTTGGGACTTCTTCCGTCCTTTGCCCTTGCCTCGACTCAAGTCCACTATCTCCTCCATGATGACCTCAATCTTGGCAAGCAACTTTTTCGCCTTCTCATCAACCTCGAACTCTTCTGGAGAAAGTCTTTTCTGACGAGACACGAGGTAATTGTGTAGTCGTTCGTGCTCGTCCCTCAGGTGTGAAGTATCGAACTTCTTGAATTGATGCTGTACCTGAACGGTGGCAATCGTAGCCTGGCAGTCAATCATACGAAGTACCATGGGACTCCAGCAGCCATAGTTCTCTGGCGAGACTTGGTACATCTTCTTAAAGGTTCTGGTGGCTTCAGGAAGGTAGTCTTCTGGCACCAACCCAGCCCAAAAGAGTGCAGCGTCGACAGCTCCATTGGGTCGATGCGCAGCAACGTTACCGCTAAGTATAATTGCCCTATCTTTCTCCGCTTGTTTGATCTTGAGGAGGCATTCCCTCGCTGACTCTAAATTTCGCAATCGGATGTCCACACCGATTTGTAGAATTGGTTGAACCACATCCCGAGTCTTCTCAAGGTCAACCTTCGACTTTGTCAGGTCCTCAATGTCTTGTGCTTGAATAGTATTCTGAGCTTGTACTTGGATCATCTGCTGCTTGGAATCGTCTCTCTCGATTCTGACCCGCGTATAGTCGTTTTCAAGTTGGGCAATGTCTGCTTTGAGAGCCTTCAGATCCTCCTGGGAAGCTTCGTATTGTCTGCCAAGCTCATCGTGATTCTTTCGCAAAATTCTGAGAGCTGTGGCGGTGTCTCGAGCATCTGTGACAGGGTTCTGTTGCGTCCTCAGATCAGAGATATCATCCTGTAACCTTGAAACCTCCTCCCGCTCTCGTTTGAGTTTGTCACGAAGTCTCTGAGTTTTGGACCTCGAGCTAGCCTCGTCCCTGGTCAGCTGATCAATTCTTTTATCCTTGTCCGCCGCTTCCTTGCGTAATGACTGGAGATGCGCGCGAAGACGGTCCGATGTCTTTTCTTGATCCTGAAACCGTAATCTGTACTCTTCTAGTTTCTTCTTTTTCATTTGATCTTCTTTTCGTAGCCTTTTCAAATCCGTGGTTGCTTTGTGCCGCTGGCCGTCAAGCTCATCCCGGTCCCGTCGTAACTCCTCCAGCTCCCGCAATGCCCGTCGGAGCCGTTTGCGCTCATAGTCTCGCTCCTCCTTCACAGTTTCAATATCCTCATCGTCGCTCCTGAATTTCTGTCGATGTCTGTGAGATTCTTTGGGTCTTTTCTTCTTGGTGAAGCTGGATTTCCATCTGCCAAAACCGGATGAAAAGTCGGGTTCTTTCATAGATTGATCGCTTCGGTTCTTACGAGGGGATGTTGAGAGACCTGCAAATTCACGGAAGAGTGAAGGCAGAGAACTCGTGCTTGATTCTGCCATTCTGGATGACCTGGTCGAGAAACACTGTGCAGTCTGGTGGTGACAGGCTCTTCATCTCGTTCGCGGAAAAAAGCCGCGTCGTGATCTTGGCTCTGATTGGGCCATATTCGTGTTGCCTTTGAGTCAGCCCCTACCAAGGTTTCGAGAAGGTAACACGACCATTTGAGATTACCTCTACGAAGTCAATTACGAATGTGACATAAAAGATAAAGCATACTTCCAATCTTGTTGACTAATTAGTGGACAGTTTTCCTCAATGGTCATGGTGGCTGCCAAGCTACCAAAAAAAGCCGGAATGTCAACAAGTTTAAGCGAGCTGTGTTGGAACGGTTCACTCAATATTCATTCTCTTCGATTGAGCTACATCAAAAAGCTAACTTCTTGTCGAGTCACGACTCTCGAGGTAGATTAGGAGATTGTCCGCCCATCCAGCAACATCCAGCCACCACCAAGAAGCACGCACGATCGCTGCTATTGACAGAATTGTGTGCACCATTGTTCAATCGAGCTCTTGCTTTGTTCCCCGTGCTTTAGGAATTCCACGTCTCTTGGTTTCTATCTGAGAACGAATTGCTTGGACATCTTTTTGGGCCGTCTGGTCGTTTGTCGTTATCAAGGCGGTTGGACTTATGAAGTTTCGAAACATATTTAGAGTACATTAAATTGAACATTCCCGGCTGGATCGTTCGTTGCTCAACTCGCAGTCTCGCAAGCATACTCCAGCAGACTCATGGTACAAGAATCAAACATTTCATCCGTAGCATGATCATTCATCATCATCATCATCGTAGCTGTAGTAATCAACATCCTGTCAGCCGAATGAGTAAGTCAATGTCTCAAGGCCGCATATATAGAACTTACGCTAAAGCGAGCTCTTCTTCGACGACCACCTTTGCTCCTCTTGATATCAACAATATCTTCTGTGATCTCTTCCAGTCCTAACAGTCGCTCTTCAACACTTGGATCAGCTTGAAAATCTTCCTTGACCCACATGTCGTCATGTAGTGTGCAAAGCTCTAGGTCCAGGCTTGAATGCTCATTCTCAAGGTTCGAGCAGCCGGCAGATCCAGCCACAGCCTTGACAGTTTTGATGGTAGCTCGACAGTCTAGAACTCTTTTTATTTGAGAGCCCCACTGAGTAGGATACTGTGATGGTTGGCAGAGATACAGGCTCATGAAGACCTTTGAAGCTTCCTCAATGCAGCCATCCGGTACTAATCCAGCTTCAAAAATAGCGGCATCGACGGCGCCATTCGCACGATGAGCAGCTACGTTTCCACTGAGAATAATTGCTCTGTCAAGATCGCTGGACGGAACGTCAAGGGTGGTCTCCCGTGCAAATTCGAGATTTCGAAGCCGGATATCGACACCGATCTTGACAAGTGGGCCAAGCAGATCTTTGTTCTGCTTCAAGTCTGAATTTTCCGACGTCAAGTGGGAAATAAGTTGATCTTTTAGTCTGACAGTCTCTTTCGATGCATCGAGAATCTTTTCAAGTGCCGTCTGACGTCTCAAGACATCACGGTATTCTGTCTCCATCAAGTCTCTAGCCTTCTTAGCTTCATCATAATCGCGTACGAGTTGACTGTAATCTCGATTCAGTCGATCGTTTGATCTTTGGAGGTTTCTTAGATCAGCAATTGCAGTTTGAGTCTCAGAGGATGCCCTGGTAGATGCTGCAAAGAGGTTCGACATTGCTTGGGAAACTGTCAATTGAGCTCTCAGGTCGCTATTCTCTGCTTGCAGCGCAGCGCTAATTTTTTGCTCTTGGCGTAGTTCGGCTTTTGCCCTCTGTATCGTACTGTTGTGATTTCTAGCTGCTCGATTGAGGGCCCCAATCGCGAGATCCAAACCACTTTTTTCGATTGCAATCATGTTTATACGAGCATTGGCATTTGTCAAGTCTTCCTCAGTTGCGCTAAGCTTTTTCTCAGACTCACAGAGTCTCTTCACCAAAGCCTCGTGCTTCTCGCGCAGCTTTTTCAGCTCCGAAGTTCCCTTTTGACGTTGTCCTTCGATTTCGTCTCGTTCCTTAAGAATTTGGATTGGCTTGTAGGGCTCTCTCAAGGGCTTTTGTCTTTTCTTCCAGCTCCTTCTCGATCTTGGCCTTGTCGTGATTCGCTTTGCCCCGTGCCATTTCTGAAGCTGCTGCTCTCTGATTTGCAGACTTGACATCCCGATCTTTCTTTTCAACTTCGTACTTGAGAGATTTGATTTGCCCTTGTAGGACTTCGCTCGGTGTGCGTGCTTGGCGAATCATTGAAGCTGGTACTTGAAGTCGCCCAATAGTCACGGTACTTTGCTTGGACTTGGTGGTAGTGCCAGTCAGTGGCAGCAGCAGTTGATTTTGCAGAAGGCTCAGCTGTTGAAGATGCCAGGATTGTAGACCCACTGTCACCGACAGAAATTGACGAGACACTGGCGTCTAATGAGGTTAGGCTGGAGGTTGGGTAGTGGTCTTCGTGGAGACTTAGTTTCTTGACAATAGTCAGAGCTGGTGATGGGCACTTGACTTTATCTGCCTTGATATTGATCGCTCCACGTTTTCGAGACTTGTAATCAGACGGGGTCTTCTTCTTCGCACTACCTGTCCATCCACATGGCAGAAAGTTCTCCGTATCGTCATCTAAAAAGCTTCCTGCCTCTGAGTCGTCGCTTGTTTCTTGCTTCAAATTGTCCTTCGGGGTAAGACCAGGCATGGTCTGTTCAATTGAGTCTGTTCCTTCTCCTTGTATAGCCATGATGATGATGGCTCTACTGCGTCGATCACTAGAATCGTGCCTGCACAAGCTTGGAGAGGGAAAGACGCGAGATCGATGTGATTGCCTCAAGATCGCGTCCAGGAGTAGCTGGAGGCTGCAAAGGGATATTGAGAAGATCTAATTTGAAAGGTGAGGTTTGAAATCGCGTCTCGTGGGAGACGTCAGAGCTAGGTACTTGAATGCCTACCTAGTGCTTGCATGGCGCTACAAAATAAGCGAATGGTCTAGTGTCAGGCTTGGTGTTTACTCAGCTACCTTACTCTCATGTGGTGAGGGTTGTCTTTAGCTTTCTTTATACTGCCCACTTCTGCGTTTCTCACCAAAGTGCACCCGCTGTGCAAATTCAGGATTTTGCACATCGTGAAGCAGCTCATCAAGCCTTTGAATCAAGTCAGCTTGATCGAGTTCCTGATTTCGTGTTTCGCGTTACGATGACCCCAAGAACGAGTCACAAGCATGCACGGCGCTTAGATGATGGCGAAGTCAACAGGAATTAAATTCAGCTACATAGCGGTCATTAAAAATTGAAGTTCTTGAATTCAGGTCTTGCAGGCCGACTCGGCGGATGTGAAGCCAGTGGAACGGAAATGAAGGGATCTTGAACGACCGCACTATTCAGCGTAGTCTTCTCCACTGCTATTTGTATAATACCTAACTCATTCTCCTCATCCTTGAGCTCAGTAAAGTTTCGAGGCGTAAAAGGAATCGATCTCTTTCGAGAGTGCCATGCTGAATCGCCTGCATCTTTTGTTCCTCGACCACTTGTTCCTAATCCGCTTCTTCCAACACCCAATCGACTACCACTTCGTGTCGAGGCAAGAATATTGAGTTTCCGGAAAAGGGGCTTGAGCGTTGCCAGCGATGACGCGCTCAGTGCCAGTCCAATCTCGACCGTACTCCAGATCGCGAGATCGGTGAAATTGTATAAATAGTCTGGGTTCGATAGAAGTTGCTTGGCGTATGGAATGCGGGCTACTGTTGCAAATGATGCACTGAATCATTAATTAGCGTGAATCCATAGGACAAATGATTTTGAACTCACATTGATCCAATAGCTAAAACAGCGACGACAGAAATCTTCGTATTTCTATCCATGTTTGAGTTCCAAACGACGGAGATAGGTAGCAGCGCCAGGATCCAGTCAGAGAGTACGTTCAAGACCAAACTGACATACGTCGGAATGGTGGCAAGTTTTGAGTGATTACACTTCCCAGTAACAGGTGGATTAGGGCTGTAGCGATACCAGTAGAATGGGATCGGCATGCACTGGAAGATAACAATGAAGACGTAGAACATGTTGAAGACAGTGACAACTCCGAGAAGTGTCCAGATGGTAACGCGCTGCCATTTCTGTCGAGAACAAATCCGGAGGAGGAGCAGTCCAACGATGTACTTGACGAGGACTGATATGAGTACATAGATACACTGGCTGATGTACTTCCAGAACAGTGCGATCGGGTGGTGATCTTCCGGTACATTTGCAACATGTTGGCCAAGACCCCAGCGAATTGAAATAAGTGCCGATATTGAGTAAAACATGTATAGCGCCTGCCAATACATCAGCTTGAGTTCCTGTTAATTTGTTGGAGCTGAGACTTACAAGTGTAACGACAGACAGCCAGTCTTCAGCAAAGAATCGCTTGAGGATATATCCCATCGTGTAACACCTCAACCCAACAGTAACAAGCGAGAACACCATGAGAAAAATGATGACCGCGGCCAATTCAGGCCCTCGATTTTCAGCTGCCATCGTATCAATAATGTTGAATGTCGATTGATCCAATGTATTAGTCTCAACTGGCTTCTGCTAGAAGTATATAGCCTGACCCCTCCTCACCAGTCATTGAAAGTCGCACTTCGGAAACATCGAGAACGGTTCGACTTTCCACAACACACGAAGCCGGGCTCGACTTCATATGAATACGTCCCGGATCCACATGGGCCATTGATTCTAGTTCCGAAGATAAGATTTTGCTAGGCGTTCCTCCCTTTCGCAATAGGTGGGCCCGAAACGGGTAGTGCGTTCCCCGAAGTGCTGTACCAAACCGCATCGAAACGAATGATGCCAGCGTTGTCTACCTCCCGAGTCAAGTCAGACTCGCCAAAATCACGGCTTGTAAACGCTTCTGCAGGGTGCCATGGGAAAGAAGATTATTGTTATGACAAAGCAGACAAACATCGCGGAGGAGTTCCAGATCGGACATAAATGATTTCTGGGCATAGAAGGTGGAGCTTCTGTACACATCGTATGGAGCTTGACATGCCACAATTGATCATTGGATACCCACTATAAACTCAAATACGCACCAATAACGGGTATTATAGTCTGGGGAGATTCATTATTGGACGTGGGGGGAAGCTTAGATTTTCATTCCACTTTCTGAGCAGGTTCACAAATGCAGAATACGCCCACTCGGAAGGCAACCGTAACCCTCTCTTGCTCTCAACTTTGTACATCACCAAACTTGGAACACTTGTATCTCTAATTCACAATTTTGAGATCGCTCTTGATGCTCATCTTAACACGAAGCAAATTTTCGTATTATTGAAACAACAGGTGAGCCACCTGGGAATAGGTGTTGCTCCTATGTCACAATCATCACCAACAGCTGCTCAAATCGAACTAATACAGGAACTGGAGATGCAGGAATCTGAAAGTAAGCTCAGATGGGAACGATCTCCGAACACACGTGCGTGATCGCATGAATGGATCCGCCGGATCGTTATAGGGAATTATCTCAGACAGCTACTTCTTACTTGAAAACCGCCCGCCTAGGTACGCATAGACCTATTATCACTATTAGTCCATTTACCTCTACTTACTATACACAGACTATTTATTAGTTCATTTACTTCAACTTACTCTTTAGCGCTATACTACTACTTAATTAGGTAATATATAGGTTCAGGTAGGTTTTCTTGCTATAAAGTATCTAAAGGAAAATAGTACTAATCTATATAGAGATTAATTTTAAGCTAACCTTAATTCTTTAGTTACTTTACTATAACTTAATATACAACTATTTAAATAACTTTAAGTATATTATAGATAGTAAGTAATCTATTTATCTATTTAATAAAATATTTATTTTTACTTATATCGATTTCCTTAAGAGTGAAATATATATACTAAGACTAAAGTATTAATTTCTTACTCGCACTTAGTAGAATAGTCTAACTAGAAACCTCCCTAGTATTTTCTAATAACAACTCTATATATAGACCTAAATATCTTCTAAGAATTAAAAAGATATATCTAATTACCTCCTATTATTCTTTTTATAATATCTTATTAATTAATAAAGTTATATCTAAGTAGGCGTTACTTAATATAGACCCTTACCTTTTTTCAGCTAGAAACACCTCTATGATTTCTTAACTATATATTCTTATATAATACGAATTAATATCTAAGGATAAGAAAAGTATATAAAGTCGCCTTACGTTATCCTTTTAATTATAGCTTATTAATTAATAAAGTTATAGCTAAGTAGGCGTTCCTATACTTTTATACTTACTTTTTTTTAGCTAGAAATATCTCTACGATTTCTTAACTACGTATTCTTATATAATACGAATTAATATCTAAGGATAAGAAAAGTATATAGAGTCGCCTTATATTATCATTTTAATTATAGCTTATTAATTAATAAAGTTATAGCTAAGTAGGCGTTCCTACGCTTATATATTCACGCCTTTTCAGCTAGAAACACCTCTATTATTTCTTAACTACACGCTTAGATATTACCGCTAACCCCTTAATAGAGTAAGATAATTATAGCGAGTAATATTATATTACTCTTTATTTAATAAGTTATTACTTATAAGAGTTATATAAGTTCAAGTATTAAGGTAGATACTAGCTACTACTTTATATCTATTTTATTTACTTTAACTTACTTCAGTTTCTTATCTATACTCTAGTTTTTTAGTATTAATTAAATTATATTATATATTATCTTATCTCCTATTAGCTCACTTACTTTAATTTACTTCGGATTACTATCCGGGTATTAATATTTAGTACTTATATTAAGTATTAGTATTATAGTTAGCTTACCTTACTTCTTTTCCTTATATCTAAGTCTCTAATTAGCCTACTTACTTTAACTTACTCCCTAGGCACTATATCTACTTACTAACTAGTACTTCCTCCTTAGCGTCTCTTATTATATTAGTATAATAGACTAAGCTATTTACTAGTCCTCTTAAGTCCTCCCTTAGTATTAGCTAGATATTTATTTTTCAGTATTTCTTATATATACCTTTCACTTAGAGATACCTGTATTTACTATTTAATAGCTTATCTTATTATTAGGCTATTTATAAGTAATACTGAAGGGCGCTTTAGTAAAGGAGTTAAATAGCGCGATTAATATACTCTTAGTAACTAATTAATCTTACCTAGACTTAGGATTAATGTTATATTTATATCCTTTACTAATAGGGATAGTTATAAAGGGATTAGTAATATTAATTAGTAATAGGATAAAGTTCGTAGAGTATAAGGAGAAGGCGATAGTACTTTATTGTTTAATATAATAAGCGCTAGACCTTATAAAAACTAAATTATATCAGGAGTAAGTATAAGAGAATCGCTAGTTCAATTACTTTTAGTAGTATACTCTTTACTAGCTCTCTTTTTTATAGCTCTTAATATTCTTTCCTTTTATACTTCCTCCTTAACTACTTTATAGAGAATTAATAGCCTATTTAATAAGCTTACTCTCTAGCTCTCTTTATATTCTTATTTATTAAGCTAAAGAACTTTTATAATTAACTTATCTTATATCAATTAGTTAAGCTTCTTATAATTAGACTTCTAATTAGTATATACTATAGCTAATATAAGAATAGTAAAGCTTAGTATAAATATCTTAAGCCCTAGATAAAAATAACTATTTAGGAATAAGGAGTTAAAGAGAAAAGTATACTTAGTATACTATTCTTTTAATATCTAGAGAATAAAAGCTCTATAGCTACTCTTCCTCGGCATATCTAGTCCTATATAAGACCTAGGTAATAACTCTATTAAAAGAGAGGTTAAGTCGGGGTTATACCCTATATAATAGTTACACTTTAAAGGATAGTTTCTCTTCTTAATTAGGAGCAGATATTCACTTAAGAGCTTTAGTAATATATTCCGCTAATACGCTATATTATATACTTCTTTATATATAGTAAGTAGGTTATCTCTAGATCTTATTTTAGACTAAGTCTATACTTTAAGCCTTTTACTATTATCTATAGTATTAGTCGGTTTAGCTTTATTAGTATTACTTATAGTACTCTTATTACTATTAACTGATTTAATATCACTTAAATATATATTATCTAGTACCTCGCTAATAGAAGTAGTCTCTCTAAGTCTAGACTAAGTCTGTATTATAATACGATTCCCGGGTAATAAATAATAAAAGTTTTAGTACACTAGCTTTTATAATAAAACCTTAGGACTTAGAGCTGTATTAGAACTTATAGCTTTTAGTTCTAGATATTTCCTTTTATTATCTATCACCTAATATAGTATAAATACATATACCTCGTAGGTATATCCTTCTCCTTAACTGTTATATCCTACTCGCTACTAGAGCTCGTTTAGTATTAGATTAATTAGTAACTTTTATATTACTACTTATCTAATATCTAGAATATTTATCCTAGTTTCTATTAAGGTTATAGCGATTATAAGTCTATAAGTAGAACTTAAGACACGAAAAGTATTATATCTTAAATCTCTATCTAATTAAGAAACCTAAGAGTAGAAAGTCTATATAATCTTAATAATACTATCTAAGGTATTATTTGTATAATATCTTTCTAACTAAGTAGCTATCTTTAATATAAGGTAGTATTATAGCTAACGTGTAAGTTACTCGTATTACTTAATACTATTAATAAAGATAATCGTCTTAAGAATCTTCTCAGGTATAATTTCTTACGTATTAACTTTAATAGCTTAGTCTAGTAAGTAGTATAATCAGTTGAAAATAGTAAGTTTCTTTCGTAAGATAAGTATAACTACTAGGGATATATCCTGCCTATCGATTAAAGTATAAATAATAGTAGTTATATATAGTAATAGCTCTATAATAACTTTCTTAAAGCTTACTATATAAAGTATTTAATATAATATATCTAAAGGTAGTATTACTATATATCTAAACCATACGGTATTTTTAGGTAGTATTAATCAGAGCTCTCCTAATATAGTAAATTATACTTAGAAGTCCTTCTATTACTTAACGAAATATAGCTTGTTAATAGCTATAAGCTTAACCCTGCTATTAAAGCTAGGTAATTTCAGGATTTTACAGAAGTCCTTAGAGATAGCTTACTCAGGAGATAATAGAATATAATTATATATACTATCTATAATATACTATAATAGCAAATCGTTATTATACTTAGTCTTGTTTATTAAGAGATATAGTTTAGTTACTCCGAGTAGTTTAATATTAAAAAGGTATTTTTCACTAAGTCGATTTAGTAAAGTTATCTAGAGGCAGATAAGCTAAGTAAGAATATAATATAATTAAAATATAATACTCTTACTAAAGCTTATACAAGTAATTAAGATAATATCTCCTTTATTAAATATTAGCTTTCTTAGAGTAGATACTTACTTTTCCTAAGAGGTATAATCTTAGTTTAGGGAAAAGTGCTTTAATATTCGTTTTAAATATAAAGATATAACTTTATTATATAGTAAAAGCTTATTATAAGTAGTATCTATAATACTATATAGCT